TCAAGGAAAGTACGAGGAGGCAGAATCAATGAATCGACGGGCATTGGTGGGGAGGGAGAAGGTGCTGGGGGTGGAGCATCCTAACACGTTAACGAGCGTGAACAATCTGGCAAGAGTGCTACGAGGTCAAGGAAAGTACGAGGAGGCAGAATCAATGAATCGACGGGCATTGGTGGGGATGGAGAAGGTGCTGGGAGTGGAGCATCCCGACACGTTGGGGAGTGTGAGCAATCTGGCATTGGTGCTACGAGGTCAAGGAAAGTACGAAGAGGCAGAATCAATGAATCGACGGGCATTGGCGGGGTCCGAGAAGGTGCTGGGAGTGGAGCATCCCGACACGTTGACGAGTGTCTACTGCCTTGCGTACCTACTCAGTGCGAGGAAAAGTTTTCTTCAAGACGCTTTAGATCTCTATCAACGTGCTGTTTCGGGCTACGACAGGGTCCTCGGGGTACATCATCCGACCACTGCGGCTTGTAAAGAGCATTTATCGTCACTATTGAGGAAGATGGGGCGGCCTCCCTAGGTCAAGCACCACAGGTTCGTCCTCGTGCCACTCTACAGAACTATATCATGATGTACAACATGTACTGCATCCGGATCGTGCCAAAACAACAATTACAGCCGACTGCGGGACGAATCCTTGTCTCTCATTTCTCCCCTCTTCCACCAGCTCTTCAACCAGTTTCAGTAGGGACGCTGGTGTGAACCGCAAGGAAAATCTTGGAACAACATGGACGCACAGCGACCGCCGTACTATATCATACTGAAGATGTCATCACCCCCAGCCAGGTCTACGTACCTAGATCCATCATTACGACTCAAAGAAGGTTGATAAGGCAGTCGAACGTGCCCGCAGTAGCATTGTATCGTGTATACTGAGTGCCAGCGAGCTGGCTGCACCTACGGGTCTGCTTGGGTGGGAGGACACGACGTCTCCCATTCGATGGCGAGTCAATATATACACAGTAGTCCCAACAGCCATGGCTTTCGGCGGTCTTATACGGCGTTACCTTTGTGTGGAACTTGGTCGATGTTGATTGGCAACGTCTGCTCTACGCCATCATCAAGTTTCGTCTCCATCTCACCTCGCTGTCGTAGTCGGCGTCGTGGTTTGGTTTAGTGTTGCCGGCATCAACGTCGATTTCTACGAGTACATGCAAGACAAAATGGAGGTGCGGTTGGGAGGCGAGTCCGATGGGGAGGGTGCTCTCTGGCTAGGTTGTGGACGGGATCCGATGAGCCCTTCGCCGACGTCGACAGTACTCTCTAGATGGGCCGTGGACTGGATCCGATGAGCCCCTTCACCGACGTAGACAGTGCTCTCTAGATGAGCCGTGGACTGGATCCGATGACTCCCTCTCGCTTTACGGAATAAGGATTTTCCAGGATTGAGTAGTGAATATGGATAGTCAAATGTGTTAAACCGGAGGCATCTGATTGGCTGAATTAAAGTTCTTGGGGGCACGCGCGAAATACCCCCATTAACGCAACGATTGATGCGCAACAATGTGGGGAATATCTCGAGGCAGCGACTCTTTGCAGTAACCTGATTAAGCTCGATTTGGCGTAGTGGGTACAAAGAGGCAACCAATGAGGGAGCGGTACCTCGAATCCCTGGTCCAACGCACATAAATCGAGGTACCGAGTCGCTCTTTGAGTGCATTTTGGAATCCCGCTGAAGATGTAGGTCCTAATCATCGTGTTTGTGTCTGTCCGCTCATGGGCAGTGGCAGGCACGTTCCCATTTGCCAGAGGCAGAGAGTAGGGAGTGCTTGAACTAAGAGAGCTGCGGCCGTGATGTATGATTTCGTCGATATGCGAGTAAGTGCATCGTGATGTTGACAAGCCTAGGTGAGGACGGAGCCCATGACTCTTTGTGGTGGTGTCACCCATAGACGTTGGTATTGTACACAGGGAGGACAAAGAAATGGCTCACTGCACGTCCATAAGCAGGACGAGACTTTATTTACCGGCCTGCCGACACAGGAACATTGGGAAAGTGGCGAATGTGTCGTGCTTTCAATACCGATCAGACCTAGATCGGAGGAAGTGGAGACGGTTTACCAGATTCTTCCGGCAACCTTGTCTCCGTGCTGGAACATGCGGTTTCATATTCGTATTCATACGCGTAGTCTTGATGGTAGGTTGGTCCTGATGCGGGATTGCAGCTCCGTCTTCAGCAGCTTCACATCTTGACTGCAAGAGGCTCATCTCCGATCAACAGATGACGATCTGTTTCAACAAGGACCTAAGTTTCTACGTCATTGGCTGTTCCTAGGAGTTGGTGTGCATACAGAATGAGGCCCCTCGTCGCTCGATCGGCATGTCCATTTAGCCTTTGATCCGATATTTCCCCTACTAAAAGCCTTCCGAACTTTTGGCCCCGGCTCAATCACGTGATGTATCGAGCGCAGCGAGGCTTGCGACACCACCTGCCCAGCAATTTTAGCGCATGAGAAGGGCCGGATGGTACGTTTGGACTTGGAGGCTCTGGAGGAGACCGGTTCAATATATAGAATGAGAAGTCGGCCAAACATTCATTGAAAGCGTAGCTTTCTTTTAAATCCCGACCCCCTGCACGTGACTCTACCATGCGCGGAAAAAAAATCACGTGCCTGAAAATGTCCTCCTCACGTGTTTTTCCCGGTAGATCCTCGGACGACGCGATGGCGTTGCGGCCCGCCGCGCGCGTTGTTTTGACCGAGAATGGCCTCGAAATGTTGCTCGAGGTGCGCTCATACATTTCCTCTCTCTTCCTTCCTTACAGATCCCTCTCATCTAACGAGCAGAACTCTTTCGACCTGTATTAAATGCCGCACTAGAGATAGTGCGAGAAGGAAGAAGACCTGTCCCCCACCGAGGTGGCCACATTTGACTCGGCTTTACGCCTATTCTTTACCAATTCGGAGGTGAAGGAGATGAATGGTAAGAAGCTGTCCGGTGTTGGTCAGCCCGTGAAGAAGGTTCTAGCCTGGCATAAGGGCTGAAATGCGGCCAAGGCATCGGAGGAGGAGACTGGCAACCTCTGCCCGGAACTCCAGGTCTGTATTTAGGCCCGCGTGATGCTCACGACAAATCTCTGGACCGAATTAGGGCTGGTGAGTGGATCGATGGGTTGCATCCAAGATATTGCCTGGCAGGAAGGCTAGGATCTTTCTTCGATCCCATTCTTACTCGTCAAGTTTGACAGTTATACCGGCCCCAATTTCCCCCAATGTGACCCAGGAGTCGTCCCGATCTTTTCTATTGATCGTCAGTTTGATTTCCAAGGGATACCATGCTCCCGTACTCAGCTTCCCGTCCGGTTATCCTATGCGATGACGGTTCATAAAAGCCAGGGCCTAACCCTACCGAGGTAGTTCTAGATTTAAGTCAACCAGAGTACTACCTGGGCCTGTCGTATGTAGCAGTATCACGGGTGAAGACCCTAGACGGGTTGTTGTTTGAGGGGCCTTTTGATTTGGATCACTTCAAGAGGGCAAAGACTGTTGTGTCCCAAGACCGGGACTTAGACTATATATGGAGAACGAATCAGTTCTTATAGCAGATACCGATCTCATCGCCGATATCTAAGCCCCATGCATCGATATTTGCTAGATATATCGCCGATATGGTTGTCGGCTTTCCTAATTGGGTATACCGTCGTCTACTTCATGGTCCATGGACTGGATCCGATCAGGGGTGTTCTGGCAGACAAAGGCGGCATTCTACCCATTCCTGGGTGGGCCGTGGATTGGATCCGATGGGTCGGCCAATCAAAGCACATGATTAGGTAATACACAGATTATAGATTTTCCGGATTGCCGAGGACTGGCTAACCACGTGATACGAGGGGCCCGGGGGTGGACCCATGGACTGGATCCGATGGGGCCAGTCAATCAGAGCAAAGGATTTGGTATTTTCCGGATCCCGAGGGGTTGGCCAATCACGCATGTGCGCCGCCAAGAATTGCCAAGACCCATGTGGCACCACACTGGATAATTGAGTACGTCCACAAGCACGCCCCAATACATCAAAATTAAGAGCGCCACATTGTCCTCCACTTTGATGGCTTGAACGTAGTCTTTCCTGCTATGTTCAGCCATCCCGGAGCGTAGCTTTGATAGTCGTCGTTGACACATTTCTCGAAGCATTCTTGGAGCAATGATATCGCCTTCTTACATGCTTCCCCGTAGGGATCATTCCGCGTTCTTCTTTCGTTGGCCGCGCTTAACTGATCGATGGCGGCCTTTGTGCGTGAGTCGAGCGACACTCGAGGCAAATCTTCCCAATGCTCGTTCCTACGGGTATAGGGAGATTCGGTGATATGATTCTCCAGACAACCCAGAACGACTTCGCATCCACGGAGGAGCTCGAAATGAGTCAGAGTGTGTTGGATCATATTTTCACCGTCACCATGTGCTGATTCCGACATAAATTGCGGCGACGCTAGTGTCAGGGCCATGAGGATGAGGGAGAAACAAAGCATGGCTTCGAAACTCTGAGGAGTGATGTCGTCGAGCAGAGGCCGAAGGCTGCTCAGAGCCATCGTCTGATACCCGGTCGCGGCGCTGGCATACCGAGCACGGTCACGTTCTGATACGCTGGCAGCCTCGAATGCCGACAGTGCGAAGATCCCGTTTAACAGGAAGTCATATTGCAGGGACATTTCTGGGACCCTGGTCTGCCATACGTGGTCATCCTTGGGCCTTTTGGTGCACATACTCTTGTAGGTGACTGTGGTCCATCGGTGTGTCAGTTAGATTTCCAACAAGCGGTGGTTATGGGGGAAGATGAGGCTTTCAGATTTTTCGGCTTGCGGCCCAGGGATCGTGTCTGCTGTTGCTTCGCTCTCACCATGGCCTAGGCGAGAGACCTGAAGACTGGATGCCGGCTTTGCATATTCACACACGGTCGCTCCGAGCTTACAGGCTCCTCACGGTGGGCCCCCCTGGCCACATTTGACGCGTCTCTGTTTGCAAGTCAGGCAACCTTGATGTGATTTGGGATGCGAGCGGCGAGCATGCGGAGGCATCGTCGAGCACACAAAGTGGAATATCCCCCGATTGATGGGCAGGCTGGTATGGTAGGTCGGGATAGACAGAGAGGCATGAAGCTCAATTCTAGGTTGTGGTGTGAAAGCATTTGATGTGCGTCTGGACAAGTACGAGGTCGTGAAGTCCCAGCACGCCAAGCCTTTTCTCCTCGTCACTCAGATCCTTGGTGGGGAACGACCGCGACAAGCCAGTCGAAGGTATAGATCCTCGTTTCGATGCCTTGGATCTTCCTCTTTTGTGCCTTTCAAGCATCGCTACGCTCTTCAGGCCACTTTCATTGATATCCACCTTCACCGTCACTGTTCGTTCCTAGAGTTCCTGCTTCCGCCAGCTTTGTCCCAACCTCGTAACAATTGCCATGCTGTCCTCACTTCGTCAAACAATATCAAAACCCAGGGCGCGGCACCTCTACCGTGCATCGACCACCTTAGGTATGCCTCAACCTGTCTTCTCGACGCAAGCTATTCGGTTCAGCGGCCAACGGAACGTGAGGCCCCAGCAATCAGATCCTGTCAACGCCGGAAATCCGTCCTATCCCCCCTTCAAATTCGCAGACTTGGGCGCAAACCGTACCGTTAAGATCACCGTGCTGGCTGTTGTGACGGTTTTGGGTACGATGGAGACAATCTTTTACACGAAGATGCTGTGGCAGTATCTCTCACCATCGTCATGATCGTCTTCTTCCTCATCTCATCCGGATTCGAAGGACACGTAAGAGACTCGGGACACGGATACTTCGATCCTGAACTCATCATCAAGACGGTTGAGTTGCCAACTGGGTTAGATGGTCATCCGTCGATAGACCATCCAGGCCCTTCCTACAAGAGCCAGAGTGGGCGAGAGAGCTCGCCACTTTGCAGAAATGAACAGTGGGTTACCCCGGGTTCGTTTTTTCCCATTTTCAGCTCCGGATCTGGGGGTTGTACATCGACCGAGGAACTTCTGATGGCGGGATGGGAGGCTGAGGCCGGTCTGTACCTGGAACAATACTGCACCAAATACATTCTATCCAGCGAACCCGTTCACTGCACAGGCACCCACCCACGGCCAACAGTGGCTCATTAAGAACAACCATGTATCTTTCTTGCCCAAGAGATCATGGCTAAAATCGTGCTTCGACTGGCACAAACCGTATAACGAAGTTGCAAGGAGGGCGGATGTCCTTGGGGTGAATTTCGTCACCGGTATGAGAGAATATGTCGAAAGCATGGGAAGCTCGGGGAAATATACAAATTACTAGCCCACACCGGGAGTATCTTTCACACGGAAAGGCTTCTTCTCAATGCACAAACGATCCAGAAAATCCTCACGTCTGGTCCAAGATTATGAAAATCCTGGCACCCACTGAGAATGGAGCCACCTAGGAATTTTGAAGAAACACTGGGATGGACCGATCCTGCCGAAGGGCATCCAAATCGTCGAAGACGTCCAGAAAGGCAATTGAATACGCTATTGATGGAATCATGGTGTTCAACCATGGCGGTAGGCGGCTCGATGGCGCCATCGCCAGCAAGGAGGGGGTTAAGAACGTTCTGAAATGCCGGTTGGCGGATGGGGATATCGCGTTGGGAAACTGTGGGAAGAGAAGAGTGAGTGAATTGGGTAGAGAGGGCTTAGAACTCCTGTCTCGGCAAGAAATATGATGGGACGTAGTAGCCTGGTCGACAGAGCTGTTTACCCAGACTCCCGCGGGATGTGAGGTGTCTTCGGAAGCATGCGCAAAGGGCCTAGGTGTCCTAATTCAACAGAAACCAATCGCCTTCTCTACTCTTCTTCGGATTTCTCCATATAGCGGACGACTATCTGTGTGTATTGATGCATGACAAGTACCCAGGCTCAGAGAGCAAAGTAGTCCGGCGACAAGTTGTAATTTTGGCCAAGACACCAAGGATCGTGCCTATAAAACGGCCACGATTGTTCATAGAATAGGCTAATCTTTGAGGGATTGGCCGTACCAAGTCATCCCAACAAATCCCCTACTTTCTTGGCTATGCCCCCGGGGTACGTCCAGCCGTCAATCTGATACCATCAAGGCGTCTTTCAGTTCTATCGTCTTTTTCAGCACACTTCCCCCTCCCCGTCGATACCAGGCTGTGTGGCATAGGAAGAACGACTCGCCCACTTCTTCTCCAACATTAAAGAACCCCCGGGGTAAGCCAAGCTCTGAGGAGATCTTCGTCGTTGGTTTCAGCATCGCTGCCGCTGATACTCAACTTGAAGTCGGAGTCCTGTTGAACTTGCGGACTATTATCTTGCGAGTCTATTTGCTCCTGAGATTGACGGTTCTGTGCTTCGCCAACAATACCTCGTCGCTCTTGCGTGTTCACTGGCAGCTGAGAGTCGTTGCCTAGGTATACTCTGGTGCTCTCGAGGACTCTCACTCGGACTTGTTCGAGACGCTGCATTCCTGGCGAAAGACTTCTTGGGGCCTGTTGATCAACTGGACATGGCTGCGCCAATATCACTCTTGCAATGAGTTGTTCGTCTTGCTCGAAAACTTGAAATGGTGAGACGGATCGTCTCCGAACCTGCTGATCACTGGTCGCCAGTTGTGCTCCGGCCATGTCGCTGCTTGTCAACCCCTCTTCAGCTGTGCCAGCATCGTTGTGGTCGTCATCAGACGTGCTGTGCTGCAGATTTTCTTCGCCAAATATCCTGGACATCCGCAATTTAGTCAATCCACTTCTTGAGGGATTACCCGCAGGCCACTCGCAGCGCTCTGGGTTTTTCCGACAGTTGCCACAGACGGGCTTGACACTGTCACAGCCCTTACGGGATACGATACACCACCCACATCGATCTCTGGCTACGTTACTTCGGCCTCTGGCCCTCGCTCGACCAGAAAGATTTATAGTACCGCTTCTGGCGCTTTGTTGTTGAGCTTGAAGTAGGTCAGCCTTCTTCCAAAAGCAAGCCTCTCTTCAAGCTTGTTCGACTCCGAGAGTCATACTTGCCTTGGGCGTTAGATTGTTGGCCTCCTCGGCCATAATCATTGGTTTGATGGTGAAAGCCGGAAGTTGCAGCAGCCACCGCGCCATGTGCGCTATTCGAAGTGGTCTCTGAACGCATGAACTCGCTCATCCCGACTGATTAACCGCGTGTATGTCTCAACGGAGAATCGTGGCTGTGGTCCGTGAGACTGAACTATGTTGGTCCTGGTGCGTCAAAGGTCAACACTGATGGATTTAGGGAGAGCAATCAATGCTGAGACGGACTAGTCTTAGTCGATTCGATTTGAGGAATATAGCAAACCAGTATATCTGGCAATACTATTCCAACGGACACATACAGTGAATATATTAAACTCGAGGTTGAGAGTACACAAGGATGGGTCATCTTCGATAATGAACAACGGACTGGCATACTTATGGCCCTGGTCCTCATGCACCCACCATCGATCACAATTTTCGCAGCTACTGTGACAGGTTTTCTGATTCTTCGCACAGACTTCGCAAGCCATTTACCACTACGACCGGAGGGGCCTGATGCAAGACAGTTCTAGCGGTGAAAGACATGCTGCGCCTAAGGATGAGAACAGGGTGGAATACTTTCTCGGTCGTAGATCTGGCAATTCCTTTTCCTACAGGAACGTGTATGCGAGAGGAGAACGTATCTACAACGCCGGGCACATTCTCTTCGAGAGTTGGGACGGCCCCCGGTGGAGCTCGAGAGGGCCAGCGTTGAGGCCGCGAAAGGTCCGGCTTCACTAAGTTGGTTCTAGTAGAACTGGGAGGCTAGAATACGCTGGAAAAATGGTGGATTTTCACTGGAAAATGGTGGATTTTCACTGGAAAAAGTGTGAGCTTTCACTAAGGAAAAATGGGTCATTTCCAAGACGCGAAAAATGTGCCTATCAATACCCTCAAATGACTACTATACTTGCTTGGCAAAGGATAGTACATTTCTACAGGAAACAAATCGCTAGAGGTACGCCGGAACTTTTCATGCAACAGCAAAAGGCTCTGCATCCTCAGTTGGCCTCTACCTACCCTAAACCTCTTCAAGGCAAAAAGCCTTGGTACAAGTGCCATTTGTTTGTCGATTTTGGGTAATCCCTGCCCAGCGCTCAACTTAGCATAGTCACGACTCTTCCTGCTGATATGCAAGCCAAGGCTGTTTGACTGGCGGGGGCCAAAACTGCTGCTATCATAGAGAATCTCAAGACTCTAGGTCGAGATGTTAGATCCACTTAGGTTTGTGTACGATGACTACATCTGCCCGTACGACTGTACAGCCAGATCCACTCAGCTATCTTCTCATATTATGGTCGCTGTATCAGGCGTTTCATATGTGTTTGTATACGACAGATGTCAGCGCAGCCGGCAGATCATGACAATCACTCCTGCGTCCGAGCTAGCCACGGTGGTACGGACCCTCTTTGCTAGAAACCAGTATATACATTCTTGACCATATTGTTGTCAAATGAATCCAATTGAATGCTCCAAGGGCCGCTGTAGCCGGCACCTCGTTATGTGGTTCTGTAGAGCATTGTTTTGCCAACGGTTTCTAGGCTTTCAGGGGCCGAGACATTGTCTTACCCTGAACACATCGAATCCTAGTCTGGACCAATCTACAGAAGCCATTGCCGATGCTAGAGGCCTCGTTGTCGTGGACTTGTAAGTGAATGGTGTTTGCTATCATAAACGGAAGTGGCGCATCGAAAATGGCATAAATTCCTCAACCAATCAGAGCAAGCCATCTTCCGAATCACGTGGAATATGCCGTAGAACAGAACAGGTGGATCGACGCCGCTGTTTTTAAGAGGTATCGCATTTCATTGGATACAGATTAGAATCTGATACTATTGTCATCCACCTTCAGGGTGGTCACGAGAATGAATTCAAGGCGGCGCCAGCAGTGACCCGAAATGGGGAAGGGGGTTTTTGGTGATGAACTGGTACGAGCTGAGCACCCGCCGAGCAGGTACTTAGTTGCCTCGCTTCGTGCGGTATGACTTTGCAAAATGCACGTCTCCGTCATCGCGATGGCAAGGGTCTAATACCACAAAAGGAAAAATAATTCGTTGCTCAATCCCTTTTCCAAGCCCCTTCAATGTTGCACGAGGCTTGTGTCCTTCAAATCCGTTGACGACCTGCCACAGCTCTCACTCTCTTCCCCATATCATGCATAAAGTCCTGCGGCGACAGCATTGGACTTGTGTCAGATGCCTCCGCAAGCAGACAAGATACAATTCCACCGCGACGGGTATCGCCCCAGCTGACAACAGCTCCTTCGAATCTGTCTACCTCCACGGATCTCCCAGTCGACGGAGTGAAAATGCACTCCTACGCGAAGTATTCAACAACAAAGATACATGGCCAGCATCGGCCAAGAGAACTACCGGCCTCATAGGAAATAATCATTTGACAACCCCTGAAGGCTTTCAAAAATTTGCAGAGACGTCGGTAATACAATGCAAGAAGCTGGTGGAAAAAACACTGGCCGCATCCACTGTCGAGGAGTACAGAGCCATACCCAAAGACCTAGACCGGCTCAGTGACTTGCTATGCCGAGTCATTGACTTGTCCGACTTTATCAGGGGCATACATCCCGATGCGGCGGTCGCTGCGGCTGCGTCGGCATCGTATTCGTTGATGTTTCAGTACATGAATGAACTCAACACCACGACCGGCTTGAATCAGCAACTGAAGAAGGCATGGAACATCCCAGACGTTCTATCCCACTGGAGCGAAGAAGAACAGATGGTGGCAAAAGTGTTAATGAAGGATTTTGCCAAGTCCGGGATTGATCTTCCTGACCAACAACGAAAAGAGTTTGTTACCCTGTCGAATGAAATCGCACAGGTAGGAACGGATTTCATCAATCAAATGGATCATGCTAGGGACCACGTCATATTTTCGGTCAAACAGTTGCATGGCATTAACCCAACCTCCGTTCAGGGTCTTAAGGCTGAGGATCGAGTGCCGATTCCCGTTTACAGTCCAATATCAAGAATGATCATGACTTCGGCAACAGACCCGGCGGTAAGGAAGGAACTTTACATCGCCGAAAGAACCGCCGCGCAAGGAACAATTGCAAGATTGGAACAACTCCTTCTCCTGCGGGCTAAACTCGCCAAACTGACAGGGTATGATAATTACGCCCACATGACCCTGGCCGACAAGATGGCCAAAACTCCGGAGGCGGTGAATAATTTTCTGGAATCTGTCAATGCCAACAACAAAACGCAAGTGCGAGCGGAAATCGCACTACTTCTGGAGACCAAACGCCAAGTGGATTCAGGGCCGACGACATTGGATCCCTGGGATCATGGCTTCCTCCTCGCTAAGTTGGCGCAAGCGGAAACCAACTCCGGCCCTCGGACATCAAAATCTCGCCTGTCCGAAAATGCCCGATCTTATTTTGCGTTGGGACATGTTATGCAAGGCCTTTCGAGCCTTTTTGAGTCCTTGTATGGCGTTCGTCTCGTGCCCAACGAGACTCAACGGGGTGAGGTTTGGCATCCAGAAGTTAAACGACTAGATGTATATACCGATAAACAAGAACATATTGCCACGATGTACTGCGATTTATTCTCTCGGCCGGGCAAGGTCCCTAACCCGTCACACTTCACGCTGGTTTGCTCAAGAGAGATCTCGGAAGAAGAGGTTCGCGAGTGTCAAGAGAGAGGTGAACCTTTGAATAATGGCATGCCGACCATTCTCGGGACGAACCCCACATCGGGAGTGACTGTTCATCACCAGATCCCCATTATCGCCCTGGTGTGCGACTTCCCAGATCCAAGCACATCTACTGGACCATCGCTATTGTCGTTCCGCAACGTCACCACGTTGTTTCACGAAATGGGTCACGCTATTCATAGCATTCTGGGACGTACATCAATGCAAACCATCGCCGGGACGCGATGTGCTACAGACTTTTCCGAGCTTCCTTCCGTGCTCATGGAACATTTTGCCACCGACCCGTCAGTTCTCCGATTGTTTGCTCGACATTGGCAAACAGACGCCATGATTCCAGACGAATTGATCGCCGCTCTGGCAGATGAGCGAATGAAAAAGGCCGGAAAAAGTGGTGGATGGTATAACGAGGGTCAAATTTTGATGTCCATCCTTGATCAAGTTTATCACTCCAACGGTCCCGTCGAAGCCCTGTGGCAAGGGCGATATAACTCTACCGCTGCGTATCACGATGTTTGGAATAAATATGGGAGTGTGCCGGAGCCGCGGCAGACCGCCTGGCAGGGATTCTTCGGTCATCTCTATGGGTATGGGGCCGTTTATTACTCGTATCTATTTGACACAACAATTGCGCGACGCGTGTGGCAAACGGTGTTTCGAGATGGCGGAAATGCAGGCGCCATTGATAGACTGGCTGGGGAGAAATTTAAGCAGGAAGTTTTACGATGGGGAGGCGGCCGAGATCCCTGGCTATGCCTGGAAAACCTCATGGGTGACGGACAAGGAGTGTTGGCCGAAGGTGGAGAAGAGGCAATGCTTGAGGTTGGTAGATGGGGAGTCGGAGTGTCGGATGAAGAGGCCATGTAAATACAGGTAGAAGATAGATTGTGTAAACACTGCTCAATATATTTCGGACAAGGCTGAAACGGCATCGGTACGCCGTGTTAGCGCCGCAGCCTTTGGTCTGACCCTCGATTTTATTTCCAATTGTTGGGCGGGTAGATGACTCTTTTCAGCCCATTCCGACTTCAACCCCCCGCCCTTCCTCCCGCCTGCCAAACATTATCCCCTGGCCCTTTCATCCTCATGCAAGTTGTCTGGGAAGCAGACACTGCGGCCTTTGCAAGTCGCAAGAGGGCCGCCAGAGCCTGCCAGAAATGTCGCGCTGCCAAAAAGCGATGTCATCATACGTTTCAACGCCCTCCAGAACAGCAAGCAGAATCGGACGGCCTTGACCGCATTCTCCCCAACCTGACTCATAAGGAGCCTATACGTTTTGTCGGCGACTTGAATCCCGAGTCAATCCTGACTGACTTGTCGTCGAGGTCCAAAGGGGCCCAACGAATCAGCCGGATCGGAACTTGGGTTGAACAATCTCGCCACATCCAGGATGAGTTGCCTCAAGAAGATCTCGGCCCACGCCCTAAGTCGGGGGATAAAACTCCCGTCAATGTCGAGAAGTACGGGAAACTGGAAGGGGGTCGAAGAACGCTGACGGGTCATCAACGCAATTATTTGCAGTCGGTTGGGGCATTTCGGATATTGCCCAAGAGCACCCAAGACGCGCTCATCACGACGTACATTGCCTGTCTCGATGGACTCCTTCCTATCTTCAATGGCGTCAAACTCCTCCAAGACTACTTGGATGGACGGTGTTCGATATTTCTCATTCAAGCAATTTGCCTTGTGACCTGCAAAACCGAGGAGGCGGCACCGTACCTGAGACTCTACGACGACGGACCCCTCCTGGATCCCATCCCCTTTGCCAGGAGTCTCCATACCGGGCTGGATGCCGCAATGAAAGCTGATCTCGAACCTGACCGAGTCACCAAGATCCAAATCCTCACCTTGATGCATCTCCACAATGATGGGCCCGGAGGCATCGAAGAGTCTTCTTTACACCTGTCTCAAGCCATTCACGACGCGTGGACAGCAGGACTCCACATCCACACCCCCGGTCGAACTCCGCGAGACCAATCAAGTCTGCTCTGGTGGACGATCTGGACCCTCGACAAGATCAATGCATGTCTGGGTGGAAGACCCATTATGATTGCGAACCGGGACATTGACATTGCTCGTCCGCCATTGCTGGAGGACGGACCAAGAAGTCAGGTCATAAATGTCTGGCTCCGGCTCGGCGATTTGCTTGATCAAGTCATCGAATTCTACAGACCTGCCGCCGATCAAGACGCCACCGGGTGGGAAACCGAATTTCCATCGTATAGCTCGCTTACGGAAGACGTTAATCTCACATTACTTCGCCCCTCGGAGCAAAGTAAGTCAAGTTCAGTTTTGCATCCTTATCTCCTCCTTCCATTCAACAGTCTTACTCATCTATCTCCCAGGCATCCTCGAGCTCTGCTACCACGTAGTCGCCATCCTCTCCTGCCGCGCCGGCGGGCCCAGCACCGCATCCTACGCCCGACGCGTTTCCGCCGCAGATCGAATCCAACAGATCTTCTGCGATGGAGGACACGCCGGTGTCGCGCCCATCCCATTGGTGCCTTATGCGGTCGGCCTTTCTCTGACCGTCGCATACCGCGGATTTCGCGATAATGCGATAATCGACGCCGAGCGCGCACAAGCCGACATGACGACACGCTGCGAAATGCTCGAAGCACTCAGCATGTACTGGTGGACAGCGGACGCAATGGCACGACTAGGCCGTAAGGCGCTCAAAAGCCTCCAACAGCCTGGCGCGCGGAAGCACTCGGTCGCCAACATCGCCAATGCCATGGACGCCGAGGTGGCCGTCTGCAAATTTGGTCCGTTCGATTCAAAATCACATTCTTCGAATCACGATAATAGCTTACATGTAACAGCGGTCAACGGGCCTGGTCATGGCTCAGGGCCGATGCCTGGGACCGGCCACGGGAACGGAAACGATGTCAACGTCAGTACCGGCAACGCACTGCACGTCCTTTCCGACGCCGCTGCCACACACTCGAGCACCGGCATCAGCCACGATCCGCCGACGCTCACGCCCTCCTTCGCGACATCCAGAGACCGCCGGATGATGCACGATGAAAATTCGACAGCAGCAGCGACGGCAACAAGCACCGGTCTCCCGCCCACACCTCACAGGTCATTTGCAGCGGACTCCACGACGACGCTTGCAACCTCATCTTTCGAAGACCCGCAGTATCAATACCACATCGACGACCTGGACAACTTGTTCGACGGGTTTTTTGACCTCAGCATGCCGACGATTTTCCAGGATCCTGTCTTTGACGGCGATGCGTTCTTGAATGCTTCGATGGATTTCATGCCGCCTGATGGCAGTAGTGGACAGTTCGACACTGTTGCTGATGCTATGAACACTAATAGTAATCTCGGCAGCAGCATGGGGGTCGGTGTTGGGCTCGGACAGGGACAGACTGATTCTGTAACAGGGTCAGGGCCGTCATCTATGTCCATATCCTTTACACCGCAGGCTCCGCATGATCACCAGCTTCCTTGAATCAACCGATCAACCGAACCTTGCCCGTGTTCAGGATTTGGGTTATGGCGGGGACGATGTACCGGGCATGGAATATGAAATGAGAAATGAGGAAGGAGGAGGAACGAGGGAACGATATTCAAATTATATCAGGTACATCTACACGACAGGAGCTAAGTATTTATGGCTTATTCTAATCAAAGCTAAGGGGGAGTCAAAATACATTGCTTAGCGATAGGAAAGCAAAAGAGGAAATGGAAGACCTATTGAGAAGAATCGCTTCACTTCCATCAATTATTGCTCTGTTCTGCTCTGTTCATTTCGAATTTTCTCCATTTACGTTTCACACTGTCGCTGGATATCTACTTATCTCCGCCTTCGATCGCATTTGTGTCATCTTGCATGCTCATGCATGAATTGCGAGAAAAATACTCATAGCACGTCCTTTCATGCGTTTCCACCATTCCATCTCTCATCTCTCGCACCGACGGGTTAACCACTACTTCCACTGCCACCACCAATGCGCACCTCGTGCTTTCGAGGTCTTCTTTCTCCCTGCTCCCGATTCACATTTTCACATTGCTTCCCTCTCAACTTGCGCGGTCACTTCCTGAAGTGTGCACGCAAGACAAGACGAAATAGCTGGCATACTGCGCCTGGAAGGAAAATAACATTAAAGCAAAAGCTTAGGCCCCGTTTTCCATTCGTCACTGTGGACACCAAATTGCAGATTCAAGTGGATACATAATTTACAATTCATCATGCTCCTGGGCGCCACCCTCCTCAGTGTCTGCGACCACTGTCTCGGCCGCATCAACTGCTTCGCTGACAACACTCGTCGCCGTATCTGCGGCTTCCTCGGTAATGGTCGTGGCGGCGGGGGCAGCTTTGGCCATAGTATCACTGGCAGCAGAGGAAATGTCTTCCATCTCGGTGTCCTCATCTTTAGCGGCCATACCGTCCACTCCGTGCTTGCCATTGTCTCGAATAAAAGCGGCGAGATCTTCAACAGTTCGAGAGCCAGAATAGTCGACGGGCGAATCCTTTGCTCCGGCGGGGTACAGTTTGATCGTTGGGAAGCCGGAGATTTCGTCGGGGACATCGTTGAGCGTAGCATCAATCTTGGCCACGGTCACTTTGGAGGAAAACTCAGAGTTGGAGGTGTAAAGCTCGGCCAACTTCTCGTAGGTGGGTGCAAGGCTAAAGTATGTCAGTAAATGTGTCAACGGGGTGAAAGGATGCCTGATCTTACGCCTTGCAATGTCCGCACCATGGGGCATAAAACTCGATGAGAACATCTTTAGCGTCATCCAGAACAATGTCCTTGTAGGAGTGAGCCACGACAACCGTGACCGGACCGTCTTGTTTCTCGGGAATAGGCTCAGACTTGATGCTGGGCTCTAGCTTGCCATCAACGAAATCTTTGACAAAGGCGCCAATGCCCTTCTCAGTAAGGATGTTGCCGTCAAATGGATACTTTTCGTTCTTGACCGTCTCTTGAATAGCAAAGGATGGGAATTTGTCTGTGGGCAAGTTCAAGTTGCCAGCATGAGCGCCGAAGGCCTTGGCGTCAATGGTGGCAAAGTTGATAACACCCTTGTATTTTTCAGCGACAGGTCTCAATGTCTCAGCCAAGGAGGCACGCTCTTCAGGGGTTTCGGAGAAGATATAGGCGAGAGGAATTCCAGCCTGCAAGCCTTGTCAGCATCGTGGCCACGCGCATCTCTCAGAGTACCTACACCCATGTATCCCGCATAGGTTTCTGGACCAACTTCACCCACGAGAGGAGTCGACGCTGTCTTGATGAACTTGGTGATAGACTCATCCTCAAATGCCTCCTCAAAGGTGTTCTTGCCTTCGTCAAAGTCCTTGTAGAGAACGATGGCGGGTTGCTTGACTCCTTCGGCGTTGGCTAGAGCTGCATCATTTGACGCACCAAAGATGTGTTCATCTCTTAACGATTCCGCTAGGGACGTGTAGGTCTGATTTGAGGATTTGTCATCGGCGGAAATGTATGCTACGACGACGACTTTATCGTTGGTCTTGAAGTCTTCAAGCGTATCGGAAGTGAGGAGGGAGACAGCGGGTAATTGCTGCTTGGTCATATATGAAACGATGCTGGCCTGGTTAGGGGGGGATGAATGATGTAGACCAATGCGAGTCGACTTACGCGGGAGCCTTTCGGGCGCCAGGGTAGGGTTTGATATTATCGAGGCCACGGAAGACCTTGACCGTAGGATAGCCTTCGACACCATAATCTTTACATAGATCTCCTTCAGCTGTGCAGTCGACTTTGACCAAAGGAATGTTCTTCTCCTTCAAGGTGGTTGCCGCCTCTTCATATTCGGGAGCTAGGGCTTTACAGTGACCGCACCAGGGAGCAAAGAACTCTGCGAGTACCAGATCATGTTCAGCAATGAAGTCTTTGAAATTGTCGGTCTTCAAGTCGTGGACATCGCTTGCAGATGCGAGACCAACCAGAGCAAGGCTGGCCGCAGCCAGGGAGGCGAATGATCGCATGACGTCTGGGTGAAGAGGAGCAGCGACAGGACAAGGTGATGGAATAAGAAGGTAATGACTGGACGAGGAGATGATACAAAGAAGATCGGGATGAGTTTGGATTTCGAGAGCAGCGGCGACAAGAAGGGGAATAAGAGAACGGGCTACTGCAGACGCCAACTTCCAGCAGACCCGAGACAGAAGAGGAGAGGTGTCAACTACTTTTTCTAGGCCACTTGCACCCCCGGGGCGGGTCTCTTTCTGCCAGGCGCGAGTGGCCACCGGCTTGCGAGGCACGGCGCCCCCGGTTCAGGGGCCGACATTCACTGAAATATATGTAAATAGTATCCAACTTCAACCTGAAGAACAGACGGAAGACGAATTGATGACAAGAGAGGATGACATTTCTAATTCAAGACATCGGCGAGTTATACCCCGTGTCATGCTGAGAGAGTGGCAGTGTATCTCCCCAAAGGAAGCGTGTATAGATGGGTTCTCTATTTCCAATCCCAACTTATGATGGCATTTATAATCAATAATGATCACTCTTACCCGGCCATGCTTCTATCCAAGGCTTCAATCTATACTAGTCTTCTTCCTCCTCCGAAAGAACAATCGTCGGGATCGTTGTATACCTAGTATCAGTATGGCCTCCCTTTCGATGTCCTTTCAGCTCCAACGCCATTTGGTATGCCTCAGCCTTGCCTCGATCTACATCCACCAATAACATCAATGGCAGCGGAAGGAAAATGAGCACCGCCAAAAACACAAATGCCGGTCGAATTTCCCCATATCGATCGGTTATTGCTCCAACAATGGCCGGGCCGAAGATACTCGACCCCTTGTCCGTGATTGCGTACAAGGCGTAAAACGCAGCTTCAAACCCGGGAGGAATCAGCTCGCCGAAAAATGCTCGACAGTAAGACGATAAACCTCCCAGAACGAACCCATAAATCGCTCCAAGAGGGTACATTTCCCATGGTTGTTGCAGTCCAAAAACACCGTATCTTTTGATGGCAGGAATGAACCCCAACAGGCCGTACAATGGGATAATTTCAAAGAGGCAAATGCAGGCGACAATCGTTCGAGAGGCACCCATGTTGAATAACCGTGAAATGAAGCTCCAGTAGAATGCGCCAATCACGCCGGCTATTGTTGCGATGACATTGATCAATCCAAGCGCCTCGGTTTTCATCCCAAGACTGGTTTTGGCAAAGAGTATCGCCGTTCTGTGCTGGTCAGCCACGTTGCGATATCCAATGGACTTGTCACGACTGACCCACTCACGGTGGCAATGCTGTCACTGAGTAAGAACCACGCACAGAGGAAAATGACAATATCTTTAAGTTTCCTCGCGTGTCCGATTGTTTTGAACAATGCTTTCCAAGCATAGATGACATATCCGATCCAAGCTGAATCGCCCGTCATTGCTGTGGGAAGCGGTGGACCAGGTCGGGGCCGCAGCCACAGAGCAGCCGGAATACTGAAGGCGAACCACCAGAGTCCCACAACCATGAGGACTAGCCGAAGGGAAAATGTGGTTGATCCAGTGGCCACCACAATGAGTATGGCAATGGTCTGAACCAGCAATCCCGCAATATAGCCAATGCCAATCCCATTCGACGATATCTTGGTAGACAATTTCAATTCCGGTGAGATTGCTGCCGGAGTTTCTGGAGTTGGAGGTGTTGGATCAGGTCGATCTCGAGGTAGGAGCTCAGACGTCGAGCTCGCCAAAGCACGGTCTTCGTGCTCATAATACTCTCTGTCATCAGCTAATATCCTTTCGTCTGCAGAGCGACTAGGAGGTCGAACGCTGGTGTCGTCGATAGAGGGGTGATGTCGCACCAAGAGCGGCAGGAAGGAATTCAGCAATACAAACGAAGCGCCGAAACAGGTGTTGGCGACGATCGCAAAGAGCGCGCCCAGCAAATAGACCTTGGGAACGACCCCAATGAACAGTGCGGTGGCCGTCGAGCCAGTAAAGGCAAATACGAGGAGGAATGTCTTTCGAAACCGACCGTGATCGGCGGCTGCGGACATCGAGATGATGAGAATGGCCTGAATCAAAACGCTGATCGAGAAGGTGTACATGGCAAAGCTTGCAGTGTTGATTTCGGCACCGAGGAAGAATATAACACAAGGGGGGAGTTCATTATGTTTGTGCCTAGGAGTTTCGAATATCGTCGTGTTTGGAGGGCTGCCATGGTCTGTCTGCCAACCGGTGCGGCACGGTGTTGTCTTGTCTTTCATTAGCACTCCCTGCTCTCGAGCCAACTGTTCAAGGGTGATGGGAAGAAAGGAGCCTGCATGAAAATTGTCAGCCGGCCGGCGGGGGGGCCACTGCATTCTACAAATTGTGTATCCTCACCCATTGCGCAGATGGCGAAGACCTCTGCAGCCCAGCCATATGAGTACCATCCCCATAGTTCTTTCTGGCTTGTCGGCCTGGTGTCTTCGTCTGCATATCTCGTTTCTGCGACAGGATCGGTAAGGTCATCCATTCCGGAATCTGAATAACCCCAGGAGGAATCCCGCTCGTCATCGGCTTCCACAGAAGGGGTTGGAGAAATCAAGCTGGCTTTGGAATGAGAGCTCTGACGTGGTAACGGAGGACGTGTTGTTGAAGACTCTGGCTCGGGATCCTCCCCATCGCGAGGGACCTGGAGCTAAAGATGAGTGTCTGTACCGATAGACATACAATAAGGGGAAAAGAAAGGATGATACGGCGTTGGTGCCGGCACTGATGACGACGATGCTAATGTCGATGTTTGAGCGCCATGCTGATGGGCTACGGCAGGGGCCCGGAATTGGAAGCGCGTCTGCGATTTGGGGGGGTAATGAGGGCTCCATGACGATTGGTGCAGGTGGGAAGAACAAACCATCTTCGTCTTGGGGGGGGGGGGGGATTCCAATCGTTTCGCTTAAAGACTCCTTAGGCTGTTCCCTTTCCCTATGCTTCCCCTACCAACTCATCCTGAGATTCCATGGCTTCCTCCAGCTCAGAGAAGGGAACAAGAAGAAGAATAGATGTTCATGACTGAGGACATTCGAGCTTCGGTTATTTGTGTGCACATGGAGCACGTATATCCGCGAGGGTGCAGAGTCTAATAGGCTGGGTGTGCGGGTCGGGCCAGTTATTCAGCTTGCAAGTGGCGGCTGTGCTCCAGAGAGGAAGACAAAAACGGACTGAGTACGACCGAGGATCTCTCGTCTACTTATGTCGAACCAAGTGCAGATCTGAGAGCTTTTCTCGGTGGTCCACTGTGCTCTGATATCTCATGCATATCATATCCTTTTCCTCGACCTATGCTACAACTGGCCACTAGTCATCTGGAGGCATACCATTATAAGCCCTGGCGACTGCAAACTTATCTCATGACCATTGAGAATGTGTCGGCTACAGCCAGACAAGACTAGTACCCGCCATCGTTTGGCTCCTGGTTTGGGGGAAGCTAGCCTACCAAAAGTTGGCAGAGATCACACCCTCCTCGAGGGCAGCTCGATGCCTACCATGGGTTGGCGCTGTCGGATGGCGTGGAGATGGTCACGACCTGAAGTCTGTATGAGGCAAGCCATTGTCCAATCAGAGATAAAAATTGAAGGGGCTTGGTCGATGTTGTGTAAAACGATGGACATGTGCCCGATTTATATTGGGAAGGTGATAGACCACGATGGAGGGAATAGTGAGTGCTCTATTATCGCCGTAGAAGGGGTATTCGAAGGACATGACGGAGTATGATAGACTGATAGCGGAACAGAAGGAAGAATTGTGGAACAATCACCGTCGATTGTAGGGGTTGCGAAAGAAGTCCGGAGATATTCACTCAATTGTTTCGGTGGACTCCGTGCCTTAGGGAGTGCTTCGTAGAGGGCAGTTCATGTCTTGCAAAGTTGGCTGGTGTATGGATCTTTAGATTGAGAATCGTCCAATAGGGTTGGGGGTAGGAGGATCTCCCTAAATCCCAATACCCACTCGCTTCGTCGACTGAACTAAATCATGGCCCCTAATGCTAATGCCCCGTTGTATAGGAAAATATTCCAGTTAGACACACCGTACAAATTTCTACGGCACAGCATGTAACCCATCCTCGCCAATTCTCTGCTCAACGTCCTCAGTCAGCCACCCCGGACCCATGAGTGGCTCGTTCTGGGTGGCCCACCTTGCTCCCTTTTCGGCGCCAGTGCCTGATTTCGACGGCCGAAATCCGCGCGTGTCATTCCATCTTGACTGCAAATCATCCCTTCGTTATTCAGACCCCATCTAGACAGTCCTAAACCATCTTTCCTGTCCTCTCTACGTTTTGATCATATCATCCTCGTCTTGCACGCTGTGATCACGATAGCGCCAGTGAATTTCCGCCGGAAATCCACCTGCCTAGACAGCAATTTTACCTCACTTTGGCAAACGGCTGGACAAAACAACCGCATTATCGGATTCCTCTTCCAACCTGGCAATACATCGATTCTTCTGAAAATCTCACTTTATTGGACGATCTTCTCGCTGCCGAATTCCTGTTCGATCGCCCCTCGGCAAATCACGCGCACAATTTTGATCTGCGAAACATCTCGTTCTCTCACTGCGATCCCCTTATCTCTGGCGTTCTCTGGTCGGGGCCAAAAAGAGTAAAAGATTATACACAGAAAAGGGCATTTTCGGTCGACCATAAGCGCGTTCTCAGCTTGGCCGACCATGCATTGCTTGATGATACAATCCGTGTCAATATGAACGGGGACAGGCCCACGGCCAACGGAGAGCGCATACAAAATGGCGTTCAGCAGGGCGCTTCAGATTCCTCCTCACATGTCGGACCATTAAAACAATCCCGGGAAGGTCAGGCTCCATCCACATCTACCGCTGACCGCTCCTCAAGTTATGCGAATGGAGTACCTCAGCCGTCTAACGGCGACTTGGGGTACAATGCTGCAAATGGGACCAATCAGGCTCCTTTGGAGATTTTGCAGCTAATTCCCAGAGACAATTATCTACCCATGGCCGCCCTTATAAGTCGGGCTTCTCAATCTTGCTGGAATGGCCTAACGAATTTGGTGGAACAGCTCGCTGCAGTACAGGTCCCAGAACAATCTCCCGATCAGGCAAAGGTTCTACCCAACGGTCTCCCGAACAATCAAACCAAGGCAAACTTGGACAAAAAGGAGCGGTTACTGAAATTTGCCAATGACCAAAAGGCTGATTTCATAAAATTGCTCGTACTCCTTCAATGGAGCAGAGACGTCGAAGAAGTGGGCAAAACCATTTCGATCAATTATTGGCTCATGAAACGCCGGCAAGCCTATTGGGACACCATTGCTTTAATGGCCGGTTTGAAGCAGGAATCGGCCGGTTTTCAGATGCCGAATCCCGATCTTCGAGTCGCGGCTGAAGTCTTGTCAAGAGGCGAAGTGCTCAAGTTTCCCAGCCTGGGATATCTTCCACAAAAGGATTTGACTAGCAAACAAATACTTCGCCTTTTGAAATCCTTGAACCGCCTCCTAAGCGTCAAGCTGGCCCTTTCCGACGATCTACCTCCTCAACTTCGACAATTCCACATCCATGACGGTCGCGCAACGTTCATCGTCCCCGATGAATTTGAACTGGATGTCTCCATCCTGGACGAAAACCCCAACTCCCAGTTCCGCGTGGTGGATTTTCGCTATTCCTTTTCACCCTCCCCATACATCCCAGATAGTTTGCATGCCGAAATTGAAAGGTACGCCAATTCCAACATCGACAGGGGTGGTCTACAAGGATGCTACTTCTTCCTCAAGGAGTTAGCCCTATCCTCCAAGCTGGCCGAATACCACAAACAGGTTCTTGAATTGGCCCGCAGTCAATGGGCAGGTAATCTTCGGGTTGAGTTGATTCGACGAAATCTCGTTGTGCAGTACTGGTCGGAGAGACAGGCAAGCAAAAGCTGGATGGAAGTCGGGATTGCCAGTGGCCGCGAAAAGAGAGAGGGCTCTGCACAGGTTGCTTTTCCGGTTCTTGAGATCAAGTGGATGCGGCAAGGCAAGAAAGTGGACTCTTTGCGGCTACGGCAGAATGAGTCTGTTCTATGTTTTGAAGATATCCTTCGCCAAATTATTGCTCAACATTCGACACAAATCCTTGATGGCGTCTACGACAAATTGGTGCTCGCCCCACTCTTTGCCGAAGCTGAATTGAGCGTGGAACAGTCTCTCTCCGATGAAGATCCGGAGCAATGCTCCTTGTCGATACAACTCTCCCGGTCTTCAACTCTCCAGCTGAAAGTGGATGCTGTCACGGGACTTCTGGTCATCAGCCCTGTCAGCGAGAAAAGTGAACGGCTACAGTATGAGGTGAATCGGATCCACGGCGTCGCCGATGAAATCGTCTCAAAGCTGCTCAACTTTCGATGCAGTGTTGTGGAATCGTCGGTGCTGGCCGGCATCTCAGGTACCAGTTGGGAAATCTTACGGGCGTTCAAATTCAGCCCGGCAGAGATCAAGGCGTTGTTTGGCGGCCCGGTGGTGAGAATGAATTTGTTCCGACAATCTCAATGGGGTGTCAGCTATTCTCTAGCAGTGACGCATGGGCAAGATGGTGACCATTGGTGGTTACTTCAGCAAATGTCAACCAGCGGACCGAATTCTCAGTCACGGTTTCAGGTCCTCCGTCACCAGCGAATCGAGGCCAAAGAGGAATTGTCTTCCGCATATTTCGATCGTCTCGCCGAATATGCAATGGGACTGATCTGTCTCCGGCGCAACGCAGACTTCTTGAAGGAGAGAAAAGAGAAATTCAACCTCCCGAGTTTCCCCCCCTTGGAGAAGAACTATGAATTACCGCCAATCTCATTTGACCTGGATATGGCCAGGCCAACAAAATCTCTGCTCCATGGTGCTGCAGCGGAGACGTTTCCTGGAGAAGCGGCCCAGAACCCGCCATCGAAACCAGCGTGTCTCCAAAAGAGTATCCAAGTCCGATTTGGTGGCGTAGATCGAACCACGAACCGAGTGACGGCGATCGCCCATTTCCAAAACCGAGCCAGTGCCGCTGTGTTGAAGCATCTTGATGAGTCGACCCTTGATTCCGACGTGACGCTCAATGTCGAAGATCGAACAGTTACAATTCGCGTGAAAACTTCTATCACCGAAGCAGCCATTCCGAGGATTGTTGACAAAGCCACGGACCTAGAGAAGATCGTTTCCACAGTTGAACAGATTCATCGTTTGCCCGGACTGAAGTTGAGAAGTCTTTCAAATTCTGCATTTACGATAATATACCATCAAGGCCTGTCGAAGGAGCTCGGTGTGTCCATTGCCTTTGGAAGTGGTTCACAGACACCTCGGCTCGAATTCTTCCCCTCGGAAGATAATCCCCATGGTCTCCTGACAGCGCAATACTCGAAACTCCTGGTGGCGAGCCGTGTTCCATTTGCGACTAAAGTCCGCGACTTCTTGACCTCGTTGACATTGACGCTTCCGTTACTCAGTTTCCTATACAAACTGCAACGGAAGCACGGCCTTGAAGTGTCAAGATCTCAGACAACACCTTCCCAGGAACCCGAACGTGGCCTTCGGGTGCATGTGCTTGTGAGAAGCGCCACGGCATTCGCGGTCCAATACTTTACGCCGGCAAGACACGTGCCAGGAGATGTTGGTCCAAATTCACAGCCACATCTGCTTGCACGATTGGAGATATTGCCCCATATCAACGCGTCAAAGAAGCCAATGTGGTTGGTTCGGGCGGCGCTTGAGGAATTTCAATCAAACTCTAGACCATCTTATTCGACACCGGAACTACGGACGCAGTTACGGCAGGAAATCTTTACACGCACTGATGGTCAGAAATGGCTTGCTCTTGACTCAGCCGCGGCTTGCATGGCAGATCAACCAGAGGCTCTATTCCAGGCAATGCATGATCTTCTTTCGAATTGGGCCACGCTAGCAGCCGAATCTAAAGGAGAAAAAGAGGCAAAGGGGAAGGCCGAACCGAAGCCAGAGGCCACGAACAATCTTCCAAATGGCAATACCAAGCCCAATGTCGCCGGGAAATTGCAAGCGGCCAAACTGCAGCGACCTACCAACCCGAATGTTAGCAGGGTAGTACCTGGGAAAGGAAACCCAAACCCCCCGAAAATTGAAGAATATATTATGCTGGATTAATGGGCCGGCTCATGTAAAATGGCGGGGTGTTTCATCATGTTTACTTATTGCGCACGAGTTGAACAAAAACACCCTTTGCCTGTGGTTATGCAATATACCCGAACTGGATGTGTTATTTCATACGAGCGGCGGCGGTTCTCAAAAGGTTCCTGGGTATGATGAGACATGGCTGGAATTGAATGATAGAATTATCGGAGCAAATATTCAGCTGAGACGAGAATATGATGGCAGTGGGCCGTTCTTTCCTGAAATTCATCGCGGACTGCATCTATTCCGATCGAACTACGATGAAACACCTCGGAAACTTATGCTCCGTGCTTTCACGAAAGAAGACTTGTTCTACAACGCTAGCGTGGATGGGTTGTGCATGTGGCTTTCATTCAGTTCAGGGACTGCTTTCTTGGCTGGACCTCAAGAGCTGTTCTAAGCCTTGCAGAGCCCGTCCTCGTACCAGCATCTCCCCTCCACTGCGCCCGCGACATACTGATCAAGGAGTAGAGGAGGGGACGGGATTGGGTAGTCCGCATTTCTGGTGGGAATAAGGTAATCCGGACTCGAAGGCTCGCTGAACAAAGGGGGTTCGTGCGAGCAAGCATGTTAGAAGATTGGATTTGAATGGACCCCGGTAGGGATGACCGACAGAACTAATCATAGCCCTGGCTTGCGGAATTTTGGCTAGCTGAGAACATGGATTTACTCATTCCGCCAGGGAGTTGGCAAGCATGGATCGAGGGACGAGCTAATGGGCCACGAAAGCGCTTACGCATGATTTCGTCCTAAGCAACGAATGCCGCCAGAAGATTATTCCCTATACTAAGACTTTTACCTGATGTACCGCCGTTGTCCTCCTGCCTCTTCAACAAATTCGCGTCTGCGCAGGTCCATGCGCGCTCCTCCGCGAAAACCTCGCTCTAGCTGGCCTTCGGACTTCAGCCGTACAAGCGCATCGCTGTCCACCGTCACTGTGCGCAGACACGTTCTGTTGGAGGCTTTGCTTGAACTATTCTTTCCGTGTTGAAGTTAAGCCGCTCCGTAGTGCGCTAGTAACTCGTAGCTCAACTTTGGCTGGAGAACGAGTCTCTTCTCCAGCTCCATCGAGTGCCCTGCTCGGCGAGAGTCCAGTTGTCACCTTGCTGCAGCTATCAGTCTGTCGTCGGTGTTGAGAAAATGCTCCACGGTTGAGACACTCTGGCTGGCTCTACCAACCCAATGGCAGACGGTCTTCTCCCGTGGGTAGATCTTGGGGGGGAAGTACTCTGAGAAGCCGAATTTGCATCGTCATTATCACTGTACGACCGGAGTAACGCACTGTCTTGCCTTGACGGCATTGAAGGGTTCCTTTTATTTCGAAGGTAGCGTATAGGAACATTCGAATTTGGCTGCGTTCGTTTCTCTATTTTCGACGAACGTACACTGGCGAAGGATGGGAGACGGGTCAGGGACCCCAACATCCCCGTGTGAAAAGGGCGCTGAAGCATTTCTGGCGGACTGCTCGCCGCTTTTATTTCACGGAGCCTGCCGTCCCGTTGGTGTATATATTTGTCTCTTCCCACGTCCTCGCCCACAGTGCTAATGCAACAGGCTACCGTCGAGATTTACTACGCTGCTTTGTCTCACGGCAGGTTAGGTCTGGATCCGCTCTGTACCTAGCAAGGTCAGATCTGGGTTCGCTCTGTGTCCGCAGCCAGGTCGGGTCTAGGTTTGCTTTCGTGCCTTACAGGTAGGTCTAGTCAGTCGGTTGGGTGGCATACGGCACAGCCAGTTGCCGCGCCTCTTAGGTTCTCTGTTTATCGCGAGAGCTCATGGCTCTGGGTTCGATCAATACCTCGCCGGTAGGCCGTAAGGCTGTGGGTCGTGAGGCGAGATATCTAGCGATAGCAAGCTTTGTGATGCACCCACTGGCGAGCCAATGCATATTGTGTTGGTTGTCTCTCTAGGTGAGTCGTAGACCGTGATCTACATTAGTACACCGCAGGCAAAGCGCCAAGCCAAGTGATAGGCAGTGCCAACACCATGGAGGCGGTAGCAAGCTCTGGAAGGGAAAGTAATCAGACTTGCGCTCATTGTACCTCTGACTGCCCTCTTCGAGCTCCCGTTGAACGAAATAAGGTCAATCCGTTCGCCTTTGAATTTTTCCTCAAAAATGGTACGTAATGTAGACTACTTCGAGGATGTCTTAGTTCGTTATCCTTGCCCATTGCACTAAAACATTCAGTTCCAAAGCCAAGCATTCCGGTATTCGCTAGTATCTTTGTACACGGACATTCGCATGCAAGGACTCTGCTCGTAGCCACAAAAAGGTGCACACTGAATCCAACATCCGTTATCCTTGCCCATTGAGGGACCAGTACCAATGCTCTCAAACTTTTTGCTGATGTGGCTTCTGCTCGGCTGCATGCTCAAAGCCAGCATCTTGGGATCCGCTTCCCCTGTCCTTTGGCCGACCGGTTTCAATGCTTCTCCCGAACCTTTCTATCACAAAAGCAAGCTCGGTTACATGCTGAATCCCAGCATCTCAAAATTCGATTTCCTTGCCCTTTAGCGGATCAATTTCATTGCTCCCAAACCTTCACTCGGAAGCGTGGTGCACGCGCGCATGCTCGATGGAAGCACGAAAGCGTGGGCTATCTCTGTCCTTTGGCAGAACAGTTTCATTGTTCCCTAACATTCCGTAGTGAATCCGACGCTCGCAACCATATTGACGTGCGCCAAGGAATATCTTATCCTTGTCCTGCGGCAGAAAAGTATAACTGCTCTATAACATTCAAGCTGGAGTGCGAGGCGCGGAGGCATGTGCACAGGCACCATCAAGCCATCTTTAGTTGCTGGCTTCCAGGGTGCATGGCGCGCTTTGAAACATGCGCCCGCCTTCTTGCTCATGTAAATGAGCCTGAAAGCCATATGAAAAAGTTTCTTTTTTGCCCTATTTCGACTTGTCCACTGGCAGTTTCTCAGACTCCGCTCCAAAAAAACAAGTCCCCCCACCATTTTCGAAAACATTAGAAGAGAGGAGAGATGACGGGAGATGAGATCGTCCAGGAAATCAAGCCAGAACAAGCAAGTCGTTGCGATCTGTACGATGTTATCGTTCAAGATGCCTACATAGACACGAACTGGACCGAAAACCTGAATGTTAAAGTTATAGGGGCGAGAGATTACTCTTTAAAAGAGATGGGCGATGTTCCCAGTCTCCAAGGCTGATACGTACCAGGAAATTGTACGGAGGATGGCTCCGAAGACGGTCTGGGCGATGAACCAGTGGACGACCTGGAAGAAGGCCGAGACGACAACATGGAAGACGGGTTGAGCAACGACTCGGGGAGCGGTTCGAAAGAAGACTCCAATATCAGCTTTGGGTATGTGCTTACTGCTCTGAGAGTTACCTAATATGATTCGCTAACCTTTAATAAGTAGTTCAACTTACACTGGTGACAATGGCGATGGAAATCCTAATGACTCGAAAGCTGACTGCGTTTCTGACGATATTCGCTCTCACTGGCAGGAAGCACGTCAGTTGACAGGAGAAAACCAGCATCTCTTTGGCTCCATTTTATTAGATGAGAAGATGTGCAAGTCAATTCTCGAGATGAATATCGAGTTCTGGTGTAAGAAACAGTCCATCTCCTCAGACTATTGGCTAATCCATTGAAGATTGGAAACGTCAGAAGCAAAATCGACCTGCAAACATACGACTCGTCGGACTCAAGTGCATCGGCCCAATGCCATTGGAAGGAAAGAGAGTACCGACACAGGAAAATCGCTGTCCTTTTCAAACAATTTTGGACCTTGACAATTCATACCTATACATGAGCACCTTAACCGAGAGCGATTCACACACAATCAAGCTCAGCAAAAGATGCGTGTCTTGCTGGGCTCGTCATCGACTTACGGTGGCGTTGGCAACTCGACAACTCTTTGCTAGTGCAGAAGACCAACAGAGCACCTACGCCAAGAACGGTTGCTTTCAGACAAGATGGTTCGGCACTCGATACTGTTACCGTCATGCAGATGATGAGTTGGGCACAAATTGGCATTCAGTGCCACGATATGATCCGGCCCAAATCAGCTCTGAGTTCCGAGGTCGACAATCGCATTTCATGTCAGCAACTTCAGAACAGTGGTCCAGTAGCCAAGGCATTCAGCTTGCGATGTCTCGTGCGGCGGAAATTAGAGCAGGTCATCGACAAGGCACTGACTTGGTTATCTTGGATATTGAGTTCAGCCCGAAGTGGTCAGGTTAAGGAGGTTGCACTTATCGAGTACGTATCCGGACGAGTCCTCTTAGGCACATTGGTCAAGCCCAATGCACATCCGGAGCTCTCTCAATTGAAATTAGCTTGGAGAAGAGGTTTAATCGATCAGTTGTGGTCCAGGAAGCTCGACTCTTCTGGCACAAACACTGATCAACTTCTCGATGTCTGGGCTATCGCCGAGGTCCTTGAAGATTCTGGAGTTACAAAAGATTCCGTCATTTTGGTCTGGCATTCAACATATTACGATTTGACCTTGTTGGACAAGTTCTTGGAATCTGCTGGAGCTAATTCGCCGCTGCCATCGAGGGAAAACTGTGTTCGCCTGGTGCCTCACGTTCGCGCAAATGTGCCTTCTCTCAACGGGAGACCCTTCTCTGCGGCTCTATCCACAATGTTTCCCGTTCTATATCCCCGCCATGAATTGGTTGGGCGTAACCGTCGAGCCTTAGTGGATTGTCAGCAAACCCGACTTATCATGACGGCTTTTGAAGAGTTTGCCAAACCAATCGGCAGTCCTGGGAGGCTAGAATTTTCTGACATTAAACCCACGCAGCAGACTCTGGAGAACTGGTTGGGTGACCCAACTCTGGTCTCCCATCACCAAGAAACCCAGAATCGGGCCGATGGACTGACATCTGACTGAATGGGAATGCTTTCATGTGTAGAGCGTGCACCTCAATGGAGAGGTTTGCACAGCTTTTTACTCGTTTGAGTACATGTCCTTCTCGTATGCCTTTTCTCTCGCCGAAACTGTTCCTGTAAGCAGCTTGTCCCGTGTGAGCTTGTTTTGAACGAGAAGCCCCAAATGATTTCGCATCTTGCTCCAATGCAGCAGCGGTGGCCTGATTTTCGCGCGGAAGGAGATGTGATTTTGAGAGCGCGATAGGTGTAATACAAATCGATGAGAGCGTCGGGAGATGACATCGATGGAATGGAGATAATACCTCAGCTAGGAAATGTCTAAGTACAAGTTCTATGTTTCGAGTTTCATCAGAACAAAGCGTATTCTCTTGCCATACTCAGATGAAGACTAACTTACTCAAAGGCTAGATGTAGCCTTTCAGGATTGCACTCTCCGCATTCAAAATTGATGCTCCGGCCGCCCCCAGAATTGTGTTGTGGCTTAAGGCCACGAACTGGATGTCAAAGATACCACTTTCGTCCTCCCTGATTCTTCCAACGCTGCACGCGTATCCTCTTTCCGTCTCAATATCTAGGCGAGGCTGCGGTCGATCAGCCTCGTCTAAAACGACAATGGCGTGTTTTGGGGCCGAGGGACACCCTAGGAGTTGCACCTCTGAGGTGTACTCTTTCATCGCATCACAGACCTCGCTCACGGTCGGCGGAGGTCGGTTTACGAATCGTAACGACACACACACTGTATGGCCGTTAAGCACCGAGACACGGTTACAGGCGACCGAAACGCGGAGAGGTTGATTGACAAATCCAGACAGGTCCGCACTCAAGCTACCTAAAATCTTGCGAGCTTCAGCTGGAATCTTGGCTTCCTCTCCGGGGATGTAGGGAATGATATTGTCAAGGATGTCCATGCCTGATGCGGTTAGCTCTAATGTGTAGAATATACCGGGCCCTGGGCGCTTTATGGGCGGAAGACTTGATCACTTACTGCTGACGCCAGGATAGCCTGCTCCTGATACGGCCTGCATAGTCACCATGCTCACTTTGTCGATAGGTCCGAACTTTTGAATAAGTGCTGCGGCTGGGATGACGAGGCCGATGACCGCACAGTTTGAATTGCACACAAGAAGGCCTTTATCTAGTTGGTAATGCCGACGCTGTGTTGGGATTGACTCAATATGTCCTGGGTTGACCACAGGAACAATCAGCGGAACCAGAGGTGCCAATCGGAAGTTTTTGGCATTTGAAAAGACGGCAAAGTTTGCTTTAAGAAAGGCCATTTCAACATCGGCAGCCACATCAGAATTAAGGCCGGAGAAGATTATGTCGCAATCTGGATATTCGGTGGGGACGCAGCGTCGGACGATCAGATTTGCGACTTGTGCGGGCATTGTGGTCGACTGCTTCCAACGCACGGCATCAGAGTATTTTTGACCGGCCGACTTTTCGGAAGCTCCTACAGCTACCAATTCTAGCAGCGGATGTTGAGCGAGCAGGAGAATGAATCGCGTCCCCACCGCTCCAGTTGCCCCTAAAACACCTGGGAAATGTTAGTCGTCCATGTCTTTCATAATGACTAGTGCAATGGGCTTCATACCGCATCGCTTTTTCGAAGACATTGCTGTGTCTCTGTGCGGTCCTCAACGTCGACTCAGTTGAGAAAATCTGGTACATTTGTGTGCCGACTTGGGGGTCAGAGTTTGACCAAACCGAGGTCCCACAATTAACGCGCTGTGATTGGCTCAACAAAACCCTCGTTGCAACAACAACTCTACATCTCCTACAGTTAGCAATTCTATGAGTCCGCAATAGTGTGGATCACCCATTGATAGGCCGTTGCGTTGAATTTACAATTACTACCTGTCGATCGCATTATTGATAAGTTTTCCAGCGCATGGAGTACCGCAGGATAGCGCGCGGACAACTCGCAGGATGAGTCACCAAGCATAGCAACAACGCACGGCACGAGACAGCGCAAGGGCCTAAATAATGAGGCTTTGAGACCGAGGAATAGATAGAGAGACAGAACCTGCAATGTCATCGAGTGACACCTCCTTTTCTCCAACACGGAGTGCCAAGCACGGTCCGTGGCCGCGGACTCGGGATCCGGTTGAATCACAGGTATAGCTTATTCCTTGACAGGGCGTCTTAACTAAGACTCAAAGCATGAGAGAAGTATAAGTTTCTCATGCGGTGAGCAGGCGGTAGGTATACTAGACGAGCAGCGTAGGGGCGCGAAAGCCATGGCAGTGCGGCGGGAGCATGGATGATGGAAGGGTTATGTTCGTGACGGAGGAAGGAAGTCGAGATGCCTCCAGGTTAATAATGGTCACGCCTCTTTACCGCTGAAAGAGGACTAGCGACTAAGCGAAGTCAGGGGTAGGTTTGCCGAGGATCCCCGGCATGAACGCGACTTGGTGGCTGCGCTCCTCAAGAGGGACGCAGTGTAGACCGGAGCCTTGCAGGGTATAAAAAGGGGGCCCCCGGTAGGGATCCGCGTCAGCATCAGGCTGAATACCCCAGACCAGTGGAGTCAGCCAGCCTAATTAGCTCTAACCCGACGCGCCTCGGGGGGGGGAACTTCATTTACCGTGTTTCGCGTCTCTACATCGACATCGTCCCTCCCAGTAATCTATTGTATCTTCTATTGACACCACCATCACCACTTCATTGCCCGGGCTGATTGTACATGCTAGGTCCTCGTGTACCTCCTCATATCACAGCTTTGATATTTCCTTCTCGGCGATATCTTCCTCAGTCACACCACTTCGCGGCAGGCACAATGTCATTGCTCAAACGCAAGGAACCTCCCACCTCGAGCGCCGACGACGCAAAGAAGCCGAGAAAGAATGCTGACTTGGCCTCCTTTTTCGGCCCCCCTAAAGTTACTTCGTCGTCAAATGGCGGAGCGCATGGCCCGTCGGCCAACGGGATCTCCAATGCCGCCGAACCTCCTCCACTGAAGTTCGACAAGGACAAATGGGCAGCGGGTTTGACTCCGGAGCAGAGAAAGCTTCTCAAGCTGGAAATTGATACACTCGATCCAAGCTGGCTGGCTCAGTTGAAAGATGAAGTCACATCGCCTGGCTTCTTGGAGTTGAAGCGTTTCTTGCAGAAAGAAATCGATGCAAAGCAGAAGATCTATCCACCCTGGGAAGACGTGTATAGTTGGTATGCCCAAGTCCTCTCCTCAAACCACACTTCTTCTATAAATCTTAACACATGACTGCATGACCGACTAACATCATCTGTTTCTCTCCGTACAGGTCCCGTCACTGCCCCCTTTATAAAGTCCGCGTCGTGATCCTCGGACAAGACCCATACCACGGCCCCAATCAAGCACACGGCCTCTGTTTCTCTGTTCGCCCACCCACACCGGCCCCTCCGTCTTTGAAGAACATTTACACGGCCATTCAAAAAGACTACCCTTCCTTCAGACCTCCGCCTAAGAATTCAGGCCTTTTGACCCCCTGGGCCGACCAGGGCGTCTTGCTTCTCAACACATGCCTGACCGTGCGTGCGGGCCAAGCGAATTCACATGCAAACCACGGATGGGAAAAGTTCACACAGAAAGTCATCGATACGGTCGTCAAGGGCCGGACGCGTGGCGTGGTCTTTCTGGCATGGGGCTCGCCTGCACAGAAACGATGTGAAAAAATCACTGGTGGCCGTCACTTGGTGTTGAAAAGCGTCCATCCTTCCCCCCTCAGCGCACACAAGGGATTCTTCGACTGTGGCCACTTTCGCAAGGCTAACGAGTGGCTCGAGTCCCGCTACGGTCCCGAAGGCATTATTAATTGGGATTTGAATGTGCAGAAGCCCATTAAGCCTCCGTCTGTGCAGGAGCCTGTGAAGGTTACGGACGATCAACGCACGGTTCCAGATGAGCATGGCCCACTGACCGCACCGCCGGAGAAGAAGGATGGGACAACAGCAGTTGAGAGAGATGAATTTGACGGCGAAGATGACGAGGATGCTATTGCCGCGTTGGAGGAAATCGCAAAGATGGAGGCCGAAGCTGAGGCCAAAGAGAAAGTCAAGGCTGATGGAGATGCTAGCAAGGGAGACGACGCATGAAGCGTCTATATACCTTCCGTTGGGTATACGTGCTGTTCATCCCGGTCTTACGCTTCACACCTTCCCTTTACATCTTAGATGCAAGGTTCAGGTCTCGTGTTTCGTGTCACTTGTCCAGAAAGAGGAAGAAAAGGTTGAAAGTACTAGTAATTTCGCAAAGGCATGGCGTTGGTGGAATGGAGTCGAATTGACATTGATTGAATCAGGAAATTTCGGCCCGAACTGTCTGGCGGTGTTGGTATGTATAGTAAAGATTGAATCGAATTGAATCAAGTCAAATTGGATTGGATTGATAGAGTCGGGTCGGATTATTGGCTGGGATCGGGATTAGCAGAGAATTTTGAATTTCCACAAATCACATCGCACTTCTGCTCATGCTCTCTTCTCTATCTACCTCGCATTATTCCTCCATGTTAACCCGTATCTAGCGAAGCGTTTGAAGAAATACCAGGATTATCACGACAAAGGCAGAGAATTCTCAACCTCGAACTCGGAGCGTGCCAGGTTCGGACTGCTTCCTGCTATGCCTATCGTTCGCTCCCACCACCTCAGGCCGACGAGGTATCCCTCCCAAGCTCTCCAGCGGGTCGTTGTCTAGAGGGGTGAGTCTCTGTCTGCTAACGAGTTCGGCGGCGGGATTGGAAATAGGATACGATATACGGCTGCGAAATTGAAATCGTGACTGAGAGCGTTCGCAGATAAGTCTTACCAGCTCACGACCAGCCATCAAACCGGCCTGTGCGCCGATACTGTTCGGTGACTTTGTAATTCCGGCTTTGGTATCAACGCCCAGCACCTCGGCTGCACAGCAAGACCAGCCCCAGCAGGGTCTAGACGGCGATGGTCGTGCTCTTGCTCTGGATCAACCGCTAGCGTGTCGTTGCATCCTGCGCGTCCGCCACCGCCGCCTCACTCTATGCGAGCGTCATGGGATCCACGTACGGCCGGGCGAGATTGATCGTCTGCGCCGCGAAATGTGCGAGAGCCCTTCCGCCCGCTTGTCCAAGCGGCTCGGGATTCTTGGTCTTTAATTTCAGTGATGGAGTCGCGATCGTACGCTTTTCACGGCCAGGGCCAGAATTGATTGCTCGCCCAACACGACACGTGTGGGTTGGTTGACCGTCACATCGATGTGGACGGGTGTGATGTTCAGATTGCACCAGAAACTTGCGATGTCTGTGACTTGAGAACCCGGTGCCGAGGAATTCTTCCGGTTGCCCTTCGCCAATGGAAACGTCGTCAGATGCCAATCTCCGTCAAACTTGGGGCTTTCGAGCGTAGTACGAGTTGTGGTCCCCGTAAAGAAAGTTGCGGTTCCAATAATGTTCAACGTCCTTGGGATCTTTTGCGGTCGCGCCGCTGTTGAAGCTCGAGTTGACTGTTTGATTAGGACCATTCTCCAGGCCGGGCCCGTCATTGTTGCCGACGATTTTGATCGTGGGGTTCCCTTCCAGGATCCGTCATAAAACGTATACGAGATCGGCTCGCATGTCGTATTGACGGAAAATGCATTTGTGACCGCTGAAATTGTCATATTGATCACACTGTTGGATATCAATTCATTCTGCAACGACTCAGTAGTATTGAAACTGTTGATGGCATGTTGAGGGTTTGTCCAATCTGGAATTTCGTAGTTTTCCCTATTGATGGGTGGCGAAGGAAACCAGAACACCATATAATAACACTCCGGTATATCCCAGGGTGATACCAAATTGGCGCTTTTTGACAGGGAGGAAGAAAGCTTATGGATATCTAATGAATCGATATAGTCCACCGAGTAGAGCGCATCTTCGGCTTTGGTCCAACCTCGAGCCGTCAGTGACCATGGTCCAGCCTCTTTGAGGTTTTTCAACAGCATATCCCAGAAAAAGACCGGGAAGACGACGATAACAGTCGGGAAATATCTTGCTAGCGTCCCAACGCGATCGTTCGTGGCAAATCCGTGGTACTTCCGATCCAAGTAGTCGAATACTTAGAGGAGGATGATCAAGACGATGAAAACTAGTCCCAAGCCAATACTGAAGAGACGTTTGAGCATGGGGGGATCCATTCTCTGGTTTGTTGGCTTGGAGACTCAGGTACACTCTCGAGTTTGCAGCTTCGGATGACTGGAGAGACGCCGTCGTTTCTTGTGGGGTGCCGTGATCGACCTGCTCATAGTTGTATGATACGAATGGACCAGAAAGCCTCGCTGATATGCCAGTCTCCCCAGTTGGCTGAGTCGGGGTGTCATTGTAGATGGAACGTAAATTGGAATTCCCCTGGCATGAACGCGAGGGTGGACTGGACAGAGTCTGCGTTCCGACATTCGGTTTGACAAGAGATTTCATCAACGAAGATATGGCTCTTCTTCCTCTTACCAGAGATTCCGGATGGCTGGGACATTTCGACATGACCTCACATTCGGTGTGTCAAGAGTAGTTCAAGGTTGGCAACCGCAGCATCATTTGGTTTTTCCATGTATCGTGACATGCCTTCTCTTTTCTCATCTATTTCCATCTGGGCGCTTTTGACGGATCTGACGGCCGCTTTTAAGAAGCGCTCAGAGATGAAGAGATGGAGTGCACCACGGAGAGGAAAGCATCGAGGCTCGACGGCCGCAGGTAACTGAAACACTCCTGTGTCGGACAAGCAGCCGGGGGTGTTGGGCCCCATTTGATTGAATCCTGGGGGGCCTTATCATGATCACCAGCCCCGAAGTGCCTCCGCTGTGGTCGCAAACAAAACCTCGCCACAATCTAAATCCGTCTTCAATTCATTGGTTGATCTGTCGAATGACTGTAATGAGCGTGTTTGTCAACAAGCAAATACTGGAGCGTTGTGAAGGGAGGCTGCGGCTTCTGTCGGCAGCCGGATGTTCTCCCACCTCGGGCGCGTTCCGAAACCTGAAACATGTTCCCATTGCCCACCCATTGTATAATGTTCGCAAGGCTCACCGCGGACTTGAGGTCGCTTTCAGGCTGTGACGGTACTAGCCAAGAACCTCGATCAAGAAATACGGCCGAATGGTGGTAGATGATGGGTTCTACGGACACATTCCCGAAGTATCATCGTCTTTCCATTGAAAAAAAAAAAAAGGCGTCTGGAGCGCAGTATATTTCGTGTGAGCAATCTGTTTGGGAGTGAAGTCTCATTCACGCTTGGGCCTTGTGTCCTAAGGCTTGATAATAGATGCTTGGGTAAGCTCGTATTCCATCCAACATCCCTCCCCGGGCAAGTCGGCCTTTTCTACCTATGGTGAGCCAAATCACTAATACTGATAAATCCCTTCCTCCAGGCCTTTGATCTGAAGAGCCAGAATTCTCGAGTAATACCGACAAAGAGCAAGATTTCCTCCCATAAACCAGAAGCCAGGATGACCAGTCTTTCGCCAAATCGTTCTCATCTCCCCTTCCGAATCATAGCCCCAAATATCTCCGACTCGGTCAGCCAGCTCGTCGCCGAAGATCTCTCTGGCTTGAGTCCTCATGTTCTGATACCCAGTGGCGAAGATGATCTCGTCTGCTTCCAATTCGGTTCCGTCGGCAAAGCGAAGTCCATGAGGAAGGACTTCTTCGATCTCCTGTCCCTGCTTGATCTTGATCTTGCCGTCGATGATCAATTGAGAGCCGCCGACGTCGATATAGTACCCTCCGCCCCGCTGGAAGTATTTCATGAACAAGCCCGAGTTTTCTGGTCCTCGATCGAGTCCGAATCCAGCCTTCTCGAGACCATCCAATATCTTCTTGTCATACTGCGCCTGAAGCTCTGTTATCTTGACTTGCAAAGATTTCAGCACCTCACTCGGTAAGCTGTGGAGCCACATATCGGCATCATCCACCGGCGGCCCGTTTTCGTCGTACAAACCTGCCAATCCGACCTCGGTGATGGCTTCACTGGAGATGACACACGTGGTGGACCTCTGGACCATTGTCACATCATATCCTTTCTCGTAGAAGTCTTGGGCAATATCATGGCCGGAATTGCATGATCCCACCACGACCGCTTTCTTCCCCTTGCTTTCAAGTTTGGCGCCGCCGAATTCGGAAGAATGGCAGAGTCGATCACCCTTGAAATTCGACAGTCCCTTCATGTCGGACGGGAAATTCTTTTTGCCAGAATGGCCGGTAGCTTGAATGATATGTTTGGGGTGCAGTGTTCGAGTCTCAACAGTTCCGTCGGGCTTTGTCTGTTTCAGGGTGACGGTCCATTGCTTCTTCCTCTCGTCCCATGAGCTGGATTCCAAGGTGGTCTTGACCCAGACATTGAGTTCCATGAGTCGGGCATACGACTCAAAGAACTCAGCCAACTTGTCCTTGGGAGTGAAGACTGGCCAATTCGCCGGAAAATTGATGTATGGCATATGATCGTACCAGACAGGGTCATGGAGGACTAGCTGGTGATATCTTCGTCGCCAGTTGTCGCCGATGGCTTCTTCGCTGTCGACGATCAGCGTGTCCACACTCAACATTTTGAGACGGGCAGCCGCCGTCAATCCGGCCTGCCCAGCACCTATATCGATGTCAGCAATTTATCTAAACCATCGCAATGAATTCTTCACTGACCCAAAATCATGACGACTGGTTCCCTGTTTTCGAAATTGATGTCGGCATTTCTCCTTTCCTGCCAATTTTTCCGATCGGGCTTCCCGCCATGCTCCACTCCTTTTGCTCTTTGATGGTGAATGGCTTCTTCATGTCCTTCGATATGCCGTAACGTAGTGAAGAACGTGAAAATCTTCCATTGTCCATCTCTCTCAGCCAGTCGTGCAAGACCCTGACCCCAGCCGGCTTTGGAAGTGAAGTTGAAGAAGAATTGAATGCCCTTGACATCGCCAGCACCATCGAAGGCTCCAAACTGCGGAGACCGATAAGCTGTGCTCTGGTCAATATCGAGCTTGATGAGGGGACATCCATCGGCGAGGAAGCTCGCGATTTTGTCTCGTCCCTTGAGGGTCCGTAAGTCCCATGAGACACCCAGATGGTCTCGCCAATACCCATCTTCAAGGAACAAATCGGCAATTGCTTTGGTATCTCCATTTTCCAGTGATGAGTTGAATGAGTTGACGACCTTCGTGGCAATGGCGACAGGGTCGCTGGAGGTTGACTCGGCTGTCTTGGGCCATTTGGCGAGTGGGATATTGACCGAGCCGGGCTCACAACGATCCTTGGACAGTGTCAGACCTGGATCTGTGGCGGATTGGACTTCGACACTCATTGCCTTTGACTGTTTGATTGCCTAGTTTCGGACCCAGAAGTTATGGAAAGGGAGACGCTAACAATAATTCTTGAAATGTCAACATCAAATGTTCAGGAGAGATCTCCTGAAGACCTCCATGATGCGTTTTGTATGTCGCATAAAGACGCGGGGCAGAGGAAAGTTTGTAGTGGGAGACAGGTCTCCGGAATACCAGAATGGGCAATTTTGATGTTTTGACCATGTCGTCGACATCACAATTGGGTGATGCCACAGCATCTGGTGATGTCCTCCCCCACACATCGGCATCCACCATGCTAGAGAGGGCGGAGTCTTCCCCGTACTCCGACTCTCCTCACCCCTCCTTGGCCGTGGATTCTTCTGATCGGGTCTATCGGAGCCGGCGGTCCCTCGCGGTTCGACGGATCTCACATGTTCACCCGGTTACGAATAAAACGGCGACTTCGGCGACTTCGGCGACAGATGGTCCGTATGTTGGGGTACAACCTTTGCCCAATCGGAAATCCAATACCCAGATACGCGAATGAATGCCGATAAAATCATGTCTATTCAGTAAGCCACCATGTCCCTTTCATCCAAGTCGAAGTCTATCGATGACCCGGGGGGGGCTATCTCCAGGTACTAGGCTTCCAGGCCCCGTGGGCAAAATACCAACGGGGCACTCATCCATGCTTCAGCTCCTTCGGTAGATTCTGAGTCATGATCCCCTGTAACACGACCATCTGCGTGTCTAGATCGTCCAAGAACTGGCGATCGCTCAAATATAACCCGTAAGAAATGTTCTGGCTCACCCATGCAAAGTCGCGGTGATCGGCGAAGAACCCTATTGTACAGCTTGCTCTAGTTGCTGTGAGCCAGTCGAATTGGGAGGTATGCATGAAGAGAGGCCTGAGAAAGACGTCAATGGTCTTCAAAGGTCATGCACGTGTATAACAGAAGATACATCTCTCTTGTCAATGCGGTGCGGTGTAAATACTTTAGAGGCTGTGATAAGAAAAAGGGGTAAAAGGTCAGTGACAATTTCAGACTTGGATTTCAAATTCAGCGGAGAATGCCAGATTATCTTGAATCTTTGTCGCCCTTTGAATGTCAGCCGACAGATCAGGAAAGAGTCTATTTTCGTCTTCCTGGTTGGGATCTCATACCAGTTCTTGATCGATCCATAACGTGACCGCAGAGTGCTGGGTTGGAGAACATGAAACAATACACACCGTGGCGGAAGAGCTGAGACAGAAGACATCAGATACAAAGCAATAAAAAAAGAGCCAGCCGGCATCGGACAGCATGTTCATGTCATATCAGACGTTCCTCGGTCAGGATCTTTTGATTCCGAGGCCGCGTCTGTGCCTGAGCTCCTTGCAGTGGGAAGTCGGCACAAATCGTCCCCGGTGTCTATATATCATCAAATCACCGTCTAAGCATGTAATGAATGGGCTCCGTAGACAGGGACAATCTGTCTGTGGTATATGGAGGAAAGTTTGACGAGAACTGCAATGATGGTTGGACTGAAGCTGCTTCAAACGCGAGGAATTCAAGTCGAAGCATGGTCAAATGACTCGGTTCCATGTCCTCGGATCCATTTTCGCCGAGTTGGATTGTATCTCTGGGCTGTCTTAACTGAATTAGACTCATACATGTCTTCCTAGCTCCAAATCGCCATGGAGAGGATGTTATTGAGTCCGGGAAGGGAAGTTCATGTCTATCGTTAAGCACAATTGGAATGCGTAAATGTCAGAGGAATACCCACCGAATCCTCTGGAGTCCATGTTAATAGAACGAACATTGGGACTCGACATGTGAACTACCCACACGCCGAGGCGAAATGGGAGAGACAGGGACATCGCCAATGATCTCTCTCTGCATTGGTTGATTGGATATCACATGTGCCGTTCAATAATGATTTGTACGTAGTTTGGGAACTGTTGAGTTGAATTCCTTTAGCCCTTTCGGAAAAGTGTGTAGAATATATCATTGCAAAAGGAGTAACACCGATTGTGGCAGGTCTGGTGTTTATAGACATGTCGATGTGTTTGTGTCAGAGTGTGAACGGCTCCATACATGTATAACTCGGCGCCAAATATTGCGGGTTTGAAGACGAAGGTTGTGTGCTGTTCAATCTCCTTTTCTTGGTGACATCGATATTTGTCGCTTGACCGGAACCGGAATTTTATTGCTGGAGCTCTCCTTCGTTACAGTATGTACCAACCCACCCGTCGCGGTATGTCCTTTCGCAGCTCCACGGTAAGACTGAACTGATTACAGGCTCCGCACGAGGAATAGGCGCAGCAACAGCGACTATCACCAACGAGCACCGCAGCCATGTAGTCACAACGGACTTGGCAGTGCTAAGAGCACAAGCAGAATCGCTCATCAGATCATTTAAACGTCCCAAAAAGAGTCGTCTTCGTGGCCGCCAGTGTCACAATGTGGAAGGAATTTGGGGATGCACTCAAGGCCGCGATAAATGGGTTTCAGATATTGGATGTTGTTGTTGCCAATGCTGCAGAGACAAATCTGAGATGGCCACGGAAAGCCCTGAAATTAGGGATGCATTACATTCTCAACAATTGTCTGTCCGAAGACAAATCCTCGAGGGTCCATCGTCTTTGTGACATCGACATCCGGTTAATTTCGGTGCAACGGGTAATGCTGCATACATTGCCTCCAAACACGGCCTGATTGGTCTTCTAAGGGTATCTCAACTAAGAGCAGAGGCTCTGCAGATCCGGGTAAACGCCGTAGCTCCAAGTTTCGCACCCACCTATATCACAGCCGGGTTTGGAGATAGTTTTGGAAAGGCCGGGGGAGAACGTGATATCCCTGAGACGGTAGGCGTATGCAGCGATGGATCCGAGTCGACAAGGGTCTTGTTGTCTGGTACGTTTATCCTTTCACCAAGATGGAATTTCAGAGCTGAGGCTCGTTCTAGGTCGCTGGTAATGCCTGAGGGAGTTGGAGCATAGCCAGAGAGAAAGTCATGCCAGAATGACTGGTGACCGATTTGTGGAACAAGATGACGGGATTCAGGGAGATCTTGAAAGATCTAGGGGGGATAACCTCCCTACCGCCAGCAGCACCCCGTTTATGACGAGTGTTGAATGTGGGTCGAGCCATGTGTGAGGAGTACCATGGATCAATACAAGGAGCCCCTTGCTACGTCTTGCCGTGGAAAGGGGTCCTAGGCACTCAGATAAGTCATACATCTGCAAGATGATACAGGGTCGACAGTAATTCGAAATCTTTTGCCATGGTGGGGCTTGACTCAACAAACTCTGAGATGAATCTGAGTATCTTCGTACACCAGAGTTCATATCCTGTGGGAAGAGCATCCCTCAATCGACCGTCGGGGGAATTTTTGAAGGAATGGAAGATGAACAATTGTCCAAACATTTGACCGGAGGCAAAGTATTTCAAAGGCATGAAGTTCTTCATTCTTGCGCAATCACCCAATATTAAGGGCCAGTTCGTGGCGAATTCAAGTGCTTGGGAACACATTTTCAAGTCGGTCTCATTCACGGACGAAGGGTTTTGAATCGCCTTATACAGGAATGGTCGGCCAAGGTGGTATATCGATACTCGATAGCGTGTCTTGAGTAAAGCGTCGACAACCGCGTCGGCAGGACAATCGTATATTGGATCTCTCTTGTCATCGGCGTACTGTATTGCTTCGGGGAGGTTCGCCCGCCATTGTTCGAGTTGATGGTAAAGTTCGTCTGCGAGTGTTGTCGACGGATTGCTGTAGTATAGTTCGTCGCGTATTCGACTGAGAATGATTCGATGAGCGATCTGTGCGAGGAAATGGTAGTGATAATATGAGTCATCCGAGTTGCGAGGTCGAGACTTGCTCGTGGATGGATATGTGGTGAATTTGGGAAGAGGAACCACGTCTTCCCACTCCTTCAACCCACTGGGAGGCAGTTCTAGCTCTTGTACAATGACTGTCTCCAGCAGCAGTGCGCTCCAGAACAATCTGGAGTACATGTCTGCTAACCAGTCGTCAAGTGGTTCTGGTGAGCATTTCCAAAAGGCAGCACAACTGACGGCGGCGCGGTTGGTCATCATCCATTCATCGACCGGTCGCATTACTTGAGCAAAAAACATGGCCGATGTCAGATAATATTGGCAGCTCTGAATGTCTCGCTCACAGAGGCAGAAGCCAACTCGTTTACGTGCTTCGTTGAAGAAGCTCAGGCCGGAGATTTCTTCGTCCATAATTTGTCGAATGAGTGGAGTTGTGGCAGCGTGATAAGAGGTATCGAAGCCGCCTTCTTCGAAGGCCTTGAGGCCCATACAGCCCAACGCCATGATATTCAGCACGAGGCATGATTCCATGTCATATCCAAACCCTTCACGCACCACGACGGCTAGCGTGTTCAAGAAATAGAAATCTCGATCGACAAACGGGTAGACTCGATTGAATGTGTCAAAATACGCGTTAGATAAGTCTTTGACGCACGACAAGCTCAGTGAAGCGAGCCAGTCTACCGTGGGCATAGCGGTTGGTGCACGGATGATAGGCACCAACGGTGGTCGACCTGATTCCAGATGGGTGGGATAGCTTCTTTCTAGGGCGCGTACCGAGGAGCTCAAGCTCGTGGGAAGCAACGCCTGGACCCCAGACCAATGGATGGTTTGATGGGCGCTGAAAGATAGGATCGATGAGCTGCCAGGCGGCTGGGTTAAATGTCGCGTGCTTTGAGATTGGGGGGACGGGAATGATCGGTTTGAAGCCATCGATTCCACATGGGAGGGACTGTCGGTGGGGGCACCCATAAGGTCTCCTCTTATCGATTCAACGTCAGGGAGGGTTCTTGGTACGACTGGGTCGGATAAATGATCGATTTTGGACTCCATGCGCTTCAAAGTGTTGAATATCATGCTCATGGAAGTTTCGTTCCTGTAACAGTGAATCGTCAGCCACATCCAGGAGAGTCTCTCGGCTCGATATACTTGGTAGGCCTCCGCTCCATGTAAGTACATTCGATTCCTAGGCTTCTGCAGAAACTACAAGGCGTGTCTTCATCGCAGCGAGTCTTCCTCGTACGACAGGTTTCGCATGCCTATGGGTGGCATCAGCGTGATGGCTCTGAGCCAAGAGACTGGTTGTCCAGATGAGAACTCACCTGTCGTGCGATGAAATTGCGTTGTCGTTTCGCAGGTCTCGATTCATCGTTTCGTGCTTCCTCTGCAGCACCGCAATCTCCCTCATCCATCGTGCATTGGATTATTCGGTTATCTGATATGGTTACTCGGACCCATCTGAGCCATCACGGGAAGTCATGAATCACGATGACCCGTGAAGCTTGCCGCAAGGGTAAAAGATATATATTAACTGTAAGTTCGAGGGCGTCGCTGAGAATTGTTCCTCGGCTCCTGCGTAGGCTTTTCCCAGCTAGTTCAACGAAGTTCCCCCCCCCCCCCGGCCCCAACAATCCAGTGGAGAAAACATCCCTACGTCAATCACAATACCCGATTCCTTAGTCCCCATAACAGAAAACTTTGGTTAAAGAGCATCCCACAGAAAGGTATTGGGTGAATAATTTCTAATTACGAATAACTGGCTATGATCATTATTGGCACTCACCTTAGGCCAAGTTATTATCCGTATAGGAGGCCAAGGCAGTCTGATTGTAATACAGGTCGCATGCATGGGGATGCTGAAGGCAATATTTGGGAACTAGAGGTGCTGCTTGCACACCATTTGCAACCAGATACTCGCGGAAGTTCAGAATCCGCTGCGTCATTTGGGTCGTCCGCTTGATCCCCGTTACTGGGTCTCTGTTTCCAGACCACGCGAGCTCAGCCATAGCCGCAGCCCTGGGCCACAATTTGGAGGATATGACGGTGTCATCCACTTGTTCAGACCAAAGTGGCACCTCGGTCCCAAGCACGTGAGCGTTTTCAGCCTTCGTAAGGTTGAGAGTGAAGTCGTAGTCGTAGATTCGTTGCCACGTTTTGTATGGAGCACACCACGAGCCTCCATTTCCTCCGTAATTGAAGGTGGGGACTGAGGCATTGGGATTCGACATCTCATTGTATCGAGGATCGTTCGTCACCCAGCCACCGGAACCACAGTCGAGGTAGAAAAAATCGGCAGACGATACCACCACGTCGTAACCGCGGGAGGTTAGATTTTTGATATTGTCTATACCGTTGTTCCACGACTGAAGGATGATATTTTGCGGCAAAGTGTGGGCGTGCGGAACCGAGAGTAAGACGTCCTCCCACATCATCAGCGTCTTATTTCCCACGGATGAGAAGATTGGAACAGCGTTATCGACCCACACTTGCAAAAGGTCATCAAACGTTCTCGATGAGTTGACAGCAAACCATTCCCGGACAAGCGAACTAAAATTATAACAATTTGAATGAACCTCGTCTGCTCCGACATGGAAGATATTGTCCGAGAAGAGGCTCGAAAGCTCACTGAAGACGTTGAAAATGACTTCATAAGTCTTGTTATTGAGGATATCCAGTTGGCCCGGGTTGGGCTCCACCGCCGTGTGGTACGTCCAGACATCGTTTGACCACCAAGAGTTGGCGCACGCGATGATGCTGGGATCGACCGCGGCCCAACCAGACGATGCATGGCCTGGCATATCAATCTCGGGAATGATGCGGACTCCTCGAGCTCGCGCGTACGCAATGATCTCGCGAATATCGTCCTGTGAGTAGATGCTTTGAGCGGAATACGCATCTTGCGTCATTTGCGGATACACCTGCATCTGGAGAGGCCAGGACTGTGCGTCAACAATATGCCAATGCAGCACATTCATTTTCGAGAGGGCCATCCCATCGATCTGCTCGTAGATTTTTGGAATGCTGATGAAGTTTCGTCCCGAATCAATTAATGCTCCTCGGTAAGGATAGTTGGGGAAGTCAACGATTGAGACCGGCTGTTCGATCATGAGGCCTCCATTGCCATCGGAGATGATTAATTGTTGCAGAGTCGTGAAAGCATGGAGGGCACCCCATACAGTTTTGGCAGTCACGTTCACCGACGGCGAGTATTGTGTTATGTCAATGGTGTAGGACTCGTCGACACCTTGCTGTAAATTGGCCTCTGGGTCTTCGACAGTGAGGTCGATCTGCATGAGACGGGGATTGGATCTTTTCACTCTCGAGGATGCCGGCGCCGTGGGAAAGGGCTCGAAGGTGGGAATAGGCGCTTCAGTGGCAGTGGGAATCCATTTCAAGGCGCCGATGGTGTTCCAAGCACGAGTCCAGCCATCATCGACGATTTGATTGTGTAGAGTATTCAGTACCAAGTGGCCTGCCACCGGTTTAGGTCCCGAAGAGCCCCATGTCATTGACTGGGGAGCTGGAAGAGGATTGACCTTGACCGCATCCCCAAAGCCTGTCGAAATGCTGGCCGCAACAGCAACGAACCGAAGAAGTCGACGGGGAAGCATCTTTGTCGGTAGTTCAGGCTTGGGCTTGAGTGGGGTGAGTAGATGTCAAACAAAGAATTGCAAGGTGAGCAGGGAGGGAGACGGAAGGGTTGTTATGTCTTCCAGGAGGGATGACACATGATCCCATCTCCGGTGACAGTGAAGCGACTCTCCGCAGCCGGTCATATTGAGGAATATAGGCGATCATAGCTTGAGGTCGGAATCGATGTAACTTCAGAGGAAAGAGTACCTAGGGATTTGGGAAGCGCAGTCTGGCTTTGGATTTGATATTGCTACCGTGACATCAACCCTTCCAGTCGACGTGTGGCTGATTGCCAAGCAAGCGATGTAAAGCAGTGTGGCTAATGATGTGGCTTGAGAGCAAAACCCTCCCCATTGACACCCTGGGCATTTCCTGCGTTCTCTCAAGTGAAACGTTACAATTTTAATTCCTTCTCTTATCAGCGACGGCGAACCACATGAACTGTTGGTATCAGCGGTTCTCGTGACCATCTACCTTCCTCACCCGGCGTCCGACTGCGAAACGGCTCTGCGTCTCTGCCTACCAAGTAGTGCACACCACTGTCTCGTCAAAAAATACTGTGACATTGGCAATATCGAAGGCATCGCCCATCCTTCTCATCGGCACATTTATGTCGCGTGATTCTTCGGGATCCTCCATCAGACTTCAACTTGCCTGGGCCCAATTTCTCCACCAGCGGAGTATACAATCAAACCAGACACCACAGGATTCAGTCGAATACTTTGGCAGGTATAGATGACCGCCGTGACTTTGGTGAATTGGATGACTGCAGCAAACCTGAGAATTTCTCAAATACCGCAAGCCTGCGATACTGGCATTGTTCACAAGGGCTCCCTGATTTCTGTATCTCCAAAATATGCAAGACAGCATAACAAGAAAGATAAACATTTTTGGGTCGAGTCGGACTTGTTTGTTCCATGACCGACTGACTGGATCCCCTGGTTCTGTCGCCCCAACATTGTTTACCAGGATGTCAATTCTGCCATACTCGGACATGACTGCGTCAACCACCTTTTGCACACCAGAAGATCTTGTCACATCGGCGGCTAATACATCACAAATGTCCCCCTTTCCCCTTTCCCCTTTTCTCTCTTTCTCTCTTTTCTTCACGCAAACGCCGGGGCGGTAGACTTTGCGGCGTCCAGACTGAGGGTCACAGCCGAAGACCTTGACTTTGATATGAGAAAGAACTCTGGCAATGGCAGTAATCATCTCCCCAGGTCTCTGTCCTTGTCGGCCCAGTTTGACCTATTCTCTTCACCAGCCCTATAGGGTCTTTCAAGTTAGGGTATGTTGCACAACTGGTCATTTCGAAGTCGATAAGATACCGTAAGTAATGTCGACAATAGGTGTTTCGAACCGCTGGGGGCTGAGAAAGCTACCAACCCCAGTATATTGGGCCAGGGCTTAGCAAAGACTCAAGGAGGACCAATGCCCTCTATGGTCGGAGTGAACCTCGCGTACTCCGCAACTTTATCCACCCTAGTATCGAATGACCTTGCGAAAGACCAGATGCCGATCTAAGTGGACTCAAGGCCGATGAATGGATGGTCGAAAGACGTCGTTCGGAGCCTCCCAAAGGTCTGAGGAATGGACAACCCACGTGTCGTCTCAATCTCATACTAAATGATACCTGCTGCTGTCTCAGACGGACCGACTGAAGCCGTCCCTGGACCTTCAAAATCCTCGCCTCATCACCTAATGTGACTGACAGGACAGAGATCAAGACAAATTCAAGTCCAAGCCTAGAAAGTGGCCCCCCAAACGAGGGTACTATGTTACTAGCACGGGGTCCTGATCAGTGGACAAAGCTCTGGAGATTTTGTGACGCTTGATCCATCAACTTCATGGCAGTTTAGCTTTAGAGCAATCCCGACGTATGCTAGTCTATCCTGCCCCCGAGAACTTCTCCGGCTGGGGTCGATGCATAGCATCGTATCTGGGCATATGCCGTTGGCTCTCTTGAGAGTTATATAATAGAGCTGTGAGACCAGTGGCTTCCTGCGAGATGTCTTATGCGGCCATAAGATTTTCTTCACTTGTCGTTATCTCTCTACGACCTTGTGACATGGACGTCATTGAACGTGGTCAGATCTCAAAGGAGGTATTTTGCGAAGATGCAACGGGTTGACCCTGCTGTTGAGAAATGGCTGGTGCGCAAAATTAATCCGTAATTGATGCCATCAATTTGCATTCTTTACCCTTTCTCTTTTGTGGTGCTATATGTTGGCTCATTGACAATGAAGGACCAAGCGCCTAGAGACTTCAGGATCGGGCCAATATGGGCCTGGCACAAACATCGCTGGAATGGAAGATGATTTGCATCTTTCTGATTAACACTATCCAATGGGTTATCGGGTGCACGTGTGCAGCAGCACTGTCCAAGTAAGTTCGCCAATATCAATCTAAGTTCCTTGGGCCGACTGCAGAATAGCGTGACCCTCTCTCGAACACGACCATCTATCTTTTTACAAAATCATTATGTTTGCATGGGGAGTGATGGCAGCGCTTCTCGCCTACGTTACCAAACCCTCTCGTCTCATTGTCCTTCGACTACTGCTAGGGATATTCGAAGTCGACTTTCGTGTAAGGGTTAATCGAAGAATGATTACACCTGACGTGGAGAAGTCCGCAGTGCTCTTTATGATCTCGATCTCGTATGGCATGAACGGTCAGAATTCGGTGCTTTTGGCGGCGTTGCTGGCGGAGCAATCATCTCCAGACTTGGAGATGGCTCCTGTTAGTCAAAGGGGTCACCCCCGTTGGAGTATCTCTCGTTGGGTTACAATTCTACCAACGCTCGGTACACGACGGCCCTCGCTATCTTGTTATCCTCTTCGCTACATTACCTGTGTGTTGGTACGCGGATCAACACCGCACAATCGGGGATTGTTCCTTACCCGAATGATGAGCGTTAGCTGCAAATTCTCAGCTCTTACTACCAGAATCCACGGCTTCATGGCCATATATGGGTTCCTTTGCTTCATCAATAGTGCCATATGGTCGAGCAATGCCCTCGGCCTGTCCATTGCCATCACGTCTCCTCTCAGAGTCAATATCGAGATTCGAGTAATCGGCCTAGCACATATGAACGGTCTGGGTGGATTGACTCAACGCCATGGAAGTGCCCTGTTTCCTGCGAAAGATGCACCGGCATCCCTGGCAGATTTTTACCCAACCGCACATTCTCTTTACTCCGTTGCGACTTCCAATATATTGGAGTCTTGAAGTTCGGTTTCAGGCGTATGATCCAGGTGCATCATACACTGCCAAGTCATGCATATGATATATTTTTGGGGACAGTTTTCTCAGAAAGGGCATTGAAGTCTTTGCCATTGCCAGCCACTCCCAACTTTAATTCCGAGCAACGGCACATCTCAACCCATTCGGGTCTACTCTTCCGAGAATTCCCACTTCAGGGTGCGTCTCGCAACCGACCGAAATGAGGGGTGCGGAGTTGGCGTCGGCCAGTATTAAACCAACGTGGGCGCCTCGTATCTCGAAAACCGTTTGTCAATATATCCGTCACCCATCTTATGACCATGTCTCTGAAAACAGGCGACCTTAACAGCGACACATCCACAAATGGTGTAACCGGATCGCACAAACCGGACGATATCCCCGCGACTTCAATATTCGCCAACTTTGTAGCCAATGCCGACACCAACGCGCTATCGAGGGAGATACGAGGCAGACTGAAGGAGTACATCGTCGACTTTATCGGAGTCACACTAGCTGCAAGCTATTCCTCAGACTCGACATTTTCAATTTGCAATGCCGTCAAGTCTCTGGGAGGACAAACGGGATCATATACCGTGTTGGGAAAGGGAAAGTCATTTACCCCTCAGTACGCCGGCCTGCTCAACGCTGCTTTAGGCCACTCGCTGGATTTCGACGATACCTATGCAAAAGGCACGCTGCATGCCGGAGTCACCGCGATAGCCGCCGGTCTGACCCAGGCGGAGATTCTCGGTGATCAGGCAGATGTGGACAGATTTCTCCTAGCTGTCGCCATCGGATACGAGATTACATGTCGGTTGGGCAAGGAACTCGGCAATGAAGCATATTCTCGAGGATTCCACAATACTTCGACCGCGGGCATCTTTGGTGCCATTGCGACCATTTGTGTCCTCAAGCAACTCCGCGCGGAAACTGTCGAAAATGCGTTTGGACTCGGTGGATCGAAGGCCGCGGGTTCAATGCAGTATCTGGAGAATGGGAGTTGGAACAAGCGACTTCACCCGGGGTTCGCCGTGCATGACGCATTCATGTGCGTGGCGCTGGCTGAGGCAGGAGTCACTGGAGCAGCAAAGATTTTCGAAGGCACCTTTGGCTTCCTGCACGCATACAGTCCCAAGGAAAATAAAGATCTGAGGTATCTCACCGAGGATTTGGGAGTGAGATGGGAATTTTTGGAAACATCCTTGAAGCCGTTTCCCGCTTGTCGCATGACGCACGGATTCATCGAAAACGCAGTCAAATTGGGCCGCGATAAAGGACTGAAAGCCCGGGATGTGAAGAGGATTACTCTGTCTTTGAGTCCGGCCAACGTCAGCGTCGTGGGCGCTCCGACTCCCAACAAGATTCATCCCGAGAATATGGTCGATGCGCAGTTTTCCGCTTACTTCACGACGGCAAATAGCTTTCTGTACGGGTCGGATAACGGCGTCCAATGCTACGAGAAGGATCGATTAATGGACGGGGAGGTTCGAATGCTCTCTGACAAAATCAATTGCGTCGGCGACAGCTCGATTAAACAATTTGGGTCGAGAATGAAGGTTGAATATGAGAATGGACAAGTCGCTGAGGTCGATATCCCGTATCCGCTGGGCGAGGCACAGCACCCTTTCACGAGAGAGCAAGTCGATGCAAAGTTCTTCAGTTTGGTCGGTCCGATACTCGGAGAGAAACGAGCAGTCAGTATCCGAGATGCAGTAAATGATATCGAGAAGCATCCCATTCCGGAGCTTCTCGGCATACTGTACTGACTTGATTATGGCATGTATAGAAGTCCTTTTCTAAGTTCACCGACTTTTACTTCTCCTCTTGCTACTCCTTGGTTCATCACGATAAATCTCTCACGTCGGATCTCGAGCAGTTTTATGTCCATAAAAGAGGATACTGCAGGAATAGAGCCACCTCCGTCTGGTGCACTCGGGCGGCTAACTGAGGCTCAGAATGTCTCTGGCATCTACAAGGTCCCTTGACACCGTTGAAATCCAGTCCAGCCAAACCTGTTGACCAGCCTAAAGGATAAGCAGATAGCTCACATCCTTAACTGTAGCATGCCGCAACTGGCCTTGTAGATGTGCTTTCACAGGTCGCATTCACAGCGGATGTTGTCCTTGCAGCATCGACGGAGGGATCACTGGTGCCGGGAAAGACGAGCATTGGCCCGGGCAAGCGACTCTCCACCGGAAGGAGTCATGGCCGCAAAGTATATCCGGATACAGGAATCCTGGTACCGTTCAACGTCCCTGTCACCAAAAAAATATCCTGGACAGAGCGGCATTGGGCGGCAGAATGTAGAGGGATGTGTTCTTGTACGGTTCGACTTAAGCGTTTGAAGGGATCTTGACGTAGAAAGGGTCGAGCTGTGTGGACAGGCCAGCACAATTGGATCTCTCGAAGTTGACTGCGACAAGGGAGAGGAGCCAGAGAGACTGGATGGAATTGAAGCGCACAGGGAATGAGGAGCGAATGAAGGTGGAGTCTGGATAGTCGCGGCTAACTATATCAGAATCACAGTCACTCCCGTATCTCGCTATCCTCCCGCTACCTCTACCTCACTTCCCTCTCAAACACTCTCGCCGAAGAATATGGGCTACATCTCTCAACGGGCCCTCTCGAACCTGGTCCGAGATAAACTCCACGATGTCCGCGCCTACTGCTTCTACAACCAATATGACCCAGAAACCAACCCAGAAGGCATCGTCGCGCTAGCTGTTGCCGAGAACAAACTGATGCGCGACGAGATCGTCAACCATGTCAACACAAACATGAATGTCAACCCATGGCATCTGACCTATGGCCAGGGACCCGCCGGCTCGACCGCCCTGCGCAAGGCTCTGGCTACATTTGTCGCCGATAACTTCCAACCCTCGACCGAGATCAACGAGAGCCATATCTGCATCTGCAACGGCGCCGGCAGCGCGGTAGACAACATGGCGTTCTGTGTCGGCGAGCCTGGCGATGGTATTCTCGTGGGCCGCCCGCTGTACGTCGGGTTTTTCCCAGACATCGAGGCTCGGGCAAAGTCAGTGCGTCGTTCCTCCTTCCCTCTTTCCCCCCTCCTCTCTCTTTTTCTCCTTCTTTTAAAAGCAACGTGCCAAAACTCAACCCATCCTTTTATGCTCTTGAACTCACATTCGCAGAGTAAAGCCGGTGCTCGTTGACTTTGGATCCATCAACCCCACTTCGCCCGCTGCCGTCGCCCTATACGAACAAGCCTTACACCTCTCCAACGCCGCCGGCGTGCCTATCCGTGCCGTCCTGCTCTCCAACCCACATAACCCGCTGGGCCGACCCTACCCGAAGGCTTTCCTGACAGATATGCTCCAACTCTGTGCAAAATACAACATCCACCTGATCTCCGACGAGGTCTATGCGTGCTCTCACTTCCCCAGCACCGACTTTCCTGACCCTCCATCCTTCGTCTCCGTTCTCTCTCTCCCCCTGGCAGAGTACATTGACCCCTCTCTCGTCCACATCATTTACGCCATGAGCAAAGACTTCTGCGCCAACGGCCTCCGCATTGGCGCCCTGATCAGTCCCGCGGGCGGGACCTTACTCAAAGCCTTCAAGGCCGTCGACAGCTTCACGCGAGCCTCCCAGGTGGCAGAGCATGCGTGGCTGAATATGCTCACTGACGAACCCTTTCTGGAAAGGTATTTTCCGCTGTTCCGGTCTCGAATGACGGAGGCGTACGAATTCACTGTGTCGTTCTTCAAGGAGAATAATATCCTGTATAGCCCCGCGAGTGTGACGAGTTTCATTTGGATTGATCTATCACGGTATTTGAAGGACGATTCGCTGGAGGCGGAACTCGAGTTGAACTGGCGCATGGCGAGGGGGGGAGTGTGGTTGGCCATGGGGGCGAGTTTTGGCAGTGAACAGAATGGGAATTATAGGTTGACGTTTGCGACGCCGAGAGAGGAGTTGACGTTGGGTTTGAATAGGTACGTTCGAGTTCGAGTTCGAGTCTTTCATGTCATGTCACGTCACGGCTCGTCTACGGACTTGGGCTCGGTTGTTATTCTCTTTGAAACGAGGCACTGTTGGAGTGGGTGATTGTGTACTGATCTGCCATTACTAGGTTGATGAAAGTCTTAAATGAGGTGGAAGAGGAGTTAAATGCGAGGAATTGAGACGTGCAGCAATGGATTGAGTAAAGAACAAGATCCCGAATTGGACACATGGGAACAAGAATGGCGAGAGGGGAGAAACATAGACTAACAAAGGGATGGTATGTCCAATTGCACAGGCACCCGGGAAGAGAAGAGGGGGGGAAGAGATGCCCAGAACTGGTAGCGTGAAGCATTTTAGGTACCTGCAAATCGGGACCAGGCTTGATCGACGACACCCCCGCAAGCAGCCGCTGAATCTTTGGCTGGCACACCTTGTGGCGAACTATTTTGGCACGTTCCCTGCAAACACGTCGTCCAGGAACTTCTCCGTAGCTTCATTGAGGAAATGATCCTGCTCGGGGGTCATTCCTCGAAACAGGTGGTCGGCTCCATCCACTGGGTGAAAGATCACAGGGACGCCGGCTTCTTTCAATGCTGCGACGAGTAGTTCGCTCTGGTGGAAGGGAACTGTATGATCGTCCGTACCGTGGGCAATGAAGAATGGAGGTGTCGAGGCGGATACGTAGGTCATGGGATTTGCTCTCTTGACTCTATCCGGGTGCTCAGTGATAGTGCCCCCTAGGTATCGGGATTCGGGCGAATTTGGGGCATTGTGGGGACGAGTTCCCGGTAGTGCGTGGTCGTCCATCTGGAGAAAATCGGAGGGGGCATAGTAGTCCACCACGCCTTGGACTGCGCTGGATACGTTCAGGTATTCCCCGACATCGAATTCCTTGGTTGTGTCGGTCGTTCCCAGCATCGCTGCTTGATGACCACCCGCGGATTCACCCCAAGCAACGAATTGATCTGGATCCAATCTGTACATGTCGGCATGTGCCCGGAGCCAACGGACCGCCGACTTGCAATCTTCCAATGCTGCCGGAAAGTACGCGTCTCCACTGAGTCGGTAGTCGAGGGAGGCAACGGCGTAGCCTTTGGTTTGCAGGTGTCTGGGAACGAGTTCGGTCTCTTTGGTTCCAAAGAGGAATGCTCCGCCGTGAATATAGATGATCAAAGGTCGTTGATTACTACCCTGGGGGAGAAAGAGATCGAGTTTCTGTCTCGTGTGGCCATTTTCGACGTAGGGTACGTTGTAGATTTCTACGGCATCATCCATGATGGGGGAAGGAAGCGTGGACGGAGAAGACAGGAGGTGGATGAGGATGAAGATGCGATGCGTTGACGTCTTGCGAATGAATTTTAGAGTTGAGGCGGAATCATATCCGATCATCGTGGAAGTCACTCACTTCGACGCTCCATCTTCAAACCACCATTGTGATGGCATTTCATTGCTTCTCAAATACTCTACCCACTTCACTCACTAGCGGAAACCAGTCTATGCATCTGGTCGACAACTTCGTCACCTACTCTTGGGTTTTCTCCGGTTGAGCCTCTGTCGGTAAAGTCGCCAGCAAGCAAGAGAGAACGAAGAATTTTGGTCGAGGGGGCCATTATCTCCATCCGTCACAAATCCTTTCGATCACAGGCAATTTACTGGGCCATTACCGTCCTTTGATCCTCATGTCGAGCGTGAATGAAGCAATGTGTAAGAGAGAGGAAACAACGCGACATGGATGGGAACCCTTCCCCCCTTTTAAGCCCCCGTTATGCAAGGAGGGGCCCGAGCTCATTTGCTTGCTTGAAGGCCCTCCCAGGCATAAGGAAGTCTGTCGGAGGCTCACTGGGCCCTCAATAACCCCACAGTTCTGAGGTTCTTCTTCAAACTACGTTGCTGCACAGCTCGGATACCCTACGAGAATCAACGTCAAAATGAACGTCGTCTTGTCCGAATCCTAGAATTCGCCTGATTATCTGAATTCGAGGCTGCCCGAAATTTTTGTGAAACATTCACACCGTCTCTTTGTTGACTTTGCGGTATCTGAAAGCTTTCGTGGAACGCTAATTAGCCACGGTTGCGTTGGCGTCGCAAGGACCGCTTTCTGCCGCCGCCATCAATGGCGCCGATCTTCGATCTCGGTTAGGAGCTATCATCGACTTTGGCCCATCGTCGGGCCGGCCCCTTTACACCCGTCGGAACCATTGTTCAAAGCCGACTATCATGTTGTAGTATGTTTGTTTCCATCAAATGGCCGTCCTCTTGGTTCAAGCATTGAAATCATGTGCGCAATAACTAGGATCATAATCGTCAGCGTCATTCTTCAGTGCAAAGTCCATTTTGGCAACATTTCTAGCCGTGTGGGAGCACAATCATGGTGGAGATCAAAAAGAACCCTTTATTCCCGAAGCAGATTTAAAGCCGGCGCAGATGTGGACAATGCATGGACAAGTCTCATGGTAGGAGACCTTATGTGCGCCTAAACTGTCCCTTGGCAAAGGACCTTGTCCTAGCATTCCGGCCTTCGGCTGACGTACATTCCGTGTATCGATTCTTCATCAGCGAAGATGACCCCCTTCGGCCTATCGCAGTCTTGAGATAACTCAAGGTCCGTTGATTTGTTCACGTTGCCAATCACCGGGCGAGTTCAAATCAACTGAGCAAAGTGGAACGCATTCATTGAGGATCAAACATGTTGTCCACCAAGAGATGACCGTTCTAAGGCTTGCATGTGCATGGCCGGCATTCAGCTTCTGCAAACCATGTCCCCGAGTGTGGTCTGAATTGTGTTGGGATGTCACAGCAATGCTTGTCCCGGATGGTCCACGGATAGCGATAGAGATGCGCAAGGCGTGGGCCGCCAAAGGCCATATCGATAAACACCCTGCAGCAACATGGAGACACCGACTCCTGGCAACAATTGTGCTGGCATGCATGGCTTTTTATCTTCGCATTTACCGACTTGGTTGTCCCCACCATTACGACGACTTTCACCCTGGGGAGGTAACAAGCAGGTTAGTGATTAGCCCATGCCCCGGAGGGATTGGTATTCCTCGGCTCTTTCAGTCAAATGCTGGGATTTATTGGCCTCTCGGAGATTGTTGTGGTACGCTCCAGGCTTTTTGGTTCCAGGCGGAGACTCCAAGAGGGTCTGAAGAAATCTGACTTGTCCATCCTTTCCCGATTTCTGTCCGAACCATAATCCTTGGGAAGGACCTAATGGCTTTTCGATGTGGACCAAAGGAATCTGGGTTTTGCTTCCTCGCGAGCAATTAGTCTCACTTTTCCAAAATCCGAGTCGAATTGAAGTCTGAGAAACCATCTCGACGGAAGTCTAACAGCGACCCCCGAAGCCTAAGCCCCCAGACCCCGCAGGGAAAATGGCTCCCTATCCCCATGGTTTACAGCCTCGGGCTCGAAATTTTTTTGGAGGAGCTACCAACTTCGGGCCTCCCCTATGGGGCTTCCCCTATGAAATATCCCGCCAACTCCCCATCGTTCTGGTCCTGTGTTACTTCCACTTCACGCCAGTCATCTCTTCATTGCTGACGATACGCTGTCATCTCTCCTGAGGCACGTCAGCAATCATGACTGTTCAGAAGAAGTATACCTCGTCTCATTCGAGCTCTTATAATCGGCTCGTCACGGTTGCGGTTGCCTTCGGGTCCATGGTACGTTTACTTCCATTTCATGAGATGCTTCAATGTTCTCCTCGGAAACACCTGTTGACTCTAGAAGACCTATGGCTACTGCTCTTCCATCATTGGGAGTACTATTGGTCAACCTGGCTGGTACCAGTATTTTGATCTCCCCATGCAAGGGGAACCAGGTTATGGAGGAAAGACCACGGATACAATCGCTACAGCAAACGGCCTCTACAGCGCTGGCGGGGCGGTCGGGAGTCTGTTTATTGCGTGGTCGGCAACAGCCATTGGTCGGAAGCGAAGTATTCAACTCGGAGCCCTCCTTGCCATCATTGGAGGCGCTTTTCAGGGCGGTGCCGCGGCTATCGCGTGAGTTCGAGACCCCCATGGTATGGCCAATATGCGTTGACATTTCCGCCAGTATGTTCCAGGTTGGTCGAGTGATATCGGGTCTCGGGATTGGCATTCTCGTTACTGCCTGTCCGATGTATCTGTCCGAACTTGCCCCTGTCCACAATCGCGGATGGCTGGTTGGTCATCATGCCATCTTTTTGGTGTTCGGCTACATGCTTGCCGGATGGCTTGGATATGCCTGTTACTTTGCCACCCCTCACAACGCATCGTTCGCCTGGAGGTTTCCCCTCTGCATTCAGACTCTCCCACCCCTCGTTTTGCTCTTCACCTCGTTTTGGATTCCACGGTCGCCTCGATGGCTCCTTCAGAAAGGCAAGACTGAAGAAGCTTGGGGGGTGATTCAACTTCTTCGACGATCTCCGGATGACCCTGATGATCTTGTGGCGAAGGAGGAGCTTTACCAGACCAAGGAGCAAATCGCTCTTGATGCGGCGAAATTGAAAGCCGTGGGCTATGGTCCGTGGATGGCCTGTATTAAGAAGAAGAGCTATCGCAAGCGCATGATTATTGGCTTCTTGACTCAATGGGGTGCGGAATTTTGCGGTCCACTTGTCATCAACAACTACTCCGTCATTTTGTACACCAACCTCGGACAAACAGGAGCTATGCCGTTGCTTCTGAGTGCGGTCTGGCTAACAACTGCTGGTAGGTTTCCTCATTTGGTTCCTCGCCCATGTCCACGCTCACCCGACCTGCAGGTGTCATATATAACCCATTGGGGGCATGGCTACATGATAAGGTCAACTCACGCCGATGGATGTACATGATCGGCACCGCCGGCTGTCTCGTCACCACGTCCTGTTTGTGCGCCATGCTCGCTGAGTACGCAGGTACCAGCAACCAAGGAGGAAATGCTGCTGGTGCGTCCTTTGCGTTCTCTTATCTAACCCTTTCCCGCCGTATTCGAACTAACTTTGGTCATGAAGGCGTGTTCTTTGTGTTTTTCTACCTCACGTTTCAGGGTACCTTCTGCGACACCACCATGTATTTGTATGTCTCCGAGATCTTCCCGACGGAGATTCGGCCCATCGGAATGGGCTTCTCGTTGTTCGGCCAATTCGCCGCTACCATCATTCTCCTCCAGACAGCACCCATCGGCATACAAAATATTGGGTGGAAATACTATTTGGTCATCGTCTGCTGGTCCGCCGTCTACCTCCCAATGATCTACTTTTTCTGGCCCGAAACCGCCCGGTTGTCGCTGGAGGAAATCTCGGCAAAATTCGGCGACGACGTGGCGGTCCACGTCAACGATGTCAGCGAAGAGCAGCGACGAGAGCTAGACGAGTTCCTAAAGTCCAAAGATATTGTTCATTCCGATGAAACTCCAACTCCGACAGAGATCACAGAGAAGTCGTCATCGAAGGTCTAACTTGTTTCCGAATGGAACGACTTTTAGCACATTCACTCACACGGAAACGAATTTACTCTTTACGGACGAGAAGTGAATATCCCTCGACAGTAGGATGAATGAATTCTGCCAATGGAGAGTCCATATGTACATCAGGGATCACCCTCGTTCTCAGAAGTTTATTGAAACCATGGTCGGGGTCTCTGGCGTCGGGAAGAATCCTTCTGGATGTATTCCAGATGTCTCATATGTCAATATCTATACTAGAAAAGAAGACTGAAATCTAAACTATATGAGTCAAAGCATGCATTGAAAATTGAATGGGCCGTGAAGGAAGGGGGGGAAGAAGGGGAAAAAGCAGATTCCGTCATGCGGAATGAGAGGAGATACTCTGAATGCATACTCTCATCTATGTCCAGACCATAGGACTGTCTGTCAACGCTCAAAAGATGCAAACACAATTCGGAGGACTGCTGACTCCGCCAGGCATGTTGAACGGTGCACTCGCAACGAAGAACTCCCAGCGGTTCTCACGCTGACACAATTCGCTGAGACCCTCAAGGTCAAACAGCTCACCGATGGGCATACCCCAACCCGCCAGAAGGTACTCGTGCAGGAAGACCCCGGGGATCTCGCTTTGGCCATCGGGAGCGGGATATGATTGGTGCGCCGGGTAAACTTCGAATGAGATGGCGTCGCTCGCGACGGCTGCGAAACCCGTGTCCCAAAGCCAACGCAGCATGTCTTCGGTGCCCTCCACGCCAGCATGTAAGGGCCGGGACGTCGTGGCATAGGCATTCTTGTCTTCCGCCGTCATCTTCGTGTCCCATTCCTTCGTGACTCCGACCCGTACGAATAGGATGTCTCCTCGTTGGAATGTCACATTGGCCTCGCGGGCAATCTCCAGTAGGACGCTCAGCGGGATATAATGCTCGCTGAATGCTGAGTATTCGATCCCCTTCCGCTCCGCGTAAGCGACGTAATCGAGCAACACACCACGACCGCAGATTCCTTGCTTCGCCCAGGCCTGGATGCCGATCCTGTCGGTTCCGGGCGTCGTGATCTCGTCCTTTACCACCCCGCCGTAGAAGACTCGTCGGTCCGGATCTTCCGGTGACGGATCCGGCTGGGAGAAATGCCGAAGTCCATCCCACTGCGAGCTCTGCTGCGGGTTAAAAGTATAGATGTCGTCGAAGGCTACACCACCCAACAGCGACACCATGCGGTGTTGGCAAGGCTCCCGGTTGAAGTTCGCAATCTCCAACTTCGTCAGCTCCCAGCCCACACTGACCCGTCGGCCGGTGCGGATGCACGAGGCTGCGGCCGCGGATACAACATCGGCCGTTAACAAGATAAGGCGACCTAGTCCTTCCTCGTGCGACCCTGGCGCATAGGGCCATACTTGTCGTTTGTTGGGAAGAGAATCAAAGGGCATCAGGTGGAGAGGATGAATCTGTATCTCATCTTGGGCCTCTTGGTCATTTCTAGGGGCCGGGGTGGATCCCATTGTCTTATCGCGGCCTGGGACAAGAATTCCAGATAAACAAGAGTGCTGAAAATGACGATATTGAAGTCGGTAAAGGGCTGGAGGTTTATTGGGCTGACTAAACCAAAGCGAATCAAAGATTTTGCTGTCTCGAGGAGAATACGATGGTCGGCACAACTTAAAACTGGACGGGGTTGTCCTCCAAATTCTCCTTCCTCCATAGACTTCCCACTGGTTCGTCCGACTCGTGCCTACCGGCTTCACACCTAATTGCTCCATAGTTTCCCCGCGCTTTGGGTCTCCGAAGTTCGGGCGTGCCGCAGAGTTTCATTTCAGAACTTTGAGGGGCCTGTCGCCAGAACCATTCCGAAATCCGGGGGCAATTCGAGCTGTACAGTCAGAACAGCCGTATTTGTGACGGAAATATTCTGTCTTGTTGGGAAAGGCTGTGGTTCCCGCCCAGGTGACCCAGCTCTCGACTTCATACCGGAGACGTTCCACCCCCCGCAAGATTTGGGAAGCAAATCAACTAAGGCCTAAAGCCAATCAGAAACCCAAACTGTAGGGACCTGAAGCTGTCTCTGAGGGTTTCTCTGATGGCTTAGCCGTCGGTCGAGGTGACGTGGTGAGTGATCAATCGCTATTGATATCGAAACTTTCGAGTATTCGGATGAACTTCTTTGCTAATCCCCAGAACCGCATCTTTCGTAGCATCGTTTGAGCATCCTGACTGAGTACTTTCAATCCTTCCTCGCTGAAGATGTTCTCGGCGGCGCCTACACTCGCTCGGCCTCCATTCTCAATCCATGTCGAGATGGCAGTCCGCTGACCATCCCGATGATTTGACAAATCTAAATGGACAGAGCACGATTCACAATCGGTGTCTGGAGACGGTTGGGGGCCAAACTTCGCGAAGGCCAGAATGAAGGTATATCCCATGAACACTCTTAGTATCTCACACGGTGCAGAAACCAAATATTCGTTTGCAACAGCAATGATCTGAGCCGCATGCCAGGCGAGATTGCGTGCCTTATGAGGGTTCTTGCGGAGGATAGATGAAAGACGTCGTTTGGCCGATGCCAAGCCATTGTTCGGCGGCTTCGATTGAGATGCTGAAATCCGGAAGATGTGAACGACGAGATCCATCGCTTCATCAGCGCTGTAGAGGTGTGAATAATGACATATTAATGAGATTAGACTGTGAGACCATCGTCAGTTCAGCCTCCCAATTTGCGGGGCATGTCAACTTACTTGTAGTGGATAAGCTCGGCAGTAGAAGAGAGATTGTACATTGATTCACAAAGCGCATTGAGTCCTTGCAGCAGGGTACTTTTGGTTTGTCTCTGAGCGATAGCTAAGGACGGGAGCTTGAGGTATTCCGTCGTGGACATGATGTCTAACTGTTTGATGTCCCATAACAGTCGGCCTATGCTTTGTGCACAGAGTCTCCTGCTCCAAGCTGGCAGATCTTCAGGAACTGGTTTGCCGGCCAAAATATTGCGGAGCATTTTCGATGTTGGAGCGCCACGTGCTGTAGGGGACGAACGAGAGTAAAGAGCTATCCAAGCCTGAGCAGATGGAGCATCCCAAAGAGGTTCTGCGCAGGGCAAATGACTAGGAAGTTCGGGGAGGTCAACGGCACCCCTTCTCGAAGTCAGCGTGCAGAGACTGCAGTCATATTCGAATGAAGACCAGGCGATCCGTTTCTCCTGTTCTTGATCCTTCCACCTGAGCCACTCGCTGGATGGATCGCTGGTTGACACGCCATTTATCACATCGTCCTTTTCAAACTCGGTACTGACCCGAGACTTGAGCAGACCCATTCCCCGAAGACACCCGATCAATATACCTCGTGAGCAATCTGCATTTTGATAGAGTCGTCGATTTCCCGATCCAAGGGAGTAGATTTGATGGAGGCAACATGCTATGAGATAGGGAGCATTGTAATAGTTGGTACTGTCAGCACCTCCCTGCAGCATGTTAAACCAACAATCCTCTGGAGTTTCCCGAGCGATACTCACCAGCCAAGCAATCATTTGAATACAAATCTCACTTAACGACCAGGATTGCTCGGTCCCTTGTCGATCATCAGAATACATGGCTCCTATGCAAGACATTGCTGCAAGGGTGACAGTGGGAACCTTGGCCATGTTGAACGTCGGCATGTGAACTAATGGCAGTACAGCGTGGAATTCACTGAAATAGAGTTCCAGTGAAGTTTTCAGAAGTTCCATGGCCGACATCGTACTCATATCCTGAATGAAGTCGATCTCCGGCAGATATGAGGCGGATAAAAGTTGAATCAGACTCCTGATGGTATTTCCATTGTCTTGTCCGCTTGATGCCATGGTCCCCTGAAGGATATCACGCAGGGGCGGTAGTCGATACTTTGGGGGTTCCGGGTTTCGTGTATGATCGAAAGGCCATTGGTGGGCGGCCGCTTGTGACTCGATGGCTTTGGCACTGTTCGAATCTTGCGCCCGAATGGGTTCGAATCGTGCTGCCACGTTTTGATAGTTTCGATCGTGCAAGGCTTCCATGGTTCCACCCGATATTGAGGACGAGGTCGGGACGTGATATATGCTTCCGGGCTGAGAATTTGGGCCCAGGGACTGCGTAGGATCACCATTATTGGGGGAATCCAGCTCTAGGTTCAGCCAGTCGACTCCGCCTTCAGCCATGCCGGCGATTTTGGGAGCCGAATTCGAGGGCATGAAGTTGTAATCGCCTGGGAGGTAAGCGCCCTCGAATCCCATCATGGCTTGGTTAAAATCGTTGCCCACATTGGTCGGGCTGGTAGTGGAGAAAGAAACTAGATCGGGAGGAATCATTGGCATGGAGTTGGGTTCCGGGGGGTGCTGGAAGAATGGAGCGTCATGAAACGCCTGGGCGTCTGGAGGTCTTTGAGCAGTGTTCGGAATAAACCCTGGAGGAGCTTGAACCAGATCTAGTGGGTGATCGGGATGCCGTCGGTAATCAGACTCTTGATAATGGGGTGTCTTCTGAGGGGGGGATTCGGCCTTGCCTTCTGGTGCTTTAGAGTCGCCGAGAGGCTCATCACCGGGGTATTGGCAAGGAGAGGACGACTTTGTGCAAGGTACACACGGTCGTACACGGTCACATTTCAGCTTCTTCTTCACACAGCGAAAACAGGACTTTTGAGCAGACTTCTTTCGGGTTATGGAGGCTTGATGGGCCGTTCGGAGATGTCGGAGGAGTACATCGTTCCGCGAGAATTGACGACCGCATTCGCCACAGGAGAAGTGTTCACGTCGAGCAGGCGGTAGATGGGACTGGAGATGACGGGCGAGGTGGCTTGGTCGAGCAACAGTAAGGTCGCAGTCAGGACATTGGAGGGTTCGTGGTTTCTTTGCAGTGGTCTGGGAAATCCTCATATTAAACAGGGTCATTGGGAGGGGGGAAGGGACGAACCATGGTAGATTCCAGGTCTCACAGTAGAGGATATGTTAGATATTTGTCTTGACGGGCAAGATGCACTGGGTGAAATGCCGGGCATGAATCAATCACCGTTCATTGCGCAGGCACGCGATGTCGAGGAAGGAGGCAGCGCTGCACATTTTGCGAATGAAGAGATCAGGTTTGTGTTCACCGCAGCGGAAGACAGTGATTGACCATCAGGGAGGCAAGAATTGGGGATATCAAATTCTCTGAGGGCAGAACATGCGCAAATATACTCAGTAGTTGTAGGATGAAACTGCATAAAACGGATGTGTGTCATGGAGGAACCTGGGGAAAAAGGGCCGCCAGCGATGAAGAAGCCGGCAGCTAGTTGTTGACTAGCTATTAGTTAGATCCTAGGCAGCTTTTATTCCTCCTTCTTGGACATATTTGCACCCTCATTTTAGCTTGGGGAGCCCACTGACCTGCGATTCCCAGCCTTGTTTGGGCCTAATCAGCCTCTCCCCCGCGCACCATCTTAATCCTCTCATCTCACCGAAATACTGCAACCAGTGGCTGTTAGGCGATGATCTTCTGTAGCATTTGATAGCGGGTTCGTTTCCACAAAGCAATAAGTCTGCAGTCGATTGCTTGCTAGACTTTTGTCTGACATCAACAATCATAGCTTTTTAAGACCTAGAATAGAGAGCCCAACGATGCTTGTCCATGTCAGGCATCCCCACTGATATACAACTTACCCAATACGATACGAATTGACGATCAGAGCTTATTCAATTGCGGTACCCTTTATGGGAGCACGCGTGAGATGTCCCTTAACTGACCGTGCTCGGGGAGAGAGCCTTTATATCTCTTCATTGTGGCATTCCAACGAACCCCTCCTGCGTACCCCGGAGGCTCATGACCGGATGGCTGCAACACCCGGAGGAACACAGTTCGGGCCTGCAGAAAGAAACGAGTCCTGACTTCCCCCGCCCTCCTCACCACAATTGCCTAAAAGACTCCTTGAGGGACACTCCGAAAAGTTAGGGAGACATTGGGTGAGTTTGGCTACGTGCTGGGCACTTTCTGTTTAGCGAGCAGCCAATTTCCGTGCAGAACAAAAGCTAAAATGTTGACAGTCTTAGAAAGTCACCCAACATTCATACGAAATATCATGCACTTGAGGAATCGCCCATAGGATGCGAAGACCGACAGCACTAAATTCCATTCCGTGCTCCTCGTTCCTAAGAATCTGCCTTGCCATGACATATCCTTTGCAGTGCCCGCTACACACAACGACCTCCATCAACCTGGATTTCAGTTAGCATTCATCCGCGGTGGTCCTAGTTGAAGCGTACCTCTAGATTGACACCGGTAATGAATTCGGCCTCATCACTTGCCAGATAACAACAAGCATTTGCGACATCCACAGGAGTACTTCCTCGGCCGAGGGGAATCGTGGAAACAAAAGCAGCCCGATTTTCCTCCGTGTCTGGCTTTCCGAGGAACAAATGAGTCCTGGATTAGGATGAGTGTAAGGTCATGATCAAAGAAGGATTTGTCCAAAGGGTCAATAACGTACATGCCGGTGCTCCCCACCACCGGACAGACAGCATTGAATCGAATCTTTTGAGGCCCGTATTCGACCGCCATGGTTTTCGTGGCGTTGCTGACGGCCGCTTTGGAGGCGTTGTACCAGGTAAGACCAGGTCGAGGTCGGATACCCGCTGTTGATGCGACTTGAACAAACACCCCCGGTCTTTTATTTTCAAGAAAGTATGGAAGGATGACATTCGTCGAAAGGTATATCGACTTTACGTTTACGTCCATCACAAGATCGAAGTCTTTATCAGTGACTTCGGCGGTGGGCTTATTGGCATAGGTTGCTCCTGCATTGTTGATGATAATATCAAGACCTCCGAAGTGATCCAAAGCAGTCTTGAGAAGACCTTGCCAATGTTCCCTTTGGGTCACATCGGCGACGGAGAATTGACATCCCAACTCCTTCGCCACCGCTTCGGCAGATGCAGCAGAAAGGTCCGCAATAATGACCTTGGCCCCTTCATGGACGAACTTGGTGGCAATGCCTTTACCAAAGCCAGATGCTGCCCCAGTCACAATGGCAACTTTTCCTTCGAGCCTCCCTGGTGCCATCTTGATGTTGTGAAGGTTGTGCTTTGCCAGGAGCCGCCGGATTTTAATACTTGCTCAAATGACTTTATAATGTCAATGGTCGAATGGTTGACCGCAATTAGTATGCGAATGAAGACAAGCTCAATCTCGAGAACGAGAATTATAACCTCGCGGATTTTGCTTGGATGCGATATCAGGCTAGGAATAAACGTTTTCCTACGACCAAAGTAGAGCGGACTGGACCACCGACGTTTCGTATATTGAAGTGTGGCACCCCCGAGTCCGAGGAGTGGACAATCAAGGAGGCTATCGACGTAGAACTCCTCGGCGCTCTTTTCCGTGCTCGCTGTGGTATTGAAGAAAACGTTTTCATCGAACACTTTCTGGCATAGCGATCCAATCAACATTGAACTTTTGCCGCAAGCCCTCTTTTGGTCTGGATACCACCTCCAGTTACGCGGGATTTCATCTCCCTCGGGTTTCCCAGAGTGGTCAATTCCGAATCCTGACATGCTCTAGTGTTGTTAAGAAAAGCTTATCCGAGGAAAACGCTGCGGGGAAGTTATTATGACTAGCTCGTATTAGAACTTTCCTTGCCGCGGTAGATGTCCCTTCCAGCATAGTGGAGTTGAGCAAGAAGAAGTTGTACCTCTTTTCGTGCGCGTGATGCTGATGATGTATCACTTTCGATATCTACAGCATCCAGGATAGGCGCTAATGCTCAGGGACATCCCCCACCCATTCACACGGCTTACGCTCCGGGTCAAGCTGTCACTAGGCCCCATCCTGGCGGCACCTCCAATGTCCGAAGCCGTCATGAAAATTCGATACCGGGTATTGTCCAGCGAACTGGTCATCCGCCTCATCCGCTCCCGTAGTCATCCAATTCTCGGCAGTACGGGGCAGGAATATCAACAAAGCGCCAGAACAAATCCGGAGAGCCAGAAACAAGTTGTTGCGATAAAACATAGGCCCAAAATGTGGGCAAGGACTTTCGGCCAGGCCGGCACGATCTGTCATCACTCGAGGTTAAGCACGACATTTGCCGGTGTCCAGGTCGCGGTGTGAAGGGTCCATGGTAACATATTGTAGCCGAGGGATTTGATTATGGTGCCATGCACGAGATACAAGGCGTAGGAGATCTTGCCTAGGTAGTGGAAGATAGGCGCCAGAGAAGAGCAGGTCACCCCGCTCCAGACGAGGAGGATCGAGCCGATCAGTAGAAGCGCCTCGTCGACATCCTCAAACCCCCAGTGTTGGAATAACAGAGGCCGATAGTTCATTTTTCTGTTGTATGTACATCCTAATCGTGAATGCGGAGATCCACATGGTTCTGTACCAAGTGCCAGGTAGATGCATGAGTATCGCGAGCAGCCCTTCTCCCAATCCGGCTCTTCGCCGGCGTAACCTTTCGTGCGTGGAGTCCGGCAATAGTATGCGGAGCGCATCAAGTCGAGTTCTGCGCAGACTATACCAGCAAAGAAGAGTGATGTGTGCCGTCAGGCGGTATAGATACCGAGCGAGGGGACGGTGATGAGCCATAGTACGCTGCGCATTCGGGACGTCGTCACCCAAAGTGTGAATACGGCCGTGCTGCTGCGGAACTCCTGAGGATTCGTCCACTGGTGGTCATTGTACATGAAGTAATGTAGAACATTGGTGGCTGGATGAAAGGTCTAGACGGTTCGTAACCCCATAGATGTAGGACACGCGAAGATTTTTGTCTGATTGCCGTTTGATAGGCCCCCTTTCTTGCTAGATAGTGTGTCGGTTTTGAGCAACATGTGGCTAGTATGGATGCACTTCCACGAAACACTGGTTTGTGGTAGCTGTCAGAATCAGGAATGTGGCATTTGATGGAGAAAATATTTTGCCATGACCAGTGATGAGAGCCTCATCGCTGCGTGCCTGATATATTAGTGTCGAACAAGGCCTCATTGAACGACTGAATAGTAACAAGTACCCCTTTGTGGAATAGGGGTTGTCACCCCCATGCAGGATTTATGGGTGGAAATAGGAGAAGAAAAGGGGTCAAACCAACGTGTATATATACCAGCAATCTGGCAGGACCGGTTGTGAGGTAGACAGAGCATTCAATACATCTCAAGTTGTTCCCCAGTTCGACAATCCCATTCTGTAAGGAGATTTCTGGATGAGATTGAAAGCGATAGAACCTGGAAACTATCGCGAAAAGGGCTTAATGTTTTTTGTCCTCTTCTTCTGCGTTTCGGGTCATGATACTGCCAACCACTTATATCATTGTTAATAACGTATCGAAAACTGGCTCTAGGTTCTGGACGTGGCTCTCAAAGTACAATTCAAGCTGTTTATGTTGAGTTGCTTGTTAGCAGACTCCGATAGGCATCATCTTATGGCCGGATGGATGGCTTGTGCAGGTGAACGAAAGGAGAATTTGCCTCGCCAGTTTTGTCAGCTTGAACTTTGAGTTCCTTAATATTTCTATTTCGGTACTACAGTAGCTTCAGGTTCTAGGTTTCCTTTAGGCGGCTCTGTGGGACTTGAGCGTGTCGGCTATCAATACTAGGAAGCTGTGAGATCGGCAGCTGTCTCGAAATAGTGGCTGCTAGCTTGAGCTCCTTATTGTTTCCATTTCGGGTTTACCTTATCGCGCACGTTCTAATGATACGGATCCAAGGAAGTTTTCATGAATAATTGTTTCCCATAATGGAGCATACGTTGACTCAGATTCAGCTTAGCAGCTAAGAACCCGTTCCTGTAAGGACCCAAAAATTTCGACAAAAGGCGGGAAGCCTCATAAGGATTCATATCTAGGGCTTGTGATGACCCTCTGGAGAGCAAAAGAGTCGTTCAATATATGTCTCATGCGGAGAAGCTTTCTACGTCGTTGCTGGAGCCAAAGAGACGTCCAGTTTGAGTTCCCCTGCCTGCTTATCCAATGGAAGGTCGTGTAGGGGCTACGAGGTGGTTGGCGAGTTCGTAAGCCAAACCAGGAACTTATACTTGGAGTGCTCAGTTAGCTATCATGCCCACTGCGCTTGCCTGCAAAATACGCCTCGTTTGAATCACCGGATCTCTCATGTGCTGCGTAGATACACAACCACTCCTTCCCAAACTATCTAATTTGAGATGACTTCTTCATTTCTTCATACTTTGCCAGCCCTTTTCAAGCAAGCTGGGCAAGGTTGATATTATGGGAGCCAGTGATGTAGTCGTGATCGTTCTCCACCCATTCAATGCACGGGTCAAATTGCCCCATTGAATCCTGTCCTGCCAACGCTTCGGAAGTAAAACTTTCTGGTTATTGCGGTACCACTCAGCTAAAAAACGACCATGACAAGCATAATCCGTGTATGATCAGTCCGATTTGGCATACCTGCATGCCACAGACGTATGTCACAGGATGATCAATGAACCTTTTGGCAGCTGGCCTGGATAGGAGGTCGTACTTTGTGACGCTCTTCAAGCAGTTCATCAGCGTATTCGATTGGCAACTCCACACTCTTTCGCACGCGCGGCCTTTTTCTCAAGAGCAATAACTGGATCTGGCCCATCATCGTCATGTCCATTGACAGTGAGTGCCCCAACTTGGGATCATCGTGGGTGCCAAGCTAGAACTCAGTGGCACCATTCTCGGGAGGCGCGCAGGCATCGCGTCCGCATCGCGAGATTAGCATTTTCCTCGGTCAATCAGAGATGGGCATTGGGATTTTTCTCGACCAATGAGCAGCGAATTCGTCGGCCAATCAGAAGCGAATTCGTCGACCAATCAGCGACGACTCAAGTCACGTGAACGGAATTGATAATTCTCACACACGCGGGCAGGGGGGTCGGAGTCTAGAAAAAGCTTCGCTAACGCTACGCTTTAATAACGGGTACCAACCCAGACTTCCATTCCTGATTGAGTCCCCGCTGGCTCTACTGCGCAATCCACACCACCATCTCTGACGCTTACAGCCGAGCAGCCACTGGCAGTGGGTCGCTGCTCTCTGGCGCGGTATTATCGGCTGTTGCAGTACGACCGGTGAGCATCGGAAGTGCATGACCTGCAAGTTTACACAGCTTAGCTGTTGTTCTCACTGCGATACCCAAAGCCTCTCGCTCGTCGCAGTCGTGGCTTCTCTCGTGTCGTTCGAAGAGAGATCTCAATAAAGGAAGGTCGCCATCAGCGCTGGCTTTGGCGAGTCCATAAGACTCTTTGGAAAATATTGGGAGGGGAGGAATATCCGCAGGGTCAAGGTCTTCATCAGGAAGGTCACCAACTATGCCGTCTTCCATTTTTCTAGAAAATTGATCACTTGTGTTGGATAAATTCTCAGGTGCTTCGAGGTGTGAGATGTGAGGCTACCCAAGGAGGGTCTAGCGGGATATACTGTACGCTGCGCCACTCGCATTGGTGTGCCGAGGCACCAAGCGACCTTCTCTGAGAAGGCACCCTGTGCGGGGTATGGCTCCCTAAAATTTAGAGACTATTAGGGGCACCTTCCCGGGGAACGACCCCTACAGTTCAGGGAATAAGCACCTATCTAGGGCCCACGTTCAGTTTTCAATGTGCAGAAAGAGGGTTGATAACATTTCCTTGAGTCATCCAACCATAATCAACCACTTAGCTGATCACATCACTGAGCCAAGGTGTGGTTTAACTTCTCGCGGCTCACCCCCGATCGGGAAACAGGTTCATGCCGCCCTGTTCTCACCCCCCCCCCCCCGGGCGCGCGGGGGGCCGCCCATCGGATCCAGTCTACGCACCACTCAACCCTCGACGAGTCACGTGCCCCCCCCCCCCCCCCCCGGGCGCGCGAGCCGGGTGAGCGATCACCCTTGGAGTCACCCGTCGTGGGGGTGAGACTTAGCAGCACGCTACGGCCACCGTGGCTCCGATGGTGCGACGCCGACCGGAGGATCGGCCTTTCTGATTGGACATGTTTACCAGCACTCTTGCCTTCAAGCAGGCTTCGCGAACTGTCCCATCAAAAGGTAAAGTGCCGCAAAAGCAGCGTCGCGGCACCGATTGTTCTAGAACTACGTATGTACGCGGATGATTGGTGGGCAAGCAGGTGGATGTCTATGGATGAGCCGTGGGTGACTCCCCGGGCCAGGGTGGGTGAGTACCCGGTTGAGCCGGCTGAGCCGTGGGTGTTGTTCGCTTAATCATCATAGGCAACTTTCTTCGAGATTTGGCGTGTCCCAGTTGTGGTGCCTGACCAATCCTCTGCTCAGATTGGCCCGATATGACGGGCGCGGACTGGGGTGAATAATTCCATGAGAACACTCTACGTTGGCATATAAACATCGCACCAGAGAAGATTCACGGCACATCATGAACTCAGGTTGAACCCATATCGAGTTAAGGCTATAATAAGAGTCCAGCAGTTTCTACGATTTGGAGGATGAGGATGTGGGCTTGGCCCACCAGGATCTCGCCATGGGAATAAAAGGGTGTTGGACTTGCAGAGGTAAACACATCAAGAGTGGATAAGCTCCCATACGAACGTCAATGGGCTGATTTCTGCTTAGAGCGTAAAGTTCGATGTGACTCGCATTGGCCGAGATGTGGCAATTGCACGAAGGCGCGGCGTGTCTGTCAAGGCTATGGCATCCGGCTGTCCTGGCCTCGAGATGGCGACAGAAAAAGAGCAATCATCTCGCGAGATACGCGCCGCGCAGCGGATACTCTTCAATCAAATGTCAAGGGGTTCTTGAATTCATCTTCCTGGGACATATCGCTATCGGAGGAGCTAGAGAACGGAAGGATTTCTGGTGAAAACCACCTCCGACACACTGTCAAGCTGCTTGATACTAACGGCAGTTACCTGTAGCTCGTTACCTTCGGACCATGAAAGTCCCTCGCCCGACCTATCTGTCGCCCACCGTCATAAACAGAGAGGAGTCGCATCTACTAGGGTTCTGTATGTAGGGTGACTCTCCAGACCAATCATCATACTGACCAAAACATCTCAGTCAACGAATCAAGATCGCTGATACTAGGACCTACCGACGAGGAGGCTTTGGCACAATTTATCTTGACAATTGCCTTCTCAGATCCATCCGATGCGACCAATCCAGTCCTACAAGGCGTGTTTGCTCTCGCATCACTACAGCTTCACGGTAGCTTGAAGAGCTTTCGCTACAAGCATCTTGTCATATCATCAGTTAAAGAGTCAACCAACTGGCTCGACGAGAAGACGCTGCTTCAGAACTTGATGGCAACGATGCTTTTGTATCATTATGAGGTAGTATAACCCGGTCCGCACAGGCTTGCCATGGTCGGCTAATGATCACAGCTCTCACTCGAATCAAACTCCAAAGGGAGTTGGGTAATATATATATGCACAGTGAAAAGGATTATCAACACGTCACCAGCAATTCAAAAGCTGGTTCGGCAAGAATATTCGGTCTTCCTTGATTGGATTTATTATCACGAGGTCCTCGCAGAGTTCACAGTCAGGCATTGGAAGGTACCTTATGAAGGTTGCGGCTTTGCTCCAACAGCAAGATCACCCAGAGCCATCGAGGGAAGCGGTCCAAAGGTAAATGGAAGCCTTTTGCACTTTCTCCGGCATCATCTAATACTTCGGCAGGTAGAAGACAACATCGGCTGTCCACCTGATGTGCTCCAGCTCATTGTACATACATGTAGACGAGCTCTAGTCGCGAAACCCTCCGAGATGAATTATGAGAATGCTGGAATGGATCGCACGAAGGTGCTGGAACAGAACATTTCCAGGGCAGTAGGAGATTATGGCCCAATTCACGTACCATCTGCGACCCCGACGGACCGGAATACTATGGTCGCCGATCTTCATCGACTCGCGTGCTTGATATATGTCAATCGGGCGGTCCATTGCGTTTCAGGAACAGAATTCCGTCATAGGCGACTTGTGAGAGAGGGAATATTATTGTTGACCAAGATGGTAACATGCCAGAACGCGTGGCCATTGTTCATTATCGCCTGCGAAGCAGTTGGCGATGATCAGCGCCTTGCTATCCTGGACGTCTTTGAACAAAGTCGGCAAGATCGAAGACAAAGATCAAGTCACATTCATCTTATTCAGCATATGGTTGAGGCTGTGTGGAACCAGCATGATCTCAATGCGGAGAACCAAGTCGACTATCTAACAATTTTCGATGCGGTTGTTGGTGGAGTTCCATTCATACCACCATTTGCCTGAGTTCAGGTCACGGCCCCATCATTTCCATCCACTGTTCTGATGTTCTATCAAGATAGGTCAACTCAGCTTCCGGACTAGAACCACTCGTCATGATTTCCGTGATGTGTTACAAATTTCCCACTGTTCGCTTCCGTCAAGCTCTGAATCACCTGAAGCTGATCGGTGACTGATTCATCTACCGAAATCGGTCCATTGACGCCTGGGTCGAGCTTTCGAAATGCATTTAGCATGAATTTACGTATAGCCGGGTCGCCTGTGACGGCTTGAGCTGTTCTGAGTCAGCCATCTGTGCCGACACGACTCGCCTTGCGTATTGACTGACCAGCATCTGTGTTTACCCATCCTGGACTCATAGACAGTGTCTTGATGCCATCTTGGGCCAATTCAGCGCCGAACTTGGTGGTGACGATGTTCATGCCAGCCTTGCTGACAGAATATCCCAGCAGGGTAGAAAGGCCAGTGACACGAGTGAACTCAACGTCTCCACACTGACTGGTAATGAATATGATCTTCTTCTCTTTGCCGTTACGAACGAGACCGAGGAAGCAGTTGATGACGTAGATGTTGCTGATCAGGTTTGTTTTGATCTGTGTGCAGTCAACTTTTGCTGGTATCGCTCAAGTGCTAGCTGAAGGATCATACGTTCTCATTGAACTCCTTCTCCAGCGCTTCCTCCTTGCCATGACTGCACCGTGTCAGCAATTTGAACACTCAAGCGCATCAGGCCCGTTCACTCACAAAGCACTTGGCGGTAGCGCGCTGGTCTCTGGCCCTGCGGAGCCAGCGTTGAGAATCAAGACATCAAGCGAACCGGCCGTCACTTTAGAGACTTCAGCGGCAGCCTGATCCAACTTCCTCGGGTCGGAGATATCGGTCACTACAATGTGGATGTTTTTGCGCTTTGCAGCAAGCTCCTCAAGCGGACCGGCAGTTCCTCGACTTCGAATGATGGCAAACACTTGGTTCTTCGGATCGACAGACTTTGGCGGCGCAGTCAGTGGCATGCCTTTGCCAAGACTACAATTGTAACGGTAGACTCACAAGATTATCGACGAAGCCGAGCTGCAAAGACGTTCTTGTTAGCATGTGAGGATGTGATTGTGGTGTTGACCTGGGGAAGCTTACGCCGATGCCTCGCGTCGCGCCGGTGACAGCCCAGGACACCATTTTCAGTTTCGTCGATATTAGGCAGCGATAAGTGACCAGTATAGAATGTTGGAGAGGGTTAGGATAATATAGATCGTTTTACTCCGTTCGTTTGGTTGTGGTGAAGCATCGACGAAGGGGATGCTGTCGCATCCTCTTATACCCATCGCGGGACCCATCGCGATGTGCCACGGAAGTGAGAGGTATTCGGTCGTGTATACTGTAATCACTGGAAAGTATTTGCGAAGTAATATTAATAATTCACGTTTGGTATGTTCGCTGATACTGTCGAATGGGGGTGGCGGTAGAATTATGTAAAGCGAAGCAACTTTCTCCGACTCTTGGGCAAAATATTGAAGATGGAAGAAGCGCGATTGCTAAGCAACGCGTCCACCAACCAGAACTATTTCCTTAGAGACTTATCGGAGCAAGAAGTATAAAAGGATCATTGTCATGTGGAATAAAGTCGTAACAGTTCCAGGACTCCAGCATTATTGTTTGCAAAGAGTGTCACATTGTGCACAGAGTCCAAAAGTCGTCCTCCCCCTGCCACGTTAGCATGTCCGCATCATTGTCAATCGCCCTTGTTTTTGGCGCCGGCCAAAACGTAGGAGCCGGCGTCGTCAAAGCCTTCTCTGCCAAAGGGTACAGGATAGCAACAGTGTCGCGGACAGCTACGGCGGACGCAAGCGACAAGCGACTCCACATCCAGGCCAACCTGGAGGATCCCGAAAGCGTCTCAACAGTTTTCGAAACCGTCCGCAAGCAACTTGGCCATCCAAGCGTAGTTGTCTACAACGGTTCGTTACGTGGGGTTCGTTGCTATTGTTTCGATGCTGACGAAGACAGGCGCGGCGGCCTCGTTCGTGAACAAGGAGGACCCATTGGAAATTTCTCTCAAGGATGCCGTTCGTGATATGAATGTCAATACCTTCAGCGCTCTCGCTGCGGCAAAAGAGGCCGTCAAGTCCTTCGAGGCGCTGCCAAAGGACGCAGCCCGGACCTTTATCTTTACTGGAAACATAACGAATTCTCAGCCAATCCCAGCATTGATGAGTCAGGGAATGGGAAAGAGCGCTACAGCGCACATGATCCAGACGGCAGCGTCAGTCTACGCGGACCGCGGATACAGGTAGTCCACGCCACGTCCTGAGTTACGGCCAAACGCTAACCGAGGCAGCTTCTATTACGCAGATGAGCGCAAGGCTGACGGTGCTGCTGTGTACCGTGCTATTGATGGAGAGGCACATGGGAAGTTCTATGTGGAGCTTTCCGAGAAGGATCAAGGCCCGTGGCTGGCGACGTTTGTCAAGGGCACCGGTTACGTAGACTTTTCTTAGCGTTCGAACATGTAGGGTTCTAAGAAGAGATGGGAATCCACGATAGGCAACACTGCGCCCGTGAAGAAAGCGCTGATTCGGGCACCCGTCCAACAGTATAAGTGTATAAGGAAGGTAGTCGGTGCTCGATACCGTTTATGAATAAAGATCAAGTCGTCGTAGGTCCACAACGCGAGGAGGACACGAGTAAGGTCGCGCACCGTGAAGTTATGTTTCGGTCGGTGCTTATTGACAACAATACCCTCGAGCACCAAGGTACGCCGAATCCACTGATAAATGTAAGCCGAATATCCATGTCTTGATTGAACGAGGCGTAAGAGACAGCCGCATCTTACGTAGTAGACCTCACTTCTATCCTCTGCCTTGGTATCGGAGCCGGTAACACGGGTGAAGCCGGCGAAGAACCGCTCGGCGACGGTACAAATGGCGTCAGCGGTTGACCTCGGCCTCGACGCGCCTTTCTCCAGCTGCGGATGGCTCGTGGCAATGTAGAACCGAAGAAAATCTTTCACGGTGACCAGGTCGGGTGCCGAGACTCCCTTAGCCAGATATTGATTACGGGCTGTGTCTTCGTTCGGAGGAGGTAGTCCTTGTCGGTCATAATCTTCTCGCATGGCTTTGAGGCGCCGTCTGACACAAAGTGTTAGGATTATCTTTCCTAGCAAGAAAGAGAGCGTCAATCCGGGTTCTTTGCATCTCTTGTCACTCGCGTTGATATTGACGCCTTTCGTCAGTCGCTGATTCAGTGGATTGTGCAATGTCAGGTGTCCTTTTCCGCAGTCGAACACGTCCAGTTTAGAAACCTATTGATACTCATTCAACCGTCGATTGATCCGTATCTTGTCCGCCCGCATAGGACGGTCACTCGTTGGATGGGGGGGGGGAGTCCAATAGTGCTCGACAGACTCTGAAAACTCGATTAGCAGCCGCCCCATCCAAGATTCACCTTACCTTCGATATTTGGACCTCCCCGAGTTTCTCAGCAATCGTTGGCGTGTGCGCTCACTTCCTGATGCCGTAGTATCGTCCAAAACAAGTTCTAATAGCTATGCGTGAGATCGACGGCGCGCACCAAGGCGAGGTCGTTGGAAACGTGATAGAAGAGATGGAATTGCAGGATAAAATAGGAGTGTGTTGGATAGAGACGAGAGGTTTCCATAGACGACGACGTTACAGATGGTTGCTCTGTGCAACGATGTAGCATTCGCGTATCTATAAAAGGAGCCTCAGGACCTCGACAAGTAGATAGAAAATAGAGCGCTCCTTCATCTCAAGTTGCATAACAAGTTTGACAGAGTGTTTGTTGGAGACAACGCAGGAAACGTGGACACGGCAGTAAGGCGATATCGTCCTGACGAGAGCGTTAATCTGCATGCACAAGGTCGCTGTTTTGGTCACATAATTAGTCTCGCGGCGCAGGCGTTCCTATTTGGCGACGATTGTGAGGATTTTATGGACGAGGTTGCTGTCGCTGAGCAAGCGATAACTAGGTGTTACACGCAGACCTTGTAGAAGGCCCAGGAACTGCCGGGAACAGAAGGTGTGCCGAGAGCACGTGACTTCCAGGAAAGGGAAAGAATGATGTGATATTATCCTGGCGAGTCTGTAGCTGGATTATGGGCGATAGGCATGATGCTGGATCAGTTGGTAGGCATTCTTTGATCGCCAACCACGAGATCATTTTAGGCCAGCACAGTGATAGGCAGTAGAGAATGATGAACATTCAGTAAAGCCCATCTTATCGAATGGAGTGGTTTGTGGCATGTTCTCTCAATTTATAGCAGATGTACCTGGACACTTTTAGCCTAGGCTGGATGCGTGTTATATTTGAGTAGTGATGAGCGGGAGTCTCCACAAATCCCTACATAGGCGGCACCTTTCCCAAATAAGTTGGCAGTTAAAGTGACATGCCTTGGGCTGACATCGGCAAAAAGAATTCATGATCTACTTATACGTTCTCCTGTCGATAATTGAGGCTTCATCAACAAAAGTGAGTGAGTGTTCACCTCAGTCGACAGGGGTGGGGCACGGCAAGGCTCCGCCGTTCGAGGGCCTCCAAGAAGCCTTTATCCTTTTCCAGCCGATGCCCAGAGACGGCCAAGAGCAATGCCCACTTGCCAATCTCCCCTGAGCATTCCACGTGCTGTGTTCAGTTGTGTCGACTTGAACCATTCCGCTCTGCCGCCCCATTTCCAAGCGAGCAATTCCAGAGAAAACCACAGTTACCTCCCACGTCAAGAGAAACTGCAGGAGCTTAGGAAGAATTTGGCCCCTGTGTTCCATCATGCCCGTACTATCTTATCTGCCAACTCCACCACAAACCTTGGACATCGTGGTAACATTGCTAGTTACTTGGCAACTTGACTGTTTCTTCTCGAAGGTGCCCAGCTACGACCCCGAAACTCCCAAAACAATACACCAGTTATCATGATTCGCCGGTTAGGAGAAGCAAGTGAGGGAAGATCTCATCTGTACTCTTCGCGTTGATGCAGAATAAAACGAGGGTCTGTCCTGCTTTTGAAGGTGAGGAAAGCTTTTCCCCCCTTCCTGGTTTTGAGCCCAGTTGAGCCCTTGGCCACGGTGGCTGCCCTCTTCCTATCGTACAGTACTTCTTTCATTGATATCAGTTTCTCCTCTGTCCGACCAAAATGCATCCTTTGGTCAGAATTCTGGTTCCAGCGGCTTGGATTGCCATCTCGTTTTCTTCACTAGCATCCGCCGAGGATGTTCTGTTCAGCAGACGGACCTTGAACAAGAGAGGTCTTGATGAGGATGGAAACTACAACATCTCATTCTTTCATATCAATGATGTTCACGCTCACTTGGACGAATTCAGCTCCTCCGGGACCGATTGTACACAGCCCGAGAGAGGTTGTTATGGCGGTTATGCACGAGTTAAACATGTCATCGACGAGCAGAGACCAGCATACAACGACAGCTTGTTTTTGAACGCGGGCGACGAGTTTCAAGGAACGCTGTTCTATTCATTTTACGGCGGGGAGAAGATCGCAGAGACTATTAACCAGCTAGGTTTCGATGCCATGACGTTGGGAAACCATGAATTTGATGGCGGCGATGACATGTTAGGTGCCTTTCTGGAAAACCTCACCTTTCCCATCGTCTCGGCGAACATCCAGTCAGATCATCCCGTCTTGAATCGCACCATTAAACCGTACCATCTCTTCGAAGAATATCAATTGGCCGTCATTGGAGTCACGACGGAGACCACTCCTTCCATATCAAGTCCCGGCAAAGGGACCACCTTTAGCAGTGCCATTGACGCGGTCCAAAACACGGTGGACCTCATCAGGAGCACGACCAACATCACCAGAATTGCCGCACTCACCCACATTGGCTACGAAGAAGACCAGAGGCTGGCCGAAGCAACCTCGGGTCTATACCTGATCATGGGCGGTCACAGTCATACCCCACTGGGTGATTTTGAGGACGCCGAAGGGCCCTATCCCACCATCCGAAACAATGCAGACGGGGAGGAGGTTTTCATCGTTACCGCCTACCGATGGGGCGAGTATCTGGGTTATATTGATGTGACCTACGACCCGGAAGGACGAGTTCTTGCCTATCACGGCGGTCCTATTCATCTGACCAACCAAACTGAACAAGACCCGGCGCTTCAAGCCCAGGTCGAGGCTTGGCGAGGACCTTTTGAAGAGTTCGCTGCGCAGGAAGTGGGAGAAACACTGGTCGTCCTGGACCAAGAAACCTGCCAGGAGATGGAGTGTACTCTCGGAGATTTCATGGCGGATGCCATGTTCTCTTATCGCTTGAACGCCACGGATGAGGTGGATTTCGCTCTTATTAATGCGGGAGGCATCCGTGCGACGATCGATGTGGGACCCATTACTCGAGGGGAAATTCTGACCTCGTTCCCCTTCGGCAACTCTATCGTCGAACTCACTTTGAGCGGGCAGCAGGTTTGGGACGTTCTAGAGGGTATAGTCACCGGTGTCAATCAAAACAATGGAGAAGAAGTCACCAGCTTCTTCCAAGTCAGCCGTGGAATCATTGTGGAATACAATCCCGAGAACGCCAACGGCACGAAACTGGTCCGAGTCACGGTGGGAGAAGAGCCCTTGGATTTGCAAAGGGACTATACCATTGTCACACTGGATTTCCTTGCTGGTGGTAAGTCGGGAAAATCTTGGGGTCATCTTGCAGTTGAACTAATCGTGCGCAGGCGGTGATAATTTTTTCGTCCCGACCACGGATTTCATCACCCTGGATACCCAAGATGAAGTTCTTACTCGCTATATCGAAGAGCAAAGTCCTGTTGACATCTCTCTGGACGGACGTATTGCTGTCGTCGAAGGAGCTGCCGAGGATGCCAGTCCCAATGCCACTGAAACAGGTTCAGCAACAGGCTCTGGAGCGACAGCATCTGCCACTGGTGAGAGTGGATCTTCTCGCTTTGAGGTGCCAACCCTCAGTCTGATTCTGACCGTCTCCTTGTTGTTCCTTGTGGAATCATGCTAGATGTGAGGGGTGACTGTCCAAGGGGAACTTCCATACCAAGTATACATTGGTTCCAAATAGACAAGATATGCTCTTTTGTCTGTGGCTCTTGGAATGAGACATCGACTTTCCATTTCCAGGACCCTTTCCCTCTTTTTTTTTTTTTTTTCCCTTCTTTTTCTTGGCCCGAGCCGGGGGGTTTCTCTGGTAATTCTATTCCAAAGCGGCAACTTTTACTGATTTATTTAGATATAATTGAAACTTTGCTCCCTCATGTTCGCCATTTCGAGCCAAGGGCCTAGCTATGTCGAATAGAAAACTCAATTGAGACCTTGTCAACTCCGATCTCTCCCCACGTTTTCCGGAGCCTTGACTTCTCCGAAAGAATAACCCCAAAAATTCCTAATTCTCAAGGCCATGTTACCCCACAATCGGGGCAGTCTGGGGATGGACAAGGGACGAATGTATCCAGGGTCTCATGATGGTTCCTGTTGACTGCCGATAACATGATGACGTCCGGGAAGGGCACGGCAGGTGAGAGGATAAATAAGTGAATCTCCTTCAACATACTCCAAGACTGATACCCATCCACAAAGAATCATTCATATCGAGTCGATCATGCTGCTCCTGACATGTCACCCAAGCCTTGGGTAATCATCGTGGGTGCGGGGCCATCTGGCCTCCTCTTGGGCCTTCTACTGGCCAAACGAAACATTCCCGTTCAAATCGTCGAGCTTTCCAACAAATTGGACGAACAGCCACGAGCCACACACTATGGAACCCCGGCAATGTACGAACTACGCAGAGCCGGTGTACTCGAGGACCTCCGCACCGCAGGATTTCTCCCGGCAGAGGTATGCTGGCGCAAGCTTGATGGGACCGTCCTAGCAGGCATGGAATGGAGGGTGGTTGGCGACGACCCGGACCGCATGGTTTGTTTGCCATTAAATTGCCTAGGAAAGATACTCTACGATCATATCAGTCGCCAACCATCGGCCAGCATATCCTGGGACCACAAAGTCGTCTCAATCGGCCAGGACGAAGATAAGGCGTGGATCAAGGTCGAAACGGCTCAGGGAGAGAAGACTCTGGAGGCGTCGTACATAGTGGGTTGTGACGGAGCAAACAGTCAAGTTCGACGCTCGTTATTCGGCGACAAGGAGTTTCCCGGGAAGACTTGGGACGAGCAAATCGTTGCGACGAACGTAAGTCAGCCCTCGACCCTCAGTCCTCCATTTATATTGAAAAGTCGTACGTAATGCTCACGTCCGTCGTCTGGTGACCGCTTAGACATACTACGACTTCTCCAGATTTGGTTGGAAGGATGCTAACTTCATCATCCACCCGGAACACTGGTACATGGCGGCGCGCATCGGTAAAGACGGTCTCTACCGTGTCACATACGGCGAGTTGCCTGGCTTGACACACGAGGAACTCCGTGAGCGCCAGCCGTGGAAATTCAAGACAATGCTCCCTGGAAATCCGGAGCCGGACCAATATCGCATTGTCAATTTCAGCCCCTATCGCGTCCATCAGCGTCTCGCACCGAGTATGCGTGTCGGACGCTTCTGTTTAGCTGCGGACGCTGCTCATCGTAAGGCCCTGTCCCTTCTCCTCTACCTCTGCCCGTCCGTACATGCATATTGACTTGTGCGTGCCTAGTATGCAACCCCTTCGGCGGCCTCGGACTCACAAGTGGCATCGTCGATGTCGGCAACCTCTACGACTGTCTGGCGGGCATTTACGAGAGTGTAGCCGACGATTCCATCCTAGACAAGTATTCCGAGATCCGCCGACAGAAGTACCATGAAATCATCAATCCAATCTCAAGCGACAATATAGTGCGGTTATTCGGACAGGACCCCGATACGGCGCTGGAGGAGGACGAGTTTCTCAAGATGTGTAAAAGGGCGGAAACAGATGAGGATTTTGCGAGGGAAATGCAGAATGAAGCAAATGCGTTGAAACATGATTTTACGCAGTATTATCGGAAACCGGCCATTCCTGAGAAGCTCAAAAGTCGAGGGATCTGAGTTTCAGAGTCGGGTGTACAGACTGCATAGGTTGCGATGGTTGGTGTGACAGATTGGCATAGGCATTGCTTAGTTAGCATAATTGTCCTTCATGTAGCGGTCCATCCATTAGTAAGGACCTTTCTGCATTCTGTAGGGGCTTACAAGACTGTTTTGTTGAGCTTCGATTTATATGAAGCCATAAGGTTGAGACTTCAATTTCGTGGCTCTCCTCCACAGGCGTGAAGAACCTTTCCAAACCTGAAATTCACCAAGTCGTTCAAAGTCCTTGTCGTATTGCACAAATTGTGCATCATCAACTGACTGATGGGCTGACTGAAGATGAGATCAATCTCGTCGAGAATCTTATTCTCGATTTTAGGCATTAGCAGAATCTGATAAATCCAGTCCAGCAACGCAATACCACCATAAAATCCCAATGTCCGGCCGGCTTTGGCCATGGCTCGTTACATGTCGGAGAAGAAGTAAGTGATCAGCCAGCTGTAGAAAAATAAGTCGACATCGGTGGACTCCAGACCGTAAATACCTTGAGTAAGTGGGGAATCACTTCGTTGGGAGAACCCAGGTCAAGCCGGCGTAAGAGCAAAGAAGCCGGTTGTACAGGATGACTCGCGCCAGATACGGGCCCTCGGTGGTGATGGCAGGATTTAGCTAGTACGAGACGTCCACGAAGATAAGGCCGATGAAAAAGCATGGAAGTATCTGTTGAACAGTAGTCAGTGCCCCTTTATTGGAAAAGGGGTTACCATTCCTATTCAGGATACAGAGACAGGAGTAGGAGTAGAAAAGGGATCAACCAAGCGTGTATATATCCTGGCAATCTGGCAGGACCAGCTGCCAAACAGACAGAGCGCATTCTTTCAATTCGAATTGCATAAGAAGTGTGACAGTATCATGTTGGCCCGAATCGACGGCCGATTATTCCCAGGAAAAGGGGCTCACCATCCACCCGAAACATAAAGACTGATTGTTTTCGGTCGAAGCCGATTTGAGATGTCAATGTCGACATGTTGTACATGATGGCGTTGATGCTGGTTAACTGTTCCAGGGCAATGATCATGCATGATGGAGAATTCCTTTCGATCTTCGGTGTTCTCCAGCCCTTGAATGTGTTCCACACCCTAAATGCTTCGAGAGTCTTGCCCTTGTCCTTCGCCATACGAGACGATTCGGGCATGAATACTATTCCGATGAGCATTATGATGCGAAACACCAACCAAGAGTCGTGCATATCTCCAGGATCCAGAGGGGATGTCGCGAAGACTGCTGCGACCACATATCCAACGACTTCACCAAAAGCAATCACGAACCGGTAAAGACTGACCATGTTGCTCTGATGTCTCCTTTCGACCGGCTTAGTGACGTAAACAGGCACCATGTCTCCTTCGAGGCCCCAGCCCCATTCCGAGAATGACCCTTGCGCAACAATCATGCCAAAATTGATAGCTCCAGCTTTAAGGGCACCGGCAACGGTGTAAAGAATTAGAGGTATATAATGATTGCCAATTTTCTTGGACCAACGCACTCATTGATTGGACCGAGCATCACAGCACCACCGGTGGCACTTAGTGGGACTGCGGACCTGGTCAAGCTCGCCTGAGAAGTGCTGAGGTGCAATTCATCTGGCATGTACAACAAGGCACCAGAGATGACCCTCTGATCCAGTCCAGAAAGCATGCCGCCCATGGATGTAAAAGCCGACAAGGAGCCATATGAAATGGCGGGATTCGTTGAAGGACAGTTGTGGGTTGAGGAGTGAGCTCTTCACCGGAGTCTCCAGTAGAGTTGTCTCGAATTTAGCAATTTCTCCATCCACGACAGCAATGTTGTCTTCCGCAAGTCTTATTGCCCGCGCCTCGTTCATGCATCCCTTGTGACTTGGTCATTTTCGATGTTTGCAAGCGCTTGTGAATCACTTGGGCCCATTTTCACGGAGAAGGGAAATCAATGACCCTGAGGAAGGCTTTCGCGACACATGCCTTCGCCAAAAGGCCGACTCTTCTATCATATATGTATTTCCATCCGGAGTTCTTACACCTCTACACTGCTCTTCGGAGATTGATCATGTTGCATTGAACGGTGCAACGTGTGTCGTGTCAGAGAAAGTCTCGCTTGAACCTTGATGAAAATTAACCCAACCAGCAATATCTATGAAGATCCATAAGACGGATTTGTGGATCTGTGGCATATATATGGTGGTTTTGGCGGCAAATGACCGAACGAAGACGCAAGCTTTTGGCAAGCTTCTGGCGTCAACCTAGACCAACCGTGGATTCAGTGGCGTTGGATCATTGGAAGTATTCATATCCAGGAGCGTGTCATTTTGTCGTACTGTATCATTCTTACAAGGAAACTTTCCATTATCGGCATTGGCATTTGAATGGATGTCGACCTCGATGTACTTGGTTTGCCGGTTCTCGCAAGACTCGTCATCAAATGATCAATTTACCTATGAATGATCTACGAAAGAGTATCGCCTGCAACGGCCTTCACAGAGTTCTTGTTCTTGAGAATTTGGCAAAGTCAATTCCATGAAACGTAGCCGTACTTTCCGTTGCTTTAATCCATACCGGTATCCTTTTACTACATTTCAACCACAATCTTCTGGGCGGAAACACCCTTCTTCTGCATTTCCATTGCGTCTTGAATCGCATCCAGCCCACCCACGACGACCTTGGGTTCTGGTTTGGCCAGAAGTTTCCCTGCTTCCAGGGCTGCGGGAACATATCCTTTCCAGAGTTTGGCCCCTACATGATCCGGGACCAATCCTGGGTCTGTAGCGTTAACTGATAGTGGAGTTAGTACGTCAGCGTCCACTGGCGGAGTCAACTTACCCAAAGCTGGCTTCACATTTCCAGGCAAGTCGCTTGGCGGCCAGAGAACGGTAGGAAGCACTCCGCCACCAAGTTGGCTCAATATATCTGCGCATGATCTAGTGGTGCTCTCCAGTCCAATGCAGTCGTACACTCCTGCAAGGGTGGACTTTTTGAGCCTTTGGACAATCAGATCGACAACACCGGGCGTGGCTTGATCGAATGCCTCAGCCGCTCCCAACGCTTTGACATATTCATGGTTCCTGGCACTGGCGGCGGTGATAACTTCATATCCCGAAGCGACGGCAAGTTGGATTGCGACACTTCCCATGGACGAGCTCCTCCCCCCAAATGAAGATCGTCTTATCATTCGAGTTTGCCTCGAGGCTGGGTAGTTCGAGTCCAAGATGCCCATAAAGAGCGGTGAACGAAGTGGACAGGCCAAGTGGAAGAACCACGGCCTGAGCGAAAGAAAGGCTGTCCGGGATTTTCGCAACCGTCACCTCGCGGCAAGTCGTGTAGTGTTGGAAACCGCCATGCTTTGCACCACCGTAAGCCAATCCAAGACAGTGTCTAATCCGCTAGTAAGTGTATGTCACTCAAGTTCTTGAGAAGGGAAAAAGTTTACCCTATGACGCGGTCTCCTGGCTTGAATCTCGTCACGGCCTCCCCAACTTTCTGGACAACACCAGCTACATCACTTCCCAGAATATGAGGATATTGGAGTGGCACGAGAGCCAAGTCTTGCATCTAGAAGTTCGATCAGCTTTAGATGTTTATGATACTGGAACCTGCCATTTGGGGGGTTGAGGGAAGAGGGGGAAGCGTACATGAGTCGGTGGAGAATCGGAGTACATCCCCTCTTGAGAAGTTTCTAGACTGTTAACGGAAAGCTCTCCACACCGTTTCTGTACCTTCCACCAAGGGTTGTCAGGCGGAGCCGCCTCCGCCTCCTCGTCATGAAGAGGCGATGAGAGTCACCTCCAATCTCGCTTAGGCCTTGGCATTGCGTGATCGTTAGTATATTGAAGGCCCTCCATTGAAATCCATTGCCGGTCTTTCAAACCTTAATAAGTGTTCGACATCCTTTCTATCCTTACAATGTCCGCAGAGATGGAACGAGACTTCTTGTCGAAGATGACAACAACTTATGACCGTAACCGTCTTACGGTTAAAAACTCTTGAGAGGTTGCACACCCACAAGCACTGGTTCGACGCCAAGCTTCTCTTGTGAACTTCCTGTATAGGAAGGCCCTCTGAGATCTGAGAGGCGTCAGGAAGGTCTGGGAGACAGGCGGAGTTGTGGGAGGCGACTCCTGGCAGCCCTGTCCAGACATGTGAAGATAAGTGTGTCCTTGAACTCGTCAACATCCTGCCAATTTGAGAGACGCGCCGGTTTGCGTTGAAATAGGTGGTAACCATCTCAAAAGAAAATTGCACCGAAGCCAGGCAATCAATCAAATTCATTCGTTGCAAATACACCTGCACTCTGGTACAGGGCAAATGCGATGCTTTTCGAACCATACCCTCGCATGAGCGGCGTGAAATCCATGAGAGCATTTCACGCAGAGCACGGTAAAGCGTGACATGGCCGTGTCCCACCTCTGAACTGCTTCGACCTTTTCTGATTCGTTTTCGGTCCCTGGATGTGCCCCTGCAACACGAGGTACAGCTTCAGTTCCATTGAGAGTAGTATGACTGGCTGGAATGGCGGTCCGGGTCGAGGATTCTGTGGTCTCTGATGCTTTAGAATTGCCCTGTGATCGTTGTGGTTGTTTTGGTCGAGGTGATTCGGTACCTTTGGGTGTCGCTGTCGGAGCACCAGGGCCAATGGTCGTCTGAACACTACCCGTCATGCTGGCGCTGAGATCAAGACTGACTTTTCCCGGGTTGTGTTTCAGTCCGTGTTGTTGTCCGTACCACGGTAAGTACGAGTCGTCAGGGACCCCGAGCCATAGATCGCAAACTCCGCAACGTGGCAGGTGTCGACCACATTTGGGACAAACGGTGCCAATAGCAGCCGCTTTCTCCTTTGTGAGAGGATGTTGGGAAGTTTCGACAACCTTGTGCCCCGGAGAGCTTTCTCCGTTCAATCCGACTGAATGGGCAATACCTTGAGCGCAGAAACCACAGACAAGACGAATTTGTTGCTTTGCTGGTGATATGAGTCGCCGGCCACTTTCATCAATCGCTGCATTTTGGCATGCAATGTCGAATCGAACGCGATCGAACTTCAGGTTCCAACCATTCATCATGTTCCGGTAAGCGTCCTTCCAAGCCGAGAATTTACGAACCACTTTCTCCTCGTCCACATATCGTGGGATGGCTGGACAAAGAGCCAGAACGGCAGTCTGCAAGTCACCGAACCGGCGAAGATACCCTGCCATCAATTCAAAGGCATCTGGTGTCGCAGTGCCGGTAAGTATGACACCTTCGATATCACCTTCCGCTAGAGCATCCTTTGTCGCTTGCGAGATATACCGGGTCAACTTCGAGTCGTCCAGATGTCGTAAAGCGACACAGACCCGGTATTTGAGAGGGAGAGACCCTTCCGACACGACGTTCGACCAATCTCCTGTCTTGACGTAGGCCAGAATTGCTCGTGCGTAAGGATCAGTCAATTCGTCAGCCAGGGAAGAAATCGTATCAACCCAGTCATTCTGCGTATCCGAATCGTCGCCGGTGGTGGGTCCGTCTTCATCACTCCGTACTCTTCTTGCTGCCCCGGCAATTGCCATCGCAAGCATCTTGTGAGATTGATTAGCGTTCTTGCTGCGCAAGGCCTTGTAAGCCAGTTTACGTTCCACCGCAAATATCGCCAGCGCTGCCGCTTTGGTGTGCTGATTTTGTGCCACGAGACGTTTCACGATCATCTCGAGTTCCTCATACGACCACGCCAGACCGGCGGAGTGAAGGCAGATTTGCCGATTCGCCATATATTCGGTTGCAATATCTTTGACGCGAGGAATATTCAAGCGGCGGACAAGATTCTCAATGATCTTGGCAAGCTTACTGGAGCTGGGGCCTCGCGTTCGGTTTTGAGGATCGATATCTTCCATCCACAGGCCATACACTCCCGCATATGACAAATCGAAATTATCTTGTGTCATGTTCCCATTTCTCGAAATCTTAGCAGCGCGCTCGACCCAAGCCCAGAACGTTTGTAACCAGTGAGAGTCCGAGACAATGATTTTATTTTTGGACGGGTTCAGCAAATAACCGGCCTCGCAGCGCAGCCGTTGAATGGAAGTCAACATGAGGAAATCTGGTAACGGAACGTCCTTTTCGTAGAAACCCAAGTCAGCGTGCCACGCTTGATCATCGAGGCTAGACATTCTCTTCTGGTCAGAGGGTGTTTTATTTTGCCGCGATTGCTTGAATGCCTGTTTTAAGAGGTTCCGCGGTTGAGCACGGCGACGAACTTGGTCGATAGCGTGACCTGGTTCAATACCTTCAGAGGTAGATTGCGTGACCACGAATTCCCCTTTGCACAAAAATCCCACTGATGAAAGGGCGGTTGGTTCCGGAGTAGGACTTGTTGAAGTGACCCGTACTACTCCATTTCCATCTAGAGTTATGATCTCCGACTGTCTCAGCTTGTTGGTTGATGTCATGAAGTCGAAAGACACGACTCTTGACTTTTCATCTCGTGGAGCTGACGGATATGAATACTGCTTGGCCACGTCTTGGGCACGGTCGAGAAAAACGTCTTGTGGTGGACTTGTCTCCCAGGACAGATCATGACCCGCATCTCGATCAATCCGACATGTTTCAGGCACGAAGTCCTTGCCTATATGGTATACTTTGAGGTGTCCGGTGCTAGAGAGAACACCTAGACAGCCTCGCTCAGCTTTCGAGAATCGTAGACTCCAGATCGTGCCCAGAGTTTCAATGACATTCTTCAGTTCCAGTGAGGCCACCGGTTGACGATTCTCGGAGTGCAAGCTTCCTCCAAAACTCATGTGGGGAGGGTTGAGACAGGTGATCATACGCCGGTCCCAGACGCATATTGACGGGTCGTTTGTGGGATAACAGGAAGCGAAAAAATTTTCGTCTCGCCAGTCAATTGCCAGATTATGGACGCATCGAGTCGCAAACTGTAAGCCGTTACCGACGGTCGGTTCTCGCAGGTCATAGAGCCTGACAAATTGGCCCTTGACCCCGGCCACCAGCAGTTGCGGGTCATCTTGGAAGAACTTCAAGCTGGTGATTGGTTCTCCGCTCGCAAGCTTATGGAGAGGATCAGAATAGGTCTTCGAGAAGCCCTTAGATCCCGGCGCAGGTAATCGTTGATTGAAGTCCCAGATGTTCAAACAGAAGTCGGTCCGTACTTTGTCGAGTCCAGCAGCCAGTAAATTCTGGGTATTCAGAGCCACCGCATTGCAAAGTCGTTGACTGCGGACTTGAAACGATAATGAGTCCTGTTGACCTTCTGCGATGTTTAGAAGGGTGGCCTCTCCGCCCGCCTGTCCCACTACCACGAGATCTTCATCGAGAGGGTGCCAATCAAAAGCTCGGAATGCTGGGACTTTGGTGGATGTACAGATCGTGTCATATTGGAGAGTTTTCTGGTTCTGACCTGTGATCTTGCATAACTTGAAAGACTTCCCGGTTACGTCGACATACATGAATCGTTGGGGAGTCCCCGGTAGGGAGTTCTGAGAGAAGCGTATGGCGGACTCCATGCCGCAAGTTCGGAAGTCACCCAATCACACTTCATTGCTCACTTGTACTCTCCTTCTTCCTCCGCTGGCTGTCGTGTCGTCACCGTAGGTTGCTGGTGATGCTTCACGAGTTGAGTGATGGTTTAGCATGAAGCCAATGTCGCAATTTCAGGCGGTGAAACGCGGCAGAATAATTTCGGTTCACAGACTTACCAAAACAATGTCACTTTTCTTTCCCTGCTACTAGTCTTTTGAGATGCGTAATCCTCTGTGCTGGCTTTTCTTCCCCCCTCCCCTTTTTTTTTTGGTGAACTGATGCAATCCTAGTTTCATGGTGTCGTGTGGCAGTCTGAGTTCTAGTTTCAATCTTCAATATGGCAAGGCACAGACATGAGGCACCGTCCAGACCTGCGGCCCGAGATGATCCTGAACGAGATTCATGGCGACCAGAACGTGGCCGATATCGCAGCCGAGATCCTCGTCCCCTTCACCATCGAAATGCCAGAGGCCCATCTTCCGTCCGATCAGTGGTAACCAAAACTAAACATGAACGCGAAACGAACCCATCGACACGCATCCATTCTCTACGTAACCTACTTTCGCGAGACGTCTTGCCCATGACTGTCCGACAGGAGAAAGAACGCGAACTCGCAGCACTGCTCCTGGACCAACAGAAATATCTTGTAAAACAAAACGAGAAGAGGAATTTGGAACGATATCATTTTGTGCGATTCGTCGAGCGCAAGAAGGCCGAGAGAAAACTGAAGATGCTGATCAAAGAGCGCGATTCAAGCCCAAAATCCGATGAAGCTTCCCAGAAAAAGCTAGATCGTTTGATCCACGAGACCGAGGTGGATTTGAATTACACGCTCTACGCACCGTTGGGCCAGAAATACATCAGCTTGTTCGTCCAGGATGAGCGAGGAAAGGAGAGGAGCAAGATGCAGATGAACGAGAGGTCATATGCCATCCCGAACGAGGAGCTGAAAGAAGAGCCGGACAATCTTCGAGACGAGCAGAGCCCTGTCGCTCGGTCTGCCACGGGATCAAAACCGCCCATGTGGTATGAAGTCGAAAAATACATGGCGGAGGGACAGGCTAAACTAGAGGCCCTGCGCGAAGGAAGATTGACGTCGGGGAACAAGCCGAGCAAAGCGTTCACGGCTTTAGGGGGCAGAGATGATGCAGCTTTACAGAACACAAACGGACAAACCATCGAGGCCAGATCACCCTGGCTTGGTGGCGACGGTTTCATAGATCCCGCTGATTTGAACAGCGGTGGTGACGAGGAAATGAGCGACGGCGGATTCTTTGAGCGATGATCAATATTAGAAAAGGTCCATGTCGGCCTCCCACGCTTATGACTTTTGACGACTACAAACAGAAAGATACCCTGGACCGGAGGACGAAAGATAGTTGATCAGTGATCGATTGGAGCCATGCACGGATCCAGCATCATATTCGGCATCTTGGACATCAACCAGCAAATACTCATTCCTCCCCCAAACCTGTGTTTGACTCTTTGGCCATTCCGTTGTGTCAACTCTTGTACGATTCCCACTCGTGACACGGCCTTGGTCGTACTCATGAATATCTTACTTTGGAAGTTCCGAGTCGTGAATTGTGACGTCGACGACCAAATTTGTCCAACTTTCGCCACTAGTATCCATGGCTCTTTTCAACACATATCACGCCCGCTCCTCCTTCTCCGAAAGGCCCATGTTACACCTGTTCCAACATAACCGTTCAGTTTTCCCCGACAATACTCACCACTAACTTTGCGTCAGGGTCGCCTGGTGACGTCGCAAGACAAAAACAACATCTAGAACTCATTCTCTGGCCTTCGACATCCAATCCAGCATTTACTCCGCCTATAGGGCAAAAAAGCGCGATCTTCAAGATTCGGCGTCTGGCTTTCGCGTATGGACCACCACTCACGCCACTCCGCTCCTGCCAACACGATGGGTCGGTGGCACGTGGTACATCTTTTGCTTCCTTGTTGATTAAGGGTGTCTAGACATTGGAGGACGGACGGCGACGAGTCCGGGGGCATGAGACTCTGAAAGTTGATGCGACCTTGGGGATCGACCTTATTGAGCTGTCGGAGGACCAGTTCTGTCAATGAGGGTACTTTGGTGCAATTCTGATCCTCTCTTATGCTCGTCATCGTCGTCGTGGTAACTAAGCCGCCTTCTTTTTCAAACGAGCAAGAACCCAGGCGGACGAGCCTCAGATTTTTCCCCCGGAGGTTCAGCTCAATCTCCGTATTTCGTCTCCGGAGAGCTGCACTGTCTCTTTCTCTTTCCTCTTCCTCGATTCGAGCCCAGGGATTCGGGTGGCATGTGAGTTGTTGTAATTTATGATACCTAGCTAGTTCGATGATCTCGAACGGCAACTCTGTCAACTGGTTCCCTGCCACGTTCAGAGACTCGAGATTCACCAGGTCTCTGATGCTGGGTGGGATTGAGGTCAAGTTATTTTGGCGCAGAGAGAGGACGCGTAGGTTGTACAGGTTCAGGATCGGAGTAGGAAATTTGCAGAAGATGTTGTTGGCCAGGTAAAGACGCAAATGTGGTTCGAGGTCGGTCCCCGTGTCGAGCATGCCCGGGACGATCTCATCTTGCTTGCTGAGTGTTTGGAGCGAGGCAATCTCAGATGGGAGGCTGGACAGAGACATCGAGCTGAATGAATTAGTGCTTATTTCTTGCAAGCATTGAACAGATGACTCACGATAAGTCTACATCTTCTTTCCCCTGGTCAAGGCATTGCCTGACAACGGCGCAAACCTCCTCATGCTCTTTAGGTACCTTGATCGCGGGTTTCAGGGCTAATTTGGCTCTCGAAGTGCTTTCAGGATCTGGCGTTGTGGCCCAAAGTCTCCTCTGGGCTCTTGGATCCTTGTCCTTTGCCTTTCGTTGGTCCCCCATCAACTCATCTTCCATTGAGAAAGATTCGCTCGACACCGGTTCTTCACTGCTCTCGCTGCCCATGAAGATGCCGGAGTCGTAATTCCTCTTGAACTCGCGTTTTCTGCGTTGCTTCCTATTTCCTTCATTGATGGGGTGGCGATCCCACCACGAGCCCTTGTAGGTCCGTTTCTTTCGTTTGCCAGCGACATAGTTCTCCGCACCCGGGGCTTGCTCGTCGCTGGAGAAAAGGGCGGGATCACTTGACGTGGCTAGCTCGTCGTCGTAATCTGAACGAGTCCTTTTACGCGTGAGTAACAACGAAGGACGAGGTGGTGTTTGAGCTGCTTCGGAGGCTGATGGTGGAAGAGCAGGAAGGTCGAGATCATCCATGGCGCGTTGTGTCTATGGAAGCAGAGCTGGTCCTCGGACGGAGTCTGAGCGCAGGATAAATTGAAAGGACCTAAGTGAACTTCTGTTTACATGGACAGGGTGGGGGGAGAAGAACCCCTTCGGCACGCAAGATCGAACGCGTTGTTGACTGAAACGCAGGTTGGTCGTGTGTCCAGATGCCGCCAGCGGAAGAGCAAAAGCCAAAGGAACCCACCAAAGACCCACCTCTCAGCACCCAGGCATCAACGCCGCGCCAACATTCCAGATCGAGCAGTGCCAAACACCCCATCATCCGCTGTCAAATGATGTCGATGACAGCGGACACGAGCCGACCATTGACGCCATTTGAAATTCAATTCAATTTTGTGAACTCGGCCATTATGCCATCATAGCAGATTTATCGTGTCGAAATTCGCGGGCGTATGAGAAGCCGCTACATCCGCACAAGTATTTATCGAAGTCTAGGCCGTTGATCGCTTCAGATTTGACGTGCATTCTGACAGAAAGCTAGATTGCGTGGGCCTGGCATCGTTATAGTGAGAAGCTTTAGGGTAAGCAAAGGCTTGTACTAGCTAGGGCCGTCAAGAGACCAAGGAGAGGGAACAATTTTCTCGAGACGGGCAGTGTTTCATCGTGATTTTTCTTGATTCGATTACAAGTTTGCGCCATCTGTACAGCTGGGGTTGGATGACAAGGGTTTGAGCACATTTAACACCACCGAAAGAGACTGAATCGCTTGTACGCTTAGAACCAAAGGGAGAAGAATTCATCGTATCGGTCGTTGCAGTGATAAAATAAACTCCCATGTGCACGTTCCCCCTTTTCCTTCTCCTCTCTCAAGTCCTTCCCTTTATAGCTACAAAGGCATATTAATGCTCTCTCGGTTTCATCTGCCGTTATCAAGCAGACTTGTAGGTCCCCCCTGTCCAACGGTTCGAACCGCTCATCCCAGGAAGGGACTTCAAGGCGATCCTAGACCATAGATCAATACGGGGCGAGCTGCGGTCAATCATTGGTCCCACTTCCTCATGTTCTTCAAGCTCTCTCAGACGAAAAAAAGGTATGATGCCCAAATCGTAAAGCAGACACGGAATGAGCAAACTAGTGCTTCGGATAATATGGACTCAGTCACCAAAAATAAGAATAGAAAGAAAAAGGAAAGGAAACGGAATAAGCTTGTCGAGTAGACGCTATGCATGTCGACATTATCAGAAGAAGCCTGGTCACAATGAGCCCCAGACCATGGCAGCTGCTCCTGCAAGAGCTGCCGCGGCGAGATTGATCTCTTGGACACATGCCGCTCCGGTGGCTGAAGCAACAGACGGTGATGCCTCGAAGATGGTCGATGATGATGAGGCCGGAGCTGTCAACGTGGGTTTGTTGATTGTGGTTGCTGCTTTGGTCGTAGGAGCGGTAACATTCCAGCCGCTTGGTTTAAAGGAATATGTGCTGGTCGTAGTGGCATTTGCATATGTCAGGGTTTTGGTAACGGTCAGAGTGGTCAAGAAGGATGAAGTGACGGTGATCGTAGTTTCTCCTGACCAGTCCCCCGGAGGCATGTCAGCAAGAGCTGCCGGTGTGAGCAGCAGAACAACAACTGCGACTGCGGAACTGATGCGCATATTGGTTGATAAAGGAGAGGATATCGAGATGAAGGTGTCGTTGCGAGGAGTACTTCAAAGGACCGTGTGCGATCCTGTCGCATAAAGAATCACTGTGATCACGTGTGACTTTATGCAACGAGTCGTTATGAGTCGTCTTGTTTCGAACAACAATTGTCGCGTGAGCTGAAATGAACGTTGATCGATCTGTTGCGATGGTGGCCCGGGTTTGTTACCGTTTAGCGGTTTCGCGCAAGGCGGATTGAGCGAGCGCTGCTCGAGTGATGGCGAAGGAGGGTATATGGACTGAGAGGGAGCTCAGCGACTCGGACGATAGCGAGGTGCTATCTTGAACTCCGGAGTAAGGAAAGGAGAAGGCCAAAACATCGCAGGCAGGAGGAGGGGAAGCACGAGAGTATATGTGGCGGCCCGGAGAGGATATCTGAAGGGCAAGGGAGTTCAAGCCCGCTCCTCGAGGATGGCCTGGCGGGCGATGGCATAGCAAGCAAGATTGCGTGCGGTCATGGAGCAGGCTGGGTAAGGCGCTGGTGTCGACTGGCTTGTTTGGCTGATTCAACTGGGATTGAGGCTCGTCAATCGTGGAGAAAAGTGAGAGTGGACTAGACGAAAGGCCACTCGCTAACTGGCCTGTCCACCACAATTCAGCCAATGCCAGCCATGCCAAATTTCCCGAGAGCCTGCTAGGGATGCCTGGCTCCAGACCAGAGGGTCGAGCTAAGCTGCTGGTCGTCAGGAACACAGCGAAACTCATTGGAAACCCAATCTGCAAGAAACCCCAGTCAAAATACGCATGCGCTCCGTTGCCCATTCGTTCGTTATCTTTTGGAAGTAACCTCCTAGCTTTCCCTTGACCAGCCGGAGCATTCTGAACTTTTTGTGGCTAGCGTCTCTTCATTGGCCCGTCATCTTTCGCACTCTCGGTTCGGGCCTGGGGTGCATTGGCCTTGTTGGATTGCTAAATGGGCCTGAACCCGTTTGTAGCCGCCAGTGTCATTTGAGTCAATTTCACGTCGAGTCAACCAGAATGCTTTGGTGGTGTTTGATCTACCGCTGGTGTTGCATGTAAACTTCCCACAATGACTTGGTCGCCAGTCGCGAGCACGCATTAAGTTACATTGTAAACGAGGTTGTGTGCGTCTCTAGTGGCAGGCATCCGTTCGAGCAGATTTTTGTCGGATTGGGACCGGGCGGTGGGTTTGGAATGTACTACCCTGTGATACAATGGCTGGAAACTCAGTCAAGTCTAGTTCAAAAAAAAATAAAAAGGGCCAAAGCATCTAGTCTCGGGTTCCGTGGTTTGGGGGGGTTGGGGAGTCTCTGCTGGTGTTCAACAAAGAGTTGGCTCCGCAAGCCTGCGTTTCTGGTTCTGGGTCCAAAATGCGGACAGCGGGGCTCCATCCACCTCCGGCGCCGTTGGTCGTTATCGCTCACTTCGCCGCTTAAAGAAATTGCCTCTCGTTGCCCGTCCATTCCAATGGAAACGCCCTGATGGCCTGGTCCTGTAGCTGCAGTATGGTTTTGCGGCCAACTCGATATCTGGTATGTGCGCATCATCTAACCAATGAGTAGATTTGGATCATTGCATAAACCATGGCCAAAGCGCAAGTGATACACATGGTGGATGGCCGGTGCTCGAACCTCAATACCCTCCGTGCCCTCGACGGCCCGAGATTCCTTAAAGCACGTTGCTGTATTGCTCGCCAGAGCATCAAAGGCAGATACCTACCTTGTACCGAATCCATCAGAGTGATCTGCAGACCCGGCTCTTCGAAATGCGTATCTGCATATCAGTGTGTCTCCGTCCAGGGTTCTTCTTCCCACTTAGAGGCCAGGCTCGAGATTGACTTATCCCTGGCGATCTGTCAAAGGGCCAAGCAAAGTCACCATCTACCCCCATTTTCTCCCTTCCATAGAGCATGCAAACACACCAAAAACCGAAGGTGAAAGGGTCACATTTAGCAGTCCATGCTACTGCAAGTCTGCAGAGAAAAAATTCTCCGAGAACAAAAGTCAAAGAGGGTTTGGGTTTTGAAGACATGGCCCAAACAAGCGTACCCACGTTAGAATGGTGTATCTTTGTAGTTAGCGGAAGGAGGTTGTACCCCATATCTGCCCCTTTCCCACTCCAGGAAAAAGAGAGTGGCCGGTCAAAAGCGCGTCACTTCCTGGTATCCGAATCTTCTGGAGAAAATGTCAAAGAGAATTGCGACCCTGCCGACAAAGGAAGGTGTGGCGATGATGAAATAAATCCAGTCCCAAAAGGGAATCAATTGAGCGACAGCCTTGTTGCAGGAAACAAGTATCGGGGTATAGTAATGGTCTATCTGCTTGATATTAAGATATAAGTACTCGGCACCACATGTCATACAGTGAGATGCTTATACACGGTATCATAGTGGTTCACAGCGACGTGAGGCCAATCAATCATCCCCTCTCCATTAGTTAGTATGTAATTAGTGGTATCAATTCAGTTGACTTCTTCTCCCACCCCAAGTGAGTGTCTTGTCGCATTATTTTTTTTGGTTAGTAGCGATATGGATCTTTTCGGTAGAATCATGTTGCCTCTGCTAGATTCTGGCTGACAGCGGAGGTCTGCTAGCTCAACGGGAGCCAATCGCGTTTAGACAGCGGTGGAGGTAGTGTTCTCGGCAGGGGGAGCAACCATAGGGGTCTCGCCAGCTCCGCTGGGGTTGGCCTCAACGGCCTTCTCGCTGGCCGGGGCAGCAGCTGGGGCCATATTGATGTCTCGGATGTGAATACCGAGGCGTTCAATGTCGACGTTGCGGAGGGCCCAGATGAGGTAACCACCGAAAACAGCTGTTCAACCCCATGTCAGTAATGATCATCCAATAAGTAAAGGTCAAACTCACGCTTGGTAAGGATATCCAAGATCCCGTACATGATGGCCTCCGAGTCGGGAGGGATGACGTTGCCACCCTCGCTGACACCCCAGGCAACCGGGTAGACGATGAAGAGAGTAGCGGTCCAGACGCCGAGGATAGTATAGGTCTGCAAGATATCGGCGCCCAAAGTACGAGCATAGGCACGGCCATCGAAGATGATGGTGTATGCAACGAAGAAGTATGCGGCAACCCCGAAGGTGAAGAAGCCTGTGGGAAGGAAAAAGCATACACGTTAGCCCATCTGTAGGATGCCGCTTCATAGAAATTTTATTTTTTTTGGAAGATTTCTCAAAACTTACCCCACTTGTAAGAGCTGTGGACGAGGGCACCGACGAGACCCATGATGACCATAACTTCGCTCATGAGCAAAACATAGAGGGTGGTGGCGGTAGGGAGAGCGCAGACGAGCAGAAGGTCGGCAAGCAACAACGGAGTGGTGATGAAGAAGTCAATGTAACGCACGTAGAAGATCTGGCGCATGTTGCCGCGAACCTCGGGGTCGGAGCGACGCCATTCGACCTCAATTGCGGTCCAGCCGAGGTTAGAACCCATACAGAAGTAGGAAATGGCAGCAACCATAGTCATTGAAGCAGTGATATAGTAGAAGAGTCGTTGAGAGCGGGTCTTGTAGAAAGCCAGGATCATGAAGACAAGAGCCGAAACGGTCATCACAGCGCAAACGGTGAAGTACCAGTCACTACCACGGGTAGTAATGTGGTTGTTGGTAGTGACGGTGTTGGTGAATCCATTGATGCGCAGAGCTTCGTTACCCATTTTGACGACGGTGAGGTGGTGGAGGTGAACTTCGACAGGCGTTCTCTCACGCGGTGCTGACTAGTGCTCGTGTGTATGGGTGTTGGGTCGCTGACCGTGGAAACAATGAGGTTCCAGTCTGAGAGGGCAGGCGGGCGGTCGATCTGGGAGAGAGGGATTTTTAATAGAGAATGATGGAATACGGACAACAGAGGTGTGACGTCGATGGTCGGGTTCAATCACGTCGGAAGCCATCTTCATCGACGCAACAATCAGAAGACGGAAAGACCGTCCGTTTCCTTTCCTATCGCTGCCGCTGCCGCTACAGCCGGGCATGAGCAGCCATTGGAAACTTCTGGCAGAAAGTAAGCTGCTGCAAGTTTTCCAGTCCGGGAAGGGTCATCTGCTCTCCTAGGCTGCAAGGCTCTGGGCTCTCTTTTTTGTTTTGTATTCCCAAAAGGTCAATGTGACAAGGCACCAATGCACGGCCTAAAGTGCCCGGCCGAACGCCAGAGACATGAAACAGCGCTTGAGTGGTTTAGTTGTTGAAGGTCATCCTCCACAATCGGGGGGTGGATTAGCCGGGCTTCACATGCAGAAGGGCAATGTGGTGGTCTGAGATTTGTCGATGCTAGTCCATGGTCATTCGAGTCCCGCTTGGTTCGGATGCGGTCGGATTCAAGGCTCCAGGATGTTGGATAATTCTTTATGAGTTGATTCGTTTCTTCAGAAGCTTTGATTGACTCATTCAACGTCCTCAAGTTCCTGTTTGGGTGGCGAACCGCAAAGAATTCCGAGCACAGCTGCATGCTCGCCCATTCGGCATTGGTCAAACGGCCTTGGGCGTCAGCAACGGCCCTTCTCATCCTCGAATGTCATAGCAGGGGCGGGGCGCTCACGGGTGGTCAATGGCGTTCTCTCGGATCGAGGCTCTGTCACCAAAACGTTTGGAGACGTTGGGATCGACACCATTCGATACCGCATCCGGATCCTCCCAGAAGAAGATCAACAAGCGGCGGTCTGCGGAAAAGAGGGGTCGCATGACTAATATAAAATTTTCAGGCGAAACGTGACTTTTGCGCTCTCAGAAGGAGACTTCCCCGCTGCTTTTGCGAGGCCTGATGAAGCAGCCAATTAGAGAACGAAGAAAGGATGGGGTGAAGGCCTTGCAGATCGTGCGTTTGTTGTCAAAATCTCTACAATTTGTAGCTGTCTATATCGAACCGTTCTATTATTTGAATCAGAACACATGCCGAGAGGATAACAATCAGTATCCAACTCTGGTATAGATGTCTTCTCGTTACGACCGCGCTGATCAGGAGAAGCAAGACATGAAGCACGAGGACGAGTGCCCGATTCAGGCCTGCAGGTGCCTTTCCCCTGTCGTCCAGACCGCTGACGGTTCGAATCTGATGCCCGCCTTGAGGCCAAGGTATCGTCAAACCCAGGCCGTCAAGGATTTGTCCGGCTGTGATCTTGCTCCCGGCTAGGACGATCGGTACACCTGTGCCTGGGTGGGTACTGGCACCGACAAAGTACAAACTTCCAACATGCACGTGTTTGGTCGCGGGTCTAAAGCTGAGAACATTGAAGAAAGAATGGCTCAGTCCCAGAATGGCCCCTTTGTCGAGGTTGAACTTTTCCTTCCACGAAGCCGGGCTGTTCACGATTTCGTGGATCACATGCGATTGGAGGTTGACACCAGTACGCTGGCGTACAGTTTCCAAAACTGTATTCCGAGCTTTGGACACCATCGCCGGCCAGTCTTGCGAGTCCAAGCCTCGATCCGCCCCTCCCTCTAATAGGTGACCGCATGATACAAGAACAATGATGCTGTCTCGGCCCGTAGGAGCGGCACTAGTATCAATACGAGAAGGCACGTTGACGTGGAAGGATGGTTCGATAGGAAGTTGTTGTCGTTGGAAGATCTCATCGAAGCTGGATTTATAGTCATCCGCGAGGAAAACATTATGCGTCCCAAGTTCGGGAATGACTTGGTCGACAGACCCTATTTCTTTGTTAGCTCAAGCATATTGTCCCCCAATATCTGAAGGCACATAAGTACAGTAGAATGAAATACTAGAGCAGGAAGTTGGCTTTTTCGACAACGAGGCAGCTTGAGCCTGTATTCGACACCAAGAGGTTCGCCCCACCTTCACCAGCGCGTCCAGCACTTTATAGAACCCACCTTTAGGATACCTGCATCAGATTAGCCAGCCGAATCAAGATAACGGCGATCTTGGTGGCAACCAACCAAATGCCTTCTGCCAGTTCTGTATATTGAAGCAGACTGTACGTGCCGGGAGTTTCAAAGGGACTCATGCCCATGTACATGCTGCCGAAGGTGAAGGCCCGTCTTAGACGCTCAGTCATAAAATAGCGCGCTGCTCGGGTCCAGATACTTTCAAAGGCGTGAAGGACTGGCAGGTAGGACAGAAAACCAGGCCTGGCCATCGACCACATGCTTGAGAAGTTCTTTCTCAAAACGTGGGCGACACTAGCTTCGTAATGAACGTGCGCCTCCTGCATCCAAGCCAGGTATCTTTCGATCGTCTTTTTCATTCTTGCAATGTCCGTGGACAGTTCGATGCATTCCCCATCTCCAAACCAGACATTATAGTTAGGCTCACATTTCACCAGTTCAACTCCTTCCGCTTCGAGGGACGTGCCTAGGGTCGGTGAAGGCTTCTTCGAAGAGGTCGGGCAGTAGAAGAAGAGAGGGGCCTTGATCGAAACGGTGGCCGGCACTGCGGATTAAGCTACAGCGTCCTCCGGCGTGATCATTTTTCTCCAGCACAGTGACCCGGAGGCCCGCTTTGGCCAGTCTCGCAGCACTGGCGATGCTTCCAGCTCCCGCTCCTGGGAAATAGAGGTCAGGTTGGGGAACACGACACTGGAGGAACGTTCTGTGAGAACTCACCGACAATCACGACACTTTTTGGCTTGCTCGTGCCTGACCGGTGATCAGCGAAATAGGTCGATTTTTGTCAGGGAAGATGAGGGCTCGGCATTGTGCAGGGACCATCATCGCCTAGGGCCTACCGCTCCGTCTCCCCACGCCCACGGGGGACCAGGCTTGGTGACAAAGTCTTATAAGTCAAAGGGTTCCCCCCATCGTGAATGTATTTGTACTGTCCTATGCCTTTATACTGTGCCTCTCCATCCTGCCATCGTCTTCCATCCTACCCATACCCTTCTTGCTGGAGGAACACTTGTCCTTCCCCTTTTCCCGCCCCCGATAAAGTCCAGAGGTTTGCCCTGCTCCATCCGCTCGCGCATGACCCTCCCTATTTCCATGTAGCTTTCCACAGCAACGCGAATGCCACTACGCGCATATCTGGGGAGTTCTTCGATCGCGTTTCTATTTTCGGCATACATCGTGAAAGCAGCGTCCAGTATCCTTTTTCGATGAGTGGCGAAGGCCTCTCTTCGAGCATCAACTGACGTGACTGGCGATCTACCCAGCCATTCACTTGGGATGTAACATCGTCCAGTCTCGGCGTCAGTACGAACATCGCGAGCAATGTTGATATATTGCAGTGCTCTACCCATCCTTGCGCCCGCCGCAAGACATTTTTCTTTGGTCGCTATGTCTGTGTCTCGATCCGGGTCATGTTGATAGACCAGGTTTAGACCAACTGTCCCTGCCACACAGGATGCATACCTCTCAAGATCAGAGTAGGTCTCAATGGGCGTGGTTGTCTTCGATCCCTTGTTGAAGAACTCCTGATCGATTCGAAATCCGTCGAGAAGCGCATATAGGGGTTCCGAAGGCAGCTTGTCGGCTGGAAGGAGCACTAGGATTGACTGAACCTGGCTTGGAAATGGAGCCAGAGCATGCCGCAATCGTGCCTCGTCCCGTTTTGGAGAGTATATGGTATCTAGAAAGTTGGAAAAATGCTTCACCCACTTGTCTGCCTCCTCTGCCGAAGGCGCGTTGTCGACCAAATCATCGGCCACTCTGCAAAATGCGTACAGCAAGACCAAGTCGATCCTCAGACGGCCGGCAAAGACACCCGAGGCCAAATAGAATGATCGGCTCTTTCTCGCAAGAACTGTCAGAGCATTCTAGAAACCTTTCAAACGTGCACTGTCATATCTTGAGGTTGGCAAGAATAAAGCGTTCAGCAGCAAAGCGGGCGACGGTGTTCCTGGCACAACAGGAAATTCTTGAGGAAAGGCATCGAGGATGGCAATCGCGTTATCGAATGCAACCGAGCCCCACACTACCAGAATGTTGGTGATCAAAAAGAACACGGCTTCTTCAATTTCCAAATGTGGCCAAACGTGGATTCCAAGCTTAGTGCCGGACTCGATGTGCCATGTCCCTCGACGAAGAGCGAGTGTGTCAACGATCCAGAGATAGAGCGTCGGAAGACCAATGGGCAGCCATGTCTGGGTCCATGGCAAGGTAAGGAGGAGTTGGTAGGCAAATGTCCAAAGCATCAATAGTACTGGAGAGGCCCACCCAAATATGAGCCTCGCTCTGACAAAGATGGGAACGGCGGAGCACAAAAGAAAGATTCCCTGACCCCGGCATTTCCAGGAGCCCAATGAGCTGCCGACGAGATCTCGAGGGTCCGTTTCATTGTGCAAGTAGGTGGCCGTGATGACCGATTTGGTGGCTAGGATTTGCAAGCCAGTGGCCTATGAATTGATCAGAAAACAACAACCCACACCAGAGAATCCCATCCACTAACAATGTAGGATTGAATGAGGAAGAAAAACATCTCCTCGGCAGGGATGTCAAAGAGTGTTGGTCCTAGGACGGCATCTTGCGGATAAGCTTAGATGAGTCAGTAACTTGAAAGGCCCGGGAAAAGCTATCTGGCTGGCATACATACTCCATATCCTGGTTCTGACGAGGTATGAGTCCCTACGCAGGGGGTATTAGAAATGTGGTGCCACAACGTGTAATGTTTTTCAATGACGGCCACTACCTGTAAGAAACAGATCTTGTACACATCTCTCCGAGTGAACAAGGGACCCAAAACTATAGACAGCAGAGTGGCGAGAGGTATAGTATATACAACGTGACTATTTCCCGACCGAAAAAGTTAGTTCCATTCTGGGAAGACCGTATTTCCTAATACAGAACAATGCACGTACACAAGCACATACTCGTACATCAGGGCAGAATTAATCGGAGAACTGGTCCAGCTGGCTCACAAGAAAGATAGCTCTGCTCACAAGCTGAGATATCTCTGCCACAGGGGGTCATGGTACAATTAATATCCGAAGCTTTTTCATCGACTCAACAAAGCCAACTCAGGACCATTTCTAACTGCTGGCACTAATACTTGCTGCCATTGGGGTACTAAATTGCTAGTTAGCACTAAATAATACTAATGCAATTTGGCCAATGCACGCACGTTGCGAGTACGACATGACTACGGACGATTTCTACAAATTCTATCACCTACTCTCTCTTCTCCTCGCGCTTCAGTTCACCACTCCCGTCATGGCCTTCTCCAATGCTCCTGCGAAGTCGAGTAGTTGCAGCTTTCTCTGCTCTGCTAGCCGATTCCCTAATCCAGGATCTTGCGCCGCCTTGCGCCACCTACATCAGGGTGTCATTTATTTCTCCCATTCACTCCGCAGTATTCCGACTTGTGAGTGGCTTTTTTTTTTTCCCGCAGGCAGATTTGATATTGTGTGATGTGATGTGATATGATAGTAACCTCTGCTGACTTCCCGGACGTCGACGACCTCTCCATATCCTTGAAGATGACCTAACCGTCTCTCTGCGAGCACCATCACCAGTCTTGACAAATGGCAGGCACGACAGCTACGACCATGCCTCGATAGGTCTTTCTCGAGGAGCTATTTTTTGTACTTCCGTCTCCAGTCTTTTCGAAAGTGACTAAGCTGTCCTCTGCGGTGACTGAAAACGACGCCTTCAATCGGGCCTCGCTGTTGGCCTCTCGGAGGAATATGCGTGTCTCGAACCCTCAGAAGCACATGAGAAGCCATCCCCATCCATACCTCAGTGGCAACTTTGCCCCTGTACACCAAACCCAACCTCTAACACCATGCAAATATTCGGGAGAAATTCCAGAAGAGCTACGTGGAGGTGAATACGTTCGAAATGGGGGCAATCCAGTGACGAATGGGGATCTTGGTCGAGATGCGCATTGGTTTGACGGCGATGGCATGCTCAGTGGCGTGTCTTTCACAAGAACCACCAATGGAGTACAGCCTGAATTCGTCAACCAATACATCCTGACCGATGTATATCTAGCTGCCATGTCCTCAAAATACCTGCGCGTTCCCACCCTGCCCAGCATCGCGACTCTGGTCAATCCCCTTTCTTCGCTGTACACCATGATGGCCGAGCCTTGGCGACCTGCGAGTCAGGCCCACCAATGAGAATTTCTCTCCCTGGCCTGGAGACCATTGGCTGGTACAATGGCAATAAGACAGATGGAGAGATTGGAAGCGAAGATGGCCCGGGTTTTTGACGGCGACGGCTTGCTGGGGTTCATGAAGGAATGGGCCACTGCACATCCTCGTGTCAACCCCAAAACAGGAGAGCTGGTTCTCTTTCATTCTACATTTGTGCCGCCTTACTCAATAATCCCTGCCAGAACCCCGCCTGTCTGAAAGACCTACCAGACTTCTGAATTCTCCTATTCCAGGTATATCATCTGCCAAGATGATGCACGACTTTGGGGTTTCTTTTCATCACACAGCCATTATGGACCTTCCTCTGTCCCTGGACCCACTGAACCTGGCGAGGAACCGGCCGGTGGTCGCCTATGATCCCCATTCAAAATCCCGATTCGGGTCTTCCCCAGGTACTCGCCGCACCAAATACGTTCGTTCGAACCGGACAGCCCAGGACACCTGCTGTCAACATGTTGGCGTGTCGGCTGACATCCGCGGCACTGATCTTCGCTGCTGGCGATATTGCTTCGCCACAGCTGACGACCCCTCAACGGGAAGGGAGTAAAGAGCAATGTCGCCTCTACTATTATCATTTCTCCTTAGACGATCCCGATCGAAATATCATTAATTACCAGTTCGCCTTGAGCGCCATTCCCTTGGATTTTCCCAGCACAAGAGAGGATAAAGCGATGGCCAAGTCGAGGTATATGTACGGCTGCTCGACCTCTGAAGGCTCCTTCGGCGCCGCTCTAGGGCGAGCAGTCAAGATTGATTGTCTCGTCAAGATCGACGCGGAGAAGCTAATCAGGCAAGGCAAAAAGGATCCAACTTTACAACCAATAAATGGATGCGTTGACTCCAGGTCCGTGAAAGAAATCCTCGCCTCGAAAGATGAAAATGACCCCATTTCAGTCTTCCAATTGCCAGCAGGATGGTACGCTCAGGAGCCACGCTTCGTCCCCCGACACCATTCTGCTCGCGAGGATGACGGTTGGCTATTGACATACGTCATTGATGAATCCCAGCTTGATTCTCAAGGCACATGCCGGCCCGACGCTGTGAGCGAGCTGTGGATCATCAACGGTATCGACATGAAGACAGTTGTGGCTCGCGTATACCTGACACCGCGCGTGAGCTATGGGCTTCACGGCAGCTTTTTTGCCGAGGATCAAGTCAAATCTCAGCGACCGGCCGAGACGATTCGCGGGATCAAGCGAAGTACCCAGAGAGTACGACACGCTAGCTGGTGGCAACCTGTCAGAGAATGGCTTGAAAAGCGTATTGGATGATGATCGCGCAGATTGTACATATAAAATTATTCATTGGATCGCATTGGATTGGGGTGGCGGTGTTGGATCCCCCAACCCAATACATGGCTCTTTCGAGCCGGTTCATGAACGAAATCCCTCATGTATATATTTGACAGGGGATTTTGCATTGACCAGTGTGGCGAGGTCAATTTACCTGCATGACGAGAATTAATTTGGTGCGGTAATATGCCTTATTTTGGACTCCACACAGAGATTGCGGTCATTCATGTGGATGCCATCCCAGTTTCGCTTCACAGGGAGGATCGTAGTCGCTGCCAAGCCAGCGAGCTGTGATTTTGTAGGAGGGAAGGGCATAGCGAATGCACTATGATCCCGGCCATCAGTGGAGCCGCCCAAAAGAGTAATGAATTGAAAAAAAGCAAAGGGCTAGATAGCTAGATTGTTTCGACTCGTAATAGGAAGAAACCCGGATAGAAGAGGTAACAAGCCAGAGAATAGAAGGGGCCTATGCGAAGGAGAGGGAACTCACCAGACACCGTCTTCCATTTGGTCCACTGGCTTCAGTTTCGATGAAATGCCCCGTTACGAAAATCTGAAGTTGGGATGGACTTGGACTTGTCGAGGCTTGGTTTTCGTTCATCCGGTTGGTACGGGCAGAGTCCGCAGACTGAGAACTCAATGCCTCATCATTTCTCAAGCACTGCTTCTCAACAGCTCCATCTCTCCATATACCACCACTAATATCGTCCTCGTCCTTCCTCCGCCGAAAGGCAATCTGCACCAGGCTCAACAGCTCATCGTCCCTCCTACCCTCAAAGAACAGCTCGAGCCGATGTTTCATCCGCCCCAGGATTTCAGGCCAGAAGTACACCAGATCCAAGCGCGCCAGGGCGGGAAACGTCCTCAGCAGCTTGGCGTGCGGCGCCGACGTGTGATCCGCGAGAAGTCGATAGATTATACTCTGTGAGAACGATTGGTGCGCCGAGTCCAAGGGAAGTGGGTCCCGCGTACTCGTGAATGGGTGGAAGAACTGAATTGGTGATAGCGGGTGCGACCGCGTGAGGTCGAATTTGTAGATCGAGACATGCCGCAAAGAATTTCGGAGCCAGGAAGGCAAGTACGATGATGTGCTGATATATTCGAGCTCGTGGACTGAGCAGTAGAGGTGCATGTGGAGGGCAATGGCAGTTTGGATCTCGCGTCGCACGAGGTGGCAGGTCAGGAGAAGATTGGCGGCCGGATGGACGTGCGAGCCTCCGCTGGCCTCTTCTGGGGCAGGGTGCAAGTCATAATCCCGGTGGTAGTACTTGGGACGCGATGAGGGGGACAGAATGTACCTGTTGGAACCTGAGAGGAGGCGCTCATATATCAGAGAGCGGATCTCCGGTGGAAGGGAGAGAAGGTTGGTGTCGTTGTGGAAGTGGTGGTCTGGCATTGATAAAGAAGATTGCGATTGAAACAGGTTGAATTTTTGGATATCGACCATCTCATCCGATGACCGGGGTGTATGGGACGATGCAGCTTCCACCTTTACTGGAGAGAGAGCAGCAACAGACCAATATATGATCATGTCATGATGAGAGTTTCTTAAGGACAAGGCTAGATGTTTGTTCAAGACTGGTGAGAAATGAAAGGCGGAATTATTACCTTAAGATAAGAAACAAACCACGTGACTCCGATAATGACTTGCTCTTTGAAAAATTGATGTAGTTTTCACCATCTCGACAACACCACCACGACGAGGCCTCTAGCATCGGCAAGGGTCTTTATAGGGTTGATCGAGACTGGGATTCAATGTGCTCAGGATATGACAATGTCTCAGACCTTGAAAGCCTAGAAAACTGACAGCAAAGCAAGGACACGACAAGGTACAGGCTATAGCGGCCTTCAGAGCACTCAATTTGGTCCATTTGGCAACAGAAACACCCAAAGAGCGCATCATTTCCTCCGGTATCAATCAATACTACTTCTCAATCTGCTTTTCAATCAATACTGCTTCTGCATCTCCTTCTTGACCGGTGGAAACTCAATATTCGGCACAATGGGATGTCTATTCCCATCAGAACCGGCCACTGATGGGGTCACATATTCCTGATGTCCAGCCTTGTGAACCCTTCCATTGATCATGATGATATTCAACTTATCGTGGTCCTGGAGCACGCCGATGTCCTCCAACGGATTGCCATCGACCAGGATACAATCTGCAAAATTCCCTTCCTTGATCTGACCCATCTCGTGCGACCGCATGAAGAGTTTAGCCACGCCGTAGGTCGATGCGATAATGGCTTCGTGCGCGGTAAAGCCCAGTAGGTTCTTGAAGTGAGCTAGATCTCGAGCATATGTGCCGTGCGGTGTCCAGGCGAAGCCATAATCACTAGACAAATCAAATGCTTTAGTATTTGGCGCACCGTGATGCATTGTTTTGTTGCATGTAGATACTTACCCTCCGGGCAACACCACAATGCCTCTCCGATGCATTTCTCGAAGACCTCGGATGGCGTGCTCCAGCTCCTTGCGGTAACCCACTTGTTCTGCCTTCTCGTGAGTGTATCCAAATGCCTCTGCATCGTTCAAAGTCCCGATCAGCCAGTTTATACCCGGTGCGATCACATGTTTCGATTTGGCTACTTCTAACATATCCATTCCTTCTTCGTCAATGTAGGAGGCATGATAGATTACGTCCACGCCATGCTAGGTACACGGTTAGCATATATTGCGACCGAAGTAGGGCCAGTGGTAATTGCGAAGGTTACGAACCTTAACGCACATTTTGACAGAATCTCTTGCTCGTGCATGTGCGCAAAGTCGTTTACCCGCCTTGTGTGCTTCATCCACGCAAGCCGCTGTTTCTTCGTCGGTGAAATAGCAGTCTTGTGCCGACCTTGTCTCAGTGATCTATCGATTTCATTCAGTCCCATTGTGACGCTGGGAACAGGTCAACGCACCTCTTCACCAGACATTGATAGCTTGATGTTGTCAGCTCCTAGTCCGATGTGATGCTGGATAACAGATCGCATCTCGTCCGGTCCATCCGCAAAGGCGGTTATTCCTGCCACCAGTTCACCACCTCGGCGGGCCATTTCCTTCCCATTGGCAAGGTATCGGGGACCCGGAATGTCGCCGGCATTGATGGCATTTCGAATGACAATGTCAAGGCGCTCTTTTGCAGATGCAGCTCCAAAGCACCTGGTGAACGATTAGCCTCCCTCCTCAACTTTCGTTTCGAGAACACGGATCAGCGGGCTTACATCGTATATCCGGAATCAAGATAACACTGAGCACTACGTGCCGTCAAGAGAACATGCTCTTCAACTTCCAATTCTCCCAGACGATCAAGATCGCCCCCATTCCAAGTCAAATGTGTATGAGCATCGCCTAGACCGGGCATGAGAGTGCGTCCTTTCCCTTCAAATACTCGCACTGTCGGATCTTTCAACAGCTCCTCTTTGTTCTCTACCTTCCCAACAGCCTTGATGCGCTGGCCTGGAGGGTGAAATCAACAGTCTGCCCAAGATTGGGACCGTAAGATAAGATTTCCCTGACCTTTAATGTATACATCACCTCGATACATTGGCTGGCCAGTGGCTTCAAGAATATTCACATCAACAAACAGGACCTGTGAATCTGGATGAGTGCCTAGAATCTCATAATTCTTGGGTTGAAGACTTTTGTCGAAATGGACCGAGTCAATGTATGCAACATTGCGTGGAGGACCATCGTAATGTTCTAGCTGGTGGGCGGGAGAAGTCCATGGGATTTTGGGTTCCACGATTCTTGCTGGCGCCATAGTTGCTGTTGCGAGTAATCCCAAGACTTTCTGGTACTATTTGTCGTATCGAGAGGTATGAAGCCAATCAGTATGGTATAAGCCGGAGGCCAATATGGTCCAAAGATTAAGCACAAAAACGGCATCCCGACATGTCTCCTGTACTCATATGTAGGAGGCACTCCTCAGTGGACTCACCTAAGCCGACATGAAAAACCCCCCTCGACAGGTTTTCAAGCCATTGAGCCCCCTTCGGCATCGACATTGTCCATCTCATGCACCCCGCAACCTTCCCCCGCAAAGTACTCAATCCTTCGATGAGGGGGTTTTTTGGACAAGGATACGATTCGATTTGACGGTCAGGATGGCGGCAGTATAACAAGGCCCATCAACTTTAATTCAAGATTGTTGCGAGCGGGGTCAGCGTGGTCTAGCCACTCGCCCCAATGGATAGCGAGCGTTGCAATGGAGCAACCAGCTTAATCGAGAAGATCCATGATGAGAGGGGCATTATCCTGTGGTTCCCTGTTGAACAGTTGGTGATCTAACGTTTGCAACAGATCGACTCATTCTGCAACACTCGCCCACTAGGCCGTATCATCATTGACCGGAAACAGCGTTGACGTGGAAACCTCGAAAATATCAGTAAGAGAATTATTATTTGTCTATCCTCGATTAGCGATTCAAGCCATGCTAATGGTGTTAAAGACCTGAGGACGTGTTCAGGGTGCTTGAAGACAGGGGTTTGTGGAGGAAAATACAATGCGGGCAAAACCCGCAAAATGCTGCTCGCATTCGGCCATTTGATCCAGTGGTCTCCACGACAAGCTTGCCTTTGCTCCACAAACAAGACGGGAGCAGACATCTTGAAAACAGGACGCATCGATTAGATCTTCAGCAATTTCAACACCTGATAATATTGCTTTCCTGGTGTTAATCTCGATCAAGACGACCTATCCACGCCTCCCTGTCGCCGACTTATATGAATCTTCCTCCTTACTAGCTATGATTCCTTCGGATATGCCGACTCATCCCATGATTTTAACCAAGAGACCCAATTCTGTCATTGGGGACGGTGATGATATTTATGTGTACCTTGGCTTCACAGAGACTGCCAACTATGAAAGGGAGGTTGACGTAACCATCGGGAAACCCTGTTTCAAGATCACTCAAGAGGAGGTACTTGATCATGGATGGGGTTTCACAATCAATGGCGTGACGGCACCCGAACGCCAGAGAGATCACAAGTAGTTCGACATTGGGACATCTCCTGGCACGTTTATCCTATGGGGTCTGATTGCTGTTCTAAAGGAACGGCTTCCAGAACGGTGAAACGGGACAAGAAGCAATAACGGATGACTTGATCTTCGGCATCCCGTTCTTGATCCAGACCGTATCTGCTGGCTAGACATTGCGAGCCGGTGATGTGTTGCTCCTGGGACACCAGCCGATGTGGGATTTGGGTTTGATCCCAAGATCTGGCTCCATTCTGGAGATATGATCAAGGTTTCGGTTGACCAACAATGTTTACGCTGTTGGGATCTAAAAATCCATCTCCCAGTCAGATCATGGCCTCCATCTCCAATGACCGCACAACTCATGGGTGTGGACTGACAACCATTGGATGGAAAAGTCTTTTCTATCAATGCAAAGATTTTGGTAGTTCAGGAACGCCCATCTATTTCATACACGGGCCACTAGACAAACTGAGTATCGCATCTTTTGCTTCAGACGCTTACTAACTCTGCACCCAGGCTGGCCTTAAAGGTGAATCTAACCTCAGGTTGATTGCCCAATCCATGGGTTGCTTGATGGGCATGAAATTTGCACTGAATCGTCGCTGGTGGGACCACCACCGTCGCCGCTACCGGAACGCTAGCAGTAAGGCGTCATATGCGAGAGCGGTGATGGTTCGTGAGAAGTGAATGCCTGGGGATGTCGATGCTGTCGTCGGAGCCGGGACTTCGGACTGGAGCAAGAAACAAAATCCTCTTGCGATTGCTGCGGCTCGATTATCTCTGCTTGGTAGGACCCCAAAGGGTGTGCAAAAGCATGCACGGCGTTTGCTGATTCACACATGGACACATTGGAGATATCAGGCATACTTTGTTGTACTATAGTCATCAACGGCCGAGGATAAAGTGTCACCTCCTGAACTTTCCAAGAGCATGCAAAAAAAATGGAACATGCCCGGCTGCGCGAAAGTCGTCATTTTGCCCGAAGTCGGCCACTGGGATCTCTCTGAAGGCACCGAAGCTGTGTACTCTGCTACAACGAAATTCCTAGATGCCGAATAGAAAAATATACTAGACCTGGCGATAGTTCAGCCTTGTCAGCCAAATGTGCCCTATTGTGACTCCGCTGAATCTGATCTACAATCTCAAACCTTGGGAATGTCACATGAGCCAATCCAAAACCAGCTCTGACGATCCAAGTCATTCTTAACCCGCGCCAGGGTTTGATATTACTGATGGCGTTGGGAATGTATTTCGTGGTCTTCTCCTGAACTACGGGGGCAGCTCGGATGCTCCACCGTTCTGCATCTCGTCCGCTCTGCAGCTCGAAAAGCCCTGCATAGATTCGGCCATCACTATCCCCAGGACCACTTTGATCATAAAAACTCGCGGGAGAATGTTCGGACAGATGCCTGGTCTTCAGCGCGCTATGCCGCGCCTTGCTGCACAATCGATACCCGTCAAACCTAGATCAATCAAGTTCTACACCACGAACAAATCAATCAGACCACGTCCAAACACTACGCAGTCTTCACGATGGCGGTTTCCATCGGCACAATGCATCCAGACGCGACAGTTCTCCCCGTCAAGTCCTAGATTAAAAGCTGGGGATAGGATGTATCATCGCACAGGCGTACGTATTTTCATCCGCGGTATGTCTCCGTCCTCTCTGACGTTCAGATAGCCATTCTCATTCAGATCAGCGGCCATCTTTGTCGGTGTCGGCGCGGCGATGATATTCTATTTCCAATATGAGAAAGCGAGACTGGAACGGAAGAGGATTGTGGAGATGAGTAAAGGGTATGGCAAGCCGAAAGTGGGCGGCCCGTTCACACTCAAAGATATTGACGGGAATGACTTCACCGAGAAAGATCTGCTGGGGAAATACTCACTTGTACGGTAGCCCGCCTTGATCTTCAAGATTCTTTGCTCATATTGTTTTGCAGATCTATTTTGGATTCAGTCATTGTCCAGATATTTGTCCCGACGAGCTCGACAAAATGGGCGCGGCTATTGACATTATCCAAGAGAAGGCACCCAACACTTTGCGGTCCGTTTTCATTTCCTGCGACCCCAATCGGGACACTCCAGAGGTTCTTCGGGCCTACTTGTCCGAATTCCATCCCTCCATCATCGGCCTGGTGGGTACCTGGCAGCAAACGAAGGATGTGTGCAAACAATATCGAGTTTATTTTTCCACTCCACCCGAGTTAAAGCCAGGCGAAGAAGATTATTTGGTGGATCATAGCATCTACTTCTATGTCATGGATCCAGAGGGTGATTTCGTGGAATGTATCGGCAGACAGGACACTCCAGAAAGTGCGGCAGGCATTGTTCTCCAACATATTCGAGATTGGAAGAAGGAGGGAAAGCCGATTGATACGACACCTCTACCATATCTCAGAGCAAAGGAATCGGCAACAGTCTCTGGAAAATGAAACAAAACGCTACCGCCAGAAATGTTGGTGGTCATGCACTATTATTCTCTTTCTGCAGCCCTTAGCAAAAACACGATGAAAACTTGATCAGAGCCACCTCGGTCGCAAGGATCATGCCCACCGCCACCAACTTCAGAAGGCCAAACTCAGTAATCACCAAGACCCAGAGAGCGTACGACAGGAAGGATTTTGACAAAACGTCATATCGCAAGCTTTCTCTTTTATATAGCGTAGCGACGGTGCATGCCGTGGGTGTACAGAAACTCCACTTTCTCAGAAGATGTATTGGAATGGTCAAAATGATGAGATGTACTATAAACAAGGAGCAGGTTAAAAAACATTTCTTGAGCCTCGATCTTGCCCTTACATTCAAGATGACGCCGTCTCTCATCTTGCATATTGCAGCCATCCAATCCAAATCTTTCCCAGCCACTTCATTTACATTGCTGGTGAAGGAAGTTCTGGATTAGGAAGGTCTATTTCCTGAATGAAGACATTCAATATGCAGGGGAGCAGTTAGACACACATATTTTGCATTATGTCTGGGATGAGTGGAAAGGAGGCAAGAAAAAATGAGGCGGTGAAGAGTGAACGTGGCTCCAGTTGAGACGGCTAGAGAGGCTGCATTTTCTCGGATTCGGATTTTTCGCGGATGTGGGATAGAAAATGGTTTGGTAGCGAATGAAAATGCAATAGCATCGTCTGAGAGTTGGGCAGCGGTTTAACGAATTCTCTGCGGGTGCTCAGCTATCAAGCAAAGAATAGATAAATGAGCCCCCCTTTGCTGTCAGCAGCATTCCAACATACAAAAAGGATTGTGTAAGTGGGATGAAGATTGCCGAATGACGTACATACTAATTTGCTCACGGGAGGATTGGCTGACTTACTACTGGCCTGCGCACTTGCGCCCAATCCTGAATCTCGCTGATAATGACTTCCTGGGTGATGCGCCAGAACTTTTTCTCTATGTACCTCTGGGCAAGAACAAAAGTGATTGTTCGAGCGCCTTTTCGTCGGATGCTGTCGTGGCGGTCACGATAACAAGAACTTTTGTGCATAACAGAAGAAGAAATTGTTCCATCGGAGTCCCCTACGTCGATAGAACCTTATCTCAACCAGAACTAATATACAGTGTGCAGAAAGAGATATCACAAGCAGTGCACAGCAGAAATGTCGGCAGAAACCTCAAAATCCAACGACATCATGGCCAATTCATCCGCAAACCTTTCACCTTCCTCCAAGACTCCATCAATCCTCGACCCTGCCAACTTCCCTCAGACCCTCTCTTCTGAAACCATTTACATCTCCCTTGTCTACGACCCTCTAGATATCCCGGCCTACCTCCGCTTTACTCGCTCCCCCACCGCTGGCGCCAATGTGCTCTTCTTAGGCACCACACGCAATACGTTCGACTCACGCCCGGTCTCTCGACTGTCATACTCAGCCTACCCCTCACTAGCCCTCAAATCTCTGTACGCCATTGCCGATGACGTGCAGAAGAAACATGGGCTCGAGAAAGTGGTGATTGTCCACCGACTGGGCGAAGTCAAAGTGGAAGAAGAGAGCATCGCTGTCTCCGTCAGCAGCGGGCATCGAGCCAGTGGCTGGAAGGGAGCTGAAGAGATCTTGGAGAGAGTCAAGGCAAGAGCAGAAATCTGGAAAAGAGAATGGTTCGCTGACACCGGTGAGGTGGAGGAAGGAGTCTGGCGGGCGAATAAGGATAGGGACGCTCAAGGCAATATCATTCAGACGAAATGAATCTTCCAAAGTTGTCATCTAAAAGGGTGGCAGACTCTGGCCATTCGAGAGAACTAGGACTAGATGGCCTTTCTTTTCGAGGACACAGGAAACACTGCGATCTCTTGCAATCCACAGTTGGCAGGTACTTGGATACGAAAACTTGTCATGCGCAAGTCTCGCGAGATCATTCCGCGATGGGGAAGAAATGATCGATTAGCGAGCGATCGAGCGGCATGATCCACGCAAGGAGGATCGCAGTTCGGCATGCAAAACCAATATCGGCATGGAAATCATTGACTAAGAATCTATGCGAGCGGATATCTTCTGTCTTTTCACGCGGGGCCCTAATGCAGAGGAAAAGTTCGGCTGTGCGGTTATCATGCTGCAGCAAGCAGACATATGATAATGCAGGTTTGAGCTATTCTGGTTGTCATTATTGAGCCACAGATAAAATTCTGGTGGCTGGGAATTGCGGGGTTGAACGCGAGCAAGCAGAACATCTGTGCTCGAGAACTCAACCATGACTCGTTTGGGTTCGAAATCCCTCTCAGAACCAATTCCCCAGCCTGGTCACCAAAAGGTCGAGGTTCATGGAGCAATGATTGCTGCCTCTGGTGATAGTTGATGCAGATAACGGTGATGGTTCGAGGAATGCGGAGCCTCCAGCAAAAAGGCTTCCAAAAGATAAAAAATAAAAAAAGAATTTCATTCAAAACTATATTAACGGCCTGCACAAAAGCCTCGTCTCAAAAGCTCAGAGCAGGCTGGGGAAAAATGATATGGAAAAAATGGGGGAATTCATCCACCATTGAGCAAGCACAGGATTTTCCCTAACCCATAACGTCATCATCCAGCAACACGGCCGGCAACGCAGTTTCAAGCTACACCTGACGGGAACACAGGCCGAAGATCGCTGATTTTCCCCCATCGCCTTTTTAGGCAGGACAAGTTGGACAAGAACCAGGTACGGGGAAACCTTAGCATTGCAGTTAGATCACGGAAGGCCAAGCTCAAGTGTGAGAGGTTGAATGCACAACACAATTTGGCTCTCGCATCAGCGATATTGATGTCCACCAATGAGGAAGATGGCTACAAGGACGAGCTGAAGGGGGGGGTCACAGCCCTGTGAAGCGGCAGTCGACACCGGGATCCTAGCCGCTTACTTGCCTCGTCTATTTTCATTGTTTGTGCCCGCGATTGGCATGATGATTTCATAACTCGCGTGACTTCTCGCAGCCTCAAGCGACTAACCAGAGTCGGCGGATAATCGACGGGCCTCCCACCAATCAGGCCAGCCTGTAATGCGACCGATGGAAGTGGCTCACCTCCTTTTACAGTATGTCAGCCTCAGGGGAAAAAAAAAAAAAAAAAAAAATATAGGCAAAGCCCGAACACATCGATAACAAATCTCCTGGTATTGGGGACTGCCGCTGAGGCCAACCACGTTTCGGCGAGCAAATTCGAGTCACCATCGGCTTGGCCGTTCCGGGCTCCTTTTTTTTTTTTAAAGTTTGGCGGATATCTTTTTATAGACGTCGGACTACTGGCCAACCCAGTCACACAGCATTCCATCGAAGCTAAAAGCTGGGATAGCCTGTCTAGTGGCCCCGATTGCATCTTCGAATCCTGAAATGTTGCCATTCAAAACTTGCCACAGGTTATGAGAACTAGATCTTTGAGTTTGTTCCATATTTTGTGTCAACATGCTATACGATGAGTCGGTGCGGAGCTTCTTTTCGCCGAGCAGAGTACAACAAGGCTCTCACGTAGGGACGGAGCTGCTGTTGTAGGTATCTGAGACGACACCAACCAGGCCCAGTTAGAGCCCTAAGCCTTCCCAAGGCAGATTTTCTCCGCCGGCTTGGGAAACTGAGGTCCCATGCCCCAGGGGGTCGTCTATCATCGCTATCACCTTTATCACTCAATGCTTTGTGGAACCGTGGTAGTGCCTCTACCGTGCATGGCACCATGCACGTTTGACACAGCGCAGGTTGGATGCTTGACAAGTGCCAACAGCCAAGTTTTAGGCTCCATAGAGCTGTTGTAATGATGATGCGTCGATTTGTCCGGAACAACCAGCAATCAGGGACATGGCTTGCATGGTCTTTGAGGGGTAAAGGACTCCAATTCAGTAAATAATCGATGGACTTATCCCCCGTTTTCAGAGAAGTCATGATGATTGCTTACGAAGATTTTCTGGCCAGTCTTTCCTTTCTTCCATTCTGGGGTTTGGGCACTGGACAGGCTTCTATGGCAGTACGCACCAAGGGGAGTGCAGGCAGAGTGGGAATTTCCATCCATCTGGACATGTGAGTGGAAGCCAAAAGGGGCCTGATAAGTGGCTATGACGATGATGGCTAGAGAAAGGCAAGCTTGCTATATTAATGAATTGTGTGGAATTGTTCCAACGGTTGCGCCGGCTGGGTCGGTCTCTGGCATCGGAATGGGAAGGATTCTGTACCAATTAGTCGTGAACATCCACAGGCAGCAAAGCCAGGACTGGAAGCTGTCTAGATAGTCGACTCGAGGCTTGAAGATTGGTACAATCGTGGCATAGAATCCAGACCAAAGGGGGCAGAGAAGACAATGTTCGACCTGCTTTTGATCATTGTTCGCGATCCGCTCTCAAACAGCAATCTCGTCAAAGAGGCACCATCCCCGAAAAGATGTGCGTGGAGGCCGAACGGCGAAAGGATAAGTTGTCATCGATTAATCTCGATTCTCGACCTGAGGCTGAATGGTGGTTCGGTGATATGCTGTGTCAGCATCCAGTAAGGAGCTGGATAGTGATGCTTATGAGGATCAGGGGCGCCAAGAGGGCGGGGAGAAATTAAAAGGCTGCGGTGGGCAAAAAAAAGGGAGGAGATGAGATTCTACCGCAGAGGCAAAAGAATCTGCGGCATTGTTTGATTGAGTCGAAGCATGATTTTAGAACAAGACTGACGATGTTTATTATTTTGTTTTGTTGAACATAGGTCAAGTTACTGGAGGAGAGCCGATGGCAGCAATGGAATATCTGTGCTGCGATTGTTACCTTCTGGACTTTACCCTCCACAGAGATGCCTATGATTCATTAACAGAGCAAGATTAAAGGGAGACGAGATTGGCCCGGCTCCGCCAAGCGGAAACAAGCGAGGCATTGTTAGGCAGAGCTAAGCCGTGCTAGCCCGGTGGTCGGAGACACAAGTCCGTGGAGGTGCAGGGGCTATCCCTGTCCCATTATTGCGGCGCAGGCCTCAACCCCTCCACTTTTTCCGCTAAGTCAGACACGCTACGGGGGACTCAATTTAGCAACAATGGACCCGCTCGTCGCGTCCTTTGGGGGCTGCTTGGGCTGGATGACGGTCAAGACAGAAACGTTACGAAGAAACACAAGGAAAACATGAGGCTTCCTCTGCAGGTCACGATTTCATGTGACGCCATCGTTTCAGACGTTCATCTCTTCAGGCACCCAAAGGTCGACCCAATGTTTGGCCAGCTGTCTCCGAATCACCGTTCAACTGCCACAGCCCCAGCCCGGATGGCCCATCAAGATTTCTTATCCGCACGGAGACCCAAATGCTAGGAGCCTGGTCAACTCTGACGGTATCTGCTTTGCCCCATTGCCCGAACCCATCAGCCTGAGCCCGTTGAGCCAAACGCCCCCAGGCCCAAACAGCAGCGTGCAAAGCCTCATTAGCCTCGCCCTAACAAAGGACTCCCAAGGCCCTTGCTTTTAAATCTTTCCCAAATCTCAATCCCAATCCCTTTGCTCTATCCCCGGATAGGACTACGGTGTCGAACCAGGAACCCAAGGCCCGACAGACGTAGAGCTGGAAGTAGCTGGTACATAGTATTCCCGTTCTACCGCCTATAGCCCGCCTCGCGCGCTCTCGGCCTCCATCTCCTCCATTCCTCAATCCGCAAATCCCCTCGGTCGTTCCAATCCTACTCGCAAAATCTTTTCTTGTCCCCCCTGGTTCCTCTCCCTCCGACGCTTCTTCTCCTCCTTGCCCACTTACTACTTCACGTTTTACTCACACTCGCTCAACCACCCTGTTCTCCCTGTCACATCCACCATCCCTTTTGTTGTAATATCTCCTCCTCACACACTCGTTCATTCTTCAAATCCCTACACTCTGGCGGCTCCAAATTCGTGGGACAGTTGGGAAGTCGCCAGAGGCTACGACTCCCATTCGCGTCCCAGCTCGCCAATTCTCCCTCGACCGACCACCTTGGCCGTCATCCCAGCCTCCTCTGACCTCGACAAGAACAACAACTCTCTATCCGCAGATATGGAGGACGACACACGGAGCAACAGTGGCCAGACGCTACGCCCATTCTCACAACCCACCATGAACTCGAGATTTCCTTCGCTACGACGCCTCAATTCCACCGAACCTTATCGGCATCGATCGTTACCTGCCGAACCCTCACCTGGCTCCGACCGTGCCAGCAGTGAGATTACCTTCGCTGTTCTCTACGATGATGGTCCGGACTATCATGTCGGCCACTACGATGATCAAGGATCGATGCGATCCACCCACAACAGAGACTCCATGGCCTCCTACGCACCGTCTTTCCGCACGCGCGACTCGAGGATTGTGAGTGAGGAAAACTACCTCGACAATCGAAATCCCGACTTTGTAGCCAACCAGAGACTTCTGGCAGAAGGATATCTGAACAACAATGACTCCCTCTACGACCAATCCGTCCCGCGTTACCCTACTCAGTCTGAAGAAACCTTGGCCATGAGCTCATTACACAACTCATACGCCCGAGACGAAAAGAGACCGCTATCCCAGATGATGATTTCTTCCATGGACCGAGCACAAAGCAAACACTCACATGAATCTTGGTGTACTTGTGATGAGGATCATGGCCATGGCATGGCGGATAGAAAAGACCCAGCCAAGTTTGACCTAGAAGCTCAGAACGGTCCCGCCACCCCTACTCCTTTCCTACCAAAAGAGAAACCCACTGATCAATACAATGTAAGCTCCACGATAGAGACCCCGACCCCCCCCCCCCCCCCCCTCAAAAACACCCCCCCCCCCCCCCCCCCCCTAAATATATTCTAGGAAACCCCCTTGGCTGACGTATTGTTCCAGGTCAAATTCAATGGTCCTACCGATCCCCTGAACCCCAAGAATTGGCCTTCCCGGAAGAAGTGGGCGGTCACGATATTGACTGCGTCGTTCACATTCCTCTCGCCTCTCGCCTCGTCCATGGTAGCTCCCGCTCTCCCACAGATCAGAGAAGAATTTCACATTCAAAACAAGATCGAATCGCAGATTGTCTTGTCTATTTTCGTCTTGGCTTATGCGGTGGGCCCTATGATCCTAGGCCCGCTGTCCGAATTGTATGGACGTGTCATCATTCTCCAATCCTCCAACGTGATGTTCCTTGCCTTCAACACTGCCTGTGGCTTTGCTCAGTCCAAAGAACAGCTAATGGCTTTCCGATTCCTGTCCGGTCTAGGTGGTTCTGCCCCACTTGCTATTGGTGGCGGCGTCCTCGGTGATCTGTTCAAGCCGGAAGAACGTGGTAAGGCCATGGGTATCTATGCCATGGGTCCCCTTCTCGGTCCTGCCGTTGGTCCTATCGTCGGCGCTTGGGTTGCGGAAAAATCCGACTGGCGATGGATGTTCTATGCCACCTCGATTGTTAATCTGTTCATTCTCATCGGCGGTTTTTGGAAACTCAACGAAACATACGCGCCTTACATCTTACACAAGAAAGCCAAGATGATCCGCAAACAAACTGGTGACCCAAAGTATCGTGCCGAAGGTGAAGGTGAAGTCGACCAACCTATTTGGAAAAAGATTGTCAAGACAATGGGTCGATCGTTCGGCATGTTGTTCACTCAACCCATTGTCCAGGTCCTGGCCCTCTACATGGCTTTCTCGTACGGTATCCTCTATCTTGCTCTGTCTACCTTCCCCGAATTGTACCAGGTCGTCTACAGCGAAAGCGTGGGTGTCTCAGGTCTTAACTATATCTCACTCGGTTTGGGCTTCTTCATTGGTGCCCCTCTTTGTGGTAAATCCGGTGACAAGATCTATCAAAAGCTCAAGGCAAAGGATCCTCGAAACCAGGGTAAACCCGAATACCGCATGCCTCTCGTCATTCCCTTCTCATTCTTGGTCCCCATTGGTCTCTTCACCTATGGCTGGTCAGCCCAAGCCAAAACGCACTGGATTGTCCCCAACATCGGCTCCTTCATCTTCGGCATTGGAACCATCGCTGCCTTCCAATGTGTCACCACATATCTTGTCGATACCTACGCCAGGTTTGCTGCCTCGGCCGTCGCTGCAGTCACCATCCTTCGATCATTGGCTGGTTTCAGCTTTCCTTTGTTTGCGCCCGCTATGTACGACGCTCTGGGCTTCGGTTGGGGTAATACCGTTTTGGCTCTTGCCGCCGTTGGTATCGGGATGCCCGTCCCAGTCTTGCTTTGGCTCTTCGGTGAGAAACTGCGAAAGAGAAGCAGTCTTGCCGCCAAAGGCCCACCAGGAAAGGGACCTGGAGGTCCAGGAGGCAAAGGACCCGGCGGCCCCGGCGGTCCAGGAGGCCCTGGAGGAAAGGGTCCCGGTGGTCCCGGTGGTCCAGGAGGGAAAGGACCAGGTGGCCCCGGTGCTCCTCCAGGAGGAATGGGTCCCGGGGGTGTTCCAATGGGACCTCCACCTCCATTTCCAGGAGGAAAGAAAGGTCCCGGCCCTTACTAATCGGTTTGAATTTCTTGAATTGCAACGATCAAAACCACCGTCCGGAATTATGCTAATATAATCACCTACACCTACACCCGTACCCTTGTATCTATGTCCTCTGTTGAAATTTACTATGTCATCATGGAATGAGCGGGGCTGGCGTTTTTCCAGACATTTTGGGCAAGGAAATTTTTCACGCGCAAGAGCGCCGGAAATCGGAATATATACATATTTACATGTCTCTTCTGAGATCTTATCTGTGACCCGGTCTGAGAAGAAGTGACGGTGGAGATATTGGTTTATGGGTATGAGGATGAAGAGATGGAATCATTTTCCTAAGTTCTAAAGAGGAGAGACAAACCCGATAAACCAAAGGATCACAGATGATCACTTTACCGTTGTGAATTGTATGATAAAAGGAATCGATTGATTCTGAAGTTTCAACCAGATTTGAACAAACGTTCACGACACCACAGGCTGGCTGGAGGTGAATCATAATCATAACCTGTCATGTATATCTGGCTACAAAATCTAGTCGCTCTGTGCCCGTGATTTACTGGTCCTTTGGTACTTGCATTCTCTATTCTGATTGGTGACCTGAGATATCAAGGGATGTCAGCTCGAGTTTGCCTTCATCGTACTCGTATACACATCGTCTAGATCTTCTTCCATCCTGCAAATAGACATGTTGATATCCACCGGGGGCCATGCTGTTGGGCGTTGGGCGCAATGCCCGTGCTTGGTCGATCGTGGCTGTGTGTCCGGGCATGGCAGATAGAACCCATATTTTCTTCAAGGCAAGCAACTCAAACTCTTGCTCCATCACTTCAAGGATGGCATGAAATACCGCGGTTAGTAAGCCCAACTCGTCTTGAATTTTCCACAGAGTCACCGACTTATCGACTCGCAAAGACCACGAAACGCCCCTTGTTCGCATGTCACTCTGTGCCCTTTTGGGGGCCGAGACGCCAGAATGCCAGCTTGCCACATGACAAGATTTCTCCAGTTTATGAGCAGGGTCGCGGATACCCTAGGGTACGTCCTTTTTTTGGCGGGCAGAGCAGCAATAGCAGGAGCATTAGCTATCGATTGATAGTGACCCAGCTGTGCGTTGGCGAAGCAGACTGATACAGAAAGACTCCATGACATGTTCAACTCTGAAGGCCTGACTGACATCCGTGACTCCGGACCTTGGACTTGGGCCGGCGTGCGTGATTTAAAAGGAAGGGGAGAAATTGTTTGATTGATTCGTCTCCTGCCTTTGTTGCTTCTCCTTCCATTGTTCATTTGCATTCTACATCGTGGCTCAAGACATATCAGGCCAGCCATCGTGCCTTTAGTGACCACGACCAGGCGATATACTATCTAGCTGATAGCTTGATAGGGAAATATATCAAGTTCAACCCGAAGGCGATGCCAAAAATATGGATTGAAATGTGCTACTGATCGAAAAGTACTCGAGGTCGGCTCATGTCTTCTACGGATATACTGTCAGCATGAACCGAGTAAGTATAACTTTGTGGTTTGAATGGATTCGGCCTCGCGAGTCCACCGCACAGAACTCTTCCTTCGCCGCTCTGGTTCTGGGCTGATTCTGGTTTGTACGCCAATTCACCTGTCCGTTGGTTTTCTCATTTTTCGCTGAATCTCTCTTCCTTTTCTTCTGTCTCTATTCCTTCTCAATCGACCGCATGCATGACATTGAATCTGGAATATGCAAATGATAGAATCAAAAGCGGACCGAGATGTTGTGCAACACGTGGAATTGCCAGCGAAGACCTCCCCCTCGGACCTTTTGATGAACAGCTGCCAGCCAGGCCTTTCTTTATTAGCTATAAGAGGTTCAGAATTTCAATCAAACAGCGAGGAGATTGATCTCAAAAGAAGATCCACTTTCAAGTCTGTTGCTGATATATTTATTCACGTTCGTACTCCTGGAGGATAAGCCTTTTGATCAAGTCAGATATACATATGACAGATAGGCTGACTTGATAGACACGAGATAGAGAGAGTAACACCTCATAATCATCATGACAAGCCAACGTCGCGGTCTCGAAGTCGGCACTGCTTCTGTTTCCAATTTTCATTTCCCCATAGGGAAATTCCGTCAACTCCGACTTCCCCTGTCAATCGCCATAACTGACATCCCATATCTCAAAATCATCGAGCTCCATCGTCCATTCGAATCGTCTTAGAAAACGCCAGTCAATAAACCGCCCACTTTGATATTCGAGATCGAATCATAACAGACGCATACAGCCTTGGATCTAGCGGTCCTTTTTTTGCCCCCGGAGGGGGGCTTCCGTTTTGTATATCGTTGTCCCAGAAAACGCCTGGGCGCGAAGAAGAAGCCCCCCTCCCCCCAACCAAAACAAAAAAGATATTGACAAGAAATGAAAACGTCGTGATGAGGGACAAGGTATGCCTGCTCGGCTTCCTCGCGTTGTCGATTCTTTCGATTGCGGGAGGCATGCGTAAGGATATAACATGTAAAAATATTGATGTGTGGATTGAGCTTGTCTGGTTTGGTGAGAGATGCAGAGGTGAGCTCCTTTGATGCCGATTTTGAGGCTGCGAGCTGAACAGCGACTCAACGCTGCTTTCTAGACTTCTTAGAGCCTCCGGCAGGGAAGAGTACCTCTGTCAGATTTCTCGCCTAGACAAGTGGGTGAATTGTCAAAACGCATATGCCCTGTTCAGTAGCCTGCTCATCGGAATCAGGAGGATTTATCTCTCATCACACAAAATCCACACACATAACGTATGATCAAAGGCTAAATCCGCTAGACTTGCCGAGCTTGTGAGTCGTTTTAGTTGGGACCGGTCACAGAGACAGACGGAACAGGCATATCTCTCAAAGGTGTGGCGTTGTTCGAGTTTGTGTCAGAGTCGATATTGTCTGTTTCAGCGGATACAGACTTCGGGCCGAACATGATTCCAGATCCCTCTTTGCCGGTCATTGGTCCTTTCTCTGTTGCTCTGGTATACGGTCGCTCTTCGTCAACAATTTGTTCTTGTTCGTCTTCCTCCTGGGAAGCCTTCTTGTCAAACATCTTGCGTGTTGTCCGTTTAGCGAATCGAGAAACGGCACGCAACGCTTGCGCAACGGGGTGGAAGATGATACGCATGACTTTCCAGATGGGTCGAAGGATGATTGTCATAGTCCCCACAACACCATTGAAGGCAACGGCAAACCATGGGTCCGGGAAACACCTAATCAAGACACCCCAGAGCAAACATGGAAGAGCAGTGAGTAAGGAGATAGCCCACTGAGCACCGTTCAGACTAGTGATGCTGAAAGCGCGACCACCAACAAAGACAATCATGATTTGACCGCCTACCATGATACAATTGATTCCGAGGAACCAGAAATTGCGGTGGATATTCTCGAAGATATTGAACTTGTTATCCAATCGGCGATTGTTAAGTTCATTGAAGATTTGCATCCACACGAAGGAGTTGAAAACAATGGTGTCAAGTTCCATGCGTTGGTCTTCATCGTAACCCAAAATCGACATGCCGGCGAAATACAAGATAAAGGTCACAATAAGCTGGTAGATCGCTTGGCCAATGATCATCTTCCACATATTGATGGTGATAAGAGCTTCGGATTTAGGCTGCGGCGGACGATCCAGGATTTTCTTGGTAGGTGCATCCGTGGCAAGGGCCAACGCTGCTAGCGTATCCATAATGAGATTGACCCAGAGAAGCTGAACGGCAGTAAGCACAGAGTGGTTCGAGTCGCTTGACACGGCCGACACGAAGGTCAAGACCACGGCCGTAATATTGACGGTAATCTGGAACTGGAGAAATTTCTTGACCGCATCGTTGACGGCACGTCCCCACATGAGCGCAGTGATTGTCGAGGAGAAGTTGTCGTCGAGTAGGATAATGGAAGAAGCCTCTTTTGCAACCTCTGTCCCGGCGATGCCCATACTGAAACCGACGTCTGCCATCTTCAACGCAGGACCATCGTTGGTGCCATCACCAGTCACGGCGACCGTCTCGCCCAAATGCTTCAAGCGACCGACCAGAATACGCTTGTCTTCGGGCGACGAACGAGCGAGGACACGTAATTTCGGTAGGACCTTGTCCATCTCTTCGTTGGAAAGCTGGCGGAATTTTGGTCCTTCCATAACGACTCCTTCTTCGTCCTTGCGGAGAATACCACAATCGCTGGCAATTGCACGAGCGGTCGTCATATTGTCGCCAGTGACCATGCGAACCACCACGCCCGAATGTTGACATTGTGCAACCGCCTCGATGACGCCCTCGCGCAGTGGATCATGGATACCAACCACACCAACCCAGATCATCTCATGGAATATGTCCGCGAAATCAGCCATTTTGGCATCGTCCTCCAGTGTCTTCGCACCTCTAGGTGGCCATTGTGGGAAATCCTTGTAGAGCATACCGATAGTGCGGAGTGAATGTTGGGCGTAGTCTTCGATGGTTGCGGAGATGGCTTCCTTTTCCTCGGCCAGCAAGTCGACCACTTCGTATTGTTTTTCGTAGATGTTGGAAATGGTCTTGGTGGCACTGGCGAGCATTATTTCCGCCGCACCTTTAACCAGCAGTCGGTATCCACCTTCATGCTGGATAACGATACCCATGCATTTCCGGGCCGAGTCGAAGGGAATAAGTTGCTTGACGTGGTAACTTGATCTTTCCGCTGCCACATTATCAAGGCCCAGATGTTCCTTTGCGAGAGTGAGGAGTGCCACCTCGGTTTTGGAACCAATGAACGTCGGAACACCTTTTTCCTCTCCTTCGAAGGCCGTGCTGTTGAGAGTGACAGAAAGCCGGAAGACTTCCTTGACTTCACCGCTAATTTTTCCAAACATGGTGGCGAAGGGAACTGCATGGGAATTCGACTCTGGGTGGGAAGAAAATTTCTCGTTTGATCCAACCGTACCGGCGACAACGGTCATTTTATTCTGTGTGAGCGTGCCGGTTTTGTCAGAGCAGATGGTCGTAGCGTTGCCCATTGTCTCGCAAGCTCGGAGGACTCGAACCAAGTTGTTTTCCTTTAACATTCTTGTCGTCGCGAAGGCCAGCGCCAGTGTTACGGCCAAAGGAAGTCCTTCGGGGACGGCAACAACGATCACGGTAATAGCGACAATCAAGATATCCAGGAATTCCTGCGCCTTCTCTGGACCCGGACGGTCGTCCCCGGACAGATTGGCCAGGAATTTGATCAAGAGGACGAAGAACAAAAGACCAGCGGCCGATGAGCCAAGACCACCAATCCAGTTGGCAAGCTTACCCAGTTTGACCTGGAGAGGAGTAGGTTCGTTATCAGTCTGCAAACTCATGAGGATTTTACCATATGAGCTGTTGACGCCGACGCTGGTCACGAGATATGTTCCGACGCCCTCGAGCACCTTTGAGCCGCTGATGATAAAAGGGTCGAGTTTGGCGGTTGCGGTGCCATCTTGAATTCGTTGCCAGACTTCATCTCCTGGAGTCTTCTTCATCTGATCCGATTCACCAGTTGCGGAGGATTCATCGCACTTGACACCATGTCCCGTGATGAAAATTCCATCAGCTGGCACGGCATCACCAGGCTCCAGGTGAAGAACATCCCCGACAGTGATATCGTGAACTGAGATTTGGATAGATTTGCCGGATCGAATAACTTTCACCTCGCGGTCATCCTTCTGTTTTGAGTGATTAGTTATGGTTGCAGATTGGTGAGAGAATGTACAATACTCACTCGCTTGTTGAGCTTGACGAATTGTCTTTCCTTTTGCCAATCATTGGCAGCACCAACAGTGACGACGATAATGATGGCAACACAGATCGCTACACCTTCAACCCAATCGACGCCTGATTCCCCCGCAACGGTCTCATAAATACCCAAAGCCAGGGAGATGACGGCAGCGATAGTCAGAAGGATGAGAATTTTGTCGTTGTAAGCCCGCCAGATCAGAAGCAAGATCCCATCTGGTTTCCTTTCGGGAAGTCTGTTGTCTCTGAAGACCCGTAATCGATCTTCAAACTGGCCTTTGACTTCCTGCAGTGTAATGGCGGAGGTGGTTCGGTTCAAGGGGACATCCGAAAACGCCCTATCCGAGCCGGTTGCTGTCGCTTCTGCAAAGGATACTTGTCCATCGAGACGAGTTTCGTCTACCGACAATCCGGCCGTTATGCTGGTCCGAAGGCCTTTTTCGAGACCTCTTAATCCGCCGAGTGCTTTGTAGGCCGACAGCGACTTCGGGTTGAGGAGCTTGTTTAATTCGCCCGGCGAAAATGCAAATGGGTTGTTCGGGACCTGGAAGTCCTTCTCATTACCTTTGTCCGGCCGCAAGGCTTCCTCCGGTGACTCATACTCGAGGCTGGATTTCGCGTACAGGGTGACACTAGAAGTTGCAGAAATACCCGAATTCGATCTGAACCGAGTCGAAGCGTCACCGAATTGCACGGAACCCGATCTAGAATTCAGCGTCGATCCATCAAAGGTATGTTTGCGTTCTGGGGTCGTCGGAGACAAGTATGAGCCCTCGTCTATGGCCGTTTGGGGCGGTGTTGACATGCTATATCCCCTTCTGTGACCGGACGTCGTCGCGGTCGGGGACGGTAATGTTGGTTGCTCTGATAGATTCTGTGATTGCAAAGTTAGGAAACTGAAACACGGAAGGTCCGAAAGAGGGGCGGTATTGTGTAAAATACTTACTGAAGTGTCGAGAGTGATTTGGGGTGCAGAAGGAGGATTCTGCCCGTCCATGATTGTAAGAATCAGCTGTGATGGCTGGAGGACTGTAAAGATGATAGTTTAGATCATGGGGCTGGGACTTCACCTTAAGTTGTGATACAGCCTCATCCGCGTGCGAAGCTTACAAAACAAGTCATGGATAGATACTCGGCTGTGGTCGGACGCGACATAGGCAACCATAGATATTATAACAGGGGCAAAGAAATCGAGAGAATTTGCCTCGGATCGCAAGAAGGAAAGAGTCTTTGCATTTCACGATCCTGCTAGTAGATCACCTAGGGAGTTGCTGGTGAAAGGGCATCTTGAATTCGCCTAGAACGGGGCTGTGCCAAAAGTGGGTCGCAGCGGTAGCTGGGCAGAATCCAAAATCCAAATAGCTTGGCTGCGTGACACGGAGGTGAGCTCCGAATCGAGGCGTTGGAACAGGCGCCCAAGTCGCAGAGTTGGAAAGGGTTCAGATGCTGGTTTGTGGGGAGCATCCATCAGTGATTTCGCCCACCCAAATGTTGTGGACTCATCGGGGCCCCTGAAAGGGATAGGGTACTGTACGAGCATATGAGAAGTCCCATTGCGCCAGCTGGATGCACTCACATATAACTTAGATCTTCTTTTTTCTGCCTATACCCCATCACAGCTGCTCTGTGCCATCGAGTGGGTTCCAAGAGAGCTCCAAGCTTGCGACGAAACCACAATTGTATTGATTTTCAGGCGTCAAGACTTTTTGTGAGGAGAAAGAGCGTCGCTTGGCCAACCTCCATCAAATTACCGCTTGGCTTCGTCTCGATTGCTTTCTTGTCCCTTCGTCATGCAAATGGAAAGGTGTAGGAGAGGAGATGTCCGAGTGTCCAGGTTTACGTTATCCATCTGTCAATCCGAGAGACAACAGTACGATGTCAGCAGAAGGAAATGCACGGCAATGAGACTCTGATCCTCTCGTGTAGATGGTGATTTGGGCGGAATCTCTTTGCTGGAGCCTAGTTTCTGTTCACGTGACCTGCTAGCTGCGGTCACCAGCCACAGAATTCTTCAAAATCCACGTGATATTAGCCACAGCCGAGCCACGATGACCCAGGCGAAGTTCTTCCGATTCAAATTTCTCCCTGTTGTTACCCTTTTCTCCTGCTCTGACATTCCCCGGCTCGCAACTGAGAGCCTGCATCCAACGCTCTTGCGAACCTTCCTCTCGGCCTTCCTTTCTCGCCTTCGAGGCTGAGTCAAGCCCCTTGCGTGTTAGTCTGAGCCCTCGGTTACCTCAAGGCGGAGCTCACCTCCGTCCTTGCGTCCGTCAACACCCGGCACTGTTCGTTAACTGGAATTCACAAAACGACATAGCTCATGGAGTGGCGTGAACTGGAGGGGCCAAGAGATACGGACATCCTTCACCATTCTCTTCGGCGATCGACTACATGCTGGCAAATCTTTTCGTTTCTGGATAGGAGGGAGGCCACAATAATTTGTGATCCGAAACCGCAACACCTCATGGCAACATGGGAAAACGTCCAACAGATATTATCAAGGCGGTCAGGATTCAGACGGAGGTCAGGATTGGCCAAAGTCAAAGCCAAGGGTTGGCTCTAAGGAGGAGCTGGGACCCAAATGTCAAGAAAGACCACAAAAACCATGTCGAGGGACCTGAGATTGCGTCTCTGTTTCCCCTAATTGCCTCCTCCATATTATTCATCAGCTATGCTTCACACGAACATGAAGAAGCAATCGATGAAGATCGGCGACCACCGGCCTCTCCGAGTTACGGTGTTGTCCTGAGCGGGCTGGTTTTGCCACCGATGGACATTATTCTTCAATGCCCAGGCTCTACCTCTCTCCTGGGGTTTAATCAGCATGCTGAGAATCAAGGACTACTTCAGCCAGCAAAAAAAGATTAGGTAAATTGCGCATTCTCCTAAAATCTTTGACACGTATATGATTGTTTTTATGAATAGCTCTCTAGGTTCTTGTTCAAAGCACAAATTGATTTGAGAATACTGTCTTTCCCACAAAAATCTATTCTGTATATTACGTTTATCTGCGCAGCATTTCTTTTGCCTTCTCCATTTCCATATTTGAACAAATTAGCTCGCCCTGTTGCTCAAAAACCCGCATTTCACTGCGTGCATAATATGTTTCTTCTCTGATTTCTGTTGCTGGTGGGATCAACGGTCCCAGCGGCTTCTAGATTGGTCTGGATTCATTTTTCTGCAACCCCAGTGCTCGCAGAAGGGATGTCATCAGCGACGAATGGCACTGTGACCAAGTAGTGGACGCCTTGACAGAGATATCATGGCCAACCATTCCCTTTCAAAACTTTTCATCCAGATCGTATTCCAAACCTCCGATTGTGTCGGGTCATGATATGCAAATTCAATCATATCTCCTCTGTCGTACAAAGTGGTGGGACGTTGTCTATCGACAAAAGACGATATCTTCGGTCAGATTCAGTACATGTTGAGCTCCTCGTGGTCAAATAGCCAGCGGAAAAGTCCCAGTTGTTCCAGAGATAAACCCCGCCGGTCATTCAGTTCGCCGCAGTCGTATTCCGGTGGATATCAAATCTTAGGAGGCTGTGTTTTGTGAGACCCACCAATCGAAGTACAACGATGCTCTTCGAGGATCGACTCCGCCTCGTTGGACGTGTCGAAACTTCAACTTAAAACACCTCAGCAACCACCTCCCCACCTCCACTGGAACGGAGGATTTCCCATACCGGCGAATCTTTCAGCTGTTGAGCGACACCAAGCTATTTCCCTGGATACATCCACAGATCCTTCTGCCTGAAGTTGCGTAAAGAGCTCTCATGCCGTCTCCAGTAGCCACAGTGTCACGATGCGGCCGCTGAATTTGCGTGTACTCGTATGAAAGAACTCGAGACATTGGCATGAGAGACGTGATCATCGCCAGGCTTCTAGCATAGCCGCGCTTGGATCCACGTCCGCGGCTGGTTCGTGAGGATCTCATCTGAAACATTGGCGATGAAGGCTGTGACATGCACACGTACGGCCGTATACATCGTGGATACGATGGTAGTTGGCAGAAGAGGAAATTCAAGGTGATACACGAACAGATCTCCCCAGGCGACGCGATTTTTTGGTGTAGAGGACGCCTCAAGGCTGTGAATGCAGGGGGCATTCCCAATCTTCCAATTCCTCAACTATGGCCCATGGCTATTGAAGCCTTTCCTTGAGGCAGCTCATCTTCCGCCTCTTTGGCTTGACGATCTCCGACAGAGCTCGAAAGGCAATATCCAACTTTGTATGTAAGGAATGCTAGGCAAGCCCAGAGTCCTTCTTCCAGAGGAAATCAATCCATTCCGGGTTCAACCAAAAAATTCTCTCTGCCAATTCATGAATAGAAAAGGCATTTACAGGGCACGATATCCGTAGAAGCGGTCTCGTGCAGATGTCTTGTTCAGACCTTCGACACAACCGTGGAACATCAGAGCTCCTGCTCCCAACAGATGACGCTGGTTGGCAATTAACTCAGACATTGCACACGTCACTGTTGTCAGAGACAGCATCGTTGGGCAGATACCCCAGTCACCCTCTTGGTACCTCGTTAACGAAAGTCGCGGCCTTTGCAATGCTCGAGTTTCCACAGTTTGTATCGATGGGTTGACGAGGCTTTATTCATCTTCTGGGCCTCTTCTGTAATTTTCTTCTCTTTCCGACGCCTTCTAAATGCTTGGACATTCGCACATCCTTTGGCTTGTTGGCCCTGAGCCCTTTCAGCATCAGTCCTAGGTATTCGGGGCATGCTGGTCGACATTTCTGATGCTGACGTGTCCAGGTTTCAGGGATCTGAGAAGTGTTTCTCGGAAATTGAGTCTTGAGATGAGAAAGCAAAAATGGACATACCTTTATTTTGAAAAGGACTTGAACTTGCCGTAGTTACATTGTTGAATTCCCGACACTAGATTCGCAGCCTCAGTTGCATGACCCTCTCCACGGTGCTAACCATATCGGTCGAGTGGTCTGCTCGGGTAATGGCTTTTTCAAGGCAGATATTGGTTGAGGTAAGCCATAAGATGCTTTCTTAGATACTGGCACGCACGTGAAGCGGCGGCGGTTGGTGGAATTGGAATACGATATTAGCTATTAATCGTGGAACTTCCCTGATTTGGAAAATGATGCGGCGATCTCATTGGCCAGATGGACGCATTGTTATGGATCTGGGTTCGCTTTCTACCCTTAAAACACGCCGGTCTAGTTTCTTGGTGTGTATTCCGCCGGCACCAAACCTACAATATGATGGCGATGGTGGTCGTTGTACAAGAAAATCCGGCGGAGATCAGTGGTTACTCGATTCTGTTTCATGACCCATGTCCAGATCACTAGCGAGCAAGATCGGAGACATCTTCCAATGACAGCGGGATCTAGAGTTTTGATGCAGGGATTTAAAGCACAGTTCACGCGGTTTTCCCAACATGAGTTTGTTGGCCTGGCCGGGCTGAATATCAAACATTGTTCCAGCTCACCAGATGAAGCTTGGTCGGTGTTGGCGATGTCCTCAGGCGGCAATGGTGACGTACACTCGTTAGATAGATATATAGACAGGCTCAATGCCACTCTCTGACCGAATTCGAGCAGAGCATTGTTCCAATGAAGAGAAGTTTGACAACACAACTCCGCGGGCTTCAGAGAGCGATCCTGCGTTCTGCCGGTCCAATGGAGGAACATATCAGACGTGTACCGAAAACATGGAGCTTAGAAGGGCATGGAGAGGCTGAGTGGTGACTCCAGCAATATGGAAAGACATCAGGTATTCAACAGATGTAGGGGAAGATTGACTGCCAAGTTTGAACAATTCTGGCCGCAGTCCTAGGTCCATGCTCGAATCGGATGATTCACCAGGTAAAAGACAGGGCGGAGTGCTCAGAAAATCACGGCCAAAGCATCTCGAACACCCTGCGGCAACGCCATCGGAATCTTGATTCAAGATGACCTTGCGTAGTGGACTCGCCAATCGTTTCCAGGATTCTCGAATTCCGACATTACTCAATGAGGCATACAAGTAGTACCTTCTGACAAGCCGTAAACCAGAATCTTTCATTGGCTCTGTGAAATGGGTTGGTAGCTATGCACTTACCGAATTTCTTTTTGGGGTTAGACGTAATCTACAGACGGTGGCCCATGAAGCAAGAAATTTGTCCTAAGAGACCTGCATGAGGGTACCCTTCTAGTGGAAAAAGCATCCATGAGGCTTCACGTAAGATCACTAATAGTGACTCTAAAGCAGCCTTACCACGCTGCGGGGTCTTGTCAAGGGCGGAAGACATCTTTGAATGCTAAAATGGGTATCGAAGAGGAAGATGTTCGAGAGGACCGACGGCCAAGGAAGGTTTCCATTGTCATGGCGCCCGCGCCATGTATAATCTTTCGGAATAGCAAGGCAGACAGCCCTTCCAACTTGAGATGGTGTGTACAATGACGGCGAAGATCCCAGAGGCTAAACGAGTCCCCATCAAATTCGAGCCGATTTCGGCAGCAAAGAACTTTCTAAACATGCTGCGATAGTTCCTCACGATCAGTCACATAGAAGGAACATCAGGGAGGTCAAGAAGTCCGTAAGACGTTGAGTCAAAATGCTACCTTCGAAAGAATTTCACCGGCTAACATAGGTTGCAGCAAGCATGAATCCAGAAACTACAAGCACTTCGAATTGGGTTAGAAGATGCAATCAGAACTCAACGCAGAATGTGGCAAGAAGGCGACCAAACCCATTGTGGGACGGTGGATGAAAAGAAGACAGGACGCTGGTAATCTCAAAGTTTTGAGACCACAGACAATTCCAGAGATTGATGATACCTCTTGTCGCCCTCCAGACTGCGCTGAGTAACGGTAACAAATGTCGCTTTTGTTCTCATACTTCGCCAATCGTAGCTGGGAGGGTGGCAGCGGGATTGCACAGTCCGAGCGGCAAAATCCAGATTTGAGGAGATGCCGAGCTCTGGGTAGCGCATTGTTAGATCATCACCGAAATTGCTCTCAGTGGTCTCGACAAAACTGCTTTGGCGACGGGGCAGCACGAGCACTTTGCTGTCTTGCGAGGGACGCTTCCAAGAATGACTTTGAGGCGCATCGATTGCGATCTTGCTGACTGGGCAGTCTTAAAGTGAGTAACCGGAGTTTCAGAAGTCCTGGCCAAGCAAACATGTCCCGTACCTTCAAGACAAGACCGTGTCGACCGGGCTCCCTTGAACCGATGTCTGGAGAAACGTTCTCTGCGAATTCATCGGAGCTCCAGCATAGTTTTGATGTCTGAGCATGCCGGCACAGTGGAAGAAAACGTCAATAGGGACCGTCAGACGAGAAGAGAGCAAGACAACGAGTCGCAAAGTGCAGAATGGGTATCTGGATTCCCAGTTACTTGTACCTTCGTGGTTCCGCTGGTACAAGGATACTTACTGGGTTTGGCATCATTTCCCTTATTTTGGGCGCTCCACATCTTCTATCAACCTCATTTTCACTTTTCGAATATCATTCTTGCCTCTCTGTCGTTTCTTACGCCTCAGAGAACCTGTTGTCGTATTTTGGAGCGGATATGGAGAAGTGTTCGGCCTCATTGGGTACAAGACACGGTGTCAATTGCCGTTTCCAAAACATCATTAGCCGCCGGATCAATAAAAGGCGAGAAGCTTGCTCCATCATGCAACTTTCGGCTTTCCGGATGAAATTTTAGAGACTAGCCGTTCTGTCTACCCCAGTAGGAGACGCCAATCATGCGGCTTTCTTCCCAGATCTTTTGAACATCAATTGACACTCAGAGCATTTTTGCCAATATAATACCCATTCCACCGACCTTCAAAGACGTCGGTGGGTTCACTAAAAAAAAATGAACTAGGCCCCACAAAGATCCTAGTGGTTCCTGATATATACACCGTCCATATTGCCATTGCAAAGCCATCAAAAGGATATCGATATGGCGCCACCTTCGGTTCTGATGGTAGGTACTGGCGAGTACACCACCGGCTTTGTAGCAGGCGCTGCTTCAACGTCAGACAAGAAAGTCGGGGTTGTTGGCTTAACCCGTAAGTTCATCCCCGATCCACTTGTTGAATCCGCACTTGGATGGACGATGAGCACACATTTATTCATTCCACGCAACCAGGGATAGTCACTGACCAACAACAAATGCAGTCTTCGATCTCCGCCGTCGCAGGAAGGTATCGAACCTGTCCATGGCAGGCGTCTCCGGCCAGAAATTCCCAGCAATCAGGCAACATCTTCAAAAGAACATCTCCGAGGCCTACAACGGCCTCGATGTTTCTTTCAAGTCATACCCCTCCGACGACCGAACCGACCCAGAAGCATACAAAACTGCCATCGATGCCCTCCCTAGAGGCTCTGCGGTCACAATCTTTACCCCGGACTCGACACACTATGACATCGCAAAATACGCTATTGCACGAGGAAACCATGTGCTCCTGACCAAGCCAACGACCAAGCTGCTCTCCCACCATCTCGATCTCCTCGCCTTAGCCCAAGAACACAAGGTTTTCGTGTACATTGAACACCACAAGCGCTACGACCCCGCGTATGCCGACGCGAAATTCAAGTCTCGTAACCTCGGCGACTTCAACTACTTCTACAGCTACATGTCGCAACCGAAATCCCAGCTCGAGACGTTCAAAGCCTGGGCAGGCAAGGAGTCCGACATCTCGTACTACTTGAACTCGCATCACGTGGATATCTGCGAATGGATGGTGCGGGACGCAGGCTGGCGACCTTCCACGGTTCGCGCAAGCGCGAGCGTAGGCATTTCTGAATCCGTCGGCTGCGTCGAGGGCACCGAGGACACCATCACACTCCTGGTCGACTGGACGCGGAGCACCGACAACAAGCGCGCCACCGGCATCTACACCGCCAGCTGGACGGCGCCGATGAACGCGGGCGTCCACTCGCAGCAGCATTTCCACTACATCGCGTCCCGAGGCGAGGTGAATGTGAACCAAGCCAAGCGCGGTTATGACGTGGTCGATGAGTCCGATCATTCGGGAAGTTCGCTGAAATGGTGTAATCCGTTCTACATGCGCTATGCGCCGGACGAGGAAGGCAACTTCAACGGCCAGGGCGGTTATGGGTACGTGAGTTTTGAAAAGTTCATCGATGGTGTCACGGCGGTGAACGAGGGCAGAGTCACTGTCGAGGAGTTAGATAGGAGAGGACTGCCCACCTTGAGGAATACGATTCTCACGACAGCCATCTTGGAGGCTGGTAGGAGGAGTCTAGATGAAGGGGGGAGATTGGTGCAGATTGTGGGCCAGGGGGATAAAGTCGAATTGGAGTAGATTGCTAACAAAACCTTCTGCTTGTTTGGCCGGAAATGACATGAAATGAAACCAGCAGAATTTCTTTGAGCCAAGGTCAAAAAGGCGCAGATGAACGAGGAACATGATACTTCCACGCCAGGCCAGTAAAGGTCACGACAGCCACCATATCGAACAGCCGACCTACCCGTTTGAGGGGTCTCATTATTTGACGCTCTCTTCCAAAGTAAAATCTCATCGGTTCTCTACAGATCCTTCAAGAAGAAAGGCCCGTTTCTCAAAATGGAAATTGAAGAGTCTCCAACGACGCTGGATTAAAGCTGGCTCTTCTTTTCTGCCCTAGTCAGTAGGTAGGAGACTTGTCGCTCTGCTATCCTCGACCAGGACTTGGCCTCTCCAAGTATAGCTAGGGAATTTTTAATCCATGATTTCTCTGGATCGCGAAGACGATTCATTACTGGACCTTCGTCGTTACCCAGCCTTTTGCGTAGTGCTGACAGCATACCGTGTGACATTCGAAGCATGATGAGATAACCTGAAAATGTATGATATATATATATATATATATATAACAGATATCCCCTGTGGACCCACTTAGCACTGATCCTGGGAAGAATGAAGGCTTTGATAGACCGTGGAGTCTAGAGAAGGAATGTGTTGTTTTTGTTCTATCTAAGAGAGAGCAAGACGAAAAGAAGGGCGCAAGTTGCCAAGCCAAACAGCCTCACGTGACGTTGCCAAGGCAACGCGTCACGTGACTGGCCAACAGGCTTTTCCAAATCTCGAACTTTGGAAGACCGAAGTTCAACGCTCCCGTGTTCACGATGGATACACCTACTACTCATGTATGTGGCCTTCCCTTGCTGCGGTCAAGCAGAGGGTCGACTGCTCAACCGACCGACTTACCTGATCTCACTCACTGGAACTCGCCCAGTTCGTCCTACGGCCGTCATTTCGATTCAATTAATTCGTCCAACTGCTTTGAGTTCCCGCTCTTCCTTCATCCAGACATGAAGCTCTTAGATTTGAAGATTTACTGGAAGTTGTCTAACATTGGACGCCGACATTCGATGACTCGGCCTGATTCGGACTGCTTGGATTTCTGGATACGAGTTGAAGATTCCCACTGTTTGGAGGTCACCTTGGACAACATGGTGACACGCCTTAAACTCGCGTTTGTTGACAGATCTGATCGTGCTTTTGGTTACAGAGACTTTAGCAAGTGACTCTTCGTAAAGCTTCCATGATGCATATTTTACTGTTTATCGTCTGCTCTCTACGTTTTGGGTGCTTATGCAGACTAACACCCCATTTCCTGGGCGGTTAGGCATGAATAATATATTTCTCTCTTGGCCGAATCAAATTTGGGGCACCACATCATAATTCCTCGCTTGTCTTGGGCCCCATGAAGTTGAGCCAATGGTGCAGGGAAGCCTTCCAAGTGATGCTCGCTCATTTCCGAATATTTGAACTCTCTCCTTCCCTTGCGCCTTGACCTCAGTCGAATTGAGAATCTGAGAATCATACTGGTACAGTAAGTCTAGGAAGATAATGACATTCTACTGGGGGGCACCCAACCCTATAAGAACCGACACAAGGGCAGTCTTTCGAACGAACAAGACAAAGCAGCGGCTCCAACGTCACGTGATCGAACTTTGCTCTCGGTGGGGAGGTCAATCCCCAAGATGAATCGGATGACCATATTTGATGGGTTGTGAAGGAGAATGCAGTTCGTAGGCTTACGGAATATAACGGTGAGGCTGAGATCGGCGCTGCCCCTCCTCTTCTTCCATCCACTGGGTGCTGAGACCTCCCCACCCTATGTATATTTTTGCAGCTTTTGCATGGGGCTGGTGCATCAAAAATATCCGGTGGCTGGTTCGCTTAAGTGCGTTAAACCAGAACGTCCAGTATAGTCAGGATGCGGGCCAAGGTGAAAAATGCAACAAAGTCCGTAGACTTGCGGATGAATGGTTGGCGATAAATCCCTCTCTCCGTCGACCAACCACCAAGAGGCTTACTGCTGCCAACTACTGCAGCATGTTCCTGCAAGAAACAAGTGGTGGAAGTTGGCCGAGCAGGGCCTTGACTCGTGCAAAAGATTGTCGCTTCGAAATAGGTAAGACTCATGCATTAGGCATGACGGTGGCCGCATCGGTGGACGGCCTGCGAGCTGTCCAATGGATAGACCACGACCTTTGTTACCTTCAGCCAGACTAATGTTCAGGCTCGTTCAGGCTCACAGTCAACAACGCCGGGGTTCGATGGGCAAGCTGACAAAGTTGTACGAGAACTTGAACTCTTGAGATATTTTTTCAGCCGCAAATGCTCAGATCCGACGAGCCGTGAGATTTTCTGAAACTTCCTAGTGAAGACCGGACAATGTCAACCGCTTGGAAGAGGATTTACAGAACTGGCGGCTACGGAATACCAAATCCCCAGCAGTGATCAAAGACGGTATCGTTCGGGATTGTTGGACTCAGTAGAATTATCATCTTCCGTTTTGAAGCACCGTATATACATGAAAACGACGATTTTCGGAACGATGTTGGGCCGAAGCTTGTGCTCTGGGACTTTCATTGCAGCCTTGTGAGTCTGTTTGCCAAAGACCAAGCCACGTGATGTTCACGTTGCTCAGTTTGACGTCCTGCCTGGATGCCCGCAGGATTGAAAAAGTCTAATGCGGGAATCATGCCGAATGTCATAGGCCGCCCGTCATGAGACCAGGAAGAAATTGCTAGCGCCTTTACCTGCAGCAATATTCGTATCTACCTGTCTCAGCGATCTCCTGTATTGATATTACTGTTGACAGATTGGTGCAAGTGCCCATGGATATGTTGACAGGGCTCGGCGAAACAATTGACAACGAGGCCCACACTGTAACGGACATATTCAATTAGGTCTGTACTCTCTTTTGAGTCCACGAGGAAAAGGTTCCGTTATCATTACAGTCTAGCGGGTCTGCAGGAAGTTAGTTTTACACTGCAATCAGATCTGCATAGGTAGCAGTGTTTGTTCAGGCGAGGCCTTTCACCTGCAGAGCCGGGCCACTCAGAATCGCGGGTGAGCAAGAATGATCGTCAGTGATCAAAGCCAATCCCATGTAACGTTGGAGGTCAGTATTGAAGACATCTCTACCGCTCGCCGGTTGAGGCTCTGAACGAGACCGGCAGCAATTGCATATTTTTCAACATTGATATGGTAATAGGGGTGGTGGTGGGAGGCGTATAACGGGCGGTAACAAGTTTATTTCAAAGCGGAGAATTCGTATTACCTTCAAGAATTTGATAATTGTGTAATCAATCTTGCACCCAATGGGAGAATTCTCAGCCATCGATTGACAAGCAAAGTTCTGTAGCCGGGAGGTTGTACAGCTTTGAAAAAGTTCGATGTCTAGGAAACCCCAGCCAGGTTGGGCAGCTTGCGGCTCCTTAGGGTCTTAGAATTCACGAACTCAAGAATGACGATGCATCAGTCCCACGTGTCACCGCAAGGTTGCGGAGAATAAGACGGCAGACTGACAAGATGCGGCAAGGCCACCAAAGGTTTGTATCAAAGCATGCCGCATTAGTCGATATAGTTCTTTGACGATCTCTCCAACAAGACCAGTGGGAGAAAAGGATGCACTCGGAGGAAAAAAAGATATTAGCAAATGCATTTTCCTATTGAGACGCTGAATGCCTTGGTATAAGCTTTCCCCAGTAGAGAGATGCTATAAATGGACGTCTAGAGCAACTTGGTGGGTCTTTTAACTAAGCAGGCCGAAGCGAAAGGACAACGGGCGGAGGAATTTCTGGCAAGCTGGTGGCTTCGCGACAACATCTGACTGGCCCAGGAAAAATCTTCGACGACCTGCGTGACAAGTCATTCGTTTTGCCCCATTCTGGCAATGGTGGTAGGGTCATCCGAAATCCAAAGGCCACGGTTTGAAAAAAAAAAAAAAAAAAATACGATGAGTCGAGGGAAAAGATGGGGGCGTAGACCGCAGTTCCGTAAAGTCTGGCGAGCCGCCAGAGCCTCGGTCCTAACCATGGCAGATAGTTTAGTTCAAGAATAGGGCATGTTGCATTGGCTGCGTCGCACTCCACTTGGAGTGTTGCAGGTAGTGCGGGAATGTTGTGTTTCTCTTGTCGGCTCAGCCCGAGCCTGAAGGATGAAGTTGAAAATTCTTGAGAGTGCGTGATCCCGATGGTCAAGTATCTAGGCCCCAGGTCTCTAAGCCGGTACTGTGTGGTATTGTACCAGGCACTTCACCAGAGATGACAGAGGAGGAGTCCTTGGTATCGGCAAAGCAGGCAGTGGATGTGGATGTTTTACAGTAGGTATGGAACATATCGTTATGTTTCAATATTCCGTCTCATGAATTGTGAGGCAACGCCACTACAATGAACTGACTCAGACATGGTCACCTGCCAGCGAGGAGCGATGGTGGTAGCGCAATTGCCATAATCTTTCTAGTTGTGGAGCCGTGACCACGCTAGTACGCGACTTCTTTCCTTGTATGGATTTTTATGGTTTCTGGGCCGTTGAGATGAAATTAGAATCTTTGCCCCTCTGGCTCCTATGCAGGTACCAGCGAGAGGATGGAACGGGGCGCGGTCTCGAGGGTGGGTGTCGAGGAGGAGGGTAAGGTTTGGCCATTTGCCAGCCTGCAATTCCACCCACCAACCTGGCGCCTGGGCATAAACATCTCTGTTTCTGTGCAATTCAATGACAGCCCCCATCAATCCCTCTCTTATTCCGTTTTCCGTTTTCCGCTTTCCGCTTTCCCATTGATGGATTGACAGCATTACATGACCCCGGGAGCACCGTACGGTGGTCTAGAGAAAAACATACCACACCGCTACAAGAGAGTCCGCCAGCTAACCTACATCTGTAGCGCGAGCCATGATCATGGACGGGTAATACGGTGTCAACATTGTAAAGTACTCTACATCTATCCCCCGTATTCAACCGAAATGGAGACTCCGTCAGCCTCGGACATCCCTATCTCGCATAATGGTTTGCACATCAATTCCTGATTCCCAAATCCTATCTACAGTTTGCCGGTGATAATGCCGGTTGGCGGATTGGGATGAGAGACGATAGTCGAAAACACACGACTGGCAAAACTGCATGGGCCATGAAAAAATCTCAAGAGAATGCTAAACATGCCAGGACGAGATTGCCTAGCTGGAAATCCCCATCATTTGGTACCATGGCGTGGTTTGACGCGCAGATGAAAATCCAACTCGTCCCAGAAGTAAGATGAGGCTTGATGCTTGAACCGACAAGCTGCCAGATCGCATGGGGAAATGGGACGAAGAGCTAGTTAGCGAGCAATTCGACGTTGGGTGGTTGATACTGTTCTCAGCTCACCTCAGCTCACTCCAATCAGTCGGGCTCATTCCACAGACAGTTCATTGACAGGCGCACCCAGCCATCCCACCCGGGATTTTCTACCCAGGGTGGTGCTTGGCAGCCGCCAGGCGAGAGAACAGGCCAAACCGACCACCAGTTCAACTGATTTTTCCTTGGGCCCTCTCGATGGGCCTGCGGGTTGTTTGGGAGCGTGCGACGACTCCACCTTCCGCCCCTGCCCACTCTCGCACCCTCCTCTAAATCATGGACTCACTTTCTTGGCAGTACTGCTACCGTTGTTCGGCTGTCAGAGGTGTTGGGCTCACGGGTATGTTAATTGTGGCGCACTGTTTGGATCATATGTCTATTGAATGGTTGTTTGATCGATTGATTGATGGCCAATCTATCACCACATAACACCCAAAATATTACGCCCAGGATTATCAATGCAACATTCGACATAACAGCCAGTCTCTTCCCTTCGGTGAGCCTCAGCTAGAGGCTGAGAAAAAGTCCTACCACCCATGCCGGGTGGGCTATGCCCGCGCCACGGGTCGACCACATTTGGTGCGGCTCCTCCCATTGGTATGTTCGAATCACGCGATTCCCAGGGTTGGATTAAGTTACAAGTACCAAATGCTGCATGCATCCTGCATGGCAGCCGTCACACCCTGGTCAGCCCCCAGGGCCAATGCCACTGCCCAGCCGCTTAATGTGTGGAAGGGAACAATCTTTCAAGCACCAAGGCTGGCCGCTGCCTTATCGTGAGCGTTGTAAATCCCCGGCCCTCCTGTCCGGCCCTGGTCTCATCTGGAGAGCTTGCAGGCCATCCCGGGTTAGTGACTGACCCAGATGAATCAGTGAACCATATTATGTTCCCCCAACCTCGCGACTCGGTCTCGTTGTTTCCTTCACCAGTTTGTTACATTGTTCGCCCTTTTAGCCCTTTGCCCTTGTTATACAAGGGATTTACTCTCGTTGTTTCCTTTCACTTGTTCTCCTTGCGTATATCTTTTTCTGGTGGCCAACTATGGCTTTCTCACGGCTCCTAACCGTTGTTTCTTTCCTGTCACTCGCTATCCTCTCGACCGCGGCGCCCTCTTCATCCTCTTCGATATCAGCACTTAATAAACGCGCCGAAACCATCAAATTCGATATCACATTAACATGGGAAGACTACTCGCCTAATGGAGGAGCATCGCGCAAAATGATTCTCACCAATGGCACCTTCCCCGGGCCTCCCCTGAAGATGAAGGTTGGCGACTCGGTCGAATTCCTCGTCCATAATCACCTCCCCGACCCAACGACCATTCACTTCCACGGTATTGTTCAAACGGGGACACCTTGGTCGGATGGGGTCCCCGGTCTGACGCAATACGCCATTGCTCCCAACAGCTCGTTCCTGTACAAGTGGACCGCCGATGCGTCGGGTGTCTACTTCTACCACTCCCACTACCGCTCCCAAATCATGGACGGCTTGTACGGCGCCATTATCATTCAGCCCGCTGACGAGGCCGACAAGCCCTTCTCATTGATCAGCAACGATACGGCGGCGGTAGAGGCCATGCAGAAGGCAGACGATAACTTGCAAACCATCTTTGTGTCCGACTACAACAAGTATACTTCTGCTGAGATCCACGAGCAGCAAGAAGCTGCCAACATTGACTTTGCGTGCGCCGACTCTATCATCTTGAACGGCATGGGTTCGCAATACTGCTTGACTCGCGATGAATTGACGGCCTACACCAGCTCCAAGGTGGCTTCCTTGCTGGCCACGGTCAGCCCTTCTGAATTGACCGATAAGGGCTGCTTGCCTCCTGACACGCCAGCGACTCAGGGCAACTTCACCTTCGACATCGCGTCCCTCCCGGCGGATGCCTACGGTACATGTACCCCTTCCACTGGTGAAATGGCAGTTTTCGATGCCGATCCATCCCTTGGCTGGGTGGCCTTGACCTTTATCAACCCCGGTGGCTATGAACTCCTGAAATTCACCATTGATGCCCATAAGATGTGGGTTTATGCAGTGGATGGTGGCTACATTTATCCCAAACTCGTAGACCAGATCACCATTAACAACGGTGACCGATACTCGGTCCTGGTGCAGCTCAACCAAGCCCCAGCGCAATATGCCATCCGTGTTGCCAACTCGGGTCTCAACCAGGTCATTAGCGGCTTCGGTATCCTGAACTACTTGGGCTCGACCGGTCCTGCCAGCTCGGACCCCAACGCTCTGGCCGGAATGGATTTTGCAGGGAACAACTTGACTGTTTTGGTGCCTTTCAGCGACAACATCGCCTCCCCTTACCCACCCAATGCCCCAGCACCAAGCGCTGATGTTACCTACATCATGGACATCAAGAAACTGGGCGAACCATACGGTGCTTACGAATGGACCCTCAGCGGTGTTAATGGATTCAACAGTACCATGGAAGATATTGACCCTCTTCTGTTCGAGGATCCGTCCACCATCACCGCCAACGATCTCATCTACAAGACCGCCATGGGCCAATGGGTCGACCTGATCATCAAAACCGAGGGACCTCTCGCGGCTCCTCACCCTATGCACAAGCACTCCAACAAGGCCTATGTCTTGGGCAAGGGAGTTGGGACATGGAACTGGACCACTGTCGATGAAGCGGTCGCTGCTCTACCTCCCGATACCTTAAACTTCGTCGACCCCCCTCTTCGCGATGGGGTAAGTCTTTCCCCTCTTTTCACATTTGAACCACGCGAAAACTAACATTGATCTAGTACACTACCCAAGGTTCCCAAGGCAACGACACTTGGATGGTCATCCGATACAACGTCGTCAATCCTGGTGCCTTCCTGTTCCACTGCCACGTGCAAACGCACGTGGCTGGCGGTATGGCCATTGCCTTCCTCGATGGTGTTGACGACTGGCCGGAGGTTCCCGACGAATATAAAGACGGCAACGGCATCATCTACACCAAGCTCAAGAAGAAGGGCAAACTCCACCCCAAAGCATAAAAATATCCACTATTCAGCAATAATCTTTTTATGACTTGATACCAAGACCGCTCTCGCCGCCCTCTTTTACTACTGACACTCAAAAGGAACCTCGGGGATGATGGGACCAAAAAGATTCAGGGAAAACTCAGTCCAAATGTACAAATTGGGCTGGTATATCATCTTTGCATGTGTGCGTCATGTGGGGTTTGCATATATTATGACTTGACTGATTGGCATTTTTATTTAATTGTTATGCTCGAAAATCTCTCTTCTTCTGTGCCGGTCTGCTCCTATTCTCGTGTCTTTCTTGGATTCTTGAGGACTCAAAATACCAGGTGTATGATATTTTTTTTTTTTTTTTGGGCCGTGACATTCGGTGAGTGGTTTTAGTATTCAATTCGCACGCAGCACAACATATCGCCTACCATTGCGAGATGAAAAGATTGTACTCTCATAGCTATAGCTCTAGCCTAGCTGAATGTACCAGAAACCCGAGACTTCTTTTGGGGGCGTCCAAAAAAAACAAAAAGGGGTTCTTTGCTCCAACGAGCTCGCTGTTGTAACATTCGGATGATTGAGGTGGCTTCTATATAAGAACTTGTGAGGACTCGTCCTCGCAGCACCTCAAGTAGAAACGAAGGAAGTTGCGTCACGGAATTTCATTCGGAGTCTGTATATACACACGGTACGTATCATGTCTTGTATCTTGGTTCATGCTCATGTGTGACGGGCTCAGTTATATCTGCCGAGGAAGCACTCTACACTCTGCACCCTCAATATTCCGGCATCTTGATGCGAAGCTCAAGTCATACACATCCAATCCTGTAAGGAAGTAGTATATAATATGTAGTACGCTTGTGTGTTGTGTCGCATGACCTGACAGCATACAGCATACTAAGCAATAGCCAAGCTTGCTTGCCTGACTTTGTGTTACCTGTGGCGTGTCTTCGTCCGGCGATCCTGAATCAAATCGTTCTCTTTTACGTGAACTTCGGACGAGTAGCCTTCGGTCGCCTTCGTCCAGAATGAGATATCGGATTCTGGTTTGAAATCTGATGCACCTTGTGGTGAAGGTGGTCGATGGATCATACGAGTTCGATGTCGGTCTCAGGACCATTGAATCGATGTGCGGGTTCGAGTGGTTTTCAATGTATTTGCCCAGATATTCTTTATTTCACTTCGATCTTCCTCGCTCAAAGCATTCGTCCTCAGAAAGGTCGGCCTGATCAGCCAGATTTACGTAGGAAGTACCGTATGGGGAAGCCCCCACCTTCGGTCTTCCACGTGGAACCTCAACGTTGGCATTGGCGAGGGTAAGAGATCTCAAACGGTCTTTTCATTCTGGGCATCTTATCTTGCCCTCGTCCATGGTCCAGACCAGTTTCATCTTTGCTCATCATTTTGCTGCTTAAAGCATGCCATTTCTGTCACTCTTGTTGTTCATGAACATCCTCACTGAGTCTGGAATTCTAGCTTTTCCTCTTTCATTTTCGTCCCCCAGATTCGACGTGGGAACCGCCTAGCCTGGCACCTGATATTCGAGATCGCAATCTCTCCTGAACCCCCGTTAGCCTTGCGATCCGGTCACCCACTAAGCGGCGCCATCGCAGTGTCCCCACTCTCGAAGATTGCGCCCAGAATTTGGATCCCTCCCTGATCAAGTGGTCGCATTGGAGTCACGACGAACTCTCAAGCTAATGAGATGGAGTAATTAGCACGGAACGAATGTCACACTTGATAAGTTTAAACGAATAAGGAGCAAACTGGTGCTATCACGAGACAATTCACCCCGCTTATCTAGATTTCGAAAAGGAAAAGGGGCCGACGAAATCAACTTTCTGTGAGTTAACCGAAGTTGTTTTTTGCTTTGATGGCAGGCTTCATATGGAAAAAGAATGGCACCTGGCCACGCTGGCGTATTCGGAACTGGACAACTTATGAGACAAAACACCAAGTTGGAGTACATTCAACGCACCTGAATCGTTATTCGCTTGCTGACACCTATTTTGGGACGGATTGCGACCGCAAAAGATGTCTCTCTGGCATGACCAGGTGACTTATTCCGTCGCTTCTCTCGGGGATCAAGTCACTCAATGTTATGTATCATGATTGGGACGCCACAGAGTATTTGAACCCGGGAGGGGAGAAATTCTCCTCTCTTTCGTGGACTCCCACTCGGGATGCATTTCAAAGTCCTTACAGCAGGGGACTTTATCTTGATTCCTGATGGATGACAGAGCAAATGCTCCCAGTGCGGTAACATGTCCAACGAATCTGCTCATTGCACCACACCTCGTAACGCTCATTCACATAAATCAGTTGGATATCTCGAAACATTTCGAATACGCCATCATCATTCCGGATGTGTGCTTGGATGCCGGGTGTTCCAGTGACTGCTACCGACGGTCCATTCTCACTTCCTACGCAGCACCTTCATATCATCTTTGACCGACACAAGATGGCGGGGCGATTGACGAATCTGAGAAGGTACTCCGGTAAGCCTAGTTCAATTTTGGATGTTGAATACCACGGCTTTGAGCGTATCCTGCCTGTTGGGAAATGTCAAAGTCAATACTCAAAGATCGTGGGCTCAACAAAAGCTGAACTCACCACTTGCTCGCGGATAATGGTCCTCGTGAAATTTCCATTCACCGTGGCTAAAGAACCCTTTCTCTTGTCCCCATTTTGTAGACGCAGTGTCCTGCACTCCCTGGTAAGAAACTTTGGAGCTGTCTTCTAGTAAGGACTCGTCTACAGCGGCGCGCAGATACCAACCCCAGTGGAGTATTTGAGGTTTGAAACATGGACCCTGTTGGTGCAATTCCATTGTTTAACATCGACATAGTCCGTGGCACAAATGACGTGGACGTGGTTGAAAGGGCTGGTTTGAAGTTTTCGCCTTTTGGCTCAGAATGGGTGGCCAGCTTAAGTCGTCAGTAGTGCTTCCGCAGCGACAAATGGTTGAACCAAAGGTTCAGCGGGAGGGGATTTTGTTGACGAAATCTTATTCCCGTCCGAGGCCGTGATGCTCTTGCCACCATCGATTGTCACCTCGCTTTCTGATCTTAGCTTTTGATAAATCCGTCATTTAGGCGACAGACTTCATCATTGTGTACGTCAAGTAATGCTGAAGGACAGAAGATCAGGGCCTCTCCAGTCTGCAAGCTGCTGATTTTCTCAAAGCGATTCTTCGCTTTCCTGGCCGTTACAACAACGAGCACCGGAAGATGGTTTCGCAACGCTCGAAACCAATGGAGTGAATTGAATCGATGGACAACAAAGACGTTGAAAAGATCACGGAGTCCCGGTGCGAAGGCTGGCTCTTACATGGCGACAATGATACGTGTAGCTAGATGTCGTTGCCGGCGGACAATGGATCTCAAATGCTCGGTGAGTTTTTCTGCCTCTCTTGATTTTGTCAGGAACTTATTAAACGTTAGATCGTCCAACAGAGGGTCCGACGCATCCCAACCTTGTGAGCTTCATCGAGAGCAATAACTCTGCTGCAACCTCCCGACATGCAAATCGTGAATAGAGCGCACGCATCGTTTTCATTGACGAAGGGACAGCTGAGGTCACTGATTGTCAGGGTGCCTGCGGCAGATTTGAAAATCTGTTTAAGCGGACGCAGAATCCGCAGACTGGTTTCGGTCGGCAAGAAATGATTCGACGCAGCTGAAGTCGCATTCTGAGTGGAATGTCTTGACCAACCGAAAATCCCTGCTGTCACAAACGGGCTTTGAAGTCGTGATAGTCGACGCCAGTCGCGCTGGGCTTTTTCTCTTGACATATCTTGAAGTACTTTGAAAATCACCTCCATGCACATCCGCGGCTCATTGGTGTTGACAGCCAATCAAAGTTGTCATCCTCGCGACATGGAGATGTTCTTCCTGGAAGTGAAGTGGAACTACCTGGGGCTTGGGAGCATCCTTTGGGAATGCAGGCAGGTGGTTGTACGGCTTATGCATGCAATGAAAATTGGACGGAGACACGAGAAGGCGAACCGGGACTCCTGGCGAGCACAAATATGCTGCTTTACACACTCGTGTGCTCTCATATTCTGTGAACACATTATAATGACAGACTAGTCCTGCTAGTGGTTTGGGATTCACACTGGCTGGAGAAGGGGACAGAAGCGTATTCTCAGGCATGCAGGACAACGGATGGCTCTTACCGGCCCCTTGAGAGCCACGTATAAACGTAGACCGTGGCACATTTGTGTTTGCGAATATGAGGTTCTCTTCGACGGGGAGAGCCTGTGAGTTCCCCGTAAGTCGGCAGGCGTATACCTTCTGATAGACTCCCAAAAACCCGACTTGAGGAAATGGATGCTCATCAGATTCCAGTGTTCTCGTGATTCCGCCATCCAATGACATTCTTACTTCATTGGAGAATAGTGGAGCTGTTCTGAAGCTTTGCGTCATTGTGCACTTGCGCTGCCAAGGGTGTCGGACTGGTTGAGTTCTTCTGAAATGAGTTGTGTATAGTTGGGCAACATTTTCTGGTATGTCCCTTCGTCTTTGCCAGTCAAACCCTGTATCGACAATACAGAACCATCATCAGGTGTCACGTGACAACCTGCCACCGAGATGCCTGTATTGAGCAGGGCAATGGGAAGGTTCATTACCATCTCACGGCTTGCGGGCTGGGCTCTTGAGTTGGTAGAAGTTTCGTTCGTAGGCGGAGCGGAGGAGCTCAAGATATCCGATGTAACGTAAGTGTAAGTCTAATCAGGTCAACACTGAGAGTTCCTTACACCCATTCTCGGATTTGTCCCCAAGAGACTGGCCCGTTGCAAGAATGGTGAAGAAGAGCTCATGGCCTGAGCGAAAGAAAAGAGCGCGTTTCCTCCGATGTATGAGCTTGACACTGGAAGAGATCCTTTGAATTGGTGTGGGTTCGCCAAGTTTAAAGGCCAAGCTGGGCATTGTCAGTAGGGTCGTCAACCATATGGCGTAGACGGAGTTGTGAGAGATAAGGAGTCGCGGAAAAAGTCGATAAGAGGAGATATCGGGTTGGTATTTGGAGGATTTGGGGGATGTCATGACCACGACAGCAAGTGAGGAGAATTTCTTCCCTTACGTGCTGCCACGAGTGGCCCAGGGAATATCAGAGTGAGAAAAATGCAGACAAACCTGTAAATCTAAGAGCAAGAGAAGAAATGGAACACGCATCTCATTCTCGTCCACAAAAAAAAAAAAAAAAAACAACGTTGACGACAGCGATGGAAGGCAGCAACAGGGCTAGCTGGTGAGGCACATCTCTGCCCATATCGCACATCCAGGTGACACGCTCCAATCTACCTTGATTGCAATGTTCATTTCTTCGTCCAGTCGTCCCCTCAGTAGTTAGACTGGTAGAGGGACGAACAGTGTGCATATGGCTCTACAATAAAGGTTCTTCATATTGAGCCTTGTGGCCTGCACATTCGCATTGTCCTTCTCTTCGTTATGTGTATGGGCTCTCATTTTCCATCAAAGGCTATGGTGATCACCTTGAGGACGCAAAGCCTCTTATATCAGACGAGGCGTTGCCCCATCATATCTTCCCTTCTGGGCTGGACCTGCCATCCTTGTGAAAGCTTACGGTCGGTCTAGGAAAGCTTCGTGAAAGCGACATGAGCAGTAGCACGATTGTTTGCTTGAGAATATAGTTGTTCTCAGAGCATCGACAGTGGTATTGCGACACAGCAGGCATATAATAAGCGCGTGTATCAGAAGAGCCGACTGGCAATTTGGTTGAAACCCCAAGCTGGAGGCTGCAACAGATGACTCGGAGCAAGTTTCACAGCAAGTGCTTGGCAGCCAAGGACCCAAGTCGGTCTGCTCCCCGGGCGCCCTCCGGATAAGCAGCCCAAGGCTGCAACCCCTTTTCAGTGGCTTGGTTGGGGGCTTTGACATAGGCCGTCAGCGTAACATTCTTCATTGTTCTCCCAGCCTGGATTCTCACAATACACAATTAGTCTAGAGAAGTATCACAAACTATACTTTCTCGTCCACAAGACAATGGCACCTTTACTGACGGTCATCAAGCCTCAGCGCCAGTATCTTCATGTCTTAACCTGGCCTTCCTCCGTAGTCCTCATGATTTCAGTCTCATCCCCCCTAACCGCCGGCAGTGGCCCGCCAATGCCATCCTTCTCCCAAAATTTGTTCTTGTTGTCTTGTCCGCTTATGAGTCCCGTGAGATCGAAAGGATCAAAGAATGTCAGCAGGAAAGGTCTTTTGTCAACCATGCCTGGTCCCTCGATCTCTGTTTTTCCATCTACTGCCAGATATATCTTGTGATTTGCAGGAAGATACTTCGCCGGAGGATAGACGTTCATGAGATAGCTGTTCACCAGCATCGGGAGGGCTTCAAGAACCCAAAAAAGGACTTCATCGCCGTTTGCAATCGAATCTGGCGGGTAGAAGAAGGCTGCAGTGCGGAAGACATTCCGGATGAGGATCAGGAAACAGGAGACGTATAGTTCGTAGATGATGATCTTCGTCTTGTATGTGAAGACACCGGCTGCAACAGCTCGTCGATGAAATATGATAATCAGGATCATAAAGCCCAGAAACATACCCAGCAGCAGGAACAGTGAGACTTTGACGAGGATGATGCCGGATTTGATTTTGGACTCGCTATTTGATGCGTTGGACGCATTCGCAGCACCATTGCCGGCAATGATCCCGTCGATCGTATCCAGAGCGATGAAGGTTGTCCACACACGGCCAGGGTGCAAGGGAGAGAGGTATGGGAGATAGTACAAGATCCTTCCGAAGATGAAATAATTTGCACCATTGTAAACCGGTGGAGCTAGAAACAAGAGAACTGTGCTGGCGATGAAGATGTCGAGATTGTCATAGTGATAGGCGCCATATTCTCGAAGAGAGAAGCCGGCAACGAAAAGGAGTGCCGCCCATGGGAGGAGAAATCCAATACGCCATGACTTGAATTTGATGTTGTTCTGCCAGATATGAAGGCAGCAAGAGATGGCGAACAGAACAGCAAACACTATAGAGACACCTTTCGTGGGTGCATAGACCCAAAGGGACCCCTTCACAACATGAACCATGGTACAATATTTTAGTGCTTGCGTGGATGTTATCAAAGAGAGAATAAGATATGATCGGCCCTCTAATTCCACGAGTACGAACGTCAGCAGACGATATGGACGACTTTAAGTATTTTAGAACAAACCCAAAGATGGAAGAGCAGTGTCGGGAACTGTTTGAAGCGCTCATCACCACGCCAGCCCAAAGTATTCGGAGCGAGTAAGATGCCGGGGGTTTGGAAATGAAGACAAAACAGCCCGTGTCAATGCTTGTCGATCTTTCAAGCTCAAGTCACGTATCGCAGATACGAAGGCACAAACAAGAATGCGGTGCTGGTAGAATGCAATTGTTCTTCGGACCAACCCAATCAGAGTGATTTTTGCTGGAGACGCGGCAATATCTGGTGTTGAAATGTTTGGTGTTGTGGCAGAATTCGAGCGAGTTGCTTCAAAGCCGGCAAACTTCAAGGCAGGGGAGAAAGCCTTGTAGTTGCCTTGCAACCGATTGCCGCAGCTGATTGACGGGCCGGGTACACGACCCAGAGCGACATCGCAGAATGAGCCCAAAAAGGCATAGTCCAGCAGAGGAAATGAAATAAGTGAGAATAATCGAAGCGAAAGGAATGCGGAGGTCGACCTTGAAGACTCAACGTCTTTGCAGGGGATGATTGAATGAAGATATCCGAGTACGAAGCCCAAAGTGAAAGAGTTGGAAAATCAGCCTTGCAGGGTGCCTCGTCTCGTGACATCACGTGATCACGATCACATGACACATTCACGTGGTATCACGAGATTCAGTACCGATTTAAACTTTGAAACGTGTTTGCCTCGGCTCAGAAACCCGTAACTGACAACCCTCATCAAAACAAGGGTCCGTCAACCAACACCCAATATACATCGACACGGTGATCCTAGATTGACCATTCTTTAGCAGAAGTCAGACGGCTCCGATTCGGATAGAGCTCGGTCCTAAAATGACGACGCCTTCATCCTCCTGAAGAATCTGTAAATCTCTCTGTTGTTTTGCGTTATGATGTAGTTTACGCTGCACACATCATCCTCAAAGGGATCAAAAGACCTGCTTTCGGTCCACAGGAAGATTCACCGTCTTTCCGTGACTTCAACTCTCAAAAATTGACTCATGACTTGAACTACGCAGAACCCCTTTGGATTGTCCGTTTGGCGAAATTCGCCTCCCACGACCAGCCTTGCGTCTTTGGCCAGATCGAGACGGAGCAAGTAAAAGCGTCCAATATGTCGCCTCACGAAATAAACGGAATAACAGGAGATCATGCCCACGATTACTTCCATAAGAATCCCGCTCCAAAGGCTTTGTCCAGCCACCAAACCTTAGCTCGAGAGTTCATCCATTATCATCTGGAAAACTCCCCCACTCGTCGGATTGCTTTGGTCACGTCTGGAGGAACAACCGTGCCACTTGAAAACCAGACGGTACGATTCATAGACAATTTCTCAGCCGGAACTCGTGGAGCCACATCGGCCGAGTACTTTTTGCAAGAGGGCTACGCCGTCATTTTCCTTCATCGACAATTCAGCCTTCTCCCATATTCTCGACATTACAGCCACAGCACCAATTGCTTTCTCGACTTTATGGAAGAGTCGCAAGATGACGGCGAGCGAGTGGTAGTTCGGAAGGAGTATCAAGAAAAGATGCGACGAGTTCTGCAGCAGTATCAGTTCGCAAAACACAATCGGCTGCTGTTACTTCTTCCTTTCACCACGGTAACCGACTATCTCTTCGAGCTTCGCAGCCTTGCCGTTCTGATGCAGCCTCTTGGGAACCGGGCGCTGTTCTATCTGGCTGCAGCCGTGTCCGACTTCTTCATTCCCAGAGAACGGATGGAAGAGCACAAGATCCAATCACGCGAGGAGCGTTCGGGAGGCCCAGGATCGGGGGCTAGTCGCCAACTGGTCATTAACCTTGATCCAGTCCCCAAATTCCTCAGTACCTTGGTGCAGTCATGGGCTCCTAGAGGGAGCATGATAGTCAGCTTCAAACTGGAGACCAATCCGAGCCTCCTGGTCACCAAGGCAGAGCAAGCCCTGAACCGATATCATCACGACCTCGTGATTGGAAACCTGCTGACCACGCGCAAGTGGGAGGTGGTCTTTATCTCGCGAAATGGTGGCGAGAAATGGCTCCGAGTACCCAAATCTCGACGGTCTAAAAGTATTTCTGGAGTGGAAGAATTGGTGGGTAAAGCAGAGCGCAAGCACGAACCCGAAGCTCCCGACTTAGAGGGAGGTACGGTGACTGAAGGTATGGAAATAGAAAGTTTGATCGTCCCTGAACTGGCGATGATGCACTCTGAGATGATGGCGCGTCGGACGTGAGCGATGAGACATGACAAGCAAGGACGGCACATGGACCAAAACGGTTATGTCAGCGAGAACATAGCTGATAAGGGTGGCTTCTGGAGTGGAAGCTCCAACCTAGAAGGCCGATCGTCGACGTTGGAGTACTTTTGTAACGTAACCTGGCACTTCTTGATTTGACGTATCTAGGCGTAATGAAGAGGTAGTGGTTGCTGCATGGTATTCTTTATTCCAAATCTCCCCTGACTTGGGCAACCTCATCGAGACAACGCACAGCTAAACTCAGCCCGGCAGCACGGAGGCAAGACAGGCGTGGGAGCCAGAGGATCGTCAACACCGCGATTTTCCCAGACCAAGTGGCCTTGGGTTCAGTCTAGGGCTTCATATCCATCTTCCTGTACTCTCGTCGGGAACCAATCGAAGCTGCAAGCTTAATTCCACTTGTTTGACCATTCCATGCGAGCTTGATCCCGCTGACCCATTTGCCATGCCTATCCATCTCACGTACAAGTATCTGCCGCGATCCGACAATAATCACCGCAAAGGCACGGAAATTTTTGTCGGTGATCTCCCTTTGTACGCTGGGCCCCTTAATGTAAGACTGAAGCTGCTTGCGGACATTTCCAGAGTTCTGACTCCTGCCTCTCCCATCGACCCGGTTGCGGATAGTACCTGAGCGGAATTTATCCTTTTTGAATCGTAACCCAAGGTTCTCTTCTAGTCCCATGGTCTCTAGCTGTTTCGCTCGGTCGCTATTATCTCCATCGAGTCCCAAGTAGGGCAGTTGAATGTTCTTGAACTCGATGAGAGTGTAGGTGTTCTTCTTGGTTGTAATAAGAAGATCGACAAAGCCTGTCTGATCAGGCCCCCGCAGAAATCAGCTTCACCCATATAGACCATTAAGGATCGGTACGCGGATATGTTGCCTTCTCCGGCAGCCGGACGCTCTATGTAGGCAAGGTGAGATGCCACACTCATGATCTTTTATATTTTAACATCACTTACCAGGTCGGATAGTTTGAAGCGACGGAGCACTTTCACATATGGAATCCTTTGGTATGAGCCATGTTCGTCCTTTTGGAGTGCCAGTTGTGTATCGTTCACGACCGCAGGCGCCCCCGAGCAAATCCGTAAGAAGGGCTCGGTGACCTCTGAATTTTCGGGGTCCAAGACGTCAGGCACTTCTCCCCGCTTGACTGACCATATATCCAGCGATTAGTGCACGAGTTAGATGACGCTTGCATTCCCTCACTTCAAGATACGAAAGGGCAGTCTGTGTGTTAAAGACTGGTTCCACCGTCCGCTCTTGGCAGAAGTGATAGCCGTTAGTGAGGTGTTCCAATTCCCGAAAGTGATTTTGCACCTCTTTCTCACTATTGCAGATGGCCCTGAGTGCTGCTAGTACATCTGATCGAGTTCATCCGCAAATGGTTGACATTCGAGAACGGAAAGAGATGTTTTCTTGAACGTTGGCCCCGCTAATGCGACATGCCAGCTTTGACGTTAGACCAGAATCCCTCTAGAGCGGCTAGCGCCTCGGCATCGGACCATGACCTTGGATTACGTGGATCCATATAATCGTTGGTGCATGCATCGTATTCATCCACGAGTAAATAGATCTTCAGACGTCATAGTGTGTAGTGTAGAACATACCCCTTGTACGTCCCATAAGGGATGCCGGCCATCGCCGTCATCATGAATCTGTTGAAGAACACCACAAACATGCTGAACAAAGTCTGCGAAATTCGCGACTGGGTCTTTCTCGGCAAATCTAGAAGTCACTGGGTCGAAAAGTGAACCTAGATATTTGCCATGGTCGATCTTGAAGTTTAGCAGCCCACGATTTATTTCTCTCCCGAAAGACTCGACGTATTCGTTGACGGCGATAGGATGGCTAGGGCGGGAGAAGTTGAATTCTAAAATAAGATACTGTGAATGCTGAATTTCGTGATTTTGGACAGCTTTATCCACGTCGAGATCCTAATTTTTGCATAAGGAATGTGCGCACACATAAATCTGGTACCGAAAGTATGCCACACCCTGAAAAGCCGCTCGTATTGGTCACGGTACTGAAATCCATGGAAGTGTCGCAACATAGAGACGGTGAGAGACTTCCCGAATCGCTTGGGGCGGCAAACAAGCTGAACATCAGACCCATTTTGCAGCTCAACGATATATGCTGTCTTGTCGAAATATGCTATTCCAGGGGACTTGCGAATTTCTTTGAAGTCCGATTTGCTCAAGGGAAACTTTTGCAGCTCGCCGGATACTACGAGCTTCGAACTCGATAGCAAAGTTGACGTTGGGCGGGATGCCACGAGGGGAATTCGTTTGATGTGAGCAAAGTGGTGCGGGAGGCAGCAAGTGCGGGAGGAAAATCGAAGAGGACTCCTGCATACGCTGATCAGCTGGTTGCCGATCATGCCAAACGAGTGGGAAGTTCAGTAGATGGGCCCAGAAAGAGAGGCGTGATGAACATAATAAGCTTAGGCGTGGCTGCGCCAAAGGCTGCGATGATCACGTGACATACAGGCCAAGAGATCGGAATCATGTGGTGTTCGGGTGCAAACCGAGAGGGGCACAATCTGAGGCAGATGGAAGCTGCTAGTCGGGCCGGGATGGGGGGAAATGAACTGCTCCCTCTTCCCGAAACCTATCAAGCTAGTGCATACCATCCTCGCCAATGCAGTCGCTAGGATCGTTGGCTCATCGCGGAAGCCCTTGCGCAGGAATAATGCCAGACGTGCCGCAGCATCCCCCGGTTGAATTGCAGCGTAGGCGGGGCAAAAAATCGACGTGCAAGAGTTAGTGGCGTTCAAAAGGTGATTCGCACTTGGGAAGCAAGACACAACTCTCAGCCTCTGGGCACATCTCAAGACAACAAAAGATTTACATGTGGATGGGTCGAGAGAGGAGGAGACAGCAAGAAAAAGAGTTTGTTAGTGGAGCCGTAGGTGAACAGATTTAGTTGGAGTTGTCTCGTTCACTCCCACGGCCCGGTCCCTGTCTTGCCGGCTGCGACTGTCCATCTGTTTGACTCTTTTCATTTCGCTTGTTCAAGTTTCTAGTTCCTGTCGTAAACTTGCAACTCGCGGGTGTGCAAGTGCGATCAAAGTGAACGGAACTCCGAACCTGAAGAACCTAAGCATTAACCCATCGTTTGCCCTCTCGATGCCTTGACATGGCCGCCTCTCTCATAGCCCACTACAACTGCTGCTGCGGCTGTCCAAATCTCTGCCTGCCAAACCTCACGTCATCTAGAGATCTTCCTCTATATCCTCGGGAACGATAGCAAGCGCGGTAGCGGACGCATTTCTCCTCTCACCATACAGCGGCTACCCTTTTTTCCAGACATACTGCGTGATTGGTAGGCTAGCGTTTCCATTGCACCAAATCCATTTTTCGTCGCAGCCCACCTCCATTTCATTCTTTCAACACCATCCCCGGGACAGCAGAAGCTCATTCCACTGACTCACTCACCGTCTCTAACGTCGTCTGTCCTTTGGCGTGGCACGGACTCTAACTGAGCCAAAAGGTTCTGTACCCGATCAGCATCACGAAACCCCACTCTCGCTCCCTCAGACCCATATTAGACGCGCTTCACGAAAGTCGCAACCCCTCCCTCAATCGTTATACCCGCGGCTACAAGTTACCGCTGAATATCTTTGCGCATCCAAATAGTACCTTGTGCCACGCCTTCGCCCAATGAGAAATGAGATAGCCTTCACGACAAATTTGTTGTCTGTTTCGCCCGACATGAAGGCGACTGACCATCCTTGGCCTTTGGTCACAGACACTTCTGTGCCGGCTGGCAAATTGACTTGGAAAGCAGCTGAGTCCGACATCCCTTCATGGAAGACACCTACCAAATTGATTGATGAAAATTCCTATAACACCACGGTTCTTCGGTTAGCATCTACAATGTCTGAGGACGACCTGGACGACCAAGTGGCTTTGGAGGCGCAAAGTCTCGGTTTGCCGCCTCTCCAAGTCACTTCGGAGGGCAATGGTGTCACCTCTTCGATCTCAGCAGTAACTGTGGCCTCTGACCCCATAAATCAGAGCTCCATCCAGTCGCAATCCACGGCGTCGACTTCCTGCGCTTCCAGTGAACATCGTCTAGCGACGGAATCCTCGTTTGTATCTGGGCCGTCGCCTACGAAATTGGAGAGCCCAGAGCCAGCATCCGAGGCTGAGAAAAGAAGGAGTTCACCATTCCGAAGAGGATTTCAGAAGATGGCTGGCTTTCGAAGGAAAAAGTCTGTCGCGCTTGCGTCATCGACACTCGCCAGCATCAGTAGTGATGCCGACACCAACAACAGTGACAACGCATCCGTCGACATGAAGAGTCCTTCGTCAATCAAGTCAAGTAAGAGCTCGTGGTCCCAGCCGCTGTCCGCCAGCAAATCGAGTTGGGACCAACCGGCCCCGGCCGACCCGGATGCACTCAGGCGAAGCATGGAATGCAAGGATCTACTGAACTTGCGAATGGCCCAGCTGGAAGAGAAGGCTCGTTTCCTCGAATTCCAGGCCTCATTGATCGATCAACTGAGGTCGCAACGCGACAACATCAAGACGCAGAGGGCAACCGAACATGAAAAAACTGTTGCTGAGCAAAGGCAAAAGGTTGGTTATATTGATGAAATCATGAATGTGTGATTGACAGGTCCCAGAACGATCGAGCTGTGGAGGACCTGGAGGCTCGTCAATTAGAGGAAGAGATGAAGATGCAAAAAGAACACGATTTAGAGAAGCGGACGGTGATGGTGCGCCTCCGACACATGGAAGCGTACTGTCAGAATCCCACACCACTTCCCACTCTAGTCGACCCAGCCTCTGGCCGTCCGTCGATCGACTCTGGACTTCCGAAACGCACGGTCACGGACAAGGACTATCACAACCTTGCACAGCAATATCGTGAGCGAGATGCTATGGATACACTGCACGCATCCAAGATCAATGTGTTGCGAGGCAAGCAGAAGAAAGCGGTCGAGAACCTAGTATGGAAGAAAGACCGGGGGATCGACGCTTTGAAGCAGGAACAGAAGAAGGAACTTGCCGCAATTGATCGAGATTTTGCCGGCAAAGAGGCCAATCTGAAGCTGGCGTTCGGCGAGAAACGTACCAGAATTGAAAATAGGTGGAAAACTCGAGTCTTGATTGAACGAACGAAGCTGGAGAGGGCAACTGGGTTGAAGTACGCACCACTACCAGACGTCACCGCCGTCGAAGAAGCCCCGGCCGCGGGTGAGACGGTTTGAAAAGCATGCACGAACAAAGGGTTTAGCGATCTCATACCAGTGCTGGCCTCTGGTGTGACGCTGAGCTGCACACTTTCTTTCGAAACTTCTTGGTGGATGCTTCGAGTTGCGATTTCATCACGAAAGATGCCTCTCCGCCACTTGGGCATGCTTTCGCTGTACGGTGGCTTTCGATCGTGAGGAATGTTGAGGATTCGCACAATCTAGACGTGGATGGCGAATTGCCTGGAGGGTACGAATACCAGGAGAGGAACAAACAGGGACTGCCCATGCTGACACAGGCAGCGAGAGCCCATCTGCCGCAGGTAGTGGCCTCAGAGGACGTACGTACAACGAGAATAACGACAATGTGCAAGATGAAGATGATGAACACTAATGGTGTGATGAGATGAGCATACGATACTCAGTTCCAAGGCAGAATGACATAATGTTTGTTCGTTTAAAATGATGCCGTCAGAGATGAGATATGGGAATGCTTTGTCTGAGTGTGTCGTGCATGACAACCGCGACAAGGCCAGGAATCGATCTCTTGAAGACGTATCCTCCAACAGGCTTGCTGGCTGACAGACCCTCGGCCCCGTCGACCATTCTGAGCCCAGCCTTGTGTCATATGTGCCTACCCGGTCGTGTGAGTGACATCATCCGACGCGATTCGTATTTTTATCGTATTATTCTATCGTCGAGCGTTCTCCGAATGCTTCCGAGCTAATTACTGCCGTTCACATTGGAAAACCTCCTATATCATACTCTCTCCGTTGATTCCTAAACTTCTACCTCATTATCCAATACCTTGCAGCTCCTCCATCTGCGAATCCAAAGGTGCTAACTTCACACCTCATTCTAGGCTATTTTTGGTACAGAGCTTCCTTGTTGACGATCCTTTCCGCCCACCATGTCGAGCCACACATTCTTCATCGGCCGCACTAATCTCTCTTATTATACCGTTCCTGTGGCGTGGCTTCTGTGCATAGCGCCGCACATCTATGCTGTGAAACTCTACGATCGAATATCCCCTAAACATGAATTCGACAAAGTCAATCCGAGATCGCTCCTTCCGACTCTCGAATCCAACCCTGACATCGATACGTCCACGAAAAGACGCATTGCCCGTGCTGAAGCTGCGCAGTGGAATGGATTCGAAAACCTCGGCTTCTTCGCTGCCAGCGTCGTGGCAGCAAATGTTTCGGGGATGGAGATTTTCTGGGTGAATAGTTTGAGTCTAGCCTACATCTTCAGCCGGGTATTATTCAATGTGCTGTATATAAAGGGAGTAAGTGGCTGGGTGAGAAGTAGCGTGTTCCATGCTTCTTCTAGGTGAGTCCTTGCTCCACGGGATCGGTTGCTGGATGCGATATTGAACCTGACGATTTGGTAGTGCAGCCATCACTCTTTTCGTTCAGGCTGGTAACGCTGCAAGGAGGTTGAGCATGTGAGCTCCATACGCACCCAGACCTGATATTGGGAGTCTTTCGTCTCTGTCTTGGTTCATTACAGCATGTTCAATTCGGAGAAAGTTCCCAGAGCGGCGTTGAGCAACATGGGACTCGAACAAAGACGTTGATACAACGAATCTCGTTAGTGCCAACCTCAAACTCGACGAATCTTTTCCACTTTCCAACACCGTTCTCTTCTTCCTCCTTCAATTTATCCTTCACATGTCGTGTTCTGACGCTTTTGGGTCATGCTGGCCCTATTACACAACTTCCACGAAATCCCCAATCATCCCAGTTTGCGACCATCAAATCCTCCCTCCTGCCTACTGGGATGTCGTGGATCTTCTAACATGAGGAGAAGGAGAACAAGGAAACGTTCAATTTATCGTCCTGCTCACCGGAACTAAATCAGAGGAAGGTGTCGCGGATATTGTCGAAAACGTTGCCCCAAACCAGCGGCTAATGGCATCGGATATCCGTCCGAAAGCGTCAAATAGATTGATTGTTCCATTTAAACAAGCAAAAAGAGTCAGCTCTTATCACGCAAGTCGAACTGAAGCTCGACGCGAGCTTCAAGCTGCTGAAGGGACACCGGGGACAGCAAAACTGCAAGAGAGAAAATTACTCAACGATGTGCTGGCTCTGTCCCAGCGTAAGGAGCGACTAGAAACCACGAAAATGACTTCTGATGAACGGAGCCAGACTCTAGCTGCCATTGATCAAAAGATGAAGCAGAGATTGAAATTAAGCATGCAAAGCGGCTGTCAAACTGGGTGCAACTCGAGATGTATTCAATGCTCTGTTCTCTATCTACTTGTCGAGGTATTGAGGCTTCTTTTATAGACGTGCGGATACTACGTCGTTACGCAGAGCAACCATCAGTAACGTCGTCGTCTATGGAAACCTCTCACCAGTGTTTCAGCCGTGGAGCCTATACACAATAGCCCTTTGTTCAACAGCGGCCAACTGTCATTCACAAGGTTTTACTCGCTTGACGGTATGAATAGCATTGCCCTTGAGGTTCCTAATCTTCTCGCTTACTGCTTGTTATCAGATATTCGTCCATCCTCAGGTTGGTGGGTACGTTGGACTACTTTGAAGGCAACTAGGACTCTGCCAAACAAAAGTCAGAGGAAGAATGTCGTTGGGTCTGAACTACGAGAGAACAACGTGCCGCCAAATCCAGAGAGACCAACATACCTTGCGGCGTACGTGGTCTGGTTCACCGTCTCATGGATCGCGTAACAACTGGACTTCGCTTTCAAGCATCCAGCTCGAGAAGATCGGTGAACTGGGAGGTCTTGGGATCTACGATCGATTCTACCGTCTCCCATCTAGAGTGCCAAAAATCCAAGCTGAAGGCTTGACAGCGCCTCTTTCTCGTTTTGATGCGTAGTTTACTCTCGTCAACGAGATTGTTCAGATCCGGCTTTGAACCATCGGCATGATGGCTTCGTGCGGACTCCAACACTGGTTCTTGCCGCCTCTTCGTCCTGAGGCAATGTTCGGCAGTGCTGACCGACGAGAGAGATCGCCGCACTTAATGAATCCGCCACTTCGCATGTCTGTGACGCTGAAGATGAGCAAGGCGAATCAAGCATGCAGATAACTAACCAGCAACAGATTTGAGAGCCACAAAATCGATCAAAGAGACAAGTTGTGGTTGAAATTTGCAGATAAGCACACAGCTTCTTTATTAGTGAGTGAGTGTTTGATTTCAGTTTGTGTCTGGGGGTTTTCGAGACTGGAGAGTTGTTGGGCCATGGGTAACGCTTCAAATGGGAGAGTATTCGCTGCTTAGTGTGTCAGGTAGAACATGGCCTTGTACGGGAGAAGATTTTGAGATTGTCTTGCTTTTTCCATTCACAAGATCGTACTCTTGATTTCCCACACACCCTTCAAGCCTGCAATCTCGAAATCCAGAGAGAATTAAATGTATCGTGTCAAAACCTCTGGCCCTTAAAACACCGACTACCCGGCACCCCTCAGACTCCGTCTTTTTGACATGGTCTTTTCTATCTTTTCCAAGCGATCCACAAGCTCCATAACCATGGGGTTTGCATCCGTTAATATTCTTTCCAGATCTCTCATCCGGTCATTGTCCAACCCGATCACCACGGCCTTTTCGATCTTGCCTTGGTCTGAAATCCTTACTCGGGCCACCCGGCCATCTGACCACAGAATGCGCACTTGACGAGCATCGACGTTCATGGCTGCGAAGTCGAGCACGCCGAATCTTCTGCCCTCTTCTTCCTCTTCCTCGAGGTCTTCGGTTACCATCTCCTCATCGGAAGTTGAACCGGGACGGTCGACTGGCACTTTCGGTTCAGGAATACCAAGTTCCTCGCGCACTAAGCCGACTGCATCCTGCCTCAGCCTCCAGGCGACGAGATCATGACGGACCCGCTCTACCAGGCTATGGAGATCCTGTTTCTTTGCCAACCCTTCGTCGCCGACCATCGAGTCTTCCATTTCATCGTCATGCTGGCGTGGAAGGTATTGCTTCTCGTAGACCTGCAGCGGGACTAGCGCGGGTATCGTATGACGATGGATCCGTAGGTTCGGACTCTGCTCTCCATCTCGGTCTCGCATGCAGAATAGGTAATAAGGACTGTCAAATCGGCCGGTGCGATCACATATGTCGATCCGGATTCCCAAGAGGGGGTTGTTGGACTGCAGTTCCGGACTAGGGTCGTGGAAGGGAAAGGATGTCACGCCGAAGCCGAGGCGGTGGATGTTGGACTGTGAATGCTTCCTCGAGGATTGTAGGAGAGGGGTCAGGTCTTGGTTGAGCAGGTTGGCATTGTTACTACTGAGGGAAAGGTTGGAAAAACGAGACTGGACTTTCGTCGAGGCGAGCAAGGAGGATGTGAGGAGTGTGCGACGTTGGGTAAGTGTTTGAACTGCGATGGTGTCAGGTCAATGAGGAAGTCACTGCGGAATGAGAGGGTCTGATATACTTTCGGCTCTAACTTGAGCGATTTCGTCATCCAGAGACTCGTCCGTAGTTTTCAGGATGGGGTTCGCTACAGAGGGCTGAGGCGATGCGATGGGGGCCATGGTTGAGACTTGGTGTGTGTTGTGGCTTCTCTCGGTCATTGAACTCGATAAGGAGACAACGCGTCACTTATCGGGGGATCACGTGTCAGGGGTCCGGGGGTGCTCTAGAATTGTCTAGTCTGGCAGCATCCGGGGGGCGGCCACCTTGTCGCATTCTTCGATAAGGTCTGAAGGCTTCTCAGAGTAATTCTTCCCACTTCCATGCGCCATGTTCTTTTCACCATGATCACCGGTCGAGAGGAGGAGGACATCTGAACGAATCCTCCTTCTCCACCTGTCCCACTGCACACCAATTTTTTTGGGACGTTCCTGACTAAACAGTTACTGGATCGCCCGTAGAGGACACACAGTCCTTTTCCCTTCCCTCCACCTGCATTCAATTTTTTGCCGCATGGATGCCTGACTCCATCGCCGAACCCTTTACTATCCCACTTTTTCACACTCGTTCCTCTTCAGCAGAACATCCTATCCTTCCCTACCACCGAGCCCAGACCACTGCCGAGACAAATAACAACAGAAGACCTTCATCTCAGTCCCACGATCCCGACATTGAATTGAACGAGTTCCGCAACAAGCAGGAGCATCAGGTTGAACTCCCACAGCCGACGCCTACAGAGACCGACGAAGAGGAGGAAGACTCTGAGATCGAACATTCCGAACGGGATCATCTTGTCGCTGAAAGTTCCGAATCACAGATGAAACGCAGCAAGTCCAAGAAGAATAAAGGAAAACAATCGCCCTCACGTCCCGGCTTGCGCATTGAAATCGACCAGAACGGTCACGCGAATGGGCACGCGAACGGCACTATGGATGCACATATTGAACACCGACGAAAACACGTCTCGAGCGACGATCCCGCGGCAAATGTGACGAGAGCCGTGGGCAGAGATGATTTTACACTGGACAATGAACCACCACCGCCAACGCCACAGACGCCGGGCATGGTGAATACCAGCTTTTCGAATCTCCCGCCCAAAGACAAGCGGAATTTCCTTCTCCTTGTTCTCCTCTACTTCCTCCAGGGGATACCAATGGGTCTTGCCTCCGGGTCCGTTCCCTTTCTCTTGAAAAGCTACCTGTCTTACGGACAGATTGGCATTTTCTCTCTCGCCATATATCCGTATTCTTTGAAACTCCTGTGGAGTCCAATTGTGGATGCTGTTTGGAGCAGAAAATTTGGACGGAGAAAGAGTTGGATCACCCCCATCCAGACCATTTCGGGACTTTCCATGATATATCTTGGTGGCCGGATCGATGATCTGATGAAAAGTGCTGGTGATAACGACGGAGCCGCGGTGTGGGGATTCACGGGGTGGTGGTTTCTTCTTGTCTTTCTCTGTGCTACCCAGGACATCGCCGTTGACGGTTGGGCCATATCACTTCTGTCCATCCAAAATATTTCGTATGCCTCGACAGCTCAGACCGTGGGGCTGACTGCCGGCTCTTTCCTCTCCCATACGGTTTTCCTGGCGTTGCAAGCTCCAGACTTCGCCAACGCCTGGTTCAGAAGGGTACCTCAGGAATATGGGCTCTTGACGCTCGGCGGCTACATGGAATTTTGGGGGTGGGTCTATCTCATTGTTACGGTGGGCCTGGCTGTCATGAAACGTGAGGAAAAGACGAACGAACGCGATGGGATCATGGAAGTCTATCGCAGCATGTGGGCAGTGCTCAAACTTCCCAATATCCTGACCATCATTATCATCCATCTCATCTCCAAACTGGGATTTGTCACCAATGATGCCGTCACCAATTTGAAGTTGCTCGACAAAGGATTCGGACAGGCTAACATGGCCTTGGTCGTGTTAATTGACTTTCCCTTCGAGTTAAGCTTGGGGTACTATGCTGGTAAATGGTCAACGGAATATACGCCCTTGAAATTGTGGTGTTGGGCATACGCAGCACGACTTCTCGCTGCGGTGTTCGCACAGATCACGATAATGATCTATCCTACCGCGATCGACGAAGCAGTGCCATTATGGTACATGCTCGTCGTGATTGCTGAGCACGTCTACTCAACATTCATGAACACCATCATGTTTGTCGCAGCGTCAGCATTTCATGCGAGAATTGCTGATCCCGCGATTGGCGGGACGTACATGACACTATTGGCCACGTAAGTCATCTCTTTGAACTCAGCTTCAAATGCATTCGGCTAACTGAACTTCTAGCGTATCAAATCTCGGCGGCACCTTTCCGAAATTCTTCATTCTCAAATTCGTCGACCTCTTCACCAAAGCCACGTGCATTCCGCCGTCGGATCTGGACGCCTTCATCAAAGCCAACCCAGACGCCACCCCCGTAACTTCCTCATTCAGCTGCGCTCTCGAGGCTGACAAGAACGTATGCCTCAAAGGCGGAGGCACGTGCCTCATGCAGCGCGACGGATACTACATCACGAATGTGATTTTCGTGATCGTCGGTGCCGTCTTGTTCTGGACATTTATTGAGAGGAAAGCCCTTGCACTTCAAGCTCTACCACTGCGTGCCTGGAGAGTCCAGGGAGACCATTCATACCGTCGGGTAGCCACGGGTTGATTTCAACATTTTGACTACATTTTTACTTTGCTGATACCCGCGAAAACTAGATCGAGGTACTATAGAAATTCTCAAGAGCTGGTGTATGAATACAGCGTTATCGCACAACATGAGAAAGTTTTTCAAGCACGTGATATCAAACCCGTCCAGATCACGTGGAACCCGACCTTTCTTCAGACGCGAGTTGCGGGGAAATCTTCCGCCAGATTTGGAAGTTGGTGCCGCCGCTTTTTGATGCTGTTTTCCCTCGATACCAAGAAAGGCAATCTAGTCTGCCCCATGTCCCCGATTGACTTCTCAGCGTCGTAGAACAAGAAACAGCCAGGGAACCGTCAACTCCTTGGGTGCCTTCGACCGTACTGCCCCGAACATGGCGCCTCGTGGACATATAAGGGTCCTGGAGGACTGAGAGAGGATTGATTGATTGAATCTATATCTGAGCGCGGCACAAGGCCACGAAGGTTGCGGTGCACGTGACTAGGCTAAACTAAATGGGGAATGCCAACAGGTCTCCGGGATTCCCACTCAAATGCCTCAAAGAAGGCCTTTCTAATTTTCACGAAATCATCTTGAACTGCATCCCATCTTCCATCTTTTATTCGACCGACCCTACCCAAATTTTACGTTTAAACCGACCGCCGAGAGCATTCTCTCTCCTCCTTCCATGAGGAATTTCTCCTCCGACCATGCGACCACTGGAAGGGGGGAGAAGTTGGAGAGAAATGGGGTTTCGTGGTGTCGGTATGGCGGTGTAGCATCTCAATAAGAGGCCCACGGCCCAATATTCCCCTGAACATTATCGACGATATTGACGACAATTTGTTAGGAAGGGTACGGCGAAGAAGCAGCATGCGGACTCGACGAAAGAAAAATATTTGGGGAGTGATGATGAAATGAACAAAGGTAAGGACGTGCATCATATGGGACCTACCGAGAAGAGATGCAGCTAGTAACACGGCTAGATATTGTGAATTTCTTGGAGAAGACAGGCTTGTGCGAGCCACCGAAAAAGACATTATGACCTTCCTTAAGTGGATATTGGACTATTCCCCCCGAGTCCGGACGAGAAGCATCTCACACCCTCCTTTGACGTGGTCTTGTCCCACAAAGCACGGGTTTGCGGTACTCGATGCTATTGTCCACTATAGCGTGCTCACCCTGAAGCATGTCCACAACCTCAGCAGACGCGTTGGCCAGAGCATCTAACAGGGCTCGACGTCCACGGTCATTGGACCGCAGATCAAACTCGGCTCGGATCAGGAGCCTGACGATTCCGGTGCAGTCTTTCTTTGCAGCAATTCCAAGTAGAAAGTCCGCCTTTGCCTCCTCGAGAGGCCCCGTTCTGCGGGATCCTTACATCTCGATTGGAGAGATACTGCATCATGTCTGGATCGGCTGCCGCCTCCACAAATCGAGTGTAGTTTGGTGGGAAAGAGATTTAAAGATGAGTTGCGCCTCGCTCGAGCAAGTACTCCATTAGCTCCACATGTCCGTGAGAGGCGGCGAGAATTAAAGCTGAAGTATACTGCGGTCCTCTGGCGTCAAGGCTTGCACCTGCTTCGAGCATCATGCGAGCAATGTTTGGGCAGTCCCACGTGCATGCTTCCGCAAACACGTGTTGCCTCAGGGTTCGGATGTCAGGGATAGATCTTCGATTTATCAGGAGGCTAATGATAGCCATACGTTCATGACACTGCTGAGTGCCACCGTGACTGCAACGGCATTGCGCTGCGTATGAGATTGCCAAAAGGTATTGCGGCGTCGGGTCATCGCCACAGGCGTCATTCAATTCCCAACGAGGATTCAGAATCAGCTGGACAAGTCGGAGCGAGCCTCGCTGACAAGCGACTTGCAATGGTGTCTCGTGGGGCGGCTCTGGTCTGTCGACGTTAACATCAGCTTTGTTCTCCAGCACGAGTGAAATCATCTCGTAGCTACATTTCTTAATAGCCAGACAGAGAACATCAGACATATAGGTACGTGCAAAATCTTCAGAGTCTTCGCCATTACCTCTCAACACCAACTCTGGACCCTCATCCGGTTGAATTCGGGCGTACGTCGGGAGAAGTGCTTTTGCGGTAGGTAGGTCGTCCAGAAAGACTGCGGTGGCAGTGGCCCATTCAAGTGAATCAATCTGTCTTCGGGACCCAGCGCCGTTGAGCAAGTTGATGACTCCTTCGCTACCTTCAGAGAATATGAGCGTTAAAGTCAAGGATTCGACAGTCCTTATCAGACGCCCCTGGGAAGATGTATCGGGATGATCTTCCAAATAGCCCTTTGATTCACATGCCATATCTTCGGCGACGTCCCCGAATTTAAGTTCGGGGTGTGTTACCAACGAAGGTCTCAAGTGACCATGTAGGCCAGGAGGAAGTGAACCTCTATGTGATAACAGCTCATTCCGGACTTTTGAAAATACATCTGCTTCCGATGGCTTATGTTTCTCGTAAGTGAAACGCACGGCTGTGACCAAGTCGGGTCGACCCTTCATGTACGCCCGCTCGACCTGTTGCGCAAAAAAGCCTGCCAAAGTGATCAGAGTTCGTAATGTCAATGAGTGGTCATTAGCTTTGGAGACAGAGACGTACTATTGACTTGACGCCAGCGAAAAAATGCTCGCAGATTGGTGGCATTGGCCAGAATTTCAGTAATGGTCTAGATCACCTCCGGCGGAAGGTCAAGCAATTTCATCGTTGAGACTTGCGCTTAGTGAGAGTTGTAGGTTAATACTCACTCGTTCGCGGCCGTACACGCGTGGACAAGAGTGTACGAGCAGTCTACACATAAGGTCGAAACTTTGGACATTTTTGAAAAAGAAGTGAAGCCAGCCGCAATGCGCCGAGAAGGCGGTCAAGTTGACGGTCGACAGGGTTGAACTATTCTACAAACCCTTGAGAAAACCAGGGGGGATGAGAGTAGAGAATATCATGAGCATCTGTGACAGGGAGCGAGCGTTGTTCGCAGGATAACGAGGTTCCCTCGACAGCAAGACCAACCCGATGACCCACCCCTTGTGCCCGAAACTCCTCCGCCGCCGCCGTCGGAGGTAGAGGTAAGAGAGTGCGCTCACAGGACGTCAGGAGACCTCTGAAGGAGGCCCACCGCGAGGCCAACAGGCGGTAGAAGGAGTATAGAGGCGATAGAAGCGACGACGAGGGCCCGAGAGGCAAGAAGGGTTGCACAGGCGACAAGAGAGTCTGACAGCTGCTTTGAGTGGTTTTTTGACGATCCTGCAGTCTTCTGATGGCCAACCTCAGAATCAACATCTGCGCTCGTCCGAGCGAAATTGTGTCAAAAGCGGCGGCTTGCCCAGCCTGCGACCATACCCAAAGCGGCCGGGTCGCCTGAACCGTAGGCGGAGTTCCCGGCAACGACTTTGCGAATGAAGCATCTTCATCTTTTCTCATTGTCCTAACTCGAGTCAAATACCTACCAAATCCCTGTGAGAAGGCTGCGTTGGAGACTCGAGACGCTTCCGATTCAAAAGAGATGCGTCCCACCGGTGCATGAATTCACAAATTGGCGTATGATGACACGTCAAGGTGCCCCGTCTCGACATACACACTTCAGACGGGATAAACGCAGATACCCCTCGCTCTTGAGGAATCGTCGGTGAAGCATTGCATTCTGCGTTTCTATCCTTAAGCCGCACCACCGCCGCTATCAACGGGCTCCCTGGTCTACAAAAGGGAAACACGAAGGAGAGTGATGAATTCGCCGAAATCCGCGTCTCACTTGTCCTCACCTTCTACGACTGTCACCACGCCAGAGCAATCACCCGGTGCCGATGATGAGATCTGGGATACTTCACCAGACCCCAGGTATGGCCATGATGTAGGAGTCCCACAGGAGACTGAAGACCAGCGCACTGATGCAACACAACCACGCACCCGAGCTGCGGGAGAGATCCTCAGCGATATCCCCACCTTGCGCCGCCAGCACATGACGGCCGGGTATCGCGAGGGTCTCTCAGTGGGTAAAGCGCAAGTCATACAGCGCGGATTTGATGAAGGTTATCCTTTCGGCATGGAGATCGGGTTGCGCGTCGGAACGGTGCTAGGAGTGTTGGAGGGTGCTGTTAGCGCTATCTCGAAGCATTCATCAAGCTCGATGGCGGCTTCTGCTTCTGCTGTCGCGGGTTATGGAGAAGAAAATGAAAACGATCGAGCTTCGAGAGTAGAGTTCGTGACAAAACTCTACGAGCGGGCGAAACGTGAGTTGAAGATCTCCGAGTTGATGAAGGATATGGATGATGAAAAGATTGCGGCCTTGTCAGAAATCACTCATGGGGAGGGCGAAAGAAAGCTCTTGCCTCAGGAGATTGAGGTGGTGGTTGCTCAATGGGAACAGGTGGTGATGAAAAGTCTTCCCTCCATGGCGGGAATAGGGCCAGAAGAACAAAGAATTAAGGTTGGAGATGCCGGAAGTTGAAGATCTTTTGAAGCATGAACCGGAAAAAGAAAAGGAGCAACACTGAACCTCCCCCGACGCTGCGCGGTAGTTTCTTATAAAGAATCCTCTTGCAGAAATGCCGAAGAAATCAGCAAAACAGCGCTATTTCCCGGTCCTAACTGTTGGTCGAGTCCCACTGGCGATGATATTCCAACCTCGAGCTCGTCGGCCTTTTTACTTTCGATGTGCTTACCCGCTAGGTTGGGTCTCGGTGACGTTGGAACTTGACACAAAGAGCAGAAATCAGAAGGAAACAGAGAAGAGTATTTCGCATAAAAGAGAACGAGAGCGAGACTACAAGGTCTACCTGTCCAGCAGGAGCAAAGCACTACGGACTGGTAGGAAGAATACCGATGGATGAGACAAGACGATAAACCCGATACCGAGAGGAAGGCACAACATGGAGAGAATGATCATTCAAGGCATTCATTTCTTTCCCGGTGGTCTCCAATTTTTTTTTCTTTTTTTGGCTGTGGGACCCAAATAAATGCATTGTGCAGAAATGGTTTCCAATGCGACCATGCATATACAGCTCCTCGTCAACTACCCCTGGCCCAACCTAGCATACCTCTCCCTGGCCCCTTCCCTAGTTTTCTCTGCGAAAGCATCGTAATCCCCTCTGGTATTTCTCTCTGCCTCCTCCAGTGCATCACCGACTTTCCCACCCTGTGCACCCAGACCGACCCCTGCAACGTAAATGTTCTGGCTAATTGGTGCCGTCATGCCCTCACCTGAGGCGCCTAACCCTTGGCCAGTGGTATATCCCATTTTACTCAAGAGCGAAGCACCTTTCGACTGGACTGGCGTTGAAGTCTCGTTGTCTGATGTAGTTCTTGAAGATTTCGGGCTAGGACCCACTTGTTCACCTTTCTTGTTCACGACACCGTAAATTTTGCGTCTTTCGCGCGCACGGTCCCGGTACTGGATTGTCGCTGGTTGATGCTGAATACCATGCTTCTCGAGCTTGGCCGTGGCTTTCTTGACTTTTGTCTCGTCCTGGAGATTTTGGCGATGTAGTTCGCTCAAGCGTTCGTGCCTGTTGACTTCTGCGGCGTTTTCGAATTGCCGCATGCATAGGTAGCAACAATTTCGGTTGGGATCTGCGTAGGACTGGGATGGTGGGCCACCATTCTCATCGGTCGATTTGGTATCATCGCCATTGCGAGATTTCTGTCCGAGACCATGAAGCTCGGCATGTCTGTTGCTCCAGAATTGAAGATGCGATGGAGCCGCTTTCTTTACCCCAGCAGTTTCAGCTTCAGCTTGCGCCTTTCGCTTCTTGCTTTTCTCGACTTCTTTCGCCGACTTGTTACCTCCATCTGCGAGTGCGGAGTTGGTCTTTGCATCCTGCGACCCGGGAGTTGGCATATTAACTGCCAGCTCCGTGACATACGCAGCCTCATCCCAGTATGCCAGCTTCATGGCGGGATTGCCCACCGGGCTGAACGTGAAACGTTCTGTGCTGGGTGTTGGGGTCAAAACAGGTACAAATACCCCAGCATGTATGTAGCTGACAAGGACCTGTTTGGAGGCAATGGTGAATCGTTCAAAAGAACTGTATCGTATCAAAGCAGCCTGGGCATCTTCCATAGAAGCATACTCGGCGAAACCATACCGCCAGCTCTCGTTACTTCTTCGATCGCGAACCAGGAGGACTCGTCGAAGTGTCCCCTCTTTAGCACCCAGGTTCGAGTCTCCCGTAGTAGAAGCCACCTTGGCACCTTTTTTCGATAGTACCTCATCTCGCTGACTTGTTGACGAGTTGGGTTTATTTAGTTTGGAGACGCCCTTGACCAACAACTCTTCCGTGACCGAAGGCTCGAGGCCGCGTAGAAGAAGAAACTGTGATGGTGCATTATCGGGAGATGCATCGTTGTCTCCCACGTTTGCCGCTTTCGCCGGGACATCGAAGCTTGAATCTGCCTGTGTAAGCCCCGAATCTTCACGTGACTGCATTACTCTTACCTGGTTTATATGCCTGACATCTGAAGCATTTGTTTCGGGTAGAGAAGTTGTTGATATGGCACTGCATCGTCAGTTCAGTGCTCCCTTGTCATCGGCATAATCAACGTACAATTGAGCAAATCCAATCCGCATCATCTGAGCGACTTACGTCTTTGCGCTCGCGACCAAAGGCTATTCGAACTTTTGAAGCATCTCCGTTAGACTTGTTGCTATCACCATAGAGATAGAGAAAGGGATAGTTCTGGTCCATAAAATCTTCTGCCACTTCCAGCGTCGAGAAACGGAGGAAGCCAAACTGTCTCGACTGTTCTATGACGAATGTAAGAAGCGATATGCGACAAATGTTTTCTCCCCTGACTTACTGGTTTGGCGATCACGAATGACGCGGACATCGTCTAAGCCCTCGACATGGTAATATTGCTTCAGTTCGGTAGAGATCTGTCCGACAATTCCCAAATCTTAGCCATATGTCATCCAGAAGCAGCAAATAGACCGAGAACCCGAATGTTGGGTGCTTTGGTCAAGGAATTTCGGGCAGGATTGATCGAACATCGTTCTCAGTTAGGTGTGTTGCCAATCCTTCCATCATAATCTCTTTACTTGGTCTTCCTCGACTTGAAGATCTTTCTTCCGGCGGTGTCCGTCCTCTGCTCAGACTTCGACTGTAATGGTCTCGAGCGGAATGGGGATTGTCTCGGTCATAGTACGGGCGGCCTCGACGAGGAGACGGTGATCCATGGTCGTAGTAACCACGATCCTCTTCGTTGTCATAGTAGCCGCGTCTGTCATAACTGCGTTCAAGCCGTCGGTCTGGACTCCTGGCACTGCGGCCACGGATACGAAATTCTCCTTGAGCCGGTCCAGTAGGAGGCCTGGAGATATCTTTGGGAGAATCACATCAGTATGGACTCCTGATTGTTCCGCCCCAGTCAGATCTATGGTTTACCATGCGGAGGACTTCTTCTGGAATGAGGAGAGCTATGTCTTCGGTCGGGGGATCTTGATCGAGAGCGGTCATCAGAGATATCGTCTCGTTGAGAAGGACGTGATCGGTACGACTGTTGCAGACTTGGTCCGCCACGCGGACGGTAAGAGGACATGATTAATTTACATGGAGCGCGCAAGGAAAGACACCTCTTGCTAGACAAAAGAATGAGGTCGCCGCAACATGAGCCTCACTCGGGAAAGCTGCTAAAATGGGCTTCGTGACTCCGGCGGAACCTCGGGCGGATGATGTACAAGAGGCTACAATTTCAGGGTTGTCACCTTCAGTCGAGGCACTGTCATCCTCGATTACCACCACTAGACAAGTCCTCACCAGGTGAGAGGACCGAATCTCAACACCAGCATTCTGCAGCGAAGTTAACATCCTGGTGACCTCCTTGCGAGGTACCATCTGCAAGGTAGACCCATGGTATTTATGAGTACTCTTTATACGACACTCGGAACCAAACTCCTCAGGCAGTCTTTTTGCTTGCAATTCTTCTCCCAAGAAACCCCGTCGGCTTCTTCCAATCACGCTCCGCACTCGTTGTACGCAAAGCAACCTTGTTCTCCATCGTAGGCCCAAATTCAGTCACTGCTGCTGGCGCTGTCTGAGGTATCATCGCTTTCCTAAATACTCCTGCGCTGTTGAATGAGCTCAATGGCCGTTTCTTCCTTCCAAGATCAAAATCGACCCCATGGGTGTCGACAGTAAGCTTCTTCTTGAGATGTTGGCGAGCAGATTTTGATGACGGAGTTGGCGATAGTGTGTCCTCTATGTCAATTTTGCAACCTCCCTCCGTTGAGTCTTTCAGGGAATGGGAAGACTTGGGAGATCGGGGAACAGCGGATCGCAAGTCTTCAACGCTGTCTTTGATCCTAGCACTAAGAGAGTCGTCTGAATCACTTGATGGCATATGCGTAAAGCTGTCGGATGCCTTGATCGCGTTCGTCACCCGCCCTTCTCTTGAAGACTCCGCGCCTCGAGCTGTGTCGGGGGACAGAGATCCTTCCTCTCGCTTGGGAGAGTTTGGCAGTGGATTCTCTATTTCCTTGATACCTTCTGGTCTTTCTTCTACCGGAACATGAGTTGACTCATTGAATGAACTTTGTGAGACGATCGAAGATACTGAGCTGCAAGGCGAAATGGGCTCTCGTAGGCGCACGATTCTTTGGTCTTCAAGGAATTCTAATTGGAGAGGTCAGTATTCCTGTTCTTTCTTGTGGAGAATTCAAACTCACTGTATGGACGATAGAAAAATCGAAATGCCGCGTAAGGCGGATCAACAGGATCGAGAAGTTGGTACTTGAATCGTCTCGCGTGCAAGCCTGGCTCGAGAAGGCTACTGATTGTCAAGCTGTGAAAGGTCAGATCTGGAAGTAGGAAGCGGGCGTTGATCGCTCACCGCAATCCATCAGCATTGGTACCGTTGATATCGACAAGCCCAAGGCCTTGCTGTAGGTCTCGAATTCGATTCCCATGTTCGATCCGATGAACATTGATCTGAATCAAGTCATTATCCAAGCCAGTCCTCCTTTGTTCTCCCAATCCATCTCCAAATTTGAATGCCTGTCTTCTAACCACGGATTGGCCTGTTATAGAATCTGCGCCCTCATTTACCAGATTGTACATCGTCTTACCATGGAATCCATGCTTTGCTGTGCAATTCCCTGCCGTCACTGCTTTGCTGTTGACAAAGAGCTTGAAGAAGTAAGCTCCTCCGGGTGGATGAGGACCGTCCACGGTATATTCAAACCAGATCTGGCTGCCTGGGTAAATTGGAACGTAGCAAGACGCGGTGGGACATGAGGGAGGTGATAAGTTGTCATGAATGATCACTTCGTTGCGGGGAGTTTGTGCAGTGGAATTCAGGAAGTTTGCAGATATCGAATTGCGAAATGATGCAGATCTCGATGCCACGAAATTTGACCATGCTAGGCAGAGTCTAGATACGCCCTGTCCGCTAAGACTCAGGTTTGAGACCTGAAAATGGCGGTAGACGAGTGAGAAGGTGCATTTGAGGAATGGTATGAGAGTCAGAACAAAGGGGTCGCAAGCTTGATCGGAGGCAGAAAAAAAAAAATTCTACAGCAAAATGACAGCATTTTCAAGTTCCAGAGGAAATCTAATAGAACAACTGAAGAGGGAGTATGCTGCAAGTGATATTAGCTGTAATTGATGTCGGTATCAGGACTTTGTGGATGGAGCACATTGCGCCGTCAAATTAGTGAGATCTCCTAGCACCTCTGCGACTTTCTCGTGATCAAAGATTCTCTCGTCTTTAAATGGCCATCATGGAATCAAACCCTCAGATCCTCAGTGGATGAGCCGCTCGTTTAGAGGCTGTTTTCAATGGCCTCCGGACACTCGCAAAGATATTTCTTGCTCCACTGGAACTAGACGCGAGTGTTACCTGGCCAGCAATCACACTTTCACCGTTCTCTATCAGCAATTTGGTCACCAGCCCAAGTTTGCTTCCTCCCCCGCTTTGCCATCCTCGATGCTCAAGAATTCAACCTCCTGGTATTCCGGATTTGCATGGAGCATGTTGAACCAGTCCAGGACACTCCCCCAGCAGCGGACCATGGCACTATCCTGATACATTGTTTCTCCGCTGGAGTAGCAGTTGCATCCAAGTCTTTCTCTGCCCTCTATGGGCTTTTCCAACCGTGAAGGTGACACGAAATAGGCTCGACATCGTTTCGAAATGAATTCGACGAACTCGATGGGGGCTCCATCATCAATGAGATCTTGTATCTTGTGCTGGGGAGCAATGAGAGATATTCCAGTGATTCGAGAGGACCATGGATCCCCTACAGAAAGAGTTAGAATTGCGATCCGGAACAGTATTTCAAGAATTCTTACAATGAGCAGACAGATACTCAACTACTGCGGAACCCGGAAATTCGAGACCGATGATATCAAGTCTGGCTTCCTGTTTCACCAGGATAGGGAGGACGTGGTCGAAGATGTAGTGGACGTGCTCTTCGTAGTTTCGATTTCCGGGAATTTTGTTTTTGACTTCATCTACCCGGAAAGCCTCGTGGACCGCTGATTCACGAGGGAGATTGAGCCATTCATTCGAGGACACCGCTCGGGCACCACCCCGATACCATAGTAATTGACAGGGATTTGCGATCACGATACCTGGACCTGCATGTTGGGATGTGGGAGTCGGCCCAAACAGGGCAGCACCGACAAAATCGAGAAGTGACCCAACTTTGATACCCTCTTCACCGATCACTCGCCAGGACAAAAGTCCAGGTTCATAGGCTCGTTCTCCGAAGAAGACGATGACTCGATCTTTGGTTCCGATGTCCTTTGAGACAAGGATTGGAACGTGATTTTCACCTTCGCTTGCGCCCAAGGGGATTCTCACAGTTTCCAACGCTAACTCAAATAGCCGATGTCGAATGATCTTGCGAACGGCAGCTGTGGTTGAGTTTTTTGGTGAGTCGAGTAAGTCAACCAGGATGGAAATTCATCACTCACCATTGTTTGCCTCTTTGTAGACCTGATTGACTCTGTCATTCCGATTGATCTGGTATTGATACTTCTGAGTTGGGTTCTTAATCATTCGGATCTGATCATCCTCATTGATGAAGAAGCCCAGTGTTTCGAGATCTGGAGGAAATGAGGGGTCTGGTGGAAGAGTATGAGGTAGTCGGCGGAACATTGCGCAGTTTCAGGAGAGATGCTGTAAGTTTAGGCCGCGTTCACAGAGAAGTCAACGCAGAGGGTTTGAAGTGCTTGTGAAACAGGTACGAATTGTGGGATGCTCACTAGTAGCTGATCAATAGAAAGACAAACAATGCTAGGGGCCAGGGGGGCGAAGCCTCAGAAGTGAAGACAATTTGAACCTGAATGGCTGGAGTCGACTGCAATCCAAATGATACTCGTTAATATGCTTTTCCAAAAAGTATTGGAAGGAATGAATTGATGCTGGAAAGAGGTATGGAAAGCTAAGATTTTGGTGGTACAACAAAAATACTATCAGCCTCGGACGCTTTTTCACAAGCAAACATCCGCACTCTCACCGAGCATATCATCATTCAAACATCAAATCAATTGAACGTCATTATGCTCTCTCGATTCTCGAAAGTCGTAATCACGTTTCAAATGAAACCATGCAATGGACCCGACACATATGTGCACAACCCTACCCCTTCTCCCTGAAAAAGGAGATGAGAAGAGGATCCATTCTTGATGCCCAAAGCTTTGAAAAAATGATATATCCACCCACAACAAATGCAGCCTTGTTGTTCGTATTCGCACATTATCCTATTTCGCCGGTAAACAGGGTCATTCGTGATGCTGTTTGGTTCCTCTCTTCGAGGAGAACTGCCTAGTAAACTCGTAAATCATGGGGTACCGAAGGGCCTGTCGGTGATGATCGGAGCTCATGAACCCGCTCTTGTGACACCAACACCACTGCTTCTCTGTGAATGAAAACTTCCACTACCAATCGGTGCAAATCCTTTGGCGAGATCGAATCCGCCGTCTCGATCATCATCATCTTCTTCTTCTTCTCCATAGCTCTGTTCCAAATTTGGGGACTGCTGCGCTGGGAGGTTAGTATTTCCTGCAGCTGTTGCATTAGTGACACTGCCAGACAATCTCCGACCGAATCTAGTGTTCTCGACGACCGCCACGCCATTTTCTCGCTCGAATATTCCTGGTGTATTTTCTTTCTTAGCGCTCGAACTCGAGTTGAATGGCGCCTGACTGCTTCTCGCAGGCTTACTCGGACTGCCCATTCCGCCATCCATAGGTGGCGGACTAGAGCTCATCACTTGACGATCAAGACCATTTGCTCTGGAATCCTCATCCTTCACTGGAGACATGTCCGGAGGCGGATGACCTGGAGTGGCGCCCATAAGACCCTTCCAGAACAGACCAGGGCCCGCCGGTGATGATTCCGGCATGAACTTGCTTGGGGCTACGAGAGTACTCGGAGGAGCCAAACGCGGATTTTGTCGCAACGGCGCCGGCGTGATCATGCTATGCTGTGATTGATGAAAAGGGGTATCCAAGTAGGAGGACGACAGGGTGGGATTAGTTGGTGAATGATGGGGAGGGGGAACCGAAGAAGGGAGGGTGTATACGGGTACTCCGTTGTCTAGACGAGGCGTCGGCCGGCCATGACCGTACGGTAGAGGCGAGTCTTCGAGCTCTGTGTCGGGGAGCGTATTCTGCGTATCCGTTCTCGGCCTCTGTGGTGTAATAGCCCCTGGTGGTTGCGAGACAGGCGGTGCCAGATTGGGACCTTGCGGGAAGGGTTGCCCTGGGTGGAATGGAGGAAACTGAACATTCACCTTCCCGGGAGGGGGTGGACCCGGGCGGTCGGGTAAATCCCTGGCTGAAAACTGGCTGACCATCGTCGTATCGTAACCCAGATTCTGGCCATTGGGACCTCTGAAATTGGGATTGACTTCTTTACCAGAGGCGGGAGAGGAGGGCGCAGAGCCACCGCCACGACGTGCTTGCTTCTTCCAATACTCTTGACGGAATTCGGGGGCGATCTGCCATTTCATGCCTTTGCCCGGTTCGTCAGTACGCCGAGGGACCTTTTGAAATGCCTTGTTGAGGGATAAATTGTGACGAATGGAGTTCTGGAACTGTTAGAAGGGAACATTCTACTGGAAATGGGATCTTTCGTACCTGCCAGCCACTGTTGGAATGGCGGTAAAAGGCATACTTTTCGGCGATGAAAGAATAGATATTACTCAAAGTTAACTTCTCCTCCTCGCTGGAGAAAATTGCCTGGGCAATCATTGTCGCGTAACTGAAAGGCGGTTTGAGATCTTTGGCACTATCCCGGCTGTAATCGATCTCCTGTGTGCTTTCCATCATCATACCTCGGCCGTACATGGGTGATACGGGCATTTTGCTGTCGAACACGCCGCGCTGATTTTTTCCACCGTCGAACTGAGGGGGCGGCGTCACCTCGCGTTTGAAATCCGGAGGAGCGGGGGCAAGAGAAGGGAGAGTGGGAGTCTTCTCACGTGAAATCTCCTGCTTCGCGGGCTCACGATGTGCAAGGGAAGGAGCAATTTCCTCGCCGGCCGCCAGGGCTTTGGCGCGTTCGATGAAGTACGGATCGATTTGCGCCTTGTCCCCTGGAGTGACAAACATCATTTGCGTGCCGGCGATTTCCAAGATGTCGCCTGATCTGATCTGTTTCCTCAGTCCCTTCTTCACCAAATTGTTGTTGACTCGAACCCCGTTTCTCCCATTGACTCGGACATGCCATCCACCTACATCAACCGGGAAATCGGCATCATAGTAAATGGAGGCATGATGACGAGAAACAATTTTGCTGGGTCCTAGGTCAATATGGACTGGTAACATGTCTTTGAGGTCGGCAATGGGGCTCGAGGCACCGTTCACGGCCGGGCGGTCATCTGGGGGTCTTCCAAAGTTGACCGACTGTTCGCGCACAAAGTAAGTCCAATCACGACCGGCAATCTTCGCATACGCGGACACCTTTTGTGGACTGTTATTCTGTTCTTTGTCGTTGGAATACTCGACACTCGCCACGATGGGGTCTTTGGAGACCTGGAGGTAGGATACGACCGAGTCGATGAGGTCGGTTTGCGAGATTTCTTCGCTCTCTTCGCCACTGTCTGGCGCAGGGGGTTCCTCGGGTTCGAGAGAAAGGGATTTCCTTCTTGCAGGGGCGCGAGGTCCGTTTACCTAAATTTCGAGTATTGTTAGCGATGGACTGGCTGGGACGGAGAAATTCGAGAAGACGACAAACCCTGCGCTTCTTCGCAGACGGGCGTGTCGGAGAAGAATCTGGAAGATCGAGTTCAGATGACTCAAGGACATCGGCGGGCCTGCGTCGTGCTTTACGTTTGGATGGAGGCATTCTGTGTTTCTGCCGGCAGGGTGGGTTGAGTGATGATTGTGCAGGTTGCTGTCCTGGCGCGGCAATCGAGGGAGAGAAGCAGATAGCGGGAGACCAGATCTATCTCAGGATGGGTCGGAGAGGTCGAGGGTGTGCGAGCACGCTAGTTGGGGATATTATGCGACGTCAATGTTTTGGTTTCCGACGCAGGGATTTTCGGGGTGGGAATCTCTGCGGAATCGGGGTTGGATAAAGAGTGGATGGCGAGGGCACAGCGTGGAACGGAATCCCAGCCTGACACAGGGCGCGGACACACGGCGATGTGGGTGAAATACAGGATGCGTGAGGAAGAGAAAGCATGTAACAATAGATAATGAGAGGAAGCGGAGTTAGGCAGAGGATGAATAATGAGTGGCTTGAGCAAAGGCAAGTCAGTTTAGTTTGAGATGAGTTCCATTTCGATCGAAGAGGGAGGAAGAGGAGAGTGGAGAACAGACCACAGACCACCAACGTGTAGGCCTGGCATGATTTGGGTTTGTTCGCGTAATTATTTGGATACGAAACGCGTGGGAAGAAGCCCGCCACCACTTGAATTCTATTATTTTCCCCCCCGGTCCAAGGTAGCTCGAACACGGATCACGGGTAGATATTTAACAATGATCGGTGCCTATAAGTTCCCATGACCTGGCATCTAGTATAGGTAAGTTCCTTTGCCGCTGCAGTCACGGGGTAGGACGTACGTCACTTTACGCACATACCGTGAAGACCAGAGGTAAATAAATAATGCGCAGTCAGTCGCAATGACATCTCGATTGACTCGCTCTATGACACCTGGCTCAGCCCTTGATACAGTTCATGTATTCCAGCGCGGCAGTCAAGCGGTCATCTGTAACTGTCAGTCTGATACCGCAGAACTCGTCCTCCCATGCTCTATCTCAACAACACTCATAACCGTTGCAAATGGCCGATTCAGTGATGACGGGAAACTCTTTCGCTTAACGCGCATAGCCGATTGGGCGGCATTTCAACGTAAACACAATGACGTCTTTTGGCACATTCCACGCACGCTATTAGTCGTGATGCCGAATCTCACCTGGCAGAAGAACTGGCCAATATTCCTCAGGCTTCCCGTTTGATCCGTATATTACGTTACCATACGCATAACGTAGCCCCCCTTTCACCAGACAGCATGTAAACACATCAAATGCAGACTCCACCGATGGGCGGAACACATTGTATCACTACCTCTACCGAGATGCAAGCTACTCTGTGCTCACCGTTACCTCCCTTTCTCAACATAATCAATTAACGTACCCGCCGCTCACTTACTGTGACATCTTGAGACATCCTTTTCTCCCTGCATTAGCCCCAGGCTCCCAACGAGCCCCTGAAAGCTCCCCGACTTCCTGCAGCAGCCTTCTTCGTGACCCCTCCCGATAACGTGCCCCCTCTGGCACGAGACTGGCGGGCGTCAAAACAAAACCACATGGTCGCGACCACAGATAAAAAGTCCCATTGACCATGTAGCACAATTTGGGTGAAACTTTTCCGGAATCCCTTCTGAATTCTACCAATCCACCAACACCTTGCAACCAAAAAAAAAAAGGCACCACCGACATACTTCCAACAAAAAATGTGCAATTATGCATACCAGCATTTTCACTTTTTGTCTTCCGAGTCATGAATATCGTGTCGTGCGAAAACCGATGCAAATCATGTCGCATCATGTTTGGTCGGCCACCAAATGCAACGCCTCCGCCAGCTATGCCTCGACCAAATCCACACCCTCAATTCCATACCCAAAGTCGATAATGACCACGCGTCCATCCTGGCTGGTGCATACAATCTTGCGATAATTACTTTTGGCCGCCAATATCCAGCTCGATGTCCATCCTTGGAAGTTGATCTTGAGCCCGCCGTCGTCGGCCGATTCCCCTTTCCCCGCATCCCATACCTTGATCGAGTGGTCGTAACTGCCACTGATGATGCGTGAATTGGCCGAATCGAGATGAAGCGATCGCACAAGGTCTCGGTGGCCCTTCAACTCTCGAATTCTGTTGCCTGTGATGGTGTCGTATTCGTAGATAACATGATCATTTCCGCCGGCAAAGATGGTGCGACCGTTCTCTGAAAATTCGACACATGCAAGACCGCGATCCTTGGACTGGAATTCCTTGATGCATGCCCCGTCTTCAAGACGCCACAATTTCGACATGCCGTCGCCGCTAGCGCTCGCCAAAAGATTTCCTCGAACTTGGACTGCATTCACCGGCCCACGATGCCCGACCAGAGTTTTGATCAGCTGACCAGTCAATCTGTCCCAGATCTTGATCGTGGTGTCCTTGGAACATGTCACAATACGGTGCTTGTCGATGCAGACGTCAAGAACTCCAGCATGATGGCCAATCAGCCGAAAGAGCGGCTTGTAATTGTCCTTGATGGACCAGACGAGGCAGGAGAAATCGGAGGAGCCGGTCACAAGAATGTCGTCGTCGTATTGTAGACACAAAACGGAGGCTTGGTGCCAGAGAGCGATTTCGGGAGAACTTGGGTCAGGTGACGAAACGTCAGCCTTGAAAAACGGGAGGACTCCCTGCGGCTCGACTGCGGCGGATACAAGCTGTTGTCTCTCCCTCGGATTGTTCGGCGGTCCCAGCTTGCGGATGCATTGATACGTATGTGCGTCCCACACGCGGATGGTATTATCCCGGGACCCCGTAATGATCTTGTGTTCGTCAAACTGTGCGCAATAGACACTGTCTTTGTGGCCGTTCAAGTAGATAGCGGCGGCTTCGCCATTACGCCAGCGTCTGTCGATCAAAGTACGGACTTTGAAAAGCTTTCGAAAGTCTTGCCCAGGCGTATTCTTGCCGAGTCCGGCACTAAGAGGCAACTCACCCATGGGTGACCCTACTTTCGAGCCATATTCTCGATAAAAGATTGTTCTCCAAACAGCTTGAGACTGACACAGATCGTGCCACTTTTGGGAAACTACTGCAGCCTGGATCAAGGATTCAACATCAAGGAATGACAAGATGCTCTCCACCAATTCCGTGGCAAGAACCGACGCAGGATCCCTACAGAGAACATGTGCACGGGACGGGGAAGATCCCCGTCGAGTTCGGTTGTCAAGGACGATGCCAATGCCACTCTCCGCGTCTCGTTCAGTTTTGTTCTCCGCCTCGTTTTCTCGCGGTTCGTATGGCGGCAGAGGGGGCATCCGCGAAGCGTGGACCAGCTCATTTTGAGCAGCTGCGGCAGCCCTCGCACCGGCTCCGCCATAAACCAGATCAGACAAGATTGGGTGGCCTCTACTCCTCGCGGACACCGGCTCCGGCATATCTCTGGGCGGCTCAAAGGTGTTCTGAAAATTGAGGAGTGGCAGGGAAGGCCTCCTTCTCGTGCTGGTGCTTCGTAGAAGACGGCCTCGAGACTTTGGCCTAATTGATACAGCCTCAGTCAAGTCCATCATCTCTTGACCAGATTTGAAAGACAACAACTGAGATCGTTTGTGGTCTGGCCATTCCTCCTTTTGCCTCGGATTTTTGCCCTTAACGGTCAGCGACATGCGTCGGGTGAGAGAACGGAGTTCGGATATGCTGTGTTTCAAGGACTGGGTGAAAGCTGAATATCGCCGCTGGTGCAAGGGATCTCTTGGTTGGAGGTCCATAGGGGAGTTGGAAAACGGGTTGGTGAATTCGGGAGTGGTGTTGCCTCCTCCCGCCTCTTCTTGGTTTCGATTGAAAGAGGCCCAGTCCAGTACATCATGGGCGCTCGTCGCCATGAGAGACATCCGCGAGATCGGTCTTCGGGAGAATCCTCCCTCCCGTTCCGCCAGGTTGTCATATGCGGTTTTGGGTCGGCTTTGAATTAGGAGAGACGTTCTGCGTCGAGGGGCTATGGAAGAGGAGAAGGGCTCGAGATTCGACATTATGGCGGTCGATTGGCAGTCTCGGGGGTCTGCAATGATACAAGTCGTGCTTCCCAAAATAGAGAAAGCTCTGGTCGCGGTCCCCCCCGCCCAAAAAAAAAAAAAAAAAAAAAGTGGCGGAAACTTGGAATCAGTCGAGAAACGAGCGAGAAATCTTGGAAATGGAACTCAACGTGGCGAAACGAGTGAAAGAGAGATTATCTATGCTGACCAAAAAGAACATGAAGCCCAAAAAGGAGCGGTGGCAGTAGAGAGGTGCAGAAGAAAATCACCAGGTCTAGGCGACCCTGTGATTTTGTTGACTGGTGGAAAAAAGAGTGTGAGAGCTCGGGATCGTTTTGGAAAATTGTGTGCCGCTGGTCCAGGAATCTTGGGCGAGGGAATGGGCGATGCTGGCTGCGAACATTCTCTGCACAAATTCACGCTTCGAGCCTCCAACCCCGGTTTTGCCTGGATCGAGGCAAAATAAACAATCTTGTTGCTCCCCCGAACTGATATTCCAGGGCGGCGACGGTGGGTAAGGTCCCAGAGCCAGAATCGTCTTGGTTTAGGGCCGATTCGGTGTTTCGAATTCTGTTTCCCAGGGCTTCCCCTCAGCACTCGCATTTCGACGCAACAATTTCTTCGGTGTCCACCATCACAGGGTTTGTGACTGTCTAGTCCCTCTCCATTTACCTGGGCACATCTGACTGGCTAATCGAGGAACCACTGAGAGCCGCTGCACTTGGCTCCCAAGATCCCCCGGAGAATCACGAGCCACCAGCCACCGTTGCCGTCGAGCTCGCCCAGCCATCACCGTACGCGCTAAGCCGGGTGAAATCCATGAAGCTGACCCTCCCTAAGTTGACCTGGCTTTTGATGATAAGAAACTGATCACCCTTCATCTCCTAAGCAGAGAGTACGCGTTTAAGTGCGCTTCGCCCACCAAACTAGAAAATTGACCTGGCCCTGTGTTCCCATCATTCGAACAAACCGCACGAGACCAAACTATGTCATCCATCCCTCTCCCTTATATCGCGTTCTTCCTCTGGATCGAACCTGTCGCAACGTTAGCCGGGGCATTTTATGCCTGGCTAAAGCCACACATATATCTACAATTGACACATGCGGCCTCGGCGCCTGGTATCTTGGGCCTGCCGACGGCGACAAACGTTGTCTTGAGACAGCTGGGCAATCTATACGTCGCATTCGCCATCAACGAAGCATTCGTGCTGAGAGCAACAAATGATCTAAATGTATGGCGAACCTTGTTGCTGGGCCTTCTAATTGCAGATTTCGGACATTTGTACAGTTGTTCTCCATTGGGGCTGAAGTCGTACTATGATGTTGCCAACTGGAATGCGATGGCATACGGGAACTACCTGTTCGTTTATTGTGGCGCACTAACGAGAATCTGTTTCCTGCTTGGAGTCGGCCTGGGAGGAGCCAAGAAGGCCAAGTCGAAGGCCAGAAAATCGGTCAGAATATCCACTGAAGAGGCCCTTCCCGTGACACCTACTCAGATGAACAAGACCCCTGCACAGAGCACGAGGAGGAGGAAAAACAAGCCCACTTAAACCGCAGGACTGTTCACGATCTTATTGAAAGTTGCGACGGTGACATCAACAAGTCCCTCCTGAGACAGGCCAGTGAACGAGCCTTTATCGTCGGCAGATTTTGTGATCATTACTTACCGACATCCGCATCAAAGGTCTGAATCTATCAATCAAAATTGCGGATATCGGTGAGAGAGACCAGCCAAGTGTCCGGTTCATGGCTCTGTTTGTCCATCACTCATGAAGCGCCGAGCGTCCAGATCCTCTTCTCATGGATCCCACGAAAAAGAATGCAAAGGGGCCCCAGGAAGGGAAAATGAAAACGATGACCTTCCGAATGGAAACCGGAGATTTGAATTTGATGGGTATCGAAGTTAGAATTGAGGATACGTCGTACGACAATCCGACAGTGTTTGGTACTTATCGAGGCAGCGGATGATTGGAACAACGGAGGCTCCCCAACATAAAAGGCGGGTATGCGGTATCTTCACCGAAACAGATCATCTTGCCGATGCAGCCTTTGCGCATTTGGGGGGGGGGGGGGGGTGTTTCCATTTTACCTGATGTGAACCGATGCGAGCTTGCCCAGGTAGGCGGAAACGAATATGAAATATATCTATGCGTGACTTTCAACAGCGGAGAATCAAAATCACATTTCGTTATTTCTATCTTCCCGATTTTTTTTAAAGCATGCTATGGTAAAAGAGGAGGGCATTCTCATGACTCTGGGTTTGCCAGTGGTGATCGGGGGCTCTTGTGACACTTATAGAGAGGGAGATACACCTGCGCGATTATGGAGAGCACAGAGTTCTACAATAGACACCTACAAATCGAAGAGACCAGAACGTGGTATTGAGATTCGCAGCTAGAGAATACCACAGTACCGATGGGGCAGCAGATGGGCCTGCTCACCAGTGGTTTGCGCTGACCTTTCTAACGTGGACATTCACCATCTTAGGTTGGAGCATCTGAACTGGCTGCATGGTCGTGCAGTCTCGCCATCGACACACTACATGCTGCAAAGTAGCACGCTGACTGCGAACATGGATGTTACAAGCGCTTATCTTGGACTGCAAAGTTCGGCTTCTAGACTCCACGACGAATCGCCACGATAAGCTTTCATAAGGAATGCCATTGCGGTGGTCTCCGTGTCGCAGGGCTTAAATGAGACGAAACAAGAACTTTCCAAGCAACCGCTACGGCTCCTCGGATTTGGTCGCTGGGAAGCTTATCATCCATAGATATCAACGGGTACTGTTGTCTAAGTACAGTATTATTTGGATTTTCATTGCCACGCTTGTCCATGGTCTTGTCTACATTGATACCCAGCTAGCTACTAAGTGCTGCGGGGTTGGGAATCGGGCCAAGTTCAATGTTGCAGTCAACACGGATCTTATAGCCATGGATTTTAACCCGTGGGGATCTCTCTTGCTGTCATTTCGTCCTCTACGTTCTCGCCCTGGCTTGTTTTCAGTCGGCCGTGTGAGCCTCGAAATTCAATCAGATGGAACCCTCCAGCAGCAATGATGCCGCCATGGCAGCGGACGAGAAAAAGCTTCCTACCTACGAAGTCGACGACTATCAGGAAGGGGAGATTGCCTCCAATGCGGATCAGCTGAAACGCCATCTGGGAAATCGCCAAATCCAACTCATCGCTGTCGGCGGTTCTATTGGCACCGCTCTCTTCGTCAGTATCAGCTCGGGCCTGATGACTGGTGGTCCTGGCAGCTTGTTGATTGCCTATGCCGCCTACAGTTGTTTACTCGGTCTAGTCAACAACTCCATGGCTGAGATGGCAGTATACATGCCGGTTTCGGGATCCTTTATTCGCATGGCTGGTAAATGGGTTGATGAAGCCTTTGGATTTATGGCAGGCTGGAACTTCTTCCTATATGAGGCTTCTCTCATTCCCTACGAAATCACGGCGCTCAACCTGGTCTTGACGTTCTGGAGCGACGACATTCCTATCGCGGCGATATGCGCTGCGTGCATCGTTCTTTACGCGTATGTCGGTTCTCTTTCTGAAATCGTTACCGAAGACTGATGACAAGATCAGGATCATTAATATCTTCGCGGTCAAATACTACGGCGAGGCAGAGTTTTGGCTCTCAATCGGAAAGCTGCTACTCATCGGCATCGTCTTCTCCTTCACCTTCGTGACAATGGTTGGGGGGAACCCTAAGCACGACGCTTATGGCTTTCGATACTGGAACAACCCTGGTTCATTCGCAGAATATGTCACCTCGGGGGCGCTCGGTCGCTTCGAAGGGTTTCTCGGAGCCTTGTGGTCTGCCGCTTTCACCATTGTCGGCCCTGAGTATCTTGCCATGGTCGCCGGTGAAGCTGAGCGGCCCCGAACTTACCTCAAGAATGGATTTAAAACGATGTACTGGCGATTCGGCCTGTTCTTCATCGGAGGAGCACTCTGCGTGGGGATCGTCCTTCCCTATAACGATCCTATCCTGGTAGCTGGCCTCGGTGCCGGCACGGCCTCAGCATCCCCATACGTGATTGCGATGAAGAACATGGGCATCAGTGTCCTTCCCCATATCACAAATGCCCTCCTGATTACATCTATTTTCTCGGCAGGAAACGCTTATACCTATTGCTCGATGCGTTCGCTCTACGGGTTGGCCCTGGAAGGTCAGGCACCGAAGTTTCTGCTGAAGTGCACGAGGAGCGGCATCCCGATATACTGCTTCGCCGTCACGATGATCTTTCCACTGCTGTCTTTTCTGCAGGTCTCGAACGATTCGGCTCAAGTGGTTACCTGGTTTGCGAATTTGACCGAGGCTTCTCAACTGATTGACTACATCATCATGAGCGTCACCTACCTCTTCTTCTACCGGGCTTTGAAAGTTCAAGGAATCGATCGAAGGACTCTCCCTTATTTGGGCTGGTTCCAACCCTACTGTGGGTGGATTGGATTAGTTGGAATGACTCTCGTCCTGGGCGGCTATGGTTACACCACATTCCTCCCTGGATGGTGGGACATCGGCACTTTCTTCTCGTACTACACGATGGTTTTTGTTGCTGTTGTTACGTACGTCGGTTGGAAAGTTGTTAAGAGAACAAAGGTTGTTCGACCCGAGGAAGCTGATTTGGTCTGGGACCGACCCATCATTGATACTTACGAGGCGTCGCTACCAAACAAGCCTGAGGGTTTCTGGGCTGAGATCTTGAAGATGGTCGGAATCAAAAATAAAAGCACTGCTCATGTGGCATAAGCCCTCGCAAGGGGTTTCCAGGAAGATCAAAGATAGTTATTCCCAGGCAGAGACGCTGTGGTCTAACTCAAGAGATTTTGACAACCTCTACTCCGCTAACAATGAACTCCAACACCGCGAAACGAACCGTGGTATCCGTAGAGCTATTCCCGACATTGCGATCAAAGATGACGACCCATCTCGCCTGGTTTCGCAAACAGGGGAGTCTGCCAACACCATGCCAAGCCGGGATGTCAGGTGTGTCCCTGAGCGATTTTTACACCCTCCTTCTCCCACAACTCCAGACCATCTTGACTCCTTGACAACCTAACGAAATGGTTACCACACGACCTATTACTCCTCCCGAACATGGAACAGGCTTAGAGGAACATCCTTAGCCTACTCGGACGACAGCAAGTGTGAGATTGGTTACAAAATTCGCTCAGGACTTTTCATTTACATATTGCTCCAGGAGAAAATCTTTGACTAGTCCCGCATATATGGCGACTCCTTGAACGGGAGCAGGACGTACGGAGGCATCACCATTCGCCAAGACCGTCGAGCAATCCTTTGATGATGCTAAGATCAGGATTGGGTTAGCGATGCGGCCTGTCATGAAGGTAAGCCTTAAAGGGAACAGCAAAGCTGGATTATGTGATTGATCTATGATGCTCTGTGAACGGAGCGGAGAAAAATGTACCTACTAGCTTAGTAATACTTCGCTCTAGCATATCGACTCGGTCTGTCCTCGTGCCCTCTTCGACATGGGTACTTGATACCAATGCCATTCTGTCAAGAAATACCGTGGTGATGTACCAAGATTCCAGAGAGCCATTCAATGCAGGCAGATTTGTGGTAAATTCCAGGCTCCGTGATGGATGATATAATGAGGTCCGTCACTGGGTAGTGGAATAATCCAGACGAAGATAAACATAAACCCTCTCTCGCCCTTTGTTACGAAATCTGCAATGTCCATGTTCCAAGTAACTCGCCTGCTGTAATCACGGAGCACGAGGATAGATGGGCTCTTGCGACTTGGATATAACTCGCATCCACCTATCACCCTTGGAGGCCCCCCCAAAAAGAACATTATCTGGGGTTTGGAAGCTCAAATACGTAGGTATCTCAAACGCCCCTGAGATGTTGTCCAAGCTTTCCCCCGCTAAACCTCGGATGGGCCAAGAAAGGGATCTCAAGACAAGGGGAATGGAAATTGTGGCGTGATCTGCCTCTAATCATTTCTTGTTTTCTCCAGCTCTCATCATACCATCTTCGCGTGATACCTGTGCACAGCAGCTGCTCTTGAAGCGAATTCTGGCACCAGCCAGTAGTGGCAAAGTATGGAATGGGAATATATCAGTCCCGTGCCTTCATGGGCTGGTGCAGCTTGCTCTTCTACTACTTAAAGATCTCCAATGTCCGATATGGTGTTTCAAACAGGAACATCTACCGTGAGCCATACATGATATCAATACTGTTATCATTGCCACCCGATCATCATATTCTCCACAATGGATACAAATAATGCAGAAAAGACAGAGAGCGAGCGGCGTATGTCCATCTCTCAGCTGCCGGATGCTGCTCTCAAGCTCGGGAAGAGCTTGTACCCAGACCCATTGCACTACAGAACTGCTGAGAATCTGGTTGAATTTCGAAGAGCTGCTGACTATATTTCGGCTGGTTTGTCGCCAGGCTGAGAACATGTGCTCTCCAACGCTGACATTCGTCCCAGCAATGATCTTTCTGCGAGACAACGTTTTACTTGAACGAGATCTAAGTCATGACGATATCAAGCACATCATTGGAAAGTACAAACCATGTTCCCCAAAGAAACGGTCAAAATAACTGGACCAGGATACTGGGGAATCTCTCCAGGCATCACTCTCATTTACGCCCATATCAATCTCATCATCCAGAAGTATAATCAATCAATGATTTGTCTGATCGGTGCCAACTATGGCGTCCCCGCCGTTCTCTCATGTTTATGGTTGGAACAGTCCCTGGAGCGGTTCTATCCACAATACAGTCGGGATAGGACCGGCTTGCACAATCTCATTACTGGGTTCAGCGTACCAGGAGGTTTCCCCAGGTCAGGATCTTTGTTTTCTGTCTCTGTTTTCGTAAAATTGGCTGATCTGGCTGACCGCGGGACACGCTAGCCATATAAATGCCCGAATTCCCGGATGCATTCACGAAGGAGGCGAGCTGGGCCAGGTACTCTCGGTAGCGTATGGCACTGTGATGGACAAGCCCGACTTGATCACTGTGGCGGTGATTGGAGATGGTGAGGCAGAAACTGGTTCAACGGCAACGTGGGTCGATCCCATACCGTCCGGGACCGGACGACGCTGACGCGGCCATAGGTCATGGCATATGTGCAAATACATCGATCCAAAACAGGACGGGGCACTATTACCTATCCTCTACCTGAGCAGCTTCCAGAGTAGCCAGAAGACGATTTTTGGATCCATGGACAATGCGGAACTCTGCTGCCTGTTCGCTGGTTACGGCTACAAGCCATACATCGTCGATGACATCGAAGATATCGATAGGGAGCTCAACACAGCCTTGTCCTGGGCGGTCGAGACCATTCAAGAAATCCAGCTCGCGGCCAAAGCTGGGGAGACTGCCCTTCTCAAACCAAGATGGCCAATGATCATATTGAGAATCCCAGGATCCTGGGGCTATCCCCTTTTGGGCCCTGGCGAACACCTCGCCGGATCTTTCCATGGCCGTGAGGTCCTCTTACCACATGCGAAGATAAACAAGACCGAGTTACAGCATCTTCAGGATTGGCTCCAGTCCTACAAACCAGCCGATATTCTTCCGGGGGGAAGGATCTCCGAAGGGATCGAGCGCATCATCACACCCAACGAGAGGCTTCTTCTGGGGCAAAATCGGATCACATGGGACATGAGACGTCACCTGGAAGTGCCCGAATGGAGACGCTTTGCGGCTGCCAAAGGAAGTCATCAGAGCTGCCTCCGAGCAGCAGCTGGCTTCCTCGATGAAACACTGACGCGGAACGAGAATTCGCTGCGCATCTTCTCGCCCGATGGACTCGTGAGTAACAAGTTCGACAAGCTCTCCGATCGCACCTATCGCAGCTTTAGAGGGAATCACGACAATATTTCGACGGGGGGACCGGTGATAGAATTTGCATCCGAGCATACCTGTCAAGGTGAGCAGACAATAATTCCCGACGTGATCGGCCCGCCACTCACGATGGCCCATTACAGGTTTGCTGCAAGGCTACACGATGACCGGCCGCACGGGTATCTTCGCCGCAGACGAAAGCTTCTTTCCCATCATAGCGACCATGATGACACAGTACAGTAAGTTCATCAAGATGGCGTTGGAGACGCCATGGCGCAACGACGTCAACAGCCTGAACTATATCTCGACCAGTACCTGGACTCGTCCGGAGCCCAATGGCCTGTCTCATCAAAACCCGAGCTTCATTGGGTCGGTCCTGAATCTGAAACCGACGGTCGGGAGGGTCTACCTCCCACCAGATGCCAACACGTTCCTCTCCACCCTGGCGCATTGTCTTCGGTCAAAGAACTACATCAATCTGATCGTGTCGTCGTCGCACCCGGGCCCGGTCTGGCTCAGTCCCGAGGAAGCCGAGATCCACAGCCGCGCCGGAGGCGGTGTTTGGAAATTCGCGAGCACGGACGACGGCATCGATCCTGATGTCGTCCTCGTCGGGATCGGAGCAGACGCCATGTTCGAGGTCATCGCGGCTTCTGCGTATCTGCGCAAACTGGCCCCGTCGCTCTCGGTGCGTGTGATCAACGTGACGGATCTGATGATCCTCGGCCGTGAGGGCTCTCACCCCCACGCGCTCAGCCTCCGAGATTTCGACACCCTGTTTACGCCGCACCGGGATATTCACTTCAACTACCACGGCTACGCCAACGAACTGCAAGGTCTCCTCTTTGGGCGGCCCAAGCTTGAAAGGATCTCCATCTCCAGCTTCCAAAACGAATTCGTGGCCACGACACCCTTCGAGACGGTCTTGAAGAACAAATGCAGCAGATACCACGTCGCGGAGGTCGCGATCCACGGAGCCGCCAAATGCAACCCGCACATCGCTGTCGACTTGCAGAAGCTCGTGGCGCACGTCCAGCACGAACGTGCCAAGATCGAACAGTTCATTCAAAAGCACGGCGTCGATCCTGCGGGCATGTATGACGTGCCGAAATTCTCGACATCGCACCGACATCATCAGCCGGGCGGGGGCCAGAGTTGGCAGTCACACGACAAGACGTTCCATATTCCGACCGAGAATGTCGATTGGGAATGAATGGTTTTCCGCGCAGACCGGTTGACGTGCACGAATAAGACTCAGGTGTCAGGAGTTGCATTGGATTGAAACCGGAAATGAGAATTTTGAGTGAAAAATACTACTCGTTCACGGAGTCTGTTGAGTGATTATCCGATGATACGAGTCAGTCTTTGATTCGCTTTCAAATGCTGGAGAAAAACTCTAGGGACGATACGCCTTACGAAGCGTGTCCAGCAAGCATGAATCGACAACGGGGATGTGACCGAGAGCTGGTGGTTCACGGACCTTTCGAAGAGGAGTTACGTAGTGCATGGCAGAATCGTTATAGTCCTGATCAACAAAACCCGGTGATTCTCGGCCTTTTTGCGGAAATACTCTTGACCTGGCTAATCCAGTGCTGTACAGTTCGGTCACTTGCAGCTCGGTTACAGACGGCATTGTCAGCGATTCCCAGCAGCTTTGCCATCATCAAAGGCATGCTTTCAATCAACGTACAAGGTTTTGAAAGTTGAAGATCTCATGATAATGACACCACCTTTTGATCCCCTGAACAAAGAAAACCGTTCATTTCCTACTCGTCGGACACTCCTCAGGTGTCCTACTACTCCTGGTCATGAGCATTATACTCCACTTTCCCCTCCCCCCAATAACCTTCTCGATATGGAAACACGCAGAAAGTATGGTGATAAAAGTTTTTCAAAAGACGGCCCGCTTTGGTACACTAACTTGTAATGTCAAATGGGGTGCAGACAAGCGAAAACAAGCGAAAAGAAACCTCCGCGAGTGGAGGCGCCACGGCCAGCGGGATCTCTGATGACCAGCCTGCCCGCTGTACCTCATTTGTGGATCGATGGTTTACCCTTGGGCCTCCATACAGTCCCTGTAAATGGAATTCTCAGACAGGTCAGAAGCTTGAGATCTCTCCACGTAATCTACGGGAGGTATGACATATGGGAAACGTTGACTCTCATGGTCAGGTGTGCGAGATTGAATGATCATATGCATTGACAATGTAAAGAAGTGGGACTAGAGATGAACGACTTCCGCCAATCAGAATCTTGAGAACTCAAAATACATGTGAGAAGTTTTGGCTGCTGCATATAGAGAGGCTAGTGTACAGCGGTGTTCTGGTCCATTTGCTTGGCTCATTCAATGGTGACTCTCTTGGTCGTGCTGGCCTTCTCCATCTTTGGCACCACAACATTCAGCACGCCATTCTTCAAGCTGGCTTTGACCTTGTTCTGGTCCACAGGGCAGGGGAACGCGAAGCTGCGTGCAAACTCGCCAACGCTGCGCTCCGAGATCCAGCTGGTGGACTCGGGCTCGGCGGCCTTTGCACCCCCGGCCGTGGCCTCCTTGGGAGGCTGGCCCTCTTCCTTGTACGTCTCGGTGCGGCCCTTGATGGTCAGCACTTGGTCGTCGACGAATTCGATCTCGATGTTCTTCTGATCGATCCCCGGCAGCTCGCCATCCAGCAAGTAGCTGTCCTTGGTCTCCTTCAGGTCAAAGCGTGGTGAGAAGGTGCGTGAGACCGAGTCCGACAGTTTCTGGAGCTCGTTGAAGGTGTCATTGAACAGGTTGAAGAAGGGGCCGAATTCGGTTCGCGCGGGAGCGAAGGAGGACAGGCGTGGAAGAAGAGCCATATTGGGACCTGGTTTGGTCGAGAGAAATCTTCTTGCTTGTTGTGCGAGCTGAGGCTTAGAGATGTTGCGAAGGCTGGTGTTGAGAAGACAGGTGGGCAGTCTATGAATCGACATAAATCTACTCCCGTGTGGCTTTGGCGTTGGAAACTTGAAGAGTGGATGAAGAAAATAGTTCATATATTTATATTTTGAGGACTGTGAAATCTGCAGAGCAATGGATGTCCGATGTCGTAGGAAGGTCGAGGGACCAAGTCCGGGATAGCGCCGTGCACAGGTGATATTAACACCATCTCCTGCAAAGAGACCAATCTTTTCTTTTCCTGGGGATTCCGGATTTCCATGTCAAAACAATTACCTGACAAAGGCCTGACTCCGAGGCGGCATTGGACATCATGTACCCTCCCGTCGTTGACTTTAAATCACCATGGAAGTCGGAGTGTGCCCCAGTGTCGTTCCTGGCTCAATGGGGACTGCAGACAGCAAATGTGGCGTGACAAGGAATCATATGGGCAAACATCCGTACTTTTCCTATTGGGTCACAGTTCTTCGATGCGCTCCCGCGCATGAGAAGATGTACAATTGTCCAATATCTTTGTCTGGAAGAGTTGACCAGTGTACTTGGTGAAGTTTGACCAATGGGGCCCCTGAATATACTACTGCGGAGCAGTAGGAAACTACCATGACGGAAGTCCGCACAACCGTAGTTCCCCAACATCAACCTCACAACAAAGGTTGAGAACTTGAAATCGAACCCCTCTCTTTATCCTTTTTTTATAACTCCCGAAAGACAGAGGAGTGCAGAGTGCGTAGCCTGCGCAGGACAATGCAGCGAATGGCTCCATTAGCGCCCGCTCTTCTTCGACAATGAAGCTTTGACGACAATGACAGCAGATTGGGGGACAAGAATGGCAGAACTGAGAACGCAGAACGCGACGCGCCTGGAGATGATCAAGAAGTATGAATCTAGAGCCACATATCCGGGAAATCCAGATAGCCAAGTGAAAACACAAAATATTACGTTTCTCGAAGCCGTTCAAAAATCAGCTCAAGTGACCCAGAGCTGAGGTGAGGCACGGTGGTTTCAAGAATGGACTACCCGCAAGTCCTCCCTCTAGTCAAAGGACGCCAACCCCCCAAATATGTTCCGTCAACCCTTCAGGAGACATGCGTTGCACATCCCATCCGCCGAGAGGGACGGCCTTCAATTTGAGACCGACGAAATTATACGGCGAAACGCACAGTTCATGTCTGCCACCCCGGTCGCCAGCGTAAAGTCAAACGTAATTTCGAAACTCCTTGCCGAAGGCGTATTGACCGCGAGCATTCACATCTCTGCCACTATTAATAGGACATTGCAGCGAGACCATGTCGAACATCCTTCCCCACGCCTTCCTTTCGTGACCGACGGCATTGGGCACGGAATGGAACCAGGTCTGGTCAAACCTTGAGCGAGTCGAGACTCTCCTGGGAGAACTAAAGAATGAATCAAGAGGCCGGGCCGGTGGTGATACTTCGGTCCCGATAGAAGAACAATCACAAGTGGGAATCTCCATTTTGGACGACAGCAGGGTAAGAGACGCAAACACAAGCGCATGGCAGAATCCAGGCCAGCTGTGGCTCATAGAAGAGTCCATACGTCGAGGGACCAATTCCGTGCTTGCGATGGTGATTGCATTAGGACGTGGAAGCTACGAGCTGGTTGTTCAGAATATTGTCGGCAAAAGCGTCTTGCCCCCTCTTTGGGTTAGACACCGGAAATGCAACGTACCCCTTGTCGATCTCTTGGGGGTTGCCGTCAAAATCAGTCACAAGAGTGGAAGAGTTATGGAGGCCTGATCCCCACAGATGTCAATTGCCGTCAGCTTCTTCGACAGTATCGCGACATTGTTCATGTACTCTACCCGCGGGCGTGGTGGACATGGACGAATTGGAAGTAGACTTAGCCCAATTTCTCATGGAGCGGTCGAGTCAAAATAACCATCCCGCATAACTTCATTGTTGAATCGTCTAATGCGTACGGCAAGAGCCTATACTGGGTCGGCCTTCTGTTCGCAATGCCTTTGCATCGGGTTGTCAATGGTGTGCCACCTTTTTGGACAACTCCCGGTGCGCTGTGAACCGTGCACGTGGTGCGCCGGACCGGTCAACTGTCCGACCACCGATGACGGCCACTTTTTGCTCTGGTACTTCGCCTCTTCTTCATCCTCGATTCCACTCTCTTGTGGGCCTCGATTTCGATACAGCGGCTTCTGATATTCCTCATACGTAATGAATCACCTTCTCCTCTCCCTCATGGCTGATCACACGTTGACGGCTTGCTTCGACCTCGTCAGATTCAGCGGGATTGGTCCCGCTGTCCCCATGATTGATGGGAGCGGAGAATCCCAGTCGCCTCGTGCTTTTATAGCGCGAAGCAGAACCAAAGGATGCAATGCGGCTCATTCGAGAAAGTCCTTCAGAGTCACCATGCCAGGCCATTCATCGCTCTACGGGTAGCCGCTTGTGATGGAGGTAGCTGATCTCCGTGAACTATCATCGAGACGGGCAAGACACACCCCAAAAACTGGAGATGTCAACCAACATTGTCCCATCTTATCAGTTCAAGCTTCTACGGCGCTTCCTTCCAAGCGAATCGCGGATAACGGGGTTGAATGTTGCTAGTATCGCCCGTGATGGAGGGAATTTCGACCTTGTTCTGGTAAACGATTGCGGCGTCGACGACACCACTCTCCCTAGGCCCACTATACATTCGATCCTGAGAGATGAATCATAAATGGGTCAAGGCTACAGCTGTTGGCGTAGCATATTTGCCCATTGGGCAAGTCTCAAACGAGCACAAAAGAAGCTCGAAGTGCCCGACGGCCCAACGTCGCTCTAACAGACTCTCCTCCCTTTGATCCTCGGGAGGACTCCCCTGCCACGAGAAAGGACACCTTATTAAGACCGTCGATTTCTCACTTTCCACGTTGACTCACTCAGGCCCTTCACAGTGATCTCTGCCATTGATCATCCGGCCGATATGGATGTCTTCGACCCCCAGGTAAGGACGGTTTAGAGCAACAATGCCATTCTAGGTTCTTTCGTTGACTCTACATTCGCTGTCCAGATCCATCTTGCCTACGCACCACCAACCACCAGATTCACGTTTGAGGACTTGAAGCTGCAACGCAGCGCCACTGCAACGGAAGTTGCAGCTACCGTTCCTTTCCCCATTTTAACCCCAGAAGGCGTCCGTGCCTACCGTCGCGCATTGTTCTCTCCCACAGTGTTGGAGAACTGTGTCGCATCGCCCGGGCCAGGCACCCTGACTGTCCGCAATGCGGCCGCGTACTCATCGTTTATTCAAGACTTTTGGACTCATCCTGAAACACTCCAGGCAATATCGGATGCCGCAGGGGTATCGCTGTCGGTGGTCATGCCCACAGAGATGGCTCACACGAACATTCAGACCTCAGGAAGTACCGTTGAAGACATGGTTGCAGAGCTCAAGGTAGAACCTGACACCACCAAATTACCACTCACCGACGAAGACAGAACATATGATCCTCTCAAAGCCAAGTCCGTCATCCCCTGGCACTACGACTCATACCCTTACGTCTGCGTGATCATGCTCAGTGACACCGAGGGAATGATCGGTGGCCAAACCTTCATCAAGCACGGGGACGGCAGTGCTCACGAGGTCGCTGGCCCGTCCATCGGCTACGGCGTGATCCTTCAAGGCGGAGAAGTTCAACACTTGGCGGCCCGCGCACGGGGAGTCAAAGAGCGCATCTCAACGATAACCTCGTTCACAGCCAACGTCCCGGGTCTCTATGATTCAAGCTACATCACCAACATCCGAACCTATGCCGAACGAGAGGTCCTCTATAAACAATGGACACAGTACCGGCTGGCCAAGATGAAACGGGAGATCGAACAATTGCAACACGAGCTCGGTGAAACCGTCGGATCGATCGATGTGGCTCAAATTCAGCATTTCGCCCAGGCGCAAATCGACTACCTCAAGCGCACGACCCGCCAGTTGATATCCGATGACGAGGTCGCCGCTGCACTGAAAAAATATGGCAGGCCCACAATCTATGGTGCGCCAAAGATGTTGGAGCAGGCGGAAACGCTGCCCGAATTTGCGGACTGCGTCGCATCTGTCACGCCGCGGGAGTGGCTTCCCCACAGTCCTCTCTGGGCTGATCTGGCTGAAAGTCGCATTGCCGTCAATGCCGGACGGACCTTGGAGTCACAGCGAGGCAGGTTCATGTGGGCCAAAGAACGACCGTACACGATGGGCGATGAATTGTTGAGACAGGGCTTACCTGAGTTGTTGATTGCCTGGTTGGATGCGACGGGCCTGTACGCGCTTTTGCAGGCTCCAGCTCAACCCGTGAATGCATGAACGAATGGCGAGCGCCGACGGCATGTGTAACGCTGAGAGTGTCGAGTTCATGTGTTGACATCTCTCTCTCTCTCTTTTTATACTGTACACCAAACAACACAATGTATGGCATCGAAGTGTCCAGGTAGCCATTAGCATTTAAGACATGTTATCTATCCTATCGAATCTGTTTTTTTGGTTTTTTTTTTTTTCCTGAGAAGAACATGCGGTTCGGCAAAACGACACGAGATTGGTGTTCTTGATCCGGAACGTGTGAGAGAAAAGAGAACACGGTTGACACGGAGAGTTGATTTTGTTGAAGTCCCATTCAAATCGTACTCTCCAGTGTCGTTCTGATGTTCTTAAGTGAGCATTTCATAATTCATAAACCTCTGGGGCGGCTGATGCTGTGCTATGCTATTGTCGAGATTCCCACCCGACCGTGCTATGCACCCTATCCCATCCGGCCACTCTTATTTTCCATTCCGCAAGATTCGCCAACTCCAATGGCATTTCACGCAGCAAGAGCAACAACAGCCAGATGCTTCTCACCACTCTTCTCCACCGGCACATCCCACATCCCTGTCGGCGTGCCTCCCAGGGAGTCCCGCTGACCATGACACGAGCACCGGCGTACGGATTCGTACAGATCGGCCAGCTCGGCGTCCTTGTCGCCTTCGAGGAGTTTCCTGACATCGACATCGGATGGGAGCTGGGGCGGTGAGATAGCTTCGTTTCCATCTTCCTCTGAGGACGAAGATGACGAGCGTATCATGCCAGGGGGCCGGGATGAGGCCGATTCGAAGCGTTGGAGATTTAGGCCCTCGTCCTCGTTGAGTTCGTCGTCCGCTATTTCGAGACCTGCGTCTTCTTCGTCTGGATAGGCATCGTGGACAGGCCATTGTTTGGGTTTTTTGGTGTCAGGTCCATACGAGTCTGGTTCGTCGTAGTCGTCGGAGGAGGTCCCGTCGGAGGAGGTCCTGTCGGACCCGTCCTCGTCCGGGTAATTCTGTGCCGAATGTATGGAGACGGGTGGTGGTGAGCGTTTGCGTGCAGGTGAGTTGGAACCTCCTTCGACAGTATTGGACGGGCGTGCGTTATTATCTTGGAAACTGATTCGGCGAGGCCGTGGCTCTGGTTCTGCGGGTGTTGGACCAGCTTGGGTGCAGTCGTAATGCTCCTCTGGCTCTGGAATAGGCGTGGGTTTCGTGCAGTCAAAGTGTTCGTCTCCAGGAGTTGGGGTGGCTTCATGGAAGACTGATTTGGCACTCTGGTTCTCGATCTCGACAATGCGAAGCATCAGGTTATCGAGAGTGAAGGCATGGCCGAGGACAAATCGCAAATTCCTGTCCGGCCGATTCGCAGCGAGCTTTAGCTTGCATTGCGCCGTGTGAGCGAGGGTGTAGGTGGTGCTCGTCGTGAGGAGCCGTCGGGACATGTTGCGGAGTGGAGACAATGATTTGTACATCAACGTCGCCGGGCTTTCAAGGTGAGAAGAGGCGCCTGGCTGCAATGCAGGTAGGAGGGGTCGATTCGCAATTCAACAAAGGCAGACCAGGAGTCGAATTCGAGAAAAAAACGACAGGAAATTGACAACGGACAATGTTCGTGTAGGTTTAGTAATCGAAAGAGATGGTAGCAGATCAATGGGACAATAACAGCCGAGTCCTTGGAGGAATTGGCCTTTGACGTCAATTAATGCTGATTCGGGTCGGCAGACGCTTTGACAATTACACACAATTACGAGATAGATGCCCAGCAGAGCGGAAGTGACAATGATGACGATCGAGAGATCGGAAAGAAGTTCATAAGCGGTTCACCCAGGGGGGCAGCGAGAGGCCAAAAAAAGTGGAGAAATGCCGCTGACATATTGATCTGAACAGGCTGACCAATCGACACGTCCAGCATACCACGCTAGTGGCTAGGCATTATTCCGAATGCGGAAGTAATTCACATTGTGAATTTCCCGATTTGTCCAAGCTGCGTATCAATGTCGCGTGCCGTGCACATCGCTGTAAGAATACCAAAGACACAGCAGAAAGCAGCAGGCAGCAAGCTCAACTAGAGCCTCGCAATCAAACTTGTTTGGAGTTGAGAAGCTTTTGGATGTTGCTATCCTTTCCTGCTACGCGTCCGCCAATCATCAACACATTACGGTCAAGATCCTGGGTGGATGAATCACATCGCCTCTGGAGGCACTGGTGTCGGTCACCTATGAGTCCCTTTTAAAACCTCGCATGCCAGTCTATACCCCAGGATCAATGCCTTGATTTTCCCTTTTTCGTAGTATAATACAAATGGTAGCAGATGTGTATGACGTGAATTTTCAGCTTTTTTTCTCTTCTTTTCTTCTCCTCCCTTTTTCCCCCAAGAACGTGGACCTCTGTCGAGTGGTGATGATAGAGCCAATATACTTCCAAACCTGTTCATGTTTTGTCCAGCCTTGAGGATGTGATATTACTCTGTTCTCCCCTATTCAGGACATGCAATGCAATTCTAGGCGGTCCCGGTCTTTCTTGTGCCTCTCGCTTTGGGATTAAGAGATTTCTTCTTTTGTTTTGTGCGTTGATGGCTTCGTGGATCAACACCTTCAATAAATTTCAACAGTTCGTCAATACTCCGTGAGTCTATGGCAACATTGCCGGTACCAGTTCGTACATTGGCGTCTGCACCGGTCGTGCGGACACTTGCATTTGGCGCCGCCGCGCCGGCGTTTTGTGGTTGAAGTCTGACACCCAAACCCATCCGGGGAAATTGTCGGATGCTACCGAAGCGTCTGTTTTGTAGTACTTTGGCTTGTTTGGCAATCGACACGGCGTTTTGAGTCAACTGTTCCAGCCAGCTCTCCGCCTCTTTCGTGTTTCGGTCGTTCGGCCCCAGCTCTGTCAGGAAGATATTGTATGCATCACGCATTTTGTTCACGGCACCCTTTGGGTCTCCATCGAGAGCCAAGGCCTGCGCCAATTGGAACAAAATGGTGGCGGCATTGATAGACTGACGTCCAAAAAGACCTTCGCAAACCGTAAAGCACGCTTCGAACCATTTGCGCGACTCGGAATATTCTTTGAGAGACTGGAGCATAACTGCGGCATTGTTCATGGTTGTAATGGAATCGGGATGATTCGGTCCAAAAATAATTTTCCACAGGTCCAGGGCGTGCCGCACATATTTCAATGCCTGCGTCGTGTTGCCAACGTGGTGTTCGAAGAGCGAGAGATTGAGGTACGCCAAAATTGTATCATGGGAGTCCACTCCCAACGTTCGCTCTGTCACGATGACGGCTTTGCGCGCGAGTTCCACCGCGGCTTCTTTCTCATCGGTTTGATAGTAGATGGTGGATAGAGAATGATACATTTTCGCCACTTCGGGGTGGAGGATCCCATAAATCTGCTCGTGCAGCGACAACGACTCGAGGACCAACTCCTGCCCGAGCTGCTTCTGGTCTTGGGCGAGCGAGATCTTGCCCGCCTCCAAAGCTTCCTCGGCCAGCGCGCTCCTCGGAGCAGCGTCTTTGACGATCGGCGCAATGTTGAGAATGTCTTCGGGAGTGAAGGTCGTGTTAGATTTCGCAACGGCCGTATTATTGCCTGGCGACTGTTCGCCGCCCTTCTTTTTCTTCTTCTTACTCCCATCTTCTTGCGGCGCACCATTATTGGAGTGAGTGTCGCTCCCACTCCGAGCCGGAGAAGCGTCATGAGACAACGGGACCCCCTTGCTGAAGATATATTCACGAGCAGCCAGTTGGACACCAAGCTTCAGGCAAGTTTCTCGCAGAAGTGGCAATGGATGGACCAAGGCCTGCCAATTGTCCTTCAGCTCATATCGATACCGAATTCGAACCTGTTTCTCGATGGCCGCCTGGAGTTCGGTCGGGTTCACCTGCTCAAATGCGAAGTCCCCGTCGGGATACAGAGATCTCAGGTCCTCGTCGATCTCCGGACGCGGGTTTGAATTCACCTCCACACCAAGGAGGCAATTCAAAAGATGTGAGATGCAAGATCCGGCGAACAAGGCGGGCAGATGGCGCAAGTAGCCATTGACAATGTGTTTGAAAGCCCGCGATACCATCTCTTGTAATACCACCGTGGAGAACGCTTGGAGACGACGTCCTTTCTCTTCCGCGGCTCTCGCGAGCCGTCCGAGGTACCTGATGTTGATGCCTCGTTTATGAATCAGCTGGCAGAGGGACCGTCCGTCCATGGGGAAACCCACATCGCCATCGTGAAGTTCCGTGATCAGATCTGGGATGACCTTGTGACGCAAAAACGTACACACGGCGCGGACTTCCTTTTCGTCGGCCGCGAATTCTTCCTTCTCTTCATCCGTCTGGGGGATCTGTCCACTAAACACGTCCGGGTTGAGGGCGAAGTTGAAGTTCGAGATATCGACCCGTTCCTGGTCCAACGCCGGAGCCTCTTTCTGGGGATCGTTCGGACCCTCACTTGGCTGGTCCTCCGTTTTTTCATGTTCGATACCCTCGCCATTGGTCTGGATCTCCTCACCCGGTGCTGATGATTCGGCGTGGCCATGGGACTGTTTCGAGCGACGCTTCTCGACCTCTGCACGGACATACTCTTGCATTTTCAGGCGCCAGTACGTCTCGACGAGTTCCAGTCTCAAGACCGACATCCGGTGCGGATATTTGTCGTCGCCTGCGTCAGATTCGACCTCCTCCGACCACGCCACATCCAGAGGGGTAATACGGTAGAGGTCCAGAACATACTTCCGGCCATCAGTACCCAACAGCCCTTTGGTCTCCACGCTCCCCTCCAAATCGTGTCGTTTGCCTTCCTTGTCCCACACGGCGTGTTTTTTGACGCGCAAAGATTTCGACAGCTTCTCAAAAACGGGGGCAAAGGCCTTGTTCTCCGTCACAATGTCTCGGCCCTCGACGCCACCGTAGTCGATCTGGTGTTCACCGGGTTCTCGTTGCTTAAAGATGCCAGGGACGATACTCTGGCCAACAATACGCTTGCCCAGATAGTCCACCACAACCGTGCCCGGAGTAAATAATCCATTAACATCCAATTGATTGACGGCCCGGACACCCGCGACGTCTTTTCCCACCGCTACTCTGGCGGCTTCGTCACCGCCTTCGCTGGCAAATGTCTGGACACCGTCGGCGCCAAACGAGTAGAAGATATTGTTATAGATGAAGATTTGAGCGTCCTGACCCTCGGTCGGATTCAATGGAGCCACCTCACCTCTTGCCACAAGGACCGCCCCCCGAGCCGCGGCATCATTGTAATCAGCGAAGAGCTTCGACGTAAGGCGCTCGCGAAAAACTCGGTCCTGCAGAGTCTCTCGGGGTAGCTCCCGTGTGGTCTGAAACTCCTCGTTCCAATCCCGAAGATTCTCCGCGCCGTCCGCTCCCCCCATCAAGTATGGCTCCTGTGCCCTTGTCGGATCGGCTTGGTGCTGACTTCCGTGTGCGTAGGACGAGGGCACCAGCCAGGGGTTGGCGGGGATGGCATTTTGGAAGGGGAATGTGGTGAGGAGATCTTTTCGGCCATTGATCTTTTGAAGTTCGACGAAGGTCTCATTGAAAGACGGCGACAACGCCGAGATGAGAGACAGCAAGGAATGGGCGCTATGATTCTTGGGAGCTGGTCTGGGAAATGGATCGAATTTGTTGCTGGAGGATTTGTTGACGTAGAAGCCCGACACCGTGGCGGTGATTTGATGCTGCTCTCCTTCGTTGGTGGTGAGCTGGAGGTACAGCAAATGGCCTCGCTGGCGCAAGTGGTATGGTGGAGGATTCCACGGGGACACAGAGAGACCCTTGATGGTCTTGGGCAACGTGTCGGACTGTGGAGGCAAAATCGCGTCCAAGGGCGGGCGGCCATCGACCTCATAGCCTGCCAGGGGATTGTCTTCGGGCTTGCTGGCGGGAGCTTGAGCAGAGCCAAATTGGTCATCGTGAAGGGACAAACCAGCGCAGATGCCGTGCAACGGATCGGGTCGATCTCCCGTGGCCCCAATGAGCTCCCGTATTCGAATCACATGTAATCTGGCTTCCTTTTCTGTATAGGGGTCCTCGACAAGGACGATTTCGTCGCCCGGCGTGAGATTTTTAACTTCGGAGAGCTCGACAAAATCATTGATCCGTTGGCCGTGGTGCTCGAGATGGAAGCACGTGTACTGGAAGGTGTCGGGAGTCTCGATTATGGACTGGCGGACGTCTTGGACCTGCTCTTGACTTGCGACAATGATTGACTGCTTGTAGGGCTGGTGCGGCAGCTTGACGGACACCTGGAACAGAGCTCCAGCGCCCGGGTCGTCATGATGGAGGTGTTCGTGATCGTGGGGGTGGCCATTGGTGAGAGTGGCACTGGTCTCATCTTGATCCTGAGTATCCGTTACATCTGCCACCGAGTTAGAATAGCATTTCCAAAGCGCAGGATTGGAGTGGCGGGCCTTTGGTTGTCTTCACGTCACCATTGGGATGGGCCATTAGGAAATTTGGAGGAGCAAGAAACAATACTGTACAGGCCAACTGCGAAGTAAAGAGTGGCCAGAGAGAAAGACGAAAGGAATGACGAAGAGATAGTATACAGGACAAGAAGCGATGAGGATGGGAGATTAATGTACAGCGAAAGAAGACGATGGGGGCTGTGAGAAGAAATTTGGTATGAGTCGGAAAGAGTATGAGAATCAACAAAGAGGTAATTTTTTTTTCGGCTGGACAAGGATAGAGATCGGCCTAAACCGCGAAGCCGCAGTTTCTGCCGATTTATTACCGCCACGCTCCATAATCGGATTCAACCGAAATCATTTCATACTCAAATTGTGACGACGTCGTCCTATTGAGGGGAGAAGGGATCTGTTCACTAAGCGTTTCTTATTCCTGACGTACTCAGCCTTATCCATATGCCCCTTTCCCATGTGGTTGGGTGTCCGGCGTTTTGCATATCGTGTCCTCCCATGTATGTTTTTCATTCCACCCGGTCCTTTTCCCTTTCTTCAGATAATTCGGCACCTTGAAGAAGGCAACGTCAAGTCAAATGCATAATTCCAAATCGGTCAATCACTCGGCCCACCAACCCAATCCAACACCACGCCGACCACGATAACTCCGAGCGCCCAAACGCCTGCATATCCCAGTGCGCCATAGAATTCGACACCGGCAATGGTCGCCCACAGCTGTAACGCGCACTCCGTGAGCATCAAACCCATCAGCAAGGCCGTCCGTCCAATCAACTCTTTCTGCCGCGCCGAGTACCAGCCCCAGGCATTGTAATAAACATGTTGAGCAAAGCTGGCGGTGACGGGATCAAACGGCGGGGGTACAGCGGTGTTCGGTACGGCGGTGGACGGCGCGAAGAGGAAGGTCATGCATGCGACTCCTGCCGGGATCAGCGCCAGGAGCAACGTGGGCAGGCCGGATGCGCCGAGGTGTGCTGGCTCTAAGGTGTGCAGGCCCGTAAAATGTGTGACTAGCCATTGCGGGAGGAATGTCGCGAAACTGGCTTCTAGAAGCACGGCGAAGATGGCCGTGGCAAGCAGTGATGTCGCGATCGTTGTGTAGTGGTCCATCAAGATGGAGCGGTTCCGCACGCTCGACTTGGCCGCGGACCCCGGTGCATGTGAGGGCGAGAGCGGGCGGAGGAATACGTATGGTATGGAGTTGGCGAGGAGGGACGACAAATTCGTAGTCAGCAGTGTCAGAGGACTGATCTTGTAAAAGAGACCCAGTAAGATTGATGTCGGTGTCGAAAGAAGGAGGGAGACACCGGCGACGTCGTACGCTGTCGAAGGGGTTAGCCAACATTCCCTGTTCAGACCATGCGAGTAGTGTACCGTCAAAGTTGATGAGCCAACATAGGCTCAACTTCGCAACCTTCCATCCCAGTAGTCCCAGGATTTCCAGCCACGTGTCCGGCCGTTTTGATATCGCAGCCAAATCTCCAGTCCCGATTGTTGACGCCGCCGTCTGCAATCCTGCTTCCAGCACGGTGCTCAATACTACTGCAACCGCCAACTTCGCCGGTTCAAGTTGCCTTCGAGGAGGTTCAACGCGCTTGGGAATCACCGCGGCGGGAAATCCGGGCAGGGATGCCGTTGATCGCGAACGCGATTTGCGTGTCGTAACGGGTGATGCTGATTTCGAGCCAGAAGTCGCAGGTGCGAGCATGCCACCGTTGATCGCATCGGCAGCGGTGTTTGCGACAGTACTGGAGGTGATGCTGACCGACGTCGAGTGCCGGTCTCGCGGAGCCATGGTGGGGTTCTCTGGTGCAGCGAGATGAGAGATACTCGGCTCGTGCTCCGGGTGCACGAGGGTCGTGGCGAGTTCGAGGAGGTCACCGAGCATCAAGACTGTGTGTCTGGGACGATTTGACGATGCGGGTGAGGTTGGCGAAAGGGAGGGGGAATATGCGCTGAACGTGGATTGGGAAATAATGGTGGCTGGAGTCAGAAGAGAGCCAGAAAGCAAAGGCTGTTACCGTCGCTGTCGCGATCGTGACGTGATTGGCCAGGGTCAGGCAACAGAACGAGTCTGACAGAGATGGAGCCACCCAGTTTGGTGTGAGCAGCCTCTCGTCAGACGGCCCCGTTTTTCCCATATAAGTTTTGGCTGGTCAGGACGGATTGATGGAGGTACCTAGATACAAGGCTATAGATCTGATTATATGGTGGAAACCAAAGGGTGATGGCTATTCAAACTTCATTCGTAATGACAGTTGAAGACGAGTCGTCAATTTCACTCACGACCCCAATCATGGAAGAACGCTCGCGTATCCCAGTGACCAAAAACCAATACCAAATGCCACGACCATTACTTGGAAATACTTTCTTCCAATCCAACTCATTGTTTGAGGACAAAAGCTCTCTGCCCTGGTGACCTTTCTCCCAGTTTCCCGGCCAGAGCATATACATCAAGAAATTCTGTGGACCTAATGCGGGATTTGTCAATGCCTCACGTCCAAGTCAAAGATCAAGTACAATGCCATTGTATGGACAATCGATGCATCAAGTATATACACAGCGTCGCGTTAACTCTCGGTCTCATACCAGGATCCAACACATCAGGATTTCGGCAAACGTTTCCAAAGCACATCTCCGTCACGGGCTCTCAAGGGCAGCAGATCCAATTCCATAACGGATTGGATTGAAGAACCGTCAGGTCAACGTCAGCGCAACACTGTACTGGTTTCCGATAACCCCCTCCGCAACCATCAAGATTCCAAATTTCCAATCTACTCAACACCAAAAGCTGAATTTCTCAGCGTCTTGACTCGCATTGCACCGTTTCGAGGAGCACACCCGGCTTCGAATGACTTGCCAAGCAGCTGCAGAGCGGTGGATAGATCTTTTCCTCACAACCCAATTGAACCCGACACCAAAGATCCAAGCGTCTTTTCCAGTTGCAATAAATTTATCTGTATCCAGTGCATGTAGCAGGCACAGCAATATTGAGATCACCATAAAAGTCCGGAAACTGAGATATACTACTGTCGTCCTCGCAGTGGTGACATCTTCAAAGGTAGTGAATGGATCTGGTCTCGGGAGGTGTGAGTGCAGCTTTGCTGGCAGAGAGAACATCGACCACCAGTCATACTCCGACTGGCCGTGTATGTGTTGCAGATCCTCATATTGCCGCGTCCTTAATATGAAAGCACGGAACAATCTGAAGAATCTCGAAGAGAACGAACCAATCCTGGCCAGGGAAATCGAAAGAAGACGGATCTCCAACCCCACAAAAAGTCGAAACATGGGTCCTGGCTGCGATCGATCGTATCGACAGGTGCTTGCATCGTATCCGGTCAGAGGCAATGAGAATCATCGTCGGCGACGTGGCACGGTCCGACAGTGCATGGTCTGACTCGAACAGCGGGCCGTGATCGCCAAGGTAGGTTGGGAAAAAGTTTTGGGGAGGGCATTGACAAGTGACATGGGTCGTCCCGGTTGTGACATATTACAGCAACCTTAATCATCGTCTTCCTCGGGTGGCTTGTCCGGACGGACTCTCATCTCGATGAAACCAGTCTCCCTACCCCGAGAATCCTTGGTCACAAATGCATATTTGCCCCGCTGTTCCCCCTTTTGTTCAATCCATAAATCTTTGAAGGTAAGTTCCTTTGTTCTGTTAACGCTCTCAATAGCCGAGATTCGGTCAAGGGTGGCCTCCAGATATTCGGCAAAGCCTTCTTCCGCGCAGATCTCTTTAAATGCATTCATCATGGGTACGCTGTCGGCGCGGACCATGGCAGAACTGTCAATCGTGAAGATGTTGTCATGGTCGTAACTCTGGATAAAGTCGGCTCTGGTCATGATCTGCCGAGCTATGTAGAGAGGAATTTGCGGCAAAATGTGTCCCTTTTCATCGTCGTAATTCGATTCCATCTCCTTGTCTCGGTCGACGAGTGCTTTGGCCAGCACCATTGCTGCGCTGGCATACTTTTGTTGATCCATCACGTCATCATCCATGTCCTCCCCGAGTATACCACACTTGTTCAAGAACCAGGTCTTTTCTGATTCATTGATTTGATGACACATTTTGAGCATGTCGGAGCTCTTGGCCACCCGGTTAAGAAAGTTCAGTCGGCCACCCACCAAATCATATACTTGCTTCAATATCTCCGGATCTCGCTTCTGCTCAGGGAAATATTTTGCTCGGTAACGGTTCAGAGCGGCAATGGCGCGGCCCTTGGGTAGGTCGAGGATAGGAATGACTTCCATTCTTGTGGCGTAACGTTTCAAGCGTTCATAGACCCAGTAGTCGTCAGAATTGAATATCATGGTGACCAGGTTGGCCGCCGCCCATTGCTCAGCGCGTTGTTGCATCAGTTCGATTAAATCATTGCCATCTTCGTCGTCTCGAATCAAATGCGCACAATTGATAATGACGATCAGCGGCCCTTTGCGTCCAGTCTTTCTCTTTCGCGATTTGTTGCGGTGAGCCAAGGCTATCTTTTCCAGCTTGTTGAAGGCACGTTCGATGTCAAGCAAAGCGGTGGTGTCTCGAGGGCCACGAATGGAAAAGAGAGAGCCAATGTAGTCTTCATGAAACTCGTAATTGAGTGCTTTGCCTAGGCGGATGCGGAAAATTTCCAAGTCCGCATGAGCCTCAAACATTGACACGCCCTCGCCGTCAGTTTTTCGCATCGCTTCGAGTATCATGGAAGACTTGCCGGTTCCCTTTTCGCCCACAAGGAGATAATATCTGCCTTTGGATTCACCGCTGATGATGGCGTCGATTTTGGCCTGCTCGGGTCTGTCTATCCAATTTTCGGTCCCATCGGCGGACTGATCCACAGGAGGAATATGGGGTCCCGGAGGCGAGGCCAGATCGAGCATAGGGTCTCCAGGAGCAAAGGCCTTTTCGATCTTGCGCAAGACAAGCGACTTGTAGTAAAGGTGATAGGAGTATCCGGCCAGGCCGAGGACGGCAATGGAGGCAAAGGTGGTGGCAGCAGTCTCAAAGACCTTGAACATGGTCGGCCCAAAGCGAGAGGTGCTTTCCTTATCCGATTGGGGATCCTTTGGCGGATCATCTTCATCGGGTTCTGTTCCGGGTATTGTGCTCGTCCGACCAATTTGCGACGAGGCATAACGTGTCGATCGAAGAGGGGCGCTGATGCGACCTCTTAAGAGCCCTGGACCAACTCGAGCTCTGGCTAACATCCATCCTTGCAGGGCTTTCATGATTGATCGTATGCACAAGCTTCGGCAAAGCACGGCGACTCCAGGATAGTATTGTTCAGAGGAGACCTGAAATCGGGGTGGCACCCTGGGCAAAACAGGTGTGGAGGGGGAAAAAAAAAAAAGAGGAAAGAAAGAAAGAGATAAAAGGGTAATAGCGAAAAACGAGTGCTGGAAGTGAACCGATAGACTATGGCAAAGGAATGACTACATCAAAATTGATGATCCTACCGTAGTATTACAATGTTGACGGTGGAAAAAAATTAAGGGGATGAAGGAGCAAACTCCGTGTCACGGGGGCGCCATTGACCTTAAGACAAACATGCCAAGCCAACCAGCTTGGCACCTTTCAAAACGCCTTGCGAGGAGAGTCCGATGTTATATTGACTGCCTCGCTGTCGTGTAGATCATGGCCTCGCTCCCGCGCCTTCATATCATTACGATTCCACTCTGAGGCACTCTCACAGGAGACCAATTCGGGGCGCGTGACGGTTGAAAGATATGTATTGCAATGGGTACGGCATGGATTTTGCTCATTCCTATAGATTATCATTACTTCTGATAGATTCGGAAGATGAGAATATTCATTGCGGAGGCAGTCTGCTATGGCAACGTCAATACTCCCCAGTCCTCCGCAAAACTCATTGGGGCCTTCGTTGATGTCATGAACGGAGGCCTCGGAAGTGGGCAGCTTGGATTGGGGGTCTATTTTGGAGTTCGATGATTCTCTCGTTAGTGATTTGCTGAGATCCTTTGGTGGGCATGTCATCAAGCGCACGAAAAGGGTGAGTGGAGCTGTGGACAAGTAGTAGTATCGGACAAACCATTTATGTTGACCTTGCCCGGACGACAATCGACTTGGCAGATCTCAGTCCTCCAAAGTCGATACAAAATGGAAACATTGTAGAAAACATTTGTCCAGATCAGTACTATTTGCTCTGCGACGTCGATGCACATTCTCAGACACTGTTTGATGCTACTCATCTCCTCCATTATTCTTGTTTGGTTGGGGACGCTGGGCGGTGTTTAGTGGTGGTGTTCTATTATTGTAGTTCACATGAACAGTGCTTGGTAGTGATAGAGAACGAATCTCCATCACAAGCGGATGCGACCGATGATGGCCAGCGATGCGTCCAACCGAGGCTGCTGTTTCTTCTTCTCTGGAGGTTATTTCGTAGGCGCAATCAACCCAGATTTTGAGAAGAGGCGTAAGTCCCTCTTCTCCGGGTCTGCTTCAGCCAACCGTAATCTCCGGCTACCAGCGCTTTCAAAGCATCCTTCGGAGATATGGACATATTTTGTAAAAGTGCAGAAGGGGGAGTCCTGCAATATCAACCAAAGCGGCGAGGGCATTTCTACGTACTACAGCGTAGACCACGTGACTATGAAAATGACTTTGCCCTGATTGGTTGGAACATTTACGCAATTCTAGCTGCATCCACCAATTGACATCACCGTACTTACCACGTCGATGACGAGGCTATAGATTGGCCCAGACTAGAATTCAATGTGCTCAAGGCAAGGCAATGTCTCAGCCTCTGAAAGCCTAGAAACTAGCGGCAAAGCAAAGGGGTCCCCATAGATTCTCCGTAAAACAACATGAGGTACGAGCTACAGCGCCCTCAGAGCGCTCAACTTGATAACATATTGTATAATGAACAGGACCAAATTTGACAAAAATACAAGACAGGTGAATTTGAATTCTTCAAATTCTGTTTCACAATCACAACACTCCGAAGCCAAGTCTGGTCGTACATGGGCCGACTGAACCATCTTGCCCGTCAAAACAGTTACGATCAAAGCCCGGCATTTGTGAAGCCTACAACTACTCTCTCTTCATCCGGACAGCTGGTTGAGACATGCATGTCGCATACAATTCTGTCTTGTTCCTATGCAACTACATCCGAGTCGAATCAACCCCCTACCTTTCCAGAAAGTTGGGAGCCCGAAGTATTGGACCCGGTGCTGCATCACAACCATCTTCCTTATCCTCGTCGATTGTCATAGTTAGAGTCATCAATCTCGTTGTCGTGCAAACCCGAATCTCGGATCAATCCAACCGTGCTATCCTTTGCGCTCTTCAAAATAGATCCTCCGTGTAAAATGACCTTCCTATGCCATGCTTACCAAGGGTTCCATTCATGTCCAATTTCCAACCCTTCAACGACCAAGCGAGGAGGACCGATATACTCTTTTAAGAGGTTTCAGTGTTCCTTCGTTCACGAGTTCGGCTCCGGCCCTTCATGCTCTTGACTCGACTGAGGAAGCCCCCTGCAGAGGTTCCAGTCTTGCCTTCTTCGCCAGTGGCGCTCTCTGCCGTCAATCTCCTTTCCGGTCCAAAGCCACGTTTGGGGCTGCTCGGGGCTCGAGATCGACCAGCTTTTTGCTGTTCCTCCGCAAATGCAATCTGGGCACCTTTCTTCTCGTATTCTTTGTCGTAGTCCTTGAAGAATGGGTTGGTGTTATTTTGCTCCGATTTGCTTGTGCCCAGGGGGCTAGTCGGAGTGACCGTCGGTTCAGGAGAGGTCATCCGTCCTCCTTCACCGATTTTAGGACGGACAGACTTGATTCTCTGTGCCAAACTCTTCTTGCGCGACAGTCCAGCCGCATTGGCTTGCTGAATGGCCTCTACTTCAATTTCTCGACGTTGGATTGCAGCTCGGCTGGCTGGAGTCCCCTCTAGAAATGTGCTCGTACCAAGGCCGGCAGTCTCGTCGCCATGAACCGGTTCAGTTCGAGTGGTGGGGTTGAACCCAGCACTTCTTTCAGGCTGTGGTCGACGGAAATAATCCGCGTCGTCGTCCACAACGGCGGCTTCATTATAGTCGACGTGTGCCTCTTGCCCGGTTCCGTTGTATTGATCCAGGTTGAGTTTGGAATTAAGTGGGCCTGAGCCGCCAAGCTGCATGTTTACTGAATCTTTCGGGAACGCTTGCATCGGGGCCTGCTTGGAACCTTTACGGTTACGATGTGGGTTGCACGCATCGAAGGGGCCGTCATGATGGAACACTGACAATGTCAGGAAAAATTCACTTCAAATGAGACGAGGGGACCGCAATTTCAACTCACATCCCGTGCCATAGATGCTCGTGACATCCAGTTTATCGATTACATCCAACTTTGCACTGGGTTTCTTTGATCGGTGTGAGCTTCTTCCTTCCCGAAGTCTTCTTTCCCTTCGTCTCTTTTCAGCTTCAGGATCCATATCCTTTGGTTTCTCACGAATAGAAGACTCCGAGTTACGTCGATGAGGACGTCTGTTACGGGGGCGATTCATTTCAGGGGGGTCCGCAAAGATGTCAAGTTCATTCGATGGACCTCGACCCTTAGGTTGCTGTCGTCGACGGTCTTCATCCGAGTTGCTGGGTCGATGGCGGTTGGGAGGGCCTCGTGGAAATGGCCGAGGTGCACCGTTTGCCTGAGGGTTCTGAGGCCCTTTCGAAGAATCATTGATGTTCAGGCTTCCCTATTTAATTGTCAACGTGAATTCACACGAGAAGATTCCACGTTTCTTACAAATATGTCGGCAGCTTGATCTGTGATGCTCGATGGGCTTGCTGCACTTTCAGCGGTAGGCGACGTCCTGGTAGTCCCATCTGGCAATATCATCTCACTTGCATCCAGAAATGGATTGGTCGAAACCGGTCTGATAGGCGCGAGCGGAGGGCTGGTGGCATGATCGGAGACCCGATTTCGGAAGGGATTGTTCGAAGCAAGAGAAGGGCCTCGGTCTGCCAAACAGAGGTCAGTCGTATCGCTTGAAGCAAATAGATATTGCGTGAAGAGGAGATGCTGGTGGGAGACAAGTGTAGGCCATAAATAGCAGCATAGACAAAACAAGAGGAAACCACGAGGATATCAAGAACAGCGTTGGGACGTACCGGCCAACGGCGCAGCTTGAGCCATTGGTGCTCAGCAAGAATCTGGGTTCCGGTGGCAATTCGGAGGAGAGAACGGGGCAATGCACTGATGAAAATGTTGCCTGTCGAAAGAATCACTCAAGGGTTGGGGTCGGCGAGTCGTGGACGATGTGTAGAAGATTGAATTGATTTTAGTCCGGGGATGGATTGACAGGATGGTGATTCTGAGCAACCCCTATACGGTGAGAAACAATCATATGAATGCGGGCCACAGTTATGCGCCAGATAACCAATGCGCGCAGTGAGGATATCGCCGCTTGAGCCAGAAGATACAAGCGTAGGATATGCTTCGATGTTCTCGATTTCGTCAGAAGAGGTGAAGAGGAAGATGGGATGATCTTTTTTGAGGGCGAGTGGAAGTAGTTCTTGGTGACCAGGAGGTATAGTTACTAATAGCCGGCGCAGTGGCCCAAGAAGAGGACGTGAACGGCCGGCGCAGGTACAGCCAAATGGAAATTGGGGGGCGGAGAAGAGGCGTCACGCCAGTTCACGTTGTAGATAGTACGCAAGCTTGGGGAACTGCAGCCAGCTCCCACTTCAAATTCAACCGGGCTTTATGTCCAACTTTGCTCATATCCTGTACACTTTCAGGCACGCACCAGGCAGAGGGCCGGGTCCCCCTTTTGTCGTCTGAAATTTTATTCCTCCTCACCTTTGGGCACTCGAAACTAAAAAGCTCACTGGAACAACTCACTCCACGGCACAGCCTCCTCGTCTGTTCCTCATTCCACCCATTGAGAACCTTGAACCTCCCTCTGGCCACCCTCTTCTCTCTGAAACACCACCAGCGAGTAAGCTATCGAGCTATGTGCAAGACATCATTACATCTGACTCTATCCAGACACCTGTCGCTTCACGCCTTTATCGGCATCCATTCAATAGCAACAGCTTACTGGCTCTCAATGCACGCATTGTCAATTCACCTGGTTGGCAACAAAACCCAACCTTTTAGTAAAGTCCCTGACAGACGATCCACCAATTCTCCGGCCCTGGACCCCTTCAAACTCAAACCCTGACGCGAACTCGCCCCCGGCCCCTTGGTACGCTGCATTTTTGACTTTGGTTCACTTGGTCTCATGAACGTGCGATCGAGGGTTATTCACGGCCTCGAAAATCACTTTCTTTCAACAGCTCTCGGAAATCCGAATGACGGGCTCGTCATTTCCTCTTTCTAAATTGATCGACTACTGGAAGTGTGTCTGTCATATGTGCCAAGCCGCCTGTGAACGTTAAGTCGAACATTTGGGGTGCACCAGATTCTTGGCGGGGCTAACGACACACGTTTCCGCCGGAAACATAGTGACCCCGCGCCACTTTTTTCCTCCTCGGCGAGAAAACCCATCCATCATCTGCTGGCGTTGTAAGGGATTCAACTGCGAACGGCTAGAAATCGTCATCATGGATGCCACAAAACCTCCAATCCCACTTTCATATCGGTTCACCCTTGAGCTCGAGTTCGTTTTATGCCTGTCGAATCCTCAATATCTTCAATATCTGGCGATGAACTACCCTCATCTTCTCAACAAACCCACAGCTTCTCACGGTTCCGCCGATATTGAAGACGGTGATGCCGCTCGCTTTGCCCGGTACCTCAAATATCTCTACGAATATTGGCGAACACCAGCTTATGTCAAATATCTTACCCATCCCGGCGCGACGCTACGGAATCTAGAACTACTTCAACAAGAACCATTCCGGAGAGATCTTATCAGACCAGACGTGATTGGGCAGCTGTTTGAAACCGATACTGCGCAACAACCTCAGACTGATGGTGTAGAAAGAAATCCACCATTTCGGCAAGGCCCTGCAGATGACTCTAGTCACGGTAGCGGCTGATCGGCGAGCCCATGTCCCAACATCTTCTGTCGCCAGTCACTTCAACCACACAAGTTCGACTTCACTTTCAAGCTTACGCAACGCAGGGGTGTAGCGTCGATGTTGTGCGGTATCGAGACCGACAAATAATGTGCTATGTTGAAACAGATGTTGCCGCATGTTGAGACCTGAACACGGCCAGAGTTGACGAGTCCACTCCTTCCTTGGGAGGAATTGCGCAACGCCAAACATGTTGCTTACGCAAGTTGGGCACAGAATGGGTTCCTAAAACATCCGCAGTTGCCCATGCAAAGAAGTTTCGGCCAAGATGACCGAACTCGGAATAACACAACGAACTACAATTCATTGCATACAAAATTCGGTGCCCCAACGTCTTCATCTGACGCTCCAGAAGAGGTCTTTGCTACGAGCCATTATCAATCTCGACAGATGTCGCCAATCGTCAATACGGTGTATGACTTTGGTGACTAACACTACTTTGGCCAAGTTGGGAAATTTGGAAATAAATCTTCACCAGGCAGAACCAAATGATCTGTCTTTGCTATGTGGCCAGTCCTTGCATTTGTGAGCAAGACTGGTGCGGCCTTCAGCATCCTGGAGTTATGGGCATAACTCCTGTTAGCGTGTTAGCTGGATATAATGCCGATCTGAGCCCGACCAATTCGAGATCTAATCAAGTCTTCGACTGTGATGTTGATGCACTCATTGCTCGGTAGGTCATTAGTGATTTCAAAATGGCAGGCTACGGAACATTGGCGGTCGCCTCGAAAGGTCCTGTCGTCCCTGTTGTGTTCAACAACCTTCCAATCAACGTCTTGGACTGTAGAGTCGTCTCGAACCTGCATGCATTCCTGAGGATTCAAGGCTGTTATATTCTCCCGAAGATCTTCTTTACCCATTACAATCTGCAATATCATCAGCACTTCCATCCCCAGTATCACCGTCGCAAGATCCTCAAGAGATGACCGCAAAATATGTGGAAATCGCACGCATGATGTCCAGTATGGGCGTGATCTTCATTACAGAGATGGCCGCGCAGCCACCTGGTGCAGGGAAATGGGGGTCTTGCTCCAAATGGATATGCGCTTTGCTGGTCCCGGACCAAGTTGGGCAGCCTTGAAGTTGGGCTGGGTTCATTGCATGATGGTAGCGGAAGTCAATATATCACCAAACCGATGGGGCGCGGCAGAACTCTCGAATATCTTCTGTCCGCCAATTCTAGTTGACGCAGAGACAGCCGAACACATGGGATGGCCCAATAAAGCATTTCCTTCGGTAGAAGAGATGAATAGTCACGTCGACAAGCGCGCAGAACGGATTGCTACCTTCTCGACGGCTATCTTAGCAGCCACGAAAGACTTGGTGAATGAGCAAACGCCTGCAGTGGAGGCACGTGATCGAGATCTTGCCATCCAGAGTCCCAGAGGACCCTGACAAAGTTCTTGGGGCAGGACAATGACCAGCAGGACGGTACCCGGCAGGATGGGCTGAGCGATAATCTGGTCAAGTTGTGACAGTAGTTGTCAATGAGGGAAACAATCTGTAGGTTATATGCTTACCTGATAGGATTCATGATTCCGCTATTTGATACTTCCGTCTCCCATCACAATCCTTCTCCTGAACGCACTTCTGATTTCTAGGGATCGATGGTGAGGTACATTTTACTACATCCCACTTCGCTCAGGACGATGGGGAGGATCAGTGCCATGAAAGTCCGTCTTGTCAAAATTGTCATTAGGACTGACGCGCCCACCACATCCTGAGCGTCGCTGGTTGGTTCTCTCAATGCGAGGTACCGGGCAACCAGCTCGGCGATGCAGGTACCACGGCGCCGTAGAGGCCTGATTGCCACGAGACTCTTCGATTGGAGATAATAGCAATGTTGACTAACGGAAGAAACCTTTCATAATGGAGGAAGCTCACCAGGAGAAGTGATTTCCTCAAATTGGCCTCTAAACCTTCTTATCCAATCAATTAATCGCATGAAAGGGTTTTCTTACTGCGTTAAGGGTGTCGCCGGATGTCAAGGAGCCGAGGTGGTTCACGGTATGGCTGACAAGAAGCTAGCTCTCCTCCATGGTACCGGCCCCCCTGCACACCTTCACTCCTTCGTGTCGTAATGCGATCAGAGCTGTTTCACTTTCGAGGGCCAGATCAACAAAGCGTATTTCAATTTAACTAGGCTTCTCGCTGATCCCCCGACTTCTTCTCTTCTGTGGATGCTCACCCACTATTCGCCTCCCGCTCCACAGACAACGCGCCAACTAACCTCTTCGTGATACACCATATCGAAGTTTACGGCTCTGCTGGTTTGTGACGGACCTGGAGGATCCCGGCTGGGTCTTGTAAAAGAGCACAGAAGATCCATTAGAGTCTCCACCGGACGGAAAAAGAGTAATATTGTTGCGCACAAGGGAGTTCTCGACTGTCGACTTAGAAAATAAGTTGACGAAGATATTTCGATCGCAAACCGCGCCGTGGTACAAGCAAACGCAGGCACGTGATCCCATCCGGAAGATATCTAAACACCTCTTGAGGCGATCTCAACAGACGTTTTGATTTCCGTGACACCGAGAACTCATCTCCCGTAATGGTCTCAACAAGGCATCATCCACGTCCGTTCCCCGAGCCTGCGACGCCCACCCCATCCTCAAGACCTAATGCGGCAGACTCGGTCCCTAAATCCTCGATGACCGTGTCTCTGCCGAGCCCTCGCAGACACCGATTGAATCGATCCTCAACAGCGAAACAAGCGCCCTCATCACGCAGCGCCTATGCGCATAAAATTCCTCCCCTGCTCATAATATGGCTGTGCGTTTCTCTTCCACTGGTGCTGTGGGATACGGGGTACGTCTTTCTTCGGCCGCACTCGATGCCGGGCGGAAAGCTGCACTGGCCATTATGGGTCCCGTACAGTGTTTATTGCACAGTGGATTACACATACGGCTGGCCGGCATACAACGGGCATGTCGGGTTCACAGCAGCACAGGCAACCTTGAATGCCGTCGAGACAGCCATGTATATCTACTATTGGACAATCATTGTCAGCAATGCCGACGAGGGGTTTTTTAGCTTTGTCGATATGAATGAGTTCTTGACAGGGTCTAGCGATAGGGCCGTCAGTGGGCCGGGCGTGGGGACCGCTGTCGTTGTCCTGTTTTCTGCGGCAGTGATGACGCTGAGCAAAACCGTACTATACTGTGAGATACTTCCTCCTTCTTGGCGAGGCATTCCATCTCATCCTAGATGTGAAATACTAACAGCAAGGTCCAACCAGGGCTTAACGAGTATTTTTCGAATTTTGTCAATATCGGGCACAACACAGTAGCCAACTTGATCTGGTTGTGGGTGATTCCAAATGGCCTCTGGCTCGTCTTCCCAATCTACATGATATATGTGCTTGGAAGAGAAATCGTTTCACACATGGATGGCTCTGGACATGAGAAAGAGGAATGAATCAACGGCAAGAACGAAAAGAAGGTGCATGAAGATAGCTGTCGGTTCTGGTCAGTTTGGCGTTCCCATGCCCATGCCCACGCCGCAGGACGATGCGCAGTGCTCCGAGGGTCTTCCGGTTCAACCTTGGGCCGGGCGGACGATCTTTGACATGTTCTATCGGAGAATTCGAATTGTGCCAAGTCAAGACCGCGCGGAGTGCCGGGGAACTAAATTCGAAAGAAAACAGATCACCAACTCGTGCTGAGATGGGGAAGCCGAGGTTATTCTGTCAATGACTGCTCCCAACATGCTTTGGGTTGCAGCGCTGGAAATAGCCTGCTTGGAATTGGACCGGATATGATCTGAGAAGAGAAGGGCCATGTGCAAAATCAAGTGCAGGTTGCCGATACCCTCCCTCGAATGATACGTCAAGGCTAGTGAAGGCTGTCTCTTGAACCCCGACAGGAGAGACAGGTTGGCAGGGGTTCAACGGCGGGGAAGGGTCGTGGCAATGGCAAAGGAGGCCCTCGGGTTCGCCTTCGAGCGCAGAGAGTGGTGTGAGAGCAGATCTAGATCAGAGAGTTGCATACATGTAAAGATGAATGAATACTACTTCCGTCCTCCGAATAGGGTTACAGCCGACCTCGAGAATGGAAGATGTGATTTGCCGGTGAATGCGTATGTCCGGGATTGTTGTAGGCGGAGGTGGAGAGTAGGAGATGAGAGGTATGAGTTGGACAAATAGGGAGAATGTCGGGTAAAGGACCTTGACGGGTGATGCGAGGAGGACAAGGATGAAGGCAAGTGCTTGGGCACAATCAAAAAAGGCCTTGAAGGGACAAAGTTAAGGAAACCTTGGGAAGATCGGGGGACCAAAGCAGCAGGCTATAGGCGGAGGATTGCCCCCGAAGGAGCCGCGCGGAAGGCTTGGTGAGCACACTTCCAGCATAAACCCCGGATGACCGATTGCTTATTGCAATCAATACTACCTCCGGTTAGTACCTGCCACTCACCTGCCAATACGGAATTGCGGGGTATAACAAGAATGGCATAGAGGAGAGAGGAAATGCTGCCTAGGACCTGGGCCTAGAAATCGCCAGAAACATACCTAGCGAGGCCGAAGGACTGTACCTTGCTTGCTTACCCAGGTGGTGACGGCAATGTCAATAGGCGGTGCTCGAGCCCATGCAGCTCCTCTCTCATCTCAACTCTTTCTCCTCCTCCAATCATGAATGCAACATCAGGCAGCATCTCTAATTTCCGCATCTTGTGCACCTGATTTAAAAAATTTCTGGGGCTTTTCAATGGAGCCATGAAGCAATAGAATCATCATTCAAATACCCCCCTCGGTCTCGTTTGATTCCATTCACTCAACTCACTATTCGGTGACTCGCTTCCTCTCACCAACTTATTCGCCTACTCAAATCACCCAACCATTCTCCTGTTCTCTCCTACGAACTCGGTCATACGACATTCCGCACCTCGTCCACTCCGCGGTTGTCTGGAGATCAGCCTAAAAAGAAACCTTATCATCGATGTGGCTGCACACCCCGGCTGTGGCGGCGTTGGCCGCTCTTCCCCATGTCCTGTCCAGCGTGAGTTTCAGACTACTTTTCAGCCTTCTTGAGGGGAGCCCCTGGCCCAGCCCTGTCACTTGAATGTTCCTCTGTTTTTATGTGCTCAATACTACTTTGCAAATTCCCCCATACTTACAACCCGTCTTGAAGCCTGTCGACTCTCCAGAGGCCATTCACAGACGACAAGCCGCTCAGCCATTTAATAATGACTACGATGGCCCCATGTGGACCTCTCCACCAAGTTACCCCTCGCCCTGGGGTTCTGGAGCTGGTGACTGGGGTGCTGCATACGAGAAAGCCCGCGCTTTTGTGAGCCAACTGACTCTGCTGGAAAAAGTCAACCTCACAACTGGTGTTGGGTGAGTTTCAGAAGGTTCCGCTGAAGGCTACATTGGATAACTGATTTGTTTTCTCTTCAGCTGGGAGTCAGATCGATGTGTGGGAAATGTTGGGGCAATTCCCCGTATTGGATTCCCCAGTCTGTGTATGCAAGACGGGCCGTTGGGTGTCAGAAATGGTAAGTTGACCTTCCGGGGGCCCCCTTTCTTCTGCCGGGGGATCTCCGTGCTGAATAGAAACCAGCCGACTATGTTTCTGCTTTCCCCGCCGGTCTAAATGTCGCTGCAACTTGGGATCGCAACTTGGCCAGGATTCGTGGACAGGCCATGGGTGAAGAACACAGAGCGAAAGGCGTTGATGTCCAGCTAGGTCCGGTCTGTGGCCCTCTTGGTCGATCTCCCGAAGGGGGAAGAAATTGGGTAAGTGGATGTCTCGCATATGCTGGTTCCTCTCACACAAAGTTAACCGGGACCATAGGAAGGGTTTAGCCCCGATCCGTATTTGACTGGTGCACTCATCGGTCCGACCATCCAGGGTATTCAAACCGCAGGCGTTATGGCTTGCACCAAGCATTACGTCGGTAACGAACAAGAACACTTCCGCCAGGTTGGGGAATCCCAAGACTATGGCTGGAACATTACCGCCGCTCTCAGTTCCAATATCGATGACAAGACCATGCATGAACTTTACTTGTGGCCTTTCGCTGACGCCGTTCGAGCGGGGACCGCATCCGGTAGGTGCCTCGTGGCGACAGACGCCCCGATCAAGAGACTGACAAATCATCTAGTCATGTGCTCCTACGAACAGATCAATAACTCTTATGGTTGCGCAAACTCATACACCATGAACCATCTCCTCAAGAACGAGCTCAATTTCCAAGGTTTCATCATGTCCGATTGGCAAGCTCAACACTCCGGAGTCGGTACAGCCTTGGCCGGGCTCGATATGACTATGCCTGGCGACACCCTGTTTAGCACTGGCTATACCTACTGGGGCACCAACTTGACGATCGCCGTCATCAATGGCACCATCCCAGAATGGCGAATTGACGACATGGCGACCAGAATTATGGCTGCTTATTTCTATGTTGGCCGTGACACGAACTACGTCCCCACCAATTTCTACTCTTGGAGCCGAAATACCTATGACAAGATTCATGCCGCAGATCCAAATTCACCCGTGGGACTTGTGAACGAGCATGTCAACGTCCAAGATGAGCACCGAAATGTTATCCGACAGGTTGGCCAAGCCTCAAATGTTCTTCTGAAAAACACGGGTGGGCTACCCCTGACCGGCCAGGAGAAGCAAGTGGGCATTTTCGGATATGATGCTGGTAGCAATCCTTGGGGCGCCAATGGCTGTCCCAATCGCGAGTGTAACAACGGTACTTTGGCCATGGGCTACGGCAGCGGAACCGCTGAGTTCCCTTACTTGGTCACACCCGAACAAGCCATACAACAATACGTCTTGACCCAAACCGACGGTGAAGTGTTTGCCATTCTCCACAATTACGCCGACACTCAGATACAAAGTCTTGCATCTCAAGCCGACGTCGCTCTTGTTTTCGCCAATGCTGATTCAGGAGAAGGATTCATCACCATTGACGGCAACACGGGCGACCGAAATAATTTGTCCCTCTGGGAAGGAGCAGATCGTTTGATCAACAATGTCACCAAATACAACCCGAACACGATCGTTGTCCTCCACACGGTTGGTCCGGTCAACGTTTCAGCCTGGTACGACAATGAAAACGTCACCGGTATTATCTGGGCCGGTCTTCCCGGTCAGGAGAGTGGAAATGCGATTGTTGACGCCCTCTACGGATTCATCAACCCTGGAGGCAAACTCCCCTTTACCATTGCCCGTAACCGGGAGGACTATGGTACGGATATCATCTACGAACCTAACAATGGGCAGTTTGATGCGCCCCAGGACCTTTTTTCCGAGGGTGTCTTCATCGATTATCGATTCCTCGACTCGAAGGGTATTGATCCTATTTACGAATTTGGCTTTGGATTAAGCTATACGACTTTTGAATATTCGGATCTAATTATCACCCCTGGAAATCCAGCCCCTTATACGCCACCCAGTGGACAAACAGAGCCGGCACCTGTTTTGGGAACCTACAGCACGGATCCGGCGGAATATCTCTTCCCCAACGACACCATCGGCTATCGTCCTTATCTGTTTATCTATCCGTACCTCAACTCCACCGATCTCAAAGCGTCCGCCGATGATCCTGACTATGGTCTACCGACCGACCAGTACGTGCCTGCGGGCGCGACAGATGGTTCACCACAGCCGTTTCTAGCAGCTGGAGGTGCTCCTGGTGGTAATCCAGGTCTGTACGAGGTCGTTGCAACCGTGAGTGCGACAATTACCAATACTGGTAGTGTTGTCGGAGACGAAGTGGCCCAGTTGTACGTTGAACTGGGAGATGGTGAACCACCCAAGGTTCTGCGTGGTTTCGACCGCCTCACAATCGAACCAGGTGCTTCGGCGACATTCACTGCCGAGCTGACGCGTCGCGATGTCTCCGTCTGGGACATTACCGTCCAAAATTGGGTCGAAGTCGGCAACCCCGTCATCTATGTCGGTGCCTCGAGCAGAAATTTACCGCTTTCGGGTTCTCTGTACAGCGGCGGTGGATCCGGCGGTGGATCACCATCGGGACCTAGCGAAAGCTCGTCCACCCACACTGGGAGTGGAGCTTATGGACATCCTACTCCTAGCGGTGGACCGCCAGTGAGCCAGATCTCAGATGGCCAGCCCCAAGCGCCAACCGGGCATCCAACCGGACCACCTCCTGCAACGAACACGGTGTGATAGCCGGAAGATGTGCCTGAATGGCACGGAACTGAAACGCATAATGCGATTTTGAAATTTGCAGAAGACAAGCAGGCGATGCTGATTTTAATGCGGTATAATGATTGACGTCAAGAAAACAAAAAGAATCCAGGCCTACAATATTGAGTGGGAGAGCGAAGACCTGGGCCAGATGTCAGGTCTCGACCACTTCAGTAGCTAGCATGTGTCTTCGAGGGAGGCTGAGCTTGAGAAGGAAAAGATGTCTTCATCCTGCAAATCACCTCATCGAGGAAAGAGCGCCAATTGCGCATAAAAGTAGATAAGTGAATGAATTATAATGGATATTTGATATAACTGACATTGAGACATCGTTTCTGTGGGAAGAAAGTTTTTCAACCCACTGTTCCGTCTCTTTCGAACATATTCCTGACAATTTCTCCCGACACTCAGAGAGCTATTGGTACAGTATTTTTTGATCATAATGCCAAGGCTGATCCGATCATTACCCGACCTATGGAGGTTCAGCCTGACTTCATAATACCCAAACTCCCCTAATTTCGACCTCTCCTGGGGGGGGGGAAGGGGGAAACCTTTCAAGGGTATATTATATAATAAGGAGGATTGTGGAATATCACCTTCAAGCACTAGGATCCTTGTCATCATTCATAAATTGGTTCCTTATCACATTGTCCAACTGGTTCAGGAGGCAGTCTGGGGGATGGCGGTGCAGGTCAATGGTGCCCATATTTCCCACATCAACGGCTTCATTCCAATGTGGCTGGACGGCAGAGAAATATCGACTTCCAACGCCTTTGATGTCATTTCTCCCGTCACACATGAGGTCCTTTACCAAGCTGCAGCAGCTTCAGAGGACGACGTCGATGCCGCTATTCGATCATGTGAACAGGCATTTCGATCCTGGTCCAAGACCAAACCCCACTTCAGACGTGATATCTTTCTTCGAGCAGCCCAAATATTTGCAGCACGGAAAGACGAATGCTGCCAGACACTGCGTCAGGAGACAGGCACAGGGAAGCCCTTTTTCGAAGTCACGTTCCATCAGGCCATCGAGATGTGCAAGGATGTAGCTGGATTGATCCAGACCATAGCCGGACAAGCACCAATCGTGGCCGAAGAGGGCAAAAGCGCCATCGTGTATAGAGAGCCTTTAGGCGTGGTCTTGGGTATTGCACCGTGGTAAGCACATGTTGACTCGGATGCGATTCGACCGGGCTGACCTGGCTTGACCACAGGAATGCACCTTTCGTCCTAGGCCTGCGCGCCTGTATCCAGCCCCTCGCGTGCGGGAATACAGTCATCTTAAAGGGTCCCGAACTTTCACCTCGCACATTCTGGCTCATTGCGAGTGTTCTGCACGAAGCCGGATTACCTGCCGGCTGCTTGAATACGATATACCATCGACCCGGCGCAGATGCAGCTATGATTACCAACGCCTTGATTTCTTCGCCGGTAGTCAAGAAAGTCAGCTTCACAGGAAGCACGGCAGTGGGAGCCCTGATCGCTGGTCTTGCGGGAAAACACCTGAAGCCTGTACTCTTGGAGTTGGGAGGCAAGGCTCCAGCGATTGTTTGCGAAAATGCCGATATCGTCAAAGCTGCAGAGGCATGTGCGCTAGGCGCGTTCCTGCATAGTGGGCAGATCTGCATGAGCACCGAGAGAATACTGGTGCACAAACAAATTTCAACGGCTTTCATCGAAGCTTTGAAACGGGTGATGGAGGAAACTTTTGGCAATGGAAAGAATCCTCCCATCTTGATCTCTCAAGCGGCCGTGGCGAAGAATAAAGCACTGGTCTGTGACGCTGTTGCAAAGGGCGCACAGACTTTGTACGACAGGGACATCAAATCGGCATCGACAACTACAACCGGCGGCGCCAATGGAGACGAATCCAATAATGAGATGTACCCTGTCATCGTCGGAGGTGTACGACCAGAGATGGACATCTATCACAATGAATCATTCGGACCGACGGTCTCATTGATCGAATTCGACAACGACCCAGAGGCTATCGAGATTGCAAATGACACTGAGTACGGATTGACTTCTGCCGTGTTCACCAAGGACCTTCAGAGGGGATTGAGAATCGCGAGACAAATTTCTGCCGGTGCGGTGCATATCAATGGTATGACTGTACATGACGAGACGAATTTGCCACATGGGGGAGTCAAGAAGTCTGGGTTCGGAAGGAATAATACGTTGGAAGGGCTGAATGAGTGGGTGCAGACGAAGACTGTAACGTGGATGGATTGATTGGCATGGACTGACATCGATCGTATAGATATAGAATTCGTGGGACTTGGTGTAGGTTTGTTCGTTGATCAATGGTATCTGGTCTTGACTTCTTCTAATGTCAAAGTTTCCATTCTGACCTTGCTTTTCATGCCGTTCTCCCTCCACCCGTTCAATGTCTGGGGATATAAAGGTATGATCCCGTCAATCTGAGCGTCGTGCGCCAGGACAACATAGACGGATTCATTCCAGTGTAGAGCCTGACTTTTGCTGATTGTGGCTCTTGCTTTGGACGCATCCTGGTGGAAACCTGGCTGTCCGTTGGGACCGACGTCGACGCTGATTTTTCGTTTCGGATTGTCGAGAAGATCCCGATGATGGCAACAGTCTCCTCCCATGGCTACCCACTCCTCTTGACCGGTCCGGGCCATTGCCATCTGGTGCCCTGGCATATGACCGGGGGCGTCGAGAATAAAGAAAGAGCCGTCCTGGAAGAGGTCGACGCCCTTCGTGAAAGGGAAAGACTTCGGAACGCTGCCATCGTCGAAATCCCGATACTGAGACGGCTTCAATTCAGTGCGTCCCGAGTGTGAAAGCACCGTGCCATCGAACGGTGAGCCGTCGTGAGTCGGATATCCTGGCTGGATGCAGTCCACGGTACCGGGTCCTAAGAGAATTTGAGCGGCAGGAAACTTCGACACGTCACCGGAATGATCGAAGTGCATGTGGCTCAAGACGACAATGTCAATGTCCTCTGGCTTCACAGGTCCTTCTGATAGCAGATCATGGGCGTCCTTGGGAACATAGGGATCTATTGTAGAATAGTCTTCTCTGATGACTCTAGGATTGTTGTCAAAATCCTAGGTAGATCGTGAGTGTTCCTTATTATTCAAAGCTTCTGGTAGGGTTGGAGATGACCGACCTTCCGCATCCCAAGATCAAACAATACATTCTTGCCTGAAGGATGACGGATGAGAAAGCTATAGTCTGGGGAGAGGTGCGATAGCTTTTGATCTCCCTCCGCAAAGATCCATCTGTCCGGAAGCCAAAGGTATCCAGTGGGTAGTACTGACACCTCGACAGTCTTGGACACACCCATTTCAGGGTCAATGAAAATCAAACCACAGGGTCTGGTTTCGACACTTCGAGAGCATTTCTTGTGTATTCTAGTGGCCGCCCTCATCTCTTGATATTCTCTCCCTCTCCTCGTCACGCAGTCTAGGATCGCTGGCCGTAGCTTATTGTTGACCCGCTTCACTCGGCATTTCCGATGTATCCCCAGCTTTGTGGGTCCAAGTCAGAGGTCATGACATGGGAACAACACTTTGTCGTTCCAGCATAAAGAAAGGGAAATCCAAGGACTCCATGTGGGTGTCAGTTGTCGGATCCCGGTTCCGTCACATTGTGCGACTAGGTGAGAATTTCAAGAGATCGTCTCATTGTCGAAATCTTGAGTCTGGAGAAATCAGATCTGGACAGCAAAATATGGAGCGAATTGACACGCACGCTCATGTTGTGCCAGAGGTCTGGAGAAAATACTGCTGTGAACATGGATACGACAAGCCCGATGGCATGCCAAAAATTCCTGTCCGTAACATGCGAGAACCTTCAAGGAGATCGTTTCTGGCTAACCAGCGTCCAGGCTTGGACACCCGAGGTCCACATTGACCTGATGGGCACCCTGGGTGTATCAAAATCGATCCTAAGTATCACGTCGCCGGGCACCCATCTCAAGGCCTACGACGACGAACTGGCGCGACGAGTGACTCGAGAGACCAACGAGGAAATCGCCAGCATCTGTCAACGATATCCTGAAAAGTTTCGCTTCTTCGCGTCTCTCCCGCTCCCGGACGTGGCTGATTCGTTGAAGGAAATCGATTATGCCTTGGATAACCTGGGCGCCGTCGGTTTTGCCCTTATGACCAATGCTCAAGGGTATTATCCAGGCGACCCCAAGCTCGATGGAGTGTTGGCAAAGCTCAACGAAAGAAAAGCTGTCGTCTTCTTGCATCCAACCTCATGTCATTCACCGAAAAATCCCGATGCCGAAAGACCGTTGTCTCAATATCCAGCGCCTGTGCTTGAATTCTTCTTCGACAGCACGCGCGCGGTGGTCAATCTCATACTTTCGGGTGCAGTTGCCCGATATCCCAACATCACCTACATCGTCTCTCACTGCGGAGCTGCCTTGCCGCCTCTAATTGAGCGCTTTTCCTCATTTTCCTCGATGATCCTAGGCAGCAGTGGCTCCGAGGCGGTGACCTCAAGCGCCGTCAAGGATCTATTCAAGACGAGATTTTACTTTGACCTCGCCGGGTTTCCGTTTCCGGACCAGATTCACGGCTTGTTGCGTTCCACGGACTCATCTAGACTATTGTACGGAAGTGACTTCCCGTATACGCCAGCGTCAGCCCTTCCTGAAATGGGCTCCCGGATAGCTGAAGGGTTGGCGGACATATTTGAGGATGCGGTCATTGCCGAGGTTTATTCGGGAAATGCTAAAAGGCTCCTCAAGATGTGAATGATACCGCTATCAGAACAATTCAATGCACTCTTTCCAACGAACCTGGACTGTGAGCATTCGACGCGCGTTTAGATCGGAACTTTCTTTGCCATTTCTTCAATACGAACTCTCTGACTTGGTGAAGTCGGCATTGCCGGGGGCCTGAATTCTGTGGGCTGTCACCAGGGGGCGGCTTTTCCCCGTGGAGGCTTCTGACCTTCTCACATTTTCCGCAGACCTCGCCACAAACAGTTAGACCCAGCCTTGTCAGTACGGGTTTTCCCCGAACAGCCACCAATCCCGCATTTTAGATCCTCGGAAATGGTCTTTGTCTTTCGTCTGGGGGAGGAGCGCAGTCCATATCTCCTCTCTCTCGCCAGGGTTCTTGGGTCTCCGATAGCCGACCTTTCCCCAAACCTAGGGGGTGAATATACCCAGAATCTGTTGAGCTTGACCTCCTTTTTTTGGACCCTACAACAACATAAAGGCCAGACCAACATCCCAATCCCGGTTCGGGAGGTCACGAAGTTCTCTCTTCGGTCCTCCGTTGACCCTGTTTATTGTCGAGACACCTGAAGCACACACGCACTCCTTCATACCTGACCCCAATCCTCTTCCAGACTGCAGACGGATATGGACTCATCCAGCAAAGGTTCGGAGACGTTCATCGAAAATGACGTTGCAGAGGTCGAACGCAAGACCGAAGAGCACCCCTTGCCCGAAGAAGAAACGACCGATCCTCACGACCCCTTGACCTGGAGCCTTGTCCGCAAACTAACCATCCTCTTCGTCGTCGGCATCTGGATTCTCCTCGGCACTGCTAACATGATCATCATCGGACCCGCGCTTGAGGTCGTGCCCATGGAATTCCACTCCTCATTCTCTTCCTCTACTTACCTCATCGGGGGACCCTTATTGGCATATGGCGTTTCTTCTTTCTTCTGGGTCCCACTGGGCAATCGATACGGCGTACGGCTCGTCTTCGTCGTCAGCACCTCGATTGCGGGCTGTATGAACTGTTGGGCCGCCAAAGCCACGAGCTTTGGAAGCCTTGTGGCTGCAAGGACGTTGGCCTCGGCATTTTATGCACCTCCAGAGACACTGGCGCCTCAAATGGTCGGAGACGTCTTTTACTTGAAGGACAGGGGGAAAGCAATGACTTGGTTTGGTATACTCCAGGCCTCTGGCTTTGCTGGTGGACCTCTGATTGGATCTTTCATCATTCAGAACTCGTGAGCCACGCCGAAACCGCCAGGAAATCTGACCACCTGTGAGAAGAGAAACGCCCACTAATGCGTCAGCAGTGATCTTGGATGGAGGTGGGTCGAATGGATCCTCGCCATCATCACCTTCGCGACCGCTGTTGGTCTGTTGCTCTTCTTCCCCGAGACTCAATATACTCGAAACTTCTCGGCGACACGACGGGAGAGATCTTGGAAAGACAATTACCGATTTTGGCCCGTCAGTGGTGGAGGGAAACCAAAGGATCACAGGTATGAATCGCCGGTGAAGCATAACCCTCGGGGATTGGCCCATGCTGACACTTTGGCTCTGGCAGCCTTGCCCATGGATTTATGATGATATTTCCATACTTCTGCCACCCGGTAATTATTTTGAACCTGACTTTCTTTTCGCTCTGTTTGGTAGTCAATAGCTACCTCTTGGTGAGTTTACCGCATCCCAATCGAATGTGTTTCGAGAGTTTGGTTAACGGCTCTAACAGACAACTCAGTCCCTTACTTACCTGATTGTCTATCCATTCTCGGTCGGCGAGTCGGGTCTCACGTTCATTGCACCTCTGATCGGCACCTGGCTGGCGATGCTCTTCTGCGGTGTACTGGCAGACCGTCTATTTACCCGATGGACGAAGAAGGAAGGACGAAAACCGAAGCCTGAGCACCGTCTTCCTCTGCTCGCGTTCACGGGCTTCATTGGTATCGGAGGGCTCCTCTTGTTCGGTATCTGTACACAAGAATATTGTCACTGGGTTGGACCCTTGTTCGGGTCATGCTTCGGTAAGTTTCTTCTCGACAATCTTTCCCGCCTTCGAACTTTAGGACCATTTGGACCTTGGTGATTGACATTGGTGATGTTTTCCAGTAAGCTTCTGCTTTATCGCCTCCCTGAGTATTTCCTTCGCATATCTGCTCGACGTCTACGAAGCGCGCATGGACACCGTCATGGTAATATACAACGGGATGAAAAACCTCGCAGCCTTCGGAATCAGCTATGCCATAGTTCCCTGGAACACAAGCGCGGGTTACACCGTGCCATTTGTGGTGATGGCGGTGATTTTATTCGTCGCGCATCTGCTGATGGTACTGGTTTACTGTAGAGGGGAGGCATTGAGGAGGTGGGCGGCCGAGAGGTTTGAGACCGCGAAGGATACGCATCATGGTGATGCCTTCTAGAGGAGGTGTGTACGTAATGTGTCCAGTGTCGAGGAAAGGGTGTGCGGCAGAGGTTGCTCTGTGCATGATCAAAAGAAAATAAAGGCTCAGTTAGGCCCTTGGGCAAAGACCGAGTGTCCGGCTCACGTAGTGATTGCTTCGCTCCTCGTCGATGTGTTTTTCAAACATGTGTACTCTGAATCGGCTGATAATGTCAGGCCAACTGACACCTTCACCTTCTTCCGCTATGAGGTAACTTAAATCATGCACCTGCGTAATGCCCCAAAGTTAATGGGGGAAACGAGTTAGGAGTTGCGTGATGTTGTCATGGACTTTTCCCGACAGCATCGACCAAGTGATGAATCTTTCCCGTCAGCCTCACTGGTTGCAATCTGAGAATAGGACGAAAAACGAGCTGTCTCGATCGCCTTGAAAAAGTCCACAGAGGCAGGGGTTCTATGGAAAAGGGCCCATCAATTCTAGGTGGTCAAGGCTTATCTTTCCTGCAAATCCGGGGAAATCTGTGAATTGGATTGACTCCCAAGAGAGTTTATCAATAGAGCATCAGTCTGTCCATAGCGCCAGGTTAGGGAGACGTTCAGCCCTGTGCGAAGTCGTACCTCAAGGAAGCCTCTTCCCATTGGGATTTCATCCAATAAGTCGTCGAAGTTCGAGAAACCCTCATCCACTTCCTCAAATCAGGGATCCCGAGTCATCTACTGGCCGGTGCTGAATCACGCACTCTCGCTGAACATGTCGCATCTCGTTCTCCTCTGACCCTGGGGTTCGCACTATGTATTCCGCTAGCGCGGAGCTGCGAGCCGCTGGGCCTTTCTGGTGGTGTGTATGAGTGACATGTCCGACTTTCTCAAGTCTCTGAATTCTAAGCAGCAACTCTTCATCGTTAGATCTATCCCGCGAGGGCGGGATTATATGTCGGTGTTGCAGAAATGGAAAATCGACGTGCTGATCTTTGAGCGCGGCGCCGGTACGCATTCCGTGCACAAGGGACGCAGAAGATACGAAAGTAGCAGAGGGACTTGGCATTAAAGTCGTCAGTGTCAGTGAGAGAACGCCGTTCGATGCAAAATGGTGGAAAGCCGACAGTGAGCACGGGCCAGCTAGTCAAGGCGGCAGGGAAAATTGGGGATGGAACCGAATAAGCCCGTGACAAACCAGAGAGCTTGCCGGATCCGTTGAGTTAGGAAGAGTGGGATCTTTCGGATCTGAAGCTTTGATCTGAGCAGGGCGCACAGAATGGAGAGATAGACGTCAATGCTGTCCAGCGAGCCCTTAGCCCGAAGAAGGAGACACAGTACACGGCAAACCTCATGGGTTCGGATGGAACATTCTGGGTACCAACTCTCGAGGATGTGGGAATTGACCTTTCTGTCGGCCCAACACCACTCAAGGGAAGCGAAAAGACCAGCCTCGAGCTGTTAGCCTCACACTTCGCCAATGAAGAGTATATCAGGATATTTGCGAAACCATTGACAGGTCGGACGGCATTCGATCCATCTCCTGCAATAACAGTGTTGTCGCCGCACCCGTACTTTGCCTCTGTCTCAGTGCGGTGCTCTGGTGAGCCGTACAAGAAGTGTTTGAGAAGAGGCGACAGAAGAAGAAGCCGATGAGCGGTGATCCATAAGTCTCCTAGGTCAACTCCTCTTTCGAGACATATATATTTCGCAGCGCAGGCGTGTGCAGGTGTTTGTTTCGCCCAGATTGTGGGAAATTCAGTCGTGAGATTCACAGTCTGGATCTCCCTTCGAGATATAGGCAGGGACGAACAAGGCAACCAGTTGCCGACGGAACATACATTGTCGACAATATCTAGGCCAAAGAGTTTCTCGTCGCCGGAAAGAAGGTCAGACGGGCTTCCCTGGGGTTGATGCTCTGATGCTCCAATCGTGCTTGAACGCCTGGATTCATCACCTCGGTCGGTATGCTGTGGTCCTTTTTTTTGATCTGTGATCAGTGTTATGTCCTTGAGAGCGTGGGGCTGAAGTTTCCGAAGGGTACTTGATCGACCATGAACCTACGTGTAATGTTGGAAAGCGGATATGGTTGTCTTGTACCGCCTTTTTTTGCACGGTTCTCTCGGTGTTATTCGCTCGTGAGTTTCCCAAGAATGGGATTCGGAGGGAGACTTTGTGCAGAAGCATATTCCCGAGGGTGGGAAAGCTCGATAAGAAGTTCACCTACGGGCCGCATAAAATGTCGATTGCAGATCAGAAAGTTTGGGGGTGTCAGATCAAAGGGGATGGGACAGAGACAGAGTCCCGAAAACGTGAATATGAGGTTTATCCCCAAGCCAATGTTTGATTTTAACGAGAGGCGCAAGTTCTTGTACTGATGTATGATGGAAGCGTATGATGTTGGTCTTTATGGGGATGATAAGAAGATCCCCTATTGGGGTTGGAAGGCGCTATTCGATGCTGGCTGGGACGGTGAGCGGAGAAAGGAGGCTGCGAATGATGAACCGCCGCGTGGCGTGAAGCATGACAGGGATGAAGGTGACCATAACGATGACGAGGAGGATGATATAGGTGAGAACGCTGATCATGGCGAAGACAGTGACGAAGACCAAGGAAAGAGAAAGTTCGCGAAAAGGCAGGATTCTAAGGAAACCAGGCACATGGGATGTAGTTGTGAGGAGAAAGAGGGAGACACAATACTCGGCGTTCCTCTCGAAATTTTTGTCCCTGTCTTTCAAGAGGTTCGACTTTCCTGAGAGCAATCCAGTTTGAAGGGTGCTCGCACCCGAGGGAACAAGCTTTGTTTCTTTGCTGAGCACTCGAGATCGTCATTCGTCATCTACGTTCTTTCAGAGAGTAGGTCCTCCTTGATGCCTCGAAGGATTGGGTTCTGTTCACAACCCGTTTGCACGTCGCTTTTGGGAATGCGACTGCGGGGGTGTGAATTGTCGCTTGTGTTGTTTCGGCGTGATTGAGATGGTAGAATGAGAATGGCCTCGGGTCAGCCATCGGGCCCAATGAAAGACGCCACCACGGACTATAGATCTGTGAACCTCTCTGGAAGGATGAGTGGTAAGATTGTTTGTATGGTTCGTCTGCGATGGGCTCTCATGAATGTAAAAATCGACAAAATGAGAATTAAATCTGTACGTTGTTCGAAAGGTATAGTCGGTAAGACTGACTTGTGGTGCCGCGTCAGTTGCAATGTCGTAAGAATATTATTTGCCTTGGGCCGGTGGAGGGATAAGAGTGATGCTTGCGGAAACGGTATTGACAGAAAATGTGGAATCCACATTGGAAATTATGTTCGCCAATCAATTGGTGGACGTTCTTGTTCTATTTCACCGGTTTCGGCTGTGGTTGGCCCTGTGTATGAAGCCTAGAACTCAGTACATTGCCCCGACGTTGTCGAATTTCTTTGGGCTGCCAAAGAGTCTCGTGTCGACTGAATTACAAGGCATACCAACCAAGAGCCACCCAGCCAGCTGTGGTGATAATGGTTGGTTGTTAGGGGCTTTTACCGCTTGGGCATCCGTACTGTAAGTTTCGTCGCTTCTGCACTGCCAACTGCGAAAATGGGCCGCCAGTCAATTTGCCTGTTCCGAGGTGTATTATCGTGTTTCTAATAGATTGGCTCGCAGGCGAAGAGGGGGTTTGCAACTCGCGCCTTGCACAGGAGTGTTGTTAGGCTGAACAATGGCTATAGGCCACCATTCAATTCTCCTGTGTCCTGGGAAGTTCTGCTCTCTTCTTTTTTTTGGCAGTAATAAATTAAAGATTCGTGACCTTCTGAGTTCTAACTCCTTCAGTCTCACCGTAAGAATTTGGCATCATGGACGGCGTAGAGGAGAAACTTCAATTGTTTTCGAGGCGCGATGAAGAGAGAGCCGACTTTGTCAAGGTAGAAAGGCTCCAGCCCCTGCGGATGAAGTCGATCTGCTAATATAAATTTTTCTTTTCCAGGACCTCGTCAAACAAATGGAGAAAGTGATTGATGAGAAGCGGAAAATTCAAGAACAGCTTGAAATTTCACAGTACTTGTGCAAAAAGCAGGTCGAAGACCTCAAAACTGCATGGCAAGAAGTACACAGTCTTCAAAAGTCAATGGTAAGAAGAGGAAGACGGTCGTCGGTACGGCATTTTTCTGGGTTGACCTCTTGACAGAATTGCGACCCATTTGTTCTGGTTCTGATTGACGCCGATATTACCATGGTGAGTGTGTTCGCCCCGTCGACGGAATCTTGAGTACTCAATCAAGCAACAGTTTTCGGACAATTACGTCCAACGAGGTTCTGCTGGAGGTCATGACGCTGCTCGAGATTTGAGGAAAGCCATCTATGAATACTTCAAAACCAAAGATGGCTTTCTTCTTGATACGAAGATTGTCATTCACATGTTTGCCAACATGGCCGGTCTCAGTAAGACATATCAAGAATCAAAGATATTGTCCGATCCTATGTTCCTTCGTCAGTTTCTGCAAGGCTTCAATAAAGAGCACGCCCTCTGCCATTTTATTGATGCTGGTGATGACAAGGAGGCTGCTGACAGTAAGGTCAAAGGTGGGTAGAGGCAGGCAATCTGGGAACGGAGCTGACAAGTAGCAGAGGAGATGGAACTATTTTATAATAATGCACATTGCAAACATATCATGTTTGCTGGATCGGGAGACAACAGCTATGCAGGGTTCTTGAGACAGTATACCTTGACCGATCAAATCTGCTCCAGAGTGGTCCTGGTCGAATCTGTCCCCTTTGCTAGCAAGTTGGAAGATTTGGCTGCCAAATTTGAGAAAACTCGACTTCAAGGTCTGTTCCGTGAGACCAAGATCGAAACGAGGCGAGGTTCCTTCCGAGAAGACGCGACTGCTTGTTCGCAGAAGTCGTCCCCGCCGACAAGTTACGCCTCCACAGTGAGACAGACCGGTCAATCGCAAGCCGAAGTATCGCCAACTCTTCCCAAGGATTTGACGACCGGAAACAGTCAAGAAAGGAAAGAAGGGAAGAAGATTTTCCAGAATAGCCTGGGTCAGCGCGTCGACCAACCCGTAAAGGCGGACAGGGCGATCGTCACCAGCTTGAAACCGAAGAAACTCTGCAATCGCCATTTTTTGACTCGCTGCAATTACGCTCAATGTTTACACAGTCATGAAGGGAGGCTCACTCCCGCACAAATCGAGGCACTTCGATTTATTGCGCGTTTGAGCCCTTGTCAGACATTATATTGCGAGGATCCAGATTGCGTCGCGGGTCATCGGTGTATGCAAGGGACACGCTGTGACCGTCGAGGATCCAGTTGTTGGTTCAGTGAGGAGATGCATAATGTTGATGTCAATGTAACCGGCTTTATAACTGTTTGAGATGTGAGGGGAGACCTGTAATGGCGGAATCCTGTAGGAGGGAAGACATCGTTGGATAGGAAGGGAATTTAGCTTATTGTAGAGCGGCCATCACATAGGATTCAAGCAAACAACACAGGGCTATCGTCTGAAGGGAAGAATCTGGTCTGATTTCTTCTGAGTGGGAAAGTTTTGCCGAGACCGACATGGCTTGGCAAGTTGGATTTTCAGAATAAATCCGGGGGCGGCAACATGACAATTTACATCAACACTGCACATTTCTCTGCATAGGGTCGCACACAACGAAGATGGCGTCTTTCAGGACGCGTGTGGAGGAAGTTCTTCGTGGGGATGCTATGAAGAATGCTCTGCTTGAGGTATGCCATCTACCCAATTATCCTCCCCTCCACTGACAGTGGACAGGAGTTGTTGACTACTATCGAAAAACTCACCAAGGAACGCGATGCTGCGAAGAATGAGCTTGACATGGCTCAAGATACTGCTCGAACCTACTACCAAAGAATGATGCAAGCTGAAGCGGAAAAGTCGCGTTTGCAGACATCCATGGTGACCCACCAATGGTGGACACTTCCGCTCTGAGTGGCTGACGATTCTTAGGACTGTGACAGATTTGTCCTTGTTTTGATTGATGGCGACAGCATGCCGGTAAGATCTACGAGCGGCCAAACCTTTTACGCAGCGAGATGATGAAATGCCAACGTGGCTGACCAATCTAGTTTCTTGACGAGTTTGTCTCGAGGGGCGTAGAAGGTGGTGAAGAGGCAGGCAAACACCTTCGCGCCGCCGTTTTGGAATACCACAAAACAAATGCGAAATATCATGCCGACGATCGAATTATTATACGGATCTTTGCAAACTCACAGGGGTTGAGCAGGACCTACAAAGCTGCCAAGGTTCTTCCAGATGAAGTGTTGTTTGAGCAATTCATGATCGGGTTTAACAGAAGTCATCCATTTTCTGATTTCGTCGATGCAGGCAATCACAAAGAAGCGGCAGATTCGAAAATGAAAGGTGCGTCGAGATGCTGAATGAGGTCAGATCGATTTGACAGGTCACAAGCAAATCTCGAACTGTTCTACCGGAATCACCATTGTCAACACATCGTGTTTGGCGGCTCTGGCGACAGCAGCTACGCTGGCTTCCTCAGCCCATTCGCTTTGCCGAATTCAATCAACGAACGCATCACAATCCTCGAAGGTCCGCCCTTCCCTTATGACCTGAGGAAGGTTGCCCAAGGCTTCCGTCAGGCATCTTTCAAAGGCATTTTTAGGTCAACGAAGATTCAAATCGGACCAAATGGTAACCACGCTGTGGCCGGTATGAAGCACCCTGCCCCTGATACCCTCACGTCCTTGAGAGATCGACCCTCTCCAAAGCCGACCACTGCTGTTGTCACACCTCCCAAACCGCAGCCGGCTTCGAAAGTCAATCAGCCCTCGACGAATCCTTCCCCTCCATCTCCATTAATCTACCAGAACCAATACGGGCAACGTCTGGATGTACCTCTCCAAATTGACAAAGACTATTTGCAATTCCTGTACGACAAGAATTCTCGACTCTGCAACAATTACTATCTGAAGGGTCATTGCCCCTATGGAGCTGCCTGCGAATGGGATCATACACAACAATTAAGCCAGCTCCAGCTGGATACATTTCGACACAAGGCCAGAACATCCAACTGCCGAAACCCCTTTTGTCCAGATCCCGCATGTTGTCTTGGCCACATGTGCCCCCGAGATTCTTCTTGCAACATCGCAATGTGTAAATTCCTCCCGGAGATGCACAACATCGATGTTAGCCAAGTCTATGAATACAATACCCAAACGAAAGAAAGGAAGCGGATGTCGATGCCTGCCTGAGGGGGAACGGCAGAGACAATCTTCACTCGCTCCTAATTCAAGAGACCGCCTCATGGACAGCTCACGCCCGCCCTGTTCGAATCCCGCTTCAACGTTGGGATTCCGACACTTCTTCGCCATCGAAACGGTCTGAATCGGGCATCCCCTGCCTTCGCCGGTCTGTTCGAATCTCTGATCTTCGTCAATAGATCATTCAGGTTCGCGCTACCATGGAGAGCGATTGTCGGGCCGAAGAGATGTCCTCTCGGCGCCCTCATCGTCCAAAGTATTCATCCGTTTCTTCCGACAGCCAGTCGTCGGATAATCTTCCTTTCTCCCTGCATCCTAGAATACCCACCCCCCTTTCGCGATTCTTCCCCCCCTCCCTTAACCTGCTGATATGGTTGGAATCCCGCAATTGATCGCCAAAGCACAGACAACATGTCTGCAACCTGTGACTCTCTTGTGTACTGCTAGCATGGCGTCGCTGCAAAAGCCACCTGATCCTCCACTCAGCGAGTATAAAAGGCACAGGTTAAAACTGGCTTGGTGAATTGTTATAGCAATAAAAGCTTCTCTGAAAACAATGGTTCCGACATTCGTTCCCCAATTCGCGGCATAATAACATGAATAGTCCAGAAGACGGTTACTCTCTTTCAGACGTATGGTTCGGATGGATAGTACCATGCGTCTTCTCCACGCCGTCATAGATGGATTAACCGGCATCGACAGAGTTTCCTTGGTGTCTAGTATAATCGAAGACGTGTTCTGCTCCCCTGTGGCACCGAACGTCTCGCGTTCAGTCATGACGTTCGGTCTTGAAAAATGGGCTGCCGTGTACTGTCTGTCCGTAGACGAATCACTCTGTCACTCTGTCACGATTGCCATGCTCTTCCTCAGTTCACGTTCTCTTTGTTTGCTTTGCAACTCCAATCGTTCGATCGCATATTGAAGTCTCTCTTTCTTCTGCTGCATGCGTTTCATCTCCAGCATCTGGGTATCGCTGAGTCCAATAGATTGTCCCGGCCTGGCACTGCGAAGGGGTTGTGCACTGCCACCGAAGCTGGAGTTTCTCCTGTTACTGTTCAATCGCCCTTCCAACAATTCGGATCGCGCTTTCAGACCCTCCTCTTTCCTCTCGAGTTGGTTGACGTAATTCTCCGCAGTGCACAGCAATTGGTTGATGACGGGAGCGATCTCACCGATGAGAGACTGTTGCGCCTCGCGTAGCGTGGGTTCGGGAAGGAGTTCAAAGTGTTGTCGTGTTTGCAGGACCTTGCACAGGCGAGGAAAGTCGGATACTCCCTCATCAAGGATGGAGACGCTTGATTCGAGCAGAGACAGTGAAGATCGCAAGGATGAAACCGCTGGACCAAGAGACGCCATATCGTCCAAATTCCACACAATGAACCCACGAGCCTGCCGTCAGCGGTCTTATTAAGTGACCTCTTCTTCAATTTGGATTGTGTGAAACAGTGCTGCTTGACGCGCCACCACTGGAGCAAAAACGTGTCCAAATATGCCAAGAATTCTGTAAGCGGTTTAGCTTCATTTCCAAAACGGAGCTCCAGAACTTCTCACGGAGCTCGACATTGATGACAACAGCCCTCACACAACTCACTCCTCTCTAACCTCGACGCTGTCAAAATGCCTGGTTTCATTCCCAAAAAATTCCCCGGCAAAGTTGGTGAGTTCAGCGTGCATTTGAACTGACCGTGGTTGCCATATTGACCTCCAGCGCAGCCGAGCCGATGATCCCTTTCTACGCCGCCGGTCTTATCGTCCTGTACGCCGTCAATGCTGGCGCCAATGCCATGATGAACTGTAAGTCACAGCGATTCTCGCGACTGCATCTTCTTCCGTTTCCGAGAGACGCTTGACACGAAACGGCGGACGAATTGGCTGACGACTTTTCAACACGATAGCGGAGGAGTACAGGAACGATCCCCGAAATCCAAACGCGAAGCCTGATTCCAAGCCTGCACATTAGGGATTCAAAATGAGGAAATCGTCGCTAGAAATGGGAAGTATTTGGAAGGGAAGGTTCTAAGCTTTCGAGCTTCGACTGAGTCGATTGTACATATTGCAACCATAGACGCATGGGGAAAATGAATGGGTGTCCGAAAACAGACACCGAATGCCGAAGGGTCTCTCAATTCTTTTGTTTCCCCTCTGAATTTGCAGCGTAATTGGGATCCCGGATGTTGTAAGATATGACCAAAAGCAGCTACGAGCAATCCCGATCCGTGCACGTTCGTCTTCTGGTTCCCTTTACATCTTTACTGGACTAACGGTCATCATTACAGGACTTCGTGAATGGGTCCTGTTGGAATTCTTCGATTCCAGATCACACGGCTTGGGCTTTCATTGCAAGGACTTCCTGACCACAAGCGACGATCCTCGCAAAGTACGCGGTCCTCCTTTGCTGTTCCTTCAGCAGGAAGACAACGATTTCGACGGTGGCGGCGCCCAATGGAACATCAGAGAATGAATCCAGGTCTTGTCAAATCCGCAGTTGTCGTGTTTGAGACCATTCATGTGCACTCACCTGGACGCTTCGCATGCATTCTCATTCCGATCACTCAACTTTCTCAATCCTCTCTCGAAATAATACTCCACGCGGGAGACCTCCAAGGCACGTTGCAATGACGTCCCCTGTTCAATGTGTCGCCGTCAGGCCCTAGCGAATAGAATCCCCGCGATTGTGTCCACATCTGCTCGGCTGTAGCATTTCCCCCCTAAATCTTCCTTGACGGTACTAGCAACCACGTGGTGACTGCACTCTGGCATAACAGCCGGAAACTCACCTGGCGAGTAAGTCGTATCTCTGTCAAACGCAGATGTGAGCATTTGTTCTAGGTGATGGAGCAGTATTAGCGTAGCAAGGCTGGAACATCCCGTTTTTGGACCTCGGCAAAAGGGGTTTACTACCCGAACAAACTGGGCTCGTTAGTTTTGTGAGACACTTGGGCCAATGATGATTATGACACCACAGCCTTCCCTCCTGAAATATTTCCATCTAGAGCAGAGATTCTGTCTATTCCATTGACCGCGTCTCGTTTAGGAGAAAGGCAGATCAGTATTCAATTACCATAGACTATACCTAAACGACCAATGCAAAGATGAAAGCCATACAAGTGACCAAATACATCAACTCCTATTCCGAACTGCATGTCGCAGAGATCCCGTCTCCGATACCGCGGCAAGACCAAATCCTCGTCACCGTCACACACAGCGCTCTTAACCATGTCGATCTCCTCTATGCCCGCGGCGTGCATCAGAACAACCATATCGGGCTCGTCAAGCCGCCATTCGTCCTGGGCCTAGAGTTCGTGGGGATCGTGGCATCGGCGCCCACGACCTCGGGCTTCAAAGCCGGCGATCACGTCTGGGGATCCAGCGTCGGCGGGTTCGCGGAGCAGATTGCCGTTCCTGCCGCCACGGTACAGAAAGTGCCGACAGGCTGGACACTGCATGATGCTGCGGGACTAGGCGCCGCGACGGCGCCCGTGAGTTATGGGGCCTTGGTGCGAATGGCGAACATCACAGCGGGCCAGACGGTGTTGATCCACGCGGCGGCTGGTGGATTAGGTGTAGTTGCCGTGCAGATTGCGCATGCGCTGGGTGCCAAAGTCGTTGGAACGGTGGGGAGCGAGGAGAAGGCCGAGGTGGTGAGAAAATTGGACGGTGTGATCGGGGTGGTGCGCTACGACCAGGAGGCGTGGGAGAAGGAGGTCCTCAAGCTGACAGACAATGTTGGCGTGGATTCGGTATATGATACCGTGGGACTGGTGGCGAAGAGTATCAGGTGCCTCAAGTTCGGTGGGAATATTGTGATTGCTGGTTTCGCGGGATTGGGAGGGAAAATGGAGACGTTGGCCATGAATCGGGTCTTGTTAAAAGGGGTCAAGTTGCTCGGATACGTAAGTGACAATCCTGAAGGTTCTATATATCACAATGCCTCATTGCAGCTCAAACTGACAAGGTCTTTGGGGATAGAGATTCGGTGAAACAGGACGACGAAATCCGAAAGAAAACGAGGAGGTGTGGAGAGGATTGAATGAAATGCTTGAAACAGGAAAGATCAAACCGGTGATTTACCACACGTATTCGGGCTTAGAAAGTGTTCCTGGAGCGATGGATGTTCTGGTCTCGAGAAAGGTATGGGGAAAGGCCGTCGTTGAGATACGACCACAGGCTTCAAGTTCCTCGCCGAAGGAGTCTAAGCTGTGATTTTCAACCCCGGATGCAATGCAAAGCTCCATCGCCATGACATGAAATGAACGACCCCTGAACAATTCTCCTGATGGACAATGAGCGACGCCGGAAAGCTCGAGCGAGACAAGAACTGTGTCAACACGTTCGAGGATCCTTCAATTCATGACCAAACCACCATCCACGACGACTTGCTGGCCCGTCACACCATCGGCCCAGGGACTGGCGAAAAACAAAACCGCACCCGCGAGATCCTCTGGCGTGGTGACTTTCCTGAGTGGCGTCACGGCCTTGATGTGATCGAACACCTCTTTCGGAGTGCTGGCACTCGCGTCCGTTACATCCAAGAGACCTCCAGACACCATATTGACCGTGACTCCCTTCGGACCCAGATCCGCGGCACAGGTTCTTGTGAATGCCAACAACGCCCCCTTGGCGGCGGTATAGTCGTGGTAAGGAACGACCGGGTTCTGGAACAGATTGGACCCGATGTTGATGATGCGGCCAAATCCAGATTTCTCAAATCCAGGCAAAGCCGCCTGAGTGGTGTTCAATGTCCCGCGAAGGAAGCCTTGTAATTGGGAATCGAAATCGGACCAGGACAGATCAGGAACTTTGGTCCTCGCATCCCCATTGAACATGAAGTCGTCTACGATGGCATTGTTCACCACCGTGGTGATGGGGCTTTTCAAATGGTCTTCGGTGGCGGCGAAGAGTGCTTTGATGTCTTCGGGGTTGGTGACATCGGCACGGAAGGGGAATGCGTCCAGTTCCTTCGCAAGACTGGCGACAACTGTAGGGTCGGATTTGAAATAGTTCAGAACGATCTTCGAGCCTTCTCGTCGAAAGGCTCTGGCGATGGCGAGACCGACACCACGGGAGGAGCCTGGATCACCGAATCAAGTAAGTAGTGCAAATGTCGAGAGGGCGATGATGATGGATAACATTTCTCTGTGCACGCTGTATTTCATATTTCGAAACCCTTGGAAATCTGCGACGGTACACTAGGCACTGGGATTCACACCCATCTCCACCAACAAGTGTCTGGTTAGACTAGACTTACCTGTCACGAGAACAATAAGGTCTTGAAGCCTCATCTTGTAGGTTTGTTGTCATTCAACTTGGTCTTTCACAAAATGATTCTTTGAGAGCCCGAAAAGCCTTCACAAAGGCTAGCAGACGTGTCAACGAGAGATCACTCGTCAATGTCTCTTGATTCGGCACCCGGAGTTCACTTCGGAATGATATTGACCGCGGGAAGGTCGCACTTCCTATACAGGAATAGCGCGGAGGACTTTTATTTGGCCTTTATGTTTTTGAGCTAACACAAACTTGCGATAAAATTGTCACTGGGATGTCTTGCTGGCGCAATGGTAGCGCGCCAGACTTCTAATCTGGAGGGTAAGCCCTCTCCACCATCGCGCAACTATCTTGCCAACGCCTAACACTGTTCAAGTTGTGGGTTCGAGTCCCACGCAGGATGCATACGACATGAATTTTTTTTCCTTTCATTTTTGTGCCGCTACTTTGAGGACTAGGTCATTTTTGCAATGCACGTGACGTGCGATGAGTCATTGTGAATGCCCTCTATGACCACCACAACTGTCCCTCGTCACTCCAATGTCTGTCGCTCTGCTTATTGACTTGTACGAGGAAGATGCCAGGTAATATCGAGAACAGTACAGTTCATTGTCCTAAATAGAAAAAACAAGATATGTCCCAAGCACATACCACCGAGACCAAAGGGAGAGCGATCCGTAGCCATCTGCAAATTCCAGTTTTCAACGCCTTGCTAGAAATGTACCAGACAGCGGCGATCTAGGTATCATATTGCTTGCTGCTCAGCATCCTCTTTCAAGCCACAGAACCTGGAGTCAAAGTTCCAACAGATGTCGTGAAAATTACTATTATCCTTACTCATTCATCCTCATCAAAAATTTGGAAAGTGTTGTTGAAGATGGTCTCCACCACCTTGGCCTGCCAGCCAGCATCTGCTATATCAACCCCTCCACCTCCTGAATGTCCATTCGTGCTCGCGTGCTGACCCATTAGTGTTGGAGCAAATACGATAGCCAGGTTACTGTTGGTCATTTTGTTCTTGTCGCTGTGCTGGGCGACTCGGTGCAAGTGTAGTGCCAGGGCTCTAAGGGTGGCATAATTGGGATCGGGCAAAGCATTGACGAGGGCATGAATTGAGTCTCGTCGCACACTCTCTTCGTCCAGTTTCGCAGCTTGGATAAAGTCTTGATATTGCGCCGATGTGAGGAGTGGATCGGGAAGATCTCGAAGAAAGTGCTTCAGGAGCGTGGTGACTGAAGCAATATCGTTAAAGAAAGCCGCAGTATTACGGAAGTCCACCGCACTGGCGTCTGAAAACAAGTCAGTATAACGCTCGATCACAGTCGATTCTCCGACTTACCATGATCAAACTGCTGTCTTAACTCCATGATGTGATGAGCCGAACCTGAGGTTCGATAAATTCCCTCAACATCCAGACCATATGAATCGACCGCATTGATACATTGGAGTACAATGATGGGTACAGCAGATCCCTCTCGCTGGAATAGATCATCCAATGAAACTCCAAACACCGGCCTAACTGGAGGTCCAGGTCTCTGAACCCCTGGACCTCGGCCAGGAATTGAACTGACGCTGCCACCATGCCCTGGATGTTGCGGGTGAGGCGCTCCACTTTGAGGACCGTGTGGCGGACCTTGCATCGGTCCTGGGCCTCCCATTCTGGGACCTGGTCCTTGTGGTGGCCTGCCTTGTTGTGAGCCAGAGCCTTGGCCAGCTTGTGGAGGGCCAGTACCAGTCGAGCGAAGTTCACCCTGCGGGCCTGGGCCTCCCATTCTGGGACCTGGTCCTTGTAGTGGCATGCCTGGTTGTGGGCCAGGGCCTTGGCTAGCTTGTGGAGGGCCAGTACCAGCTGGGCGAGGTTCACCCGGCGTGCCTGGGCCTTGACCCATTCCCATCTGCGGAGGTCGCGGTGCAGCATTTTGAGGCTGGAATGGTGCAGTATTTTGAGGTCGCGCTGCGGCGTTTTGAGGTTGGGGTGCTGGAGCATTTTGAGGTCGTGGTACTGCAGCATTTTGAGGTTGGGATGCAGCAACATTCTGAGGTCGCGGTGCAGCAGGGCCGATTGGAGACACAATACTAGCAGTCTGGCCAACAATTTGATCGCCTTCAAAAGATCCAATTTGAGGCAGTTGAGGAGCTCCAGATGCACCCCCGGTCTGGCTTGGCCTCTGAGGAGCTCCAGAACCATAATCTTTTTGATGACTCGGCGGCGGTTGCTGCTTAGACGGTCCATAATTCGGTGCCTGCCCTTGATTGCCAGTAGGATATTGTGGCTGCGAACTAGGTGCCCGATACTCCTCTCCTGGGTATGGGTTGACAGCGGACATTTGAGGTCCCTGATTCGGACCATAGTCTTGCGCATATGGATCTGAAGGACCAGAGTCGTAGGGTTGAGGAGGTCGACTTAGTGGCTGTTGTTTAGGCGACGACGAAGGATGCTGCTCATACTGGATCTCGTCGGCTCTTGTTCCTGCATTGTTTGAAAAGCTCAAGACATATTCAACGAAATCGCGATCATTATTGATGCTCGAGGCGATTTCTCGGAGACTCTTGGGCGATGGACCAGATGCTGGCGACTGTGACTTCAGCGGCGTAATGGAAAGTCCATATCCCAGGAGCAACTTTTCACTCAAAGCGGCAAATTTTTGCACCTGCAGGCTCAGCCCAGCATCTGTTTCCTTGATGAGCTCCTGCAAAGCATGCACCGTTTGGGGTCTGTATGCGGTCAAAAGCTCCTGTTGTTGAGTCTGCGCGACCTGGGCTTTGGACGTGTAGTCACTGTCGGCGACCTCAAGTTTGCGAGATAAATCTTCCTCGTACTGCGCGGCGGATTTAGGACCCTTCAAGCCAAACTTGCCTGATAGCCTCTCGCCAGTTCTCGCCCTGTCATATTGTTCTGCCAGAGAATTGTACTTGTACTTTGCCTTTTCCATAGCGGCTTCCGCATCCTGGACTCGTTTCTCTGCGTTCAAGCCGGTTTGCTTCCAATGTTTCCGTCCCCGTTCCGAATTTGCAGACAGCTCATGGAGTTCCTCCGACATGGCATAGAGCATATTCGCATATTGAATGCCATGATCGGCCATGCGGTCGTGGGTTTTGGTGATTTCCTCATAATTCTGAGCGAACGAGCCTTGTCGATTTTCAGGTCGCCGAATCACGTCGTGAGTAGTTCGACTTAGTCTCTTCAGTCCTTGTGCATGCTTTTCTTCGATGATGGATCTTTCTTTCAAGAACGCTGCAAAGTCCTGCGCCCAGTCAGTATTCCGAAAGCGGGAACACGCAGCCAGCGCACCCTTGTCGAGCTTATACTTTGTTTCAATCGGTTCAGCAAAGTAGTAATTCCAATCTGCGTGGTGGGGTCAATGGGAGTCCTCCAGATCTCGAGTGGCCAGGCTTACGTCGGACGAGAGAACCCGTTGTATCCTTTCTCTGTTCGCAGGGTCGTACTCTTCACTTGGGCCATCGGCTGGAGGAACGGGGGTAGGAGACGAGCCATTTTCTTGGGATGTTCCGGGACCTGAGGCTCCGACCGCAGTCGCCATACCGGCGGCCAAGCTTGGATGAGAGTTGGTCTATGCGAGGAGAATGGAGGCTTATTAGAAAGTGATGGATCAATTGTTGTTAAACGAGAAGCGATGAGGCTCACAAGGAGAGACCAGTGTCGCAGGTTATGAAGTAGAAGAATGGCCGTCGCCTGGACATGCAGTGCAAACATAGCGTCATCCTCTGCACGCGAACAATTAATAACCGTTAGCTGCGCCACAGTTCGGAGAGACTCATCGAGGAATAGAACATCCTCCCACCAACAGCTACGCGTCTATCAAATACTGCCTTAGTTAGTATATCATGTCACTATGTAAAGGACAAACAAGCTCGTTTGAAATGTTACTGATTTCATTTTTGGTAGAGAGACCAGTGATGCCACCGGCCATCGCATCCGTGTCTACAATTTACCCTTCCGTCCATCCTCTCCGGTCTTGAGAATCGGTCTGAGATTTTTGTCTTGGACACGATCCCATAGGCTTCCCAAACCGGCGGCCCTCCCTTTGACATCTTCTCTCCTGAAGAATTCCTCCGCACTCCTAATGCGAGTGGGATGGATCTCATCCAGCAGCTGGTAGTTCCGACGAATGACGCCCTGGTTCCCACCAGAGTATTTCCACATGTTGAAGAATCCAGTGAAGTTCTGTCTGAAGGTCATGAATGCTGGGTCCTTGGGGTCCGAGTTGTATCCTCCTCCCGTGTTTGCTGCTCTGGCCACATTTCCAGTCTTCCAGTACGTGTCGAGGTCGGTGTCGATGTATCGGGCTGGATGGCCCGTGACTTTTTCGAAAGCCTTCGCTAGGTCCGCATAGTGGATGTGATCGATGGCGACTTCCAGGTCCATCCCGTTGGATCTCTCCGGGTGGTCAAAGAGCCACCTTCCATAATGCTCGCAGTCGTCCAAGGAGACATGAACCACACCTCCATCACCGACAGGAACGCGCCAGGTCACAATGCCATTCTCCACTTTGGGGGTGAAGATGGTGTGTTTGGAAATGCTCATTTCGATATACGGTCCAGTCGTAAAGACGGCAGCACCCATTCTCGGACTGTTGACCTGGTTTTGGGCGAGGACCCATTCTCCAATTCTGCCCTTTCCATCGTAATGGCCAGTTCGGAATTTGGGATCGTACCCACTCTTCTTGTAGACATAGTCAAGATTTCCGTAGACGTAGAACTTGATTCCTTCCTCCAGAGCGAGTTCGTAAGCTCTGATGGCCCAATAAATCTCGGTCTTCTCGCCACAATTGAATCCGTCGATATTGACAAAAGCACCGTCACAGCCGCGGAACCCTCTTCGAAGATCGGGTTCGCTGGCAAAGGTGCCTTCCATCAACTCCACATTGCCCAGCGCGACCAGGTCTTTGGCCCTCTGTGAATTCACATCTCGAGTCATCACTCGACATTTGTATTTCTTGTCTTTGACCAGGCCACGAATAATGGGGATTCCTTGGGCGCCCGTACCACCAATCACAAAGATATACGACGTATGATGACGGGACGACATGTTGATGGTGGAGCACGATTTGAGTTGTATGCCCAAAAAAAAAAAAAAGCAGATTGAAGCAGGCTGATTTCCTACCTGACCGTAGCTGCAGCACTTGGTTGGGAGGGCTTTTAAGAGCTTCTCGACTTACTGGAATGATTAGTCTTCCAACCGGTTTTGGATTTCATCTTTCCCACAAAGGGCAGCCGCGGCTCTGACGTGTTTAGTAAACTTGATATTCGAAATGATCTCTGGATGTACGACACGTCGTCTATCGACTCGTCATGTGTCCGATTCTGTGATTTTAGCAAAAGGGGTGCGGAAGTCATGATGTTTGGGGTAGGGAGAGCGGTCGCGAGGTGTTGTCTAAACCCCTGGGTTCCCCACTGGTCTGCAAGCCATGACTGTCTTGGCCTATGCCTTCAGGCTTCGACCGTTACCCCATTGATCCGTACAAACACGATCACTACGGTCTGGTGAAAGGTTGGAAGCACGAGTGTTCCCCGAGGAATCAATGTTGATGGAAAGCCCTTTGAATTCCTTCCGCAAAGAAGGATGTTAGGACAGCTCTACGTCACTCAACCTCGAGTATCCTGCTAAAATTCAATGGTTCTTCACCTCTCTTCGTTCTCCATTTGTTCGTACTGTTTTGAACAGCCATCGCCCCTCTAATCATGAAAGGCCATTTCCTTGCAAAAGTCTCCGTCACTTCCCAGCCATCGATCTCCCACGGTTCTCCCCAAATTATCAATCCGTTTTTCTCTTGGACGTCGAGGTCTCCTGTGTCGTGGTAGGCCCCATCACCTATCATGTCGAGACACAATTGGAGGTCATCGATGTTCTCCTCGCCGTAGCGAAGAATATTGTCTCGGACGTCGGGGTCGGGGATAATGTCCCATTGTGGATGGTGGGCGATGGTCCTTTGCAGCTCCGTCGGCTGCAAAGCGGGCGGCAGCCGTCGGATGTTGGAGTTGGCAGTTTGTGAAAGAGGTAGGAACGGGGACGGGTAGTCGTCGGTGTACATGAGGTTCAAATCCAATCCCAGCATTTCGGTGTTGGCTATCAAGGCTCGGTATACATTGTAGTACACGAGCGAGATCAAGTGGTCACCAGGAAGCGGATACAGCCAGGCATTGTCGCGCTCGTTCTGTAACCTCGCAGCCAAATCCCTGATCTCCACCAGCCGATTTTCTAGTAGAACCTCATACCATCGTTGGCACGACCTTTTGCTGCGAATGGAGATGAAGGTGGACTTGTTCGATTGGGAAAATGACTCCGCTGCCGCATGCCACTGGCTGCTGGTAATCTTCTGGTTCTTCAGCGTCACCAGGTCGTTAAGATCCACGCGTTGACGGAGGGGAATGCTCCGTAGCCCTGTCACTTGGGAGGAGCTACTGCTGGATGTGGCAACCTCTGCCGCATTTTTCTGTGCAGCCTTGCGCCTTCCTATTCGCCACGTCAGCAGCCTACAGGGACAAAAGGACATAAGAGCCTCGATGAAAGAATCGGCAACCTACGAGCGGCTCGCTGGTTCAATCGGTTCTGAAGCTTGCGACGAATCACTGGGTCCGTCACGCCAGACCACTCATCCTCTAAGGACTGCACGTCTGGATGGAGTTTCAACTCGGCACGGATCTCGGGAGCCACTGGCATTGTTCCTTGCTATGTCTTTGTAGTCTCCTCTCTTGTCTCCTGGTGTGGTGGAAGATGTTCCTGATCGGTTCAGAGAGAAGAAAAAGGCCTCCTCTTAAGACGCATCTTGCTGACACTCTCCTAGTGCCGCTTAGAAGGACAAATTTGCGAGGGAACACGGTCGCAGGACGGTTTATGTCAGCGGATTCAAATCAACGATGAGGTGGCGTGAAGCTCCAGGAAAGCCTAGCTCATGCAGCACGCTGACAAGTGGGTTTTCACTTAATTCCGCAGCCTCCAACCAGAGCGTCAGCCGGAATGGATCAACTTCTCTCCGGCAGGTTCTCCTCGGCAGGTTATCCACGTCAAAACAAGGCTGACTCCTATTGTCATCCACATACATTTGCTCGTCGTCATAGCCGCTGTGCAACAAGGAGGTGGTTGCCGCCATGGGAGACCATGACCGGTTTCAACTTTGCAGCATCAGCAACAAAATCGAAACAGAACTCGAGATCAACCTCGATCTATTTGACCTCTTTGAAGGTCCCATCACCCACTATCATACCCTTCTCCATCCCACGCAATGGCACCTCATCCGAACTGGTCGCCCTCGACTCTGCCCTCGCTGAATGGACGAACATACCTTGTCACAGGCGGCAACACAGGAATTGGCTATTGGACAGTCCACCACCTCGCTCTGCACGGTGCCACAGTATATGCAACATCTCGCTCTGAGGATAGAGGATCATCTGCGATATCTTCGATTAAAGCGTCCATTATGAACAGCAACAAAAGTCTCACACCGACAATCCACTTGGTGGTGGTGGACCTGATGAGTCTGACATCGGTTGTTGCCGGAGCAGATCGAATCCGCAGAGAATGCTCTCAGCTGCACGGGATTGTCAATTCCGCCGGAATCATGGCGACACCGTTCCTGATGAGCGAGGATGGGTATGAATCGCAGTTTCAAACCAATTACCTGGCACACTGGCTGCTAACCGCGCAGCTGCTGCCACTGCTCGAATCGACGGCTCGATTCTCGCCAGCGGGGACCGTGCGCGTTGTCAACGTGAGTTCAACGGGCCATACGGCAGCATTGAAAGAGGGCATCAGTTTCGCCGACACCAGTCTCAAGGAAAACTTCACCTTCCGTCGCTACGCACAGAGTAAACTGGCCAACATCCTTCACGCAAACGCCCTGCACACGCGATACCGTTCCGCCGCCAGGACGGACAAGTCGCAGATCTGGGCTTTGTCCCTGCACCCGGGCGCCGTTGACACACAGCTCAACACTAACACATGGGGTTCGTCTGTCACACCAATCCTGCGGTGCCTGGGAATGTATATCACTCCAGAACAAGGTAGTTTCAACTCGCTTTGGGCGGTCGCCGCGCCCGACGTCACGGCCGAAATGTCGGGGCAGTATTTCATGCCCGTGGGTGTCAAGAAGGCTCCCAGCAAACCGGCACAGGACGCCGAGCTGGCAGAGAAACTTTGGGATTGGACGGAGAAGGAGATGAGAGCGAAGGGATTTTTGAATGGCATCTGAAATGGGCCGGGAGAGAAACAGTTCGTGACCTTTCTGGCTGGGGATGGAGTGCAGGCCGTCGAGGGAGATTTTAATACCACATGAGCCCGAAGGAAAGGAACAGAACGAAATCTGCATTGAACTGAACTGAAATGGGCTCAATCAGGAGTTTCACGGACTTTGTGACAAGGTTTCGGAGGAGTTATGAGACAAAATGGAATACTAGGCTGTGTTTCAACCGCAAATTCGCTGCGACTACATGTGAGGCGACGTGGCGCCTGCGATCAACACACTTTTCATCTCCTCAACATCATTTCTCTTTACGAGAAAAGTTGAGGCTGCAGATTCTCATCGAATTCGAGGGCGAGCCTGAACTGCACAATATCGCCCCACATTTCCTTATTAAAAAAAAAAAAAGGAAAATTAACCCTCCCATCATCCCCAATACGAAAACAGACCGTGTTCGTCGTATTTGATCAAAATGAACCCAATCAGCATTGAAAGTTGATGCTCCCGCTTCCCATTTCCAAGATCTCAATCGTCTTTCCTTTTTTCGAGCCCCTATAGCCGTATAGCTCGCTATGACCCTCTCTCTGTACAATCAAGTCTCGTCCATGAGCATTGACACTCCCTGTGCCACGGGTCTGGAGATGAACCATTCCCTCCCATTCAACGGGGTACCGAATGCTCATGCTCCCACTTCCATGCACCGTGTGCTTTGCCTCAATGGCTCTGACAGCCTCGTTCGAGGTAAGCGGAGCCAGGACTCTCACGCTCTGACTGCCATGGTGTGTGGACGTGGAAAAGTTTGAGACTGGATTCTGCTCTGACACACTTACCGTGTAGACTGTCAGAGACAAAGATCCAGTACGGGTGGAGAGGCTGGTAGAGCCACCGTTTCCGTGCACAACGTCTCCAGACACACTGCCGGTCTGCGTTGAGATCTCAGTCATCAACACTCTCGTTCTTGCTGGCTCAGACACGTAAGGTTTGTGGAATAATCCACCACCCGAGGTCATGCGAACGTGGACGCTCCCGGTCATGGTTGCCAGCCGGAGGACGGCGGGTTTGTCGCCCGGTCGAACATCCACTGTGATCGAGATACTGCCGCTAGTCGTAGAGAGATCGAGTAAATCGTATAACTGATATGTTCCCGTAATAGAGCGGTAGGTCTTATGCTCACGATGTTCGCGTTTAGGGACAGGCCAAGGAGAAGAGCTTGGTTGGGAACCGAAGTTAGGGAACTCCGAACGTGGATCCTGTGTTTATGGTCAGCAAACAAAGCTATGTCAGAGCTTTTACGATGGTGAAGAAAAGTACTTTGGAAAGGGCTCTGCATAAGCCTGGGATCATCAGCCACAAACAGGCGAGGAGAGCGAAGACAGAAAAACACAATCGTTTAAAGCGACGTGCTCTTGTTTTATCACGACGTCCCCTACTACATCTGCGTCCGCCACAACCTCGATTCTTACGACGTCCTCCACACCATCTCCTCGAGGAGCAATTATCGGAAGATTGCATGAAGGCGGGAAGGCTGTCAACTACTTCTTCATCGTCGTGGTGGTGGTGTTGATGCTGAACAGGCTCGGGCAGGCAGGACGAGGCATTGTCATCCTCATCGCGATAAGGGCGTTGGGCTTGAGATTGGGAGGAGGAAGAAGCTGTAACAGGAGCGCTTACGGGCTCTGAAATTGGTCCTGATCTTGTAACAACCGGAGACGCCGCTGTGGCAGGCGATTGTGAATGAGCCTGCGTAGTATCGGATGGTGTATAGACCGGTGGAGGGTCCGACGGATCTGGTTCTTGCGGCAAATGTGGATATTGAACATCCCTCACTTCATCACCGTCAACTGTTGATGCCGTTGGGGTTCTGTTCGTCGCTGGCGTACCACCAGCGAAGTTATCAGCCCATGAGCCTTGTGAGCCCAATCTTTGGGCTTCGGCTGCAGCGGATCTTGTCTTATCTGCATCTCCTCGGTGGTATGAGGCCGGAGATTGGGTTAGAGAATCGGATGGGGTGTCTTCAGGGAAGGTCTCGTAGTTACGAGGAGGGTATTGTTTGTGAATTGTCATGGTGAAGTCAGATTGGCGAGCCACTCAATCGGTGAGCGCCTTCGATATAGGGACTTTCCAATGAGGGTTTTGTGCGTTGTCAGTGGCTCGACATTTGTCGACAAGAGGTTCAGGTCATAAGAACGCGGACGACTGGAAGTCACTCAGGTCAACATTTGATGAATCAAGTGAGGTTAAAGTGTAGGTCCGTAACTGCTGAAGGTGAGAGGAATGTGGTTTATTGTTACAGACGTCACACTGAGCCCTGTACCGCCCACTTGCCGGGGTGCCACAGGCAGACGCCAATCCAACCGGCAACGGCCTGCGCCTCCTCCTGGCTACCGAAAAAGGATACGCCTTTGATGCACAATCCTACCCTCTGGAGGAGCACCACGGGGTTGTCCATTGCCCTTCATAGGCCCACCGAGGTCTTGCATCCTTTATCCTCTCATAGCACTTGGGTGGTGTGTCTCATCTGGTGGAGTGATTCAGGCCCTCCATCTCCCCAATTATTTTGCTTGCTGCTGAAGCTTCTCCGAACGTCATAGACGTTTAGGTTTTCAAGATTGTGGTTTGATAAGGCTGGCGGCGGTATGACTCCGTTCGGACCCGTCGTCCAAAAATTACCGGCGGCTGCGTGGTCACTAGATGCCTACTTTTAAAAATCAGAGATGCTCTCCCGAAAAAGGATGGAGAAAAGAGTATGTATCATTGTCCTGTTCAACGCACACAGGGAGGAACAACCTCAAGGTCTCTAGAGAGATCTCTGATCCAATTAGAATTTATCACCTCCCCCTACCAATATCCACTTCCGTCTAGTTCCAGTAACGAACGTATTCTGAAGACACATCTGAGAGAAATCCATCAACACCCAAATCACCAATGAATGTACACAACTCCCTCGCTGATGCCTCGCTAACTGTCGATGGTGAATGCTGAAAATTCAAGATCTCGCTCAACACTGTGCAAACTTTTGGCGGTACCACTCGCAGAGAACAAACACTCCCAGTAGTAAGGCATTCTCGTTTACTCGCTCTCAAAGGTTTGATCATGCAAATCCTAGATTTTCGAGGATTGCTTTGGCTTCGTTGTGTGGAAGACCGGCAACTCCCATTGCTCTGACTTGACTACCTCTCCTCAATCGTTGTAGGCCCACGGCTACCTTCCAACCTTCGCTCTGTGATAAGATGAAGACGTATTTTTTCCCTTCTTGATCTCGAATGCTTGCTCGAAGTACGTGCATTCCGCCGAGTTCACAGCTCTGTTTTGAAGCTTTGTTAGTAGATTCACCTGAGTGTTTGATAGAGGAGAGGCACGACATCCAAAGGAGATTATGCGTCCAGGAGGCCAGTTCCACTTTGTCGGGGGAATATTAGAGCACCATACCTCTGCCAATTTCATCGTCCAAGCCTTGATATCCCATTCACGCTGGGGCACACCTCGCACATCGTCATCGATAAACAAGCCTTCGGAGGTAATACGGAGAATTAGGCCATCGGTGACATTACCTTGGCCGGATATGAGCTGGGCGATCGGTGTTCGCATAAACGCATTGTTGAAGGAAAATACACCCTTGATGATGATCTTGTCTGGGTCCTTGGTCGAGTACGGCCCACGGGCCGAAGGAGGCGGAGTCGTCTTCGCAGTGCTCTCAGAAGGTGCGTATGACGACTCGGAGTACATGGAGGCCGCCGAATTTGCCTTGTGGGTTCGCCTTGGCCGGTCGTATGGTCTGAATGAGTACGCGTCGTCGTCACGTTCCGTCCTCGCAGATGGCATGGGAGGGCGTTTAGGAGATGATTGTGCGGCGGCGGCCGCTCGTTCTTGCTTCTCCTTCTCAGCAGCAGCGGCGGCGGCAGTAGCAGCTTCTCTTTCCTCGCGCTCTTTCTTTTCCTTCCGTTCTCTCTCGAGTCTCTCTAATGCATCCTTTTCTCTCTGTTTCTGGCGTTCCTTCTCCAGTTCCTCCCTCCGTCTCTTCAGTTCTTCGGCCCGCTTGCGCTCTTCTTCTCGCTTCCTGGTTTCTTCCCTCGCCTTTTCCCAACTAGATTTGGCGGTTGTAGTGTTGGCTTTTGTGTTTGCCTGAGGTGGTGGTCTCTGCCATGATGACTGCGGAGGCGGTGAATTGGCTCCATGGTTAGGACGTGGTGGAGGGGGAGGTTCAGGATGTGGCGGAGGTCCCGATTGAGATTGGGAATAGGTTCCAGTGTTACCGTATCCCGAATGGCCCGGACGGGAATGGCCTCCAGCACTGGAGTTGGCGTTGGGGCCATTAGATGATCCCGGCTGTGCCCATTCACTCTGAGTTTTACCAAATGCCCAAGCGACAACTGCGACACCACATATGAGCATGAAAACCCCTCCTCCTCCACTATTAATGGTAGTCAGAAACCATTCCTTGATGACAGGCACGGCGGTGGTGTAGATAAAGAAGGAGGCGGCTGTGCAGAAGACTCCGGCCAGAAAGCTGTTACGTTGTGTCTGTAGCGAAGGCAGGTAGAGGAAGCCCGAGCCTGAAGAATGTGGAGGGATGACAAAAATGTCATATCTGCCATCAGGGAGACCACCCGACCTGCCGCCTTGTGGATTGGAGCCATGGGGCGGCGGCGGAGGTGGAGGTGGCTCCATGAGAGCAAAGCTCTCTGAAGATTCGAAATGTTTATCTCTCCAAACAGAAGTGTATCGGCTGTTGTGATCGTGGTAAAGCCTTCTTTTTCATGTTAAATCCCGACTGCGCAGTGGGCAGTTACAGTGACGTGAGACTTGGGTTCGAGCTTTGGCCAGTGACCGACAAGCACCGCAGCATTCGAGAGAAGAGGGATAGCTGATCTAAAGAGATATCTGTTGTGACGATGTCGGAGTAGTTCGTTGGGGTCACGGAAGGTTCAGATGTGGCAGGCGTGGAACAGGATGTCGAGGAGGCACCGAAGAAAACAAGGGAAAAAGAAAGAGTTCGGCTCGTAACGATGTCTTTTGGGATTGTGAGGGCTCGAGACAGGGAAGCAGGGCCGGTGATTTTGTTTGGGCTGGCGCTAGACCGGGAGGCAAGGCCGGCGAAGGCTTCAGGTCATCTTCCAGTGGACCGGGATGAACAGAAAATGCCCCCCCCAATCGGCGGTTCAATTAGTCAGATTAGACAACGATGGCAGATTTTGACAGTGCGAGATGCGTACGAGGATATTCCTAGCAGTGATGAGTCGGCGGTGACGGGGTATTGGTATGAAGGGAGGTTTTTGAGATCGACCTGCCTGCCCGTCTTTTGTCAGAGTTCAAGAAAATTCAGTCAACGATAATACAGTACAGGTGAGTACGCAGATAAATGGGTTCTATTCCTACGGGCGTCGTCTTTTACTGAGTACGCGAGAGAAATCCTATGCGGCTAGCAGTGTTGGAGATGCAAAACAATGGCACTGATATCCAATGGAGCGGATGGTCAGCAGCAAGATGATGCCACCCGCTGCGACGAATTTTCTAGCCGGACAAATCACACGTGCAGGAGTCACATTCGCGTTGCTGATAGGCAGAATTTCCTCAGAAATCAACGCCTTGAAGAGGGTAGCATGACAACGATGGTCAGTTCATCCCCCTTAAGTGCACCGGTTCGAGGATGATCACGCATCAGAAGAGACCACGTCGACCGGTCCTGCATGGTGGTGAAGCTGAAGCTGGTGTGATGAAGTTTCTCCACCGAGATGTGACGGGGAGCTGGCTAAGAATCGAGGCAAACGATAAACAACGCGAACGTTGAAGCCTGGTGCTGGTTACTTCGGAAACATGTAGCAGCTAAAAGGAGGAGGGTACCAATTGCACCAGTGACAGAGCCGCGGGCACGACAGGTACCAGCCTATGTGTGCACGACCAGCCAGGAAACCCTACTAGTGGCCGGGGATTTCTCAAACTGCGCTCTCGTGGTCATTCCCCAGCCCACCCAGCTCACTAGTTGTCCTGGTATCGAAACCCCAAAATCTCCAAATTTTTTCTGCGGTCTCTGGCAGAAAAAAAAAGAGTTCATCATCGTTACGTAGACGGTAGTCCGGTCTTTGTCACGACGTCCCCCATTACCAGCGCAGAATTCTGTTCCATCTTGACTTCAAGTCGCACAAAGTCCTTTGAAACTCTCGTAATCGAACCACTGCTTAGCCGAGACGAACTCGCAGTGCGGGAAGGATTCTTTGCTGCCTGGAGACTGGCAGGGTTCGCAGGGTCCTCTCCCACGCTCACAGCCAATTCTTTGGCCCCTATCCTTGTCATTGCAGTGGTCGACCCCAAACCTGTGCTCCCTTCGTTCCTGATGCCAGAAGAAACTTGAAGAAAGAAAAAAGGCGGACTCGGCGCCATACCAAAGCCCATGAAACACTTCTACCATCGTCCGTACACATGCAAATTATGGTATCAGGAGAGTTCCTGACCCAGGGAAATATCTTTGGTTCGCAGGTCCAGCGCGATGCTCCGTAATTCAGACTTGAGATTAACGAGAATACTTTCGGAAGACATCAGCATAACCTGACACGGACCGAACGCAGTCACCACACGCGTAGCCGGCCACCAGAGCAATTCGGTTCTGCAGCGTTCACGTGAATCCCAGGCCAATTTACAAAGTTGGACCTCGTTAGCGAGTGTTAACCGAAATTCATGCGGCAAACTCTTCCGCCCCCATGCTTCTCGATTAATTGGTGCAGTTCCGGACGCCGTGTTCATGCATCTAGGGTCAAGCGAAGACCGGAGAGACAGATTTGACAGTTGATGCTGTGTAGGTTTGACGTAACAAACTGCAAGCACTAAAGCCTTGTACAGCCTTGCCGTCAGCATCTTGGCGGCAACATATGGAGGAAAACTGCCATTTTGCAATCTAGACTCTGATCTGGCACCTGCTCCAGGCGCATCGCACCAGATCCGAGTTCTATTCCAAGCTCCGATCCGACTCACCGCTCATCCCTGGTCGAGACCAAAAGCACTCAATCCTGCTTGTCCACGACGTTCTTCCCGTTGAGACATCAGCCAGACGTTTTTTCAAGTCCAGTATCACGATAGCTGATATTGCTGCGCTGGCCGGCGTTACAGCGTCCGTCACATCGCTTTCGCCACGTATAGAAGAGCATCGCACTGTGACCCGCGGCCAGGACGAAGGTGATAGTGAATGCGGTGATGTCGACGATTGTGGTTCTCTTGAGACCTTGCTTTTCATTCGTTGTGGTATTCACCGAGAGCATGGTCGAGTACGGATAATTGGTCGATTGGGGGTTGAGGGGTGTTCCGTTCACTATGACGCCGCGAAGTGATATGGCCGAATTACGCGTTATTCTGGCTCTGGTTCATCGGTCTGCGGCTCGAAGCCCACCAAGTCAAAGCGTGTTGATTTGTCTGTGCACTTGTCGGAATTGAGACACGAATTTTGGTATTTGTGTGAACGGTCTCTGTGAGCGAATAGAAACGACACCTAAAGGGGCATCATAGCTTGGTTTACTGATTGTGTGAATGGAGAAGCTTGGTAGAGGGGGTAGGTGTTGGATGTATTGCGCAGATGTGTGATTCTCAGGCACACTTCTGCCTTGATGAAGCCTCCAAAATTTTCTTTTCCTTCACAGCCATGTGGGAAGAATTATAATCTTTACCGTGGTAGCCAGCTCGGCAACTCTGGTTGTATGGACAACACGAACGCACCAATCTGAGCTGCACGATATGTGCACCTCTTTCGAAGACAGAGGATGAGGAACCTGGCGCAGCAAACTGCAAGCCCAAATTGCATGAGACCCTCAACATCGTGTAGAAAGTATGCTTATCTCTCCTGTCCTCTCTCATTTGTTTGCGGTGCTCCTGAGCCTTTTGCTTCTTTCCTCGCTAGAACTGTCCCCATCCATTCCTCAAACTCTTCCTCTGCCTCTTTCTCAGATTTGCCCGTCCCATCGACACCAAGTCCACCTCTCAGCATCATCCTCGCATCCGCCATACTGTTGATATCGAGATACCACAAAGTTCCACCGGTGGCCATCATAGCGAGACTAAGGACATTGATTGTCGCGATATTCAATGCTTCGAAAGCCTCCATAGGGCCAGACACCTGTCTGGCTTGTTCTGCTTGGTGGCCTGGAGAATGTGCATAGAATGCAGGATTGGCAGCTAAACGCTTCCGGGCGAAAGCCCTCCGTGTAATTAGAAGAGAGAGGCCGAAGAATGCGACTCCAGCTCCGAAGATGACTTTGTTTCTATGGGGTCGATCGACCTGGGGGGCTTGCGTTGCAGAGGGCTTCGGAGCCTCGACAACTGGTTCCGTCTTCGCTGAGGGTTCTGCGGCCAGACGTTTGTTCTCGGTTGTTGATTGAACTGCAGGAGTGGAGGAGGTATTAGAAGGTGTAAACCAGGATGTAAACCACGACATCGTGAAAAGGCCAGGCTACCTGGCTATCTTCTTTGGAGAATATAAGATGGTTGCTTGCAAGTCATGCTCATTGAGACTGGTGAAGACAAAATAAGTTTTCGGGCCCCATATGGAGTCACGTGAGAATCACCTCCACAAAGGATTTCAGTTGAAGTAGCGCTACTAGCAGTTAGGGAAAGTTCCTTTTCCTTCTATCTACTCGGCCCTCGTTCATAAACCCCTATCGAGCAGAGAAATGAAAGGATGTACGGGCAATACAGCACAAGAATATCCGTCTGCGATCGCAATAGTCTTCCCAGTAGCATTTCAAGCTGTGTTTTATTCATATTAATCTGCTCCTGGAGACGGGCCCCCCATTCTTGCCTGACGGCAAATTGAGCATTTTTCGGGGTCGTAATCCATCTGGCATGCCGCGTATGACTCCAGAAGCTGGAAAGGAAACCCGAGACATTGTGCGCTCGCCGATTTTCGTATCTCTTAGAGGAAATATGCCCGAGCGTGGGAATTCTCCTCCGCGACCCAGACGCCGAAGTCCATCCCTACATGCCAGAAACCGCTGACGATAGCAGTTTTCCAGTACTCTGGATCCCTTTGTGCCGTTCCCGGAATTTTTGCGTGTAGTCTCAAGTTACTTTGCATCAGGACAGTTGCCATTGAGAAGGCCGCTTCCGGTTCTAAAGGATTCCAAATAGGATATTTCTCATGTCAGCACTTGCTGTACGCGGTGTCTAGTGCTCACCCACCGAATCGACGAATCAACGCAATAGTCGAGCTAGGTTGATTCCTAGCTGTCTGGCATTTTTGGGCGGTGAATTATGCAAATGTGAGAAAGGAATCGATTGAGACTATCCTCCTAAGTGCTGGTCAGCCTGCATAAGGCCCGCTGTCGGGCCCTCCTACCAGTAGACAATTCAAGGTGAGTCTTAAAGAGGATCCCCACACGGTCCACGGGAGGGCACAAGGCGCGGTCGTCGGCCTCTAAACATATTCGAGATCAATGGTTGATTGCATAGTTGAGGATAAATCTTCTTATCGAAGGAACCGTGAAATAGAAAGACTGAATCTATGTCAAGTAGCGTTATTTAGGTTAGTGTCGGTGTTCCCAGAGTTTGCGCAGGGCATGGATTCAATCTCCACGCAAAAGTGCCCGGAGCTGGTATCCTGCTGTTAGTGTATAGAAGCGTCCTGGTCTGAGGATGCCATGCGGAAGCGGTCGACTAGGAGGGGTGTCTCTTTCACAAGAATGTTGGTAACACAGTTCGACTTTGAAATCAGATCGTGACTGTCTTGTTTGTCCGCACCGAGGACTTCGGCAATTCAGAAAAAGCCTCACGCGGGCTGTGCTCTGCTCCGAATAGAGTTCCATTGTCCAGTACAGAAGGAAGAGATGTGTTGTTCATAGGCTCAAAGCTGGTCATGTTAGGCCCCAAGTATCAGTCGAGCTGCCTCGAATTTGAGGCGTACTCGCCCGAATTTAAGGCTTGATGCTCAGTAAGCAGCGACTCTGCAAAGCCCGAGGGCGTCCTTGGATTTCTGAAAGCATTGTGACGTTAATGACGAGAAGTAAGAACAGATCGTTAGGCAGTGTTTGGAAGTTGGACGGCAAGGAATTAACTTTGGAAGCACCGTGCCAAGACTGATGGGCGCGTCGAAGCACATTTCCTCCGCGGCGTATCCTCTTTTACTGGGCACATTACACCACAACAAAATGATGTCAAGGTAAAGGGTCTCCTCTGAGGCCACTATGTGGCCCAACAGGGCTGAGCCTTGTCGGCGCTGAGAACATTTCCCATTCTCCTGACTTCGGACAAGACCCAGGGCCAGAAGATCCAAAAGAAAACATTGCCGCTTCTGGCGAATCCAGCGCCCGAACAAGTAATCTCCATACCAACTTCATGCTCCAACATCGGTTACGATGCGACCTCTGGTACGCATTAGCGGCGACGCCAACCGTACAGCCGAAGGCATATGTGTGGCCTGTTGCCATTCGCCCGAGTTTCTCGAACATCGTTTTGGGGCGTATCTTCTGTCAAGAGTGGAGGATTCGCTCATAAGACTTTCGGGTAGCCAGGGGAACAGAGGTATGAGAAGACCCAACAGCCAGTCAGGGGATGATACGAGTCGGCTAGGTTTGTCTCAACACTGTCCAGCAGGGAAAATAGGTTTCACAGCCTTTCAGGTGCTCCGATGATCCAAGACTATTTCAGATATTGGCTTCGAGTCTTCTACTACATGACAGGGGCGTGAAGGGAAGTATTGAACGTTGTGCAGATGGTTGCTCCGAGAATCTTCATTATTCTTCCTATTTGCCAGTCAATCGTTCTTTGTGCAGGAACAAGATGGAGGAGGTCTAAGATAACCGATGGGTTTGCTTGATGATCCTCTATGAACATCTTTCACGGTAGTTTCCAGACACCCCCCAGCCCCATGTTATGGATACCTTCTGCCGCCGATCGACTCACGTCAGCCCGAGATGTGCATTTCTATTCAAACTGACTAGCCCCTTGCGGTGGATGGGGCTATGGGGACTTCAGAATTCCCCACCCATTCGACATTTCGACTCCGTTCAATATGTTGCTTTTTGAAACACCATTCTCGACTGGTAGATGGAACTACTGCAGGCATTGAGGTGCATGCAGAAGCTGGAGACTGGCATGAAAAACCACATTGACCAAAGCCGTCTTATCCGGTTGCCACCTCGTATTGACTATTTGACGGGTCTCTGCAACTCTACTTTCACCACGACATATTCCATGGTACCCTGTCCCTATCCCTGTCCCTCGGCATCAGCCATGCATGTCATCTCCCATCCGCCCGCCCAACTAACGTGGGTCCTACAAACTTCTTCTTAGGACAAGAGCTGATCGTCACCATTCGCTTAATTCGCCAATTTGCTAAGAATGGGGACTCCCTTCAAGAATTACCCAGAAAGAGTATCGAGAGGCCCCGAACAGGGAAATTGCTCTTGATCTTCATCCACCAGCGTATGTATGTCAGAACATTAATCAATGTTGGTCTATAGAAATAAAGTTCAGTCAGTCTTCCCAGGGATAGTAGAGTCCACCGGAAGAACCCAAACGTGGCTATTCCCTGCTTACATTGGGGGCCTCGGAAACTATCGCGATGATGATGACAGCTAAGTATCTTTTCTTTTGTGCTTCAAGAACTTGGTAGAAATTACACGGAGGAACCTTAGTTTTGAGGATGTTTGAACTGTATGGGTATATTTTCCGGTCCATCAAGTTATCATTGCAACCTCGTACCAGATTAGCACGAGTTTGATCAGCTCTCTGTGTAAGCGAGTTCTAGTAATACCACGGGGAATGTTTGCTTCCTTTTGCTGTACTCAAGTCCCAACCCCGACCGGCAAATGCAAGTAAACAGACAGGATTGAAGGGAAATCTGATATGGCCTGAACCAGTAGAACACCATCTCCAAAATACACACACACACACACACACACATTTGAAATCTAGTGCTAGTTCTTTTCCATAATGGCGTCATTCGATAATCATGCAACCGTGCATTGGATTGTCCGGGTCGGCTCGTACTCCATATGTCCTTCACCAATCCACTTTTTGATCCGGTTTCCTGAACAGTAAGGTAGTAGTATCATCTCAGACGGCCCAAGTTTCTCGATTCCAATTTGGTGCCTGGAAAATGTTGAGTCCTCTGGCAAACCTCTTCATTTCGGCCAACCAGTCGCTGTCCGTGGCGGCGTCCGGAACTAGATAGATCTTTTGAATTCGTTGCGTTTGACCACGAATCCATTCCAGTTGACCTTTTCGTAATTTGCCTATCAGCGGGCCAGGTCTGAAATTTTTGGATTGCAGAGCGGGAGCCTTGAGGAACCCTGCAAGCGGAGTCATGATGAACCAGCCACCAATGGCTGCAGCAGCGCGCATGTGGTCTTCCATGGTCATCTCCACCTCATTTCCAAAGGGGTCAACGTATTTTGCCTGTCGGCGAAGCTCTTCGGGGACGTGCGGGTATTCCCTGTGCTCATGAGGGAATGAAAGCGTTGTTCTGTTCCCTAGATGATATGGAATCGATGCACAGAAACGATCCACGATCTCTTGCATTTTCTTGTAGAGGTAAGGGCCGAGTTCAGGGTTGGTGCCGACACCGAGTTCTTCGAGTTCCTTCATGGACAATGCAACAAGGCGAAGAGCCCCAATGTGTGAACTCCGAGAAGCATTGTTGATGTGAGAGATCGAAAGGGACGAATATACGTCACAGGTGTCTTCGTAAACACCAGCAGCTCGTATGGAAGGGTGAAGTTGGGAGGCAGGAATAGGGACTGGTTGCCATGACTTTGGAAGCGAATCCCTCCATGCTTGCAGCTTTTGGTCGATGATAAGGGCCCTCTTGATAATCGCCTGGTAGAATTCGATCAAGTTCAAGCCCGCCGCGGAGGGTCCGTTCCGGGCGAACATGTGGAGGTCGGCGAGCTCAACATTGATGAGATCGAGCTTGGCGGAAGGCAAGACGGCAGTGTCTTCTGCGAGGAGATCATCATCAAGTTGAACCTCTTGTCCCGTTTGTAAAGAATAATTTATATGTCGACTCCTCATGGCGGTGAATAAGCGTTGGGAGAGTGCGGTCTTGAAATTGTCTTTACCCCTGTGCCGCAGTAACGCGACGGCTCCTTGCTGATGAGTACCGGTGTCGATAAAGTTGGTGAAACGCTTGTTGAGAGAGTCGTAAAAGTCGAGCATAAAGACCGTCGCAAGAGTGTTGTCCGTCCGAGACTGGACTGGGTCCTGCAGGCTCTCTTTGAGAAGGGCCACGGCTTTGCCGTATGCTTCCTGAGCCAGATACGAGTGGGAAAATCGGGCCATCCACATCTGGGTAACGTTGATCGCAACGGCGTTTATGGCTTGAGCCAATGCCGAATGAGCTGGAGCGTTGATGTACAATGGGAGAATGTGCTCGACGAAGATGTTGGTGCTTGGGTCTCGGGGGATGTTGACATAGTTGGAAAAGAAGTAGTATAGAGACTCCAACTCGAAATTTCGAGAGGGCTTGAGGAGGAGAAGAGTGAGCTCATCACCCTTGGGAGGTAACATCGACAGGTCTGGTGCCGTTAGGTCTGCTTTGAATGCATCTGCGCTTAAAGGGCCGAGAAACATGTCGATATCATGATGGTTATCCTCATCTGAGGAGCTGTCGCTCTTTGCACATCTTTTCGTGGAGCCTTTGTGAGAGACGACGAAAGTTTCATCTTTGTGAACGGCATCAAACAAATCCCGATAACCAGGACATTCCTGTTTTCTTTTGATACAATTGCCGCATTGAGGCCGGCCTTCATCGCACTTGGGGCGGGTTAGCACTACACAGCTTCATGGGGGAAAACTGATCAAGAGATGCCCACTTACCTTAACGCGCCGCCGGCGGCAGGTGTAACAGCCTCGACTTGGTCCTTTGTAAACCATCTCGACCACTTTTCCAGCAAACGAGTTGGAGATGTTGGGGTCGGTAGATTCAATGTCCTCTTGAAGAGCCTTGTCTCACGGCCAAGGCAAGAACTTCTAGCATGTCCTCAAGCAGGTGATGCCTAATATAATACAGCGGCAGCAGCCAGGATCCAAAAGAGGTTGTCAAGTTTCCCAAATGATCACAGACGTGTAAATCACAAGCAGCTTTTGCCGCGGCCTCCAAAGAAAGAGTTCGGAGCCGGCGTATTGTAAATCCTCCGCCTTGGCGAGGGGGCTGTGTTGGCATTGGCGTCTAGGGCTGCTCTGAGGGCCACCGATGGTACCCTGGCTCCCGCCTACCAAAAGTACGCGTTATCGTGGCTTGGAACTCGGGTGCTTTCATGACGATATAAAGCCTTCTGGAAGGGATCCACTGCTCACAGCTATTGGCTTTCGGTTCATCATGTCTCCTGACATTATCTCCCTATCCGTCGAGTCCCTGACTATGCCCGTGCATAAAAGATGGACAAAAGAGCGAGGATCAAAGGTTGGAAATGGGGTTGACTCAGAAAGGCTCTCTATCTGCTGGTCAGCGAAAGGGTTTCGCTAACCCTACAGCCCTGTGCCTTGGTGGGCTCCACTCCATGCTACTTCTTCGAGGCTTACTGATGACACCGTCTCCTGGAATCTTGATCATACACAAGCACGTGCAGTGGGAAACGACGGTCGTGGGCATGTCTCATTTTTTCTAATCACTCTGGAAGCGGGAAGGAGATTGGGGTGTAAAATACGACTCGAGTTATTCTGACCAAGACAAGGCTCTCCATGGTAAAATCATATTTTTTACAGTCATGGAGCGATTCTGGACAACCCAATTCGCCATCACCTGACTGGGGACGTTGCAAAAGTCAACAGACAGAGCCAAGTCGAATTTTCTTTTGTTTCTACCTATCAGACAACCAAGGCATCTGGACCCCATTGTGGTCCCAAACCTTCCCACGGTACATGGCTTTGTCAGCCCTATCAAACACCACCATCAGTCCTTTGATACTGTCCTTGAGCGTGACCGGAATATCATCTGGACACATGCTGGCATATGCTGCTGCTGTATTTCTCATAGTGGTCGGCGCCCGGACAACAGAGCTTGTGTGGCTTGGGACAACAGGGTCGGAACCAGGGAATTGACCTCGAAATGCTCTATGACAGTCTCTGCAGAAGCTCCTTTTGCTGGGCCAAAGTGTTTGAGTGTACCGGCATGGGCAAACAACAACATCGAGACTAGTAATCTTGTGGGTTGATCTGAGGTATGTAACGAGGTTGACTGCTGTTGTCTTTGAACCGGTGTTGTACTTTGCTACGACGATTTTGCTGCCAGTAATAACAGGTAGAGACCTCAGAGAATTGGTGGCGGCAGAATCCGGGCCGTCTCGAATGGCTGCGATGGCCAATGTGTTCGGGCGAGAGGCGGATGTTGAAAGCAGGCCTCGTCCCATACCGGCTTTGGAGCCAGTGATAAGTACTGTGGTGTTGAAAGACATGGTAAGTCGATGGTTAAGTGATCCGGTCGGATGATAGCCTGAATTAGAACAAATATGCCTGGCTGTGGAACAAGTACGAGAGCTGGTGTTTGGTGAATAAACTGACCCTAGAATTCTCAGTCCCTCTTCCTCGAATGTATACCATGACGGCTCCTTTCCCCCCTCTTTCTTCCGTCATGTCCATGTTGAATCTCCGGTTCAGTGCGATTTTCCGCACTTCATCTCATCTCATCCAGCATTTCTCATCACTGCTAAACCTATCAAACGAGGACAATGAGGACTTTCCAGAACAAGAGCTTGGTTGGGAATCATGGTAGTTGATGGATTGATGGGGGTGTCAAACACGAGCGTATAGCGCAATGAGTCCGGAGCAAGGGACAAACACGAGATCAGTATTTCCAGACCTATCTAGATAATGAGATGCGAGAGGTCGCGTTTGATTGCAGATTTCTCGCTTTCCACATTTGGATATTGGCGCCAAAATACTATGCTCGGCCCTTTGTGAACTTGCGAAATGATTGACCTGGGCTTTGCATTTAGAATAGACAAGGGAAATTATCTGGTGCGGACATTAAGGGGCGGAAGAACACTGAGAATAAAGGGAGGCAAGTTTTCCGAACCACGTGCTCACCTCAATGGTCATAAGAAAGAAGCGAATTCTGGGGATTCGCGGTTCAATGAGGACTGTATTTCTCTCTTTCCCAAGGGCAGTCTTTGCTTTTCGCTCTTGTTGCAGCACCCTTTGAACCGTCGTGATCACGATATTGATCGCGCCGTCCATGCAGCATTCGCAATGATCGTGAGGTGACAACTGAAGGCGCAAAATGGCGCCGCCTCCATCATCCACCCCGACCACATCCAGTGCTGGCTCAACGCCCACTCCTTCACCAGCACCCTCTCTCATCCCTCCTCCGGTCCCTGTTGAGACCCATCCAAATCGAGGGAAGCCCCAAGCAAACCGGCTTCTTCCAGATCCCAGTCGTCTTGCGCCCGAAGATGCATACAAGGCATTCTCGCCACCACGACTACGACCGGTCCCCGAGATTAATGGATCTGCCGCCGCGTCTGCCGCGGCCGCTGCTCTTCGACCAGCGGTTGCATCGCTCCGAGCACCACCAGCCATTCCTCCTGTTGCAGCGCGACTAGCAGAAGAAAAGAGACGCGCGGCCAGTCGGCGATGTAAGCAACCACGCGTCTGGAAAAAATTACTTTGGATCAAACAGCACGGTTTTCCGGACAACTACACTGACACCGAGACATTCCTTGACCACCTCCAACGCAATCCCAGGTTAAGGCCATACGACTTTTGGCCTCTGGTCGCAGACTCGGCGGTCATTGTGCAGCATGTTTGCTCCGTGGCCATTTTTGTGTGCGCATACGCCGGCATTTATCAGGACCGTCTATCCCCGGTGGCAGTGGTGACATGTGGTACCATTGCCACCGTAGCAGGCTGGATAGTATGGGATTATTGGATGGGTCAAGAAGAGGCAGAAGAGATGGCCGCTCTCTTGAAGGTGAACCGGCCGTCAATTGATGTCGACGACGGTTCAAGTACCAGTTCAGGGGCCTCGGCGAAGCACACAATGAATGGTAATGGACATGTCAATGGAGGACCAGTTGGTCGCGGTGTTGGACTAAAATTGTCCACCGCCAATCTCGCGGTCAGGGACGGCGAACAAGTGTTTGCCGGGAAGCATGGTCAATCTCTGTCCAAATCGTCTTTCCAATCCATCTCACCCATTGATCCGCTGGGCGACTATCCAATGGAACCATTTCCTGATCTTCGTCCAACAACGTCGCGTCCGCAGGTGCCTCAGTCACCCAGCATCAGCTTTTCTCCCACCACGCTGCCGACCTCTATTTCACCTCGCAATCAAGCACGCCTCAAAACATTCAAGTCTGCCTGTCTGATATATTTCGCTCTGCTCGGATTGTCACCAATTCTGAAATCGTTGACCAGATCAACGTCATCAGATTCCATCTGGGCTTTGGCGACCTGGCTCTTGATCATCAACATCTTTTTCTTCGACTATGGAAGTCTGTACATTCCCCCCCAGCCTCGAAAGCCACCGCCGCCCCTCGAAACCTCGTCGGCGGCTCCGACTAATCCATCCCCGGCACACTTCAATTCATTTCGCTCCCCTCCATTTCCGTCCTCATTGTCTACGAATGCCGCCTTGATGGCCAGTACTGTGTTGGCATCTCGCCTTCTAACTACGACCGCGGTTTTCAGTCTTACCCTCTTCTCCATCCAAGTATTTGGTCTGTTCCCAGTATTTCGCCGCCATCTTCGTCACAAATCATTCAATCTCCATCTTCTCCTCACTTTTGCGCTTGTCACCATGTCCACCTGTAGCTTGGGGTTAATTTTATCGAAATCATACACACATACGTATGGTGACTGTGGGTTTTGCTGGGGTTGGATTTGGCATGTGATCCTTCGGAGTACAATAGGGTTTGTGGTTGGAGGGTTCAGTACAGCATTTATCATGGGAGGTTGTTCCTGGTGGTTGATCGGTTTGCAACGGTACAAGAACGTGGTGATTGGACCTTGGGATCCAGCCAAACCTGTTCTGGCTGGCGGCGTCTATGGAAGAAGTAGAACAGGTACTGAGTAATTTGTCGACGAAACATCCTCTCTTGGAGACGACGTCCGCGGGGACGACTTGGCGGCACACTCCGTTCCGGCATCGGAATAGGGGATCTCGGAAATCCAGCGTCCTGTCAAGGGAGCTTCGAGACGGCGAGAATCGCGAAAAATGAGTCGCCAGAGTGGATCGCGAGATGCCAAAGGGGAGCAGGAGGGGGATGTGTTTGATGGAAAGTCAATGACCATGAGAAAGAACTGCGGGGTCGGGGCCAATGGCTGATTCCCAAAACTTTCATTCCTCCCTCGGACGAAAAACTCGATATTACGTATCACCACATTCATCTCTACAACCTTTTATGTCATTTGTCTTTCCATTCTTCTTCGTCACTACCATCACTGATTCCTTTTCTTCTCTGTGACTGACACTTACAGCTGTATCGACATCCCGTCCCGCCACAAGTCATCAACCCAAAATGGCCCCTAGTCTGCCCTTTGAACTGAAAGACCCCGACCTCTTCCACCAGGAATCGTATATTGATGGGAAATGGGTTGGGGCAAAGAGTGGCAAACGGTTTGACATCGTCGACCCAGGCACCGACAAGATGTGGGCCTCATGTCCCGACAACGCGGTTGAAGATGTCGACAACGCCATCCAATCCTCATACAAAGCATTTCAGGAATATAGTATCCTCAACCCCCGGAAACGGGCCCAGATGCTGATGAAATGGCACGAACTCATCACCGCAGCCAAGGAGGATCTGGCCAAAATCCTGACCTACGAGACGGGCAAGCCTCTGGGTGAAGCAATGGGAGAACTCGACTATTCGCTCGGCTTCACCTGGTGGTTTGCTGGCGAGGCCGAGCGTATCCACGGCTCTGTTTCGGTGCCCTCCGCCCCCAATCGACGGACCTTTGTGATCAAGCAACCCATCGGTGTCGCAGTCGCCCTCGTCCCCTGGAACTTCCCAGTGGCCATGATCTTGCGCAAGGCTGGCGCCGCTTTCGCTGCCGGCTGTACCATGGTCGTCAAGCCTAGCCCCGAGACACCCCTGACATGCCTCTCGCTCGCCCACCTAGCTACCAAGGCCGGCTTCGCACCGGGCGTCTTCAATGTGCTAACCACCAGTCTTGAAAACACCCCGAGCCTCAGCGAAGCCATGTGTCTGCACCCACTCGTCAAGAAAGTAACATTTACGGGATCGACACGCGTGGGCAAGATTGTGGCAGGCCTGTGCGCAAAGAATCTGAAGAAATGCACGCTCGAGCTCGGCGGCAACTGCCCCTTCATCGTCTTCGATGACGCTGACCTTGACCAAGCCCTCGCGCAATTTATGGCCCTCAAATGGCGCCATGCCGGCCAGGCTTGTATTTCAGCCAACCGCCTGTACGTGCAATCCGGAGTCTACGACAAATTCACCGCGATGCTCGTGGAAAAGACCAAAGCACTAAAAGTTGGCCACGGCGCCACCGCCGGCACGACCATGGGCCCCGTCACGACTCCGCGCGGTCTGGCGAAGGCCGAAGAACAAGCCGCGGATGCCATCAAGCTCGGTGCCAAACTTGCTCTGGGCACAGGGAAAGCGCATAAGAATGCCACGGCAGGCGAAGGTGCTGGCACCGGTAAAGGGGTGGGGGGATATTTCATGGACCCCACCGTTTTGACGGATATGAAGGCCGAGATGCTCATGAGCCGTGAAGAGACGTTCGCACCTGTCTGTGGCGTGTATAAGTTCGAAAAGGAAGAAGAGGCTGTGCGTTGGGCGAATGATACGTCCATGGGTCTGGCGAGTTATGCCTTCACCAAGAATGTCGATCGGTTATGGAGGATGTTGGAGAATTTGGAGGCAGGCATGATTGGTTTGGTTAGTATACACGCCCTTTCTCTCCCAAATATTCAAATTTTCTCGCCCCTGCTTTGATCTCGTCTTTTGGAAGGAGTGATTTGGCTGACTGGTGGCCTGGTAGAATACCGGCAACTCATCCGCGGCCGAATCTCCATTCGGTGGTATCAAAGAGAGTGGCTATGGTAAGGAATCTGGCAAAGACGTCGCGGTTAATGAATACTTGATCTCCAAGACCGGCACGTTCACTATTGAGGGACAGTATTAGTCTCTCCCGTAGGATAAGGATAGCTCTAAGGGAGTGTGGAAGAGGACTTGTTTGAGAGAAGTACGTTCACCTCTCGGAGAAGACTCAGTGAGTTGTACATTAAAATCCCCAGAGAGCTAGGGGAATGAAATAGTACAGCATCCGAGTGAAACTCTTGCATGGTCATAACGTGAAATGTCATTTGACTATTCATTCCTTCGTTCATTCGGTTTCAGGTGCCGTGAATTACTGAAAATTCAGTGGAACAGAATGAGTAGATTCATCGAGTGTGTGCTGAATGAGGGTGTCCAGTGTCCATGCAAATGACATTATCCATGGGGTTGTGACTTGTGACTTGCGGCCACCGGTTTTAGTGGACAGGAGCAACTTGGATTTTCTGCGTGATCCTGAGTATGAATCCTCCTCAGAGAGCCGATTGGATATCAAATGGTGAAACACTCCTCAGCATGTATTGAAATACATGGTTCGTGGGGCAATCGATGAGAAGCTTGCCACCATCCAGAGAGTGATGAAGAGTCACTAGGCAAAGCACTCATTGGAGGGTGGAAATTGAGACTTTTTTTACCAATCTTCCTCCAACCAGGCCAACATGCTCGTAGGTGCCGATGGCAAGCCAGTCGTTATATTGGAATCGTGAGGAATCGAACTTCTTGTCGGCTCCGATGCTGGTATTGTGTTTCTAGTATGGAGGCTGGTTTCTAGAGTGGGAAAGTTGATATCTTCAGCCCAGGCAAGGATGTCCTTGTCCCCTGTAAGAGGGATTTGTCGGGGAGGTGGGAGACAAAGTACCGACACCACGAGAAAGAGAAGGAAGATCAACATGTTAGCGAAATAAGACATGGCGATGGGGCGCACGTTGAATGTGAAGGTGTAATGGCTTTCTTGGGTCTTGGATTGGTCGAGGAGGATAGACTCGACGACAGTGAGGTCGAGGAAGTGGATAAGATGTGAGTGATGGCGGGAGCTCTCCTTTATAGGAATGCCCTTCCCTAATGCTGGTGATGGGGATTAGGACTCCTGAGATGTCAAACGCTGTCGGTGAAAACTTGGTGGTCGATCATGGTCCAATCAAGCTCCACAGGCATAAACGTGCGTTCCCAGCAAGCTCGCTCTCACTCAAACAGCAGTCGGTGTTGTCTCGACCAACATTCACTGTTGCTTATTGGTACTGTATCATCGTAATATTCCAGTCGGACGGTTAGGCAAAACCAATAGCGTCTGGGTGGGCTCCAACCGAAGTGCCCTGGCCCTGGGAACATTTTCGCCACGTCCGCAGTGAGCTACAGTATAATGTCTGTCACCTGTCATCTTGCCGAGATCCAGCGGACTTCCTTGAGAATAACACTGACAGAATGAACGAGTTAAGAACCATGGTCGTGTGAATGATCGATCATCCTCAGTTGACAGCCGTCAAGGGGTGATTGTTTCATAATCGCTTCGGGTCAATATCCAATCTTCCGACTCAGGGATGTACGCCTGCGCTATATTGAATCGATGGATCCTACTCGATATTTTTCGCTGACCTATCCACACTTGCCGATCTTGATAATTCTTATTCCGATGTTTGGTGGTCAAAATGGTCTTGTCTCCTAAACGTTTGACCTCCCAGCACATGGTGGAGATGGAAGTAAAGATTGGGCTTGCCGCAATCCTCAGCATTTGCAAAGATGAACATCCCATCCGCAAATACTCAAATACGCGAATCGCTTGATCATCAGAGACGGGGACGACGGGCCGGACGTCGCCCTGAGCATCTCGTGGACCCTCTCGAACCAGGAAGGGAGGGAAAAGTCCGACGATTCGCAGTCGGGGAAATTTGGAAATCGCGTTCAAGAAGGCATACTGTTCCATGTCCACATCCACACCTGGAATTGCGGCCGGATGCCACAGGTTGTCGATTCGTCCAATGTCAAGCTCGAGGCGTTCCAGGTGAGGTGAAATTTTGGCGATGGTCAGAATATCGGTGTGGGTCCGCTGACTCTCGGATCTGCCGACGGACCACGTGTGATCATCGCTATGCAGTCGCAGATATCGAAGATTCGGTCCGGTCAATTTTTCAATAGGGATATGATTGCAAATTCCCTCGATCTCCAGCTCACGAAGCTGCGGCATTTTGGTAAAATCAATCTGTATAGGGGGTCCCCTTGGTGTGTCCTGATAGGAGTCGGGCTGAGGGGCACGGTAGTTACAGGTGGGGTGATAACGATATTTCTGGTAGCCACGAAGCCGTAAGGCCTGAATCCTGGATAGTTTAGGGGTAATGTCATGTACGAATTGATTCAAAGGGGTGGGAGAGGCCGCAACGATGGAGAGCCGTCGGAGATTAGACCATGGGACCGATGCAAGGTCAAAGTCTTGCAGTGAATGGAGTCTGGATCTATTGGAACCGCTAAACATAAGGCGCAACTCGGTCCAGGAGGGTTCATGATCGAAGAATCGATCAGAAAATCGACATTCTTTCTGGTTTCGGATGATCTTGAGCAGCCAGTCCATATGGAGATCTATGGCCGTCGTCTTGGCCATTGCGTCGTACACGGCCCTATTTACCGGTAGCTCGGCCGGGGGCAGGCGAAAGCCTCCCAGAGCAAGTTGATGGCGTTGAGCAGCGGATGCGAGCCTCGTCATGGCTTCGGAGAGATTGGTCCAGTAGGAAGGAGTGTATAGTTGGTCAATGATCAACTCATAGACCGGGTCAGCAGGCAACATGGCGAGTATGTGCCTCGTCGCCATCGGCGAACAATTAAATCTGGGAATGTTCAGCACTCTCGCTTTCCATCTGGTTCATCATGTGGGGGTATACCTCATCCGACGTAGTCGGGGCATGAAGGGCAACGCCTGCTCAATCACCCGCAGGTCCTCGGACCGGGATCCATGAGTGAAAGCCTCGACGCCTTTTAGCGGAGAATCACCTCGGCCAATCCGGGTGATATGCAACGTCCGGACGTGGCGGAGCAGATGAGGATGGTCGAGCAGACGATGGAGGAGTTTGTGACTGACATCATGCTTATCTTCCCGAACAACGTGGGAGATCTGGCCGAACAAAAAGGGTAAAGCGGATTGGCGGAATTGCTGAGAAACAAGGGAGAAAGCAAAGATGGAATCAAGTTGATGGAAGTTCGTTTCGTAGACCTGTTCGGCAATCTGATCAACGATCTCTGATGGAAGGCTGCACATTTTGTGGCTTGCTCGAGAACCCCCCCGAGGCCGGTGTCGGCATGAATTTTGAGGGCCCGGATGAGCCTGCAACTTCTTTCGAGAACAGGAAAGTGCGGTCTAGGCGAAGGATATGGATGAATCAAGATGCTACCACTGTTCATAAAAGGCATGATAGAATGATGGTGAAGGTGGATGCGGTGCAAGGTTGTCGCCGGTTGAGTTCACTGACTTCCCGATCGATCATCCCCGCAGCACGCAGCCAATGACACAGAAGAACCCCAACCCGCCTCAGGTGCAGTCAAGCACTGAGCCAGGACAACCACGGGCAGGGACTTTTGTCCCGCCTCTCGCCGGGCATTCGACATTTCTGGGACTGCAATTTGAACCAGTCAAGGGATATCCAAAGAGGCACATGGTCACTGTGTCCACGATCGACCGCGGAATCACAAATATCAGTCCCGATCACAGCTCCGGCCTCATTCACCAAGCCACGGCTGACAATGATCATATCCACGCGATCGCAGCTCTCGCCCCAATTCCTTCCCCGTGGATGGTAGGTATATTTCCTGCTGGTGCCGTGCAGGTGCCTGAAAACATCGATGCCACGCATGCCGTCCTTGCTGGTGAAGAACTTGGCATTGAAGTCGGCGCGGTTCTTGACATGCTGCAGAGGAGATGTTCGCAAGTTTGGATGGCCGTCAACCCTGGCTCGGGCCACATTCATGTCCCCCATCATAATCACGTGCCGCCCTTCTCTTTGGGCTTGGAGTACCTCTTCTAGCATGTGTTGGTGAAAGCGTAATTTATGGTCATGTCGAGTGCCCGTGACCTGACCGGTGTGAGGATCGCGGTAGGGATTCGACGTGCCATTTACCCAATAGCCATTGATGATCACCAGGTCGATTTCGAACTCATGTATCAAAACTCGGCCTTCCAGATCCCAATCGGGCCGTCGCGTGAGGGAAATTTGGGAAGACGTATCGTCGCGAATCAAGGTGGCAACCCCGTAGACCTTGCCCCCGAATCCGGTAGCATTATATTCGTCTCTGGGCAGGGAGAGGTGAAGTATGTACGCGGGCTCATCCGGTGTTTGGCCGCGATTGGCCGCACGTTGAAGCTGTCGTTGAGTCGCAGTGTCCCTGGGGCTGATCTGGACTTCTTGTAGACACAACAATTGGGGCCAGTCATGCCGTTTGAGAAATGACCTCAGCGGCGTGAGAGAGACCGAGTCGAAAGAGAGCGGCCTTTGGAGTAGCGGACCGATGCCATTGACATTCCAACTGAAGATTCGCACATAGTCGGTAGATGATGGCCATGTGGGAGCCGCGTCTTCTGTGATACCAACCTTTCGACGCAGAGCGGGAGGACTTATGGACCGGCTGGTGGTATGGAGAGATCTCTTGCGTGTCAGGGGCATGGCCATGTTGGAGGAGCCCAGTTTTCGTGACACTGAAGTTTTACGTCAAGTCAGCAACGGCCATGGTGTTGCTCTGAAGGGAACATCCTCGTACATCTGTCTTTCTGGCAGAGGTGATTTCCATAACGTCACCTTCATAGTGCGTTAGGAAAGCCACTACCACACAAGCTCAACACTAATGAGCACTATAGACGGACCGCGCCGTGGGTTGACAGCTCGTGAACTGCTGTTGGTGGATTCACGAATCCATCACGCTCGCCTGGGTTGTTAGACAACCGTGGAGGGGGCCTGGAGAAACTTAGACTGGGCACCTAACGGCCCATTCGCCAGATAAGTTCCTTCTGCTGGCGATGTGATTAGGCCGTTAGACGGTTACGATTTAGACCGGCACGCTGCACGCTGGACGCCCTGTCCCCAAGCTTTCAAGGCTTGATTTCTCGCGTCCGGCACTGCTACTCTACGATAAACTCAACTCTTAATGGCCCATTGTTCCACGCTGCGGACCCCTGCGTCCCGATCATCGTTCTCCATACGAAGAGCATTTTGTAAACTTGGGACTGAAATAGGAGGCGCCCTCCCGCCGTCAGCAACACTTTCAAAAGTATTCGCACTGCCTTACGCGGTTCTCTGACACGAGCTTCTCACTTCTTCAACATCTCGCACTCTTTCGTGTCAACAGAAACCCACTAGCGGAGTTGAGCACGCTCTGCTCCATCCCCTTAGCTACGTACTTATCAGGACTCCAGAATCTCTCCTTCCTTTTCAAGTGAGTTCCATCTTGCCTCATGTGGCATCTGAAAACATGTCCTGACACCTCCCTGCGACTCAGAATTCTCTCTTAGAGACGCCGTGTACCCTGTCTCTCTCCATCCTGCTGGCGAGCACCCTCCGTCGTCTTCTTCTCCTCCCTCCTGCCATACGCCATGGCTCCTCAACCAGACCTTTATCCGGCCCTCCATCGAGTTCGCGATCTCGAAACTGCTGGAATTGAGGACCTCCAACAGATCATTCAGACATTCCCCGTCATTGACAATCATGCGCACAACATGCTGACGGAGGACAATGCCTATGGAAGCGCAGAATATCCGTTCGAGTGTATCACCTCAGAAGCTCAGGGGCACGCCTTGTCCGATCACGTCCACGCCAGTCTCGCCCACATGCGTGGGATAAAACACCTGGCCGAATTCTATCAATGCCCTGCCACCCTCCCCGATGTCAAGGCTGCCCGATACGAATGGGTGCGGAGAGACTACCCGGGGTTGATCAAAAAATGCTTGCAGGGAACACATGCCATTATGATGGACGATGGCCTCTCTCCCGAGATCATACACTCCTTTAAGTGGCATCGACAGTTTGTGCCCACCGTGTCCAGGATAGTCCGAATCGAAGCCATCGCGTCAGAATTGCTCGAGCACCTCGCCCACGCCGCGGGATTCATGAGAGTGGGACTCGATGCCGACTGGGACATCAGCCAGACGGAGAGCTTCCTGGTTCGTTTCAATACCGTCTTCCGAAATCAAATCCGCACCTTGGCCAATGACCCAGACGTGCGGGGCTTCAAGTCGGTCATCTGCTATCGCAGTGGACTCGATATCGGGCTCGAGAGCAGAAAGAACTTCCGCCCACACCAGTCGCTGACCGAATCCGTTCTCCTGCAATCCTTCCATGATTTCCTGCAGAATGCTGTTCGCGACCACAATTATCGTATCCAGCAGAAGGAGGTCAACGACTATCTCGTCGTGGTGGTGTGTGATGTACTCGAGAAGCTTGTAGATACCGATGGTGAAAATCTACCCTTCCAATTCCATACCGGTCTGGGCGACACAGACATTGATCTGGTCAAGTCCAATCCTGCATATATGCAGCCGTTGATCGAAGCTTTCCCTCAGGTCGACTTCGTCATCCTACACTCGTCCTATCCGTTCACACGAGAAGCCGGCTATCTGGCAGCCAATTACTCCAACGCATGGCTTGACATCGGTGAAGTCTTCCCCATGCTCTCCAGAGAAGGTGAAGAGGCCGTATTACGACAAGCGCTTGAATTGACTCCCAGCTCCAAAATCCTGTGGAGCACAGATGGACACTTCTATCCCGAAACCTACTGGCTAGCCAACAAGCATTTCAGAGAAGCCCTTGAGAAACTTCTCACCTCATATATCGCGGCCGGCGATGTCAACGTCCCGCAAGCTATCGATATGGCCGTCGATATCATGTTCTGGAATTCCAATTTGCTGTACAAGCTCGACGAAGAACGCAAATACCCCGAACTTCTTCGAGCGTGCGGCAGAGAATCTGTCGACAGTGTACGCACTTTGGTCAATGGAAGTTCCAAAGCTCCGTCTTTCAGATCGTACGCTAGCACCGCCGTGGCCACCCCTGGAGGCTCAGCGGCACGACTGGGAGCTTTGATGCCCGAGCCAGCCCTACCAGGAAACGGCGCCCCGCTCGCCCTTCGCTCCGGCAGTGCAAGTGCTCCCTCTGGTCCGAGCTCGACGGCGGTGTTCGCTCAGAATGTCACCATGTTTGATGCATTCTTGCAAACCAATCCCGATGTGAAGTACGTCTGGCTTCAGTTTCTGGATTACACCGGCACCCTCCGGAATCGCATGCTTACAGTTCAACAATTCCGAAAGCATCTTTCTACGGGCAAAAATACCTGTGTCGCGGCAGCGCTGACACGGATGATGCAAGACGACCATTCAGCGACGGGGTGTTCACCCACGGGCCAATTCCTTCTCGCTCCAGACCTATCTACTCTGTCGTTAAACAAAGGAATCTCCTCTCCGTCGGCCACCGTTCAAACTTGGTGGATGGCTGACGCCGAACAGGTCCCCAATGTGGAACACTATGATCGCTGTCCTCGCTGGCTCCTTCAATCCCAGTGCAACACGCTCAAATCCGAATTCAACATTTCCATGCTCATGGGCTTCGAACTGGAGATTATCTTCATGAAGCCGATCCCGAGCCCGGATGGATCTGATTTTGACGACTTTGCCCCCTTGCACATGGTCCACTCCTGGTCCAACATGACTTATCAACAGCTCGACATGCTGCCGATGATTGAGGAAATCGTTGGACACCTGACCGAACTCGACATCCACCTCCCGCAATTTCATTCCGAAGCAGCACCAGGGCAATGGGAATTCCCTCTTCCCGCTTGCGAACCGGTCAAAGCCGTTGATATTCTTTTCAAGGCCAAAGACGTGATTCGGAATGTGGCCAAGAAGTACGGCCTCAAAGCAACCTGTTATCCTCGACCCTTCTCCTTTACTTGCGGGAGCGCAAATCATGCCCACTTCAGCATCAACGGGCCTGGTGACACGGTCGAGAAATACGAAGCCCCGTTCCTCGCGGGTGTGTTAGAACATCTTCCAGCTTTACTTGCCTTTACACTTCCAATTGAAGAATCTTACCAACGTGTCAACGCGGGAATCTGGGCTGGTGGCGAGTATGTATGCTGGGGAACTCAGAACAAGGAAGTCCCCCTTCGGAAGTGCGGCCCTGGTCATTTTGAGCTTAAGAGCATCGACGGAATGGGTAATTCCTATCTATCCATGGCAGCGCTGTTGGCAGCGGGTCTTCATGGGCTCCGCCAAGACCTGAAGCTCGAGCTTAAGGATTGTGCAGGTGACCCAACAGGGATCGGGGAGGAAGAGAGGCAGAAATTGGGTATTACGACGCAATTGCCCAACACTCTTGAGAAGAGTCTCAAGTGTCTGGATCGGGATAAGGTGTTGAGAAGAAGTCTAGGATATGCACTTGTTGATGACTACTTGGCCGTGGCCGAGAGTGTCATGGCCAAGTTGAGAGGCTTTGGAGATCAAAAGAGACGTCTTTGGTTGATGAGCCGGTACTAGAGGAGAGGTGATGGAAGATTTACTGGTGATGCAAGTGAAGCTGAGGTAATGTACCGGGTGAGAGGCGAATAGAGACGGAGGGTTATCTGTTCTCATGCTACCGTCAGGAAGATACTGATAGGGACGGCTGATATGGTTGGTTGCCTTGGACTGGAATGCTTGAAGCTATCTGAGTTGGCTTTGACTAATTGGGTCAGAGAATCATTTTGCGCCTCTTTTTTCTTTCCTCCTTGATTAATTCACCTTTTTGGCTGTTATCACCGAATAACTACGCCCAGGCGTGAGGAATCATGTTCGGAGCCTTGCAGAGCCTGGCAGACCTCGGACCTCCCCTGGTCCCCTTTTCAACCTTGGACTCATTTCTCTCTCAGATTCTCTTCTAACCCACCCATCCCACATGTTTACGTTGCAGCTTCATAGACTTTCTCTCCTTTTTTTTTTTTTTTTTTCTTTTCCCCCCCCAGTCCATCCTGGCAGCCCGTTTTCCTAGATTCTCCTCGTATGTAAGTGGGCATACAAGATCAGTCATTATATTCTTGTTCCTGATGTCCACGATAGTCAGCTCACCTTACGAATATTTCCGTAAATCTCAGAATCGATATCCCTCTTGCTCGTCATTTTCTCCTTCGCTTCAGAGAGTGGAACACTCCCCGGACTTGCCACCAGATAAGCGTCTCCGTAGGCATCGCAAGCCTAGCTGTGTCGGCCATGGGATTACACAAGAGGCATTTAGAAGTTGGTGTCGTCTCCTATCCTGGCGCTTGCAGGAGTTATTCGTGGAAGAGATCGGGAAGGATGACGCGACGGATAAGAGGACCAAGAATGTGCTTCCAAATTGTCCAATAACCTGGTGGGCATGGAGAAGAAGTGGATTACATGACAATGAGCGGCGAGACTGTCGCAAGAACTTCGACATAACTACTAGGGATGTCCCCCTTGTTTTTGTCACCCCCTCACCTCCGTCTGCGGATGAAGACTGGCAGCTCCTGACACTTCAAATGGAATCCCTCTCGAATATACGTTTCCTTCTCCGGAAACGCATGACGATATTCGAAGCGGCGGAACAGAGTGGCTACCGTCTTCTTTAGTTCCATGTATGCGACCTAGGGATAAAAACAGATGTGTCAGCTCAAAACGATTTCCCCTGCGAACGGCTGGCAGCACCACTTACATTGCGACCAATGCAGGCCCTGGGACCATAGCTGAACCCTAGAAAAGCCTTCTCGAGCTCCGCGACGCCTTCACGCTCCCATCTCTCTGGCTTGAACTCCAGGGCATCGGGGCCCCAGACCCTCGCATCTCGATGTGCGGTGTACGTTGGAGTCGAGAGCACCGTGCCGGCTTCAAAAAATCGTCCGCATACCATCGCACCACCTTTCGGGACAACTCGAGGTAAGCCCACGGACACGGTCGTCCTGAGACGGAGAGTCTCATTGATCACGCCCTGGGTGTAGGGCAAGTCCTTGCAGTCCTCAAACATAGCCACAAAGTCGGGCTCAAGCGGACTGGGGAATGCGGCGTCGAGTTCTTCCTGGAGCTTCTTCATGGCCTCCGGATGCCGGCACAGCATGTCAACGATATGAGTGATGGTGTTACCCGTGGTATCGCTACCGGCAATCAACTGGGTTAAAGCCTCAGCTTTGACCTCATTGTCAGGGAGTGCGTTTCCTGTATCCGGGTCCGTTGCGGCGAGCAAATAATATAGGATATCTTTCCGATCCGGATCAACTTTGGCCGTCTTGCGCTTTTCGACTTTGGCAATGCCGATCCGAGCAAGATCTTTCGTTGCTTGCAGTCCTTTGGTGAAGAAGGGATCGAAGAATAAGTAAGGTGTCCATGCTGCGCGGAAGAACGTTTAGTTCGACTCCTTCCCGAAAAGGGGGAGGTTTGTCACGAGGAAACGGACTTTTTATCCAAGGCATCTGACCCACAGTGGCGCACCATTCGCCACGATCACGTAGTTTCTTGATTCCTCCATTACTGTCTTGTCCCAGAGCCGTGAATCCAAATGGCTCTCCAAATGCCTATGGCCATGTCAGTTACTCGGTGACACACTTTCATTGGAACCATGCCAGACGACAGGACATACCAAGTCACCAATGATGTCAAACGCCAGAAAGGCAGACCACTGAGCAACATCGATGCCGGCTTCGCCATTCCTCCGACGGCCGCGGATCTGGGGGTTCGTTTCTGCTAGGGACCTATATCTCCCAGCCTGTCCGGTGTCGATTAACAAGTCCATTTGAGAAGAGAGTGTCCCAATGGCTCTGGTCATATATGGCTCGAATCCCACCATCGCCTTGGGGCTAAACATGTGTGACACATATTTTCGCTTGCGGCTGTGTGCCGCCCTGTCCCTGGTGGTGAAGATTCCCGACTGAATATTGTCGAAGGCATAGTAAAACTCTGATTTGGTAAAGCCGTTTCCGTGGCCTAGGACGTCCTAGAGCTCATGAGAACTGGGTCTAACCAAATCCTGGCACAATGCCATAGGACCACGCACTCTAATACTATCTGGATGTGAGATGCTCACATGGTCTGGTGCCAGGCGCACAAAGTCGCCGTATTGCTTGTGCAGGTCGTATGTCACCCACGATAGTTGATGCTGTCTTCACGGGTACATTAGATGCACATTGCTTGACAGTGGGGGAAGGTGATTCTCACGAGAGAGATGTGTCAACTAACATAAGTCACATCTTTAGTTGGGGGCTGACTGACCTTGCCCAATAAAGGCTCCAAAGGTTCGAGAACCGAGCCACTAGTGGTCCCGGGATATTATTCAACTTGTAGCGATTGCGGCTATACGGAACGACGTAGTATCCCTGTTCAATCTTTTAGCAAATATGTGCCTGAGCACCTCCAAGGAATGCCATATGTACCACGAGAGCCAGCATACACAGCAACAGGGCAAGGAGCAACAGGTGACCAACGCTATCCACGGCATCGGGCATCTTGAACGACTGTAGAATCATTTTCTTCCAGCGGGCTCAGGGAAGTCTAATCCCCGAGATCTCCCTTGACGGTGTATAATATTCGAGGTGTGCTTGACCACTCCTGACGTGGTGCAATATGGTGTTCGGATCCGATGGATTCTTTTCTTCTTCTCTTCCTCAGGGGCTCTTGGGAGAAAATCAAGCCTTTCACAAGGCTGGCTCGCTGGGAGAGCATGGGAATTTGTAGTAAAGGTAAGCTTCAAAGCCCCCGTTGCGTGTACGAGTAATGGCTCCAATCCGATGCTGAACGACGATTCGTTATAGATATGACCACCGCGAGGATACCAGGGACAACTAATAACCCCACTCTTGCGGCATGGCGAGTTCGGTTGCCAAGTCGATCAATGAGGAAAAGCGGGCGTCTCTCGTTATTGGTTCGACGGGTACAGTGCCAGATCGCGTGTCTGGGTAGATTCCCTGGTGGTTCGAGAGAACTTGAAGTGGAATGGTCCGCAGAGACATGGAAGGGACTTGTTCGTACTACGTCCTTGAGGTCCGGAGTTGCCAGCAAAGGTTTCAGTTCACTCTCGTGAAGAGAAAGCGTCAACGCGGATCGGTATGGTCCCCCCCACTCTCAACTTGCTCTCTTATCTCAGATTCCACGCCAATTGGACCCAGGCGAGCCGGAACGTTCAACTCCGATGAAGTCACCATTAGTTGGATAAAGAGGAAAGACGTCGTGGAGAGCAGCCATTTCCCGTCGTGTGTAGAGTTGCCTAGGAAATGTATATCCGATCCGATGGCGAACCTCCTTTCTACAGGGGATGAATGGACGACTTGGAGAAGCTCGGCTTCATCAATACTCTGAGAAACTCTTTTTTCGGAGATCGTGACTGAAGGAAAGTTGACATAGTTGGATTTGAAGGAGAGTATTATAAAGCAATACACAATGCTAATCTATGGACTTGCTCGATGCTAAGCCGCTTTCGATGATCAAAAACGCCATCCTATGCTTCCCATGCTATGCTAAACAATACCTATGTACCCATTTCAAAACCACATGTGGACCGCCGTAATTCCCCCCTATTCATGACCATGCCATACCGTCATCTCCCTGGCGCTCACCCCCCTTTAGTAAGGGATATTGCAGCGGATCAAGCACTCCTCAACACCCTTGGCCAAAGAGACGGGGATGTTCTCCTTGAATTGAGCGAAGTTGTCAGCGTCGATCTGCTTGGGGAAGCCGAGGGTGGCATCAACAATTTCGGGGTCAATATTGACCAGGAAGTTCTGGGCGACGGAGCTGGCACCGGGATCCTCAGAGTTGAGGCCAGCGATGGCGACCGCCGGCTTGCAGTCGAGGTTCTGTTGGAAGTGGATCGAACCTTGAGGGAAAACAGTGCCTTGGAATTGAGTCAGGGTAGTGTTGAGCTCGGTGGTGAAGCCGTTCTCCAAGACAAAGCCACTCAACATCTTGGTGTCGGTGACGAGGGTCAAGAATTCAGTGGCGCGAGGGTGGATGTGAGGAGTGTTCAAACCGCAGGGGTTGAAGAAGATACCGGCGGCAGAGATACCCAGGCCAGTGAGGATGGGGAAGTTGGCGCGTTGGGCCAGGTCGACCTGACCACCGAGGCCGACGGTGGCACCGGGGTTGGCAGCCGGGTTGAAGTCGAACTTGAGGCTGAGGTCGCCGGCTTCGATTTCCTTCTGGATATCCATGAACCGGCTGACGGTGTTGGCCTCAGTGAGGAGCTTAGCAATGACACCGTCAGTGGGGGTTGGGTTGGGGCTAGCAGTTGGGTTTCCAATGGCGGTGGGGTATCCCTTTTCACTGACGGTGGAAGATCCCTTTTCACTGGCGGTGGAGTATCCAGTTTCAACGTAGCTGGTGGTCATGGAGTATCCACCAGTGGTGGTTGGGTAAGCTGTGTTGGCCGAGCTGTAGGCGGAAGAGCCCATGGGAGAGGCAGCCGCGATGGCGGCGAAAGCAGCAACGAGAAGCGAAGTCGAATGCATCCTGATTGGTTGGTTTTGAAGTTTAGTTGTGATGTTGTTGTTGTAGTAGTAAGTGGTGTTGTAGTTTTTTTTCTATTTGGTTCGTAAAGAACGTGCGGTAACAGGAAGGAAAAGAAACAAGGAAATTGAGTTTTAAAAAAAAAAAAAAAAAAGAAAGTTTTGATTTGGTAGTTGGTTGTTTGTCGTTGTATGAATGAGAGAATGGCATCTTGAGAGGGGGGGGGCTCTTTATGTATGTTGTCGAGTGCCTGGGTCGCAGGGTTGTGACTTGCTTACTATAGACAGGGTAGGCTGGATATGCTGCCGACGCATGACTCGTGGCATGAGAGTCGAGCTGCGCGTTATTCTCAGAAGGGCGGATGAGGGCTTCGATGGTGTCCGCAGACGGCTTAGTGCTCACGCAGGTCGACGCTGACTGGCTGTGGGTGGCTGAGAGGAGAAGTGTTCTTTTCTATTTTCGAATCGGGGGTTATTCAGTAAGAGCTTCTGCCCAGCCCCAATCTAGCCTTTCTAGGTGAAGCATTCGCGGCTGCAACGTATAACTATTGGCTGATCTCGATACCTGTGGAAAGACACGTTGGGTTCCCGAAATAATTTGGCGTTAATAAACACATGTGGGGCTGTGCTGACCGAGCCACTCTGAAACGCCTTCTTCCCCCACCATTGGAGTATTCGGCACCCGGACCTGTTGGATGTGGCAAAAATTCCGCTCCTCGAGCCCTTCCGGAAGGAAAAGATCTGTCATGTTCAGGTCCTTGTGGTTGGGGTGAGCCTGGCGCTCGGATCTCCGTCATTTCCTATTTCGTCTCCCATGGTTCTTCCGATCTATGCGAAACCGAGACGCCATCTTTCCCCGGATTCCAATGTGCCTAGACTCGGCAAAGCTATGAGTTTGGTAGAAATCCCACGGAACAACATGGGCTCCATTTGCTCGCTGGTGGTAGCCCTTCCTGGTATCCTGTCGCGAGCCCCAGTCTCTTCTCGGGCCCTCCAATCATGTGGATAATAGACATCACGATTTTCTGAGCGGGAAACCAAGTCAATGATGCGCTTTTCATTGACCGCGTAGGTCTCGGGACATGTACGGTGTCGCTGGAGCTGAAAGGAACGACGGAGATTTCAAATCCTCCAGTTCCACGTTTCAGAAAGGTCCTTAGTCCCATGCTTGACGCTGCCGGCCATGAGCAGCCACTCTAACTTTTCGCCCGTTTCCCAATCCATGACAACAAAGAGGTGGAAAGTGGTTCGAGACCGCTGGCATTCCCTATTGATACATCGCTCAAGAATGACTCTCGAGCTCTATTTTTGCAGATTCTGCACGAACGAGTCCAAATTGAACTCTTCCTCGTACTGCCTCTCATCCCATAGTTCGCCCACGTCGTCCAGCCAGCCCTTCTCACCTTTCTTCTTGACCTCTCCTGTCTCGAGGTCCACCATGTCCTCGTCTTTACCGGTGCCACCACTTTCGCCTCCCGTCTCCGATGTGTCGCCGAGATTAAACAAGTCCAGGATCTGATCCGTCTCCATGCTGCCGAGACCAGCGTTTTGCTGATTGACCACAGTGGATGCCACATCGATCTTGAATCGTTGCAGGCTCAATATCTTCTCCTCGAGCGTCCCCCGAGTGATGAGTCGATACACGTTGACGACCTTCTTTTGTCCAATTCGATGCGCTCGGTCCATCGCTTGGATGTCCTTCTGTGGATTCCAGTCATGTTCCACAAAGATGACCGTGTCGGCTCCTGTCAGGTTCAATCCTAGGCCACCGACGCTCGTCGTCAACAACAGGCAGTCGTAGCTGGGATCGTTGTTGAACTGGTTGACAATGTTCTGTCGCTTGGAGGCTTCCACGCTGCCGTCCAGTCGCAGAAATTGCACGGTCGGGAGCAATTTGCCAAGGACTTCCGTTTGCACCATGTCCAGCATTTCTTTCATCTGACAGAAGATCAATGCTCGGTGTTGTGATACGTAATTCGACGCCGAGATGTCGTTGGAGTCGTTGGACACTCCGATCCCGCAGTCGACAAGCAAGTCCCGTAAAGCACCCAGTTTCGGTGCGTGTGCGACATCCCGCAGGCTGGACTTGGATGCCGCAAGCTGCTTCTGAATAGCATCATACTGCCTGTTGCCCTCCTTGACCACGAGAGCGGGAGAGTTGCACAGTTTGCGCATATACTGCAGGGCTTGGAAGATGTGTTGTTTGGCCTCCTTGTCGGCCGATCCAATGCTGTTCTCCACGGTCTTCCGTTCCTTCTTGAAAAAGTCCTCGAATAATCGCCTCTGCAGTTCACTGAGGTCGCAATAGTAGTTTTGCAGGATCTTCGGAGGCAGGTCGTTCAGAACCTCCTCCTTCAAGCGGCGCAGCAAGAACGGCAGAACTTGTTTGTGGAGCGCTTCAATCGCCAGCGCGCCGGCTTCTTGCTCTTTCGACGACGACTTCGCGTTTCGACTGGCGGCAATGGGCTTCGCGAATCGATCCTGGAACACCTTCTCGGTCCCGAGGAATCCGGGCATGAGGAAGTCGAACAGAGACCATAGCTCCAGGACGTTGTTCTGGATCGGCGTGCCCGAAAGAATGAGCCGATGATTGCTGATGATCTTTTTTACCGCCTGTGTAATCTTGGCTTTCGGGTTTTTGATCAGATGCCCTTCGTCGAGGACACAGTAATTCCAGGTGATGGCCGTCAACACGTCGTTGTCGTTTCGGCACACATCGTACGACGTGACCACGACGTCGGCCTGCTCGAGCAAGTGGCGACGACTACTTCTCTCGGCCGGCGAACCGACGTAGGCGACGCAGCTCAAGAACGGGGCATATTGTTTGATCTCTTGCCGCCAATGGCCCGAGAGCGTGGGAGGACAAACGATGAGCGAGGGCAGTTTCCTCATGTCAGGCGCCTGTGATTTGGCGTATTCTTCGGCCCGCATGTGATGATCACTGGCCACGATGCAGAGGGTTTGGAGCGTCTTTCCAAGGCCCATATCGTCACAGAGGACACCGTGTAGATTGTATTTATTGAGAAAGGCTAACCAGTTGACGCCCTCTTGCTGGTACGATCGTAGTTCCGCCTTGATGGCCACTGGAATCCGGAAAGGCTCCACTTTCCTCGGATCTAGCATTTGCGCCATGAATTGGCGCTCTCGCTCCCGTCCTTGAAGGAGTGAACCCGGCATCCCGGGAGGATCAGGGATGCCCGCTTCTAGGGGGACGAGCTTCACCAAGGTCGCAAACGACGTCGTGGCGAGGAGACGGACATCGTTGTTGGCGTCGCTCATCCGACCAAGGACCGGGACGATCAGGAAGATGACATAGGGGAGAATGCGGTCGCCCATGACATAGATGAGATGGTAAACACACTCTGTAATTCCTTGTCGATCTCTCAGATCCAAGGGGTTGCTGATGTTGGGTAAGATGTCTTGCACCAGCATTGTCATGCCATCAACCGGAATAACACTGCAGAGGGTAGCAAAGCACTTGGAAGCACTGTACCGAATGACGGAAAGCCTGCTACGCATGGCCTTTCCAATCAATGGGAATAGCGACAAAATCCAAGGATGCAAACCGGTATCCAAAGTCGGCGAGAGTGTGCGCAAAGTGGAAAGAGCGTCAACGAGTGACTGGCCTTGCTCTTCGTCGACCTGCAACGATGCCGGATCGGCGGGCTCGATGAGCTCCCGGATGGGATTTTCGATGAGAGATTTCAAGACCGGCAGCTTCTCGAGAAGTGTCGCACCATAAGATTGGGCCAGTTCATCCAGGGCCCGTTTCGCTCCTCTTCGCATTATTCGTGCCTCTTTGGCCTCTTGATCAAATTTAGCGGCGTCCGGATGATCCTTCCTATCTTCTTCTTTTCGCAAGGAGAGGACAATGTCTTCGAAGGTGGAATTGGGGCCGAATTCCGGCGTCTCCGAGGTGTCCACACAAGTGAATTTCATGAGGTTCGAAACCAGTTTGTCCACTGGTCCTCGTTTAGGGCTCGTCGTGTAAAAATCGATGAGGGCCGCTACCGCCGACGCTGACCGAGATTGTAATTCTTCAAATTCTTCACCTTTGATGCTGTCCATGATACATTTGATCAACTGACCAGGCTTCTTGGGGATCTCTCCGAGTCTAACAAAGACGGATGCAATGGTCGCCTTGATCGAAATGTCACGGCTTTCTTTTACCTTCCTGGCCTCCTCGACGGCAGTCACGGCGTTTGCACGAGCATCATTTAAGTACTGTGTCCCAGACACTCGTTGCGCCGGGGTGAGCCCTTTGAGCAGGCGATCGAAGTCGGTTGTCACAATTCGTTCGGCATCCGCGAGCGAGAAAGCCTTGGGACCAGCACCACTATCGCCTTGACAGACCACGGCGATCGCCGGTAACCTATCGCGAGGAACATGGGCGTTATTCTGAAACGCGCTGATAAGAGACTGACATTGACCTCGAGCCGCTTGCAAGGACGATACAATGTCGGTGTACCAGCCGTTGCCGTCGTCATCGAGGACTTGTTGAAGTTGGGCCACGAATGCCGGAGTGCTGGCCCGCTTGTTGGGCTGATTCTTGGCAAGTTCTTCTAATATCATTGCGGCACACAACCTCGTACTGGAATGAGGTGAGTGGATGACGGGGATGAGACTAGTCCAATACGAAGCGATCGATGCCTCATTCTGTTTGCCTAAGAGAAGACCCAGTGCTCGCGAACAGGTGATTCTGGTTCGCAGCATGACCTCCAGTCCAATCAAGTCCACCTCGCCATGCAACATGTGCCCGTCGGTGTTGTGTGAAAGCTGTTGGTTCGAATCAGATTTTTCGACCTTTCGCCGCTTCTTGGCTTGCTGATCGGAGTCGGGGGCGTGCCCATGCTTTGTCGTGAGGGCAGCCATCGGTGCTCCGGAAGGTCTGATGAGGAGGGAGGCGTCCATGGGAATAGGACTTCGTGCTTGACCGATAGGTTGAATAGCGGCCCTCAGCATCGGGATAATGTGTGGTTCTAAACTGGATGTAAAGTTCATAAACCCCTGGCGTGCCATGAAGGCCACTAGAGCCTGCCAGACCTCCAAAGACATCCATAAGACGCCCTCGCTTCGTTCGAGTAACATATTTTGGAAGACCAGGCGTGTCACGCGACCGTCGACCCATTCCATGTTGCTCACATTTGACAGATTCAAGAAGGTCGCCAAAGCTTTCAAAACGGCCATCCGCACGCTGGTGATTGTATGTCTCAAGAAAGGATAGAGGCGAGGCACCAGCATCTCGAATGATTGATCAGGGTCGCTGGCCGCATTGACCCGCATCGCCTCCAAGACCGCGTCATACGAGCAAAGCGTGGCCAAAAGGTCCATTACCGCACCAGTGCTGGCGCTGAGATCATCTTGCATATCCAAAAGACAATCCCACACCACACTGATGAGTTGACCAAGGGAATGGGGGCGCATGGTCGTAAGTTCTCCAGCAATAGGAACCAACGTCGCAGCGCTCACCGACTTGACGTCGTCATCAGGATGGGCCAGTCCGCGAATGACGGCCGACACAACACCATCAATCAGGTCACCATGCTGAAGGAGAAGATCCTTCCGCACCGCGACAAAGTATCGCAAACCGATCATGCCTCCATGACAGACTTCCCAAATTGGCTGCTTCAGGCCCGTGTCCTTTTGGTTTATCATTTCTTGCAGGAAGTTGTACACCGAAATGGCGATGTCGTCGGGTAGTTGGGTCAGCAACGCACCCAGTGTCTGACCAATTGATTCACGAATTGGCGCGACGACAGTATCGGAAACATAATCTCCGAAGCGATCCAGCATCAACACGCAGAGCAGACGGCATGCAAGGTCGTCCAGCCAGCGTCGGTTGGCCAGGTCATTTTCGGCCCGAGATTTCCCAAACCGACGACCGGCACCACGGCCATGGACGCGGAGGACCTCCCTTAACCCCATGGCGGCTCCATGGCGCACCTCCCAATTTGGATCAAACAGATCGAGAGACAGAAAATCGCACATGACATCGAATGGCCAGTCGTGGGCATGTTCCTCGTCGGGCTGAATGAGCGGCTTTTCAGGCACGGTCTCGCCTTTGAACTCAGAAATGAGCGTCGTTTTGTCGTCGGGACCCTCTCGTTTGATCGAAAAATAATCTGGTTTGGAGTCTCCATTGGGCTCTTCGTGGCCATTAAGTTTGACGGGATGAGGAGTTGCGGACGCTGGAGTCTGGCCTGGCTCGCTCGGACGTCGACCCGAAAGATCAACTACTCGCATTTTACTGGCGCCAGCTTTGGCAGCGGATTTGTTCTTACGTTTCAGTTGGTTGAGCTGTCGTTTACTGAGGCCGGACTCATCGAGAAACGGTGGTCCATTGTTGTCGGATGGGGAGACCGCGCTGAAAGGTGAGCTGGTTCCGAGGCTGTCTTGTCTTGGCCCAGCTGATTTAGTGTCCACTTGTGATAGTCCTGGGGTGTGGACTTTATGCTGTGAGTTTGCGGCGAAGTCGTTCTCCGTGACCAGGTCGTCCTCGATGTATTCGCCACCAAGTCCAAGCCGGGCCGTCAAGCTCTGCTTTTGATGCGCAAGGCGCTGCGCGGGGGTCATGCCCGCCATGGAATACTCATACTCTTTGCCGGCGCTGCCTAAAAGCTTCTTGCCATGACGAAGAATCAATTTGATGTCCAGCGTCGCGAGTTGGAGTAGGTCGTCAACCTCGGGAGTTTTCTCGTCGACCTGGGTGTGAGTCTCCTCCGCCTTGACGAACTCGGACTTGATCTCCGCATCGTCGGCGTTCGGGTCGAACTTTTCGGCGTTGGAGATGATGCCCCCTACCGCCTTTGCCGCGGCAGTTCGGGTGTCCCATGATTTGGACTGTAGGTAAGGAAGGACTCTGCCCAGCAGAGCAAAGAGGTTGTCGGGATTTTGTTTCTGGATGTCGGCTAGCTGGGAAGCAGCGGTATTCCGAATGAGCTGGGTGCTCCCCTTGTCTAGCAGGCTAAAGAATGAGTCAGTCTGCGGTCAAGGATGTCCTAATGTCCAGACGTCTAGAAAGTCCAGGATATCCATCCATCCATCCACAATGGCCGACGGCTTGGCCAGAAAGGAGACGATACTCACGTGACTAATCTATCGAGCCTGTTCGAAGCGGGTTAGCTTAGCTTGGCAGCAGATCAACAGGCGTCAAACCTTGAAGTCGCCATGACTGTGGTTTGGATTTGAAGGATGTTGTGGAATCAATGCAAGCCACAACCCAGCCCGGTTGCAGCCCGGACGCCATCAAATGCACACAAATCAACGGATCTGAAGACCTGAAGTGTGACTCGGGGCAGGATTGTGAAGGTCCAATCAACGCGACTTAGCAATGAGAAAGACACGTGTCTGGATGAATGATCCGGCCCAAGGCAAGGGAGTGCAGGCCGAGTGGGTGCGTAGGACAAACAATTAGTACTGATGTGTTGGAGTGAGTGAGCCTGGCTTCACGAGACCAGCACAGCACAGCGCGCCGCAGTTCAAAAAGTTGGGAATCGGGGCGCAGCATGCGCTTATGAGGGAGGGTCTGGAATGGCTTTAAATCCTCGCTTGGTGCTCATCGACTGGGCCACTCGCGCTGGCAGAACCCTGGAGCGGTCGACGGTAGGCTGTGAGAGTGCGTGAGTTGTGGACGCTGAGTGCAGCCTGTCAAGGGATTCAAGAGGGGTGACCCTGGCCTGTGATTGCTCTGTCCGCAAGGCCGCCGGTGCCGGTTTAACTGGATTAGAGCACTAGGCGCTGCTAGCGGCAAGTCAAGCTTTTTAGTTCGCCGCTTGGCATCCAGTGGCCTGCCGCGGCCACGCAACGGGCTTTAAGATTTGTTATTCCTTTTTTGTTATTCCGTTTCAGCCTTCCATCGATTTTGCTGCCATGTACATCAAATCCTATCGATTTGGCAGCTACATGTATGTCTTCAAAGTCACTGTTCCTCAATCCTTTGCAAAGCAGAAAGCGCGGTCACGCTAAATATCAGTTGCTGCACCGTCAAATATTTGCAGCCTCCTGGCAGAAAAATGACTCAATGGCGACCTCTCTGACTTGTCGCCTATCCTGGCCCTGAAAGTGTCAATCTTGACCCGCTGATCCTCCTGACCTGAGCAAATAGTTGATCCATCTGTAAGCTCGAGAGCTACGGGAAATATCAAATCTGGATGTCGGTCTCTCCATTCAGATTTTCGCGGAGACAGTTATTCCGACGGGGCTCCATTGAACTTATCAATATATCCAAATATGGAGTCAATGTAGTGTCCAACAACGGATTCTTCAATCCTTTTCTTTCTGTGTTTCTGAGCCTTGGAAATATGTACAGGGCATAAAGCCTCTCCCCGAGGTCGATTTTCTTTCGGCAGCGTCCACGGTTCACTCAGCCGTTTCTCTCTTACGAAGCACCAAGTATTGATTTGGTCTCCTCTTCTTTCCCTATCAAACCTAAACTTCGAATTTGACCGACCTTGGGCGCATTCTCCCGAGGATGTGCGGCTTCAGCTTTTCGTAGTGCGTCTTGAATTGCTTGTGCGCGAGCGTGCTACAGTTACTCCGTCAGTTTCAAGTTCCGTCCCCCGCCGGGGGCAAGCTGTTGCGAACCTCCTTTTTATGATGTAGACATTCGTAATAATCTTCTAGTCGGGGCGCGCAAACGCCTTTCCGTCTTGCTTCTTGATCGTGTTGATTGACAACGTAGCATGACATGTATTCTTGCCAGAAAGGAAAACAGCGAGAGACGCCTGCAATTCAGAAGCTGTGTCAGTTCCAGTTACTGGTTGAAAGACCGGTCCGGGGGGGAATTCTCGCCGCACACGCGCGAGGTGTGCCCGAAAACAAACTCACCTCCGGTCAAGCCGTAGCCAGATGCCATTTTGAGATACAATAGGTTACTGCACCAATGTCCAGTCAATAATGTCGCTACTGAGCTGTGGCTGTGTTCGTGGATAGCCTGGTTTGGGGAGCAGTTGTTTGGAGCTGCCGCCAAGGATTTGCCAGTCGGGGGGCCAGGGTGCGGTTGCGCTTAGAACTGGGGAACCGCAACAGGGACTCCGATCTTCCACGTCGCCTCTGTGACTTTGACACCTCAATATCAAATGTGCACCATGCCCGCCTTTTTTCTGACGATATGACCAGTCTGACTGAGCTCACAGATGCTCATGCCGTCCTCCTCGCCGTCCAGCTCGCCTCAGACGGCGACCTGGATGGATTACACCGGGTTGTCTGTTGGCGTCGTCATGTTTTGTCCAACATTTTGGTATTCCGAATCTTGCTATCCTTTTCCCCCGTGGAATTCTCTAAACAATCCATTCTTGTCAACTTTCTAAAGGCTCTTGAAGACACTTCCCTCGATTCAGCCGGCCTTGAGGACACGGAAATCGACCTGTCCATCTGCCACATGTCGCGGAATGATGCATTACGTCGGTGTCAAGCCCTGAAGCTACGACCAATCCCCGAACATACTGCCATTGACAACGGCAGTGAGCTGGCAAACTTCATAATCGAATGGGCGAAACGACTGGAACTCCTCAGCGGAGCTGCTCAACCTTTATTGGAATTTGTGGAGCCATTCGTCAGGCACGACCCCCATTTGCGGCTCTGGTATGAAGCATACCTCGTTCCTGTGGTTCGTTTGCAATATGAGTTCTATCCAGATAACGAAGATGTTCTTGGAGTGCAAGATCTTGAAATGCTACCCGGCAGGGAAGGCATAAAACAACTTTTACAATATGCAGAGAGACAGCATAACTCGAATTTGGCCAGAGACCTTGACTACGTCGTGAGACCATGGGTGCGTGGTGCTATCGGCACAAAAAGAAGGAAGATTGATCAAGAAGATGGAGATGTCGCTACAGAGGAGGCTTTATGGGAACCTGTCAACGACTGGTTCGTCTCCTCAAGTCGGACGGATTTCAATGTCGTGGCAAAGGCATTTGTGCAGTGGGATGGTCCTGTGGAAAACCCACAGCCACATAATAGGGCTGTGGCTCGATTTGCGCAGACGGGCTTGGCGATGATCTATGGCTGTTCACAGACCACACCAGAAACAATGTCTGTCTCAAGAGAGATGCTCACTAAGGCTGCCGGACTAGGAGGACTAAGACCTCGCGACCTGTCGAAGCCCCAACCTGATATTGTGCTTCCTGAATTCCTCGGAAAGGAGGAGGACGAGGCAGACTTATTGCCTAGCTCGCTATCTCGAACGGAAAATCGGTTCACACAAGTCAACGAATCATCTGTTCAACTTCTGGTTGGATTGTTGGGCACTTCTGAAATCTTATTGGACTTGGGCCTTCCTTTGACAATGGCTGAACTCGCTCGGGTTTGCGTTTTCGGCTCAGAACGCCGCCACAAGGATGAACTTCGACGACTGCTTCAACACATTCCCCGCCTGACTAGGAGAGACATTGACTGGCGTTTTGTACGTCGGCAACTGCTCTGGCTTCGGTCTTGGACAAATCAACAGCAAGCCTGCTCTCGGCATCAGCGGCCTGCTTTTCTCTGCAAACTCTCGCCTGTGTATATGGAGACACAAGTGCTCGACACACTTCTGAGTGCCAGCCAATATGACACCGTCAAAGAGGTCTACATCGACACTCCACATCCACCACTGCCGGCAACGGAAGTCGAAAGTCGTGTGGTTGCAGCAATTTGGGAAGCCTATGACAATGCAAGCAATGGGAGCAAGGACCGTGGTGGTATGAAACGGGCAAATGAAATCCTACGAGCATTTCGGCCCAATTTCCCAGAGTCGTCGAGTCTCACCGACATCGATCATCTTATCAGAGCGACACATAGCTTGTCATTCTATCAACTTACTTTGCAGCATGGAGTGCCGTTTAAGCCAGTTGTAATCCGTGTGCAAAGGGACCCGTTATCACTTGTGGGAAAGGTTTTGGAGCAGGATGCAAAGGCCTATACAAAACTGGACGACCTCTTGGAAATAGGACGGAATCTTGTCCGCGCCCATCTGCCTAATCGTGGAAACTATGCGGAAGAGTCAGACCCCATTGAGTTACGTGTGTTTAACGCTGAGCATAGGATCACGTACCTTGCCATCATGGCCGCCCTCGCGGCAAATGATTTCGACACTGCATATGCCTACGTCTCAACGCGATTGCCCCGATCTTCTGCAGAGGGTGCGGCGTCTGGATTTGTTGACGACACATCATGGCGTGCGGCGTACGCCGCCGGCAAACATCGACCTGTTGGTTCACCCAAGAATCTAAGTGCTCGCATCGATAGCCTGACCCAGCGTATGGAACTTCTATCTCGAGCCTTAATGTTGGCGCCATCTGGAGATGCTCTCTCTGGCATCCTGGCGACCTGGCGTCGTTACGAAGAAGAAATGGATGGGCTGAAAGTGCAAGCAGTAGAGGAAGAGCGAGCTTTCGACGCCAAAGCCGACGCCTCATTACCAGGAGCTTTCGGGCTGGAGGATCGTGCTGCAGACGCGGCGGAAACGAATCGTGTAATGGCGCGCCGGACAGGACCGGGAGCAGGTCCTGGACCTTCCTACGAAGAGCAAGCCCCATTAGGCCTGTTCGAAGTTGCCAAAGGGGCAGCCACTGCTTTCCGCAAAAGTGCTGCCTTTCCACTCGGCTCAGGAGGCCTGCAGAATCTCAAGATTCAGGATGGAAGTTACCGAACGAAAGGAAATCTAGGGCAGGAGGCCGTCTCCCCTGACGCAAGTGAAGGTGGTAGGGCCCGGAAAAGAGACATGGTGACGAATATGGTTACTAGCGGCCTAGTCAGTGGCATGGGCTGGGTCCTCGGTGCACAACCACGAGATCGAGTTGATCAGAGAGACAGAAGAGAGCCTGAATGAATGAGCAAACAATCCCTGTATTATTGACACGTCCTTGGTGAGTAATGGATGAAAATCACGACATTTTTCTTTTTTGGTGTGTGTGTGTTTTGAAGCAATCTCCCATATCAGAAGACCGTAGCATAAATGTATATTCTACTTCTTGTCATGGTCGTTGACTTGTCATACAGATTGAATTGAAAGACTTCAGATCAGAGAGATTAACTGAATCTAGTGAAGGTGTGGAAGAAGCCAACCCACCTCTGGATGCAGGAAAGAGGCGGTTGTCTACTTTTACGCCTCATCCTTCAACACAATCTTCCGACTCTTTGACCGCTCCACATCCAAATCACTCCATTGCTTGATCGATGTCGCGACTGTATCATATTATCGGCAATACGTTCCGGCTCTCGTTCATCTAGAGGCGTGTCTTGTCACTCATTTGAATGTCTTCTCTTGTTTGTCGCCACACTGCCTCGCATCACCCCTGGACCATGCCTGAATTGTGTCCAAAGCTTTATATCACCGCGGTAACAATTCCGGGTGCCCTTTCCCCATCATCTTTGCTATCATCGCGGTACTCGTTATCCTAGGATGTCTGATCTAGGGCATCATCGTACCCAAGTTTCGCAAGAGAAACCAGGGTCGGACACCAGCAAGGCCTATCACATATCAGGCAGACAAACAGCAGCCGTCGACGTTTCCCAGGCCATCCTGCAATTCGTGGCCTTCGTACAAAGCCTTTGCCCAGAGGTCGACACTACGACCTAAGGTTCGAAAGTCCTTTTGAGAACAGTCCCGCCCGATCGCAACCTCTTCGACTTGCTGCTACTCTTATACCGGCTGTCCCTGGCAATAACCATGGCCTCTTTACTCCGGCAAAAACTCGACTTGTTCCTAGGCCTGGCTATTGTGAGAGAGTCACCGGCAGTGTCCGACCAGCAGGAGGAATTGTGGGTGCAGGGTCCAGACGCCTGGTCTACTTACAATGGCGTGCAAGAGTACATACTCCCTGTACCAGAACCTCTTGTCCTGAAGCCTCGGCGAGCAGGGCGACATAACCCATGGCCTCACAATTGGGGAGATTCCCAATTCTTTAGGAACTCCAGACCACAGATGGGATTTGTCCATCCAGTCAAGCTGTTTCAGGGGCTAGAACAGTGACCTCCTTAAATTTAAAATCGATAACTGGGACTTGCACACGGATGGACCTTAACGTTTCGATCTTGCCGCCTTTTGCTCTCAAGCGAACACTTTCAGATTTGGGATTCAAGGCACGATTGTGTGTGGCTCTCGTGGTGTTATCGAGCCTAGGCAGGATTCGTGACAGATGGACGATGGGGCTCAAGGAAGGCCTGTTCCTCTTATCGGCGACGACATTTTTGGAGACAAAGAAACAGCATTTTCCAACGCGGTGGGTCGGCAATTTTAGGTAAATTGAGACCAAGCACAGCACCTGGAGGCGGGCAATGGCTTTAATGGAGAGTAGGAATGCAAAGACGCGTGAACATGCTTTCGATCGTTTGGCTGGAAGGGTGGTATAAAAATGATGGGGTTATCTGTTAGATGAGACATGGGGAGTTGAGCTGCGATATACTTGACATGTTGTCTCGGCCAAAGTGATTTTGAGAGAGGGCATGATGGATGATGGATGGATAAATGGATCGAAGGTGTCCATGACAGAGGGATTCACCTGTGCAAGCAGCTCGCGTTGCTAGGTCTGTTGCTGTCGACCATTCCGGTAGCTGTATTAGGGTATCAGGACAAAAGAACCTATGGTATCTAGCTTTGCCATGCTTCTCGTATTTCTGCGAGCAAACACAAAGCAGCTTCGGCTGATGCTCGTTGGCCGCCACCCGAAGGCTCGCTTGCGAAAGACTCGAACACCAACAAAGCTAGTCGCGGCAATACGCACGCCATCAAACACCTTCGCAAGCCGCATCTGTGTAGCACTATTGGCGGTATCACGTCGAGATCAATTGCAGTCAGGTATCGGTCAGTACTAGTTGTCTGTTATTGTGCCCCCTAGTCCGCAGCATTATTACTCGATAAGCTGAAGTCAGAGCTTTTCTCGAAATGTTGAATATTTGGGAGCCCCAAATGGACGCTGGACAGCCACCTTCAATTGCCATCTGTTCCGCCAGTCTGCGACTCTGCGTTGAATACTAGTTCATATCTTACATGGTCTCACCAGCCTCAAAAGGAGGCCCTAGATACTCCGGGTGGATTCATGTTTGGGGCAAAAATGCTAATTCGGGACTGAAACCACCATGAGCCACAGCCAACGGGCCCAACGTCAGGCCCCTCAAGGATATTCCACCTTTTTCCTCCTCTGGGCGGCCTCAGGCAAAAGTATTGCTATGCCCAATGGGGTGAAGGTCTCGCACTTTGAAACGCCTTCGGGGGTCTACTCTTTCGTGTACCTTCATTCTCTACTTCCACTCTCCATCTCGTAAGTAGGACGTCTCTGCATTTCCCCGCGTCCATTACCCTGCCCGATTGCAGACTATCGTCTCGAGTTCTTGGTTACAGTGATTATTTTCTTACCTCGTTTGGTTGCGGAGCGTAATTATAATGGCTTTATCGAGGCTGGTAAGCATCTGCCCTTCATCCAGTTCTGAAATTTGAGATTAACCCTTTCTTAAAGGTCATCCTCACCAGCCTACTTGCCGCATCTACCTATGCTGTCCCTCTAGTAAAACGAGCGCAAGAAGTTGTACAAGGAAGTCTAGGAACCGATGGATACTGGAATGACTATGATGGTACGGCGTTCGGAAAGAAGTACGGCACATGTCATTGACTGGGGCTACAGGCGGAGCGAACAATTATGTCCAATATACGGGAAATGGCTCGATAGCGTCCGGATGGCCATCCGCCTTGACATGGGTTTCCTTCAACGACATGTGGGTTGCAAATCAACACACCATCTCAAGAAGCTGCGACATTTTGTACAATGAGGCCAATAACTCAGACCAAGAGACTCAAGACCTGTACGATGCCATCAAGCAGATCGCCCATCAAACTCGAGTCGACCACCGCTTCATTCTCGCCGCCGTGATTCAGGAAACAAAAGGATGTGTGCGAGCGGAGACCAGTGTGTCACCAGACGGAATCCGAAATCCTGGTCTACTTCAATCATTCAAGGGGACATATTCTTGTAATGATAATGGCAAGGTTCAAACCCCTTGCCCTAAGGACACGATCCTCGGCATGATTTCAGATGGAGGTAAGAATGCATCAAGCATGCGTTTAATGTGGTATGTCTGACATCGTTCGCCGTAGTTGCTGGCACAGACGCCGGACATGGATTCGCAGCCGATATCAACGCCCAAGCAGATGTTGCGGGAATTGAATACGCCGAGGCATACTACCGCGCAGCACGCCTATACAACTCCGGTGCCATCGATCCGTCCGGAGACTTGGGCAAAGGTTCTGCTACTCATTGCTACTCCAGCGATATTGCAAATAGACTAGTTGGTTGGACGGACAGTGAGTCGAAATGCACATTGGATGATGATTAGAATGCCTTGCCAGTCTTCAAGACATGACAACAAAGTGTCTCGTCCTGGTCTTTGGTCAACACGTATCATTTTCCTTTGGAATTACCTGAGGCACGTTAGGATTGTAGAAAACCAAAAAAAAAAAAAAAAAGGAGAACGTTTTGGGTCAGGCATCACGCCGAACGAAGGAGGTATTTTCCCTTTGAAGGTCACATGCATGGCGTTTTGGGAGTGTCTTTGGAAAGGCGGCCAACTGTAAATGATAACATTTATTTAAAAGATTATAGGAGAAAACGAGTGAGCCTGTCAGTCCATCAAGTGGGCCATACTTGACTATGGAGATCGGTGATCTGAGATTGGTGACAGTTCCCCCCATCAGAGCTCCATTGACCCAAGAGAAACCTTGAAGCCAAATATCGTCATTGGCATGAAGCGGAGCGGAGATAAGCATTGAGTTCCGCCATAAATCAACCAAAAAGGCGGGCATTTTCTCGGGCCTCATCCTGCCCGCTGTCTGCGGTTGATTGACCTCCATCCATCTCTGTTCAATCCTCTTATTCATAGATCCGCTACTATGTCGCGTCCAGAAGACAGCCGTGAAGGACTGAGCCCATTCCTACCTATCTTCGATATCCTTACCGGAGATGAGGATGATGATGATGACGTCGACAGTTACCATCCAACCGAGGAACGAAGTAGAGACACCAGTGGCTTGCAAGACGAGGACAGCGATGCCGACTTCGTCGGTACAAGAAACAACCCCCCAATCCCGAGAACATGGCTGCTAATGGAACTCAGATGCTCAAGAAAGTTTAAATGGAATCGAGATAGTGTTCGAACCAGTCGGGCAAGATGAGCAAGATGAAGAAGACGAGGGAAACCAGACAGAAACTGAGTATGCTACACGCCGTATTCGACCTGCACAGGGTATGTGGTGGTGTGTCACCACGTTTTATCCCCCCGCTTGCCGTCTGTTGACAAAATTTGACAAGTGACGGCCGCCGACAGTCGAGGCCTATTGAATGTGAGTGCACCTCTCAGACAACTCCTCAGTCGATATCGCCTGCTTGGACCTTCTGGCCGTGACCTCTTTGCGGACGATGATGACGATGACGACTACGAGGGTCCTGCATACGGTATTTTCGGTGGTCGTCGACGAAGGCGGAGGCCGAAACCGGCAGGAGACCGTTTCCCCAAAGTTCCCAGCGAGAATGGCAAGGCTTTGATGAACTCCGGAAACTATGGCAACCGCGACGAGTTCGTGGACATACAGCGGAAGAGAAGACGCACAGTCAGTGAACGTCTTATGTGGCGACGGTTAGGTCTCGACGCTCGTTCGAGTATGAGACGACAGAATCGTCTGATCGCTCAGGATTCGGTTCCGTCGACCGGGACGGCAGACAAGATCATCCACTACGACAGCCGGGCGTACTCTGGGCAATTTTCGGATGATGGAAACTTCTTCTTCAGCTGTACTCAGAACTTTAAGGTGCGCATGTACGATACGAGCAATCCCTACGAATGGAAGTACTACAAGACCGTCGACTATCCGTTTGGTCAATGGACGATCACGGACGCCACCCTGAGCCCTGACAACAAATTCCTTGCATACTCCTCCATCCGACATACAGTTTGCCTCGCGCCCACCGACCCGACCGACCACTCTGACTACACCCTCCTCGACTTTACCAACTTCGCTCCCGGCTCAGGCATGGGTCACCCCACCTATGGCTACATGGGCCGACACGGCTTTGGCATCTGGTCACTACGGTTCAGCGGTGACGGACGCGAAATTGTGGCTGGGACCTCTGACCACAGCGTCATAGTCTACGATCTGGAGCGCCGCCAATCAACAGTCCGCCTCTCCAACCATGAAGACGACGTCAATGCCGTGTGTTTCGGCGACAAGTCCTCTCCTCACATCCTCTACTCTGGCTCAGACGACCAAACTCTGCGTGTATGGGATCGACGGTCTATGGCCGACGGTCGGCCAGCGGGCATCTTTGTCGGTCACACGGAGGGCCTGACGTACGTGGACTCCAAGGGGGACGGACGTTACGTGCTATCGAACGGCAAAGACCAAATGATGAAGCTCTGGGACTTGCGCAAAATGATCTCGCCCAACGAATTCGCCAAGATCGACCTGCATACATACACGACCAACTTTGACTATCGCTTCAGCAATTATGTGGATGATGACTACATTCCCAACCCTAAGGATTGTAGCATTGTAACCTTCCGCGGCCATAGAGTTCTCAAGACCTTGATCCGTTGCCACTTTTCCCCGCCCGGCTCGAGCAATTCGCGGTATGTTTACAGTGGAAGCGAAGACGGTAAAGTGTGGATTTGGAATCTGGATGGCACCCACAAGGCTACGATCGATGTTTATCAGGCCACCAAATTCACCCGGCCACGCACCGAGGGAGGTGAAGGGTTTGGATACGAATTGCACGGACACCATAACTCTATATGGAAGACCTGTGTCCGGGATGCGAGTTGGAGCCCGACTGCTCCTGTTTTAGCTGGTATGTATTGTATCATGACCCTCGACCGTTTCCAATCTCAGGTTTTCACCCGTTTTCCCTTTCTTCCGGCCTGCTGACATTGAAAACAGCAACATCCTGGAACGGCTATGGCATGGCAACCGGCACCGTGTCATTGCATAGCTGGAATGACGGGGCTGAAGATGACGAGGCCCTTCCCGCCATGGCCTCGAACTACAATGCACGCCTCGACATGCGCGATGACTATAATGCCTGGGCGCGCCGGGCTAATGCTACACAAAAGCCAAAGGCCACGCGCAGTCGCGCTGGTGGCCGTGGGCTGAGGAGCTCTATCGTCAGACCGCAAAGGCTGGGTGTCGACGATGATGACGATGACCAGGGAGGAGGGATCTGGTGACAGTCACTGAACGGGGTTGGGGAGGCCGTTAGGAGAATTGGTCGACGCTTGAGCTTGAGGGGGAGCGCCTGGCCAGAGAATGATGGTGATGATGATGCAGAAGCATCATGATATAATGAGCAAGTAGAGCATGGTGACCGGGGACAATGATGAGGAGCTGAGATTCTGTGAAAGAGCGCAAAAGCTATGACACGTCAATGACCCAGGATTGAAGTCAGATTATTTGAGTCTTGAAGATGAAAGTGAGATGGGTAAATTAGATGTCATGTCTCACGATTTTACATAGTATGAAAAATGGAAAGATGAGATGGGTATGACCGTCACACAAATTCGGATGAAGGAACTCAGTTGGTATGCCAATTCTTCTCGGATTCGCACTGCTTGAAAAGTTTTACAACTCATTCCCTCTTCGCCATGGTTATATCCCTATTCAACGATGTCCTTCTTTCACTCCTGATTTATCGATACAGCCAAAAGAAAAAAAAAAAAAAAAAAAAAAATGATGAAGGTGAAGGTGTTTGGGATTGAGATTATCATTCGGATTTGATTCCGTGCCATCACCAACTTTCAATTCGATTTCCAACTTTCATCCCACTAACACGTTGTTGACGGGGATATGTACTGCATAAGCGTAAGACAAAAAACTTCAAACGGATGAGAACACAAAGACTGACTTAGCTTGATAAAATATCCGATTGCGCCCATGATTAAAAAGCCCATTCCGACAGCTTGTGAGATTTTGATGAATTCTCTTCGGTCGGCTGCGTTGGAAAATGTTAGCGAAGGCGGAACCGACTGGGCATAGGAAGGCAAGTGAAATGGAGCTGGGACGTGTGAACGCGGATCAATGGGACGGGGTCGTCCTTCTTGAGCAATGCGCCAGTCGTCTTCGAACTGAGTGCGAGCCAGGTAGGGAATCGACTCTTTGTCACGTTGACAAGACTCTCTGCTTCCTCCAGCCTTCCTATTGTCACCCTTTCTCGGGACGACCCCCAAGGTAATTGTAAGTATTGAGCCGCCACATACGCTTTGTACATCTGTTGATGAATTGAGTTCCATCTTTAAAGAATTCCCTTGGCACATCGGCCATCTCTTGTAATAGATCAGACATCTTGCGGTGGGACTAGAGAGACAAGACAGATTCAAGCAGTCGGCGTTGTTGATGTCGGCAGAGATATTCGCTCTTGTGGCCGTTGGGGAGAGAAAGATGGAAGTGCAAGGTGTATTACGGAGGTAGTCGAGGTAGGTGCACGACAGATGTCAAGAGAGCGATCAATTTGAAATTAGGTGGCATTTCTTTCACCAGGTCCAAAATCAAAGATGCAGGAGCAAGCCGCGCTACGTCGTGCGCTGCAACTTCGGCTGAATTGCCTGTCGGGCCCTCACGCAACTCAAACTCCTGTCCTGCTGCTGCGCCTTCGACACCCTTCTAACTTTTGTCCCCTTTCACCACTCAAATTTAGCCACGGCATTCGTTTCGATTCATCAAGACAGCTCTTCGTTGTCACTTGTTAGACTCGCTTTCGTAGCGGTATTTCATTCCGTTTTCCTCAACACGGTTCCCAGTCCTTCCGAACCGGCCACCAAGATTGCTCCGCAGTTTGCGACTCCTAGACATCTCAGTCAGGCTGTGACTTAAAATATAGCATAGTCTCACGAAATTGTCCGAGGACACCTGTACCTGCCCGCTCATTCAAGCGCAATTTCAGTCGAGGAAAACAAATTCGCCTCTGCGGCGTCTTCGCATGTTCATATTGCTGCTGGGTCCGAGGTTTCCAAAACGATTGTAACTATTATCTTCAGGGAAACAGCTGGTCTGTTTCATGTATTATGGCAGTGATATACGGTTGTGAAGCAATGGCCTGCTTGAATTGAAAAGGAAAAACCAAAAATGTTCTGTACGTATGTCTTGTTGGACGAACTCCTAGAAGATGCAGTTTGGCGTACTGTGGTTTGAGAATCCGGAGTCAACACTTGTGTCAAAGGTGGATTTTGTTTTTGTTTTTTTTCCCTGCCCTTTTCCCTGTACCTTTGACTAATACAGCATGTATCATGCAGAACTCATTTTATGTCCGTTGATCATCTTGTGCATAACTCTCAGGCAGACAATCGACTTTTGTTTAACACATCTTGAACCTCTTTCACAATGGCGTCTGAAGAAGACAACTTTGATATTGATATCTATGGCGACGGTGAAGGGGACATGGGGAATGATGGCAACATGGACTACAAGCAGGTGGAAGAAGAAGAGGAACACGAAGAGCAAAAATTCGTTCTAGACAATGAAGACACCACGCCAACTACTGAGGCCGATCTGAAGGCCGGGCCAGACGCAGAAAAGAAGACGACAACAGAGACTTCATCCCAAGACACCTTGAAGACTGAGGACGACCAATCGAGCAAATCCCATGCAGTTCCCTCGAAGCCTGCTCCTCCCCAAGGTACGAAGCGCAAAGAAACTTCGGATGAGAGACCAATTGACAACGGCGCCACGATGGCGCTTATGATTTCCGACTTGCACTGGTGGACTACCGAAGATGATATCCGCGGTTGGGCCAACGAGGCTGGCGCGGAAGACGAGTTAAAAGAGTTGACGTTTAGTGAGCATAAGGTCAATGGCAAAAGCAAAGGGTATGTGTCCAGATAAATGTCATGTGATGATAGTTCGGCTGATCGACGTCTACAGGCAGGCATATGTTGAGTTCTCCTCGCTTCAGGCGGCCACTGCAACAAAGCACAAAATTGAAAGTCTAGGTGGCGGCCAACCCAATGCTCGCAAGCATAGTGTGATCTTCACCAATGCAACACAGAATCCTTTCAAGACTCTCCCAAAAGATGCTCCGGCTAGGGCCAGAGATGATCGACCTGTCCGGGCCGGTACATTCAACTCTGGACCTCGCGCAGACAACAATTATGGGATTAACAATCAAGGGTTCCGAGGTAACAGAGGTGGTGGCTTCAATCGCGGAGGTTACAATTCTCACGGACAATTCAATCGCAACTTTTCTGGGCCCATGGGAGGCTATAATAACAATAACATGGGCTTTCAGGGGAACATGGGTATGGGCAACACTTATGGCGGCTTTAATCGAGGCGGAATCATGGGCAATTCAATGCGAGGTAATATGGGCGGTATGCGCGGAGGCAGAGGAGGCATGAATAACATGATGCCCATGGGAGGGGGAATGGGAATGGGTAATATGGCCATGAATCCAATGATGACTGGCATGGGCATGACAGGTAAGTTTTGCATTGAATCTTACCACCCCTTTCTTCTCTCCCCCTCGGCAGGCTAGGCAGTCGTTGACGATTTCTGTCAGGCTTTCAAGGAAATCAATTCAATCCAGGAATGTTCAATTCAGGACAAGGCCCAAATTTCGGCGGCGGCGGTGGTGATTGGAACCAACACGGTGCTAAACGACAACGACAAGAATGACTGGCAGGAGAATTTGTTCCGCGATGTGTAACTGAGAGCCTCGTCTGAGGCGGCCAAAAAAAAAAAAAAAAAAAAAAACTTTGTCACTCTGTTTGATCAACATACTCACGCCAATCAGCATTCTGGCGATCGACGACAAGGCTCTCAATGGCATGGTGAAGAAACTTTCGACATCATATCAGTGAGGGAGCTGCAGAAAACTCGGGACGTCGCCGATTGGTACTCGTGGAGAAGACCCAGTGTGGGCTAATTATCCTAAGCATAGGTCTCACATGAAACCGTAACCTGGTGAGATCTGTTCCGCGATGTAATTCTACAGTTTGCCGCACGACCGTTGGGCAAGGTCGTGAATATTACGTAATTGCAGGATGGGAAGAGAGGGGCCCAGCAAAACCAGGTTAGAAACTGATGCTTGACGGGAACGATTGCACTGTTTCTCTAACACTCAAAAATTGGTCGGGATCCAACAGTTGCATTGGTGGAGGCATATCTAATTTACAAGTCACTTCTGTTGTAGTAGCCCGTATCCTGCTGTTCAGAACCTCACTACGTCATCCCACTGTAAGTCGTGCCTGATCCAATTATTTCCCTCCCTCTATCTAGAATAGGCTTTTGAAACATGCCTGGCCAGCAGCAACGTCGCGGTGAAGCTAGTGGGCCACCTCTATCGCAAGAGGTCTCTTCGAGCTCTCAACCGCAAGCTCAAGCACCAGTTCAATTCATTGAGACTCTCAATCCCAACCTTCAGCCACCTCCATCGTCTGCGCAAACTCCTCTGTTTCGCGTGCCTCAATCTCCTCGTTCTCCCGCTGCGGGTGAATCATCTTCCAAAGTGGCTAAAATTGCCATTCCCCGACTGGAAAGGTCTATTGACGCGGCCGGAGAAGATGCTACAAAACCTGGAGGAAGACACCGGGTCAGCCATGCCTGTGAGCCATGTCGACAGAGAAAGACAAAATGCAGCGGAGAGCGGCCTGTCTGTAGACACTGCCAGGACTTCAAGATTACATGTTTCTATGCAGGTGGGAAGCGTGACCGGGTCAAGAAGCAAGGCTATTATATCTTCTCTTAGGTTAAGTTGCTAACCAGATACAGGCAATTTGGGACCATGACCGAGAAAGTCGCGGATTATGAAAGACTCCTGCGCGATCTTATTCCTCGAGTCAGTGATTCGGATGCCAGAATGATTCGAGCATCGTTGCAACGGGTAGGCTCATGTCCAACTGTGTGTATAGCACGTGGCTGAGGAGCATAGAAGACCACAACCGAAGTTGATGAGGCAGGCGCTGAAGGCACTGCGGACACAACGGCAATCCACGCGCTAAATGTGGAAGCCGAAGAGGAATCTAAAGGTGAATCTGAAGCTTCTGCTGGAGCCGGTTCCACGGGCGCTCTCGATAGGACCGATGAGGATTTCACCCGCGAGCAGGCCAAGGCGACTGGGTTCATGGGGAAGAACTCGGAAGTCACGTGGCTACAGCGTCTGCGGGAAGAGAACAAGTATGGGGACCATCCCAGAGATGACCAAGGTGACGACGGGCAACAGAAGGTGTCGATAGCTTCTGCGTCCTCTTTCACCGCGACGTTCCCCGTGGGCGACCCGCAGATTTCTCTGGCAGAAGCAGACGAAGGCTCCACAGTCAACGACTCAAACTACCATCTCGATGACATGTCAATATCAACCTTTGAGGCGGTGGACCCATATGAAATGCCCACCCCGGAAGCTGCGAATAATCTCTTCTATGCGTATATGGAGCGAGTCCATTCCTCCTTTCCGGTTGTGGGCCGGCTGAATCTCACAAGACAATTCGGAAGATTTGTTGGTGGGACAGTACAAAGGCCTCCTGGAAAGTGGTTAGCCATCATCAACTTGATCTTTGCCATTGGTGCCAAGTATTCGCATTTGATCAATGCTGAATGGAAAGGCGACGAACGTGATCACCTTATCTACTTTACACGCGCACGCCTTTTGAGCATGAATTCTGAAACGATGTTCCAACATCCGGATCTACAGCAGATACAGATATTGGGATTGATGTCTTTCTATCTCTTGTGTATTGGTCAAGTGAACAGAGCGTGGGTCTTGAATGGCGTTGCAATCAGACAGGCAGGCGCATTGGGCATGAACGTGCGCAATGACAGTTCCGTTTTGAAGAACTCGCTCAAGGAAATCCGATACAGGGTATGGTGGGCCCTCTACACTCTTGAACATCGACTGTGCAATATGACAGGCCGAGTCAACTGCATTCTCGATGAACACTGCACCACACCACTTCCGATCCCACTGGAGGAAGAACAGTTTGAAACCGAAGAAGGACAGAAGCTTCTGAGCAAGGAAAAGCAACAAGGAGATCGCGCACCCTCGTCTAATGCTCCAGCACCAGCTGGTGTTGGTTCCGCGCCCTCACCCGATCGTTCTCGTTCTCAAGCAAAGGTAGATCCGTGGTCGCCGTCGACGCCTGGTACTGCCGGAGACATGGAGTGGGCTAAAGATATACCACCTAACTCCTCCCTTTACTTCCTTCATATGGTCCAATTGACTCGACTGACACAAAACATCTCCCATCGCCTTTACAATCCAGCTTCTATTCGAGGAACATGGTCGGAAGTTCAGCTCAAGATCAAAGACCTTGATGAACAGCTCGAGTATTGGTACCGGAAACTACCTCAAGCTTTTGACTTTCGAAGAAATCAACGGGAGCGGGGTTCGTACGAGTACCGTCTCAATCTCGGATTTTTCTACTACAGTGCCAAAATGACCATTCACCGCCCATGTCTTTGCCGCCTTGACCGCAAAATTCCCAATCAGTCAACCAAATCTCTTGAGTTCAACCGCAACTCCGCCACAACATGTGTCGAGGCTGCAATGGAGATGCTTCAACTGATGCCTGATGAACCGAATGCTGTTGGTTTGATTCGGGTCGGGCCCTGGTGGAATATTTTACACTGGCTTGTACAAGCCACGACAGTGTTGATGCTTGAGATTTCTTTCCGAGTAAATCACATGCCCGAAGAAGCAGACGCGATCCTAGATTCATGCAAGAAAGCAATACGCTGGCTTCATGCACTCGGGGAAGACAACCAATCGGCGAAACGGGCTTGGTCATTATGTTTTACAATGCTTCGCGAAGCCGTGAAGAAGATTGGTCGCGATGTCGAGGACCTGCCGCCAAACCCACCAGGTAAACCTCCATCTGCAGAACCCGATGTTTCAATGCCAGACTTCTCTGGCGGAAGCATCTCCTACTCGACCAACCAGTATGCATCGGCCCCAATATCCACCTCGATGTATGGCACAACGCCTGATCTACCGACTTCCCAGTCCTTTGCCATGTATGACCCACTGATGCAGTACGATCAACATTTTCCGACAGATTTCCAGATGGGTGAATCTATGCAGCGCCAGCAGCTTCCGGGTGCGGAGCTGGAGTTTATGAGTACCGTATATCATGACAATCACAGTTATCACCAGGGAAGCGCGAGCGGTCGTGGAACACGGAGTAATTGACAGATTGCACGATTTCAATGAATGAATTCCAGATATCGGGATCGTTACCAGATTCGTACCCAGCCTCGCCATCAGGGAGTGGAATTAAGGGGCTGATACAAGGAACATACTGGTGCTCGATTTGGCGAAGCAAATTTTGTTTGTCTGAATTTTCGAGAGATCGTGATGTAAGGCTTTGGACTAGATGTACCGCCTTCGAGGAAGCTTGGCAAGCTTTCTCCGAATCTTTGACTCCGACGTATATTCCATAGAAGGTCATGCCGGCGTCTGGACGGTGTCAGGCGCCTGATTGGGTGTGATCAAAGGAATTCTGAAGCCGTTGTATTGCCATGTCAAGATCTTCCTTACTCCCAGTGTGTCGATACCTGTTCTTATAGGTTACTCCAAGTAAATCAAGTCGAAATGCTGACTGAGGATCGTCTGGTTTCGTTATGCTGATAGCATCTTGAAGCACCCGAAGTGCCGTTTGAACATCATATCTCGATGCATATTTAGTTCCAAGAATGCAAAGTCGAAGAGGCCTGGCTGGATCATTGAAAGGCGTTATATCGAGGGATTCTTGAGATAGCTGAATGTACCTTTCCAGATGCTCCCTATTCTCTGTCCTACCAAAACGGTCTCGGTACACAACAACAAGTTCCAAAAGTCGAGATCCCCTCTGTGGTCCGGTGGAGCCGTATTCCCGAGAGATCTCTGCTGTGATTGAACTGCCAACTTGAAGTCTTCGTCTTCCCCTTTGCTATGGTATCTACCTTCATATGCCTTCCCAAGGGATTGAAGTCGAGACGCCAATTCGGGATGATTCGGCGGGGTTTTGTCAGCAGATTCCTTGAATAGATAGACGACCGCGTCGACATCTGCTATAGTCCCAATCGCCCGGAATCTAGTGTCGTACGCAGCTCCAAGACAGGCAAGTTGAGGTACCCTTTGTGGATCCCCTGAGGATGCCATATTGAGAGACGCGTAGTATAGCCGAATTGCCTCACTAAGACCTTCTAAACTCCCTTTCTGTGTGGATCGATATTGGTAGCTAGTTCTAAGAGCGTGAAGTCGAGACGCTCGAATCGATAAGTCAAGGTCTACTGGATCCCTGTTCAAATGGTATCGACACCCATATCCGTTTCCAAGGTCCTCAAGTCGAGATGGTCGGTTTGGATGGTCCAATGGAGTTTGTTGGAGAGCCTCTTGAAGTAATTCAATTGCCTTGTCTAGATCAGTTTTCTCCATGGCTTTTTGGAACTTATCTCTATACTTGGATCCAAGAAGCCCAAGTCGAGAGGGTCGGTTTGGACGCCGGCTAGAACAGCTGAAGCGCTGTTTCTAGATCCGCTACGTTCCTTCTTGTTGTGAAGTTGTCGTTGTATTCGACTGCAAGATCGTGAAGTTGAGAGGACGACACAGGGAGTTCTGACTGGTCTTTTGGGAGAATATTTTGAGCAACCTCGACAGAGTTTGACTGTTCTCGCGGAGGGAAATGCGATCCTGCATCTTTCATGGCGTGAAATCGAAAAACTGCGCAATGACCGCGGGAGGGTACTTTTGTCGGCAAAAACGAGTTGTTGAAGGAGGTCGTGGGAGCGGGACCGACGGTTACCTGCCTCCGGACGCCGGAGCGGCCACGTTGGCGTAACGAACAGGTCCGCGGGAAGGTTGCATGCAACTAGGCAGGAGAAGTCACGCAAAGGAGCGTGGACAGCCTTGTTGGCAAGGCTGATGTGTCACGTGATTTACAAGCGCTGGTGCTGTGATATGTGGCGACGCCAAGGCTTGTAAAGACCTTCGGAAGTGTTGTACGCTTCGTACACGCTTCGAAAGTATATAGTCTGACGGTCCCTTGGACCCCTTCGAAATAGAACAAGTCCTCCGTAAAATCACAGTGCTATCCCCTGAACTGTCGACACCTCGCGCTGTTTTATTAACCGTAATAAAGCACCCCCAAAAGCTGGGGCCTGCCGCCTATAAGTCGGGGCGGCGGACTGCCTACGAGTTGGGTAGCGCGGAGCATCAGGACTAGCATTCCAGCACGCAGTCTCGACAACGATCGCGTACACGCCCCCCTTTTTGCTCCTTCAACCACCTTTTTATGTCGATTTAAAGCTCATATTGAGGTGGTTGTCTTTGCAACCGAAGGATCGTTGCTCAATATCCATGGAAATTGTCACCATTCTTGTCGCCTGGTGGCGTCCAATACCCCCATTTATGCATCGATCAAGAATTCTGGAGAGGCTCATATTCGTCCAAAACCACGTCAAAATGAGCCAAATTCACCCACTCAAGGATTAGGAGTCCTTGTCACCACCAGAGGCTAGCCTTCGGTGACATGTACAACCTCCAATATACTCTCGAGATCATGGTACTGCTTTTCCAACGAGCGTCGTTCAAGTGCCTGTTGTGACTGTGTGTCTCGATACGTATCGTCTGCGATCTTCGCAATCCTTCCTGTCTCTTCGTTGGCGGGAGCAAACTCATCACACAACGAAACTGGGAATGCCCACAACTTTATTGCCGAATAGAAGCACGACAGTATTCTTGTTGGCAACCATCTCTTCTTTTCTGAGAATTCCAGTCCCCGGTAGCGAGAAACGGCAGGGGTAATTTGGAGAACAATGGATGTCAAACGGTCTACAGTGCGATGACTACAACATGGTGTAGCACCTCCATCCAGCTGGCCCAATGGTTCCGGTCCCAATCACCGATGGCAACTAATGGGGTTACCTTTTGCAACGACAAATGGGATGCTTGCACCACCCCATCCACGATACCTTCAGCTGGGACAGGATCCGTGGTATTTTTTGTCGTGCGTTGGTACAACCTCTCCCAGGGTCCAATCCCAAGCCAGGTCCAAGTCCAAGACTGTTTACCGACACTGTCTGAGTTAGAGTTTGTGACTTCAACTGGGAACTGGAGCGTGGTGACTTCTACAAGTACGAGGAAAGGGACGAGCGTGGCATCCTTTTCAGACGTAAGTTGTGACTGTCATCCTCCCACTACCATTTAGTGAGTGTCTTTTGCTCAGCCTGCCGTATTGACGTCGGGAAGTTACACCGTGACCACAACCTTGTCCTTCAAGCCGACAAATCACTACCAGTGATGAAGTCGCCTCCTTAGTCATCGCCCGAGACCGAGGTGGGGATGATATGGCAAGCCGGATGTCAGAGAAGACGATCACAGCAGAAGTCACAATGCCTACCATCAAGACAATATCATTGGATTCAATATTCAGGACCACAGTGACGACCCAACAAACTTCAACCATGGAATTGACTGAAACAAGGACGCGGACGCTGAGCACCATTTTCATGCCGCAGGCGAAATAGCATGAATCTCGAGGTAATGAAAATCAAGTACTAGACACGCAACTCCACTCCCGAAAATCAAATACAAATTTTAGCATTCTACACGACATTGAGAATAATCCAGACAGAGGTGACGTCTTCAAGATCCTTCCCACAATGATCTTGGCCATTGCTCGTCAAAGACCCTTTGCGCTCCACAAAGGTGATAGATACTTCTCTTTTTGTCCCCATTTTCTCCTATCCAAGTGGTTTATCCTTGTATGCGTGCACTACTTTCCCACCGAAGCATACGCTGACCCTCCCGCCATCCTATCAATCTCAATACACTCCTGCAAGCCACACAGATTGAAAGCCTGCTTAACGTTCGCTGTCGCATCAACAGGCGATGCCTTGCCCGTGTTCTGCAACATCTTCAACTCTTTCGTCACACCATTGATAACCGGCCCAATGCACAGGCCTGGGTAAATAATGACTCGGAACCCGAGCTTTCGTGCCTCGTCGACACTGAGTTCAGGCGTCACGCCGCCTGGGACGTTGTTCAGCAGCACCGGCGTGTCGCCCATGATCTGACATACGCGTTCCATTTCCTCTTTGCTCTGCAGAGCCTCGAGGAAGACGACATCGATGCCTATCCTGACGGCTTCCTGGAGGCGTTCAATGGCTTCATTGAAGCCGTACGTCTGCCGCGCGTCCGTGCGGGCAATCAGTACTATGTCCGACTGTAATTGATCGCGTGCCATGACCGCGGCGCGTAGACGGCTGTAATACACTTCCCGGTCGACAATTTGTTTGCCTAAAAGATGGCCGCATCTCTTTTCTTGTACCTATTGTGTTCTATTCAGCAAACAAACAACGGCAACATGTGGTACCCAGTGCATCGTCTCTCCAGAGTCTGAATTGGGACTGATGGGACGGGAACTAACCTGATCTTCAATATGCAACGCTGCAACACCAGCACGCGCATACTGCGTGACCGTCCTCGTCACCATAATAGGACCTCCGTATCCCGTATCTGCATCTGCAATTAAGGGAACGGTGGGATTCAGCGACGCGATCATCTCAGCATTACTTTGCATGTCGTTCAATGTCGCCATGCCTAGATCTGCCCAGCCCAGTCGAGACATCGATGTCCCTGCTCCGGTCTACCAGGCATCACAAAACAAATTTATCAGTATACGATATCCCCTCGAAGAATAAGATTGTGCTTTGGGTGTACTGGATCCGTACCATGTACAGCGCATCGAATCCGGCCGCGAGAGCCAAGCGGGCCGTTAAGCCATCAAACACACCGGGGCATACGATCACATTAGAGGGGTCTTTTAGTAATTCGCGGAGACGCTTTGCACCAGCAAGTGGTGAGCAGGCTTTTGCACTGCCGATGTTGCCATTGCGTAATGAACCCATATTCTTTGAAATATGGCAACTATCCTGACGAAGGGGCCCACCAGGATGGGACTGGTCATTTATACAGATCAGATATTCTCTCCTCTATGAAGTCGTCCCGAGGTACTATGTTTATTCTTCTTCGCATCATAGGTCGAACTGTCCGGGCCGACATCGAAGTAGACCTTGTCCGATATTCGCACCGAACTGCGGAGTTGAAGGCTGCGGAGATAGTGAGCAAATCGGACCAGCAGTCTGACATTCACTTCTGTGTCATTGGTTACAAGCATGTCGAAATGAATTCTGAGGTGGCTGGTATATAACCACGACAATGATCTTTCGGGCCGCCTGCGCAATCAATACATATATGGTGCGGTAGCCCCGGGATTAATTTCGAGGCAATACTCTGAGGTAAATTATTCCCGCATGATTTAACAATGGCGACCATCATAGAAACTCAGAATCGTGCAGCAAGTGTTGATCTAGAGGATCAACAATTCGAGAGCCAAGTCCAGGCTCTCCTGGCCCGAATTCGAGGCATTGAGTCTCCGGCCATCAAATTGGACTCGGAGAGATCTGCCAGCACTATTCCTGGCATTTTGTCCCAATACTCCGATGCACTAAAGGAAGCACACAAGACGGCTGAGGGTGAGGCATTGGATCACGTCCGCGAGAAAGTGGTGGACAAGAAGAGTTTTGGTGGACTAGGTCTGGTTGACGCTACTCCTGCTACACCGGCCCAGTATGCGGAAGTTCTCTTCTTAGTCGATGCCTGGCTGGAGGCCATCAATTCAAAAGAGAGGGCCAAGAGTTTCTTATCCTATCGGTCTTCTCCTGCCGAGGGGACAGGGCCGATGACTTTGGCACAGAAGATATTTGCGCAGCATGTGGTGGGAGAAAGGCCGAGCAGGGGTGTAAAGGCCGGTGATGTGGTCAGAGTTGGTGTCGACTGGATTCTGGCGTCAGAACTGTCCTGGACCGTATGTTTTCTTTCACCGTGTTCTTACAGACAAAAAGCTAATCTTGATCAGAGCATGGCCAGGACCCACAAGGAGCTGGGTTCTCCGGGCATCTGGCGGAATGACCGTTTCTGGCTGGCTGGAGACCATGTCGTCCATCCGGCTGTTGCTCAAGTCCCCCAAATCAAAGCCATGGTGGACGTATCGGAAAAGGCCAAAACAGAGTTCAAAATGACTGAATACCAAGGAATGAATTACACCATCATGCATACGGAGTTTGTTCGTGAGCGTATTGAACCGGGAATGCTGGCCATTGGGGCCGACTCTCACACTTGTTCCGGCGGAGCAGTGGGTTGCTTGTCCATTGGCCTGGGTACAGCGGATGTCATGCTGTCTCTGGCCCTCGGCGAGACGTGGTTCAAGATCCCCGAATCGATTCTCATCGAGTTTGTCGGCGAGCCTACCTTGGGTATGTCTGGAAAGGACGTAATCCTCCATATCTTGGGTGAGTTGAAGCGCAATACCGTCGCGGCGGAAAGGATCGTAGAATTCAGCGGCGAGGGTCTGAAGTATTTGTCGTGTGATGCCAGGTTTGCCATCTCGAATATGTGCACCGAGTTTGGCGCGATCACAGGAATCTTCGTACCTGATCGCATTACGCGCGACTACATTGCGCGACGACGCCGGAAGGCTAACCGAATGAGTTCACTCTACTTCAGACCGGATCCCGATGCAGAATATGTTGGAAGGTATATTATTGATCTGTCCAAAGTCGAATCGTCCATTGCCGTCTACCCCAACCCGGACGATGTGGTGCCGGTTTCTGAGAAAGTAGGTAAAAAGCTCGACGGCGTCTTCATTGGGGCTTGTACAACCACCGAAGAAGAATTGGTCCTTGCAGCGCTGGTTCTGAAGGTCGGACTGGATAAGAAGTTGCCCAAGGCCAAGGGCAAAAGACATTATGTGCCTGGTTCATTGCCCATCGTGGAGAAATTAAAGAACCTTCAATTGCTCGAAATATACGAAGCCGCCGGCTTCACTCGTGGTCCCCCTGGCTGCTCGTACTGCGTCGGTCTCTCAGCTGAGAAGGCCAATGAGGGTGAAACCTGGCTGAGCTCGCAGAATCGGAACTTCAAAAACCGGATGGGAAAGGGTGAGTTAGTCCTTCGACATATCAGGATGGACCCGGGTATGGCTAACTTTGTCTCTCTCAGGAGCCTTTGGCGATGTCACCTCGGCGATTGTCTGCGCAGCTTCGAGTTTCAGCATGACTATCACCAGTCCAACAGAATTCCTGAAGGAACTGGATGTGGAATTTTTCAGGCGCTATCGTCCTCTTCCGGACATGAATCTGCCCCCAATTGACTATGTTGAGCCTGACTTAGCTACGAGCCCGACGCAGGGACAAAAGGGGGGCGTTTCCATTACCAATATGGGCGACACGAACGGCCAAGCAGCGCGAAGCCTTGACAAAATAAGCAGCAAAATTGTGACGCTGGGCGACTTTATTGACACAGATGCGGTGAGTTTGGCAGACAGTCCGAATGAAAACCCTGAACGAGGCTGAGAGATTCCGCAGCTGGCGCCAGGGTCCACTCTGACGACCTGCGTGACGGATGTAGAATTTGGTGAGCATGTTCTCGAGCATACCCATCCTGACTTCCGAGCCAAAGTACGAGGTGGACAACAAGTTGTTGTTGCCGGCCACGCGTTTGGCGTCGGGTCGAGTCGCGAGGTGGCAGTCTCCGCATTGAAAGGTATATCACATCCAGTTTCGATCGGCTGTCTCATTGTTCTAACCATCCAGATGAAGGTGTCGGTGTACAGGCCGTAATAGCTCGCTCATTCGCTTTTATCTACGGTCGCAATCAGCCCAGCCTTGGTCTTGTCGGAGTGACGATGACAGATGATGCCTTCTTTGGAGCGGCCAGAGAAGGCGAGGACATCACTCTCGATTTCCCCAGCCGAACCATCCATGTCGCCGGCCAGACCTTCCCATTTCAACTGTCAGAGATGGAATATCATTTGACGCTGAATAATGGAATTGCGGAGTCGTTTCGAAAGTATGGGAAGCGGATCTGGGAGAATTTCACTAAAGGCACGGCACGCGAAAAGTCAATTGCGAAAGCATTGGAAGAGGGGGCGGAGACGAAGAGAGACAGTAAGATGGAGTGGTAGATTTGAGATCCTCCAATGTGTCACTTGGTATGGTCTCGTTCTTCGGACAGCGATGCTCTCTCTGCACCATTTAGTCGAGAAGGGCCCTCACTCTCTCCAAACGGCGCGTATTTGTCGATCAGAAAGTACATGTCATCGTAGGCCCTATTATATCCAGAACATTCCTCTGTCTCTGGTGAGAAATGTTGGAGATGACCAAAGTACTCACGTTTGTACTGCTTTGCCTTTGAGCCATGTGATTCACCGAGTAAATCACGTTGTAGTAAATGCTGTACAACCTGTTCCTATCGTCCCACTCTTCTCTCGGCCCGCTTGGGCTAACTTGTTGACCGACAAGATCTTTGTGCCTCTCTGGAAACACAGCAATGAACACCCTTGTCGATAGAAACCCCGTCAACGTGAAAGAAGTGGAAGTCTCGGTACCCAGGAGTTCGTGTACAATCCCAACCATCTTGGCTTCACAAATCTCTACTAGACTTCAAGGTGATAGACTATGGAGAAGACGACTTAGCCGGCTAGCAGCGTTTTCATATTATACACGGGCGAGCTCATCATCATATTCAGAGACACTGCCCAGGCGCTGTCAAGTCGGGAGTCTGGTTGGCTGCTGGTATTGACGTACGCGTTCTGTGCGACGTCTCGAGGTCCTTTCGCAAGGCAAAGGGGCCCTTGGTGGGGGCTCATATCAAGGTCCACTAAGCGATTGGCTGAGGCCTGAGTGGCATCATGGGAGACCAACTTGCCACCCAGTCCATCAAGTATAAATTGGACCCCTGAAAGCCTATTTCTCACCCATGATTCGACGTCCTCCCACCATTTAGGCACAGCAGCCGCCCAGAAGAGTGGATTGAGAAGGAATTGTGCGAGCTACCGAGTGGGGTCATCTCGTGCATCTCCTGTGACAAGTTCAGTCTCATCCCAGCGCGCTTCGAGAATCTATCTACTATCTAGACAGCAAGCAACCTTCGGAGGCCCAGAAGGCGTCGTTGCGGGCGATGACATTGGCCTTGCCAATTCTCTATCCAGGTTTGAAACCCGGCCCCCCCTCGACTGCCCTCGAGCTGGTTGGAGGCGGGATGCCTGAAGGCAGGTTGCCATTTGCTTCAAGCGCCACATCAGCCAAGAGAACTTCTGTTTGCCTTCGAGCGCTGAGCGCATGAAAGAGGGTGCAAAAGCACGTTTGACTGCGACTCAGAACAGGGATTCTCAGGGCCATTCGTCAATATGAGATCTTTGCAAATGTCTCATCAGCATTGCGGCCCATCAGGGTACGGCTCTTTTCCCAGCCTGTCTTCTTCTGACTTGCACAACTTCAATCCTTTTCGATTGATTTAGCCTTGACCTTCTCCCGCTCACAAACACAAAAACGTTGTTTCTGTTGCAGGGCATGTGGACAGGATCCTTGTCTATCGATATATCCAGCCAACGTTCTGAACTTTCAAAGAAAGATTTCTACCTTCTCATACGATTGGTCTGTCCCTGCTGTGCGAATGACTGGCATTATTTGTTGGTAGACATATTTCCTTCCTGGAAGTTTGCTTTAGACGTCACTAGGAAGCAGCGTTCTGCTTGCAGCCAGTGATTCTATGCTTAACCCAGTGTACTAATGGTGGTTAGTTATGATCCTCAAATCTTCATCGAACAGTCTCCTCATTATCCGCAGTTCAGAAATAAACGTTCCAGTCTTTTCGATGTGAACAAAGCAAAGAATGAGCCCTTGAGTGAACCCACTGCACGCAATGAGAAAAAGATTTCTGCCAGCTCGCCGTTCGAGTGGTTGCGGAGAAGAAGCTCCGGCCCCATCATTACGGCATTGTCTTCACATCGGCCCGTACAATCCAGCCTGAATTCCGTTCAAGATGCCTCGTCCACTCCTATTGAACAAGGGGCAGACCCCCTCGGCCTTCAAGTTGTTCATGAACCAAAAACAAAGTCGATTGCAGACGTCGTTTTCATACACGGCCTCGGAGGCAGCAGTCATAAAACCTGGAGTAAATGCCATAACCCCAACTTCTTTTGGCCAGGATTGTGGCTGCCAGATGATCCGATCATTGGAAAGGCAAGGTTACTCACATACGGTTACAATTCTCAAATTTTCGGCGGCCCAAGAAGCGTTTCAAGGATTGACACTTTCGCAACAAATCTTCTATATGATATGCATAATAGTTGGACCAATAATGGGGGTAAACTCGAGATGGGCAGGGTGCCTATCATCTTTGTGGCCCATTCAATGGGAGGACTTGTCGCTAAGAAGGCCTACCTACTGAGCCAGAACGACGAGGAGTTCAATGAAATTTTCCGAGCGATCTCTGGGATTCTGTTTCTGGCAACTCCCCATCAGGGTTCCAACCTTGCCCATAGCCTCAGTCTGATATTGAAAGCCCTGCTGCAGCCGGAAAAGATGTTCATTACAGATCTGGAAACAAACTCCCGACAACTGAATGACTTGAACAGGTCATTCCGAAACCTCGCCCCCAGACTCTCAATCGTCTCATTCTACGAAGAGCATCACACGACCATTGCGAAAAGGGATTTTCTGATTGTTGGAGAGGACTCCGCGGTTCTTGGTCTTCCTAAAGAGCAGGTACGGGGGCTGCCTGCTGATCATCACGATGTGTGCAAGTTTAACGACAGGGACGACCCGAAATACAGGATTGTCCGTGACACTCTGAGAAACTTTGTGGAGAAATTTGACTCTAATACCATAAGTTCGCCAACCGATGCATCTTTAACCACCCTTGGAGAGAGGTTCAACAACATCTGGCCATTTCCCGCACCCCAATCGAAGACTTTAATACATTGTTTGACCGAAAAGTTCCCGGGAGCTGCGAATGGATACGTGAGGAGCCTTGCATCAAGACCTGGCTGGAAGGCTACTCTGAGCCCCACGTGGTATGGTACACAGCACCTCCTGCAAGTGGAAAGTCGGTTCTGTCAAGCTATCTCATTCACTATCTTCAGTCGGAGGGTTATCAATGCCAGTACTATTTTTTCGACTTCGGCGATCAGTCCAAAAGATCAGTAGAAAATATGATCAGGTCGCTAGCCTATCAAATTTCTTGTTCGATGCCGAAATACGGGAAGAAGCTGCTTGAGGTCTTAAGACAAGGCCCACCCTTGGACAAAAGTGATGCTGGCTTGGCGTGGCAGAAGCTCTTCAAGGACCCTTTGTTACGAAATGAACTCGATCGCACTCTTTTCTGGGTCATCGATGGTCTCGATGAGTCCGAGGCGCCCAAAAAGGTTGTAGATATTCTCCGTGAGCTGCTACAGAGCGAGCAGATGAAATTAAAAGTCTTGTTCACTAGCCGCCGCACGGAAGCATTGAATTTAGGCTTTCAAAAGCTTATGCGAAATGTCAGGGTTGATTTGGTGCATGGCGAAGATCACAATTACAATCTTCGAGATATTCGTCTGTACGTGGAAGCGGAACTGGACTACTTGCCAGGGAGTGCCAAACTCAAGCAGCGACTCAAAGATGATATCTTGGAACGCGCAAGGGGCAACTTTTTGTGGGTTACCCTTGTGCTTGAGGAGCTTCATAACTGCCACACCGAAAACGCAATCTATGAAATGTTGGACCAAATCCCCGAAGACATGGGCAAAATGTACCAAAGAATGGAGCTTCAGATCACCGAATCAGCGACCCAAAGCAACGTCGCATTGGCAAAGTTACTGCTTCAATGGACGATGTGTGCACCCCGACCGTTGACTTTGAAAGAGCTAACACAGGCTTTAGAGCCGGATTATTCCGACTTTAGAGACCTGGAGACGATGATCCGAAGTGTCTGCGGACAATTCATTCTCATTGATAGCACGGAGCATGTCACGATTATTCACCACACTGCCCGAGAATATCTCACGAATGCCTCTCAGAGCTCCATTGCTATCCATCGCCAAAGGGCACACAGCACGCTTCTCGTCAAAACACTTGCAAATCTTTGTAACACATCGCTGAAGTCCAAGGTATTCCTGCAAAGCCGTCAGGAGCTGGAAGCAAAAAGACCTTTTTTGTTGTATGCTGCAACATCTTGGATATCTCACCTCCGCTATGCCGATCCCATTTCTGACGAAGTCTTGGAAAAGTTGGCTCATTTTTTCAAGCAGCATTGTGTGCTAGACTGGATCTATATTCTTGCCCTCCTCAAGCAGCTCTGCATATTAGTCCAAGCGGCAAGAGCACTCACAAAATTCGTCAGTAAAAATAGAAAGCTTAACGCTACTCGAAGCCCCATGCTGCATCGACTGTCCACCCTCGAGCTGCTGGAGAGTTGGACGGTGGATTTGGTGAGAATAGCGGGAAAGTTCAGCAGGCACCTACTTGTCCAGCCCCAAGCGATTTATGAAATTGTTCCAGCTCTTTGTCCTTCGAATTCCATAACGAACCTACAGTTCCATCGCAATAAGACGGCAAGTATGAGAATATACGGCCAGAACGAGTCGTGGAACGATGTTTTTGCTCGTTTCTCTCTTCGTCATGGTGAACCAGCCTGGAAGGTGGTGTGCGCTGGTCAATATCTGGCTGCACTCACCCAAGTTGGAACCATATACATTTGGAGAGCTATTGACTTCGAAGAGATTTGCGCTTTGCGCCACCTCGAGCCTGTGACAGACATATGCATGAACAGTAAGGGCGATAGAGTCGTGTCGTATGGTCTAAAGAGCACAATACTTTGGGAACTTCCTACGGGCAAAATTCTTCTACAAACGCTAAATCCGAAAACCAGTCGAGCAATGTCCCTCACGTTTGCCGACAGTGACACGGTAATTCTGGCAGCATCCGACGACAGAATAATCAGAGTTCTCCAGACTACTGAATCCGAGGTGGCATGGGAACCGCTGGATGCAAACCTGTTGAGGGAGAAAACGCAAACAGCATCCGCTTTCATCAATACCCCGAAATGCATGGTCCTTAAACCGGATGGTAAGCAAGTGGGAGTTTCGTATCGATCATTCCCCTTGTCTGTCTGGGACCTCGACAGTTCTCGGCTCATTGCCCGCTGCAAACGAGCAAATAATCCATTCAATTTGGGCTCAGATACGGCGAAAGATTGGTTTGCGGTGGATCTATTCACCTGGAACCCAATTACTGGCCACATCATCGGCCTATACAAAGACAAGACAATATTTAAATGGCATCCGGTTTCAAATGAGAACCGTGAAGTCTCCACCTCTGTCGATGAAGTGGCGTGTAGCCCCGACGGCAAGCTTTTTGTCACAAGTGATAGCGAGGGCACAGTCAAAGTGTGGAACTTCGCTTCTTTCAGTGTGATTTACCAGCTGTCGTCCGGGGATCCGGTTAGTGGCTTATGTTTCAGCCCTGACTGCGCTCGCTTCTACGATGTACGAAGCTCAGTTGTCACAGCATGGGAGCCGAATGGCTTGATTCGCCTTGCAGAATCTGAAGAGCCCTCCAGCGACGCTACCGGTGATGACCAACCAGGAACACTTACATCTCATATCTCCGAAGCAATAGCTCCTCAACACCCCATGTTGATGGTACTTGCTGCTGCCCCGACAGGCTTGCAATATGTTACAGGTAACGAAGATGGTGAAGTCTGTCTTTCGGACGGAAAGAGCACCTGCAAGACCGAAATTACGAAATTTCACAACTTCCAGAGTGTGACACACCTTGTTTGGGCCCAGAACGGGAACCTTGTCGCCGCAGCGGATCTTGGAGCCGACATTCACATAACCCAAATATGCACACCGGGCCAGGATGATGCATATTCAGGGCCCGCTCTGTCGTTACCAAGTCCCAAGTTGAAACTGGAGGGGCGTGCGATACATCAAATGCTCGTGGATCCGCTGTCATGTCAGTTGCTTGTTATCAGCGACGATCTTGCACAAGTATGGAGCATTACCGATGGCGCTGTCAAGACTTCTGTCAACATGTACCAAGCGGCTCAACGAGGGTGGATTAATCACCCAACCAACAGCGAGATGTTTCTTGGAATTGGAACTCAAGATATCCAGGTGTACCATTGGGTGGATTTGCAACAAGTACACCAATTTCGGATCAGCAACGAAGCTTTCTCCCTTGCCAGGCAGCCGACATTCAACATTCGGGAAGAAGACTCCTCATCCGAGTTAAGACGGATCAAGAGGGCATCCTGGAGGCAGGAGGGACCTGCGGGCAAAGTGTATAGAAGCATGCTCACACAGGATTGCAGACACATTATCGCACATATCAAAGAATACTTGGTATCAGGCAAAGTCCAGAAAAGGCTTTTGGTCGTGGAAACGTCAGCCCTTGAGTTTACTGAGAATGGTACTGAACCACATTCAATTCATTATCTTCGGATTCCGCCCCAAGTCGCCGAAAAAATTGAATTTCCGTTGGGTATATTGCCAGGCTCGAAACTGGTGTTTTTTGACCGAGATCTTTGGGTTTGCTCAATGGTTCTGAATTCCAGGGCCAGTCTTGATTCTTTCAAGCGTCACTATTTTATACCCAGAGACTGGACAAGCGTTGAAAGCATTGAACAATGCTCCCTGTTGCGGGATGGGACCCTCATTTGTCCCCGGGATGGTGATGTTATTATAGTTAGAAGCAATTTTGATGATATAGATCATTGAAACAGGGATGAATTGTCTCTCATAGAACCTAGGTTCCACAAGAGTGTCGCTTAGAACAATGGCATGAAGTTTCCGAGGGGATCTACCGGCCATCATATTTCAATCTGCATCTCCTGCTTATGCTGTGCATAGGTCGCATTCAATTGCGATTCTTCACACCCCGCACATCGCCACGTTTGCTGGATAATCACGACGTTGTCACCGACGACTGCAACAAGATCAAACTTCTCCAAACTGATATACGCTGGAACATTCTACAAAGCCAATTTACGCTCGCCAATCCGATCCAGGCCCAGATCAGGGTTAGTTTGTCGAAGTGACCATGGGAGTACAAAGTGGAGATACTTGAGGCTGGGTGTATAAGCAGTTTGAGGATATGGCATTCCGAGAGCTTGCGTTGGCTGCATCGATTGCTTCTATCTGAAGATATTGGAAATCAACACGAGATGGAGTCCAAAGCCGTGCAGGCTGATACGGCAGCAGACATTGAATCAGCACCTGCTCCTACACCTACTCCGTATTCCGTTTTTACAAAGAACCAGAAGCGCCTTCTCGTCTTACTCCTTGGGCTCGCGACCATTACCTCTCCGCTGACCGCTACAATTTATTTCCCCCTCTTTCCACTACTACGAGATCATTTCCATACCTCTGCTCAAGCAATCAATTTGACAATCACCGTCTATATCATCTTCTAAGCCATATCTCCCGCAGTCTTCGGGTCTTTGTCAGACTCGGTGGGCCGAAGGCCGGTATCTCTGATCACGGTGTCCTTGTACATGGCCGCAAATCTCGGTTTGGCAATCAACAGGAGCAATTACGGTGTCCTGATTTCGCTACGTGCCTTACAAAGCTTGGGTGCGAGTGCCGCTTTCGCAGTTAGTTATGGCGTCGTGGCGGACGTCTGTGTCCCAAGCGAGCGAGGAAGAACGCTGGGTCCGGTAAGCATGGCATTGAATCTTGGTGCTTGTGTCGGTCCTGTCGTCGGTGGCTGGGTCGCTTACTCTAGCGGGAGCTTCCAGTGGATATTTTGGGCTTTGTTGATTGTCGGCGTGGTTTTGCTGCTCCTGGTAGGAACTTTGCTGCCGGAGACAGCTCGGTCTCTCGTCCAGAATGGTTCGGGAAGAACTACATTACCTGTGTGGGAACGGACATGGCGGAAAATTGCAAAGAATCTATGGACATCACCAATGCTGAAAATGGACAAGCAGCCAGGACGACACGGGTCTTCTAGGGAAGTTGCAAATGCAAGCGCGGAAACCCCGACTACGCGTGCGAGCTTTCTTGCGAGGCTGCGAATAGGCAATCCACTTGCCTGCCTGCGTATCATTTTTCATCTTGATACATCTCTTGTGCTGTGGATGCACGGGTCGTTCTATACTGTCGACTACACGCTGGTAGCTGCAATCCCGGATATCTATAAGCAGAAATACCATTTCGACGAACTGAAAATCGGCTTGGCCTATCTTCCTCGGGGTACAGGCATCATTGTCGGAGGCTTTTGCGTTGGCAAGATGATGGATTACAACTATAGAATCACGGCAAAGAAAATCAATTGGCAAATAGATGGTGTCTCGGGCGACAACCTCAAGCACTTCCCTATTGAACGAGCGCGAGCACGTGGAAGTGGCTGGCTTCTCGTTATCTCGACATGTGGCCTCATTGGATATGGCTGGGCGGTGCATTATGGGGCTCATGTTTCCGTGTTGCTTATTTTGCAGTTTATGCAAGGTTTCTGGGGTACTTGCTTCTACATTGTTTACAACACTTTGTTAGTTGATGTGTTCCCGGAGAGCCCAAGCACTGCGGCAGCGGCGGCTAGCATAACCCGATGCGCAATGGCCGCGGCTGGGGTCGTAGTTTTACAACCTCTCCTGGATGCCGCCGGTCGAGGGTGGTATTTCACCGTCTTGGGTTTTGTGGAGTGGGAGCTTTGGTGCAGCAGCATTGTGGTTGATCAAGACGAAGGGCATGCAGTGGAGGAGACAGAGACTGGACAAGAGCTGTAGCTGAGAGAGACCTATGACTCGGGCTGAGGGAGGAAATCCCACCTACAGAGAAAGTTAGCTGATTTGTCAGGGAATCGGATAGAAGCCAACATACGGCAGCACAGGCAAGGTAGGCTTTTAGTGCATCTCTTTACACTTCCCTAGCTCTGGTGGGAGATAATCTCTATAGAGAGGCTTGTCTCGATATCACTCTACACAATATTATCAGCAGCAGTACCTCAAGCCTCAGGACCCACTTACAGCAGACCTTTTGCTGCATCTTGCTTATGTCCGCAGGCGGCTGGCCAATCGGTGTGGAGGTATAAAGATTCTTTGCTCTGCACTTGATCTCTCACATCTTCTGTCTCCTTGTCGTCCCTGCCGGCTATTGGACAACTCCCTGGAGTTACGCTCATATCTCCTTCTTGCCGTGTACGAAGCACCCTCTCCGATGACGGCCTCTCGATATGCCACGGGTCCTAGTCTGGGACATAATTCATGGCTGCGAGTCGTGTACGGTACTCGATTTTCGACGGCATTCACGCTGATAGAACCCTTGCTTCAACAAATCCCTGATCCTGAGTCATCAAAGAGGCATGCGACAGGAAGTATATAATCAACTCGGTAGTGTGGTTTTGCAGGTGGAGGGACAATCACCATGAGACTCGGGCAAAGAAACCTCCACCCTGAACAAAAGTCAGCCGATTCCACATGCGTCAGCAACCCATCCGGCGTCACTGGCAAACTATGCACCTGGATCTACGATACCTCCATTGGCGACATTCCTCCCGAGATCCTCTGGCGAGCCAAATACTTGATTCTCGACGGAGTCGCCTGCGGTCTCGTGGACGCCCACTTACCATGGTCTGAGATTGCGGCCAAAGGCATCTTCAAGATGGAGCCAGAAGGACAGTGTACGGTGATGGGCTGGGGTGGGAAGAAGCTCTCCCCCATTGCGGCCGCGGCCTTGAACAGCACTTTCATCCAAGGCTTCGAGCTTGACGACTACCGCTCCAATGCCCCACTACATTCTTGCACCCTCCTTCTACCTGCATTATTTGCAGCTATAGAAGCGGACAACAGCCGGAATTTCTCTGGCGAGGACTTCCTCAAAGCTTTCGTCGTCGGTTGCGAAATTGGACCTCGTGTTGGCTTGGCTTTACATGGTGCTGAACTCCTCTCCCGAGGCTGGCACAGTGGCACTGTTCAGGGTCCCTCGGCATCCGCTGCTGCAGTCTCTTCTCTGCTAGGATTGTGTCCTGCACACATCGAATCCGCACTGGGCATGGCCTGCACACAAGCCGGAGGCCTCATGCCTGCACAATACGGATCTATGGCGAAACGTATGCAACATGGCTTTGCATCGCGTAGCGGCCCTCATGGCCCAAGAGGGATACACGGGGATCCAAGAAGTCTACGAAACCCCGTACGGCGGTTTCCTGAGCTGTTTCTCCGAGGGCTCGATCCATACCCCCAAGTCCCTCCCAGACGAACTTATCAAAGGACTAGGCAAGAGATGGGAACTCGATGGGATTCGAGTGAAGCTTCATGCCTCTATGGCAGGTCTGCATGGAACAATCGACTGCGTCCAAAATTTGCAAACTCAGTGCCCAGAACGTTTCAACATTGAGAATTTGTCAAACATCGAGAGCATCACGACCGAGCACAGCAAACCAGCATTTGAGCACGGTGGCTGGATAGCGCCGGCCGACAAGTCGCTCTCATCGACGGCGGCGCAGATGAACATTCAATACGCGGCGGCCGCCCAATTTGTGGACGGGGAAGTCTTGATGGCACAATTCGGTGCGGACAAGCTGAATCGACCTATTCTCCGAGAGGTGATGGCCAAGATCACCCCTACGCATAATCCAGAGCTGGATCAAGATGCAACTGTTGGCTGGGTGACTGCCATGACGGTGCGGTTCAAAGATGGTACGGAAGTCAAGAATCGGACCGAGAGTCCTAGGGGCATCAGGCCACCCGCAAGCAATGAAGATATCGTTAAGAAATGGAGGATGTTAGTCAGGAATGTGGTAGAAGACGAACGACGAGATGAGATTGAACGATGTGTGTTGGACTTGGAGTTATTGAGTGACGTGAGGGTTTTAATTACCTTATTGGAGGGAACTGTACGGTGTCCTATTGCTCTGTAGGATGATCGGGTTGATAAATGGAGTTCGTTGGATTGTGAGTGTTCTTTCGAAGATGACAGAAGAGAGAATGAGTGTTTGAATTAATCGATAACTTATGCTGACATATCCTCTATTATGCACATGAAGTCAATGGTCAACTACCATGTCACGAAATACGAGGATGAGAGCATATTCCCTCAGCTCCTAGCTCATATTTCACAGCTTGGAGTGCCCTGCTCTATGGCAACACCATGCTCGCCTATTTACGGAGGTTGGCTCCTTTGGAGGGAAAAAAAGGAAAAAAAGCTTGCGGCTAGAATGATTTCAATTTTACTATCGAAGGGAATAGTTACTCCAACACCCGCTGCAAGCCGATGACTTGTTACCCCATGTGGGACCTCAGGGGGCCAAAGCTCAGCCTTGCCGAGTATTCCCCTTTTCCCCGTTTTGATTCCTTTCCATGCTGTCTCTGGTCTCCCCCTTCATTGCTCCTTCTCGATATATTCATGCATAATGCAACGCCTAGTGCAATGGAATTGACGGTTTTGTGCTACCATGAGACGAACACTTTTCCCATTGTAGGAAACATACCCGCAATTTCCATTGGCACCCACTTTCGGGCCTGTATCCTGCGTTGGTCAATCCTCATACACATTGCGAAAGCCGCGGCTCTGCAATTCTGAACTGGAAGGACTGTCAGATCCAAAGATTTTGACTTTCAACGGCTATTGATCTATACTGAAAGAGGAACTCCATACTGGGTGCCTATGCGCCCCGCATATTCGGAAAGCCCAGTTAGGTAGGAGTTACGTGCCATCCCGAGCAGTAAGATTCAAGAGCCTCCATTTACACGAACTTCTCTTGGTCGCATGGCCATCACCTGACTAATAGGTTCAAAGTGATTGATTCATCGGAATTGATCTTTGATTCCCCAGTACAGGATAGCCACCGCAGCCGTAGAACGAACCAGGAGCCGAATACCGTCTCTTGATTGCATATGAAGATCAAGCCATATCCAATTCATCATGGATAATTCGGCTCAAGGCTTTAACTCAACGGACTTAGCTATCCAGCTGTGTTAATGCCGTCCCTACTTCCACAGCCAAGTCATAGAAAAATTTAAACAAGTGGATAGATATGCGAGCCCGCTTTGTTTTGTAAGACCCTCGCCGAACCACGAGGCGTTGTCAACTGAATCAGTTTCAAAATTGACAGTCAGCACCCACCTGACACCAAGAACCATGTCTGCCACTTTCGCAATGCCCAAGAAGAAGCTTACCTGGCTGATAACAGGCTGCTCTTCCGGCATGGGCCTTTCGCTCGCTCGCATCGCGCAGGCAAGCGGACATACTGTGATCGCCACTTCCCGAAATCCTTCGCGCACACCCGACCTGGTTACGGAGGTTGAAGGCAAGGGAGGCAAATGGACTCGACTCAACGTGGACAGCCCCAACAGCACTCAGGTGATCGAGAATCTGGAAAAGTCTGGTCTGGAGATTGACGTCTTAGTCAACAATGCGGGCTTTTGTGTCTTCACCCCGATAGAGTCCGCGACCGAGGACGAACTCCGGGTCCAGATGGAGTCCATGTATTTTGGCCCTCTGCGTCTGATCCGAGCGGTCTTGCCTCACATGCGACAGCGAAGATTCGGTATCATTGTCAACATGAGCAGTGGAGCTGCCATCGACGGGAACCCAAGTATGGGAGGCTACGCTGGAGCGAAGGCTGGACTTGATGGTGTGCCTACCCCCCCCTATTGAATACCGTATCCGCTCTGATATCGCTTCACTCGCAGGCCTGACGAAGATCCTGGCCAAAGAGGTGGCCCAATTCAATATCCGTACTTTGACTGTCGTCCTGGGTACTTTCAATACCAATTTTGGTCATGCGGCCCGCTTCGGCGAGAACCCTCGCCCAGATGATTATAAGGGATCCTTTGCCGAAAAAATGATCCTGGCCATTTCCAGCGGCGGGGGGAGGCCAAACGGTGACAAAGACAAGGCGATGAAGGCGGTTTACGAGGTTGTGGTGGGAGAGGGCGCCGGAGCAGGACACGAAGCCGAAAGATTTCTTCCCATGGGGTCCGACATGACAGCCAGGGTGAAGATGTTGCAGGATTCTCTCGCACACAGTCTCGAGGTGTTTGGTGACATGGCCAACAGCGTAGATCTTGAAAAGTAATACTGGAATACGGTTGTTGAACAGTCAAAGAGAGCTGCCATCACGCTGAGAAAGATCGATCGTTCCATTTGAGTTCACTCATCCCAGGCTGCACAGCCAGTGTAATCAGAAGTCCATAAGCATAAGTTCTTTTCCTCATTGGCAACGCCGCAAGTTCCTTCCGTGACAAGCGTCCCCCTCATCCATTGCATGCATGGGAAGGCGACTCTACGAGGAGAATGTACACCGGCGTTTTTGGTTCGTATACGGAACATTCTGTCTCATCTGGCCTCAACAACAGGGGTCAGCCTCGCCGTTCGGTGCCACGCTCCTCACGTGACTATGTGGCTGTGTACGCCACGCCAAAATGGCGAAGCTGCAGCTCCAGCCCGATGATCCAGTTTTGTTTCCCATTCGTGACTCCTCCTTTTGACGCTTCTCTCAGAAATCGGCTCTCGTATGGTTTGAACTGTGGACTATGTCTGGTGTCGAAATCGTCGCCGTTTGAGTGAGCGTGATCACCATTTGGGGGTGCAAATGAGATGTATTGAATGCTCTGTCTGTTTGGCAACTGGTCCTGCCAGATTACCAGTATAAATCCATGCTTGGTTGACCCTTTTCTATTCCTATTTCCCCTATATCCTGCATAGAGGTGACAGCCCTTTTCCCAGTAAAGGGGTACTGCTCATTGTTCGACACATTCTCCAGATCGCCGACCGCGTCATCGAGCTGTACAAATTCTACCTCGAATAACGTGCGAGTTGCTCCGTCCGACTTGCGCGTCATACTTCTCGAGCCATCGATGCTCAAAGCGATTTTTGAAAGTCTGCAGTTCCTAATGGCGCGCAGCAATGAGACCTCAGCAATGATCCGTTAGCTTGACTAGTCCTCGACGGGGCTAATTTCGGGATGTCCGAAAGCGATGAATGAATGGGAAAAGTTTGTTCCGTCGGATTCTCTGCAAGTAACGAACAGAAGTCAAGGAAAGCAAAAGGGGGTAAAGATGACATTGGCTGCATTGGCCTGGCCTTTGAAGAAGAGTGAGGCACAAAAAAGTTACTAGACGAGATTATGCGGTTCAAGACAAACCATTAGCCTTGGGCTTACTGCCGGATTTTATACCTCCACTCCTTAATACAACTAACAATCCACCAGCCATGACATCAAATAGTATGGATGGCTCGCCAAACAGATCCTTCGTCAATTCGCTATGAGCGTGCAGAGATTATGATTCTGGAACCGGCAATTGGATGTTGCGCTCTCACGGAGTTCCCGGGGTGGTAAGACCATTGTCCTTTCACACCCTATCAAACAAGCCAAGCAGCATTATGACAAGCCTTTGAATGGAAAGGGTGCTTGCACCTACTACCACTGCTATTCCGACCATAATCAAGATGAAGCGGCCACTTTCCTGCGATTGCTACTCGATCAACTTTGCCGATAAGCGGATATGGTACTCACCAGCGTTTACAAGATGTACAAATATGGTGGTGACCTAAGTCTTTGTCGAGCTCTTCAAGGCGCTTGAAAATGTCATGGACGTCTTTGAAATCGCATATGTAGTTGTTGTTGACGCCGAGCTGTTCAGGCCCACCGTCTAGCCTAGGCGCCCCTACAACGTCATGTCGATCTTGGGTACCACGGACAGGGACCATGAACTGCGGAACACATCTCAAGCAAATAAATAATTTGCGACACATTTTTGTCCGCCAGCATGCAAGAAAGAGTTCTTCAATCATCAGAAACATGCGCTTCGTGCTCCGTACCCTCCTTCCCACACAGACATGCCTGCCAATATGTACTCCTCGGTCAACAACCACCTTCGAGCGGGAGTGCTCCAGCCGCATATTGTCCATGAATTTCCTTTGGGAACATGGGTAGAAAACCCGGTTGTCCGCTCGTCAACTCCCGGTTCGGTCCTTATAATGCTGCTATCCTCTCCAGAAGTGTACATGGTATCGACCACCTCATCCCTCACCCCCGTTCGAGTGGTGCGTGTTCCTCATTATCTCGGTCTTTTCGGCAATGTTGAGATGGGCCACGATGTATTCTATGCCATTACCGGTAATTGGTCTGTCGACGCATTGGAAAACGCTCCTGGCTGGTATGATTTGTGGAAGGTCGATTTGAGGGGAGTGCCGGCGGATGGAGAACCGGTGTCTGTTAAAAGGGAGAAGCTCGCGGAAGTCCTTTAAGCAACTTCGCTTAATGGCCTGGTTGCGCTCGATCCTGCAAAAGGAATTCTTCTAACCACCGACCCCTTATGAGGGTGTCGCCAGGACCATCAACGTAAAAACTTGGCAAAAGTGCTCATGACCATTCAAGATCCAACCATGACGACACCAGAAGGAAGTGAGAAGGGCATCAGCATTGTTGGTATGAAAATTATCAGCCAGGGACTGTACTTCGTCAACACTGCGAGTCCAACCTTTGACAGAATCCTAACCAACATGCGGACGGCCAGGCTACCGGGCCCGCCGTCGTCCTTGTTAACAGAATAGAACTCACTCCGAACGCCGTCGCTGTGGACTTCGAGGGGAATGCCTGGATAGCCAGCGACGCGCTGAACCGCCTGACCAGGGTCAAAAGTGTTGGCGCAACCAACTCCAGCGCGACTTCTGAACCATCGATTCAAGTTGTCACGAACAACACCGTGGAAAACACTCTAGTTGGGTTGAGCAACCTTGCCATTGGCGTGAACGCAGATGTCGCGCATGGTAGCATATTTATCACCACCCCAGGGGTGTTTCCTTCGTATGTCGGAAAGGACTGGACAAGTGGGGTTGCCTTGAGCTGGGCGGATATTGTGAATCTGTTATGATTGAAAACGGTCCGGATTGGAAGAGATATGACGTATGGACAGTCTCAGATTGTGCCCTTAGGAAGGTGCTCTCCTAAAAAGACCGATCATCATTCAAGAAGGGAATTTTATGTGCCTTGGTCCTATGGGAAGAGTCAACATGATGAGAAGAAAGAGTTGGAGACTCGGTAGCGTCGAAGATGTCTGGTCAGTCGCCTGGGTGGGATTCCAGACCAAGTCCTAGTTTCAGAAAACCAGCGCTTCAACTCCTACCGTCTGGGCTTCTTTGTTCAAAGATTCAATCTCCGATTCCGTGTATGGGATTCCCTCAACCTTTCGCTTCTCCTGTGTAATCTGTTCGATCTCACCAGGGAAGTAAATCCGGTCGAAGCCTTCTCTCTTGTCGGAGTCGACCACACGCTGATACAAGTAGTCCATCCTCTCTTTGAATTCCTCCAACGGGAAAAAAAGGTCAGGTTTCATAGCCATCAGGAAGTGGCCCACGTCAGCTGGCTTCGATGGATCATATGGATTCGTCACATGGCCGGCAAAGGCGGATCCAGAAAGAACGCCAGAGAAGACATCCATCATGATGGCCAAAGCCGAGCCTTTCGGTCCACCCATGGGCAGCATCACGCCTTCTAATGCTTTTGTAGGGTCGTCTGTTGGTAAGCCATCAGCATCGAGTGCCCAGTCCAGCGGGATCTTTTCGCCTCTCCTCTTTGCCTTATAGATCTTTCCTCGGGCGGCAACGCTAGGGGCCATGTCCAAGATGAATGGTCTTGTCTTCCCGGCTGGTGCACCGCAAGCTAAAGGAGACACGCCCAGGAGTTTGGACTTTCCTCCCCAAACTGGTAACGCCGGCGAGGAATTGGTGAAGACCAAGGATATCATATCAGCCTCGATAGCTTTCTGGACGATCCAGGCAGACATGCCGAAATGGTTGGAGTGCTTGATGGATACCATACCGATGCCGTACACTTTTGCCATTTCGATAGAGCGTTCCATCCCCACGGAGGCCGCGAGAAAGCCAAAGCCATTGTGTCCATCCACTTGCGCCACAACGGGAGTGACTTGGTTCAATGTCGGCTTTGCCTTGGGATCGAGAACTCCTTGTCGGACGCGCTGCATATACGAGGGGAGGCGATTGACGCCGTGGGTATCGATGCCTCGAAGATCTGCTGCCATGAGACATTTAGTAACAGTATCAGCTTCTTCCGGGGGCACACCATTGCCCATTAGCACATCACGGGTGAACCTATGAACTTTGTCGGCCTGAAAATAGTGCAATGGGCTGGACTCGGAAGCCATTTTCCATCCTGGGGTTCGAAATTTGTCTTGGGTTCAGTCCAAAGGAGCAGGCCTCGAAGAGAAGAGGACAAAAGAGAAGATTTCACAAAACTTCCAGCGGATTTCTCTTCTGAGTTAGTAGTCACGATTGGGGGCTGAGCCAACCGATTTTCCGGCGGCAGTGCCGGGTTTTCCACGCACCCAAAATCTCCTCCCAGCTTATCACCATTCGACCTTGACGTCAGACCTCGGGTGCACCACAGACGGTTCGCGGTACAGATTTGATAAACTTCATCCTTGTTTTAAGGAAGCCAAAAGCAGATGCGGTCAGTCTCAGAAATTACCCTGCGTCCCTGTGCACACATACCATACTCCGATTGGTTGAGTCTTCCGGGCCTCAGCCGCTCCGTCATCGACATTATAACTCTATCCAGATTCTGAATACGAAGTGGATTCAATGTCGAGGTGACGGAAACAAGACTAGGGGACGGATGCTGTCAGACATGATTGAATGCCATTGAAAATGTGCCCGTGGGACGAGGTGAACAGAGCAAGGCATCTAGCAAGTATAAAGTCGGGAATTAGAAGACTCGTCGCTTCGGAGCAACACCCCAATTCACTACGAGAAGTCATTCGTTTCCTCTTACCACCCCCAGCAGCCAGAATGGAAGATACGGGTCCCAAGGTTCGCGTGAGGACGGGTTGTGTCACTTGCAGGTACGTCTTGACTCGATTTGGTGGCTTCCCAATCCCGGTTGATGTTTCGACTCACTCCTTGGGTGTAGATTGCGAAGAATCAAATGCGATGAAGGCAAACCATTCTGCCATAAATGCACGAGCACCGGCAGAAAATGTGATGGATATGTTGATGGCCCCGTCTCTCGAAAGAAATCGTCATCGGTGCTGGGGGCGCCTCCAGCAAAACGACACTGGCGAGTCCCCCTTGGCCGATAACTCAGAGGCCGCGCAAGGACAAAGCTACCAAAGCTAGTCTAATGCAGCCCTACAGCATCGATAGCAGTCCTCCCCGAGTGGCTTATGGAGCAAGCCGCAGAGGCTCGTGCTTGTGATTACTTTCAACACCAAACCTTACGCGGCCTAACGGAGTTCTTCGACAGTGTTTTCTGGAGTCGGACAATTCTCCAACTGTGTCATCAAGAGCCTGCAATTGGCTCTGAGTTGCATGCACGAAACTTACGAATTGTCACAGGCCCAGAATGCAACCAACGACCGAGTCAAGGAGCAATACACCTTAGCCATCAAACATGCCAAGCACCTCTTGGATCGAAAAGACAATGGAATCGACCACCTTGAGCGAGTGTTGACTACGTGCACTCTCTTCGCGACATATGAAACGGTGGCTGGAAACTACTCTGCGGCTGCTGTACACTTTCAGAGTGGCCGGGATATTCTCAAGGAACATTCCCACTCGTTGCCGGACCACTCCGACAAGAGCGCCCTGTGCGAAATATCCCACATGCTTGCTCACCTCGATATGCAAGCAATGGTCTTTGCTGACGAGTCCTCGCCGTACAAATATGACTCCAGTCCGCCAGAGCCTTTAGAGATGGTCCCAATCCTTGACTCTCTCACCAAAGCTAGAGATGTCATCGTCAACATCATCCGGCACGTTATGTGGACGGTCAACATTTTCGAAATATTTCATCTCCAACTTCCCCGATCTGAAGAGGTCACGAATTTTGCGCCAACATTAGTTGACGTGTATTCAAGGCAAGCCGACTGTATCCAAGCCATTGAGAACTGGTGGCGAGCTTTTCATACTCTGGACATACGTCTTCAGGAGTCTCCAGGAGGACTGGTACTCCGCATGCACGCCATGTCGGCCCAGTTCCTTGTGAGGTGCTTAGGAAACCCTTCTGAAGCGGACTGGGATGGCTACATGAGCCAATTTCAAGAGATTGTGAGGATGGGAGAGAAGCTGCCTTCTCAACCCCAAGGAGCAGAATCTGGGACAACACCGGGAGGTGCTCCAAGTTGGACATACCGAGGCCCCGCATTCACACCTATTCCCGAGACCGGCCCCATCATGCCTCTGTTCCTCACCGCGATCAAATGCCGCGATCCACTCCTGAGGCAAAAAGCCCTCGACATCTTGCATTCGATCAATCGAAAAGAAAGCGCGTGGGAGAGTCTCGCTGCGGCCAAAGTAGCCACATTGGTCATCGAGGCTGAGGAAGGCCTGGTTAGTGGCCCGGTAAATCGAGCTAACGATGTCACAGATGATAAGAGATGTGCTTATATGAAGCTTCTTGTTCGGATGCGCCAACGGGAAATTGACATGCAGGCATACATGAGAAATGGAACGATGTTAGGTGGGGTGATCCAATTTTGAAAAACTACAAGGATCGGGCTCGCCGTATTTAGCGACGCAATTAAGTCGAGACAGCACTGCCCGTGTTCAGGCTTTTCGACCTGTGCGAGAATTATAGAGGAACACAACTACAACATGTTCCTTACCAAATCCAGAACGGCCCTTACGCTGATTGGCTGGTTCGCCTGTCGCTTAAGGGGACTTCAGCCTTGCTCAGGCACACGTCCATACTAACGAATCCTCGCTCGTCTAACCCTGACTGGCAAAGTATGGAGAAGCTTGAACTTTTATTTATTTTGTATGCTCGCTGTTCGACTTTACCGGCGTCGTATTTATCTTGAAGCTCAAGAATACTTCTGTTGACGATCTGGACAAATTCAGTTTCGCCAGGAGAATTTCAGGTAATCAGTGATGAGGACATTTCTTTGTCTTATAAGAGGGTATGGCTTTCGAGACCCATTGGAAGAGATGGGCCTGATAAACTGACGCACTTTTAGACTTCTGTCTGTGAAACAACTCCCCACGTCTCCGCGTATGCCGGTTATGTTCGAATCCCTAGCACGTGCTTCTCATTCTTTGGCACAAATGAATCCAATGCGTTCAATATTTCGACCTTCTTTTGGTATTTCCCGGCGCGACATGAACCTAAATCAGCACCGCTGTCAATCCACTTAGCTGGCGGCCATGGAATCAGGCCCTTGTGTCGCGCAACCGGACAACAACAGCACAGAAATCAATCCGTGGAGCTTCAACAACCACGTCAATATACTGTATATTGATCAGCCAAACTTTGTGGGCTTCTCCTACGACGTGATCGAAGATGGCCTGGTCGAAATTGTGACGGGGAATGTATATCCGGAAGCTGGGCCCGGAAACGCAACATCCTGGCCAGGAAAATTCGGCAGTCAAGACGTCGCAAGAACCGCACTGACAGCCAGAATGCCGCCAAAATATTGTACGAAGTGACTCAAGCCTGGACCGCCCACTTCCCCTGAGCATCTGGGGGCAATTCTGTCAGTCCACCGATTGCCACTCAACATTCTCTCAACACAGCGGGCTAATTTGGTTTTGAAGTATGCAGGGTATTTCACCACAACAGTGTTTGCCTTCTTCCAACGTCAAAACGTGAAACTTGCGGCGGGAAATCTTGATAAGAAGAAATACCATCACCTCAAACTCGACACACTCGGTATTACCAACGGATGCGTGGATCTCGCCATTCAAGCCCGTTCATACCCCGAAATTGCCTACAATAACACATACAATGTCTCTTTCATTCCGAAAGTCATTTACGAGGAGGCAATGCTCAATTTTACCAAGACGGGGGGGTGTCTAGACCAGATCGCGCAGTGTCGGACGTTGTGCAACGAATTCGACCCTGATTACACTGGCGGGAATGAGACCGTGACTGAAATTTGCGCTTTGGGTACACAATGGTGTGCGACATATGTGGAAGGAGCATACCTGGCCACAGGAGTAAGCTATTCAAGTGGACTCTACGGTCTTTGGAGGGAGGATATGCTGACGAAATGGTAGAGGAGCTCTTTTGATCTGTCGCACTTGGTTGCAGACCCTTGGCCTCCAGCCTATCCAGATGCTTTCTTCAATCAGCCTTGGGTGCGAGAGGATCTCGGTGTACCTCTCAATTTTACGCCTAGCTCCAACCTTGTCACCGAAACTCTCTTTTCGACGGGTGATCCGATCAAACAAAACATATCAGATCTGGACTACATCTTGAGCAGCGGAATAAAGGTTGCGCTGGTTCATGGCGACGGAGACTATGTTTGCAACAGTAAAATCTCCCCATCCGCTCTCAGTCTTGACTCTAAACACGTAATGGGAACAATACTGACCCATCTTAGGGATTGGTGGAGAAGCACTCGCTCTAGCGGCCGAGTACAACGATTCAGCACGATTTCGCTCCTCGGGATACGAAACCATCACCACCAACTCAAGTTATATGGGCGGTGTCGTCCGGCAAGCTGGTACCCTGTCGTTCTCACGCGTCTTCCAGGGTGGTCATTCAGTCTCCTCATACCAGCCGGAAACCGTGTACCGAATATTCATGGGCACCATGTTTGGCCTCGATGTTGCTACGGGCAAAGTCAATGTCCTCTCAGCGATTCACATCAAGATAGGAACCTAGTGTTTCAACTTAGCATCAATCCTAGGTCTAGCCATAACTGTTAGTTTCTGTGAGGGAGGACAACAGGACGTTTCGGTGATAAGTCGCCATTATGACTAGCACTACACTCACCATAATGCTATGCGCCTTTTTTCCTCTTGCACCACCTTTTTGGTTTTTAACCCAAGTCATCACGCTATGGAAACCCCCCGGGGCTGGATTCAAGAACATGCCAGCCCACCGTCCTTGACCAGATATTTCGCCGGTGCATCAAAGTTCCAGGACAGCTCCAATCTGGAATAGGGGAGGCCCAAAGCAGTATTACCATTTTTCGCGAGAACAAAATCACCGGGGCTTGAGCTTTGCACTCTGGATGGTAGCTTTTCCGTACGTCGATGAAAGGAAACCGTGTCAGAGACTCATTTGTGCAGGCCTTCTTTCTCCCATTGGAGAAGATTTCTTGTTTCATGTTGAACCTTTTTGGGGCCCTGCACAATGGCAGAGGAAGAACTGCTCACTTGCGTGGAAAGAGGGCCTAACCAGCACCAGTGGTGCGACTGTGGGATGTGACCTTTTCGACGCTCTGTTCAAGAAAGTTGAGACGTTGGAAAGGCAGCCGACCTTTGCAGGTGACTCAAGGGAGACAAACAGAAGAGTAAGAACACATAGTGAAAATATGGGTTGGACTGCGACATATTGTCTCGTAGGTCTTGTACACCGCCAGCCGCCCCTTTCTCGTTCCACACCACCGTTGTGTACAAACGAATGTCCTGTCTCCCGAGCGCACCGTTCCATAAGTTCATGGAGAATCTTGCCATCTTCCGTCAAACTCGTCGAACGAATTTGTTTACGTCGCCATGCCAAAGTACGCCGCGTGGTGTGGAAGATCATCACTGTCTTTCCACATTCAAAGAACAGTTCTTTCGCTCACCGAAAGACTCATTCTTAATTTCGGCTTGCCACAATATATTATTTTGAATCGAGCGATTCGTGTACCGTCCATTGAACACTTTACGGTATCGATGAACATGTCCCTCTCCCAGATGGCGAACGACTGGTGTCACTTCAAACAAACGCACCTTGACGCTCTCAGTGAGAAGGAAAACGAGGGTGAGAGAGAACATACCGTCCAGTGACATTATGGACAACGAATATGAAAAGGAGGATTCGATATTCCGCTTTTCGAAATCCCTTTTCTCACATACAGAAATCAAGAAAGCCACTGACAAATCCGATACCACGACCGAAAGCCAAAGAGCACATCATATCAATCACGTAGCCGAAAAGACTTGTTCAAAACCATCTCCACCCACAGTTCCAATCCCGTTGCAAGGATGGGCAAATGCATCTTCTGCGGGAATACTTACGACCTCTACGAATGCGGATGCTCGAAGCAGTACGGAGGTAGCTCATCAGGCTCTTCGGCCTCGACGTCGTCTTCGGGTCAGCCTCCAAGTTCCTCAGGTTCCACACAACATGGTTCTGTTGGGAAGCCTCTCCCCGAGAAGAGGCGATGAACCTGCCTAAGGATCGATGTGTCCAACTATCAACAGCGACAAGTCAGTTGGGCCGAATTGACATCGAGAAGGGTGGAAGACGGTGCTCTGCCAATATATTTTAGCTGGCGAAGATGAAAAGCCTATGGTCACATGTTCCCAAATCGTTGCCGTCACGGATACAAGGCCCAGCTGTGAGCATTACTGCTGTCGGAGCCTTGCTGTGCCCCGCAGGATGGGATTTATGGGCGGTCATCCGGAGATAGTCGACAATACTTGATTCAGCTGGAGATTCTATGGGTGGATAGATGACTGGGCATGAGTGTGCAGACAGTATCCGGGTTGCGAGGACGTAAGAAACGACGAGGATAATGGGCTGGCCGAAGACACTGCTATCGTTAAAAACTTTACATGATGATGAGAGGTGCTGAAGGGAGGAATAACAGGCATAGATGTGATAGGTTGGCTTGTTGTATACTCACAACAGTCAGAAACTCTGCTTTCAGGAATCGAACTCGTCTTGACTCGACACCGTCAGCGGTACAGACATGACATATCCGAGAAAACACATGGGATGATCCATGGCGGCACTGGAATAGAATAATGATGGTAAACGTCCACGTTGCTTGATGAGCGTCTCCAGACCACAAATGTGCATTCTGGTGACCTCGACGTCAGGAAATTGGGACCAATCACAATTGCACCGACGACTACCACCAGTGCCTCGTCCGTATGTCTGACAGACGCATCTTGGAGGAGTTTGCCAATGGCCTTGTACACTTCGCCTTTGCGGTGAAGGAAGGAATTCCGTCCAGAAAGCCCCGTTTGAGAAGGGTAATATGTCGTCCCGCACCAATCAGCATCTATTGCGATGCTTGAAGGCATCGTTGGTAACTTGGGAAGGAGATGTTCTAGAACGTGTAGAAGAGGGCCTGAACCTGTGGTGCCGTGGGCCGCGGTAGGAACGAAAATGGAGTAGTTTCATAGAGTGGTCCTTTTTCCGGGCGAGAGAGGCGTAGAGTGGGTGGAATAGCATTTTCTGGATGGATAGTCCTTCGATACTTGCTGGTGGTGGTGCTGGCTGAAAACTGGGTGGGAAGGATGGTCTCCTGACAGATATAGGGTGTTGACTTTATTGAATCTGGGAAAATGACCGTGTTCATCTCCGTACATATCGCCCAAGGCTTGCCAGACTTCTTTCCTTTTCGAGATGTGATTTGAGTTCTTTGCGTCTGGATGTGGGGGTGGTCAGTCACAATCCAACGAAATAAGAGGGAAGAGGGATGACACGTACCAGCTGTTCACTGCTGTTTCGGAATGACCTTCTCTCTTCCTTACTGACTTGGCTGCATCGTGTGCGTATGTTTGCCTGGCCCACGAGAGAGATGATGGCCCTTGCGATCTTGGAAAGTAACGAAATGACGCATCTTTGTACGCGGAAAAGGGAACATATCTTCCCCATCGGCATGGTATTTCAGCACCACAGGATCTGTCCGACGTTCTTCAGAATGGCAGGTTGGGCCCGGCAGTGCCATCGTAGAAAATTCTTTCCGAGGAGCTGTGTGAATGGTGAACATGATACTCTGAGAGGTAGATAAAAGTTCAGATGCAGAAGTAAAGGCCATAGCACTATGCGATGCAACATGTCAGGATTGTTCGGCCAACCATGCACCGCTCGCTTCAGCCATTGACCTTGTACAGATGGAACTTTTCCAGCTCTTCAAAGTCTACATCAGAGAAGACCTTCATATTCACTGTTCAGAAGCTTATGGTGATGCAATTGAGACATCCGAGGACGGCAGTAGTAAACATTAGTAACATGCTTTGGAGCTGACTGAATACCCCAGGGAACAAGGCGCTTAGCCAGAGTTAACGAAATCGGAAATGGGTAAACTTCCCAGCTTCAGGAAACAGGGATGGTTCACCCTTTGGCAGTTCGAGACAATGCCTTCAAAATACCCCCTTTTTTTTTTAAAAAAAAAAAAAAAGAACCAAAAATATTTATACCATTCCACCAGTCAATCAGCTTGTCCAACCCCTTTATCTTGGAGTCCAAGAACCTTGTTCCTTCATAAACAGCACATTCGGCGCGCTCTTGACCTTAAGAATACTCATGCCGAACTTGCCCAGCCTCGGACATGCCTCGCCTAATTTTTCGACTTCTTCCTTCTTCATCACGGCGAGCCCTGATTTCCAATCTTCATCCTCTTCGTTTGCTTTATCCGGCACTCCAATGATCTCGATACCTTCCAGGGCTCCTCCACCGCCCTTGTAACCCAGTCCTTTGATCAACTCATCGACCCAGTTATCTTCCAATAGCACACTGACGGTAAGATCAACCAGTCCGGCCTCACCACCTCCCGCACACGCATAGACCACCTCTCCAACCTCAACCGGTCGGAGAGACCACATACCCAGGTTCAACACCTTCACCGAGCCCAGCTGTCCGTCCAAGCTCAGGTTTTCAAACCTCTTCTTCACCGCCGCCGGTGCCCGTCCATCACTTGCGAATGGCAAGATTCCCTGGGGCATTTTCTCCTTCTCTTTTTTCCCGTCTTGACCCTCCGGCGCCTCTGCCAGATCATCCCCGACAGATGGCACGAAGTCAAAACTGGCGCCCACGATGCCTTTGACAATCAGTCCAGCTAATTCCTCGCCCTGCACTCGAGCCAAGAAATCGCTGTCCTCATGTCCGCGAAACGTGTAGCTGATATCGACCACTTTGATGCCCTTCCCGTCACCTTCTTTGGATCGAGCGTCGAAGAGCCCACCGAGAGTCTTGAAAAAGCCGGGTCGTGCGAAAGAGTCAATGATATGCAACTCTTGAAGCAATGGCAAGTTTTCAAAGAAATTCTCCGCATCTTTTCGGGAGGCTTCATCCAGGCCGTCGATGAGGCAGCTGAACAGTGTTAAGCTCCTCAAGTGCGGGAGCATCCGGGAAAGTCTGGTCAAGAACGGAGGGTTGCCTGGAAATCCTAGACCGAACAATTCCAACGTCAATGAGGTGATGGACGGTGGCAGATTGGGTAGGGGTGGCTGGGTGACGATGGCATCGGGCGGCTTGGACTGAACCAGGTTCTGATATTCATCGAGCTTGATGTCCGCCGTGAGGGTGAGTTCTCTCAGATGTGAGGCCTCTGGAGGAAATTCTGGTAGATTGAAATCCTTCAAGGGGATCTGTGCTGCCAACGGGAATGATCCAGCCTGTGCTGACTCAGGAGGGACGGTTTCCGTTGCGGACATTCTGAACGACAGCTGTCTGACAGATCAATGAAGATCCACGGCAGGCGGTGACACTGTATCTGACCCTTTTCTTATGAACGACTGGCCTGAATACAATCCGGCGATCTCCCGATCAGTTCTGATAAACGGCGCTCGTCTGATTGAATCGATAGAAAGTAGTGGTGATCCAGAACGGCATTCTCTCTATATATCTCACACGAGCAACGTGACTGCCGTGCTTCGGTCTGATTCCACACATGCTGATGTCGTTTGCCGCGTGCTTACCCCTCAAATACAGCAAAGACGTGGTGGCGCTGTTGCGTCTAGGCGCGGGGAAGTGGACGTGGGGAACAGGGATGTATCATACAGAACTGACAGCCCAAGGACATATGGACTAGTTATATCAAGGATATCGATGAATGTGGATTTCCGATGGAGACGTGGAAGTCGGGGAAATGGGAAGATGTCCTCGAGAGTCTCATTGGACACGTTCGTGATTGATCGGACGTACTTCTATAGGGGGTCAAACACAATAGCCAGGCGATATTCTGTTCTCCATTTTCGATATGACGCTTCTCGTGAGTTATGAATCTCTCGTGCTTGTTAATTCGTTGCAAGTGGTAACGATCGGACTCATTCTCATATCCAGATGCATCATGCATCATTTCGTGTCCATATATGACTTTCCCCGTGTTGGCATGTCCTCGTAAATCAGATTCACTCCTGGTTGAATTGCACATATGCGGATTCTGGTGTCGCATCATCTTTCCCGGTACGTTCAGTCCAAGTAATCAACATCTTCCATCCCTATTAGTGATATCATCCTCGCCAAAGTATCCTGCATGCATACCGCCGGCATAGATGTATCCTGCTGGTAAACCAATCTTGGCCAATACTTTCTCTTCATAGCATTGGTCCTCACAATATTCTCAGCATATGAACCTTTCTCTGGGTCGGTCTTGCCGAGAAGATAGATCTTGCCATCATTTCCCCCCGATCCAGACAGCTCCCTCATGAACAGATTCCACCCCAAGTGCCGCATGTGACTTTGATCCCGGTTGCAAAGCTGCCCGACGACTCGGTCGGCCACTGGGCCATGAGGAGGATCGACAGAGACTAGCAAGATAGAGTTGCCAAGGTCGTGGAGGCCTGCCTTCTGGAATATTCGTATCGACAACATCGTAGACAAGCGCTGGGTACAGAAGAACATGAGACGCGTTAAGCGGGACAAGCGAAGACACCGACCAGACAGCACTGCGATAGCCATTTCCAGAAAGCGCCATGTGTAAAAATTCCTCTCCAGGAGTCATTGGTGCAAAACCTCGCGTTTGGTCGACATCGTCTTGCCATTCGTCGAGGTTATCAATGAGATCGAGTGGTTTTCCGTAGAGAGCATTCATTCCAACGTCTGTTGCAACGAAGATGGAGACGGAACTGATCACTTGACTAGTGCGATCACTCCGGAAATTGGCGGTATCGCACAACACGGAGAGATGAATGCCGTCAATTGTGCCGCCCTTTCCACCATCTTTAGACACCTGTCGTACAGCTTTCATGCTGGCAAGATCAAGATCCCGGGGTATATTACCTTCCCTCCAAATGTCGGCATCTCCTGCGACTAGATGTTTTGTGGTGAGAGCTGTGTCGATTCCAGGAACAAGAACATTGCTGGCAAGCTTTTGTGGTGTTGCTGGAACGTGGCTAACATACTGCTTTGTGCGCTTGTCGGTTGAGCTACCAGGAACTCTGAAGTCTCCGGCGGTGGGCACCGATGGCGACGCGTCCCTCTCAGAACGAGGCGCAAGGTATGAATTGGGCATTGATGGCGAATAAGGGTAGCTTGTCGCTGGAGGCATGACCGTACCGCCCACCAAGTGAAGGGTTGCCGGATAGATCGGATCATTCAGGGATGATTTCAGGTAGCAGTCGTCTGCGTCGTGGACGCGATCCGGAGCGAAAACGAAGCCGGCGCAATGGGTAAAAGGATGACTCTTCTGATTGTAGGATTCGCATTGTGCCAAACAATTATGAAACGAGCCTGCCAGAATGAATGGATAGATGTTTTGAGCCGGAAAGTCGATGTCACAGATCAGAGTATAGTTCGCGCCCCCAGGAAGATGTCCAAAGGTAGTACCATTCGCAGCATCACAGGGGAGACTTTCGGGCAAAGGAGTCGCGGTAGTGCAGTGGGAACCCGAACAGGGTGTAGCAGGTGCCGTGAGCGGTGTGACTTTGGCATTAGCCGGAATCCGATCCTTGGTGATTCCTGTTGGGCTGCCTCGGCCTGCAAGGACACGGTGGTAGTAACTGTAGCCATGAGGACGACTTGCCGAAAGGCTCAGGAGAGACAGCAAGACATAGAACATGAGCATCAAGCTCCACGAAGTTCGATAAGTATTCATGGTGGGCTGAATGAGTGAGCGTATGTTCAGGGCCAGACGATGATTGTGCTCACCTTGCGATTTGTATCTGATGACCGACCCAGCCGCAAATAGACTGACGGGAGAGAATAATGCCTTATGAAGGAACGGCTGTGCAGAATTGAATTGTTTACTGTATGAGTTGAGCGAGGTAGAAGATGGATGCGTGTTGTGGTTCGGAGAGTTTGAGCGCAGGAGGCTGCGGTTCCAGCGAGGACGATATAAACAGTTGCGGCAGAATTTGATTAATATTTCCTAATCGTCATGAGCAGAAGTGAATGACTCCGGTGATTGCGAACTCACCACTGGCGTTGGGAATACCAAGTATACTAATTGAGTCAATTCTCCATCATGTTTCTGGATAATTTCGGGTCATGCGAATTCATGTCTAGGGCGTCCAAGAATCCAGTCTGGCTGGTGTTTAAAGTCTTCTGTGGAGCATTCAATCGCTCAGCCTCCTGACCGAGACAGATGCCTGTGACTTGAAAGCAATCATCATTGGGCCTTCTTTGCCAATTCGCGCACCCTCGGGGACGTTGTTGCATTCCATTCAAAATCGGCTGCCCAGAGCGCTGCGCCTACTGCGTTGGTGAAAGCGAACACGAGGTTCGCGAATGGTATCATTTCCAAAAGAAATGCGGCAACACCGAAAGACGTGTAGCCCCCTCGGTGTTCATCAATGTGGATCTCTCGCTGCCTTTGGGACCATTCTTTGAGTTGAAAATACCTCGAATGGGCGGCTGGACCTGCTCGTTTACCTTGGAGGATGATGAAGAGTACCGTTCCAACGACGGGGATGAAGTTGAGAGGCAGATACAGCATGTATCTGATGATAGCATGAGGTGTGAATGTAGCAAACGGTCTCTTGAGCAGTTTCCCTAACCGAGCAATGCTATCGCCGCCCGTCTTGATCTGTCTGCCTTCTTCAACAAGATTTGTGCAATCTCGCGAGAGGAGGGTTCCGTCAAAGGTGTCGATAAGAGCATCCTCGATGAGGAAAGTTCTCGATAGGAGGTTGATGAGAGTCGAGCTCTCGCTGAAGGTGAGCAAAGCCGCAGAGATAGCTGCAACGGGTCCGGATGTGAAAGCCATGACAGCAGCTTGAGGAATATACGCAACGACGAACATAAATGTCGTGATCCCAATGCTGAGGGTAATGGTGGGTGCCAACTTGGACGTCAACGGTCGCCAGAGGTCTTTGTGAGTAAGGAAGTAGAAGATACCCTATCGGGCATTCGTCAGTAGATGGACCACCTCCAGCGACGTAACAAGAAATAACCTTCAGAGGATACAGGTATGCGCGAGACTTCAAGGCGTCTTTGCTCATTAACGTGACCCTCTCGGCTTCTTCAGCAGCGACTTGCTTCACTCGGTCGGCCATACTGAGTGGAGACCACAGGAAGATAAGGCGCTTGTCCAGTGTCAGTATGGTTTTCGGTGATGGGCAAAGATGAGGTCGTAGTCTCTGGAACGTGGAAGGGAGAGTAGAATTTAACGAGCCATGCGGTCATGAGAATGACGCAAAACGTTTTGCACACGGGTGCCCGCGAAAAAGAAATCTACCCCCGAGACAAAATATATTTTCGAGTTTCGTCTCACGAGAGTATGCTAAGGTATGATGTCACTCCGGGGAAAAAATAGTGCTGTCATACTTTCGAAATTGCAATCCCAATTGACCGACCTCGACATAAACAGCGACGAAGAAACTACTTGTCAGACAGATCCTCCTCCAGCCGCCTGAGACCCAACGCTGCAGGCCGGGGGAGCGCTTCCGCCCAAGATTTCCGATTTCTTGAACAGAGGAAGAGACCGACAAATCATTTGCCCTCTTGATTTGAAAACATGGTCTCAGACATGATTTGGGCACCGAAACAACTGCGTCGATCAAAAAACAGGGGGAAAAAGAGAGGAAAGAAAATAATATTCGCTATAATCCATTCCCAAAGCCATCCTTGTGCCGTACACCAGCAGGTTGCCACGTTCAGGATATTTCTCCTCTTGCTCTGTCCATGCTTCCGCTTGTCTCCTTTCCCATTCTTTCTTGACATTCTACTTCATACGGCTGTAGACCAAGAAGTCGTCATCGAGTCTGAATTCGGCGCTCGCCATGCCACCATACCCGAGCCCCAACCAAATTGAATCAACAAGCACAGTTATCACTTTTTTGCTTCGCGCGGTCGGCAAGGTTCACCCTTGCTTCCTCCGCGCGATTCGCCGCTCCTGACAATGCCGCCTGTGTCCCACCACCACTGGCTCCTCTAGTTCCCTTCAATGAAGTTTCCGGAATCGCGTTGGCAATGGCCGAGAATACATCCGCAACGTTGGCGCCGGTCTTCGCCGATGTCTCGAAGAAAAGTAAGCTCTCCTCCTCGGCGTATGACTTGGCTTCTCGTGTTGAGATTTTCCGTGCGTCCCCGTCATCCGTAGGTTCGGCTTCCCCAGGTTCACCCTCTTGATTTTCTACAGTAGATTCAGTAGCCTCAGGGCCATCGCCGGAAGATTCAGCGCACAGGTCCAACTTGTTACCGACCAACGCAATGACAATACCTGGTGAAGCCTGTCTCTGGAGTTCTGCAACCCAGTGCTTGGCCTTTGTCAAGGAGGTCGGCTTGGTCAGGTCATACACGACGAGGGCGGCTTGAGCATTGCGATAGTACATGGGTGCCAGTGAAGCGAATCGCTCTTGACCGGCAGTATCCCATATTTCGAACTTGATGATTCGGTTGGGGAGGGAGATTTTCTGGGTCAGGAAGGCGGCTAATAAGATGTCAGCGTGAATCCGGAACTTGACTGGAATTCAGCTCGTCCTGGTTGCGGGATCCAAGATCATGGACGTAGCAGTGTAGATTGGTGTCGGGGCTTTTGCGAGGACGAGGGAAAATGGGCTTGGAGGACCTGACGTACCGCCAATAGTAGGCTCCTTATTCTCTTGGAAGTCATTATTAACAAACCGCAGCACTAGAGATGACTGCTCAATCCGTCAGCGATGATCTCTTTCCTCGTCTTACTAAATTAACAGTCCCTTCTTTTAATGAAAGCTCTTCAGCTGACGCAAGGATAAAGTATTGCCGTTTTGACCGGTGTCACCACCCAGTCTCAACGACCAGACTGTCAAAGTTGTGGCAGGTCTGGAAGTAACTATTGAACTGGGTAACGCGAGTGTGCAACCCACCTTTCCAACGGCTGCTTCTCCCAGCAGTACAAGCTTGACACTGCTGCTAGGTTTGGGTGCTGAGGATGTGTCGGCCATGCTCTTTTGTGGCAGTATTGTCCAGTTCGTAGGGTGAGAAGGAGGAAGGAAGGAGTAAAGGTTGTGGCTCTCAAGGAGGCGTTATTGAGAGAACAGGAGACGGAATGCCAAAAACAATCAACTGATCCGTGGTAGATTCGAAGGTTCAATATCGTTGGAGGTGGTTGGGGCGGATTCGCTTGCGGATGAGGATGTGTAAGGGAAATGGTGAGAGGTGGTTTGATGGCGCAAAGGAAGATGGAGATTCAGTTGGAGCAAAGTCTTGGTTGCAGTGACGAATCTACTGCTGTTTGAGCTGCAACATTGCGCAGTATACAGACCTCGAAACAGCATAGCGCAATCTGATCAACACTACAGCCCATGGGCCCAACATCCTCCGACCCTTTTGTCTGCAACCCCTTACACCCAAAGCCTCGTGCTACTTTCCTTCATGATTGATGCATTATCTCCCTTTGTCTCAAGGTCAGTGTGCGGGCTGCCTGCCTGAATTGATGGACTGGAAACGATATAGCGACCATGTCGTGATTTGACTGATGATATTATTTGATTTCATGCTAGGTCACACAAGAAATGAGTCACTTCGTCGATGACTCAAGGCCTGGCCTCAAAGCCTGTTGTTCGAACAAGCCCAATCCGTCTAAAACACCGTTGCGTCTAGGCAACCATCTTTTTGGACCGCGAGTCCGCTGATGCCATAGACCATCGCCTTCATGATCCCCGAAAGAACTCCCAAAAGAAATTTGACCTGAGTCATGCAATCTATTCAGCAAAATGTCCTCATGGATGTTTTTTTTCCCAGCCTCCCATACCCGTCTATCTTCAAACGCCGGAATAAATGGACTTTTTTGATACACAAGTTGGTTGTACAGGAATGGTCGTGCTGGTGGAATTCCCGAGAGACGTTGCGCCGTGCATGCCTCAAAAAAAAAAAAAATAAAAATAAAAGGTGTCACCCAGAACGCTCAAATCTTGTGAGAATACTTGTACAGGGTAGTCGAAAAGCAGATAGGGGGATTAAAGTCTTGGTTGAGATCAAACATTGCTCGGTCATGAAGAGGGGGCTCGCGCCGCGTGCTGTCGAGGATTGTGGAAACTCGATGCAGGAAAGCCAATTTTGTTTGATGGCTCAAGCGCAAGGTTGAGACTGGAGTCGACCGGCAGAAGAACTGAATTTCGGCTATCGAAAGGTTCGAGGACGCGTGGTATGTTGAGATGATTAACGTCGAGACGTTATTTCGCAGGCGGCTTCGGCTTGGGAACACCGGTAGTGTCGTAACCACCACGTCCCATATCGCAAGGAGTGGAAGAAGAAGAAGTCATTGTGTCTGCATTCGAAGGGCGTTAGAACGGAGGTTACTGCTGAAAATGGCTCCCCGGAGAAAGGGGGGCGTAGGGCTATATAGGCTACGGCATAGGCTGACTCACGATGTAATATGGTAGTCCGTAGACTATTTTGTCACTCGTCCAATAGGAGTTGAAAGATCAACGGATGTTGTACAAAAGATGTGTCGCTGACTGTCGGTCTTGAAGCTCTGCAAGAGTTTGGAACGAGTCAAGAATGCGAGAGCAGGAAAAGAGTCGCGTTGAGAATTTGAGTTCCCTGCACTGTCACCGAGGATCTAAAGCCGGTGATGTCTGGGTCAAACAAGACAGGTCTTGGAAGGCCGCCGGGATTTACGGTACAGGTAAGTCTCTGTCGAATTTCGGCTGAGGGTGATTTGCGGCCAAATTTTATTCGCGGCCGGGTTGGAATGAAAGGGGGGGGGTTTTTGGCGATGTATCTGGCAGTGAATTTTCGAGTGACGAATGTTCCAAGATGAAAATTCGTGAACAAGGGGTCTAGGCCGGGATTTTGTTTGGTAGCAAGCAACAAACAAGCAAGACAAGTAAAATACTATGAATAAGACAAAGAACGTGGAGAGGAGATGAGAGATGTAACAGACAAACCCTGGAAGGGAAATCTGATGGTTATAATGGGAGTTGAGGCATGGTGGACGGCAGCGGCTGCTACGACGTTTTTAGCGTTTCTGCCCCCTTTTGGGACCTCGGATTTCAGGGCGCGTTTCCAAGAGGATTTCTTTTGGGGATGACAAGCCACAAGGCTCCCTCACTCCCTGGGCAAGTGGGAACGAGTTGGTGCCAGATGCCAGAAGCCAAAAGGCGGATGGTGGGGCCTGAATGGCAAGTCTAATGAGCCTTCGGAGGCTAAAAATGTTCCCAAGGGCGAGGGATGGAACTCGAGTTGCGGTGTTTTTAGTCTGGGCCAAGTCGCAAGGGGGACGACGGGTATTGTGCAGTAGCACCGTGTCTGTCTCCCTGGGTGGTTGTGACGGGAAGCCAGGGAGGAGTTTCCGCAGTTTTAGATGAGCCAGAAAGCCTGAGGAAACGACTTGTGCGTTGAAGCCCTGCTCACCGAGTTGTGAGCCGATGGGCTAATGAGGTCGATGGGTTATGCTGGAACGTTTCTATGGGGCGCGCCAACGACACATCAGGCACGGGTCGAGGATTCTCAAACAGCGATGCCCTGGATCCAGCCACGGCTGGTGGATAATGGATAGTGGGTTCCGAGGCTAAGTATTTCCAGAGTGTTTGGTGGTCCCAATGTTGTTTTGGCGCTAAAATTTCTAGTTCGATTTGAGCCAACAGACAGCTAATGACGCATCTGAACGGTTTCCGAAGTAGGACTGATGGTGGATTGTGTGACCCGAGAAGGGAGAAGGGGGAAGAGGAAGAGTAAACGAGGGCCAGCGTCAAGGACGTGCGGTCAGGGGCCAGGGGGTTTGACATGGCCGTTAGGCCAGCATCCAGAGAACCGCGCAGGGCGGGCTAATCGAGAAACTAGAAGGAGACGAGCCGACGCGTCGATAGCTGAAAATGGAGAAATATGAGTGAGAATGAGAAGGGATGTCGGTCTCAGAAGTGTCAAGCTGTCAGTCAAATGCCAGTTGAAGACAGCATATTCTGTAAGTTGGCGGCGGCAGAGAATTCACAGACACGACAAAACATCCAATGGAACCTTCAGTCATCCCCAACTGTTCATTTTGGCGATTTGCCTGCACAAGAAGAAACACCAGGGCCAGCAAAATAAAATCCTCAATGGGGGGCCTGGACTACTTGCAGGCAATTGGTCTCCCTCATATCTCAATTCAGCAAACCATTTCCCGAGAAGCACATTTCGCCCCTGGCCACCTTTCGACATGCATGTCAAGGCATCCGGGCATGCATGGGCCGGCGCCTGGTACCAGTCACCTGGCACCCTCTTAAATCTGAATCCTTCGTTACCGTATCATGATTCATCAGCAGGATCCTCGCGTGCAAGACCCCTTTGGCCTGTCCTTCTTGGCTTGTCTCTAGTCTCGCGTTCATAATCGATCTTCCGTCTCTTAGTTGACCGGGTCCGCCGCTGGTACCTGCCTAAGCGTCCGCAAATGTTCCTTGTATCCACAGGCACAAGTGTCGATCCAAAATCTCCATCTCTTGGAAGCTGTCCCAAATCTGTCCAACTTGTCCTTGCTCAACTGGCAATTGGTTGTGATCGGTTCTTTTGACAGGTCATTGACATTAGACACCTGTCACCGAAGTACGTCCTGATGTCAATTGCAAGCTCGCTGCTGTGCAGGAAAAAGATGTGTTCGGAGGAGAGAAACCCGAAGTTCGGTTAGCGAGCCAGAAGCAAGTACCGGACAATGGGTCAAGGCGGGATGTCACTGTTGAACGCTAACCTTCTGATAAAACAAATTGGGCCGTTGGGTATCTCGGATGGCGTACGGAGAAGATAGTAGTAGATGTGACTACGCAGTCAAACAAAGTGCCCTACTGTAGCAGGCTGCAGACAGCAAGCCGCGATTCTCTCGCATGCGATTCCACTTCCGCTCCTCGGTCATCACTCTCGCTGCTTCGTATTCCCAGCAATACAACATCTCACTATATCACATATCTAGCTTAGCAACACCCCTAGTCAGCATTTTATTTTTGATTCAGTTTCAACTCAGGGCTTGCCACCATGAGAGACAAGTGCAATCCTCCTTATCCGGGATTATCCAACCGACTTGGGCTTCCCTCATATACCTGGTTTGCGCCCAATGCTATTTAGGCAAAGGCACAATCAGCCTGTCTGCCAAAAAATTGCAACTTCCTTTCCCCGGCCGCCCGGTGGGTTTTTTTGGGCCGGCTAGAATGTAGCTAGAAATCCGGTAGATGCCTCTTCTCTTCCACCCGCCGTCTGACAAACATATATGGGATCCATCATTATTGCGCTTCGAGTCGGGTGGACGAACGAGTCAAATAGTCGCGAGTCAAGTCCTTAGTCCGTGTGCTTGCGTACTCTGTAACCAAGATGGGGCCAACGAGGCCCTTCTCATCTCCATTGGTTAAGGCTGCGGCTGCCATCAAGCAAAGCCCACCCAGATCCACGCCAAGGTTCTCCCTCCCATTTCACAACCAGCATCGATCTGGAAGGCCAAACGAGACATCGAAGTCACCGAGTCAACAAATCAAAAGAAATGTCGCACAATCTCCTTTCGCGTCAGCCTTCTCAAAAGATCGTTGTGACATGTTTCGCATATCACCCACCCAACTTCCGAGTTTCCAACTTTTCCCCATTTGCCGCGCATTCACTCATCACACCTCAATGCGACGGTGAGCGGTTGCATTGCATCCCGGTCGGCTTAGTACGTACTTACTAAGGTAATAGCTCCCTTGTCGAGATTGAGAGATGATCAGCCATGTGGCGGGAAAACGGATTTCCACACCCCACGGACCCTTACCATCTTGTCCCTGGCGCAGTTGAACCCAACCCGGCGCCACAGGGTCATACCCCCGGTTCCAGCACACACTTTCTCGCGCCCTCCAAAAATCAAAATCAAAAGGAAGCATTTCTGTTTTCAGACATCAACCGCTCCCGAATTACTGGCATCAATGTCTCGTCACGGGATATGGTGTGGGCATTCTCGTCAACAAGCTCTAGCCGTCAACCATCCTCGCAGATCCAATAAACTCTAACCAGTCCTGCATTGTCAAAAAGCCAGTATCACATTTCGGGGAAGCGACCCAAAAAAGGGATTCAGGATGAAAAGGTTTGATCAAACAGACGGGGGGGCAGGGGCATAGACTTCCGCGTCCCTCGCTCCACAAGAACTGCTGCCTTGGCAGGCCCGGGGGACTGCTAAGCATCAAAGTTTACAAGTAGTCGACCATGTGTTCCCTGGGTCCTGATCCATCAATTCCACCGCCTTGGTCTCGGAAATTATCTGCCTACCTCCCCAAAAGTGGTCCCGGGCCCTATACCTTCAGCGCTCCCCCAAAGTTTCCACTTCCCGGCAGACGGATGCGCCATCAGCCATGGTCACCGCGCTTCAAATCGCTGGGGAAATAGAAATGTCCATTCTCACTTTGACCCTGCATCCCGCCACTTCGCCAAAACTGCTTTAGCATCAATTACGCATCTCGCCTCAAGCGGTTCCGGCACGAAATGGAGCAAGGCTCTGATCATTTTCCTCCGGCAAATACTCCTCCTTTATCCGAAAAGACATTTAGCGAGTTTGGCTTTTGACCGGGCACCTGGGTTATGGTTTCGATTTCCGTCTGGTCTATCAAATCCGGGTCTCGGAAGACTTACTTAGCAGCTGTTTCTATTGACGCGACTGGACAATAGTATTTGGTTACGGTACAACCGCAATTGACTTGGATAATCAATGTGCTGTAAGTACTTGACCACGACAGATTTGCTGTCAAGATACATCTTCTGGGGGATTTGACACACCTCATCTTCGATGTTCGAGCCTGCCATTTTCCCGGTAAGGTTCCATCACCAGGACCCAGGCTTCGGCGCTCATTCCTCCGGATGTAAAGGGTTTTAGTAATGGGGATGTGGATATCTGCTCATTGTTGCCCCAAGCAATATGCCCTTGACTTTACCTGTTGCCCGAGTCAAGTCATGAGCCATTAATTGCGCGTTCTCATCTCGTTTCTTTCCGTTGCCAACAACTGGTTTGTTCGAAGTTTTGGGTGGGAAATTGCACCTCTACGTTCGAGATGATGTGGTGTCGATATTGTCCAGGCTGGGCAAGGTTTGCTTAATAAGGTTTGATTCAGCCTTGTCTTCTGAAGTCCCCGTCTCCTTGCCAGAGCTCAGCTCTAATTGTCCATCCCTTTGTTATACTTTTGGCCTGGGAGCTTCTCTCCCATGGTAATAGTTCTATTGCGGGTACTGCTCGATCAAATTTCCTGCATAGAGTGCTTTACGCTACGGTCCTCCATCTGATCCGACCTTGTGCATTTGGCTGTGGCGAAAAGGTTCTCTGGCGACCATAAAATCCTACCGTAATTTACACGGGCGCTTCTGGCTCTTATTTGCAAGATCCTGAAGTGATCTTGGAATTTAATTCATTTCCTCACTTGGAGGATACTCATACTGGCAGCTGAAGTCACCCCCACTGACACCGTTCAGACCACTGCCGACAGATCACAATGCCATGTAATGGCATACTTGGATCTCTCATATGCAGTGCAAATCCATATCCTAGCGATAATACTCGTGATTGGCTACCAAGCATTCTCTGACACTGGGGATGTCTTGATTCGCTGTGCCATTTGCATACACGCAAGCATCGCCCATGCCATCACAGCTCAACTCGCTTCCTCCAGTCTGATCAGACAATCAACCCAGCTTTACTTGATTCCCCTACCCACAAGTCCATTAGTCTGCTCACCCTTGTGGTATTTCTTTCTGTCGCCCGGACAATACCATTTGACGGTACGTGGGGGAAGTTCCGCTAGCGAGACACATTCCATGTGAAACCATTGGCCAAAGTCGCACTGTAGAGATGTTGGATTTAGTATTTGTAAGACAGGAAGTAGAGGGGGACGTGGCAAGGAAGAGAGAGGCCTCTCCGCGAAAGATGGGGTGGTCGAGCAACATACCTTCTCATCCAACTCACAGCAAATCATCTCTCCCCAGCTAACATCCCCACAGAGGCAGTATCTCTCTTCATCGGGGTCCACAATCTCCTGACGTCCATCGACATCGATGCGAATTTGGGGCAATGCAGCTCCTGTCTCTGCGGCGGCGGCCACGGCCAAAGCTGCAGCTTTGGTCGTCGCCTTCTGTTGCTTTGCCGGCTTGGTCTTGCGTTGACTAACACTGACAGCCGCCCCACCATCCTGACTCGACTGCATCACCGTCCCTGGCGCGTCTCGTTTGCTCCGTCGACTTGCTGCAGTAGCGACGGATTTGGGACTCGGCTCTGCCGGAGTAGGCTTCTGGCCAGCGACAGACGGAGTCATGGATGTGCGCCTACTGGACCGTGTAGGTTGGGGTTCGACAGATGCGGCGGCCGAACGACGTGATGGTGGACGTGAGGAAACAGGTGGAGTTGATTCTGTTTTGGGGGCCACTGAATTGCGTTGGACACTTGCAGCTCGGGTTGTCGGAGCTGGAGTAGGGTCTTTCGACGTCGGCGGCTCCGTTGTCGAGACTGTGAGTTTGAGGGGAATTTTAATGGTTCCTGCACTGGTAACCGGCGGCTCACTGCTCGCAGAGGGTGAACCAGATACAGGCATCGAGACCGGACTGGCGGCAAGTGGAGATGGCTTCGGTGCTGTCTTCTGTTTCTTTCGTGCCGCTGGATCTGGCTCTACAGACGGTGAGGTAGATGAAGTGGGCGTGTCTTCTGCTTTCCTCTTCTTGGAGGTTTTCTCTGATACTTTCTTCCCTGTATTCGCTGTTCGGTTAGCGGTCGGCGTACTGGCACTTCGACTTAATGACGCAAGTGCTGAAGCAAAAGGGGTTGTGAACAGAGTGCGGAATTTTGAGCCTATGTCCCCTAGTCGTCGGGCTGCCAGTTCCGCCTCCTGAGCCGCAAGTGCTGCTCGGGATCGTGCTGGGTCTGGTTTCTTCTCTTTCTTCGCTTCCGTTTTCTTCACGGGCTTGGGTTTGGGAATAGGCGTCGTCCCGGGAGTAGGTCCCACGCTGGGTATCGGGGTAGACTCTGATTTCTCTTCCCTGTCCGGCTCCTGTGTAGATTCGTCGGATTTGCCCACCTCCGCGTGCTCTGATTTCTCTGGGGTTTCCATAGACTCAATCTTCTCCCTGTCGATTTTCTCAGTTTTGGGGATCACTTTGTCGACGCTGTTGATGTCGATGAATGAAGTCCCGTTGGCCTGGGCTTCGGCTTTGGCTCGATAATAGTTGTCCCATCCCCGCCCACGGTCAGCCAACTCCCGTCGGATCATAACATCACTGGGTTCCCAAGTATGGTTCTTTTTCATCTTCTTCCTCAGTTTGTACATCTCATATTCCGTCAAATGGGTCCACGGTTTGTATTTGCTCCCGATCTCCGCATCTTCAGGTGGAGGGCTAGGTTTGTGGTACGGTTCGGTCGTCTCTCGGGCCGAGCGAGACTTCTCACCCACGGATTGCGCCCTTTCCTTCGGCTGTGGGACCGGTGCCGGGGGTTTTGGTTGTTTGAGCTTGAGCACCGGGCGGGGGGGAGAAGGCGGGGGGGATTCCCAATCTGACACCTCTGTACTCGCAATAGGCGAATCCGGGTCATAGGGTGGCATGACCTCTCCAGGGACAGTCACACGTCGGCCACGAGGTCTCTTCAGTATTGCGGTGGCGACAGCACTTCCACGAGGAGGATTGAGAGTTAGTCTTGTGGACATACCATTTTCGAGCTTCCGTCCGCTTCGAGAGCGCTTGACTTGTGTGGACGCCGGAGGTTGGGGAGTCGGATCGCGTGAAGGTGGCTTCGGAATCGCATTCAATTTCGTTATTATGCTCTTCAACCTATTCTGATGTCGATCGGCCACATCGAAGAGTCGACAGGCTTCGGCGTAGGCCGATTCTCGAGCGTTTAAGGCCTGATCTAGGTGGTTTGAAATCCCGGCTCGAAGTTCTGAGGCGTTCGGACGAGCCGCTGGTGGAAAAGAAGGAAGTGAGCCATAGAGTTTAGTGAGGTTGTTCAGAGCGTCGGAGTTGCTCAGGTACGTTTCGTCCAGGCCACGGATTAGGGTGAGAGATCGAATGAGGTCAGAAGGAAGATATTCGGTATAATCGAGGAAATCCGTGACGGCTGCCTGTGCATCGGGATTGACTGCGCAATCACTGGCTATTCCTGCCATCGTGGTCATGGAGGCAGATTATTTATCGTCGGCAACCCATGGGGAGGGAGTTGGGTAAGGCTAGTGGACGAGGCGAAGGTGCCGAAGGCGAAATGATTGGGTTCGGCAGGATTTTGATCAGGAGACTTCGAACATCGAGAAACAGAGTTGTTGGACTCTTTGTACGGATGAGGATTTCCTGGCGTGGTCGTGTGGCATGGTGATCATACCCTGCTTCTGCGCTTTTGAACGCGATGGCCATTTGTGCCGCATCAAGGGTAGGCGGTGAGAAGCGGCAGTATTTTCCGATCTCCACCAATGACGGCCCCTTTTTCATCATCAGGAAACTTTCATGTCTTCTGCCCAAATAATCCCCAAGTAACACCACGATTTTTGGAAAGATAAATTACAATAGAGCGTCGACACCATCCTACGACTTATGACAGTGAGGAACATCTCAACATTTTGGTTGCTCTCCCGGGTCTCTGTTAACTGCAGCAAGATCGGTCTGGTCAACTCCCTTCTCATTTCACTAGCTCCCTACTGAGGGTTTGATATTCACCATTATATTTTCACTTTACTACCTCATTTTACCCGCTACCCTCTTTCTATTTATTGTCCGCAATTCCTCAGCTGTTAGTCCTCGTATTTTCCTTCACCACGATAACGCCTCTCTCTCAATGCCTTGATTTTTATCGAGGCGGCGTGCAGGAAGCCTCAGAGGGTCAGCCGGAGCATTTCCCACTACGGTTTCCTTCAAGCCCAAAATCTGTTTTCATGCCGCCGTGCAACTCTCATTGAATTTCTTCAGACGAGCTAAGAAAGGTCTCAAAGACCTCTTTCGTCATCAGACAAGTCCAGTTCAGCATCCCACCAACATGGAGACAACACCTCGCGACCGTCTCGGTCAATTGTTTGCTAATCAGCCTCGCCCATCTCTTCCAATACCTGGTCAACCTCACTTTTCCGAAATGGAGCTCGATCAGAAGAAAGCTATGGACCAAAATCCAAGGAGACTGACATCAATTGCGCAGTATCCCCGACAGGTCAAATCCCGACCACAACCTCCACGAAATGTCGACTGCCTCACCAGCTCTGATGACGACGACGACGACTATGTGTCGGCTTTCAAACAGAAACCGTCAATGAAGATCCCGGCGAAACAAGAACAAGGTCCACTTGAATATGTCGCGAATGGGAAAAAATCGTCAAAATACGAGACAAATGACAATATGCTGCAAAGCAGAGTGTCTGAAAGTGATGATCATCTCCCTACCTCAAATACAAAAGGCCACCCAGTCACAGGCCGTTTCTGTCTGTTCACTCTCGCGGCCAAGTTTCCATACAAATATATGAACGACAGCCATGATCGAGTGTCAAGACATTTCTTTGCGGCCAACAAGTTCTATGACAGAACCTGGGACCTGTACGTGGCGTACTCTTTCGCAAATGTGCTTCCCGTGTCCGGTGACTTGTATACTAATATACGCCGCAGCTACTACCTCGAGCCACCCTACACGCTCGGCGGCAAACCCATCCTTCTGATTCCGTATGCACAAGCCGAACAACTCATCCACGAGATTGGTCAGACGTTCCAGATCGCTGTGTCAGTGCCGAAATTCCCATTCACTCTCACCTTCTATGATGATGGCACCCCTCAGCCAACGTTTCTGGGCACCTCTCGATCTCGATCAGAAGTCGGAGATCTTCAAGCCTCGATTCCGCCAACACCGATGGATCATGGAGAATGTCCTCCAGACGCGGTGCCTGACGTCCAACAAAAATTTGATGATTTCAAGGAGAAATGTCGAACTGTACTCGCAGCCAATAGGAGAAAAGGCGCTGTGGCCAAGAAGAAGAAAGAGGACGATCGCCTGCTATCTATTCAAGATTGGTACAAGCAATTGAGAAGAGCACAGAGATACTTAGGCCTACGTCCTAAATCTGGCAACATTGAGCCTCCAGATCCGAACCGATCCTGGACCGAGCAGGGAGAATTTCGTCTACCGCAGCTCAACAAAGCTCACATCGTCCTTGACCCATTGAATGTCCACGATATCGCGCCATTTCCTCCGGAAAAGGAGCCCGTCATCATTTCGATCGATGTCGAAGCATATGAGAGAGCTCACAACATCATTACTGAGGTTGGCGTCAGTACTCTCGACACACTGGACCTCGTCCAAATTCCTCCTGGTCCAGGTGGTAGAAACTGGATCAACCAAATCCGCTCACGACATTTCCGAATCAAGGGAAGACAGCACTTGATCAACAAAGACTTTTGCATTGGCAATCCAGATGCCTTTCAATTCGGTCGTTCAGAGTTCGTCGACATCAGCCAGGCGGCTGCAATGGTGGACAGCTGTTTTGAATGGCCCTTCTCGGTGAAATACAAGCATGCTGGTTTGGAAGATCCATGGAGTACGGAGCCGGCCAATCCAACCGCGGATGGTGCCGTTCCAAAAGAACACTCTCTCGACTCGGGAGGGGTAAAAAATGGACCAACGAATAAAGAAGAGTACGAAGCAGCAAACAGGGCGGCAGTGACCAGCGTCATGGAAGGTATCCTCCCGATCCCAGATCGACAGAACCCTGAAGAACCCCAACTTGGACCCCGAGAGCGCAACATCATTCTGGTGGGACACGACATTCGAGGTGATCTGGACTATTTGAAAGTCCTAGGAAGTCAGATCTTTACACCGTCTCGTGCCACCTACCCCATTGCTGCCATGGAGATGATGGGACCTGGGGAAGGTCATGCCAAAACGTTGGCTTCCATCGTTGAAGCTCTGGATACTGCTCCTCTGTACAGAGTTCTCAAGAAAGAGACCCAAAATCGCAACCTGGGTTCAATCCTTGTCGACCTTGGTCTCCGATGCTATTTTCTGCACAATAGCGGCAATGATGCCCGATACACCCTGGAGGCCTTGATTGCCATGACCGTGAAAGCCAGACTGGAGGACGATGAGCATCCAAAGGTAGAGAATGTACGCGCAAAACAATTTCCTGACATGGAATGGAGTACCGCGCAGCCCACATCTCACGATGTCGGTCAACCAGAAGGACCGGGGGAATGTGAAAAGCGACCACCTCCTCCACTTTCGAAGTCAGATGTGCAAGCAAGTGAGAGTGCCGTTCTGACCAACAATGGGACTCCTGGAACACGCAACAAGGAAGATCTGGACGTTTTTGAGGCAGCGATATTGGCCTCTGCGGACTCCAACGCATCACCCCTGAGACAACGAGATGGGGAAATTGTCGCAATCGCCGAGAGATTGAAGCTAGGCCCGAATGTGAACGACGAAGAACCGGATGGCCCCCCCCAGAATGGATGGGACTCATGGGATGGAAAGTGGTAATTTCGATACAAAGCGGTGACTGATCGGTTTCAGCTTGGGAGAATTAGTTGGCGCTGGCATTCGCGAAGGAGATCTTCTGCAGCCATGGAAAATGAACTTGAATCCACTGCAATAGATTGTGCAACCCGAGTACGTCCAGAAATCATTCAGTCATCATGCTCAAGTCGAGAGCTTGGCAGTAACTGATATAGGAGACAGATAAAACTTGAGCATTCAAGAGGTCATCTTCAAAACACAATACTGTGCAATAAACCTTCTGATCCTCTGAAAAATGTTCTTGGATTTTTTTTTTTTTTTTTTTTTAATTTCCATCCTTTTCCCCATATCTCGTCTATAACATATGATGGTTGATAGCAGCCGGCACCGCCGCCGTCGCATGCAAAGCCTCATACCGGGCCGACCCAATGCTCTTGTAAATTTTTGGTACAGTTTCACCAGCTCGCTTTCTTGACACCAGGCAAGTTGCCTTCCAATGCATTCATACGGAATTGGAACTACAGAGGGACGCCAAATGGTTAGCTTCCTTGAGGATTGAATGTGAAGGGGCTTTTCAGGCACTCACACGACCCATCCTAAACGCTCGGAAGACACCTCTCGCTAAACCACCCATCACACATCGGTTTTTGATCTGCGTCCGTCGCGTGTAGCAGTGCATTTGCGCCAGTTCTAACTGAGCCTGTGTCCGCATTCGCTGCGGCAAAGATGTGTTGCGGATAATGTAACGAAGTGCTTGTCTGGACGTGCACGAGATATATTAGCTGATGCCCTTGTTTGATCTTATCCACTTTCTCTTGTGCCTCTCTCTTTCCTCCGTTGATCCATCATGAAAGCATGGCAAAGTGCTGCTCTGCGTACCTTTGAGGCTCAAATCGCTCGTAGACCTTCCGCTTGGTGTGGTCGCGGATGATTTTGATATTGATAAAGCCGCCGAGGTCGAGCTTCTTCGCTCGGAACTGCGCCATAGCAAGCGAGTTGGGCAACTTTCGAATTAACGGAGAGGAAAAAGATGGATCTCGAAGCATGCGCATGTTTGCAAACTTATTGCAGTTCCTCATTGGCCTTGGCGTATATGATCACGTGGACTCCAATGTCCTGCAGCGCGTCTACCACGGCCATGGTACCCGAATTCGTTCTTTCCTTTCGTCTAGCTTGTTCAAAGATGTTGCAGCCACTCTAACACCTTGGTAAGAATTATTCTCTCCATGATATCCATCCCAACATCCTTGATAGCTTCCACGTGGATTTCACCCGGAGCTCCCTACAGCTAGGCTTCTAGCCCCCATCTGCTCAGCCAGAGTCTTGATGTCGTCCGCTCCAGCGACAAACCGGACACGCTGAGCATGTACCACATTCCAAAACTCCGTACCGCCTTGTAGCCCAAACTTCATTAAGGACAGGGCCTCTAATTCTCCGTGAATACCTTCATCGATGCTTTTCTAACGATACCCTGCCAGGCGTTTCTCTTGAAACTGTTTGTGGCGTAGATATTCGATGTCACGGGCTTGTGGCGAAAGCTCGTCGAAAGCTCTCTTGCATGCTGCGGGCGATAAGCTGGACGCGAGGATGTGGATACTGTCAAGTTTCTCCGCCCAAATCGCCGCCGAAGAGGATTTCCGGGGGTTGGTGTGTCAACAAAGAGGTATTGGATGGCAGTGACAGGAGCAAGTGTCTACCCCAGAATAACTGGTTTCGCATAGGCAGCCTGGGCAGCTTGGGCACCTATGAGGAAAAATTTGATACATTGCCTCCACCGTGGAAGTAGAGCAAGACACTATTGTTATCTGTATTAGTTGATCCGTGAACCGATGAAGTGCAGACCTGTAGGCGGGCAATCGTCCGTATCAATCTGCAACACCTCGTGCGGTATCTTTTCGTTAAGCCCATGGGCTTTTGCAGTGGCTATCTGCTTCATAGTGGTATACGGCCTTCTTGACGGGCTGGGTTCTGGACGAGGATTCTGAATGTCTTCTTACTGCTGAAATCCTTATCCCGGATAATGCCTTTTGATCGACAAACAAATCACAATAACATGGAACTTCATCAGCCTTATAGTCCACGTGATTTTTATGATGCAGGCTGAATTCGACTGGTTGACAGCTGTAATATGTGACGTCGGACCTGATGAAGGTTGAAACACGCAGGGAGAAACTCAAGCTTGTCCTCGAGATCAGATCTGTTTATCCTCAAGTAGCAGAAGCGGTCGTAATCGATGAAGTCGAAGACACCATTTTGCGTCCCGCTAAGTACCTTTTCTAGTTATAACTAGAAGAGAAAACGGGATTGACGACAACGAGTCGGTTGGTCCTTCTCTCCAGACTTCCTGTAAAACTTACATCCTAATAGGCTTGGAGTTCGGGTTCAGGTGAGTCATGACAAGCATTTTGGATAAGCAATCATATGTAACTGGGGATTTAGCATTCTTCTCTCTGTCCCCCCCCACACCTTATTGAACTAGATGCGGTTTCATAATTTTCAATTTGTTTTGTGGCCTTGTTTTCCTACCTCGCTACTGCTGTTTTCTCAATTGATATGCCAAAGCCATCCAAATCCGCAAAATCATCCGTAGGGCGAGAAGATGGCGCCATCGTGGTCACGAGCCAGCAGAGTCGCTTCCACGCTGACGCCGTCGATGTACCAACCTCGAAAGATATCGATGTCAAAGATTTAACGCTGTCCGTCGGCGGGCGGGAATTATTGGATCACGCCCATCTACGAATCCTGGCAGGTGTCCATTATGTGCTCGCAGGGAGGAACGGAACCGGGAAGAGTTCACTGCTCCGAGCATTAGCAGAACGTCGCGTTCCCGGTGCACCAAGCAATCTGCGTTTATTGCTGTTGGGCCAGACCCGTGTCAGCTCAGACGCAGGAGTTGACCCTGCCGAAGCAGAAGAGTCTTCACAATCTGTCCTTGAACATGTTACAAGGAGTGATCACCGTCGGGAACGTGCTCTGAAAGACGCAAATAGCATGCCACCTCTCTCTGCGGCCGTCATGTAATCTGCTGACTTCCCGCAGGTCTGTCCACCGCCCTGGAGGAGAAAGTCGATACCAAAAGAATCGTCAGGACAGTGCGGTCACTTCAGATCGAACAAGCCAAGCAACAATTCGCCGAAGTCCAATTGATAGCGGAAAGACGAAGTGGCGCCAGAGGCCTGAAAGCACGTCAGATGCTCATTGCCAAGGAAAAGGCCGTGCAAGAGGCCCAAAAAAGGTGAGTATGTCGTTGGCACTGAGAAATGTCGTTCGTTGACGCAAAAACAGGTATGAGGAGTCGTACACGGTCGAGGACGAGCAAGACGCCATCAAAACTGGACTCGACATGCTGGAGGCAACCCGATTAGCTCTTGAAGCCATGGATGCGGGTAGCACCGAAGCTCGGGCTCGCACGGTACTGCTGGGTCTCGGATTTTCTGATGACCACATCGAAAAGCCGGTCAAATCATTGTCAGGGGGATGGCGAACTCGTAGCGATCTGGCATGCGCTTTAACCCAACAAACAGACGTTTTAATGCTGGATGAGCCCACCAACTTTCTCGATCTTCCCGCCATCCTTTGGCTGCAAAAGTACATCACCCATTCTTTGGCCAAGACATCGGTCATCGTCGTCACGCACGATCGGGACTTCGCCGATGCCATCGCTCAGGAACTGCTCCTCGTCCGGCTGGCACCCGCGAAAACGCTGGAGGTCTTCAAGGGCAACTTGAGTGCGTATGAAGGCGAGAAGCGTCGACAGATCCGACGAATGACCAAAATGTTTGAAGCTCACGAAAAAATGACAAGACATATGGAGGACACGATCGCTAAGAATGTCAAGGCCGCCAAACGGACGGGGGATGATAAGAAACTGAAACAGGCGGCATCACGCAAGAAGAAATTGGAAGAGAGGTCCGGTCTTGAAGTAGGCCAACACGGAGGCCGATTCAAGTTGAACCGAGACCTTGCAGGCTATCATCTGAGGGGTCGTGCTGAGATCGAAATTCCCGAGTTCGATCCCCCGGTCACAATTACGCTGCCGGATCAACCATCTTCCCTCCGTCAGGCCGGTCCGCTCTTCAGCTTCGACAAGGTCTCCTACACGTATCCTCGGTCCGGAGTTTGGACTCTGAAAGACATTGACCTCGTAATGCACCCGGGCGAGCGGATCGACTTGGCAGGATTGAACGGCAGCGGAAAATCAACGCTCGTCAAGCTCTTGATGGGAGCAGCCACGCGTGGAGATCCGCGGCCAAGCAAAGGATCCATCACAGTACATTCCCAAGCGCGAGTTGCGTGCTACTCGCAGCATGCGGTGGAAGAACTAGAAGACATTGGTCGACAAAATCCGGAGAGAACGGCACTGTCACACTTGATGCAGCTCCAAGGTTGGACTCTGGACGAACAAACGGCCCGAGGGACACTGGCCAAACTTGGTCTTCGAGGCAATACCGTGACAGATGTGCCATTGGCGGGCCTGTCTGGAGGACAGCGAGTGCGTCTTGCCCTAGCCGAAGTATTTTTCAATTCGCCTCACCTCCTGGTGTTGGACGAGGTCACCACTCATTTGGACGCGGACACCATCGACGGACTGATCGACGCGCTTAAATCGTGGAAAGGGGCTCTTTTGATCGTCACGCACGACCGACATTTCATGCGCTGCGTGGTTGACCGAGAGAAGATAGTCAGGGACGATGCGGGAGAAGATGGCAGTGAGAGCGACGAGTCGGAGGATGAGACACCAGGTACGGTTTACCACGTGCGCAAGGCTGGTCTAAGAAGGCTCGAGAGCGGTATGCAGCATTATGAAGAGATTGTATGGAAGACGGTGGACAAGCTGGGGGTCTAGAGTCGGGAGGGTTGGTGCTGCACCGAGGAAATTCTCCGTTCGGCCAAGGGATTTTGGGGTTCAGGGGCTTGATCCCGGGAAAGCAAAGGGTGCCCAACGCCCCGGGGGACCGGCGATGCTAATGGGGAGAGGCGTAGGCGAAGGCGACCCAAGGCTTTGGCGTACGCTTGGTATTGCTTCGGATGACCTTTAGCTGGAGGTTAGGAGAAGGTCTTGCATAGAGGCGAGTAGGGAAGCTCGACGCAACCCTTTGAGTTGCGCTCGAAGAGCGGAGTAGGCATCAAGCAGGGGATCAAGCCGGCATCGGGCAGGGCACGTGCAGCGGCATTGGCGGCGCATTGGACGGGCCTTGGCAAGAACGTCGCTGGTGACGACGGTAGAGGTTCTACAACATCCATCCATCCAGCTAGCTAGTGAGCTATCTCTGCTGCCGTGAGCAACCTCCTCGAGAGCATCAGATGATGACCGCAGCTCTGTTCCTCTCCTCCTGCATCGGCTATCAATGTCATTGGATCAGATCCAACCTCAACCTCACCACGTTTTCTTCTGCACGAACCTGGTGGGTACCTAGTCGATCGATCCTACGATAGAACAGCCTCAAAAGCCGACTCGTCGGCTGGTCTACCTATATTTTCTTCCTTCTTCAGTGTAGATCTCACGAGAGATTGTGGTAGGTCTTTATTCTTTCTGGCTTTCAGATCCTCCCCCATGTATTGCCCTCGTTTGTTCATCTTGTCGGCACTGACTGGCTGCTCATGCCACCTTGCCCGAGCTCACAGCTCCGAGTCACAGCTCCAAGCATACACTGTTCCTGCGGGATTTCCCACCAGCCTCTTCTCGGCCTACTATATTCCTCCCTCACCAACTCAAGAAGTAAGATGTCCGGGCTAGGATCGAACATATCATCCCCCTGTTAACATATCTAGCCACAACCGATCATCTTTGATCCCGCGTTAAACGACACCTATCCCTTGGAATTGACTGATCCGGCCACTATTCCGGAACAAAATGAAGACCCTATTTTCTTCCCGGCGCCTCTCTATACCGTGTCAAACGGAACCGCCATTGTCGCCGATGCCATCAACCGCATTAACGACATCATTGCCGGAAGCGGGTCAAACTGCTCCAAATGTATCTCTGCATTGGAAGTCGGGCAATATGTGGCTCAACGAGTTCCTCAGATGGTTCCAGACATGTTGGTTGACCTGTGCATCAGCACCGGATTCCGATCCAATTCTAGTTGCCGCGAAAACTACGAGGCTCAAAATTACGGTGCAGTTTGGACTCAGGTCCTGTCCCTGGCCCATGTGTCGGGATCGGATGGCCAGTATATCTGCAATTATCTGAGCAGCGATTTCTGTCCCCGTCCCTATACTCTCCCATCCGACACGTCGGCGTATTTCGGCCCCAAACCCCACCATCCCAAGATGCCCAAGCCAAGTGGCAAGAGAGTCAAAGTCTTGCACATGAGCGATATGCACATCGACCCTCGATATGATGTGGGTTCCGAAGCCAATTGTTCCAGTAGCTTTTGTTGCCGTCCTAATGTCGAGAGCACTTCAGGAGACCTTGAAATTCCATCTCCCCTGTATGGAGCGTTCAAGTGTGACAGCCCCCTCTTCCTGCTGACGTCTGTTTTGGAATCTGTGGCGCCTTTGACAGGAACCACTCACCATCAGAAATCGGACGACGACCGACTTGCATGGGGCCTTTACACTGGAGACTTGGTATCCCATGAAGGCCAAAACGAACTGTCTCGAAATTACACCATGTATGCGGAATTTTCCATCTATTATCTGCTCAAATCGTACATCCCCAGCGGGCCAATCTTTGCTGCCCTAGGAAATCACGACAGTAACCCCGGTAAGAACAAGCGTGACCACAACGAGAAATCCGGACTGATTGAATCTTAGATGGCATCGATTCTCTCCATTCCTTGCCCGGAAATCTAGGTCAACAACAGTATGTGGGAATCGTCATGTCGAAGTCATAACTAACCCGGGAAGGTCCTGGAACTATGAACATGTTTCTTCTTTATGGCAACAAAACGACTGGATCACTCCTGAAACAGCCAACGAGGCTCGTATGCATTATGCAGCTTACAGCATCAATCATCCCAAATACCCCAAATTGAGAATCATCACCCTCAACACTGATTTCTGGTATCGAAGCAATCTTTTCAACTACATGTAAGTAACGACGGAATTCGTCATGATGGGATCTGACACGGCGACAGTAACACCACCCATCCTGATGTAAGCGGCCACATGAAATTCCTGGCTCAAGAACTTCAGGATGCCGAAGACAAGAATGAACGAGTGTGGGTTGTTGGTCACGTCCTGACTGGCTGGGATGGAACCAATCCTCTTCCTAACCCAACAGGTGGGCATTCCATGGTTTCCCGAACGTACAGCAATTCACAGGGAGCAGATCTATTCTATCAAATCGTTGACCGTTATTCTCCTCATGTCATTGCCGGTGTCTTCTTCGGCCATACCCACGAAGATCAATTCATGATTTACTACTCCGACAATGCGACGGTGCAAGATGCTGCGCATGCCGTGAATGTCGGCTGGATCGGACCCAGCGTTACTCCTCTCACTAACCTCAACAGTGGCTACCGCATGTATGAGGTCGACACCGGTGATTTCTCAGTTTACAACGCATACACGTACTACTCGAATGTGAGCGCTTTCGGTAGCATCAACGCCAGTGAGACTGGGCCAGTTTTCAAATTCGAATACTCCGCCCGCGAGGCCTACCCTATTGGTTGGCCCGATGACGCTCCATTGAATGCCACATATTGGCATCAAGTCACTGAGGCCATGGCTGCCAATCATACTCTGGTCAGCCGATTCAACACTTTTCAGGGAAAAACCAGTGTCAAGAGTCCCAATTGTACCAGCAACGCCTGTGCCGAGGCCAAAATATGTTATATGCGAAGCGGTAATGTTGCATTGGGCCGTTCGTGTCCCCAAGGGTGAGATCAGATCATTTATGACCAGTTTGTCCACCGATTTTGCTGACCCACTCTAGGTTCGGCTCGGTCCAGAGCCAGTATACCGGCAAGAACTTTTGAGCGGTTTGTTCGGGGAACCTCCTGGATCTATGAATAATAATTTCTCAAATCGATTCCACGAGGTGACCGAATGGAAACGTGACATCCAGGCCCAACTTGGATACCGGAGGAACAAGGATAATGATAATCAAACGGAGACCTTTTGATCCTGTTTGAAGTATTTCTTTCTTATCTTCCTTCAATCCTCGCCATTCTTTGAAAATATCAATTTAAGCTTGAGGTCCTGCCTGCAATAAAATTCCATTTTGGCAGATGCACTTGCGCAGGTTCGAGTTATGCGCAAGCGGGGTGTCTTTGGTATGGTACCTTTTGTAACCCGTCATTGTTGTTGGCTCCAGTCCTCAGCCTGATCCGGACTCCACGTTGCCGCTTGATCCACTCGAATGGCATATGTTCTCGCCCAGTCCAACGTCATGTTTGTCGCCTTACAAACTGGCTTTTCCACTTGTTTCAGATGGGAAAATAAGCTGAGCCATCCACCCCACATACTAGAAACCGTTAGCGTGCGAAATAGACATTGCACGAATGATCCTTACATATACTGCACCGAGCTCGAGACACAGTTGAAGGCCAGAATTTGTGCCCGAGTGCATGCTGCAGTATAAGCAAACAAGAACACCGAGGTCAAAATCAATGATAGATCAAGAGTCCCGCGTCTTCCGATGTATGGGAGGCCGATAAACCAGCCTGCCACCAACGTCCCGGGAGTACTGCATGCAATGATGATGAAGTTGTTACGATATGGAATATTGATGCTGCCAGATCCACTTTGGGCTCCATGAAGAGCTAGATACTCCGGAAGAAAATTACTATAGCGCGGGGACGTCAATCCGATCATTCCCCGTACAAGAATGATTAGACTCGTGCTGAATGCGAGCTTCTTGATTGCAAAAAGAGCGTGGATGTGTTTAAAGCCTCCGGGTCGGATCTGCGCAAGGGTGCGCTATAGCACAGATCTTCTGTTCACATGCTCCATTCCTGCTGCAGAATAGTCACTCTCGACCTGTCGGAGGTCTTCCATGATGAGTGGTAGTGTAGTTCCATTGTATCGTGCAACATTGTGGAGAATGTCGATGGCTTCTTGATATCGGCCCTAACCGATAAGAAATCTTAGGCTTTCACGGAGTCGGAAATAAAAGAAACGTACGAAAAATGCGGCCAAAGTAATAGCGTCTGTGGAATACATCAGATATCGCCATCACATGTTATCTTCTTTCCGACATTGACCGGCTGGAGTGTCAGCGCTCCATGAATAGCGGGGGAGAAAACCCCAGGCGGCGCCTGCTGGAATAGCTTGGCCATTGGACCACCAAACTGCCAATATTTCTAGCAGATACTGATGTGTTCCCGGTAGAAATTTGAGAAAGACCGTGCTATCAACAGGCACTGGGCAATCAGCCAGAGATCAAACTCAAAAACCTGAATACGTACAATTGCTGCCTATGCCAAATCCACAGAGTGACACCGGACACAAAGCTGTTGGCAGCACTGGCAGCGATTCCAAAAACACCAGCAATCAGCAAGGTCAGATTGAATGCAAGCCGCCTCCCGACGAGGTCACCAACTGGGAGACCGAGTACATCTCACATCCAAGGTTCCAGAATGAGGGCCCAATCACGGGACCAACGATCAAGGCCAGGGACAGAAAAGCCGGATATTGCGGTTGAAACTCGACAACAATTTGAGCCAGTGCGTCAGAGACAGTAGTTTACCAAAGCTGGTGAGCGATCAATCTTTGTGAGTGTTGAGTATCATCTCTTTCGTACTCACCTGATCACACAACCATCCGTATCCACAGAGGTCAAACAAAGCCACTGACACTGTTTCGATTGTTAGTATTGGCCGTTCGAATTTCACTGTACACTTTACCTTCCCCATGCCCATCACATGAACGGCATGATTGATAAGACGGGCTTGATGCTCGAACACTGGGTCGATACCCATATGGTTTCGACAACGTGCATCGACAGCGGCCATTCCGGCTTCGATCATTCGTCGCCAAGGGTTTTGGGATTTCTCACCCTGTCGAGAGGGTCCTGTTGTACGGCGTAGGATGCAGCAGTGGCATGGCCGCGTTGAGGACGGGTGCCAACATCGGCTTGGAGCAAACGGCCATGGGTAGGCCAGCGAGAGTGCTCTGTGTGGCGCTCGAGATCGCCGCAATGATGGTCGGAAGCGTGTTGGATAGTACCAATGTATTGCAGGAGACGAGGATAGGTCCCCTTGCCTGTTCTCCGGCTGTACAAGTGCTTTAGGATTGAGCAATGGCGTCGGCGAGCCGACGACAGAACCCATCTATGGCCTGCTTGGGTGGGATCACAAAACCATCCCAGAACGGACAGTGACATTGGGTTTGATAGAGATCCTGCGGCAAGTCCCATCCCTCACAATGCGGTGGAGAGAAGCAAGACATGTCGACCAGAATGAAACTCACCAATTACCGCAGGCTGGGAAGTGGTATTGACACCTCAGCTTCCCGAACTCACGAGAGCTGCTCTAGGTCCCGTTTCCGAGGTTCTCTAGGTTTCCACCTTATCGCAGCTACCGCTAGATCACCACAAGCCTGCCGACTTCGAATTGGCGATGCAGCCGAGCGACGCCATGGAAACCACGTGTCCGAATATGTTGCCTGGTGCGCATTTGGCCCTGGAATCGTTGTCGAGATGCGCTTGATCAAGCGGAATTTGGACTATGACCGCGGGGTCCAGCCCAAGCGACAGCGCGAGATGAAATATGACGTGATGGGGGAGAATAAAATTGCAGTCGGAGAGTGACGCTGTTGCGCAAGCGGCCCAGCCTTGGTTGGGTACTTTGATACATTTTTAGTTAGCATTCGAGAGGAAGGGATTCATCTGAGGCGAGACAGCCTCTGGGTTAGTCCATTATTTTTTGCTTCAGAGAGATGAAATAACAATAGTTTTGCCATCCCGGTGTCAAAGGGGCTTGAACCGGACCCGCTTGCCTGGCCAATTCCGAGCGTCACGTGAAATCACGTGCACTGGACTAGAAGCTTACGAGTCTTGCTCGTGCATCCTGCTTCCATCCCCCGTCTTCTTGGATTTCTACATCTTGATCTCACATCTATTCACTACCATCTAAACACCCTCCCTGACTCTCCGACAAACACTCTGAACCATAATCAGTCGGTAACACGTGCGATCAGCCCCATGCCCACCCACGGCTAGCCCCAGCAGACGGCAGCATCAGGGCGACTCCCCTATTCTGCTAGCCGGTTTCCCTTTGCCTCTGATATTCGGCCGACTATGAGGAACATACTAGGCGCATACACTATATGATCTAGGTCCCGGTTGGCCATGGCACCAGTCATGTAAGTGAGACAGTTTCCAAGGCCATAGCCCTCTTCTTGCCTCCCTCAAGATTCAACGCTGCATACCTCCTAACCCTGCTTCAGCTTCTAGCGCTGCTTTTGACGAATTTTCCGATAATGCTACATGTATGATCCCCCTCAAATCCGGGGGGCACCACTATTCCCATTACCGCTTTCCGAAATCACATTGGCATTGTGTTTTTTGCGATCGCTCCACCTCCTCGGAAGGCATTGGCCGACACTGAGACTATTGCGGGAAACCATCACTCGATTGTCCCTAGCACTGTCAGTCAACAAGCATATTTCTCAAATTCGGAATGATAGACTCGCTGCGAATGGATTGTAAGAATTTTCTCATCTTCCTAAGCTCTTCCAACTGATAGCAATTTGCAGCCTACGACTCACAGCCGAGTTCTCCATCTCGGACCAGCCTCGAGGAATTTCCTCACGCCAATTTCCCTCTTTTGGCCGATACGGGAGCCGGAAATACCCAAATGGGGCAATCCGACCTCTCACACGTAGGGACCGATCGAGGTTTTGACCATGAATGGCGTGGGGGTGGGCGGAAGGATCGAAGACTCGACGAGGCAGCTGCAGGTCATGCCCGCTTCGACCAAAAGTTGACTGTGAGAGAAGCCGTCCGAGATTATCCCATGGCCATCTTCTGGTGTTTGGCTGTCAGTATGTGTGTCATCATGGAAGGCTATGACACCATTCTGATCGGAAACTTCTATGCTTTTCCTACTTTCCAGCGCAAATGTACGTTTTCCAATCTCGTATTATTCCATGTCGTTGCTGACCAAGTTCAAGATGGCGAGTTTGTTGGAATCAGCGATCAAACCAAATCGGGGTACCAACTCAGCCCGGCCTGGATGGCCGCCATTGGCAACGCATCCTCAACTGGAGCATTCCTTGGCACTCTTCTCAATGGCTATCTCGTCGCCATCTTCGGGCAGAAGCGAGTAGTCATTGGAGCCTTGATTGTCTTATCCTGTCTGATCTTCATGACTTTCTTCGCCCCCAACATTCAAGTCCTGTTCATCGGACAGGTCCTCTGCGGTTTCCCCTGGGGAATCTTCGCCACAACCGCGCCTGCGTACGCGTCTGAAGTCCTGCCAATGGCTCTCCGGGTATATTTTACCAGTTGGACCAACATGTGCTTCATTATTGGCCAGCTGGTGGCCGCCGGTGTGCTCAGAGCCTGCCTCAGTCGCGATGATGAATGGGGTTTCCGCATTCCTTTCAGTATTCAGTGGGTCTGGCCTTCCTTCTTAATTCCGTTGTTGTGCTTCGCACCAGAATCTCCATGGCATCTCGTTCGAATTCAACGCCTCGAAGAAGCCGAAAAATCTCTCCGTCGCCTTCAACGCGCCTCGGCCAAAATAGACGTAAAAATGGCCCTCGCAAGCATTGTCCACACCAACAATCTCGAGGAGGAGCTCTCTGTCGGCACTTCCTATATCGACTGCTTCACAGGCTTCGAGTTGAGACGGACCGAAATAGCATGTATCTGCTTCGCAGGCCAAGTGCTCTCCGGATTGCCCTTTGCATATAACGCATCGTATTTCTTCGAACAAGTCGGTCTCGCTGCCGAGACAACCTACACCCTCAACATCATGGGTACAGGTCTCGCATTCATCGGCACTTTGGTCAACTGGTTCTATCTCATGCCCTACATGGGCCGACGTACGATGTACGTGGTAGCAATGCTCATCATGGCCCTTGAACTGTACCTAATTGGAATTCTTAATGTGTGGACGCACCACAGCTTTGTCGCCGTGATCCAAGCCTTACTGACTCTCGTCTGGACATTCACATTCCAGATGTCAGTGGGCCAGCTAGGATGGTCTCTACCGGCGGAAATAGGCTCGACTCGCTTAAGGCAAAAGACCATCTGTCTCGCGCGCAACGCATATTACCTCGCCAGCTTGACCGCGGGCGTGCTGCAGCCGTACTTCCTGAACCCAGAAGCCTGGAACTTACGCGGCTACATTGGCTTTTTCTGGGGCACGACCGCGTTCTTAACTTTCACCTGGGCCTATTTCCGTCTTCCCGAGACCCGTGGTCGGACCTATGATCAGTTGGACCTTCTGTTCGCGAAAGGCGTGCCTGCCCGCCGCTTCGCGACTACACACATGAATGCCTTCGACGCGAAAGAGACCGGCGCACTGGCGGAGATGTACTCTCTCGAGGCGTTTGACGAACAACGGTCCAGTGTCAGCAGGGCCACGGATGGCGATCCTGAGTCATCGAATCGGCGGAACAGTGCTGGTGTTGAAGAGGGCTCTGGTGTGAACTCGGGGCCTCGTAGAATGGCCGAGTTGGAGCAGTTTATGAGCGAACAGAATTGAAAAGATGGAGGAGAATGGACCCAAAAATGAACTTGATACCCTGTAACCTTTATGTTGTGCGTGTACACATACTATCTAGAGTTGGAAGTGGAAGATATCCTGGGATATACTCAATAGCGCTGTCGATTCTCGTCGAATCCAACGAAGCATGAGAATTTTCACGACTTGGTAGTGCTCATAACCTATCCTGCAGTAGACTTCGTGATGTAATTACCAAGGACAACTCGACGACTTTGGGATGCAAGTGTACATGGAAAAATAATATACAGTTATCAATTTTTAGGACTCAGAATTCAAAAGTCGCTTCCGAACGCATGAATCCAAAAAAGAGTAGAGGGAAAGCAAAACAGATCAGAATGAGCTACTAGGCCGTTATCGCTCATAAGATGCACAATTGGCGAGATGTCGCGAGGTATCACGAGATTCGTGATAGTGGAACTGCCAGTTCAAATCTCACTTGGAAAAAGACCCAAAATAGAATCTCTATGCTTTTGTCGTCGATTGGCAGGGCTCAGATCAAGAATCAAGACTCAGATGCCGTGGGCTTCATTCCCGAGGCTTTGGTTTCAGGCTGGGACTTGGCCTTCCGCTTCTTGCCGATGCGGGACTTTTGGGGGTTTTCCTTCAAGCGGGTCCCCTTCTCCGTAGTAATGTCGTCTTTGGCATCGGACATGGCTTCCGCATCTTTGCTCTGTACCAGCATGACTTTGGTTGGATCATTGCCCAATTGACCTGCCAACTTCAGTGCCTCGCGTGTTAAAGTTGAAAGAGCAGGCTGCTTCAGGTCTGGAGGATACAGAAGCGAACTTGTCGAGAGCCGAAGTGTCTGCTTCGTCGTCTCCGTGCCGGTGAACGTGATATGATCCAGGCAAAGATTAGTAGTTTTGGGACCCTTTGTGGACTTGGAAGTTTGATCAACTGGAGTTGCCGAAACAAGACGTGAATCAACGTCCACAACATCCACCGTCCGGAGTATATAATCGACAGACTCCCGCTGTACGGCCACTTCCCGTCCCTGGACAGTTTTCTTTGGAGGATCAGGTGCTTTGTACACCTGACCCGGACGGATGGCATTCTGGAGATTCTTCGCGACGTTTTGCAAACTGTGATGGACAGGCAGGGAAACGAATGGTGGAAATACCCATTCAGTAGGAGTCTCAGACTCGGCTCTGCTGAAATAGCCCTGAAGAGTGGAGAGCAACGTTCGATGAATGGGGTTATGGGCTCCAGGATACCCAATGTCTTGTTTGACTTGCTGGACGATCCTTACATCGACGAGGCGATCAGGACAGAGGATTGTATAGGCCTTTTCATCGTGGATGGCGGTGACCCTGGCGACTTTGAGAGGGCTTCTTTTACCTTCCCGTGCTTCTCCTGAGGTAATGAATACTTCCAAGTTGGGTGAGGGTGCAAATTTCCGTTTCATGACCACTGGCGAGAATTCGAGGCGGAGGATAGCACGAGCTTCTGGGCTCGTATCTCTTCGTATCGTCTTAGGCTGTTGGACCCACTGCTTCCTCGTAGCGAGTTGCTGAGGCAGATAGGGAGCGCCTCCGGTAAAGCGCGGCATCTTGTATAGAGCTTCTACGGTACACGCATCCGAATTCATCCCTTTTTCATTGACACCCATACACTCATCCTCTGGTTCATCTTTATTTTCGACGTCTTCATGACCCCTGATGTCATCCTTGGAAGACTTCTTGTCGAACAGCTGTAGGACTCCCGGGTTGGCCTCTAACTCCGATCTTCTGCGGTCACGTTCATCATTTTCCACGCCGTCTTTCAAAACCTTTCCCCTTTCTTCCTTTTCATTCGGTCCCCGAAAATCTCGGAACAAGGCTTGACCGAGTTGGGCAGTCAATTCGAGATGAAGATCGCCACGAGACTCTGGCTGCGGAATTGTCCTGATCGGTTGGAGCCATGTGTGGATGCAGTTGACCATCGAATCAAGTGAAGCTGGTCGGTCGAAATTCACTCCAGGAGGAGACGGGGTAGGTGGATGACCAGAGGAGGCAATGAGCCTTCCCCATGAGAATTGGGAAAGGGCCCACGGAAACTCGGCCGGAGTCGGATACGGCAGAAGAGAGCTTGCAGCATTGTCACTTGGAAGCCATAGGCCAACCTTTTGCCTGTCGACTTTCAGATCTCCAGCAAGTCGTATCTCACGATGTGCTTGCTGAACTCGACGAGATTGGTTGAGGTATATTATTTCCACAGTTTTCTCGGTTGCAGCAATGTTCACTTGATGTTTCTGCTGAATGGATTTGAAAAAAGGCTTGATGGAATGTGTCAGGGCTGGATCACGATAGGCCTCGCCCAGAGTCCCATTTAACTGGATGACAGTCGGTTCAAGAGATCGTGCCAAGTTGGAAATAGCCGCCACCGCTTTTGAGGCCTGCCCTGACACACCTGTCACTTTGATTCTGAATTCACGCCAGAAGACCTCAATCTGGACATCGAAAGTTGCCGCAATCCTTTTTAATGGCTGATTTCTGGCCGTCAAAAGATAGTCAAACCTAGCTTCGTCTCGTACGAAGAAGCTTAGCGTCGAATTTTTCATCAAGACACTTTGCAAGGACCTGTCGGCTGGATGTATTGTATAGCCCCATACTTCCTCGACCACATATCTGATGGTGTCAATTTTGTTCCGCTTGGCAACCACGTCCAGTCCCTGTGATGACAGGTGGCGCGCATGTTTGAATCGGATATATTGCTTCAATTGGTCGTGGGTGAACCCTTTGAACAAGCTTTTTATGAGAAGTGCTGATTCTTTGAGTTCCAGTTGTCCACGCTTTTTGTCAATGCCCTGCCGTGTTTGCTCAATATTCTCCAGTAGTTCTTTGCGACTCAGCGGTAATCGTCCCGAGTCGAGTGATTCTTGCAGTCTGTCGGTGGATGAGGATATATCCTGGCTCCCCTTGGGGACTTCTGGTATTTTCCGATCTCTTGAAGGAAGAATTAATACTTCCGCTGGTTTGCCCAAGGAATTCACCCCCAGTTCTGCTGTTCGACTTGGTCGCCATTTTCGATACTTTGTGTCTCGAAGGCCTTGACGTCTGGGATTTTCGGGAAGCGACACGAAGGCGGGTTTCTGATCTTCAGCATGAAAATCAGCATGTTCGTCGTCTTCGACAGCTGTAACCGCTGCTGCGGTGCTGCGCCATCGTCGCAGTAGACTTGTAGATGCAGAATCCGTTACTTTGGGGGGTTGTAGGTTGTCTTTGACCAGTCTTCTCTGACATCTGAGGCAGATATACGCCGAATTGGTAGCACGTGCGAACATACAGACTTCACACCTAGTGCCATGAATGTATAAAGAAATTCTCGAAATATTTAGGAAATCAGTCCTCGTGACAATTCGAAGATGCAGGGAGTACGGAGCGGTGTTCACGCAGTGCTGCAGACTTGGCAGACGCGAGGCCGGTCGAGAGTGTGCTCGCAGGCCTAAATCAATACACTGGCAGACCAGACAAGGAGGATTTAAATATTGGATTTTTTTTTTTTTTCTACTTCACCCGAACTTGCCAACTTCGCAGATCTTCTCTCAAGTCAAATTCGGTGTGCTCAACGTATTCATTCCGGTCTCGCCGACGGTGTTCTTGTTGACTGGCATGCATTTGCTGCTCAATGCTCGATCGTCCACTGATGGTGTTCGTCTGGGTCGATTGTGTATTTGGTGAATCCATACTGCCGGCCCTTCTGTGTCCGTGTTGGGCCATTTGAGGAGTGAGCAGCTGTCGAGGCGTAACGGGCCGTCTCGTCTCATCGCTGGAGCTACTGCCCAAGCTCTCCTCTTCTCTGGGACCGAGCCTAGAATGGTGATGATTTGGCTTGAGTGGTGCGTGCATCCGGCCTCCATCGCCTCCTGCAAACAAGTCCTCGATAAGCTTGTCCGGAGGGAGTTCTCCTGCTTGACAGGCCCATGTGGCCGCCAACGTCCGTCGATAGATGTCCTGGGCCTCGGATAGTTCTCTGGTTTTACTCGTGATGCTCGGAATATCGTCTCCTTCTCCTGCTTCAGTGGACAAAACTCCCGCGATGCCTCCTATCACCATCGCCGATTTGAGTGGGGGTGCAATGAAATTGGTATCGCCCTCCGTCTGCTTCATCTTAATGCCAATCTTCAAAGTACTGTTGACCTTGCTGTCCTGGAGCAGGTATCTTCTCGTAATCCCACCGTCGTCACTCTCATCTTGAAGGTCTTGATCGGCGGTCTCGTGATCAGGGAGTCGTGTATATTCGGCCAGGTTGAGTTTCACATTCCCCAGATGGACGCGGCCGCCTCTTCCCCCTTCATGGAATTCCTGTAAGACCTCAAAATGTATATCACACTCCTGCAACATCTGCGTCTTGTCGATAGTAAGACGAACGGGTATTTCTTTGATATAATCCCACGTTGCCTTGTGTTCAATAATATCAGCCTTGTCCGTTCGACCTCGGTGTTCGGCGGCGTTGGAGGACGATAGGTGCCATCTGACGCTGGCTGTGCCGCAGACAAGAGGGACGTTGGTCAGATCGATGATGCGGAGGGTGAGATCGAATTTGGGCTACAGAAGAAAATGTTTTGATATCAGCACATGTCAAGAACTCGAGGGGTTTGGGAACGCAAAGTTCGCAGAGCTGATACCTTTCGATTCTTGGGCACTGTGAAGGTGAGGTTGTTCAGCGCTTGTTTCCGCAGCATGGTCCTCACAGCAAGGACGATAATTCCATGGTCAAAGCATGAAGAGACTCACCAAAGGCCTGCATGGTTGAGACGTCACGTTTCGCGGGGACAAAAGCACAGGAAACGCACTCAGACACTCTTAGTAGCGTCCTTACTACATTCCCGGGCCCCCTCCCATGTTGTCCGATCCACACAGGGTTTGCGTAGGATACACCCAAGATAGTGCCAAACAAGACGTGAAGAGAGCCGCCAGAGCTCGAGATGGACGGATGATTCGGCCGGGAGGAATTCAATATTAGTCAGCCACGTCCGTTGAACAATACATCAACGCCCCGTCAAGTCTATCTTTCATAATCCCCAAATTGCTTTCTCTACAAGTTTTATGCCCGAATCTAGCGATATCAACACCGAACCATAGCACTTTCCCGAGTCCCCAGTTCTAGAATTTGTGTACCTCGTCCTTGGTGTATCCCAGCTCCCCGAGGATTCCTCCGAGGTTACCCTGGGTCCAACCGAAACCGCCTTTAGCACCGGCAACGCTTTCGATCATTGCCGGAGGGCCGCTGACAAGCACCTTGACATTGCGTTCGTTCATCTTGTGCGGCATTACTCGGCTCAGCATCTCCTTGGTCACATACCCTTTTTCGTAGGGCCCCTCGTTTTCAGCGGTGGTTTTGCTGATCGTGTAGACTCTGGTGAAGCGACCGGGGTACTTCTGAGCGAGCTCGTCGAATTCCTTCTTCAGAAGGATATCCTCCTCCGTGTTATTAGCATAAACGAGAGCGATCTTGGTCTTGTCCTGGGGATTGTTGAGGATGGCTCGAGTCAGCTGGTATATGGGTGTGATGCCTGAGCCTCCGGCAATGAACGTCATGGCCGAATATTGGTTGGGCTCGTATTTGAATTCCTGCAAAGGCCTGAACAACATCGAATCACCGGGCTTCAGAGAGTGCATTTTGCTGGATCCTTTCCCATGGGGATACTTCTTGACCATGAATGTCACATGACCAGGGACATCTGCAAGGATCTAAATCAATATGGGCTCTTTGGGGGATGGGAATAGTTGAAGAACTCACCGTTGTCACTGACAGGGGTATAGGGTCTGAATACTGGGATCCAGGCGCCCTCAGGAGTGTGTCGGGTCAGCAGAGATGCTGCGCAACAGGTTAGTGAAACAGGTATTGGAGAGATTCGTGCACATGGAAAACGTACTGATTGGAGAAATTCCAGTGATTGATTCATCGTCCGGAAGAGCAAAAGTCAACTTCTTGACATTGTGGTTGACCATTTCGGCCTTTTCCAGCTTCAACTCGGTGAAACCTTTCCACTCCAGCTTTTTGAGCGCCGCTTTGGCGTCAGAAGGTGGAGACTCGGCATGAGCCGTGTTAAAGAAGAAGGATGTGGTGTTCCAATAATGGCAGCCGGTATAAGTGGCGCCCGCGCTGGCAGCCGCCACACCAGCTACCCTCAGCGAAGATCGAAGATAGAAGGACATTGTGATTGAAATGTTAGATCAAGCAAAGATCCAGTAAAGAGACTGAAACAATGGGAGGCGGCCGTCTTTTTCGATGAGGCGGGAGCTGTAAAGCTTTTTGATGACGGCTTGTGGCTCGAATGGCAAGCAATTATACTCGTCAGAATTCCGCACGAACCCACACAAGGTGGAAGAAGATGGAGGAAGAAAATGAAAACTTAGAGGGCACCAATGGAACTCAACCTAGAGAATGTACGAAGAGTAAATGGACTGAAGACGTCGAGTACAAGTTGCTTTAAAAAAAAAAACACGACATAATCAGCAGATGGCCGTCGGAGGCCGGACCAGGGCAGCTCCGACATAGATGTACCAGCCAATCTGAGCACGTGCTTTCAACTACCCCAGACCCGTTCCGGTAATCCGCCTTCTCACCCGCTGTTCCAAAAATATTTCTAGCCATGCTCGTCGCCCTTTGGCACAGCCTTGAGCATTCTTGCCCCCTTTCCCCCCCCTTTTTTGACGACGGTCCATCGCAAGGCTGACCTCAGAAAAATGATAAAGGGAGATGGCACTTCTGGCAGCAGCGTTGTTTCAGAAATTCATATGCTCTTTTGCCCACCCCTATTCACCCGGTCAAACCACCGACTACCCAGGTAAATTCGCAGTGTAGAAGTGTTTTTGGGATACCGGCATATGGCGTCTTGAGCCCAATCTTTGCATTTAAATAACTTCTCCAGCCAGTTCTTCGGACCAATGGCCCCATCCTTTTCAGAAACCACGGAACGAATATTTGGAGGGACCACTATTGACATCCTCACGCCCTCGATTTATGAGAAGATTTGAACCGTACGCGTCCTGATGCGGGGTGCCTTATTCCGATGGTGCCGGGATCGACATCTTCCTCGCTGCTCTCGACTCGTCGGCCAGACAGTGTCTGGATCAACATCAGTCTGATTTGAAGATGCTGCGAGGGTACAATGGACGGTCCCGTACGATACATCGCGCGTTTTCGTTTGAGATGATCCCGTGCAACGTAAAAGCCGGATGCATCGTCCCTTAATGGTAGTTAATAATTACCTACAGATCTGCAAGACTATCTTTCTCGCTGGACAACTCTCAAGCAATTCAGTGTCAGTTCCGAAAGCGTGTTTTCAACGTTAATCTTGATGCATCAACAACCCAAGATCCCCTTTTTGCACATGCGTCATCGGAAACGCATTTGTCGACACTGTCTCCATGCCTCTGTCTTCAGAGATGTCATTTTCTTGAAGGATATGGTAGAAAGTACGTGCTTGAGAACGTCGCTCATGTCCGCTAACATTGCAACAAGGCGCCATCTTTTGCCGGACAGATGAGTGAAACGAAGTGACAAGGGAGAGGGATCAATACGAAGCTGAAGTTACCGATACCACAACCGTGGCACTAATGGACTTACCAAAAGTCCTTTAGGAAAACAGTGCTGGCCAATCTGACATTTGCCACGACAGATGCATAAGTGATGGGAACATTGCACCGGCCCACAAAATGCATGATTCGGTTCAACGGATTATCTGTGATGATCGTAAGGTCGATCGTCCGGCCATGAAGAATGTAGAAAGTGATCGATACCATCGTGAGCTCCTGGGTGCGGGAAAGATCTTTGGAGCCACCACCACGTGATCGCAGTTTCTCGGATGAGCCGAATTCAGCTGGGCGGTTTCTGCCGCACAGCCTCAGGATGCGCCACGGCTATCGGCCACCGCCTCATCCAAACTCGAACTGGCATCAAGGTTCAAAGACTCGGACTGCACGATGCCAGGCAGAGTCCAGCCCCATCGCTTTCCTATTTTTTTTTTTTTTTTGGCATCACCTTTTGTCGTCACAGTCCGTCACTGGGTGGGACGGATGCCTGAAACACTGCAACACGTCCGCTCCGGAAACCCAGAACATTGTCAGCGGCTGCTGCAACTTGTATCTTGTTTCTGTCGCGGTCTTCCAAGCCAAAGACATCCACGCCAGTGCTTGTCACATGATGCTAGGTAATGGCGAACTTGACAGTCTGCAAGTTAGCGCAGCCAATGAAAGGCCATAGCAGGGATCTTCAATTGGTGTGCCACGCCAGTGCCGATCAACAACAGCCAATGCATTTACAGAAGTGCCCTTGCGACGAGGATCACCTCAGCTGCCCTCCGCCAGCTAACTCGGACGGATTCGCAGCTTTCTGGGCACAAATGCCAACGACTGGTTGTGAGGTCTCTGCCATCTTACAGTCATCAAACAGCCCAATTCTGGCGATATGACTTCGACTCGTGGAAATTTGGCCTCTGAGGCTCGCTCGAGCAACTTTGGGATGCCCTTCTGGACCAAGCGAGACCCTGACCCGGAGGAGTGAAACGAAGAAGAGTCGTACCACCTCCCCGGGACTGCAAATCGCGTCCTGGTTTCCGTCGAGTCTCCTTGCGTCTTGAGACAGCCGGCCAAGCCATCGCGGGGTCAACAATGGATGCAAATGCTTTAGACATGTTTTCTACGAATGCGAATGCGCCAACGGCGTGTACAGCAGCGCTCACTCCTTCCCCAGCCTCCGACGCGGACATGTGATGCTACGTGAAATTTTTGTTTCAGGGATCTTGGGAACTCGGAGACCTTTGACCTCCCACCGTTATTCGAGTGTATGATTGAATGGTGTTGAGATTGGGGGAGGCCTGGCTCGCCGTACGTTTACGAAGGAAACTAGAGAGCAAGGGTTAGGCAATCTGTGAGGGCCTTTTCGGATAATTTTGATCTTTCTGGAATGAAAATCACCACCGACCACGCTCCTCTCGGGGACAGCCGTGTCAACGGGCAGGCTTGCGAGGGAATGCTGAGGGTGTGCTGATCGAGACGCCACCGAGTTTCGGGGAAGCACGATCTGCTGGAGGTGGACATTGACCGTAGGGCGAGGGCAGGCTTCAATTTCGCACGCTAATGATGGATTTGACGAAACTGTTTGATCAAACTCGATATTGGCAATCATTGCATCTGCGCCTGGGAGATTTCGAGAAGCATCGGCAGCTGAGGGAGGCCGCCAGTAGCAGAGCGAGAATGGACCGCCCAGGCAGCTAAGGACTGTTTTGTTCGTCATGCAGCCCAGCAGGAAGAAACACAACGGAACAGGAGGAAAACAGGCTGAGCTGGAACATGCACAAGTTGCCAACCAGTGGCAGCCCGCGGAGTGGGAAGTTGCAGGACGTGCAGTAGCGTAGATGTACGATGCAAGTTGGAAAAACTTTTGCCAGAGAAGGATGGATGACTGAGCGAGTTCCCACGGCTTTGGCCTTCTGACCCTTCGGTCTCGCCTGTTTTTGATCTGACACGGGCAAGTCTCTTCGATTTGCCCGCCTGTGGGTGGGCTTTTCTTTTCTGTCAGTCCACGGCCATTTCCGGCTGCGCCCCCATCGCCTTCGCCCTTTTTGCCTGGTTCCGCCATGCCATGCCATATCCGCCTCTATCTTCTCTACCCTCAATTCTGAATTCCCACTCCCACTCCCATCCATCCACCATCACCCCCCGACCGTCTCCATCCAACTGCATGAAAGCTTTGCTGCGCCTGGCCGTCAAGGTCCCATCTTTAGCCCTGGTTCCTTCAACCTATCATTCCCGCTCATGACTACTTCTCACCATTCTCTGGATATAAGGTACGGCTCTCTCCTCCTCTACTCTCTTTGCCTTTTTCGTCATCCCCGCCTTCCCGCTCTCTCCCACTCCCACTCTTCCCTCCGCCAGGAGAACAAGCACCTCATCTCCGACTCCTTTCTCTCTACAAGGCGCGCATACTACTTCCCTCGTTGGGACCGCCAGCGGACAAACTCCTGTCTTTGATCCAATTTACTCCTCTCTTTATTATATCTCTTTGCTTCCTTGCCTGGCCAGCCCTCCATTTTATCCCGAATGTCCCTTTGAAAATCTCGCTCTATCACTCCAGAGAACCTTTCATTAGACAACCCTCCAGAATAACTCATAATGCCGACGATATTGTTACCCGCCTCTGCTGCTGCCTTTGCGCCCCGATCAACGTGCAACGTCGTCCTTAATACTAAAGTCGAGCCTTGGTTGACGGCCACCCTCAAGAGAATCAACAAGATTAAGCGACCCCTCAACAGTGTTCCGCAACACACGAGATGTCTGACCGAAACTCTCTCGTCATCCAATGCCATTTGGTCATTGTGTTCTCTGATGCTCCCCAAAGCACCCGAGGCAGAGTTGCGAAAGGATTCTAATCCGCTGGTGGAGGCCTTGTTCAATTACCAACTAATTCATATCGAGGCGTATGTTGTCCACGTCGACATGGTCTCCCAGAACGAGGTCGCCTTCAAGTTGACACCAGACACCATTGATTCGCTGGTCGAATATCACAAGGAAGTCTTCTCCGTGGACACCGCCGCTAACACCTGGACCTGGTCTGAGAAGGAGCAACAGCTGAAGAAGTTGCAAGAGGAGTTTGTGCAAGCCGCAAACAAGTTTGTCTATCGGACGAGCGCACTTGCTCTAGAGGGGATGGAGGAAAATGGCGCAGGTGAGCTTCTCTGTGGTCGAAGCGAAGAGGTTCGTGCCGCCATCATGGGTCTCTATGTTCCACTTCTACCTCCTCCTCCGCGGATTGTCGATGTTATCCGACCGACTCCTCTTCTCCCCAGTTCTACGGGCACCGAGCAGTGGTGGCCATCGCAACCACCGCAAGCCATCCAACCGGCCCCCGTTGAGGCCTGGAAGATTGTTCCTTCCAGCCCGAGTCCTGTCTCATCCTGCGACTCACAGCAGAACATTTGGTCGAGTGTAGGAGTCAACGATATCCAGCTACCATCACCCACGCCGTCCTTCAGCCAGCCTTATTCTTCTTCGGCATACAGCGCTCCACAATACTATAGCGCTCCTGCGTACAGCGCTCCAACAACGACGTCGTCATTCACACCCCTCCCGTTGCCCAGCATGTTGACTCAGCAACCCTGCAGTACGTCCGCAAGCTTGAGCACGTTTGGCTGGGATCGGTACCAAGAATACACGATGCCATACGCTACCGCCATGTGATAGACGAAGATCAGACTTTTTTTTTTTTTTTTTTTTCCCCTTTTCTTTCCCTCTTCAGCTGGCACGATATTTTGCCAAACGGTGACAAGGCTGCCGATATTATTTTGCGACAATGCAGTTGGTCGACAGAAGACCGCACATGCACGCGGGCACTAAAACTCTTCAGCATGTGGGCACGGAGTTATTTGATAAACATTAGCGATACCACCCTGCATGGATACGGGACACGGATAATATGGGGACATGGTCTGATTTCAGCAAGCGTTGTGATTTTGAAAATTTTTTTTTTTTTTTTTTTTTAATTTGTCAAAGCATTGATTTATGCAATACATCAGCGGCAGGTCGGCTGGTTGGATATAGTCCCACATTTTCGCAAGATCGGAATGCCTCGCGGCAGGTTTGCAGGTTTGGGATATATGCTTGGAATTATTTTTGCAGCACCAGGGTGCTCTCATTTTTTGGCGCCGAAAAGGCTAGTCCTCCTCGACACGAAGATTGACCACCTGTTTTGGACCGATTCTGTTGTACACGGGTTGGCAACAGATAGGCACGAACAACGGCAAGGCGGTACAGTGGTCGTATCCGGTTATACGACCCTGGCTGCCTCATCTCACATTGTCTGGTTATTGGCACTAGGGGGACCGATCGTGGTCGTGCGCCCACCTTGCGCCTGTGGCAGAGGTGGCGGCCGTCTCGACTCTGTGACTCGGATGGGTGACTACGAGGAGAGACCTTTGGGCTCTACAATCATGGCTTGTGTGGTCTATAGGGCCATCTCCTATATCTTCGACCAGGCGTCGGAGAAGCCTTTGTTCCACTGGATGGAAGAGGAATCAGATGCTGGAATTCTCGAGGCAAATGCTTCGATACATAAAGATAATCTCAAACAAATGTGAACATCTTCTTTAACTCTTCCCCCCATATTGTTCCTGATGGCATGTCCTCCTTTCTTCATTGCGTAGTGTTTTCGGCTGGTTCATGTCCCTTCGCCACAAAAGTGAAAGGCACGACGAGAGAACTGGGCGAATGTACGTACTGAGGCAGGTCGGCCGCGGAAGGAAAAACGCGCAGCCGATAGACTACGGAGCACCGAGGGGGCCAGAAATGACGATGCCACTCCCAGGCTTTCCGGGTCAAAATATCATTGTATGCGCATTGGGTGCCGGGCCACTCCCTGAACCCACTGCAGCAAAAGCCAACTGCTCAGTCATCCTGAGTACTCTGATCTCAGCGGCCGTCCAATATTCATGCCACCGCCCATCTGGGTTACCTCAGCCTGTACTTTTTCGACCTCAAGCCGAATGATATCAGTCCGGGTCCGCCGGTGAAGGAAATTGGTTCCACGTCTTTATCTCAACCGCCGATGCGTCTCAGCCCGTTACCCTTCCTCTATCTACTGTCACGCCGACTCCATGAGCCCCGTCGTCTTTGCAGTTCTTCTATCCGCGGGTGGAAGCCTCTGGCCGTGAGACAACGACAGTGCCTCCACCATGGCCACTCTTCATTCGGCTTTAAAGGCTCTGGCCCCCTGCAACTTCTCAGACATCCCGCCGAAGCAGGAGGAGCTGGATCCGTTCTTAACTGACCTCTTCTCCAAAGTCGAGTCTATAGTTGAATCTGTACCTATTCCCGATCCGAATCCCTCGCACCGACACCGGTCTTATACTACGGGCTCTATAGCTTCGAGTGCCTCTGAAGTGCTCGTATCCACTGCGCGAAGTCCTCCGCCCCCGCCCGAATATGCAGAACTACAGAAAGAATGGGGTAAGCCTATTAAGCTCTCCGTCAAAGAAAATCCTATGGGGATAGCTGTGTATAAACTCGGGAGTAAAGATGGTAAAGGAGCTTGGTTTGCACGTAGGAGTGTGCACGAGGGACTCGGATTCAGTCGTTTCAAGCGAGGCTTTGAACGAGAATTTCCTGCCTCGCTCGCTGTACAGGGTGCTCCCGGTGAAGGCAACATTCGAGGCATTGGTGCTGAGACTAGAGTGGAAGAGATAACGGTGCCAAACAGAGGCAAGCTGGAAGTGTACAGACTCAGTGCGCAATTTCCAGGACCAACCACACCACGAGACTTTGTTACACTACTCATCACATCCTCCAAGGCCATGCAACAACGTGGAGATGCTCATAAAGTGCCCGAGCTGGCGCCCCGCCATTATATGATCGTCTCGAAACCCTGCAATCACCCTCAGACTCGGCCCAGAAACGGCTTCATCCGTGGTCAGTATGAATCGGTAGAGTTCATTCGCGAAATCCCCAGAAAGCTCAAAACCACGACTTCCTCCACCGATTTGTTGCACCTTGGCCACCACAGGGCACCCTCACCTTCACTTGAGAAAGATGTCTTGAGACACAATGCAGAGAGTCATGGAGTTCCATTCGGCCACGACCACGACCATGACAATAAACATCTGAGGGTCGACACGGGTGGCTCTGTACACAGAGAATTGTCCCCGGGAAGCAGAAAGAGAAGTGCCACGGTCGGTGTTCCAGCTAGTCCCGTAAAAACTCAGGATCCTAGTGAACCCTACGACCCAGAGGAAAATCCCGTTGAATGGATAATGATAACTCGAAGTGACCCCGGTGGCAGCGTTCCACGTTTCATGGTCGAGAGAGGGACACCTTCGAGTATCTGTGCTGACGCCCAGAAATTCTTGGACTGGGCGTGCCGGTGGGAAGATGACCAGGAACCGCTCGAGAAGACCGATTCAAGACCGGACACGAGGCGACGCGAAAGCTTTGCCAGCTGGGAGGCCAATGGGACTCTTGCTGGAATCAGAGAGCATGAGGAAAGTTTGCAAACCATTGAACAGTTGCCACCGCCGGTTCCCAAGGCTTCCGAATCCCAGGTAGCAATACCAAATCGGGAAGAACAGCCAAATTCTATACAACACCCTCCTTCGTCTCCTAGCCATTTCTTAACGACCGTTACGGAAGCACTCGACTCTTCTGCAACCCAGGTAGGTCGCAATCAGTTTCCAAATCATACACCGAAAGGAAGCCCGAAATTAGGAGTCAGTCAACTCAATGGGCCGCAGGACTTCCCCAAGCTAGGTGTACTGCAACAGGCAGACACACCGAACAATGACGATGACGCTTCATCGACCATCTCAACCACTTCTTTTGCATCAGCCGACTCCCGCCTCGTCTCGGATGAATTCCCTTCAATCTCATCCAAATCACTATCTGAGAGGACCGAAAGCCAACTTCTGGTGCAGCACGACAAAGAGTTAGCGAAGCTTTCAGAACGCAAAGCAGCCATGGATGCCAAATTCGCTCAGCAGCGGGAAAAATTGTCCAGCCAAGCCAACAAGGAGAGTGAGAAAGAACAGAACGCTCTGAAAAGGGCCGAAGTGAAGCACGAGCGAGAATTGAAGAAACATGAGGAGAAATACCAAAAGGAAGTGGCCAAATTGGAATGGAAGAAGAAGAAAGAGGACAAGAAACTAGCAGAAAAGAAAAGGAAGCAACAAGATAAAGATGAGAAGTCCCGTCTGACCAGAGAACGAGACGAAGCCCGAGCTGAACTCGAGTTACTGAAAAAGGAGCGTGATATCTACTCACGGCAGATTCATGAACTGCAGAAAGAGAACATGGCTCTAATGGCTCGAATTGGCAAGCTTGAGGGCAGTGGACTGTCAGTTGACAGCTCATCCAGTGGGACTAATAGACTGAGGGCACTGACGATGGGGCATGAAGGTCGAAGTAGGAGTTCGAGCATTCTAAATCGTATGAGGAACAAGGCAGAGACAAGTAGTGAAGGGTCTTGATGCATCAGCACCTGGATACGGGAGTTCTTATGTGGGCCTGCGAAAAGTAAGAAATATTCGGCAGCAAGGCGCCGAAAGGCCAGTGTTTGTTTGATATGAAGTTTTGCAGCGTTATTTAGCATACAGAGGGAACTGCATACACAATCAGCTATTGTGCCTGTGAAGCAGTCTTATACGAGTATTATTTATGTCCCTTGTCAGCCTGAACGGCCGTCATGATGTCTACACGGTCGTTGGCACCAAGGTACCGGTCACGTGGATTGCTAATATTGGCCTTGGGACTGCAGCCTAACTCGATCTCGATCTCACCAACCTCATGTAACACTTTGCTTGGAGACCAAAAAGGGCACTCGCTTGCCGCCCAACGGGGCTCACGACCAGAGATAGGAATTTTCATCTGTCCCGATCAGGCGGACATTTCCGGTCTCCGCCTTCTGCTACCGATGCCCGTCAATTGCTCATATAGAACAGGTAATGGTCTTGACCCGGCTAACAAGCTAGATTCTTGACAGTGTTTCCCTCTAAAGCCTACTCACCTCACGACTTGCTTGCAATATGTCCCTTCCTCACCCTAATCCTATGCCATCTTACTGGCTATCGTTTGCCTCCGATCTCACAAAGCATCGGACTACCGAGTCTCTTCCACAAGAGGTGGACGTAGTGATCATTGGCTCTGGTTTCGCCGGTGCAGCGGCTGCCTATCATATCTTGGAAAAGGATGACGGCAACCGACCATCGACAGTTATCCTCGAGGCCCGCGATGTATGTTCTGGTGCTACAGCGCGGAACGGTGGACATCTCAAGCCGGACTTATACATGAACGCCATCCGGTCAGAGCAGATGTTTGGAGTGCGTGTCGCAGAAGAACTCTCAAGATTTGAGACCCAGCAGGTCATGGATGTCAAGAGGCTGGTGGAGAAGGAACGGATCGACTGTGACTTTGAGCTTACGAGGGCCATTGACGTTTTTGTGGATCGTCGCGTCGCAGAACCGACCATCGCAGCCTTTAGCGACATGAAGGCCAGAGGTTACCGCTTTCCAGATGACCTGCATTTCATTGCGGATCCGAAGAAAGCCGAGCAGGTGTCCGGAGTCAAGGGTGCATTGGCAGCCTTTACCTTCACTGCCGGATCGATCTGGCCGTACAAGATGGTGTCTCACCTTCTCCGTCGCTGCCTGGAGTGGGGTGCCAATCTCCAGGCCAACACTCCCGTTCTGGAGATATCAGAATCCCCTGCCAGCGCTGGCCGATGGATCTTGAACACTCCGCGTGGAGAAATCCGGGCGAAGAAAGTGGTCATCGCGGCCAATGCCTACGTTCCGTTGTTGCTGCCTGAATTGAGTGACAAGATCACTCCGGCAAGAGGGATCGCTTGCAGAATCGCTGTTCCAGAGCATGGGAAGATGGCTCCGCATCTGAACAATTCCTACACCATTCGGTATGGGCCTCAGGAATATGATTACCTGATTTCGAGAACCGACGGCAGCATAATTGTTGGAGGTGCGAAACAGGCTGTCTTGCTCAATGATTCTTACTGGCACAACAATATCGATGACTCCCAACTCATCCCTGGAGCAGCAAAATACTTCGACGGGTACATGCAGCGGATGTTTCACGGCTGGGAAGACTCTGGCGCCAAAGTCACCGATGTCTGGACAGGGGTGATGGGTTATTCTTCCGACTTGATGCCTTGGGTTGGGGAGATCCCCGGGAAACCCAGAGTTTATATCACTGCTGGGTTCACCGGCCATGGCATGCCGCGAATTCTTGGGTGCTCTGCCGCGGTTGCATCATTAGTTCGTGGCGATGTGCGATCCCTGAGCGAGACCCCAATCCCTCCACCTTATTGGATGACCCAAGACCGACTGGAAACGAAGAAGAGTATGACTTGGGAGTACATGGCAGGCTCTCGACCTTTGCTATGATGATGATCGACCTCCTTTAAAAATCCCTTCCGCACGTGACAAATGCGAGGGAGGCAACCAACCTGGGTTCACTTCACGAGCACACACGATTAGGCAACCATTCCAAAGCTGGGTACAAATACAGGCCACACGCCCCTAAGAGACCTGTTTCTTTCTCGTCTCTTCACTCTTCTCTCCACGCCGTCTTGACAAGTGGCCATAACTTGGGGCTGGGCACCGACTCCTTAATCCTTTACCAGAAAACATGGTGCCCACCGTTATTACTATTAACAGCACTGGGCTTATCAGTGCGCCGGCGGAAAGGGCTGCTCTCATTGTCGACGTCATTGATTCGGGGTATGATAAGGATGAAGCATCCACAAATGTGGTCACCACAGTCAACAACCTCCAAGCTGAGATTGACGAATTATGCCCGCGTCTATCCAATGGAGACATATCACCGGAAGCGCCCGTGAGCTTCTATTCAATCGCGTCCCTTTCTACCTCCAGCCGTGACGAGTTCGACAAAGACAACAAAAGAACAGGAAAACAGATCCAAACCGTCTATTCAAAACTAGACATTCGCTTCCGCGACTTTGCCAAGCTGGGTGAGATGGTCGTCCATCTCTCAACAGTAAAGTTCGTGCAACTCAAGGGTGTCACGTGGAAATTGACAGATCAAAACCAATCAATCCTCGGCGAGGAAGCGAGGATGAAAGCGCTTGTCCGAGCCATGAAACGTGCAGAAGAATATGGTCGGGTTATTGGGAGGAACAGCGTCACTGCTGTCAAGATCGAGGATTCGGAGGAGAGCTATCCGAGACCATGCACAAAGCAGACAGCTCGGAAGTCTGCCGCCTCGTGGGCAACTGGTATTGGAGTTGGCATTGATTTTGAGCCTCAAACTATCGATGTCAGCGCTTCCCTTGTCGTTGAATTCCACGCGGAGTAGATGATGGGGACATCTACTTGCAGAAGCTGCAACTCAACCATGCAAAATCGCTCAAATGACTCCCTCATTAAGCCTTTTGAAAGCTCGTGGACACAGAAGCATCTGGTGTCAATCGCGATTACTTTTACACATACGATTTCAATATTCACTGCCCTTGGCTGATACATTTCGTATTCCTTCAAGCAAATTTTTCGTCATGCTCTTTTCAGTCTGATGATTCTTTTCTCTCCCGTCGTCATGTCTTGGGACTGTTCGGGCCAGCTACCAGGCATCACTGTGCCTCCTTGCTGGTATCGTATCGGGACATTGGGCATCCCTTTAACAGCAGCAGACGCAACCCACGCCCTGAGACTGAACTTTATAAAAACCGGCATTTTATCCTGATTCGTTCTGAAGCTTCGGGAGAGGCCATCTTCTTGTTCCACGGAAGAGTCCATTGCCCGTGGCTTGTTCACCGTCTGGTTCGCCTCGTTCAGCAGCGTGAGCCAACACAGTCATTTAACTGCGGCTCCTCGAACTATTGCGCCTGGTACACGTCTTTCTCCTTTATCTTCGCTTCCTCGCACAATTTCTCCTTTTCCGCTTCGTGGTCGATCTCTATCTCTTTTCCTTTCTCGTAGCATGGAGCAGGTATAAATATCTCTAGCCACCGATTGTTCTTATTGTTTTGTTCGGCTAGGAAAACCAAATCGGACAGGTCAGCCGAACTACAAGACGATAATCCGTTATACAAAACGCACCTGATGAATCCTACTCACGAGAAAGAGGTAAGTCACCACTCAATTCTTCCACGAGACAAAGCCTCCCGCAAAGGTCAACGCCACACTGTCGTCCTTGCATCCGGCGAAATGTGCCCTTCCATTACCGTCTGCACAAAATGACATCTATGATCCTAATCTATGCCCTCGCGGGCTACACCTGCTTCCTCACCAACTTGTCAATTTGACGATCACGGATAGGGGTCTTTGCGCAAGAAAACTCATATTTGATACTGCAAACGTGGGCACATCCGACGGGTTCACATGGAGTAGGAGTCAACCTAGTTTGGAAGGAAGGAGAATATTGGCTTGAACCCCTGGCCCGACTCAAAAGGGAGTGGAAGAAGCAGCGCTACGATCGACGGAATAGGATTGCTTTCTGACGAGGCAGCACAAGGACGTCCCTCAAGTAACGGAGCTAGGATAAGGGCAAACGTGTCATTCTCCTACAGCTGGAACAATGCTGTCGCCACGGAGACCGTGGCCCCTAGCATTCTCGATCGCACAGATTCTGCGAACTATACAAGATCAAGTGTGACTTTTCAACCTGAATCTTCTCACTGCGTCGACTCCTGCTAAGGAACTTGCCTGTTTGCACCACCCCAGGACGACAAAATGATCGAAAAAGACAGCAACAACACGACGACGGCATCGATAACTTGTTGGACTACCTGTCCGAGTAGCTGGAGATGCCGGTCTACGTCGGCAAGTCGTATCTCTACTGACTTGTTCCCACCCTTCCGTCTCCTATCTAAGCTAGTGATGCGTGTGTAGGTGAGGAGTTGTTTTCTTTGTTGTGCTTTGGTCAGACTATCTTTCTGAGAACGGATTTCGGTTTCCCCTACTGCGTCACGCCGGTAGCAGGACACTAATAATGGCCTCGAGCACAAAACCTTGGCGTGAGGTCGAGTGCCATGTATCGGACCTTGCATTTTTGTCGTGCCTACAGCATATACACGATATAAATCAATGCTATCACTACGCCCTTCAGGGAAGCGCTTGAACATCCACAACAATATGTTCTATTCCACTTTCTTCGACGGCATGAGATTTCTACAGGATTCCCATCTGTCTTCATACTTCAAGGATATCCTCACCCTGCATTTACAACTTGACCGTCCTGACAATCTTTCTGGCCCAAGGATGAGCGTCTCCTCGATACACGAACCGATCGATTTCTGCCGTGTTGAGCAGGCCTGGATGCGCTTGGCTGAGGCTCGTGATGCCAACCATTTGCATGGCGGTGTCGAGCTCATCCTTCAGGACTGTTTTTTAGGGTGGGGGTCAGTTTCTTGTTCTCCATGTTCTCTCTCATCAACTGATCCGGTGAAGATAGAAGGAGCTCACGTGCTCAAACATGCGAAAAACAAAAGGGAAAAGGAAGGTGGGGAGGGTCAGAAGCTTACTGTCGAATGCTTTCTCCACGCCCTCCTGGCCATAGACGACAGAATACAAAAATGGCCGGCCCAGGCATACGGCACTGGCGCCGAGACAAATGGCCTTGAGCACGTCCGTACCCCGTCGAATGCCGCCGTCGATAAATACCTCCATCTGTTCCAGCACTTCGGGGCAGTTGGCCTGGATCTCGAGCAACGTGAGGATTGATGGTGGTGCAGTGTCCACTGCCCGTCCGCCGTGGTTCGACACGTAGATGCCTTTGCAGCCTGTCTCGAGCGCCTTTCTCGCGTCCGCCGCGCACTGGACGCCCTTGACGAACACGGGGATTTTTGACAGATTAATTAGCCACCTGATATCCGTCCACGTCAGGTCGGGGTCGATATAAGACCCCGTGGCACGTGCGAGACCAGCACCCTTGTTGTCCTTCGGCAGCACCTGTACGTGCGCATTCTTTGAGGGGCGGTAGCTAGCTTCGATCTTGATGCGTTCGTCCGCCTCTCGCTTGCCCACGACAGGTAGATCCACCGTGACGAGGATTGCGCTTGGCTTCAGCGAAATGATCTCTCGTATATGATTCTCCGTTACTCGCCTGTCCTTGTGGAAATAGATCTGGTAGAATTTCGGGTAGTTCGGCGGCATGACGGCCGAGATCTCGGCCAGCGAAAACGATGCATTGTTGCACACGCACATGGTCGTGCCTTTCGTAACAGCAGCTCTTGCCATCGCCAACTCACCGTCGGGATGTGATAGTTTCGCCAGTGCCGCGGGCGACGTGAAGATGGGCATTGAGAACTTCTTGCCTAGCACCGTCGCGCTGGTGTCGACATCCTTCACCCCGACTAGCACTCGCGGCCGGAACATGATCCGTTTATACCAGTCTACATTGTTTGCGAGAGAGATACAATCGTTCGCTGCCCCGGAGATGTACGCCCATGTCTTGCGCGAGAGGACTTTCTCGGCGACATCTTCGAAGTCGTAGACGTTAATGATCGAGTCGAGGGACGGCTTCTCGCTGGGGGCCAAAGGAGGTTGGTCAGCCACAGTTTCGGCTTGTCGAGATTTCCATTCCTCAGTAATGGTTGATTCGTCCAGTTGGCCTTTGTTCTTGGACTGATCTAGATGTTTAGCTGCTAGGCTCGGGCCGTGGACCTCATTGTATGCTCTCGTGGCGTCCTGGCCAAGGAATTGAACAATAACATCGATGCCGCCGGGATGTTTTGGCGCGAATTCTGTCACGTCCCAAACGGTGCCGTTGATGACGATCCAGGCGTCGGTGGGAGTGTTGTGCTTGCTGATTTCCGAGACAGAGAGCTTCGTAGACATGGCCGAGATGGGGAGATAGAGTTGATTCGGGGCTTAGATATATTGTTGTGTTACACGCCGAGAAGGATGATGCTCTGTTAGAGGATGATAAATATCATTGCTCCCAATGGTTCGTTCCGGTGAACGAAAACAGGTTGGCAATAGCAACCACTTTTCTGTGGGGTATAATCATCAGGCTGTGTTGTGTGGGGTTGAGATTGATTTCGGGCTTCTGTGCGGAGAAGACGAATGTATCCGAGGCACGCCCTCAACAAGGCGTCCGAGAAGAAGATGGCTATGCAGCATCAAAAAGTGGGAAATCCTGCATTCCGTCAGCTACACCATTTTTATCTCCAAGAGTAATGAACATCACCGCATCTGGCCTTAGATCAAATGATAATAATTAGAGAGGCAGTGTCCTCTTCCCCTTTTCCGGGCCCACGAAATACATTTCCTGATACTCTCAATTGATTACCTGATATTCGTGCAGCTCCGATAGATAGCTGTAATCATTCCTCTTATGCAGCGCTCGGTTTTCTATACATTTCGTCTTCTGGATTTGGAAACTGCCTGACCTTCCTATGGCTTCATTGTTATGACTGTCAGTGTCAGTGGAGTTGCGTCGCTGGTGGGCACACGGTGAATTCCCACTCGGACAACCAGGTCGAAGACCTGAAGGGTTAATATGGCCGACACGATACAAATGGATTGGATGAATTGAAGGATGCAGAATATGGGATCAGAGGTCGCAACAGTAGAACCAAAAACATGCCGAAGAGTGAACAAATTGTTTCGGCGGTGTCATCGGATTGTATCCACTGCTTTGGTTATTGACGTTTAAACGCGTCAGGAAGAGCCTTGACATCATCAAAAGATTGGTCCACCCAGCTATGGTATGGAATGGGGATTTTTGGTGCCACCGCAGAGCCTTTCATGAGAGCTTCACGAGACCATATGTCCAAGATATGAGGTCGAGAAGGACATCTTTAATTGTGGCCCGAGCAACTCAATGAACGCTCTGTCCCAAGTAAATTAGTCTTGCTGCTGCCGTGGCTTGGGAGCACGTCCTGACAGGAATCATTGCGCTTTGTATGAATTGCTTCTGAAGCTTCCATATCGTCTAATGCAATGGCCACACCACCTCCATCTCGAAATGCACGGTGGAGGAGCAAGGTCGGGACAAAATCTGCCCGCATTGAAACTCTGGAATTGCTGCATCTAGGCACCCACGCCGGTCTGTCCAATCACCAGCCTTGCACGTGGACTGCTGCCTGAATTCTCTTGCACGGTGGGACGCGGCTAGCCTAACATAGCGTAGTGCAAGCGCGAAGGAGACGCGACAGCACGTGATCTGATGCAATCTTCAGCTTGTGGCTTCAATGGGCCGCTGAGGGATGCCAGAGCTTTAGGAGTATTGGCAAAATCTTGAACAGAGGGCGAGAAGGGATATTTAGATGTCCGTTCCCCCTTCTCTTGATCGCTATATCGCAACTCATCAACCTTCGTTGAAACAAACATCCTGTCTTTCTGTAAGTCAACAAAATCACACTCAATCCAATTGAACACCAACCTCCCCCATCAAAATGCCTGTTCATCACATCTCCCTTCCTGTCCCCTTCAGCCAGGTCGATGCCGAAGTGTCCTTCCTCGTCGCCGCCTTTGGCCATATGGACATCAAGGAATTCATGCGTCCGGTTCCTGGCGTCGTCGGGATGGGTGACGACAGGCCCTTTTTGTGGATCGTGGGCCTCGACAAGAAGCATGAACCTGTCCCCGATGATGCCCAGATCACAAGGATCCATCTCGCTTTGTCTGCTAAGGGTATGTGCCCCAGCTCCGTGCTGAGTGCTCTACATGCACTTTCATTCGAAAATAATCCGAGTCTGGACGATTGACAACCGCAATCCCAGACCGCTCCCAAGTCGACGCCTTCCATGCGGCTGCTCTCAAAGCCGGCGGGACCTGCAATGGACCCCCGGGCCTCAGACCAGAGTACCATTCCGATTATTACGGCGCCTTTGTCATCAGTCCTGGCGGCCACAATATCGAAGCTGTTGTGCACGGCCCGCCCGCGGGAGAGAATTGACAGACAGCTACTCTCTGGGTTGGAGGCGAAAGCGGGAGAGGGGAATTTCAAGGAGGGAGAGAGAGCGAGGGCGCTACAATAACGACGAACACTTTCGTAGAGAGCAATTTCGAGACTCGAGGGCCCAGTGAAGGTCTAAGTTTGGAGGCTCTAGCTGGCGGGAGCCGGGGAAGAAGTCGGGGAAGAGGATTCAGGATTGGTGGGATTTATGTCAAGTATTGAAATATGCCAGAGTGGAGCCAATCAAGGGGCATTCTGGGTTTCGATGATAGAATGCGGAAATCATTCGTTTGTCGTATTTGGATCTCCCCGATATTCGTCAACATTCGAAGAATCGTGACAATGCTTCATGGCACGCGCATAGTGTCTCGAGGCTATTGGAAGAAGCTACTTGTCTCGGTGCCACTCTTCTTCCCTTCTTGATACGTTGCGCTTAGCTGATCATACATGTGTTTCACCCTCTGGAGTTCACTTTTCAACGTTGTCTTGGCCTCTGTATCCTCAACCGAATCGATTAAGTCTGCCAGTGATCTCGCCGTGAAGAATTTGTTCTTGCGATTGTACAATGGTTTCGCCGCCAGCGTCTCCTCCGTGTCTCCAGAGGAGGGCACTTGGTATACGGATTGGAGAATGTCGATATCGTCTGCCCCGGTATTAGCCATGGTCTGACGTCCGGGTGCCAGCCACTTACAGGGAATGGCAAAAAGATCTCTGCTATCTTCGTAGGTGAACATATAGTAGAACTCGTTGAATCCCGACCAAGTTATTCCACTCAGGCATAACGAACAAGGCTCATGTGTAGCAAAAAAGATGCAATCTTTGGTTTCGGGCCGTCCATCTCTGGGAAGTTTGAAGAATTGTTGAATGCAATTTATTTCGCCATGTAGCAAAGGTGACTCCCTCTCGTTGTTGGTCTCTGCAATAACGGTGGATAATGATGCCCTGTCGAGAATGGCTGCCCCAAAGAGTTTCGAGCCTTGTGACACTTGTTCAGTGGTGAGCGGGACGATCGATTTCTCAGTAGTAGAAAGAATGGCCGATGCTATTTCTTGCGCTCGCGACATTGTGTCTGTCAGTAATTGCGGTGGCGTTGATGGCGTTTTCCAACAGGAAGTCACATGGATCCTATATATCATACCCACCTCTTACCACTATGCACCCGTAAACTTTTTTTTTTTGTCCCTTTGCTTCCTCTTCATGATGTGATAAGCTTGCAACCAATGAGGAGGTCGGCGGTTGGAATCGTAGGAGGTAGGAGATCGCCGAAGCGCGCCGAGAGCTTAAGTTTCATTTGTCATATCTCCACATTCCTTCGCTTGACTTTTGTGTGGCGTTAAAGTGATATGGTCTGGATCTTTGGAGACTGAATCGCAGGACTTCCAGGCTTAGGTTGTCGAATGAAATAGGTGGACTTCTGGCGAGGACGATATCTTTCAGGTCGCTGCGATGTTATTTTCAGGTGCGAAAACTCCAAGTCGTGAGCGATGAACATCTGACTTCTTTACGTGAGTCCGTAGAATCGATCTATCTGGATGGAGGATGTCATCTCTAATGTCAAGATTTGTCTGAGTCTCATCGAAATGGATAAGGGGCTCTCTGTATTGTGCGACCGCCGGCTGCGTCTCGGGCAAATTCTGCAAGCCGCACGCACAAAAATATCACTAAGGTGCCAGGAAATTTCAAGAACAGCTTTGAGCAAACTGTAAGACTCGTGGTACAACTATCCAGAGTCGGTGCTTCCTTGTCTTCGGCAGGCAAACTCGACCTTCCCATTCAACCCACCGGACCTGATGGACATGGGGATCGTCTATTCTATCGAACTCTGCATTCACAGGGAATGCCTCGCCATCTGACCCGATAATTACCAGCCTCGATAGCGTCTTTCACACCTCCAACACATTGCCAATCAGACAGACCTAATACCCGCTGCCGTCACATACACTGCTATATTCAGCCATGGGAGATGGTATTCGCCTTCCGAAGAAAGCCAAGCCTGGAATAGGAATATGGATAGGTGCTGGGACAACTGGACTGACTTCTCTGGCTGCGCTCTTACTCTGAATAACGAGGTGGCAAAAGAACAACGAGGATGCGTCTGTCCAATCTCAACAACAACAACAGGAGGTGATGCAACCGGAGCCGTCGACAAATGGACTCTCGACGCAACATCACCAACGATTGATGCAGAGCTAGAAGGGAGTTCGGGGCAAGAAGAACCAAATGCGGGACCCAACGATGAGACCACATCGTCACAGACTCGTCAAGAACCGTGCGAGCTATGTAATCCGACCATTTTCAGAGCTTCATTCTACCGATCGCAATCGAAGAGATGAGCAATGATTGACGTTGATCACACCTAATTGCCTTCCGCATCAGTCCGTCTGGGAAGCGATTCACCAAAATATTATCTATTTTCACAACCGAGGCTGCATTGACGTCGATCCAGAGGCGCTTCTCTGCTCTTGAAGGCAAGGAGGAGGCCAATTTTGATCAACCTGTGATTGGTCAGTCCCTATCCTCAACAATCCGAGCTCATGCTCTCACTTACATCTTTCTCAACCTGATAACCCAATAGTCTCGGAGCAAGTCCTGAATCTCTCCAAGCCAAAGCTTCTCCTTCCTCCTTTGCAGCCATCTTCCGATCTCTCTCTACTTGTTCCGGCCCGTCGTGCAAATGGTATAGGTATTGCTGCACATTTCCTCTTTCCACCACGGACTCGGTCCTCAACTTTCGACATCTCTCATAGATATCAAGCAATTGCTTCTTGACTTCTGGGATCTTGGGGTTAGGTGCTCGGGAGAATACTTCACCCAACACCGCGGCGTCTTCGAGACACATTCCGGCCCCTGAAGCGAGATAAGGTAATGTTGCATGCACGGCGTCTCCGAGCATTGTGAATGTACCAGAAGGATGACTCCAGCGGTCCATGCCCACCCTTACCTGGAGTCTCCATTTGTATACACTTTCGCACAGGGCCAGAAGTTTGGGTATTCGAGGGTCCCAGTCTTTATACATAGCTCGCATTTCCTCCACGTTGCCTTCCAATGTGTTTGCGCCACCGACGGGCATGTCATCCGGAACAAGGAGAACCATATTGAACAACTTCCCGCCACGCAAGACGTAGTTTACGGCATGAGCATCCGGTCCAAGCCAATAATTCACCTGCGGTTCGTTGACAAAAGGTGCTAGTTCGGGATCTTTGAGCATTTCTGCAGTTGATAACAGGAGGCGGTAGGCCAGGTCCCCTGTCGGTGTGGGCGGATCAGGTCTTCCCAGGAATATTTCGCGGAGCTGTGAATTGATCCCATCGGCGCCCACTACGAGGTCTGTCACATACTCTTCCCCGGTCTGTAGAACCACCGTGGCAGTCTCAGCCTCGTCACTCGCGATTCGTACATCTACGACCCTCGATCGGACTTTGATCTTAACACCTAATTCCACAGCCCGATCCAACAAGCACCGATGCAGATTTGCTCGGTGGAAATCCCAGTAAAATGTTCCTGGATATGCACTGGCGCTTTCATTCGTATCCATGTACGAAATCAAATTGCCTTTCCAGCCGAGCATGTTGACGCGCGAGGGTTTCGTGGCGAATTCTTCCAGGCGCTCTCTCATACCCCACGACTGAAGTACCCTTGAGGAATTGGGCAGGACTTGGATTCCTGCGCCAACTTCGCCGATTTCAGAAGCGGCCTCGAAGATCGTGACATGGTGCCCGGCCAGAAGGAGCGCGATTGCGGCACCAACACCACCCAGGCCTGCTCCGACGACGGTGATGTTCAGTCGCGTTGAAGCATCGCGGTTGAGCGGCATTTTGACGGGGATGGGCGACATTGTGAGATAGGAAGGATTTGGTCTCTTGAAGAGTCAGGTGTCAATGACAACTCGGCGTCAGTTATAAACTTCACAACGCTCGTGAAGCCGTACGATCGAGATTCGTCATCAATTTGCCCTCGTGGTAATCCGTGGCCGAAAGAGCCAAGAATATGAGGCTTTAGGTCTGGTAAACACCCAATTCTCGGTGGTGCTGGTGATGCGTACTTTGCTATATGAAGACGTCAACTTGAAGCACACTCAACAAATGCCGTCAACAACCGACCGTTTCTTCCACAGCGTCTCGCAACAACGGCTTTTAACATCTCGCACCCGAAACCCAGAAGGCTGGTGTCGATCGATCGAGACCTTTAGTGCATCATTCTTAGTAGCGAGCTGCTTTTCTCACGCGCGCCACTAACCTTGACCCGAACCACTGAAAAAAACGATTGATAGATAGATGATGTACTTTGCTCATCGCAAAAGGACCACAAGCATGCATGTGGCATTTTCCCAGCTCTCATGCCACTGCGATGGGCGCCAGTGCTGCGTCTAGTAATCCTGACATGTGGGCCCTGGATCAAAAGTGGGGGGAATAAAAGATGGGGGGGCTTTTTTGGGGGGGGAGGGGTTTGAAAGGAGGGAGATGTTTCCCGCCTTACTGAACGATGTAGACTGTACTACCGGAGCTGGTAGCGATGGCGATGGGTGATTTTGCTGAGGCTCTCGTTAACTGGAATGTTGGCGGTTGTCATTTGAATTATCCAGACTTAAGACCACTAGGAGAAATTGGCAGATGGACAGGAGACAGCCTATGGGTTGTATCGACGATGTTATTGAATATTGCAAACGAAGCATCTACAAAGTCATGAAGAGTAATGTCTTCCCAAAATTCATTAAGGAACTGTATCAGGTCTCTGGTCATCTTGAACAGCATAAAGTCACGGATAGATATATGATTCAGTTCAAAGCAGGCTTCTTCAAAATTTCACCCGCTGGAGCCGGTAGCAATGCGCCTTCAGGCGGCGTGTTCTTACTCTTGAAGTCATCGCACATCTGTTCCATAGTCACCCATTCAACCCCCTCGTGCTGGTTGATATACTCGATAATCCTGCGCAGTGGCGTCAACATCTCTGGTCCAACGTGTGTGAGGGCCGGGCTTTGCTTACCGTTCATGCATCAGCACCACATGTGGTCGGCCAGAGACATCCGGATGAATCGTCATCGGGAAGATGAATTCGTCATACTCTCGGTAGTAATAGTCAAAATGGTCCTGGAACATAGTCAGCCTTAGTTCTGAAATCTGGATTGAGATTGCCTACCTTCCAAATTTGTTCTATGTCGCGTGGATTCACCCAGCCATGGCTATTCGCCGAGTTCTTCATGAACATCATGGGTGGCAGATCATCAATGTACCATGAACCAGGTATTTCGACCAATCCCGTCGTCTTTCCTCTGACCAAAGGCTTCATCCACTCGGCGGCTTTCTTCGTATAGTCGATTTTGGTCCACGTGTCGCCTGTCCGAAGCCAATACATTTGACAGTCTTCATGGCCCATGCTGTGGTCGTATTCGATACCGTAACTCAGTAGAAGTTCGGTGCCAGCCTCACTGACTTCCCACCATGGAGCCACACTCCCTCGAGGTGGCTTTCCACAGAAGTCGGTCAGGAGCCGGAAAGTTTTGTCCAGAACGTCCCGTTGTTGTTCAAAACTCATGTCAGATGGGTTTTCATGAGAGTAGCCGTGGAGACCGATTTCATGGCCTGCATCGCGGACCATGGCACATTCTTCTGGGAACGTCTCCAAAGAATGACCGGGAATGAACCATGTGGCTTTGATATTGTACTTGTCGAATAGTTTCAAAAGCCGGCGTGTTCCATGTGTTCCAGCGAAGAGACCTCTGCGAATGAATATCAAATGAATTGAACATTTGATGTTGGTTCTTACCTCTGCTGATGTCGCTCGTGGAGTCTTCACCACCGTACGATCCCAACCATCCTGCAACAGCATCGATGTCCACCCCGTAGCTGACAAGAACACGCTTCTTTCCCATTGTGGCTAATTCAAGCAGGATTCTTCACGTCAAGAATTTTACTCCGAAGGTAATTTCCTTGGTGATGCCTTGCTCGTAGAATCGTAAACATAAAATTTTGGCTGATATTGTCGATGGCCAGCTGCTCAACGATAAGGGAATCGATGCTAGCATTTTGATAGGTCTTGCAAGCTTAGTGGGACCAAGCTGGTACCTGCATGAGGCGTCGCGTAGCGGCCATTCCTTCAAAGCCCCTGCCAGATCCACCGATAAGAACCGTGGAAAGGTCATCGGCATTTGATCAAATGGCAGTCAGAAGTGGGAGTTTGCGACAGAACGGACTTGAGCGATGTTCGAGAAATCTTGGAGGTGGGTCTATGTCTGGGGTGTGTATTTGGCGTCTAGGCTCAAAGGCCCCGACATCTAACGAAACTTTCGCTAGGCTGTTAATTGTGTATGAATATTACACAATCGGTCGCATGTTGTCAAGAATGGGGTGGGGGGGGGGGGGGGGGGGGGGGAGGGGGTCATCGAGATGAGTGTACGATGAGGACATTGCAACTACAGTAACAACAAGAATGCGGATGGGGGGGGGGGGGGGGTTTGGGGTTTGAGCGTTGAATCAATCGTTGGGATTCGTGAAGCCTCACTAGCCCTCACCAGCCCTCACCGGGTGGACCTTCAACGAGCTCAACGTGGAAGGAGTTGTCTAAGCGGCCGTAGTGTAATTTACTTTTGACATCAGAATAGATCTCCTAGACATCCTTCATCGTGTGTGTTCCTTGGGACCAATTCTTTTCGAAAACGAGACTACCCCTAGGGAGATAGCCTTGCACGTGATATCATTATGAGTAGAGTGAGTGTTGGGCCCCTGTAGTGGTCAGGGAACCGTCATCTTACTCTTATCATAGTTTTCCCTCAAAGGTCGTACAGCGCTTGTGACTGGAGGAGCAAGAGGCTGTGGCCTTGCATTTGTCGAGGGCCTGGCAGAAGCCGGTGCGGACGTGGCCATCTTTGACGTGATAGCTCCTGTCGAAGCATTCTTTGCCATTGAAAAGACATATAATGTCAAGACCAAACACTATAAGTCGGTAAATCGTCCGGGTGGCGTCTATTGGCCAAACTCACGTGTACCTTAGGGTCGATGTCAGCAGCATTGACAGTCTGACCCAAGGCTTCGCGGCCTTCAAAGCCGATTTCGGGAACAAGCTGGACATTTGCGTGCCATGTGCGGGAATTAACAAAAATCTTGCCTTCCTGGAAACTTCATTCGAAGAACACCAGAAACTACTAAGCGTGAATGTCCTCGGCGTATACCACACTGCTCAGATGGCCGCAAAGCAGATGATCGAAAATGGAACCAAGAGCGGTAGTATCATTCTTGTGGCAAGTATTGCAAGCTACATGGCCATCCGGAGTCAGATGAGCAGTGCATATTGTGGCACAAAAGGGGCAGTCAGAGCTATGTGTCCGGCTATCGCAGCTGAGTTGGTTCAATACGTTCGTGTACTAACGATCTTGGTCGTCTTGATATCTGCTTACATTCCTATTTCAGAGCATCAGGGTCAACTCTATCTCCCCGGGTTATGTGAGAACCGAAATGACTACGCCGGTGAGCCATTTTCTCCTCGTTTATTCCTTCAGCTGACTATCTAGTTTCCTCATCTGCTGGAAAGCTGGAAGGACGAGATCATGAATCGACGGGTAGCAATGCCAGATGATATCAGAGGTGCATGTGTCTTTTTGGCCAGTGACGCCAGTTTGTACATGACCGGGCAAGACTTATGTGTTGATGGAGGTGTGACCAAATGGTAGACTCGATGGGGATCATCCATTCAATCAAATTCAAGCCCTCATGATCTGGTTTATTACAGAGGCAACTCCTAGCACCTTCTCTTCTTCAAATCGCCGTCCTACAATCTGTAGTCCAACTGGGTGATCATCCATCGTCACTGGATCATACAGCTTCCAATTCCATGCATCGTAGTCATTCCGAGGCTGGTACTCTGGTGGGGCAATATCCTTTGAGGCTATCACTTGTCCGGCAGGAAATGAGAGGGCTGTATAGTCCAAGAAGTTCCATACTTTGGTGTAACCGACCCATCGGCACGTCCTATGTGGCACTGCAGTGTGAGGCATTGTAGGCATGAGGACGACGTCCACAGATCGCCCAGTCATCGGACTTTTAATGGTATTCCATTTCTCGTTATATGCTTTCTGTGCCGCAAGTTTTCGCTTGTTGAGTTGCCAGTATTCATAGACAGAGATCGGCGAGCCTCGATTTATCAAAGCCTCAACGTGAGGGATGAATGGTTCTCCTCCTGCTTGGACTTCTCGACGAATATCTTCACCTCCATCGGCGGTGTAGAAAAGATCCTTGTGCTTCGGTGAGATGGATTATTCAAGGCAGGCGTGGAGCTACTCACCATGATTTCAATGCATTCTCTGTGTCCAGATGCGTCCCATGGGACGATTTCATGTCCTGCCGCCTTTAACTTTGATTCTAGCTCTCTCAGCACCCTTTCAATAGGTGGATGAACTTTCACTACCCCATCGTCGAAGAGCACGCCTATTGTCAATGGCCTTTGATGAACTTCCTCGTAGACATCCTGCCGCCAGGGAATAGGAACAACCTTGGGATCGAATATCCAAGCCTTCATTTCGATCACCTGTTGCATGACCGTGGTAAGAGACGACAGGCTCCTTGTTAAAGGACCCACTGATGATGGGACATGTTCTTGCCCTTCTGTAGATACTGGAACTCCTTGATATGGTAATCTAGAGCTCTGACACGGGAGGTGAGTCAGTGAATCTTGACAGGCAGAAGTGTTGCGTACAGTTGGTTTCAAACCCCACAGGCCATTCATATGGCTTGGTATTCGTATTGATCCTCCAATGTCGGTACCCCATCCAATCATCGACGCTTGAAGGGCAAGCAATACACCTTCGCCCCCTGATGAACCACCGGGAGTGAAGTCGGGATTTCGGGGATTTGTTGTCAGTCCCCATAGCGGATTTTCCGTCTCACACCACTGTGAATGTCAGCTTGCAGTTTACAAAAGAGGTGGGGAGATGCAGGCCATTATACTCTGAGGGAGATTGGTCTTTGCTAGAATGACAGCGCCCAAGTCTCTCAGTATGTGAACGAGAACAGCGTCTTTGTCGGCGGGGCTGAAAGCCCTCGACACGTAGCCCATTGTTGAATCAGCGCCAGCGACGTCGAATTGATCCTTTAGTGTCACAGGAATGCCGTGCAGAGGTCCAATCAATTTGCCATGTCGATGATAATAATCATCGAGTCTGTCGGCCTCTTTGATGGCATCATCGAAGAAGACTTCCGTCAAGCAGTTGGTCTATAAATGTTCGTCAGCACAACATTGAAGTCTTTCTGATTGGAGCTTTGGACCATCTGATGTGCCTCTGCGGCTCTGGATCGATCCCAGTTAGTCAGTGATAGATGAGCAGGGTAATTCCATTCATTCGGATACCTTCGGATATAGCTGAGCGTGATATCGTGCGCTTTCACTTTCCCGCTTGCGAGGAGACTGGTCAAGCATTCCACGTTGTCTATGTTGAGGACTGCCACTGCCGTTTCTCTTTCGCCATTGGTCTTGTCCAGGTAAGGCTCAACCAGGCGCTGACGTGTCTCGCACTTCTCTCGTACAATTTCCTCCCAGGATCTTTTCGCCATTTGTCTCGATAAAATCGCCCCCCGTCCTCGATAAACCCGTTTGCTGGCTCTGCTGAGCTCCTGAAATGTGTTCAGGGTTGCAACTCAACCTCCCATCTCCATCACGGTCTTCTGCCTGATGGTGCTACGAAAATGTTGTCCAATTTTCCGGACATTGACGTGTTCGTACAATCGTACAGGGCAGGGAGGTTGCAGTGATGTAATTGGTGGTGGCCAAGTCCGTCTTTATTAGCTTTCGCGAGCCTGTTACCTCTGGCTGAGAATTTCGCAACTATTGTACAGCGCTCGCTTGACGCAAGAGTGGGGGTTCCCGCTTGTTCTAACACCACATCGGCTGTGATTCACATCAGTCACCAGCCTGCCTCAATGCCTTGAATTGTTGGGTTTTCATGTCGGCGGTCACCTGACATCTCCCCTTCGTCGGTTGAGCAGCCCTAGTCTTTAAGGGGGGCCGCTATAAGCACTGGAAGGCCTGACCTGAACGATTTCATTAGGCACTCTCTGCTAATGAAGCGTACCCGATCTCAAGTGTCGCCGACGATGTCTCCCGGCGTTGATAATGAAGGATTTGATACCAGTGTCAACGGTCATAATGCCAATGGCATCAATGACTATATCGAAGATGCTGTTATCGTCGGCGCTGGGCCAGCTGGGTTGATGATGGGGTAAGCATTTATTTCGACTACTATTGGTTAACAAGTATCAAGAGGATTTCTGTTATTCGGGATGCTAATTGATTTACAGCTGCACCCTAGCGCGGTATGGTATCAAGGCAAGGATTGTGGATGACAGAGATGATAAAACGGCGACTGGACGAGCGGATGGTCTCCAGCCAAAGACCATTGAGACATTCCGCCAGTTAAAATTGGCTGATTCTCTCCTTCAGAAGGGCGTCAAGATTTACGACATATGTTTCTGGGTATGTCTAGCGCTCTTCCTCTTTTTGGGAACGAAACCCTACCAGATTTCGGCGAGATTTGGATTTGAGGAGGTCATGACTTTCGTCTTCAATATATGCTAATCCACACATTTTCAGGCCTCAACGGTGACAGAACCATTACACAGAATTCGGAGGGAGATACACTATCCGTCTCAAGTGGATGTCAAAGACCCATTCATTCTCCTTGTCCATCAAGGAATGGTCGAAGATGCTTTCATCGAGGACATGAAGGAGCGAGGAATTGAGGTCATGAGGAGTTCTCCCTTTTTACGCTACACATTGGAACAGGATTCCAATGTACCCATCGACGTCATCTGCGAGAATAAGAGGACTGGTTCTCAGTGCTCATTCAAAACCAAATATTTGATCGGCTGCGACGGTGCTCATTCGAATGTTCGAAAGAGCATACCCGGAGCAGAGATGGTTGGGGAGAGTAGCAATTCCAAATGGGGAGTTCTTGACGGTATGAACCCAGAGATTTCTCATGTTGAGTTTTTTTTTTTTTTTTTTTGGACTAACGCCCGTAAAAAGGCGTTATTGAAACGGATTTCCCTGATCTCTGGAGTAAAGTTGTCGTTCATTCCGAGACCGCAGGAACTGTGCTGTGCATTCCACGAGAGCGGAATATGACCAGGCTGTACATCGAATTGGACCGATCACTACAGGACAGTGTACCTGCCCAAGCCACGCAGGAGTTGGTGATGAGAAAGGCACAAGAAATCATGGCTCCATTTTCGGTGACTTGGGCCAGTGTTGGTAAGCTCAAAGTTCTTCAAGTCGCTTTTCAGGGATATTGACCCTTATCTTTCCAGAATGGTTCAGCGTATACAAAGTCGGGCAAAGAGTAGCCAGCACATTCGTGGATGAGACTGAAAGGGTTTTTATTACAGGGGACGTAAGAAGTTTTCAAAATTTGGACCATACCACACGACTGACCCATCCAGGCTGGCCATACTCATTCACCAAAAGCTGCTCAAGGAATGAACACCTCCATGCACGACACTTTCAACCTATCATGGAAACTGAACCTTGCCATCCGTGGACTTGCCATGCCAGCGTTGGTTTCAACGTACCAAAGCGAACGACGCAAGATTGCACAAGACTTGATCAGTTTTGACTTTGAACACGCCGCTGCGTTCACAGACGGCGATTCCAAAGCTCTGGCGGAGAATTTTGCAACCAACATCGGATTCATATCCGGTGTTGGAGTCAAGTATGCGGCTAACGTTTTGAATCTTCCCGAGAAAATCCCCCGAGGGATTTTGCGCCCTGGAGAACTCATGGTACCAGCCACAGTGACACGGTACATCGATGCCAATCCAGTGGAAGTACAATTCGATATTCCCATGCTAGGCCAATTCCGAGTCTACTTCTTCGTTCCCAATATCCACACATCTTCCAATTTCCTGAAAACAGTGTCCAGCTACATCGCCTCAACAGACTCGGTAATGGGACGCGCCACAATCGCAGCTGCCCAATCCTACGCGAAGCTGAATCTTCCTCCTGTCGAAGCCGACGATTTCATTCAGCCAGGACGGTACACTGCAGCTTCGCAACTGTTCACATTTGCCACCGTGACAACTATGGAGAAATCGACCGTCGAAGTTTCACATCTGCCGAGCTTGCTGCGGAAGAGCAAATGGACATTCTATATCGATGATCGGGTGGATCCGAAAACAGGGACGAGCTGCATGGAGAAGTGGCTTGGTGGGGTTGCGGGAGACGAGGTTGCGATTGTGAATATTAGACCGGATGGATACGTGGGGAGTATCGGACGGTTTGATTCGAAAAGCGATAGCGTTGCGGCTTGTGCATGGCTGGACTCATACTATGGGGGCTTTTTGCAAGCGTAGATCGAGGTAGCCACCAAATATAGACAGGAGAAATTTCATGCTGGAGTACTTTTCCATAGAGGTATGCTCCGGAAAATCGATGACCTCAATGTTGATTGCAGCAGTAATAATGGTGATTCTTCAGTATAGTTCTGGCAACGTGTCCTTACAGGTTGATCGTGGAAAGGATTCCTGGTAATCGAATAATCGCTACTCTCGATGCCGCTGTGGTGCGACTCTTGACTGCATGAAAGATGCAGCCAAGCGGTGCCCTGCTAGCTCATCCAACTCCGCCATGGAGCCTCCAAGCTATTACCATCTCTCCGGGTAGGTCGTGTGATTTCTGCAAAGAGTGAATCCATAGCCGAACGCTTCCTAAGCAGCTCCCTAAGACTCAGTCACTCAGTCCCGGAGGGCATTCTGTTGAAGCTACCGAAAGAGGAATAATTGCGAGAATCACCTGCACCCCGGGTGTGCCACAATTGATCCGTTCCCAAATTCCTCGCCCTTACCCGGGGGGTTTCAGTATATGTCTACAGGAAAGCTTATGAAATCTCCGTAGTTGATACATTGCGTATTGTCAGCGTTGTCGGCTATGTACTGTGCGGGGCACTTAAAGATACTGACACCGGTGCAGTCAGGACCGTCGTAAATGGTCACCGCGTGTCCTCCATGACCCAGGAATCATAGGCTGAGTAGGTCAACGGGTGACACCGCTATGATCTTTACAGTCAATGGCTCCTTCACCAGTCCAGGACCCTTGTGGAAGGCCTTTTTCTTGGCCTCAGGCACCTCCTTCCCAACGTCTGAATGGTGCATCTGCCAGCTACCATCGGATACGCGTAAGTAGGATTGAGCTGAAGACGAGGATGAGAGACTTTATATTTGCAAAGAGTCTTGGACGAAGTGGATGGAGTAGGCTTTTCTGGAAAGGTTTATACAGTGTTCTTATGCAGAGCAGCAGAAGTTGTAAAGACCATTATTATTCCGAGTTCATTAGCTTCAGCCTATCTCGGATTTATATATTTATGCATCAGACCAGAAGCAGCACGTTTCTGTCAGCTTCATGTATGGTCAGGGTTTACTTCTCGCAACAGCTGATGATCTCCCTGAAAGAGTGTCATCTTGGTACCGCCATATGCTAAAGAATGTTATGGTACATCTAGTGGGGGGCCTTAGGTTGTGCCTAATCATTAAGATCTGCTCAAAGTTGCGAGCACCCACGAGTAGAAAATAGCAATGGTAAATGTGGGGCTGAAACTGTGGGGAATCCATGCTCCGACCAGATGATGATGACATCATGTGATACTACGCGACGGTGGACCTTGCGGACAGATAGGCATTCTCCACGCTACGTAGCATCTAACCAGAAACCCCTTGGCCGTCCCCGGCACCTACATAACAATATATGGCGGCAATTCATGTCGAGTGTTGGCTGACCTCACTTTCACCGGAGCATCTGCAGAGTTATTGCGGAGTGAGAACCACGTAGTAAGGTCGGCCTAGTTAGCTGAACTGGATCGACCTCAGCAGAAACTCTGGCTTTGCATTTCTGAGCAGATCGAGACCGAGCATGAAATCCCCTTTGCTTACCACTTGTCTCCACTGGTGTAACCTGGAAGACCAGTCTGTTGTATCCAGGATAGAGCCGACTCGCCTTCCACCATGTCAGCAAAGGGAAATTGAAAGATGGCAATCTTTAGATTTACCTGTGACTCCGTCTGTTGTACTGGATGGCAAGGCACTTTCGTGTGATATATAGATATTGAACAGATTCCGTTGCTTCCTATTTCTTACCCTCCTCCTGTTATGGACCTGAGGAGACCTGAGAGACTCATATTTTGAATCCAATCATCTTTCCTCGCAAACGAGGAGGAAATTGAAAGGAGGAGGTTTGAATTTTCCTATCGGCTCAGCAGGACCTGATGGCACTTGCTGCACCGCTCTCCGCGTGATAGATTTCCAGCCTTGCGACCACCGCTAGTGTCCATGTTCGAATGACGGTCTGTATCCAGGAGGAACGTGAGGGCTGTCCGATTTCGAGCCCTGGAATGGTCTACCACTTACTAGTACCTGGGAATACGGGTGGGATGGATCTTCCGCGTATGATCTTTTAAGTGCTACAATTGGATAAGTCTGGCGGGCCTTACAGCGTCAGCAGCAGATGCAGACAACTTTGTTCTCGCCTTAATCAATATCCTCTCCAATCAAGAGAAGCACAGCATGACGAGCGACTCGTAGCAATTCGGAGCATGTTCGCCAGGCCACCTGTTTCGTCATACTGGCTTGTTTTAAGTTGGGATAACTCTCCTAAGGCTGGTGTCGAATTGGGCGATGTGGACATCCACGCAACCTCTTGACCTTTCGTGCAAATGGCAAACTGTTCCAACAAAATCAAAAAGAAACCCTCGTTGCGTGAATCCTTCAGCGAATTTTCAGAGTTGATCCACCCCAAACGGAAAATCCCTGCTTATTCCATCTATTGCTACATATATGTTTTTGACCCTATCGATTAGCGCAGGGTGATGACATCCTAGCAGGCACCATACGTACTCGCAGTGCCCTTACATCCGGGACGCAAATATCACCTGTTCAATTCCTAACTTTGAACAAAACGCCTACGAATCTTGACACAAGCAAGCGTCTTCCTTTATGTGAGGTATTCCACATTGTCTTCACCTTTATCTTGATATTACCCGCCTAATCATGCCCTCGGAGGGAAAACCCGCCTATGGACGGAGGCTGATGCCTTCGGTCCTTGACGAGCTTGCAAAGAAAAATCCTAATAGACTCTACGCCGCCATTCCCAAGACCACGAACGTTACGGAGGGATTTCGCGACGTCACAGTAGCAGATATTGCCCGATGTGCCAATTTCATGGCTCAACGGATTGAACGCCGATTCGGTCGAAGTGAACGCTTCGAGACTCTTAGCTATATCGGCATACCTGATCTTCGAGGTGCCATCATCTTCCAAGCAGCGGTAAAATGCGGATACAAGGTCTAGTTGCCTCTGTTTTCCCGCCGGCCTACGCTTATATGTGCATAGCTTCTACTTCCGTCCCCCCGCAATCCACCCTCGACCAATATATCGTTGATGAACCAGACAGCAAGTACGAAACTACTGCACACCGTCGAAGTTGCTCCTATAGTCAAGCAGTTGCAGGACCTCGAGCCGGGTATTCGTAATGAAGTGATTCCCTCGTTCGAGGAGATGATGAACAGCACCCCGGAACATTATCCCTATGAGAAGGGTTTTGATGAGGCCAGAAACGACCCGGTTGTGGTGCTACACTCCTCTGGGTCCACTGGTGAGGCTCTGGATATGGACTCCGGGGCAATGAGACCAAGCTAATGGGAAGCAGGGCTTCCGAAGCCAATCACCATGACACACGGTTCATTTGCGGTGCTTGACAACACGCACAACTTGCCGGAGGTTTCCGGTCGCAAGAAGAGGGATTGGTCGATGTGGACCTTTGACGGTGAGGCGCGAGTGTACACTATCTTTCCATTCTTCCATGTGAGCATTCCCCTACTTTCGTACTTTTCTTTGCGAAACCCAACGGCTAATCTGTGGCGTAGCTGGCAGGGTTCCTGTCCCTTACTCGTAAGTGATAAAGACTGGACATCTTCTGAGACTACTACTAACAGGTCTAAGTGCAAACGATCTTCATGAACGCTTCTCCGGTATTGGGGCCCCCGCACATGATTCCGGACGGTCCTCTCTTGAAGGGTGTAATGTTCCACCAGAAGCTCCGATCAATATTCCTACCACCCGCTGTTATCGAGCAGCTCCTCCACGAACCGGACGGCATCCAATTTTTCAAAGATCTAGAGTTCCTCGTCTATAGCGGTGCTCCATTCAACCCCGTAATCGGAGATCAACTCTCGAAAGTCGTGGAGCTAGTTTCCCCCTTTGGTTCCACGGAGGTTTTCCCTCAGCCGGAGCTCGCTGTGGCTCGCGAGGATTGGGCATGGCACGAGTTCAATCCTCACATCAAGCATGAGATGCAGGTGTACGACCCTGCAGAAGGTACGTTCGAATTAGTTATTTATGCCGATGAGAGCACCCAGGACACGGCAGCCGCATATCACAACTTACCCGGCGTTACGGAATATCGGACTAAGGACCTATTCACGCAACACCCCGAGAAGCCCCGGCTCTTCAAGTATTATGGGCGAAGAGATGATATCATTGTCCTGGCCAATGGCGAAAAGTTCAACCCCATTCCGCTGGAGGTTAATGTTCAGGACCATCCGTCTCTCAAGGGCGCCTTCGTGGTCGGCAACGGCAGAACGCAAGGAACCCTGCTTGTGGAGCCGAAAGAGCCCGCCGATGAAGCTGGGCGAACTAAGTTGCTGGAAGAGCTCTGGCCACTTATCGAGAAGTCCAACTCCCTCGTTGCCGGCCAGGGGCGTATACATCGTGGCAAGGTCATTTGCGCTCTCCCCGAGAAGCCTTTTACTCGGACCAGTAAAGGAACCATAGTGCGCAAACTTACAGAGGAGGCCTACAAAGATGAGATTGAGGAGCTGTACTCGGGCCGATCATCGCAAGAGAGGATCGTGTGTGTGAGTTTGAAACCGAGCCTGAAGCCCGTCTACGAGCTCTCCACAATTGTCGATTTCTTGCGAAATATTCTGGCCGCATCATTCGCCGCAGGAGCCACTATAGGTGAAGACGAGGACTTTTTTGCCTACGGCCTGGATTCGGTACAGACATTGGAGATTGTGTCACACTTGAAGCGCAATCTCGAAACCCAGACTTCGAGGTCCATGGCGTGGATTTCCCCACGGTCTATTTTCCGGCACTCAAGTATTGCCGATCTCGCTCGCTTGCTTAAAGCGTTTCTCGATGAGGGCACAGTCCCCGAGGAGGACTCTGACCTTGCGCGGGCTCGCGAGGTAGATGAGATCGTGGCGAAATATGTGAAGACATTGCCCAAAAAGCCAGCATCGCAGACTGCGCAGTCGTCAAAAATGTCGGCAGTAGCCCTGATCGGCTCCACAGGCTATTTAGGTTCACACGTTGTTGCCAACCTTTTGAAGAATTCTGACGTTTCTCGTGTCTACTGCCTGAATCGAGCAGGTGATGCACAAAAGAGGCAAGAGATAGCCCTTAACCAGCTTGACGAGAGCGTACGGCCACTTTTACACAAACTGGAGTACATGACCGTCAAGCTTGGGCAGCCATCTTTTGGGCTTGCTAGGCACGAGTACGGCAAGATTGCCAACGAAGTGGACGTCATTGTCTACAACTCATGGCGACTCGACTTTGGACTCGCCATCCGATCGTTTAGTCCATTCTTGCGTACGACACGAGATCTGGTGGATCTTGCCGCTGCTGGCAATCGCACCATGCGCATCGTCTTCGTCAGTTCGGTATCCTCGGTGGGGAGTATGGCCAAGAAGACCACGGTACCCGAAGCTCCCGTTCAAGACCCCCTGGCTGCGTTCAACTTTGGCTACGCGCAATCGAAACTCGCTGCTGAACAGATTCTCACATCTGCGAGCCAACATTCTGGTGTTTCTGTGTCAATTGTTCGTCTTTGCCAAGTAGGAGGCCCTGCGAGTGGGAATACCAGCAAGTGGGCCGATCAACCTTGGATCTCTGCTCTTGCAAGAACTGCAAAGACACTGAAACTTATACCCAGCAACGTCGCATCGATTGATTGGGTTCCAGTCGACACTATTGCCTCCATGTTGCAAGATTTTATTCTTCACCCGGCCAGCAGAGAGTGCCAATTTTATCATATCCGCCATCCCAGACCCGAATCCTGGGAACTACTTGTCAGCATCTTACGCGAGACATTCGGCGTTACAGAAACAGTTCCATTGCGGGAATGGGTCAAGAAGCTACGAGACATTACGGATCCAAATGCCGAAGACCTTGCTAAGATGCCGGCGTTGAAGATGTTAGACTTCTACGAGGCGCTTGGTGATGGAATAGATGGTACGGCTTACGCGATAGACCATGCTTTAAGCGGTTCTCAAGTCAAGTTCCCTACTGTGGATAAGCAAATGTTGGAAAGCTGGCTCCAGGGCTGGAATTTGAAGGCTTGACCGTGTTCCCCGTTATTCAGTTAAATTCCTAGGCAGAAACAGCGGCCGGTGCCGCCGAAACTGTCGCGGCGACAGTCTTCTTGAACTCATCCGCCGCGCCATAGCTCTTCTTATAACTTCCCAGAATAGCTCCTTCCACGGTGATCGGGGGGTATTTGGGCGCTTCGCCTTCCTTGCGGCAGTTTGGCAAGCATTCAATCACGTAGTCGGGATTGCCGCTATAGAAAAATGGGATTGAGTATCGTTCTTTGCCAGACTTGTTGATGACGCGGTGCAGATTGGAGATATACTTGTCATTGGACCTAGATTCGTAAAAATTTAGTGACACTAGTATCGCATATGCTGTTAGTGATATCATCTTTACCATCTCATGAACATGTTCCCTAGATTCACGACGTATGCTCCCTTGGTAGGCACCACCTGGATTTAGCCGTCAAACATGATGGCTTCGATGAAAATCAAGGGGGTATCACTTACGTCCAACCATTCGTCCGTACTTCTCTCATAAACTTGGAGGCCATCGACGTCATCTTGCAACAGGAGTGTGACTGATCCAAAATCCGTGTGCGCTCCGATTCCCCTCGAGATCTTCTCATCCGAATCCGGCGGTTGAGGGGGATAGTGCAATAGCCTCAACGTGGCGACGGCATCTGCCGTGAAGTCCTTGAAATAGTCCGGGTCAAGTTCCAAGGTCTGCGCTACCACGACAAGAACATCTCTGGCCAAGGCATGCATGGCTTTGTAGTAGGCTAGTGAGGTGGCTTTGAATTCCTCGACATCGGGCATGGCTTCAGGCCACATGTTCGGGCCGCTGTTGAGCTTTCTCTGCACGAAGTACGGGTGCTCTTTGGAGATTTCTTCGCCAATGTAAAAGCCCTCTTTGAGGTCTGGCGCTGTGCCGGGTTCGAAGATTTGCGATCCAATCTTCTCATATCCTCTGTTCCAGGTGTTCTTATCTGATGGATTATTTCTTTAGTTGAAATTTAAAACTGATATTCTGAGAAAGTTTCACGGTACGTACCTTTCAGAACCTCTTCTTTGACAGCTTGAGGGAGAGCAAAGAATTTCTTGGTCCATTTCAAAATGTCTTCCTGCAGCTGTGCTGGGACTCGGTGGCCAACGATCTGAAAGAACCCATTATGTAGACAGCACTTTCTAACTTCTGCAGTCAAGTTTGCCTTTTCAGTTTCATCTTCCCCATAGAAGGCTATAGTGCAGCGGTCTTGTTAGCATTTGATTGTCCCCAATAATTGCAGATGCGATGATAACATACGTGCAAAGTCCAAGATGGGAGGAGCACTGGAACCTGTCATCTTGGAAAGAACTTGAACGTTGAATCAAACGGTTAGAAGATTTGGGAACGGAGTTGTGCTTCTTCCTGTCTGGGACAATTTGATTAAGATATCTCTGGAAGTTCAGGTTTTCTATAGAGGCTGAAGACCAGGGCCGCTCATTATGCGACCGTACATACAACAAGTTGGCATTTGGCGTTTGTTGCCACAGATTCTGGGCATCACAAGGAATCCATTTCATCCAAGACTTCACGTTTGGAATTTCACGCCCCGCTCGGAATTATCCATCCGTTCAAGGTTAGAGATAGAGTTTGGTGGTGAGGAGAAAAGTACGAGACGAAAAAAAAAGTATCGGCTACCTCAATGCCACACAATGATATTGGATGATAGCTTTGCCAATACCTTGGTGGTCAGACCATGACCAAGAGTGGGGGAAGAGGCGGGATCTTATCATTGATCTTCATATTGTCTATCGACAGTACATCTAAATTGTCTCCTAGTTTGGTCGGCCACCCTTGCAATTTTCATGTATCAGACCATTGTATACAGATTCCACCTGGGCGATAAATTCTCCTTGGCCATGAACGGAATTCTGCAGCCATATCCAAAGATGGACAAACGGATCGCATCGGGAAATTGACATGCGTCAGACAACCTGACCAGGAGATGTGTGTTTTGTAAATTGTTTGGTGGACGATAGCGCAATATCCTGATAGAGATATAACTGCATAAGCTGTCAACGGTTCGTGGAACAACGTCCCTGCGATCGACAATTTACCTATTGTTCCTCACCCAATTGATCTGAGGCTCTAACTCCATTCTGGGGGATAGAAAATATTTTATTTCAGCAGTGGAAACCAACTCTTCAGGATCCCAAGTCTCCTGGCCGAGAACAACGCCTTCGACTCTACAGATATCAGCATGGATAAACATATCGTTTCTGTCTCAGACTCTGAGAAAAATATCGAAGCTGGCCAGGTTCTAGCAACCATTGACGAGGCTGCCGAAAAGTCTTATGGTGTGCTTGACCACATCATCCCCCGTCCATCATGCCCACCTGCTAATTCTGCCTAGTTCGCAAACTCGATTTCTATCTCCTTCCATTTCTGTCTCTGATGTACTTCTTTAATTCGGTCGACAGAAGCAATTTGGGTAATGCGAAGACGGACAAATTGGACGAGGATCTCAACTTCAGAGGCAATGAATGGTCGTTGCTAATCTTGCTGTTCTATGTTCCCTTTGGTCTCTGCGACTTGCCCTTGAATCTCCTTACCAAACGCTTCTCGGGAAAGATCATGCTCCCAACACGTGAGTGGTAACTCTTGGCCGTCTGCAAGATATTCCGGCTAAACTCTGCATCGCAGTCATGTTCGGCTGGGGATCAATGTCACTTCTCCAGTGCGCTGCCAAAAATTTTGCAGGCATGCTAGCCATCAGGCTGATTCTTGCGTGAGTGATCCTCCGTCTGGCTCCCTTTGTATTTCGCTGCCGCTCTAACTCCCTTCTCGTAGCATCTTCGAGGCAGGTTTCTTCGCTGGTGTAGTGTTCTACATGACACTCTTCTACACCCGGGGTGAGCTCGGCTTCCGTATTGCCATCTTCTTTGGTAGTGCACTTCTAGCGGCTGCTTTTAGTGGTCTCATTTCGTACGGTGTATTCCAGATCGAGCACGTCCATGTCAAGGGCTGGATGTGGCTGTTCATCATTGAAGGCGGAATGACGGTGATCACGGCCTCTATCGCTTTCTTCTGGCTTCCCAGTCGTCCGGACCAAGCCTGGTTTCTTAACGATGCTGAAAAGGCTGCTGCCACGGCTCGACATCTCCGGGATGCATCTAAGAAAGTCAACACCGAATTCAATCTCCAGGCTTGCTTCTCGACGTGGAGCGATTGGAAGTTCGCTCTTTGGCTTGTCATCGCTTTCACATACCCCGTTGCATTTGCGACGACCTCAAATTTCTTGCCTCAGGTGAGAGCAATGTTTTTCCTTCTGTCAAGGATACTCAACAACACATACTGACGGTCGTTGTTCCTCAGATTGTCCAACGTCTCGGGTACTCCGTCGTCAAGACCAACTTATGGACCGTCGCACCCAACAGCGTTGGTTTTGTGATCTTACTTTGCGTAACCAAGTCTTCGGATTACTTCCGCGAGCGTACTTTCCATATCGTCTTCGCTCTGTCCCTGTCCCTGGTCGGCATGATCATCTTGGCCGCCATTGACGTCCTGTCCAACAAGGGTGTGGCGTACTTCGCATGCTTTCTCATGGCAGGCGGCTCGTATATACCTAGCTGTCTCGTTCATTCATGGCACAACAACAACAATCTGGAGGAGAACTCTCGTGCAGCGACGACGGGTCTGCTGGTCGGCTTGGGAAACTTGGGAGGAATTATCTCGGCGGCGACATTCAGAGTCGAGTATGCGCCTGGGTGAGTCTCCAAACACTTTCGACGGAGGAATCTTGGATTGTTTTACTTACGTTTTTGACAGATACATCCCTACGTTGATTGCCACAAGCGCCTGCAATGTTACATGCATTGTCTTTACACTTTGCCTGGGCCTGTATATGAAACGGGAGAACGCCAGACGTAACAGGGAGCAAGGTGTCGCCATCAAAGCGGAGGATGTCGATACCGACTCTCTTCAGGATGGAGAGAAATCTCCTCACTGGAGGTATTTCACATGAATACGATGGATGGTCTCCTCCAACGAGGAGATTCCTGAGCGAATATCGCCTGGATGAGCAGTAGAAAATTCTGCGGCCAACATAAAATTCCCATCACGGAGGAATGAATCAGGGTAATAGTCAAGTTATTTCGGAAATTCGATTTGGGTATTTATTGCTTAGGTTTCCTCCAGTTGACGACTCATTTCAAAAATGTCTCGTACTCATTAATCGAGCGTTCCGGCACAAGACCTCTTAAGACCTTCATGCCTTCATGCACGACGGCCCATCGAACATTGCTCAAATGTTTTGCCATCACGGTCGTCAAGCCCGAAGTGGAGTACTTTCCTAGGACACGCCACAGATTCTCCGGGACCACACTCGTCATGCTGCTCACCAAGGCGTTCATTTCGGCTTTTGCGTGCCAGACAATCCCATCATCAACCACGCCGTCTAAGTGAGAGCTTGTTGATGGAGTGGCTCGTTCGCCGTCGTGATTGGAGGGAGAAGTCGACGATTTATCCACGACGTTGGCGAAGTGGAATGCCCAACAGGTGAGTGTCGACAGGTAGAGGCACCACGGGTAGTGGAATGCGTTATTGACGTCCCAATTGTCGAGATTCATGATACCGTCGCGAAGAAGATGTGCAGCATGCCATGCAGCTTTCGCGCCTGGAGTCGAGCCCCCTGGCTTGGCCCATTCTTTGACCATACGTCTCGATCGATCATAATCGGTTCGTGTCACGGGACGGCCGATAATATGTCGTGCCCCCGCATAGATCTGGAGGTCGAGAATTTCGACGTTGAGTGTGATGTGGGCTGCATGATAAATTGCTATTGTTGCTGTACTGAAACGGGTGAATTCGGCTTTTCTGGAGGGGCTATCGTTCAATGAGAGTGTCATGTTCATACAATAAGTATCAAAGTCGGCCTTCCAGGCGTCGTACGATTGTGACAGCCGGTCTTGCCATTTGGGGTGGTCCGGATTGGATCCATTTTGAGTTCCAATGCCTGGAGGAAACGTCAGCGTTGACGGTGGAGTCGTGGACTGATAAGCTTACCAAGAGAGGTCTGATCTCGTCGTCTCATGTCCCATTGGATGGACATGAGTCCGTGAAGGACGAGAAGCCGAGACAAGGCGTTTAATGGCGGAATCTGCGTCCCGGAGTCTGGGTTCATGTAGGCTTTCAGGACAGTCAGATAGGATATCTGAGGTTCTTTTCGTGCATGCTTCCACCATTCCTCAGCGGAGCTGGCTTCCCAGGTGGCCTGGTTGCAGGGGAGCGTCGTTCGAAGTTCAAATGAGGACATGCACAGTGATTGTGAGAAAAGCACGGCATGCTGCGTGTCCCAGAGAAAGCAAAGAAAGGCAAGCCTAATGGGGGGCTTAGTTTCGATTGCAATCCGCCAAAGGGGGATAAATATCCCTTACCTTTTCCGAAGCTCCACATCAATCGCTTTTCGCCAGTCAGATTCGAGATCGCCAGAGCCTTCGCCGAAATTTGGTTGTCGCACCGTTTGGCAATCGCTTCTTCGAATTAAACTACGAATCATCAATGAATTTTTCAATTCGAGAATGCCAATGTGCTTTTTTCACTTACTTGATCAACAGTCCATGGAAAAGGTGTGCCATATCATGTTGCTTTTGACCTGCTCGAGACTTTCCAAAACATTCAACAAGCAAGATTGTTTGGAGCATCCATAATTCAGGTGTGGCGGAGAAGGCTGGATGTTGAAATATCTGCGCTCTCAACACGTCGTGTATGCAAACAGCCAATCTGTGGATTGCCTTCTCGCTGTATGTAGCCCCCAGGATGATGACGGCGAGCAGAAGAAGAGTCTCTGTCTGGGATGGATCGAACGTGGCCTGGTGAAGGAGTGGATAGGCGACATTGAAGCGAGAGAAGAAGAGATCCAAGTAGTTTTGCATTGAAGAGAGTGATAACAAGGGGTGATCGCGGGTGATATCAGTTCCTTCAGGTGTTTTTGGTCGGGCATTGACGAGGACGTCGAGGATTTGATTTCTAGAGACATCGTCCATGGTGGGCATGTTTCTGCAAGGCTGAGTTGGAGGAAGAGTATGAACATTGAATGATGCGGCAGGTATATTCATCTGACGATTCGGGGCTTTTGGCGGTTGGTTTGGCGCGAAAGTGTTCGTAGACTGCGGCGAGGTCGTGGTAGGGGGAGTAAGTTCCTCTTCTGGAGATGAATTTTGAACGACGTGGGCCTCCGTCGAAGAGGGCGAGACCGAGTCCTCATCAGTGGCCTGGGCTGTGAGCAAGTCATACCGATAGTCTTCGGATATCTGAAAGTGTTCTGGGGCCTGCGGTAAAGGCGCGGGCCTGTAGAATGTACTTGCCGAGATTGGATGTCCATTTATCTCAGCGTTAATCCTGTAACCGGGATGGTCCCCATGGCTGGCGGATTGGTATGTCGTGGACTGAAATTGATGCTCTCGTGTCGAATTTTGCGTTTCCGGAACCATGTTGGATTGCTGAGCGGGGACCGACATTTTCACAGTATCACCAAGATCAAACAGCCAATTGTAGTTGTTCATCGTAGTGAATGGCATGTTAAAGGAGCTTGCTGGAGAACGTCAGTCTCCATTGCGTCTCATCGTTCATTCAATTCTCCTTACCTGTGTCTGGATTGAACATGTCCTCAAACGGCGCATCATGTTGCATGTTGACCGCTTGGGACGATTGAGAGCCCCAAGATGAGTTGGCCAGGAAATCAAACATGTCCGGCCCTGATGCGGGTTCGATAAAGTCGTGACTCTCTGGGAGCTCCGGTAGTTGATGAGAGAATCGCTCGAATGACTCGGCGCTCAACATGGATCTCGGTGGGGATAATGGTTCAGAATGCTGACCGGTCCGAGGGTGATAGCCATTACCACCCGCCGTCTGGACTTGAGGAGCCAGATCGGTGATCTGCTTCTTTATGGCAGGGCTACCAACTTCGCTTTGGGCTGGCCGCTTGCTCACGATGTTGCCATTCGCATCTCGCCAGAGCTTCTTCCTGGTTTCGACCACACCCAAACCTTCGCCACCGGCCTCTTCGTCCTTCTGTCGATGACGAGCCAGGTGTCTGTCTAAAGCACTGTCAGAACGGTTGTCGATGTGAGAAACAATGTGCAGGCCTTCAAAGGGCACTGCGCTTACCTAGAAGATCGGGCCTCTTGAAGTGCAGACTACAGCGCGGGCAAGTGCTGTCTCCAACACCATGATTCAGGACATGGCGCTGAAGATGATCCGACCGGGTGAAAGCTTTCCCACAGCCTTCCCAAGAGCAGACGTATTTCTTAGGCTTAATTGTTGCTGTTGGTGCCATTAGCATAAATTTGGGAGTCACCGCATAGCGTGAAGAGCATTGAACAGTTTCTAGCGATGTTAGAAGATGAGAAGATAAACTCACAAGAAAGCCGAATATGGTCCGGTAAAGGGCGGGGCCAGTACCCGGGGGAAGAGCCAACCTTTAAGCGAGATGCAAGGAAGTCAAAGGAGAAGTCCTGGGCAAGATAAGGATGAAAGTGAGTCGGTGGGGGCACACTGTGGGTCTTCAAAGATACGCATGGCTCCAGCGCCCCGACTAAGTAGCGGGGTGTCCGACCATACTTGTATCTACCGTACCTCCCGCTTCTTCAAATGCGACGAAGAGCCCAGTTCTTTGCTGACACCAAACGTGCCCTGACTCCGCTTTACATGCAGTATGCTGCTATGTGCTTTTTACGACTCTTGATCATCCCTATACCCGATCCATAGAACCGGTTTATGGTCTTGATCATACTCCCACACTCACCGGTTCAAAGAATGGATAGTCTACATATCCCTTGCTGGGTGGATCGGCACCGTAGAAAGTGCTGCGGTCGTAATGGTTCAACGGAAGGCCTTCTGCCAGTCTCGCGGGGAGATCAGGGTTCGCGATGAACCATCGCCCAAAAATGATGGCATCTGCTTCATCTGATTCAACCTTGGGAGCTGCGTTTTCGGAGTTGAAGTTTCCGGCCGCGATAAATTTGATGCCTCCCTTTTGCAAGATCTTTCTAAAAGGTACCAATGAAGGTTTACCCTCTTTCGCTCTGGCACCGGACGATGTATCAGCGAGCGCTGCCAATTTGGCCTCCTCATCCAACACTTCGTCAAATCTCGGTTCGACCATGTGGACATATGCAGGACGATGGACTTCCGGAAGCTCAACGAGTCGCTCGCAGAGATATGCCCAGTGCACGTTCGGATTGGAATCTCGGGTGTCTTGGAAATAGTTGTAGGGAGACAATCTGATGCCCACCCTGTCTGCTCCGATTGCAGATGTAACGGATTTGATGACCTCCAGGGGGAAACGGCATCGATTTTCGATGGAGCCGCCGTAAGAGTCTGTTCTAATATTGACGTTGTCGTGCAAAAACTGGTCCAGAAGGTAACCATTCGCACTGTCCAGGTATCAGCTATTAAGTCACGTCGACTCTGGTGGGCCGCCCTACCTATGAATTTCGACTCCATCAAAGCCGGCTTCCATTGCCCTCTTCGCGGCCTCTCCAAATTCCTGCACCAGTTCTTGAATTTCCTCGACAGTCAATTCTTTGGGAGGGGTTGCTGCAAAGTCACTCCCATCCAGAGCCTTCCCCTTGATTGGTATATTGCTCGAGCTCACACATGGATGCCCATCCAGCAGTGAAGGGACTGTCGCACGACCAACATGCCACAGTTGACAGAAAATGAAGCCACCCTTGCCATGGATGGCATCAGTCACTCGCTTCCATCCAGCTATTTGATTGGGTGTGAAAACTCCCGGAACTCCAGGGTAGCCACAAGACTGGCATCTGCGTCAGTAATTCTGTCTCCTGACATTTCAGAATACCACATGCGTACCAAACGGCTGATTGGGCAAGCCTCCGTCAATTGAAATCCTCCTTTGCTCGCCCTCTGGGAGTAATATTCCACATTGAGATCCCCGGGAACCCACACGCCATCGGATTCTTTGGTTCCTCTCATCCGAGTCAGAGGAGCCATCATGACCCGGTGTTCCAGGCTCAAGGCACCCAATTTGAGCGGTTGGAATAATAATGTGTCATCGAGCGGCCGAAAACCCGCTGGAGACGTTCTGGAGGGCATCTTCGAGCCAATTCTGAAAACGAAACACCAATTTTTGAGCGACAGTGTCAGTATCGCACTCTCCCAAGTGGGCTCTATGTCTAGTGAAAGAGAACATGGAAAACCTATACACGAAAAACCAAGAAGAGCCTCGGATCCCCCCAGGCTTGGAATGTGGTCACGAACAGATTGACTTTCATCTTTAGTGCGACAGAAGTGGGCAAACTGGAACCAACGAAAAAGATCTTCAGCCACCAACGTCCCGAGTATGAAACGAGCCATGAAGTTCAGATGAAAACGGGGGCGGACAGGACAGTGGCGTTGGACATGGTAGAGTCAAAAGTGGGGGATGATGCCAGAGGAGGCACTGGAGCCAAGTCCACTTATCCACTCCATGTACGATGGTGGATGCCCCCTTCGATAAAGACCCTTCGCGCGCATGTCCGTCATCATCCACCATCCAATCCCATGCCGTCAATTAGAGTCTCATCGACTTGGGGCCTAGCTCACTGAGCAGGGCAATGTCGCCTACCAGGGGGAAAACCGGGGGATTACGATGTACTCGCACCCATCTTGATATGCCTTCTTTTTCAGCGCTGAGAAGACAAGCCATCTGAAGTCAGATCTGACCAGAAAGAAACTCTGCGCCATGGCTATGTCATTTACAGTTCGCCGGCCAGCAGTGCCTGTGGCATTTGAGAAACTACAGTCACTTATTGAATCGGAATTTACTGAATCGACCCTGAAATTTTATATGAACGGGAAAAAGGTTGTATTGGAGAACCCCAATCCTGAATGGACGCTCTTAGATTTTATCAGGTCCCAACATGACAGCAAAGGTACTAAACTGGGGTGCGGTGAAGGCGGATGTGGCGCATGTACCGTGGTGTTGCAAAGCGTTGACCCGAAGCATCCAAACAAGTTGAAACACCTTTCTGTCAATGCGTGCCTCTTCCCCCTTGTTGGAGTTGTTGGCAAGCACTTGATCACCATTGAGGGCCTTGGAAACGTCGTTAATCCTCATCCACTCCAAGAAAGAATAGCAAAGCTACATGGTTCACAGTAAGTATGCTGCAGCTCGAAGTCAGTCCGACCGGGATCACCATGTAATGATGGCTGACTATTCAAGATGCGGGTTCTGCACCCCAGGGATTGTCATGTCGATTTATGCCATGATCAGAAATGCTTGGGATCCTGATTCAAAAACATTTCGCCTATCCGCTGGCATCATCGAGCTAGACGGACATTTAGATGGAAATCTGTGCCGTTGCACCGGCTACAAACCCATTCTAGCTGCCGTGAAGACGTTCATCGTGGAGGATCTCCAATCTAAAGTGGACGAAGACCAGGACCAGGACGAGAGTCTCCTTGGTAAAGCGGATGAGGCAGGTGCCAGATACGTCCCCGAAGATATACCCGAGTCGATCAAGAAATCACCAATGTCTTGTGGAAGACCGGGCGGGTGTTGCCGGGATAATCCAGGATCCTCAAATGGCCCGTCAAAGGCGGATTCTGATCAAAGCCCCCCCGAGACGTCGGATGAAGAATCGGCTGAAAGCTCTGTCACATCAATGTCGAGCTTTAATCACCCAGGAGAGACCGAAGTCAGTGGCACATCATACGGGCCGCCCGTAAAATCTAGAAATCACGGTCCACCACCAGGCGATGGAGGAAAAGATAGCAAAATAGTCAGTGATCTGGCCGCTCCTCCGGCCGACCAAAAAGACCCTCGCTTATATTTCACACCTTACAGCCCTACAACGGAATTGATATTCCCTCCTGCACTGAGAAAATTCGAAACGCAGCCCATATGCTATGGTGATTCGGAGAAGATATGGCTGAAACCGACCTCGTTGGTCCAACTTCTGGCAATCAAGTCATTGGACCCGACTGTGAAGCTTGTTGGTGGCTCCAGCGAAGTTCAGGTCGAGATTCGTTTCAAAAACTCCAAGTTTGCCATAATGGTATATGTGGCCGACATCCCAGAGCTCCGGGAGACCAAAATCCCTGACACCGACGAAGGCATTGCCGCCATGACCGAACTAGTAATTGGAGGAAATACCAGTCTTACGGAGCTGGAATCCATCTGCAAACATCTGTCACGCAAGTTAGGGCACCGAGGTCTGGTCTTGGAGGCCTGCAGGAAGCAGCTACGATACTTTGCTGGCCGACAGATCCGAAACGCCGCCTCTCTAGCCGGGAACATCGCAACAGCGTCTCCCATATCAGATATGAATCCCGTTCTTCTTGCGTCCGGGGCAACCGTCGTTGCGCAGAGCAAGGACCAGGGTGAAATCTCTTTGCCGATGGAGACTTTCTTCATCTCATATCGAAAGACGAGTCTTCCGGCCGATTCGATCATCACCAAAATTCGAATCCCAATCCCACCTGCTAATGTGCCTGAAATCACAAAGGCTTACAAGCAGGCGAAACGGAAAGATGACGATATTGCAATTGTGACGGCAGCGTTCCGAGTCAGATTGGGCGACGATGGTAAGGTCGACCAAATTTCACTGGCGTACGGAGGAATGGCACCCACGACATTGCTCGCCCAAAAGACACAAGAAGCTCTCGCGGGCCAGAAATGGTATGACTCCAGAACTCTTGGTGTAGCTCTCCGGTCGTTGCGAGAAGAGTTTAATCTGAGCTTTGACGTCCCCGGAGGAATGGCCACCTATCGAGTAACACTGGCACTTTCCTTCTTCTTCCGATTCTGGCACGAGGTGGTGGCCGAGCTCAAACTTGGCGACGTTGATGGAAACTTAATCGAAGAGATTCACAGAGGTATTTCTTCCGGAACCCGGGACCATCGCAATCCTCACGAGCAGAGAGTGGTGGGCAAACAGATTCCTCATCTCTCGGGTCTCAAACACAACACCGGCGAAGCCGAATATGTCGACGATATGCCGCATCACGCTCGCGAACTGTACTGTGCATTCGTATTCTCACAAAGGGCTCACGCGATCTTGGTGGAGGTAGATTGGTCACCAGCTATTGGTCCTGGCCTGGCCATAGGATACGTCGACAAAAATGACATTCCCATGGAGCTAAACTCTTGGGGTTCGGTGAAGAGGGATGAACCATTCTTCGCGGACGAATTTGTTCATTCACACGGCCAAGTCATTGGGTTAGTATATGCGGAGACGGCGATCCAAGCACAAAAAGCCGCTCGACTCGTCAAAGTGGTGTATGAAGACCTTCCTCCGATCTTGACAATCGATGAGGCCATCGAGGCAAACAGTTTCTACCCCCACCCCAAACAACTGAGAAAAGGCGCCGCAGTCGAAGGGTCTATGGACCACGTTTTTTCCCACTGTGACCGAGTCTTCGAAGGCCTCATTCGTATGGGTGGACAGGAACATTTCTACCTTGAAACCAATGCGGCGCTGGTCATTCCTCACACGGAAGACGGCATGATGGAGGTTTGGTCATCCACTCAAAACACGTGAGGGACACGAAATGTGCGCGCAGTGAGCGATGCTGACTCTTGAATAGCATGGAGGTCCAAGAATTTGTGAGCCAAGTAACCGGGATGCCGCGCAACCGCATCAACTCTCGCGTGAAAAGGATGGGAGGAGCTTTTGGAGGGAAGGAATCCCGAGCCGTGCCCTTCGCATGTGCCCTTGCCGTCGCGGCCAAAAAGGAGAAACGCCCTATGCGTTGCATGCTAAATCGGGACGAGGACATGATGACCAGCGGACAGCGCCACCCCTTCCAAGCACGCTGGAAAGTCGGAGTCATGGACGACGGTACGTTGGTCGCCCTCGATATCGATCTCTACAACAACGCCGGATGGTCTTATGATATGTCGGGTGCGGTGATGGACAGATGCGCCACGCATATTGAGAATTGTTACGAGATCCCGCATGTCCATGTCCGTGGTCATCTCTGCAAGACTAATACGCATAGCAACACCGCGTTCCGAGGATTTGGTGGTCCTCAGGCAATGTTCATTGCTGAGACCTACATGTCTGCAGTCGCCGAAGGGCTGGGCAAACCCATTGACGAACTCAGGATGATGAACCTGTACAAGGAGAACGATATGACCCCTTTCCTGCAGAAAATCGATGAAGATTGGCACATTCCACGACTCATGTCTGAACTCCAGGCCGAGTGCGACTATGAGAAGAGAAAATCAGATATCGAGTCGTTCAATCGGACCAACAAGTGGAAGAAACGTGGAATCAGCCTCATTCCCTCGAAATTTGGAATCAGCTTCGCCACGGCCGTTCACCTCAACCAAGCCAGTGCGGCGGTGAAGATCTTCGCGGATGGAAGCGTCCTCTTGCATCACGGCGGCACGGAGATGGGCCAAGGGCTTTACACGAAAATGATCCAGGTCGCAGCTCAGGAGCTAAATGTTCCTATTGATGCCGTGTACACGTCCGAGACAGCTTCGTACTTCACAGCCAATGTGTCGCCGACGGCCGCATCTTCTGGAAGCGATCTTAACGGGATGGCCATCAAGGATGCTTGTGACCAGCTGAACGAGCGCTTGAGGCCCTACTGGGAGAAATTCGGACCTGATGCGAGCATGAAGACAATCGCTCATGCAGCCTATTTGGACCGTGTCAACCTGTCTGCTTCCGGATTCTGGAAGATGCCCGAGGTCGGCTATCAGTGGGGTAACTATAAAGATCCCAAACCAATGTATTATTACTTCACACAGGTGAGTATCTTGACTGGGGATGGGATCAGCATATACTAAAGACGTATTTTTCTCAGGGTGTGGCATGTAGCGAAGTTGAACTGGACCTGCTAACAGGCGACCACACGGTGCTTCGGACCGACATCAAGATGGATGTCGGCCGATCAATCAACCCAGCCATTGATTATGGGCAAGTAGAGGGCGCTTTCGTTCAAGGTCAAGGACTCTTCACGATGGAAGAATCCCTCTGGACTCGCGATGGCCAGCTTTTCACCCGTGGACCAGGCACCTACAAGATCCCCGGCTTCAGTGACATCCCTCAGGAATTCAACGTCAGCTTCCTTCAGGGTGTGTCTTGGAACCACCTTCGCACCATCCAGAGCAGCAAAGGCATTGGCGAGCCTCCACTATTCTTGGGCGCCGCAGTGCTGTTCGCTCTGAGGGAGGCGCTTGTTAGTGCCCGCAAGGATAATGGAATCCAGGAGCATCTGACGCTTCACAGCCCAGCGACGGCTGAAAGGCTGCGGTTGGCGGTTGGTGACGATTTGTTGAGGATGGGTACGGTAGTTCCAAAGGACGGTGAAAAGAATTTCCTAGTATCGGTTGCGTGATTCGAGCGGTTCGGACGCAGCGATGACTGATGAAAATATAGTCATCGACTCGATATTCGTACAACATTCAATTGAGTCGCCACAATTATTTAATATTCCCCGTAGATCGAGCGTGGAATCGACAAGCTATTCGGACTTGTTGGGTGTGAGATGCGACGTGAATAAAAACAGCGCCTCAAGACATGACACCTTTGGTGTAGGCTTTGCCGGATACTGCGACATGCTGCAAAATGTATGCTTATGTTGAACGTGGATTCTTCACCAAAAAGGGTCAGTCTGAAAATGACGGCGATGTAGCAAGTCATCGTGTGAAAACTGGAGTAGAAGGCTTCCTTTTCTTTTGTTTTCAGAATGAATCCGGGAGAGCTCCTCGTTGAATTAAAAAAAAACCACGCCGAGTTCCAATTTGATGTCGAAAAGGCTGTGAATAGAAACACGTCTGTCTAGTACCTTGGCTAGGCCCAAAAGTACGCCAACACTATCAGAACAAGGCTTTTTATTATGGCTCTCGATGCTCGGTCTCCGGAATGAACAATGTTCAGGCTCAGGATGAAACGATAGTATAATCCATTGAAGCTTTCGCCTTTCGTGGCTCTACCATATTCACTTTTGGATCGAAGGGCGATACCGGAATCTTTGAAAAGTCGAACTCCTACAAACCGGTAATGCACGAAAGACTCCCGTGAAACCCCGGACAGCGTACATAGTACCAGGATGAATACCTAGATCCATCGCATCAATCTTTATATACTAATCTCTTTCCTTTGGCTCTTTTCAATTCCCCAATCATTCAGTTTGGTTCTGTTATACTCCTACAACTGCCGAGATGACATCACCCGCCGCATTCGCCGCAGCATTGTTTATTTTCTTCTGCTCTTGTCCGGCCACCGTTCCCGAAATCACAATCAAATCCAGCAGAAAATCATCACAGGGCACAAAAACCTGTAATGTGTCCTTTTTAAGTTTTACTAGTTGAGAGCCAGAGGAGGTGTCGATGAGTTTCAGCGTGGAGCCACTCATGCTATTTTCCCATTTCAACTTCCTCATGGGCGGGCAGGTGAGAGTGTAGTTGCCAGAGAGCTGGGAACATTTCATGCTGATATGGTGACCGAAGAGAGAGATGTCGACGTTTGAACTGAGCGAGTGGATTGTCGCGGAGCCGATGGATGGGGGTTGGATCATGGTGTTGCCGGCGTCGATGCGAGAGAATGTTAGGGTATTTTTGGATTTGGTGATGGAGTAGGATGGAATGGTGGCCCCGTTGACCATGCGTTGGACAATCATGGTGTTCGGATCGAATTGCGATGGTTGGAATGTGAGGGTCATGGGGAAAAGGGGAGAAGAAAGGGAGAACGCAGCGAAACCTGCTTGATTGCTGTTCCCGTAGCTGCCATAGTTGCCGTAGTTACCGGCGTCGTGTCCCATGGGTATGGGCGGCCTTGTCGAGGGAGTTGAATCGGAATACGGGGGGTTGAGGGAGTTGAAGGAGGAAGAAAGCACAGAGGTACTTGACATCAGTGTAGATAGAGAGTGGCCCGTCATGTTGTGGCCCGTCATTGCGGTTGGGAAGTGCTGGCTGTTATCTGTCTTGAAGGTGGGTGCGAAATAAGTTCCTTCTCGTGAAGTTTGGTAGGTAATGAATGTTGGTATGAGTCTATGAGTACGGAGGTAGTGGTTGAATGAAGAATGAGTGTCCATCTGGTTGGTGTTCGCTGATATAAGTATGTCTTTGAGCAGGTAGCTATTGTCGATCTGATACAGAATGTTATGTTAGTTACTGTCTAAGCGGATCTGCTGTGCCACGGGTTCCCCACAATTCAGCTTCATTTGCCCGAAAAGGGTATATGCGGCGCTCCGATGTTGGTATTCCTCTAGACAAGACTCTTAGAGGCTCTTGGGTTGCATCTGAGACGATATTTGGCCACAGAATTTGCCAATGAGATCAACAGCGAAGGTGGCGGGGCATTTGGCCACGGGTCCTCAGCCTCATTCTTGCTTTGGTAAGCTCAGTACCCACCTGCGAAAGGTGTGCTGAAGGCTGGCCTGATCTATGCCAGAATTATACATCGACTGGCATCGATTAGCAATCCAAGTAATGTTGAAAATGCGGCAAACCGAGACATAACCTCGACATGGGGAATTTCGCAATGGCAGCGGTGTTGAAGTGACCAGCACGATGGAGACATACCCTGGTCACCATGCGCACTTCGATGTCACAACAAGTCAGGCAACGTGTGCATGCTCGCTTTTCGACGAAGAACGGGTCATGAATATCATCAGTCACAACAGCAGAGAGACAGATACGCCTTGACGTGGGCAGGGTCGGGTCGGGTATCGAACCCCCTAGACCCGCCCAAACGGGGGTTTGGGGTATCAGTAAACTCTGAGTCTGAAACCAGACCCGGAAATTTTTGAGTTGGATAGGGCTGGGTTAGGGCCAACCGAAAATGGGTAATTATGTAATAAATCTTACTCTACGAGAGGTGCTCTGTTAATCATTCCTACACTAGGAAGATATCTCCACCCAAATCTCCACCCAAATGGGGTTGGGTTTGTCTACCATGAGCCCAAAGCCCGACCCTAACCTGACCCAACCCGTTACCCATGGGTAGTCCCGACCTACAGTATATTAATGGCCTAGAGAGGCCTAGAAACAGAGACACAGGTACCGAGAACTCAACGGTCGCCGTGAATGTCTCCCTGGCGATTGCTCACTGTTTGCCTGGGCGGGATGATCTGGAGCCCACAGAATGGTACCTTCCCTCCCTATCCCACTATCTGAGTCTGCTGGCAACTGATTTATTGATGACTCTCTACAATGTCCTTCCCTCCGTTCATTCACCCTGTTCCTAGGTATTGTGCAGACAGATGTGCTTGCCACTTCTCCTATGACCTCTGTATCATGCAAGCTTGCTTCCAGAATCAGAAGATCCAGAGACTTTGCCCTATTTAATTGACGAACAGCCGCCAAAATATCGCCCACAAGACCAGCCACGAGTAGGACCTGCGCTACGAAGGACGAGATCTCCTGATATTAGATGGTGAAAATGGCCGCTCGCTAGCATTTGTCATTATTCGACCTCGGCCCAGTCTGCTGTCACCAATTATGTTCTGTCTAGCATCGGCACTACGACAATCAGCCGTGTCGACCACTCTCTACCAGACTAGCTGACAGTTCTGAAATCTTATCTTTATGAGTTGGCCAAAAAGCCAACAGAAGCGCCCTCGCATAGGTTTGAGACAATACCCCCGCAAGAGAGCAGAAAGGTTATGACCAGACCACGGGAGCGGAGGATGAAGTATTCCTCGAAAAGGGCCGCTTCGTCATTGTTGATTCCCATTAGCAGATTCAGAATGTAGAGGATTGGATGGGCTACATAACCAGGTACTGTACACTGGTGGGAAACAAAAAGACATGCTTCGACTCGTTTTACATACCCAAACTCGCAAAATAGCGACACTGTCACTGGAAAATGAATAGATCGACATTCTCCAGCTTCATTACTCTTCAGGGTTTGCCGTCGAACATGAGACATCATGAGAGCTATTGAATACGAAGCGCCAGAGACCGTGTCCCAGATGGCTCTAGAACATTCGGGGATACAACAATCGTTCATTATTCGCAAAGCTGTAGCGTTTACGTATCAAGAAGGCCATGCATTCAACCAGAAATGATTCTCTTCTGGATAATCTTTACCTTCCATCATCACATTTCACCTGATATATCTTATCCTGTCTCTGTGGCCGACGAAGAGGAGTATCTGCGACTTGTTTCGGAAATGAGAAGCGGACCCATACCAAGATGCTGAAAACAAAATTCCCAAAGATCGATGAAGAAGAGGAGATTCGCATATTTTATCCTTCCGTTCGTATAGTCACTACCAGACCGAATGGCCAAACACTAGCCCCGGCATAAAATGTCATCGCCATTTCTTTGTAGTGGAAACACTAAGGCGACATCAACTCCCTTGAATCTGTCATAAATCCGATACCCGCTCTGACAATTTCAATCAAGATGCCAACCTCCTCCTCGGTTCGTGGAGCATAGAGCAGGACATACGGCTTTGGCAGTACTTTCCGTCCAAATAGGCTGACTCCAGCGAGGCCATGCAACTGCCCCCAACCAGATCTGATGACCTGCATGGCATCTTTGGGAGCAAGAATAACATGAGTCGAGAAATCGGTGTTTTTGTGAATATGCGAAACCTCTCTGGTAAAGTCTTTGCCGAGGGTATAGACTGGACAATCGTCATGCACCCACACGGCATCAGTATGGAGCTCGTACTTCGATAGCTTAAATTGAACAATGTTTGCGTTTTGAGCCACGAGAGAATTGAATGCTTCTTGGTATTTCTGCGCCGTCAAACGCCAGATTAGCCAATGATTCACTTTGATGTCTGGAATCCAGTCAATTACGACCAAATACTAACTTCCTGTATCTCGGGGGGAGCATGCTGGTCCAACTGCCGTTGCGGTATGAGATGAGGCCCAATCGTGGGCCTCACACCACTTCTGTTCTTTGTCGGCCAACTCCGACCGAGCCAGCTCCTCTGATCCGGACTCTTCTCGAAATCACGTACATCGAACATGTTGATGCCAAATGCGCGGATCAAAGTCGCGACGAACCATCCGAAAACGTTGTACGGCACACCGCCAGGACCGTAACTCAGAAACACTTTGTAGTCATTCCAGGCTGCGCGTCCAATGATAACAGAACCGAGGACGCCGACGGCGATTGCCGGATAGTACGGCTTGTATTTATGCCGAAACGAGTTGATATACAGAGAGACGGAATGGCGCACAGTGGTGGCCATGGTGCAACGTGTCTTCGGTAGTCTCTCGGAGTCGGGAACGAGCAGTCGGGAGAAGCAATGAAGATGGAAATGTTGATTGGAAGTATATATGTGGAAGACGCGGGTCATCCAAGACATCATCTTCGGATCCGACCGTGGACCGAAGCTCGAGCTTATTTCAACGGTCATGGGGCGGCGCCTTGACATTAAGACAAACATGCTGTGCCAGCAACCTAGCACCCTTCGAATCGCCTGTAAGGAGCATATTGCCTTGATGTCTCCTCAGAGCACGATTAGTCGATGTCATATTGACAACCTCGCTGTCGCTTAGATCATTGCCTAGCTCCTACGCCTGTGTGTCATCACGATTCCACCCTGAGGCACTATAACATTCATTGAGTGCCAGCGGTGTTTGCTCTCTTCCTGCCTTCACAGTCAGTTGGATTTCCTGGTCTAGCCATGCTCGATGTCATGGAAAGCAGGAATTCAAGCGCCTACATAGGATTCGGTTAGCAAATTCCCTCACCGGATTGGTACATGGGTAGATGATCCGACCAATCGACACTTCCATAATTTTATATACCCATGCGGCTTTGGCCATTACTGGAACCAGATTCGCAAGGGCTGGTGATGGAAAGTATACCGTTTGATTTCATCAGAAGCATATGTGTCACTCAAGAGCTGCGTGTGTCGGTTTGATTGTAAAACAGTACAAAGGAGCATTGTTCCTGCATGTTTGATGCGACAACTTTGTTTCCAGAATGTCACATCGCAAGCATTCCCAGGCTGTCCAAGCTCGGAAACTCGCACCAAAATATCATGTCTCGACTCACTGTTTCTATTCAGAGTATTTGACAGATCACATTAAACCGTTGTGGTGAATTATTTGAATGGAGCATAGCTATGATGGGTGAAAGCTCCAATGGATTGGAATATGTCTCATACTCGAGAATATTCCATCATCAATCGTTTCTTCTTGACATTTGACATCGTGCCAATAAGCAGAGGCCCGTTAAAGGACGTAATTATGGTTGAATTGGTGCACTAAATTTTGTGAAGAGTATTCAAGGACACAGCACGACTGCTGTGTAAATTTCGTTGCCAGGATGGAAGTAAATCTCTTCAACTGTCCAACAACAAATTTTGTTCATTCCAAAATCAATTCATCTTCCAAGAGTCTAGTAGCATATCATTGATTGCTTCAACAGATACACCGAAGGGGAGGAACTCGGCTGAACAATGACGGCCCCACTTTTGTCCCTTTTAAAGGCAAATCAAGGCATTCAAACCACCGATAAGGCAACAACATGACGAAAAAAGACCCCAAAAAAAGGCTGCGCAGTGACAATATCGTAGATGAAGCCTGCATCTACTTAAGGCGTCATTGCAATTTCTGCAGCGGATTTTGCCTTTGCTTCTCTCCTTCCCAACCAAATCGCAGGTCCGATCAGTAACACGACACATACGCCCACAACTGCCGCCTGCGTAGCAAACACGGCCGCCACGCCGTCCTTCGCAATCCAGCTGGGTTGGAAGTAACCGACTGAGAAACCGCCGCACGTACGCCACATGTTGATGATAGCACTGACAACAGAAGCTTGGTCGGGGTATTTCTCGAGGGCAAAGGCTGTGATTGCACTGTGCGCCCCCCCCAAAAAAAAGGTTGTCAGCTCAAAAATGTGAGAGCAAAGGATTATGAGTGTGTATAAAAATGAAACGCATCACTTACACTGTGCTGCCCACCAGTCCAATATTCACCATAACCCAGCCGAACGCGAGGCCAACCCAGCTCTTTCCGTAGTTGAGAGTCAAGCCATATGTCAGCAGCCCACAAACCATGCTAAAAATGGGTAGCCAGACTCCATGCAGTCGGTACTCGCTTCGCCAGTGCGCCTTGCGCTTGCCACCGGAGCCGTTGTAGATCCATTCATTGAAGAAATAGCCGAAGACAAAGCCGAGCAGAGCGCCGATGACACCGGCAAAACGGATGGAAGCGTCAGCAACGTTTCCAAAGAGGTAAGGTGGGGCACGAACGAAGGCATCAATCGTGGTCGTGATGCCGATAGGCCAGGTGAAGTTGACCATCGTAGAGATGCCGACCAGGAGGATGGGTGGTGTGAAGACGAGCTTGACGATGTTGACCGTCGACGCAGAAAGGGTGTGAGCCTTGGGCAAATTAGTGTTTCCGATACCGAGGAAGGCTTTGACTGGATTCGTTTGCTGTGTGCCGGTAGCTTTGTTGTAATATGTCTCGCGGCCAAATGCCAGGATCAAAAGCGTCGAGAAGCCGTAAAATCCCGTGAGCACCTTGAACGCATCGCGCCAGGAACCCGTGCCTTCGAGAATGTAGCCGGCCAGGGCTGGGAAGAGGAAAGGACCGACCAGGAAGGTTGTACCCCAGATGTTGATATACCTAGGCCAGTCTTTGGGAGCGTACATGTCGTGAATGATGGGGAGACCGATGACTTGTGGGACTGTGCCAAAGAGGCCTTGCAGGGCACGGAGTGCTGTGAACACCGACCACGATTCTGCATAACAACAACCGAGGACGACAAAGAGGGTGATGAGTTGTGGGTAAAGCCAGATCGGCATTCTGGGAGAAATGTCAGTCAGAGGAAAGACTGGCTCAGATCACTAACCGTCCATAAGCGTCAATAAAAGGCACAGCAATGATACCTCCAATTCCTTGTAGCAGGATGCCATAGTTGAGAGACGTTGCAGAATGTGTAACTGAGGTATTCCATTCGATTGCCTGAGGAACGACAAGAGTTGCGCCCCAGGTCATGCCACTTGGAATTGTCAGTCACAAAGGATATTTTGAGCTTCAGAAGAGATAGACATACCCATCAGCAAGAATGGAGCTCGACATCAAAGCGATGAACACAAGTCTCTTTTTCCATGGACTCCAATTCTGCGGATTTCGATCGTCGGAAGGATCCGGTTCAACGATACTGGCCTCATTGCTATCGCTGCCGACAGCAATGGCCGTAGCCTCAGGGCCGGTGGCCTTTTCAGACATGACCGGTTTGTCTGCGCCAGGCGAAGATGGAGGAGAACTCATGATTATAGAAAACGAAGACGCTCAGTTGAGTTGGATATACCCACAAAGATGAATGAGAGAAAATATTCTGGAAGGTAAAAGATTTATCGGAAACGGTGCCACGAGGGCAAGATCGCTGGAGCTACCAGCTCTTCCGCAACGTGGTCGACAAGCGCTAATGACTGCCAATTGCAAGACAATCCCGGGAGGTCTCGAACAGCCGGGCCTCGCGTGGAGATAAAAACTTGGACAGAGAAAAGAGCGGTGTGGATGTTCCTTGTGAACTACCCCAAAGGCGCCCGAGGATGAACAGCTCATGGCCAAGATTCAATAAAACGAGATGGAGGCCTCATGCCGAGGGGGTCCCATAATTCGAGATAGGAGTCGATGGGCAAGTTAACAGATCAGGGTCATGAACCGGCTCGAACGCCTCCTGCATGTCAATGCAACTTTGTGCGGAAACAAGAATGCATTAGCAAGGTCAGGGGGGAAAAAGACCAGAGTAGTGCACTTGTAGCGAAGTCGAGCGGCTTTCAATAGGGCCGGGGCTTGCGACGCCAGTCACGATCTAAACAGTGCAGGCTGCGTTTGATAGGCAGTAAATATAATTGAAATTTACTCTCCTGACCAAAGGTTCGGTTAATGTGCACCAGAAACACTTCAAGGGGCGTAGTTGTTTTGTCCGCCTACGAACACCCTCAGTCAGTCCCCGGGATATTCCTGCAGCATTTCACTCGCCTGATGCGCAGGTTAATTGGGCCAAAGAGCAGTATTAAAGCTCGAGCATTGTTTTTTTCGCCAGATGGTGCACGGCGATGGTTCGTGGATCCATGCCGTTCCCACTACCACGTTGAAGGTCAGGGAGACACGGGAACTGGACTTTTGCTAAGCGATAGACGTGGAGGATCGACATAGCCCGAAGCCAGGACGGTAGGACGGACTACTTTGCCAATCTAATCGCGACGGTGTCGGTTCAGCCATGCGGATGCAGTAACCAGTTATTCCGCGTGGGGCCCGATCAAAGCTCCCGTCAACGGGGATTGGTAGATAACAAATGCTTGACAAGCCCCCAGCAATAGAAGGTTTGACAAGCATGTGTCAAACAGAAGCGTGCCGAAGACCGATCGGGGAGGTTACCGTTGAACCCCCGTCAAGCGTAACGTACGGTAACGCAAGGTGATAAGCGGGTCGTGTTCCTTTCGGTAGGATTCCACCAGGCGCGATATCTTTCTTCATGAGATTTGATTCAATCTGAACACTGTGTGCCGTGTCGGATTCCAGAGTGACTCAATATGAGCGACCCAGGAGCGGTGCTTGCCTCGACGGTGACTGCTGTAAGACGAGAGAAATCGTGATATTTGATCGAGTGATATTGACTGAGCTCCAACAGACGGCTGCGCTGGGTTTTGTACCGGTGGCCATACATTTTAAGTTCTTCCCCCTGATCAATCGTATTGGGCCCGTTGCAACGGCCGAAGCTTTGACCAAGGCTTCTGATGAAGAGAGGAGTGATGAGGAGAAGAGAACATCACCGCTCTGTAAGAACCTCGCTCGGGAAACAAGGACCTCGCTGACCGCTCAAGGCTTGCGCTTGACAGGTCTGCGTAATGTTTGATCATCGTATACAGCTCTGGCTGACAAGGACAGAGGACACCATGTTCGCCATGGCTGGCCTCGGCCTCGTTGATCTTGTAGATGATACCACATACAGAGTAAACGCCGTCACCGCGCACATGGAAGCGGTACCATCCGCCATTCATGGCATGCTGCACTTGTATGTCCCATCACTCGAGAGGTGGCCGTGCTGATGTCTGTAGCACTACAGAGCCTCTATGGGCCGCAGCCTTTTTGATGCGACAGCTGCGAGACACAAACTTTGCCTATCCGTTCGAAGAGAATAAAACGCCCACGCAGTACGGGTATAAGATGATCGGCGAGGAAAGGTTTGCGAACGAGCATACTTATTCCATAATGGCAATGCAAGGCCGAATGCCCAGTTTCAATGCCTTCATGGAGGGCAAGTTTGGCAAATTCGGCACCATGCCCGAGCGTGTAAAAAGTTTTGGATACGATCTCGACTCGGTTCTCAATGGCAAAGACAACGATATCGCCATAGTCGACATTGGAGGGGGACGAGGCGAAATGCTTCTGGAGGTGAAGGCAGTGTATCCTCACCTGGGAAAGCAGAATCTTGTCCTACAAGAGTACCATCCCGATGAGGTGAATACTAATGAACTGACGGTGGTACATTGGGATTTCAAGGGCGGCTCCCCTGAACCCATCAAAGGCGCTCTTGTGTATAGCTTAACACACATTTACCACAATCTGCCCGACTTGGAAGCCTTGCGATTGATGAAGACGGTTTCCGAAGCAATGGCTCCCCACTCCAGAATGTTGATTCACGAGTTTTCGAAGAACTCGACGTATGGGAAGATGCATGCGACTATGATTCAGTTGTATGCCGGGAGAACTAGAAGCAGTCGGGAGTGGAAGCAGATGGCTGCCATGGTAGGATTAGAGGTAACCTTTGAAGCCTACCCCGTTGCTGGAGAGGGCCTTGTCGAGATGAGGAAGGTATTAAACTGAGTCGCCTCAACCATCGATGGAAGCAATATAGTTGCCCTGCTTCCTCACAGAAGGGACGACAATTCTACGTGCGTATGCTTCAGTCTATCTGCCCCAGCAATGAAATACCGTTCCCAACCCGCCGGCCATGATGCCAAATTTTTGAAACGCCGTATTACAGCTGAGCCGAGACTTGAAATGAAAACAAAATTAGACTTCGCGTCCGGAACTCGCCTGGTAGCAGAGGCTGGATACAATTCCGGGTGTTGTCGTGGATCCTTTCATGAACTCCAATGGCTTTTGGACCATGGCAGGCACCAAAGTCCCTGGCCGATACAGAACCGCAGCCTCGACACTGAAGGGGCAATGTAATGGATGATCCCTGGCTCGGCGCAATTATCCCAAAGCGATTTGTCGCAAAATTGGAGCACCAATGGGTGCGACCAGGAGGGAGGAATGACACCTCACCAGGAACAGAAGGTCTGTGATTCGTGTCTGAAGTTCAGTGATATGGGCGCCGCGATTTCCCGTGTAGGCAAATCCTCATTGGTTTTTCTTGAAAACACTCCGGGCCCTTTCCCCAACTAGATACCATCCATCACCAAACCGTCAACCTTGTTCTAGTGTCTGGGACTGGGATGGACGGCCGGGAGTGGGGCGCTCTGTTTGCGTACTGCACTCCGCACTCTTTTCCGTAACGACTAGTTACGGCTCAAAGATCGAGACGCCGACAGCTTCGGAAATGTGCTCTGGCGGCTCGGAATAAGATGTTTGGTCAAGGAGCCCTGGTCGCCCAAGTTGCTTAGCACAATAGGACTCGTTTAACTGGCCACAAACCCACCCTCAAAGTCAAACTACGGAGTATGTTGCTTGTAGCTAGTGCGAAACTGCTTGCAGACTTTCGCGCAAGCGTGGAGTACACTCCAGGGGAGCCGCGCTGACCGCAGGCGGTCCCCTTTACGGGTTTGTTTTGCTCCGGGTGTGTCGTGCTCCGGCTTGTCAGTATCGTTATGACGGAACTTTCTTGTGACATCCTGGCTTGTCAAGTCATGTACTAAAGACTGGCAAAAAGCACTTTGTTGAATAGTGACTGGGAGAAAAGGCTACACGGACACGGCTGTCCGGGTGGCATTTGTCAAGCCTGCTCTGCTTTTTCCTTGTCCAGACGGTAAAAATGTGGGTACCAAAACCTGCTTAAAAAAAAAAAAATAATTAGAAAATGTCAAACTATTCGTGCCCCTGACGGGCCCGAGGCAGGAGGTCCGATATCTGCAGCTAACCGTCTAAAGACCAATGGTCAGTTCGGTCCTGCTTGTTGAAGATCCGCCGGCGCCTCAAACTACCCTGGTAATGTAAAGTGGGATCATCACCGTGGAAGGTCAAGGGGTTCGTTAAAACAGCCTCAACAAGGTTGTTCCTGCATCGCACATCTGAAAAGAGTTCGATAAAACTGAAGCAGTAGATGGGATAAGAGGTACGCCCTCGGGACGTGCAGACCGTTTGTCTCTCACCCAAACACAAGTAATATGGATGTTCCACGACCAGACGGTCCCGATGTGGATAGAGGTATGACTTATCCCTATGACATCGTCCATGCCCCAGGGAATTGATTGAGTATTAGGAACCAGCATCTTCATCGGATGCTGGGTACTCACGGCGGTTGTGTTCTTTGTTCTTCTCTTTCGCTTCGGTGTCAAGGCCTGGATAGCATGGCTGCTACCCTCAATCTCCAAGCCCGAACGGGTATGGGGTTATGAAGATTTTTTCTTTGCCTTTGGGTATGCTTTTGATGTTGCACATATGGCTTTGATCTGGAAGAGGTGAGACTGTCTCCGATGACTGCGCGGCGTTGACGGAATGCTGACCCTTTCCAAGTCATGAATGGGGTTTGGGAAGACACTTCTTCTACCTCTCCCCAATTGAAAGGAATCTCGCCATGAAATATGATTTCATTTCACAACCACTAGCGGTATCGGCTGCGATGTGGTCGCGAACGGGAGTCATTATCTTTCTTTACACATGTTTCGCCCAGAACCGGAAAAGTTTGCGAGTCATCATTGTCGTCTGTTTAGTGGTGCAGATTATCGCCAATTTGTTTACCATCCTGCAGATTTTCCTGCAGTGTGGCCCGAATCCGTACAGACTGGTGAACAGGGCAGCCTACTTCCACTACATGTGGGATCCGCTCCCTGAAGATGGATCCGTTGTGTGTCAAGATCCCTCTGTGCAGGCCACCGTAGGATATGTTCAGGGCGGTGAGTTCCCTTGGTGCTTCCGCTTCGTGGGCTGATCGGGTCGCCAGCGTTCAACACCATCATCGACTTCACTCTCACGTACCTGGCGGGTCTCGAGTTATGGCAGTTCATGTTCCGAGCAGCCGATCACGGTCGGCAGACGTCCTTCATGACTCGATTCAAGAAGCTTGATCCCAGCATTCGAAATCAACGGCTTTGGCAGACTCTTTTACTCTGTGGTCCGCTGTTGTTGTCCGGTGTCGCATCGATTGTGAAGACCTATGTAAGAAAAGTCCACCGGACCGTTCCGCAAACGTTCCTGACAGATCATTAGCTTCTCTCAGCTCTTGGAAGCCGATCGGACTTCACATGGAACATCGTACCTTTCATCCTTTGGGTCAAGTGAGTGGGCAAGCTTGATACTCGTGAAGCGGGGCCACGACTAATCGCTTGTTCTCAGGATTGAAAATCACTCGATTCCCATTGCAACAACAGCACCGATCCTCCGTCTATTCATTCGTACGTTCACCGATCAGCGAGGAGGGGGAAAAGGATATGGATTGAACAGTAGCGGAGGCCAGCGGTCAAAATCTGGACACATTGAGTTGTCACATCGGTCGCATAATAAGTCAGGGATCCACCGAGATGACAAAGGATTTGTTCATATGCGTGACACCGATTATATCAGTGAGACTGTGCATGGAGGAAGCTTCCATGGCTCAGAGCACGACCTTGTCAGTCACAACAATGGCATCGTGGTCAAGCATGAGTATGAAGTGCGCGTCGAGGAAGGCAGAGACGAAGGGAAAGATCGAGACTTGCCCATAATGCAACCATGAAGACAGCGATCAGGATGGGTTGTATCAATACATGGATGGGTTCATTGCTTTAGTTGTTGCGGACAGAAGAAAACGGTCATGGTTACAGGGTGTGACTGGCGATTGCGCACTGTCGTTGAGAAATCTCTGCACACTGCTTATAGCATGACTGCGGCGCCGTTGAAAAACGAAAATAGCGTATTGAACTTGGTGCCCCTTTCATTGAGCCGTCCCTCTCAGCTTACCGTGATTTGGCCTAGGTATCAACCGCGCCGGTAGATTTTGGCCTGTCTTGAGTCGCTCTCGGTGCAGCCATACGGCCTTCCCTCGGGAAATTGAAGAATTGAATGCTGAACAGCGTCTTGAATTTGGTGAGCAAAACCATTACGTGCTGACCAAAAAGGACATGGTACGATCGATTACCACCACAAATGTTCCGGGAAGAAAGGAAAACATGGCCAAAGCAAGTACCTTCATTTCTATACTCTCTGGCTGGTCGCCATCTTTACCATTTCCAAGCTAAGAGCACTGTCACGTTGTACCATTATGCTTGGGCACTGAAGATGGATTGTCAGCATGGAAAGAACCGGGCTGGGATCAAATTTACTGCTTGGATCCGAACTTGAGCTCGTTTTCCCAAGGAAGCCCTTCGAGAGCTATTGTTCTCAAGCCCGGTTCTCATGAAGCCGATGTTTTTCATCCAAACACCTCTCCATGCGAGATCTCTTGTTGGAAAGGGCCACGTCCATTTCCTCAATCCATGCCAACAGCCTCAAATTGGTCTCGCACTTGCATTCGTGGCGAGCACAATCCGAGGCCAGAGAGGTAAGCATGCCAGCAACGGCATCACATCCTGGCCAATCCCAGACTTCTCCACCATAAGTATGGTATCTCGATCGTTCATGCGATTCCCTGCCTTGGTAAATTTTGTGCGCACCAATCTTCTTCTCGGCTTCGTACAGCTCAATTCTGATTTTGGCCAGCTCGTCCGGGAAACCTGCTGTTCTCAATTCCGTCAGAATGAGCAGGAGAAGCACTGGCATCCAAACGTCCTATTTCAGAATTTCGAGCCGTAGCTTCAAAATTTCAAGTTCCTTCTTGGGGAGCATACGAAGGACTTCCCAGGTTCTTCCGGAGCTGGGATCAGCAGCCGTGTATAGACTCGTGGTACACGTAAGAATCTCCGAGGTTGAGAAGTTGGAGCATCGACCGGGGAGCATCGACCGGAGGGCATCCCTCGCAATAGGAAGGCAGTGTTCATGTCGTCATGAAAAGGACAGATTCTGATTGGGATATGAGCATTCTGAGATCAAAATACTAGGTGCCAAATCACCTGCATCAATCATAAAATCTAGGTGGTGTTTGTCCTGTCAATTCCGATCGGTGACTATAAAATACTAGCTCGATCATTTTCTTCCCACAGCGCCGGAAAGACTCCGATCAGTGTCTTGAATAAAAGCCCGGCGGTAGCAGCTCCTAAATACATGGCAGCCTGGCTATCTTACCTTTGGGCCCAGTCAATTTCTTGCCTCGTCTGGAGAGAGCTTCACCGTCTTGTAACATGAATCTTTGGCATCCTTACGATGCGTTAAGCGGCCGAGGAGGATCGAACATCAACTGATTTGCCGACGTTGAAACACCCGATTTTCGACAAATACCTGGTCTTGGTGGTCAATAAACGCTTCAGCCTTCTGCGAGGAAAGGTTCAGGACGTCATATGCAAAGGAAGCCGTAGTTCATTGGTAAAGCAGACGAGCGTCCGGGCCATGATGGTTTCTAAAGCAGAAGATCCCGAGAGATCCTTCAGATTTGAAGCACAAGGGGGGTAAACATTCAAGCGGGCTTGTCGGGTGATCATCTTTCAACGTTTCGGCAGTGTACAATACTGCAAACGCCCTTGGAGAAAGTCAGTCCTGCATAGTGACACCGGCAAAATGATATCCATACCTCTTTCGCATATCTAAATACTGGGGAAGTGGTGCCAGGTACATCGCAAAATTGTGAGCCGAGTTGTGTCCGATGAGGACAATTTCCTTTTTAGGTTTGATTTGATCTCAGACCCAAAAAGTATACGAGGAACTTGGCGGTGTGACACTTTCGAGAGAGATCATTGGTCAGGAAGATGGCGTCATTTCTTGAGCTCTCTTCAGCGTTTGTCACCATTTCATTTTTCTTCCTGCTCAATGAGAGAGCAAAATCGACTTGGCTGAGCCACGATGCCGCTATTTGAGACCCTGAGGGCAATACATGAATATACGAGAGATCGCCAAAACGCGTACCATGCAAACAATCAGAAGCTGCTGCTGAGGCTAGCAGATGTAGTCTCGCGAACATGGGATCTTGGATTTACCGCCTTCGGAGGCCCACCGGTACATTTTCAGATTCTTCACCAACGGTTTGTGGAAGGGCGAGGAGGGTTGACGCCATGGATTGACGAGCAGACGGTGTGTTTGGAATTCCTCTTCCTTGTCGGAATTGACTGACTTTGTAATAGTATCAAGAGCTGTTTGCCGTTTGTCAAGCTCTTCCAGGTCCCGCCAGTACAAAAATGGTTTTTTGTATGGCATTAATCCACGCCGGCTTCATCCCAGCCGTTCTCGTGTTTTTACTTTGGAGGTGAGGTGGCCCAGGAAGAATATGAATGGCAAGCTGACTTCCGTAGTTTGCCAGGAGCAATTGGCATGTTCGGACTCTCGCTGGGGGTCCAACATATCAGCAGTGTCCTTCCTGGTGCCGTGTACGCTTTGTTGTCCGGGCTAAATGCGTCCACTGTTGGGATCGTTGCTCTTGCTGCCGTCCAGGTGAGTGCGTGATTGGTCGAGTTGTTCCTCGACTAACGTGCCCTAGCTGGCCGAAAAAGCTATCAAAGACAGGCTGTCAAGAATCCTCGTCATTTTTGGTGCGTGTGCGGGCCTTTGCTATAATGCGCTCTGGTATTTTCCAGTACTCATTGTTGCGGGCGGCATCGTAACGGCAATATGGGACGTTTGGCTGCGACAGCAAATCGTCCGTTTGAGACGCAAGTGGAGAGAAAGACGGTCTCCCCCGCGACCTACGGAAGCAGGCGCAAACGAGGCCGGCGACAGCATTGAACTCAGACCGCCGCAAAGTTCCATTTCGAGTGGGTTGCAAAGGAGAGCGGGAGGCACAGTGGTGTCTGCAGCATCGCCGGCTGAGACGGCACAGTCGAAATCCACGGAGACGGGCCCTTCTGCGCCAATGGAAACGGTCACTCCTTCAACCGACATGCGATCGCACGGCATTTCGATCCGGGCAGGGCTGGTCATAATAGCCGTCTTCTTCGGTTTGTGCGCCCCGTTCCTCATCTGTGACGATCTTTACTGACAGATAATTCTAGCGTCTTTTATCGCAATCCTCACGACTCGAGGCCTTCTTGATTCCCCTCCTCGGCCCTTGGACCTATTCGCCAACATGTACCTGGCTGGGACAATCATTTTCGGAGGGGGACCAGTGGTGATTCCACTTCTCCGCGAGTATGTGGTAGAGCCGGGCTGGGTTTCATCCAGAGATTTTCTCATCGGTCTAGCCATTATTCAAGCCTTTCCCGGTCCTAACTTCAACTTCGGAGTCTTTCTGGGAGCCCTCGCCCTACTGGGAACCTCCCAACCTACTATTGTTGGGGCTCTCGTGGGATATGTTGGCATCTTCCTGCCTGGTATCACGCTTGCTGTGGGCGTCCAGAGTTTATGGCGAGTCTTGCGGACCAAACCAGTCTTTGTAAGCTTCCTCCGTGGCATCAATGCTACAGCAGTAGGATTAGTCTTCACGGCGGTATACAGGCTTTGGGAAATCGGGTACCTCACACAGGAGGAGAGCCAAGGGCAGAGCCTAGCAAAGGAACCGTGGTGGGTGGTTGTGGCCGTCCTGACCTATGCCGAATCTGCCTGGTTCAACCTGCCTCCAGCTCCGGCGATTGTCTTGGGGGGCGCGTTGGGATTGGCATGGTATGGCGCGGTAGGGAGATAGACGGGAGTGGACGTAAAGGAACGAAAAAAAAAAAAAAAAAGAAAAAGAAAAAGAAAAAGAACAAGAGAGAGTCCTTGATATGGAGACGCGTTACTGAGACACACACTTGGACACGTGATGGCGGCCAACGTAAAATCTATCCCCGTGACTGCAGTCTGGGAAAGCGGCTGCCCACCCCGCATTTTTGCTGGCCTTGACCTAATCGACCACATCACGCACTCAACACGTTCTCGACCAGCCGCGACCTCGGGTTTTGTTCTCATCCTTTCAGCACTCCTCTTAGCTTGTTGGCCACGCTCGCTCGCCGTTGATGTCGCCGAAGGAACGGACAGGAGAAAGGTCTGGGGAACGTTCGGCAGCTTGTGCCACTTGTGGTAAGACCTTTGCTCGCTCAGACACTCTTCTCCGTCATGAAAAGAGCCATCTTGCGACCGAGGATCGAGGCCCCGTCCACCGCGTTACCAACGGAACATTTCGAGCCTGCCGTGCGTGCGCGACGGCACGGTCTAGATGCTCGGGAGGAACGCCTTGTGGACGGTGCAGTATACGCAACATCGAGTGTATCTACCCAAACAAACGCCGAAAAGGCTTGTCACCAAATGAACCGATCAAAATCAAAGATGATGGCCCGAAGCGACAACTTCTCGGCCTCTTCAATGAACTGGTGTTCCCGTCGGAGAGTCAGGTCCAAGTATCCAGCGACGACCGTCAGAGTGACCGAAAATCTTCCACCTCGACGGCATTCCCCCAGTCAATGGCCCATGGCGCGCCGAAGGAATCATACACACATTCAACATTTCAGCCAGATTATAGCTCCAGGCACGTGCCCCTTTCGCAAAGCGACCAGACAACGGTGGAAATCAACGCGATGAATCATCCCACTAGACAAATGATGCCACAAGACCACTTTGGAAGTGGCCCAGTGGCATCTCATTACAATCCTGATTTTGTGGGGGCCACGTCGACCTACGACTACACTTCCTTTGACGAGCCTCTGAACTGGATTCCACCAAGCATTTATCCCTCCCCGTACGACGCAGAACTTGAGCAAGATTTCTCCTTCATCCTTCCTCCCTTATCTGACACGCCAAACCTAGGTCCTGATTATGGAGTGGCCATCCCTCTCGGCACGACCACTCAGATCTATCAAGTACCGACCAACGTCTCCCACGAGATGCCCGAAAACCAAGGATTTCCCGCCTCTCTGATGACGGTGGAACAAAGTCCAGCCTCATCGGCAAGTGATGGCATCAATGCGACAAAACCAACCAACAGCACATCCACGGCTTCGGACTTTAGACGTAAAAAACGCAAGACGTCCTTGGTCGCCGACATGTTCAATAAGGCGAGGAAACAGAGGATGGGCTATTCTTTCCCGGATCCCTCAGACCCATCCAGCGCCATTTCGGCTCCTGACACCCCCGAATACTGCTCCCAGACTACCTACGATTCCATTCTGAACATGTTCCGAAAGTTGTGTGTGGAAAGTGCGCCTTCAAATTCATTTGAGAGTCCGGCTTTCCCAAATATGAACAGTTTCAACGCTTGCATCGATCTTTACTTTGAATACTTCCACGCCAATTATCCTCTCTTACACAAAGCGTCCTTCGGACCTCGAACGCATTGGATCTCAGTGCTCGCGGTTGCCGCAATCGGCAGTACCTTTACGAGAACACCGTACGCTCTAGATATTCGAGAAGCATTCCAGGAGTTCCTGCGTCGAGCTGTCGACCAGTATGCCGACGGAACGCCCGATGTTTCCTTGGACATCCCCCTGGCACAAGCTCGAATATTGAACCTGATCGGTCTTGTTCAGTCTGACCGGGACCAGCTGCGGTGCTTAGCGCCTCGCTACCACGCCGACCTTTCCCGCTGGTGCCTGGAGTCCGGAGTTCTTCAACTTCCCGAGTGCGGTGACGTGTCAGAAGCCGATCTTGACGGCCAAGGTATCGAGGACCCACGACAATATTGGCAGCGGTGGATAAGGGTAGAATCCGTGCGACGGGTTGGATATCTGACTTGGATGTTGGATTGTTGTCTGGGGTACATGGCCAACGTCCGGCCATTATGTAACATGGACGATGCGAGAACACCTCTCCCCTGCTCCGAATCGGCTTGGAGTGCGTCTTCGCCTGAATGCTGGGCCGAGGCGACACAGAAGCTATCCGAGACCCCCTCATTATGCGCGGCGCTAGAAATACTATACAATAAGAAGACGGTCGACCCCGCTTATAGCGAGCTATCACAAACGTTGCTGATTCATGCGCTATACCAGCGGACGTGGGAAGTCGGCACTCATATCAAACAACCGCTCAGCGAGTGGGTTCCAACAGGCAAAGCTCGAGGATTCTTGAATACGCCAACAAAGGACAATTTTTGGCTCCCTCTCTATCCTCTGTACGCCAACTGGCGAAACTCCGCCTGTGATTGTCTCGACGTGCTCCACTGGCAGGCATCCAGCATTGTCGCCAAAGCTTCGGGTGTGGAACATGGAGTGATTCTTCATCTTCACCTCGCACGAATCATTCTCCTGACGCCATTCCAAGAAATACAGGACTTATTGTTCTCCCTGATTGGAAAAGTCGGCAACTCCTCCAAAGCATCTTTCTATGTCCACGACGGCAGCTATCAGCCACGAAATAGTGCCAAACTCCCCCAAATCCGCAAGATCACCTGGCGCTGGCTACGTGAGGATCAACACAAGGCTCGTCTGGCCATGGTCCATGCCGGTTCGGTCTTCTGGTATGTTCGTCGGTATTCCGCGACAAGTTTCTTCGAGCCAGTCGCCGTCTATCTGGCCACACTGGTTCTGTGGACCTACGGCTCCTACAAATCGGCGGCGCTCGAACGTGACGCTGCAGCTGCGAATCAGAAACCGGAAGGAGGGCCGAGTGGACCAGACGCCGGTGCTGCCATTCAACCCTCACGCATGGAGAGGAAAGAGCACCCTGTCCTGTTCATCAACAATGCGGCATCTCATCCGGAGAAGAGCTCAGGCCCCTTGAACCAACCACACTCGGCCTCTATGTCACCACTCGAAGGGCAACCAACAGATTCCCAGTGGACTTCGGCCAGCGGGAGCGGAAATCCACCACCCCAAAACGCCGACTCAGATAGTGAAGAAAGCACCTCTTCATCGGACGAACAGCCGGAATTCATCCACCTAGACCGGCCGTGTGATGACGAGATGGTACAACACTTCGTACGTAATGGTCACAACATGTCGGGACATATGAGCAATGTGGGCGATATCTGCAAGACCCCGCAGAAAGTTCTGCTCGAAGGCGCCAAGTTGTTACGTACTAGACTTGCGTGTTGGGGCGTGAGCAGGGAATACTACGATATATTGACCAAGCTGGCGGAGTTGAGAAAGGCTAGCTAAACACACCCTTGAAATTGTTTTTTCTTTATCTTCCCGAACGCATCTTTGCGAAGTTTGAACTCACCATGATGCACATATTGGCCAGCGCGTCTTGCACAAATTCCTCCTTTGAGCTTAATAAGATACGGACTATGTACAGTCTAATGGCCATGATCCAGGTCTAACGCGCCGATGTCGTGGACAATGTTCGCATTCCGTTCGAGTTCATGAGATCTTCCATCTCAATACCGTGATGGAACATTTTGGAAACACAAACACCGCCTCATTCGCATCCCATTCTGATTCCTTCAAACCAACTTCTTCCTTCCCCCCCATATTGGTGACTTTTGGATCTGCCCCTGTAATCGTATAGACCTTGACTTTTCCTTTCGCTCCATCGACTCCCCCCACGGCCGTCTTCATATCTGACTGCAAATGCATGTTGACCACACAAACGCTGACCCACCCTTCGTCATCCACTGTCGCACTGACATCCAGCCAGGGCGTTTCCTTCAGCCCCCTCACCCATTCCGGTTTCGTCGGGCCCGAGTACGCATCACATGCCACGTGCACGGCAACCGTGTGGCCTTTCATGAACTTGCAAAACAGTTCGTACGGCCACCAGGTCGTCTGCTTGATGATTCCCGTCTCTGTGGTCATCAGTGGGCTCAACACATTGACGCTCTGCGCGATACAGGCCATCTCGACGTCCTTGGACTTGCGGACCAGAACGTTCAACCACACCGCAATGGCCAGTGCGTCGGAGAGCGTGTACTTTTCCTCTGCGCCTTGACTGCCTGGCGCCCGCGTGGGGAGCCATACGTTCCATTCATCGAAGCAGATCCCCGGTCTCTTCTGGGTAGGAGGGATCTTGTTCTCGACAATTGCCAGGTCAATCAAGCCGGAGCAGACTTCAATGGCGCGCTCCGCGGCCAGAGGTGCAGTGACATTTTCATAGTGGTCCTCACTCGCCGTGTACAGGTGTATGCTGTGCATGTCTATCAATGGAAGGCGTTCTTCGCCTAGATCACTGAGGCCTGCCGGCCGCAGGCAGTGTCTCAGCGTATGGTAATCCCAGGTCGTCGCTCCCTCTTTTCCGCACAGGATAAGTTGGATAGACGGATCTAGAAGTTTCAACGCCTTGGCCCACTGTGCTGCCTTCTCCGCGTATGCTTCTTGAGTCATTTGCTCAATTTGCCAGGGCCCCCACATCTCGTTTCCAAGAGCCCAATACTTGACATTGTATGGCTCTGGGTGCCCGTTTTGGCCACGAAGATTGGCGTAGTATGTGTTTTTCGTCCCGTTGCAATATTCCACCCATGCCATGGCTTCATCCAGCGTCCCCGTCCCGAGATTCAAACACAGATATGGCTCGGCATTGACCGCTTTGCACCATGCCATGAACTCATCGGTGCCAAATCGGTTGGTTTCAATATTTCCCCAGGCGAGCTCGGGTCTGGATGGGCGCTCATTGACGGGACCAATGCCATCTTGCCAGTGATAAGTTGCGCAGAAGTTTCCTCCCGGATAACGGAATACAGGGATGTCGAGAGGCCTCAATGCCTCGAGGACATCTTTTCGAAAGCCTTGGTGGTCGATTAGGTCCTGGTTGGGATTAGAAGGGTCATAGATTCCCGTATAAATGCAACGGCCCATGTGCTCGGTGAAACCCGAGTAAATATTGCGATTAATCTTCGAGACCTTGTGCGAGGGAAAGACGGTAATTGACGGGGTTGACCTGGTGGCTGTGAGAGTCGTCATGATGCCTTTCAGCAGGAAGCAGCACCAAGAATCCAATCCACCAGAAGATGAACGTTAGAAGATGTACGGTTTGCTTGTTCGGTGTAGACGCTCGCAATGCACGTGATCTGAATTTCTCGTGACGGAGGTTGTTCGACGTCAGTTTTCCATGGTCCCAGCAATAATTCTACACATACCTTGACCACCGGCTGATTGACTTACCTATCGTCCACTATAAATCCGGAGGATAATTCCCGGAAAAATTAGCCCTGTCGATTTCCTCCTTTCGGCGAAGATCCGGTCAAGCGAGAGGCGTCAAAGTTTTCAACGGCAAATTTGCCAACGGACCTCGACCATATCGACGACACGTGAGGTTCGCGTATGATGGAGATGAGATACCTGGCAGTCGATGGTATAATTGGGGCTCTCACGAGACACCCAGACTTTTATGGAGCGGAGGGGAACAACACTGGGCAAAAAGTTAGGAGAGCTGATCGGTTAAGGGATCCCAGACGAAACGCCTTCCGACACCGGACAACTTCCGTCTTGGGCAAAATCTCCTCCACCGGAGATTCATCCCCACAAAATTGCACTGGAGCCGATGCTCTTCCCTCCGGAATATCTCTTCGGCGCACTTAGAAATTTGCTCGAACCTCTGTGAGACTTCGATATGTCGAACGAGACTCACCATAGGTCACTCACTCGCTCCGGACTGGTGTATTCCTGTTTTGCTTTTGCGGGGATGTGGCTCGTGTGGGAAAATTGCAGGCATCTAGGGTTGTCTCCACGAAGTCAATGAACTCTGACCACTAGGCTTAGCGAGACGACATCTGGCCGAGATTCACAATCATATATCTACTGCCGGTCTCTGCTGATCTGCTGATATTCATTATCCTCTTGAAGACTGTTCTCGGAATCCTCCTTCAAAGGAGCAACTCATCTTCGAAGACATTGTCATACAATTGTGTCAATTCTGCGTCGCTTCGGCCGACCCAACATGGCGCTTCCTCCAAAGTGGTATCAATTCCTTGTCAGTGTCTTCGCCTCATTAGGATCGTACCTATACGGCTACGATTTGGGTGTCATCGCCGAGGTGGTTGCCAGCAACACCTTTGTGGCCAAGTTCCAACCAGATGATACCGAATCGGGTCTCGTCGTGTCCATGTTCACCACTGGTGCTTTCTTTGGTGCTGCCCTAGCAGGTCCCAGCGGCGATTATCTGGGCCGTCGATGGACTATCACGGTCGGAGCCTTGATTTTCTGCCTGGGAGGTGGACTTCAGACAGGCGCAGAAAATATCGGTTATCTCTGGTCGGGACGATTTCTGGCCGGATTGGGGGTGGGTTTCCTTGTCATGATCATTCCCCTATATCAAGCGGAACTGGCCCACCCAAGCATTCGGGGACGGATCACAGCCTTGCAGCAATTCATGCTCGGCGTGGGCGCCCTTGTTGCGGCTTGGATTTCATGGGCCACATACGTCCACATCAAGGACAACAGCGCACAGTGGCGAGTTCCTCTGAGTTTGCAGATTGTGCCTGCTGTTTTCCTCGGCTTGTTGATTTTCTTGTTTCCTGAATCTCCCAGGTATGGTGTCTCCTTTCCTCTCCTGTTCCACAAACTAACATCTACCCCCCCTCTTCAAAGATGGCTGATGGACCACAATAAACCCGAAAAAGCTCTCAAAGTCCTCGCTCAACTTCACGCTCACGGCAATGAAAAAGATCCTTGGGTTATGGCCGAGTATGAACAGATTCAAGCCTCCATTGCCCACGAACATGAATACGAAGCCAAGTCCTATCTCGAACTCTTCAAATCCCGAGCGGCTTTTCGAAGGCTTTTCCTCTGCTGCGCACTGCAAGCCAGCGTCCAAATGACGGGAGTCAGCGCAATCCAATACTACTCCGTCACAATTTACGGACAGATTGGTACGTTTTATCCTTGTTCCAATGGTTTGGCCTACGCTGAACAGTCCCAGGTATCTCCGGAGATGACACACTCAAGTATCAGGGCATCAATAGCATCATCGCATTAGTCGCACAATTTTGCACAATCCTATTCATCGATCGCACTGGCCGGCGCTGGCCGTTGATCCTCGGCAACCTGGGCAATATGGTGACCTTCATCATCGCAACAATCCTACTTGCTGAATTCCCCCCCGGCGTATCCACAAATAGAGGCGCCCAATGGGGCTTCATCATCATGACCTGGCTGTACAACTTCAGCTTCAGTTGCACTTGTGGACCATTGAGTTGGATCATTCCCGCCGAGGTATTCGACACACGAACTCGTAGCAAGGGCGTCAGCATTGCCACTATGACTAGCTTCGCCTTTAACACCATGATCGTAAGCTCTTCAACGCACCCCTCCTGGTATCAACCACGGAATCTAACATTTTCTTCAGGGCCAAGTGACACCGATTGCCATGACCAACATCGGCTACAAATTTTATTACCTGTTTATCATCTGCAATTTCACCAACGCCGTCTTTTTCTGGCTTCTCCTGCCCGAAACCGCCCGCCGCCCGCTCGAAGAAATGAACTACATCTTCAGCAATGCGCCGTGGATGGTCGTCGGCACAAGCAAGGACAGCTATGTTAGTCATGACCTAGAGAATAGGTTCACTGAAATCACTGCCGAGGTCGAGGTCAAAAGAACAGAGAGTGTGATGCACGAAGAGAAGGCTGCGCATTAACCGCGGACGGATGATGTTGACCAATGGTTGGAAATCTGACTTGCAGAAATGCGCTCGGATATCAAATCCATGTCGTTGAGGCGAAGACATATACCAAATCTTCAAGTTCAATGGTGGAGAGAACCAGACACAGTGACTTTCGAATTTGGACAAGGCTGACATGCGCGAATACACGGTGTCAATATTGCTAATACTCCGAGATTGGCTCCTTTTTCGAGATCCAGAAAACCTCTAAACTTGTTGATACTTTCATTTCAACCCATGTATCATCGCTGCTCAGAAAACCTTACATCCACCTGCTTAATAGCCTGAGCAACAACATCCTCAAAATCCAGCCTAGGCAGATCCAAAAGCTCATTTCTAACCTGCATGTTCCCTTCCCTGGTGAAGTCGTACCCATACCTGGCGAGGAAACAACCCGCCTTAACCAGTCAGGGCAGAGTGTGTATTTTGGTTCTCGCACCATAAGGCTTGTGCCCTGGAAACCACGGTGTCAGCGCCGGCGTCGAAATGTGGAATTTCGTCTTTTGTGATCTGAAGTCTCTCGAGGACAGAAAGTATGTCCGCTTGAGATGCTTCGAAGACGCGGATCCGGACAGCTTAGTTCGCAGTCGGGTTTATTGAAAGCAGCATCTGCGCGATATCTTCGGCGGCCCAGGGGAGTGTGGGCCATGAGAGCTTGTCCAGAGAGTAACGGTGTGAGTTTTGATGCTGATGTTCGCAAACGCGATTGTCGGGTCGAGTGTTCTGTTTGATTTAGCATTCCAATCAGTTACAACTTCTTCAGATAGGGGCGAACGTGTATTAAGCCCAAGCCTTACCGTTCAAGCCACAAACTATCGGGCACGACCGTCTCTGTGAACCAGTGGACTTCTTTCTTTTCAATAGCTCGATAATACCACCTTCAGAACCGAACACATGGCAGGGAGCTCTTGCGGCTGGATGGGTATTCCTTACGCTGTCCTCTGAAGGCAGGAAGGGCTTGGCTTTACCATCAATGGCAGCATCGATGAGTTTCTCCTCCAGGCAATAGCTCCGAAGTTAAAGGCTAAGACAACGGCATCTAGTCCTTGCATGGTTTTCACGAACTGGTCGTGGGAAGGTCATCGTCGACACAGTAGATGGTGACGCCCTCGAAAAGGCGGATTTAAAGGATCTTCGAGCGATTATGGAGACGATGAATGATTCTAGTTTGGAGGTGAGGGCTTTCACGACGTGGTGTCCGATATTGGTGCCTCCGGCCTGGACTGGTTAATTCTGAGTGATGGGTTGAGTCTGATGACTGGGACATGTGCCAGAGACAGCCAGGTTTCTCAGAGGACTTGTTGCCGTCGTGGGAAAAGAGGGCAAAATATCGAACAGAACAAGTTCGGAAATGGAGTAGAATATAGAATAGCGCAAGAGAGCTCAGAAAAAATGGGTCAACAGAAGTTGATATCAAACGGGCCATCGTTGTTGCAGGTTGTCCAGTCCAGTCCTCTGCTGGGAGTGGTATGTATACCTTAGAAATCACAGATTGACGATGCACCTCGATGTCTCTTCAATCCGACAATGATATATCTGTCCACCGAAGTCGGTTTCATCAATTCGTCTTCAAGAATGCTGTTTCAGGTCATTTGTTCCAGCCTGAAACTACCTGGCTATATCCCTCGTCAAGAGGCTTCACAACTTTCTTCCATGCCTCGCGAGCGCTGACGGTTTCCCACCACCTCTGGAGATTTGGTCTCCCTCCAAAGACGTCCACACATCTAGTGACGATATACATGCTCGGCATGTAAGAGATGTCGACAAGGCTGTACTCATCGCCTCCCATGTATGGCATTTTCGACAGCGTCTTATCCAAGACGTCCAGACAATGGGCGAGTTTGGGTTTGTGTCTGGCGAGAACTGCTTCGTCTGGAGGCTGACCCATGGCACTGGAGGTTGTTAACGGTATGTGCGAATGATACGCCGCAGGCGACTTACGGCTGAATGACAGTCTGTCCGATGATAGGGACAGCATGGACATCAAACTCCACCGGCTCCAACATGAGCCACATTTCCCAAATACCGCTTGTCTTCGCATCGGTCAACACGGGCATCAACTTGGGTCCGACATCCCAATATTTCAGGACCAGATAACGAGAGACGGCACGGGATTCGAACATGACAACATCGCCATCCTCCAAGAGAGGAATTCTCCCAAAGATGGACTTTTCCCAGAACTCTGGGGTCTGTCGAGCGGCTCAGCAGGACTCAGGTGTACGGCTTCGATGACTCTTATACCTTATGCTTGCCAGTGATGATGTCGGCCGGTCCTATTTCAACGTCGGTGATGCCTTTCTCCGCCAAAACAAGATCAGGCCGGAGACTGTTCCACGAGAAAGGTGACGCCCAGATCTTGAGAGTCATACTTTTCGATCAGAAATATGGGCTGTTATCTTCTGTATTGTCTCAAAAGTGACTTGACAGTTGAGGCAAGTTCGAGCTTCATCGGAAGTGCCAGCTTTTTTCAAGTTTCTGGAGCTTCATCTCGACTTCTATTTATGCTGCTCCCGGATTGAGGTAAGGAATACACCTATTGCAAAGGTGGACTGGCGTGTAAACAGGTCACGGAACATCTAATCGTCCGTGCTTACGTTCATTGGCCTGCAGCGACCAAAGGCCTAACGTTATCACTCCCTGAGGAATGTTGGTCATGCTGCTAAACTCATGTTTTCACGTCCTGAGTTGTCAGAACCAACCACCTCCTCGACCATCAGTCTCGAAAAGCTAGACCTTCGTATAGCCTACGGAGACTTCCCGGCTGAAAATGTATTCTGCATACGAATTGGCGTTCTGTCCGAGGGAGCTGGGTCTGTGCACAAATTCTTCCGGCCTCGTGTTTTATGTAGGCCAAGTAAGCCACACCTATTCTCGTGTCCAGACTCTACTTTGTCGGCTTGGCTCTCAGGTTGCCCTTGGGCGAAATTTCACGCCTTGAACGAGGCAGGAGAGATTTATTTCCAACATCAAATCGATATACCGATCTTGATATATAGTATTTAACGTATTCAAAAACCTCATTTGTAGTAGAGTCCACCTGGGTCCTCGCCTTGACAGTTCCGATGCATGGCCGCCAACTAGATCCGAGTGCAACTTTTCAAGCACCAAAAGAGGACCAACCAATCTTTGCCCTGGCCATTATATGCGGTCACGACAATGTAGGTCTCTTCTCATCCACGGGCCTCTCAGCAATTTAACAATCAAATTGAACGAATGTTGCTTATCCCATATTCTCCACCATCTTCGATTTCAACCCTTTCTGCTTGTGATTGAAATAGAACGATATTCCGGAAGTAAGGATCTTGAAACCGACCTCAGCAATCGAGACTTCCCATGATGAGCCCTAAATTGGTCAAAGCGTTAGATCCTGGGATCTCAGGTATCGAAAAATTCCTGCAAAATCAAAATGGGCAGAAATGGTGTTCAGTGGATAAGCAACAAAGAATAGCTCACCTGCAGCTTGCACAAGCTCTCGAAATTCAACACATCACTGCCTAATTGATTTTGAATTTCCTTGGCCTGGTCGGTGCAGCTCCAGCCCCAAAGATCATTGTCGCTTTTTCCAATCCTATACAATGCCGAAATGACAACCCAACCGACAATATGTACCAGGACGTAAAGAAGACTGAAGGCCGCGGCCTTGCGCTTCGATCGACAGCATAGCGCTATCAAGAACGCCAATGCTAAGAGAGAAGTCACAACCGAGGCCGCAGCGAGCATAAATGTCGGCCATAGCTTTGTCTCTTGAGGCCAGGGACCCCAAGGACGATCTTCGGTCGTGATGTCCTTCGTCTTGTAGAATCTGTAGGTGACATAGAACATAGCAGACTCCATGAAAATAGACAAAAGTCCCGATATAAAGTGCGAAAGAGCGGAGGCGATCTTGGTCCAGCGTCTGATCTTGCCGAATCGTTCGAGGAGAACTTCGTGCTTAGGGCTGGCTTTGGGATCGCATTGTTGCGCGGTGGGCGATGGTCCGAAGTAAGGAGTCGGAGGACAAAGTGGAACTCCCAAGTCCGAGTAGCCAGCTTGGGCATGTGACTTGTTGTTTCCGAAACCAGTGATGGATTGAGAAAGAAAGAATTTGAAGGGGTTTGGCGCCATCCTGCTGTTATCCGGATGACGGAGTGTAGAATGTAGGCCAAAGGGTGATCGAAAATCTTTAATCTCAGGAGCACACCTCGTTATATCAAGGGATAGGAGCAATGAACAGCCACAGCCAAGTACCGGGATTTCGAAGCAAAGACGACGGTCACATCAGCTCGATGGCTAAGCTCGACTTGAAAGTTTGCCACTTGGCTTGGAGTCGTGGTGGTCTTGAAAGGGGGGTTTTCCTGGGAATTCGGAAGACACCCAGGAAAGCTCCTCCTCCAATGTACTAGGCGAGCTCATTCAATTTACCACCGCCAGTCTCCTGTTTCACAGAGCAATCCAGACCAGGTAAAAGTTGCTGAAGAATGCAGTGGGCCCAGAATAGTATCGGATGGGTAAGCAGACAGATTTAAAGCCAAGGATCCTAAGCCTGAAGGCCACGGTATTGGCGTAGGGTCAAACTCAGGTAGCCTGAGTTATGAGTTGTTTTTAGTCGCAAAAGTTTTGACCAACCCGACTGAGGCTTTGATTAGTTCGAGAACATAAGGCGCAGTGCTGGGCATTATTCATTGCTGTCTGAAGAGGTGTGAGCTCCAAGAATCGTACACGAAGAGATCTGACAATATTGAGAAGGGAAAGAAGCTACCCAAGGATGAGGGAGTCCAGAAAGTGTCCACTCCATCATACGGACGCCACGGGCCCGCCAATGAAAGATGGCACAATCCGCAGATCAATGCCAGGACAGGAATCAAAGTGTGGAAGCTGAGAGCCAAGCGGCGAAGGAGGGGTCAAACGTGTAACAGCTTTTCTGATCTGGGTAAGAAAATAGCTGAAAGGAGCTGCCAATTGCAGAACAACGTGCCGCGAAATACGAGTTGGTAGCAGGACCCCACAGGATCTCGAGGCTGAAAGGCACTGCCAAGTACACTTTGACGACTTGGCATTCTGGCACTCCACATCTGTGCTGAAGCCCGTCCTTCCAGCGAAACTGATCTGAGCGTATATCAACATGGACATTACTTATGGTTTCGATAATGCTTTTGGAGGGTTTCGTCATGTCGTTTTAGAGCGCGAACTTTCTATTCCTAATCTGTGTTTGATCCTTCTTTAGGCAGGCAACAAACCAAGTAGCGTCCCATGCGGTTGACATCCAGGTTGAAAGGTCGAATACGAGCGGGCTGAGCTGAGGAAATTGTGCCACATAGAGGGTCTGGAAGGTCTGGAAGGAAGTGCATCAGACGAATATAGCCGTGGAGAAGACTCTGTAGAGAAATGGCTGGCGGCCCCTGCCTTCCATCGGTCAGATCATCCCCAACGTCGCAAGATATCCTCTATCGTGCATCAAGTTCTCAAGTCACCCGAACCTAAGTTTCAGACTTGCTTCCTCGTGAGCGTAGCAACATGGCAGCACCGTATAACAATGATGATATGCCTGATCCCCTTCGAAGAGCTCCATCTCCCGACGGCCGAGGATATAATGCTGCTGGCCCCAATCGGAGAGTGTCCTCCCCGTATCGGCAAGGCTCGTCAAACTCGTATTATGATCGGCATCCGGAAACCAATGGCCCCAACATAACCCTAGTGGGGGTGAGAAACCTTCATTAGCACGAGACAAGATGTCCCTGACAATGCCTAGACAACAACAGCATGACGGCGGGTCTCGTGATGAGAGTGAGAAAGACCATTTCCGAGTCCTCGATGGGGAATCACTGGAGGATATGTCGGGAAACAAACCTGTCATGAATTCCTTAGAACGGTTGGAGGGACTATGTGTGGAAGACCAACAGGGTGTTTTCCGCTAGCGAACCCCCCTCCATACCATAACGGCCAAGTGTACAGCCCACCTATTGTTGATACAACCACAACGACGTCGACCTCCACCCAAGTTTATCCGGGGTTCTGGCAAGCGCCCCCACCAGTGTATCGAATTCCCTCACCGAAGCCGTGCGGGCATCAGCATAATTGTGGTTGCCACCCCTTCGGCAAATGATAAAGGGGTAGGGAGGGGCGTCCCATCTCCCATCTTCTCTCGTGCATTCCAGCGACTCTACCCAACTTTGATGTGTAGGCCTAACCTTTCTATCCTACCTGTTCAGTGACGGCTTCGCATCTACCACTATCGGTAGAGAGAAGAAGTTGGGGAAAGGAGGATCTTCCCGAGGCAGTATGGCCGTCCAAGCCTCTCAACCAGAGGCCAGTAGCCCAATATTCGGCCGAGCATTATCGACGACATCGTCAACAACTTGCTGAGAAGGGTACTGTGAAGAAACCACATGCAGACTTCACAAATGAAAATATTTGGGAGTGATGAAGAAATTCGGTAAGGGCGTGCACCATATGGGACATACCGAGGGGAGACATTGCTGATGGCACGACTAGTCATTGTTATTTTCTAGAAGACAGGGTTCGGTTCCTTGTACGCGCTACCAAAGAAGATATCATGACCTTCCTCAAGTGGATATTCCTATGTATTCTCGGACGAACATCAAGCTATGGATCCCCTACTACGGAGACAGTCTGCTTTACTGTCGTCCTACGGCGACAGAGAACTGCTTCCCGGGCAGCTACCTACCAGCGAGCTTCGCCAAGTTTGTCTTCCCATTCTATTTAAGAAGGAAGACATGGCTGCCATTAATCAACCTGCAACACTTTCTCCCAATCCTGGTTTCCACACCACTCTTTCACAGACGCCAGCTGCACCAGCACTCCTAGATCAGCCGGCTGCACAACGCTCTTATCGACCTTCCCTCCATCGTACCCAAACTCAACACAAAATCCCATCATATCCACATGATCCTTTTCAAGATCGGGGTCTCCCATATCGAAACTTGGGTTGCGGTCAACAAACTTGATACCCTTCCCTAACACCTCAGCCAAAAGCTTGGCAAAGTCTCGGAAACTGAGCCACTCATTGACGCCAATGAGCTTCTTGCCTGGTGCAACGCGGAGTAGGGCATGTACGAGGGCACCAGTATCAGCGACGGCAGAGTACATAGGCAGAGGCTTCGTAGTTAGGGGCTCTGCGACAGACAAGACGAGAGTGTCTTGGCCCTTGTTCTGATAACGAATTAGTACGAAGACCTAGCATAGTCTTGGAGGGGTAAAAAAAGGAAGTGAAGTCATGTAACTAGATGTTTTAAAGACATACCAATTTTGGCCGAAGTAGAGCGCCTGTGGGCCTAAAGTAATTTTCCAGATAATATCCCGCATAGAGTACGCTCGTCTTCTCCCAAAGCTTTGGATGGGCCGATCTGCCATACTCCTCAGCCATCGCTTTCCCATCAAAGTGGTACACATTGTATTTTCCTCCACTCAACTTGTTTGTGTTGGGCAAGCTAGAGAAACTAATCTTTCAAGCGTGCTAACTTTGGCAGCAGCGTCGAAAATGTTTCTGTTCTGCTGGGCTTCATTTTCCCTGCTGATAACTGTGATGCTCTAGCCAGATGCAGAAGCTCTCTCACGCAGCAAGGTATTGGCGAAACTTTGCCAGAAATCTGTGGCGCTAAAGATGACAGATGCACCCTCGAAAGCAGCGTCGAGTGAGGAAGGATGATCAAAGTCGCCCGCTACTACCTCAACTCCAAGTGACGCTAGGAAAATGGATTTAGAGGACGATCGATCTCGAGTGACTCCACGAAGTGTGTATGGAGAAGGCGACTGTGAGAGAAAGTATGACAGTACTGACCCTCCTTGGTTGCCTGTGGCACCAAGAACGACGAGAAGAGGCTTTTTCGAAGACATAGTGGTGATTTGTAAGAAGGAGTCTGATAGCAGTGAAGATATGAGAGTTTGTGAGTGAGGGCTGGCTCGATTTATAACAAAGTCTCTTGAATATGACGGACGAATATCGCATTCCAAGTTGACCGGTTCGACCAATCAGATGGGGTTTGATCCCATTGAGGCCCAATTCAGCCTAGTTCCCACAGGGTTGAAGTTCTTGAATTCGTGGAGGGAGTTGAGCCGCTCCCCCACCTCACCACTCGTTCTAGCTCGGGCTGCGGCAATCCAAACCTGTGGCGACTCCGCCATCCACAGGCCCGCGCGCCTGTCAAATGGAAGGGACTCCACGAATAACCAATCGGAGCAAACATGCTTGAAGCTGGACAGAGCCAAAAAGAGTGCATATGACATGATAATGGTCCGCCGAACGCTTTCTCCAAAGAGACTGATTTCGAGGCATCCTGGTCTGGACAGATGCCAACAAAGTTTGAGTCCATTCAGATACAACCTTGAGAAATTTCTCTGCACTTGTCGGTTCGGCTTGGTCAGAGAAGAACGTCGCAAGGTAAACGAGAAGAGCTTGAAGGGCTGTGAGGGCTTCTTCGACAGGCACTGTCTTGACATCGATTTGAATTAGGCGCTTCAAGCTTCCATAGCTCACACCACCTTTCCCCGTCTCTCCAAAGGCGGCAAAGTGGTCGTAATTGGTATGCAGTTGTAACTTTGGATGTATGAACACTGCAGGCTTTCCCGCCCTGACAAGTTCTGGGACTGACTGATAACCGAAGCGAATAACTTCTAAAGCCTCTTGATGTCCGCGTCTACAAATCGCTGGATCGACGTGGGAAGCGCGGAATTTGAGGGTCTTTATGATACAGTACCCAGGGGAATCACAACTTGATGGGTTAAACAATAATTTAGGAAATTCCATATGCCGTCCAATCGGTGCGTTCAGAGGTATATGCACTCAAGGCCCTTCTGAGCACAGCGGGTGCATTTTGGCAATTGGACAACACATTTCCGTTTAGAGGCGGTGCAGTTGTGGCAGGCCTTGCGAAGGGACGTCATATTGAATTAGGTGTAGAGGTAGGTAGAGCATCATAAGAAGACTTGAGGCTGATAGAGCACTGTACAAGACAGGAGGTAGGATCTCTCCAGATGGCAGTCTATGTTTAGTCCGCCAAGCGATCCGTGGACTCGCATAGTTGAAAGCCTCATTCGGTTTCAGATCCCGCAGGTGCTGGGAAAACTCTGCGGGTTGTCAGGTACCTTTACATCATTGGTTGTACCTTTCCATCTACTATGCCAAATAGAGCTTAATTAAAGTCGCTGCTGTACGGGGGTTGCTGTGGGTGGTCGCTCTCCCAAGATGGTTCTTACAGATGTCAAAAGCGGCGGCGCGCCCAGGCCTGCGACCATACCCGAAAGGGGAGGGCCGCCTGGAGGCGGCCAAAAACTTCCCACCTCTGTGGTCTCAGCTAATTCCTATACAGTGATCTACAATCTCGGACGTCGCTAGCCAGATTCAGCCTCGAGACCAGCTAATACTTCCGGTCAACCCAGACGCCGTAACAGAATCAACATGTGACGACCTCAGCGTCTCCCCTCAACAGGCATGACATCAATGTTGTATTCTGTCAATTTGTGGCGACATCACGGGTTCAATTCAGTTCCGTGGTGGCGATCCATCGACTACCGTCGGAGCGCCAGGCACATCGAAATTTACTCTCACCGCCGTCAACGCGGATCAAGGCGCGACGATCAATGTAAGGAGACGTGGGAAGACCGTATAAGAGTAGCCCAAGCAGTATGTCCAGCTGGAACCGTCACAAGTATATGTGTAGGTGGAACAGGCGACCGGGATGGCGCCCCCTTTGTTTTGAGCGGAAACAATTGATTGTGATACGACACGTGAATGAGAGAAATCGGAAATGGGCTGGAAAAGCCTGCCAGCCTGTTGGTCACCACAATAAGTGAGAAAAGCCCCCTATGTCGCCAAAAGTGTATTGATTGTTCCTTGGTTTGAAGTGCCTTTGCATTCCTCGACATTGCACGAGAACGCACCGTGACAGGGTCAATCATCCGGTAAATGTTCCGAATGAGGATCTTTCTTGAAGGCACTCTTGTTTGATTCGCCGCATGATGGACAGTCAAGTTTCCGATCGCATGTAAATAGAGTTCACAAGCTCTTCATAACAACGCCTAAGCCGTCCTCCTCTCGCCGATAGCTTCATTCTCCGCGGTCTGCAACGTCGACAGCGAAGCATCTCGACAAATGAAGCCCCGTAGCTTGTAAGAATCGCATCGTTTGATCATTGTCGTGCCCAGATCTCATCGTCGAATCGACCCTCGAGAAAATATTGAAATCGCGTATTGCAATACCCTTCAGAACATATCAAAGCTGACAGAACCACTGTAGCCGCCCTGGAAAATACCCAAACCCTACCATGACTCTTCGCTGCCCAATTGAAAGCATTGGTTCCGAATTTTGCTTATTACGGTCGAAATGTCAACACATAAAATCTAACATCGGGGAGGAAGAAAATCCGTTCATCTATGTCAAACCCGACCCAAGGAGGCAAAACAAGTTTTCGCGCTTTGCTCTTTCGCTGGCACTCAGTGCCTTTTGAATACCAAAACTGTGTATCCAAGCAGTCGATAGGCAACGATAATGGCAAACAGAATCCCTATCCACTCACCGATCTTGTCATCAGACCAAGGATACTTGTAAGCCTCGAGGACAGCGGTTCCACGGATCTTGCCTTCGGATTCAAGATCACTAGCGTACATGCATTGGTATCCAGTCGCCAGCTTAGCACAATTGTAAGTGGTGCTCCGGAATTGGTTGATCATCATTCCCTGGAAGACGTAGGCCTGGTAATTGATGTAGTGGAAAACATCTGCGTGGTGGTTAACATTTTGTTCAAGGCGAGTTGGAGGAGGATCCACTTACATTTCCAGAATGGATTAAGAATTCCCATGGGCACAAGGAAACCATTGACGCACATCCACAATCCATTGGCAAATGCAGTGATCGCTAAAGCGACAACAAAGATGGGAGCAATGGATGACACCAGCACGACAAGGCCCTCAGCTGCCAGAAGATCTAAGAACAGCCATAAAACCCACATCCAGAATCCACCTGCTGTAGGGTTGAAATGACCCAGCCAATATGTGACGATGGAGAACATTAGTGAGATGATGAATAGCCAAGGAATACTGATAAGCGTATTGGCCACGGTAAACGGAAAGGGCCCATAGAGTCCATTGGCACGCTCTTTGCGGAACGTGTGTAGATCCTCAACAATCGAAGGAACATAGGCTACGGCCATGAAAGACATAAATGCCCCGCCAAAGAAAATCGCATTGGTGAATGGTTGGATAGAATTTTGATTGTAGGATAAGCGGAGCCAAACAGTGCCTGCGGATAGCCCCCGATTGGTTAGTTATTGCTGGGTAAAGAAAAGATGCAGTCAGACGGGCCCGCCCCCCTCTATTTTGTCTGACATTCACGAGAGTATACGTACCCATCATAATGGCCAGTCCAAAGTACATGACGACACGAGTTCCGTAAGCAATGAAATCACGGTATGATTTGATGTAGTTCCGGTGGAGGAGCACCCAAGAGACAGCTAGGGCGTTCTTGTGCGACATGCGACCGTTGCCGACCCGAAATGCGTTATCCGATCCCGACTGGGAAGCAATTGAGGCCCCAAGAGCCTGGCGTTCATCCGAGGAAGACCACGAGTCTTGAACATAGCGCAGTTGACCTTCTGCAACGGCTGCATTTTGGCTAAAGTCGCCATTGACCAAATCGAGGAGAAACTCTGCCGGGTTGATGTGTAAGAGAATCGGTCTGTCGATACGATCGAAGTATCTTGGAGTGTCCGAGATGGCTCCGAAATAACAGGTTTTCCCCTCAGACAACAGCATCAATTGGTCGAAGAGTTGGAAAGTCGTTGTCGAGGGTTGATGGATGGAGGCAATGACGATCAAATGATTTTCCTTGGCAACTTGCCGGATGTACCTCATCACTTCGAAGCTGGCAGCCGAATCAAGTCCGCTTGTTGGTTCATCGAGAAAGAGTACGCGTGGAGAGGCGACAAGTTGACTGGCGATACTGAGTCTGCGCTTTTGACCACCGCTAAGACCTTTTCGAAGGGGAGTTCCGATGATGGTGTCCGCCTGTCGCTGAAGACCAAATGACTCGACGAGTTCATCTACCCGTGCAATTCTTTCTTTTCTCGACATCTTTCCCGTAAGTGCGAGCCTCGCGGCAAAGTCAATTGTCTCGCGGAGTGTCAAGATACCAATCATGGCGTCCTCCTGCTCAACATAGGTAGATACTTGTCGGATGGTGTTCTCGTTGGTGACTTGCCCATTCAACATGATCCTCCCCTGAATCTCGCCTTTCATCGATGATGTACGGTGAGCAAGCACGTTCAGAAGTGTAGTTTTACCGCTTCCGCTGGGCCCCATGAGAGCGAGCACATTTCCCGCCTCGACGTATCCATAATTGGAACTGAGAATTTGCAAAGGTTTTTTCGTCTTCCGATCCTTCACGATGACTCCCACATCCGACCAGGAAAACCGGCTGACGGAACTGTTTGTCAAATGGTGTTTCAGTTCTTCTCCCTTCTCCACATCTTTCGTCACGTCCACCATGTGGTTGGAACCTTCCGAGGATTGGCTGAGCTCTTGGTTCGACGTCATATCCATATGTCCTATCGAGATTCAAGATGAGAGGGGGAGTACGAATGTATAGGAACAAGGGCCAATTCGATCGTGAATGGCGAATGTCGAACATTGGAAGAGTCCCAGAAAAACTTATATCTCTCTCCACGGCGTCTACCGAACGAAAAGGTCCCCGTGTTATTACACATGTTGGCGGACGAAGTCTCGGTGCACAAGTAACAAAGGGAGCAATTGGCCTTTGGTCGGTCCACCTAAAGAAAAAGCCATTTCGAGGGAAGCTAGGACTTGTCTACACCAGTCCCCCGGAAATCCACTAACAGCGCCGAGGGCTCTCTGGATCGCTCAGATTAGTCATTGACGTGGTGTATGTGGTCTGACAGTGAGCTGAGCAGAAATCGGCGTGGATTTCACTCGTCAGACCAAAATCTTTTTTATCGGGCTCCGGGTCACATCCAGATCGCCGAAGGGGCCTGGATCCTTGTCTCTCCACCCAAATCTCATTGCTAAATATCGCAAACTAAACGAGCCGTCAGGTTATCCATATCCCGAGGTCGCCTTACCTGCCGTATCGAGCCATGAATCCTGAGTCAGCTCTGGACCACTGGAAAATCTCGGAATAAACTGGAGCCTCGAAGCCTCGCCGCGCAGGGACGGCTTTGAGGGGGCGAGAAGGGCCCTTTCAAAAGCCAGACACTGCTAGTGCACGCCCAAAGTCGTATTATACCTCATACCCATCGTGCTTTTTATCTGGGCTCATTCCACTCGAACCCGGGTTGCTAACCCCATCAACATCAGATATTGTCGCTCGCTGAGCAAGCGAGGCTCACCTCACGATGTCGACAGCTGTTTCAAACAACTCCACCACTAGCACCACCGCGCCTCCTAAAGGCCGATCAAAGCCGCCAAGCTTACTTGCGTGTATCCCGTGTCGGAAAAGCCATCTCAAGTGCGACGGACAGAAGCCACTATGCAGCAGATGCGCAGATAGAAACGGGGAATGTTTTTGGATTGAATCCCGAAGAGGCTACAGAGAGTTCCGCAAGCCCCAGTCTACCACCACCGATGAGAAACGTGAGAGGCCATCGAAAAATGATGCCATTTTCAACGAATCGCAATCCCCCCGGGGTCACACTGGAGACCAGAGTCTCGACGAGGCTGACCCGTCTAAAATCCGCGCCCTCACATACGAGGAACTCTTTCCAACCTTCGTAAGTGTGCCGCTCGTTGAAGACAGCCAGCCAGCACAGAGCCAGAAGGAAATGCATAGTCCTAGCAATCGCAGTGATTCCACCATGTCGATCGCTCGAGAACTCGATTCGGCCGTGGTGAGCAAGACGGACATCGAGTCTACCGACTTGATAGAACTCTTTTATAGGCATTTCTACCATGCCCACCCATTTGTTGTACCTCGAAAGATGTACCTTCAAAATCCCGCTTCCTTACCGACCCATCTACGAGTCGTTATCCGGTATCTCGCGAGCCATTATCTTCCCCAGGCCAACCACGCCGCTCTCGAGAAGGCCGCCAATGTCATCTTCTCAGACGAGGTGCCTGACGATGGCTACAAAGTACAAGGACAGCTGCTTTTCGCCATGGTCCGCTACGCCCGGTTCGATCAAGAAGAGGGGGCTATAGCCCTTGACAAAGCCATCGAACTCGCAATCCGAATTGGCCTGAATCGAAACAGCTATGCCCTTCAGTATGGTCAAGGCGATGCCACTCTGCAAGAATCATGGCGACGGACCTGGTGGACGTTGATGATTGTAGAAGGCCTGGTAACTGTCATCGGCGGACAGTCACAGCCATACAGACTCTACTCGACGTTTACCGACGTTGCTCTTCCCGGCCACGATGAGGACTACGACGAACTGCGTGCTTCACCCTTTCCTCGCAGCGTGGCAGACCTCCGCAACCGGACGTTTTCCGAAGATACCTTCAACTACTCGTCCTTCGCATACGGCGTTGAAGCAGCGTACATTCTCGGTTCCGTCCTGGCCTTGGGTCCGGACACGTTCGCCGTGACAGATCCACAAGTCGAAGCCATCGACACAAGCATTTCCAATTTTCTGCTTTCCCTCCCTCTTGACAAGCGCGAGATAATGCGTCATGACGGAACCGTGGATGAATGTCTGCTCGTTGCACACCTGGTTATCAACTGGGCGGCCATCGGTCTGCACCGACCACGATCCACATTGACATTCATTAGAAACCACTATCGCACAACGTGTACGAGGGCGGAAGCCGCAGGGCTCCCCGCTCTCACCTACGCATCACACACCGCCAAGGCGCTCAGGGCAGCGAACGCCATCACCGATTTGGCTTCCGTCCGACGACACGTCGCAAACTGCACACCCGTGTTGATGTGCGGGATCACGACGGCGGCAACGGTGCATCTGCCTGCATATGCGATTGTTGACCGCCCGGACCAAGCAACAGCAATAAAAGAACGATTACAACTAGGCATTTCGGCCCTGGCGTCTTTTGGTGAGATATGGCCTCGCGCAAGTATCGCCAAAGGACAAGTTGCCAAGTTTGCACGCGAAGTCCTCATGAAACCCAATGTATGCGTCGACAGTACGGGTCCGGGTATGATGCCGAAAATCTCGACCGAGCCAATGCCCCAATTGGAGTACGAGGTACCTTTCAACAATGATGTATGGATGGAGAACCTGATCCAGGCCGAGCAGGATGTCGATGAGCCAACGGTGTGCGGTGCCTTTGGCGACTTTGTCGTGCCCCAGGTGCCGGGTGCCTGACCTGGGATGAGAATTAATTCTCCATAATGACGTGAGGTAATGAAACGGGAGTTTTTGCTTTTCTTTCCTTCACCTTGATGTTCTGTTTTACTGTATTCAATATTCCATTTCCACTCCTCTCCATTCCAACCCAGTGGGGAGAGAAAGGGCCAGAGGGTTTCAGGCGTTGCCTAAGAAAATTCAGCGAGGTGTGTGACATAGTCGCGGGCATATGAAGGATATGAATCCATCGAGGAAAACGCAGTTAATGTGTATGACAAGTCCAAAAAACCCTGATTATATGGGGAATTCGATGGGTCCTAGGATTTGGGCCATGTATTCATGTTATCACAATCCTCTCCTCGTAGGAGAATAGGTGTTCAACTTCCTCCAAAAAGCCGTTTCCCTTTCCTTTCCGCTTCCGTCCGCGGCCATAAGGATTCTGGAATACGATGGGGTGATTATCCTTAATCTTTCTTTGTGAGACATATGATCCTTCCTATCGCAACTTTGCTCATGATTTCAAGAGAGGAGCTCCCATCGAGCTGTATGATCCTGGTATGATCGCATAGCATGGTGCGCTAGGTACTCGGACGTGCATAGGTATATCCGGATTCCTAAAGATTGCCGTATGAATTGAGGAATGAAGTTCAAAATTCTCAACAGTCAATTCTTTACCACACCACAAATATGGATTCTTCAGTCTATGTCCTGTCCTTAAGCATTTGACCTACACACGCGGGTCCTTCGCGCCGAAAGTCCGTTGCTTCTCGCTAAACTCATTCATTATTAGATTCTCGCTCAAATAAAAATAGTGCATTTATCTGGTAATATTGTACCGTGCTCGCAAAGCTCTCGCAAATCACTCAACATCAGGAGCCAACCGTTCTCTCCGAATCCTCTTGGTTGCAGCCTTCTTGCATGTTCCACAATAAACGATTCCACAGAGGCGGCATTCGAACGAGCACGTCGCCTTGGTGGCGTTCTCCTTCCGTGATGTGCCAGAAACCATTACCGGAGCTGTAGAAGGACCAGCAACGTTTCCTTTCTCCTTACTTTCCTCTTCAGTCTTAGTCTCCCATACCATGACCTTCTTAAAGCAAGCCATACACTCCACTTCGAGATCTTGATCCTTTACGACATTGACCCCGATAAGCCAACGCTCTGGGATATATTGCCTTTCAAAATCACGAAAGACATGTCTGCAGCCCCACGAGTCCCACGCTTCGTCAACTGGCTCATCTCCAAAATCCAGCGACTGACCTTCCCAATCGAAATCATCAGGATCATCCAAATTCTCGGGTTGGGTGGGACCAGGTTCCGGTTCCGTGGTCTCTGTTGCCGGAGCCTCTGAGGTAGTTGATTGAGTTGTTTCGTTGCCTTCGATGGGTGGCCGAGGATCGTCTGCTTCGGTGGAAGGAATTATGCTTTGGGCCTCGGGCTGGACAGGCTGCTCAGCGACTTCAGTATTGGATATTGGTGCTGGCAGAGTAACAATATCAGCTGGCGCGGTGTTGTTCTCCACTGCCGGTCTTTCCTCGACTACCACCGCTTCAGCTGTTTCTGTGGCCGCAGATAGCCTCTGGGCCGAGTCGTCCAGCTCTTCGTCAGAATCAGAATCCACTTCTTCTCTCCCCGAAGTTTGACCGTCATCCCTTGCGGTACGACATGGCTTCTGGTAGCACGCATTTATGGGCCGTTGACAATCCCAACACCAATGAGCGCCACATTGACATCTGACGTGAGGACATCCAAACATTTTCATCACTCCAGTTCCACACTTAGGACAAGTCTTATAGTGAAAAGTTTCGAGAATGAACTGTCGAGGCTCGTCCTTGGCACAGATGTGTTCACCGACGGCAGGCTGTTTGCACTTTGTGCAGATGACCGTATTGCAAACACGGCAAGGAACCTGTACGTCGCCAGATTTGAATGTCCGAGGAGGAATAAAGGTGGAGCAGGTTGGTACCGGACAGTAAAGAGGATCGATGGTGTTAAACTCGTCGAATTTCATTTTATATTCTTCGATCTCGGCCTCGCGTAGCACACCCCGTGCAACTTGGTAGTGCATGATCGTAAAGCAACACATGACGGGCATGCGGTCAATATTTCTGAGGGCAATCTCGAATTCTTTCTTCAAGCAGTCAAGACACCGTGGCGATTTGCATCGCCGACAGGGCGTGGAATAGTTGGCGTCCAGCTCAATGAAGCAAATTTGGCATTGAAGCTTCTTAGGTGGCACGTCTGGCTTTGCCCGCTTCTGAGGTGGAGAAATGACCGGAGGAGGACGAGTAATTCGAGGTTCTGAATGGGAGAATTGAAGGTCGCCAAACTCGCCGTTATTGGCCTGGACGGCGTAGGATCGGTTTTGGATGGTAACGGTAGGATGGAGGTGAAGGGCCCTAGAGGCATCCGCAGCGGTGGTGAAATCAAAAACGTAGTCCTGATAAAGTTGACCTTCATGGCTGGCAAATGTTCGACCGACTCTAGGCCCGATGAATCCTTCTGCGCCGGAAAACGCCCGCCCATAGTCTCCAACCGAAGTGACGGAATCGAAGGGGATGTTGCGGACTACGAGTGAAGCCGAGCCTTGACCGGCCATAGCATTCGTGAGAAGAAGGTTGTTGCTTAGATCATTTGAGTTTCTTTCTGTTGTCGGTCTCGTATTATTGTCTGGCAGGGAGTTAATGTGATGTGGAGAGCGGAAGCCGAGGACGGAGGGACTGGTAGCGCGAAGCTGGGTAGATGGACGTCGACGGTGAAAGATCCGAGTGATGAGTGAACAAGCCATAAGTGGCAGTGTTGCAAGAAGATGGGGATATTGTGGACTTAAATCAGGCTGAGGCCATACAGGTAGTATTGGTCCTTTGATGCGGGCGGCCTACAGAGGTGGATATCTGGACAATTGACGCCTTATAATGGTTCGCAATGGTCGACATAGAAAAGCACACAGATAGATTCTGGCAAGGCTTTGAGTCATGCAGAATGTTTGTAGCTTCCCCAGCCGGTAGGCAGCAAACATACAAGTGGTACGGCGACATGATTGGCGGACTGCCCAGGCTTAATGAGGCTGTACCACCGGACATGGACTGGCGCCGGCTTCACCACCCAGCTGCCTGATGACAGAATCCATCAAAGAATCCCATGGCGGCCCTTCTCCGGAATCCTTCAGATGTGTCTTATTGGCTCAGCAGACACAAATCACGGGAGCTCTGACTCGATATGACTCCCAAATGGACTGAACATCCAGAACGTGAAGCTGCTCAGTAGGACTTCCCCAGCGCCGAGATTTAATTAGCCTTTCGTTGCTGACTGGCCAGACGCGTTCTCAATTCCCCGACGCGTGACCGACCGAAGTACTTTGTCACAGATCAAACGCATTGGACTTTGATCACAGCCTCTCATTCCCTCCACGGCCCACCATGCCACCGATCAAGAAACGTCGTTCTGATGCCATATCCCGTGAAGACTCTGAATCAGAGTCCGGCGGACAGCCACCCCAACCTCTACGTCGCCGACGACGTTCATCGTCCACCACCTCCTCTTCCTCATCTCATGCCCCATCAGCCTCCTCTCCCTCCCACTCCGATGGCCAAACTCGAGAGAACATTCTGACCAAAAAGCTAGTCCGGCTTGCCCTTTCTACCGAATACTCTCGCACTCCTCTTCGCCGAAGTGACATCTCTACGAAAATCTTCAAAGAGAACAATGGCTTTGGTGTGAGGTTCAGGACTGTTTTTGAAGGGGCGCAACGAGTACTGAAAGACACATTTGGCATGCAATTGGTTGAACTGCCTTCCAAGGAGAAAACTACCATAAGGGAGCGTCGGACCCAGGCCACCCAGACAAAAGCCGGCAGCAATACCTCGTCCAAGAGCTGGATTCTACTTTCAATATTACCACCCGAATTAAAAAACAACCCGCTGATAGCTCAGCCCCCAAAAGCACCCAATGTGGAACTGGAGGCATCATATACGGCCCTCTACACATTCATATTGTCCTTGATCTACCTCAACAATAATTCCCTCCCCGAGCAGAAGCTCGACCGATATCTTAAGCGTGTTAATGCCGACACATACACACCGTTGGGCAGCCTCGACAAACTGCTCCAACGCATGATGCGTGAAGGCTACATTGAGAAGCGACGGGACACGAGCAGTGGGGAAGAAGTCATTGAGTGGGTGCCTGGACCACGTGGGAAAGTCGAAGTGGGGGTCCGAGGAGTCACGGGCCTGGTTCGGAGTGTGTATGGGTATGGAGCTGTAGCCTTGACTAATGATCGAGGTGGAAATGACGGAGACGGTGAAGAAGGAAACAGCGGAGGGGGAAGAATTGTCAAGATTGAGGAGGATGAATTGAACGCGAAGCTGTCACGGAGCCTGGGTATCAGAATTAGCGGAGACAAGGTACAAGCTCACCAAGATGGCGAGGCCGAGGGCTCGGAGGACGAACTTGCAGACGGGCAGCCGGGACCTTCGAGGAAACAATCACAGGCCACGAGAGGTCGTGGAAGACGGACCGCACGAAATGATGATGATGACGGCGACGATGATTGATGAAGCGACCTAGCGATTGAATTTCAATCTAACAAACTACCCCGACACTGATGTAGCGCTGAACATGCCCTCCCATATGCGGGTCCAATGTAACGACCACTGAGTTCGATCACCCAATGTATAAATAACCTGTACCTGTGCCTGTACCTCTCGCGGATCGAAACCTGTCTTTACCTTTCTTGACTTCCATTCTACGCCTCTTCTCTTTGCGTTCCCACGTCACACCTTTCCTCTAAGCAACTGGTCTGCTGAAGTGGAAAAGAAAATGAGCACTGAATAGTCATGTATTATGGTAGATGGAGTTCTATCCCAGACCGTGCCATGCCATTATTCAATGCTACCTGCCTATCTCTCTATTTGAAAAGGTGCACTACAGACGGGGCTCTGAGGTGCTCAGGTATATAGTTCACCAGGACCTAGGTACCTTTCGAAGCAGTGCCAGCGACATAAACACCGCCCAATGCAAATGCACCACCACTGCCACAATGATATCAAGCAAAATAAGATGCCACGGTGAACAGGGGATAATTAGACAAGGACCAGCTGAGCCAGGAGGTGGTGGATTCAGATTAGGAATTTTTGGGTGATGTTGGAATGGTCAGCAGATCTCAGGCTCTTCCAGCGTGCTTCCTTGTCAAGGATCGTTGGTCAATGCTGTCGACTTTGGTGTACTCAGTCCAATTGGACGAAAGTATGCTGTACACCATGGTCCAGATGCGATCGTCGACAGTCGTGTCACACTCTGTCTGTACCTCGCCCCATCTCCCACACCTCTGCCATGTTAGGTTCAGCCCAATCTTTCCTCATTCTCACACAATTGTTAGATGGTGTTCTTCGTTTCTTTCAAACGGTGAGCAGAGACCACACCCACCCGACTCTGGAAGTGGGAGGGCAAAACACCGCCGATCCCTGTCCTTAACCAGGAGTTCAAGAGACGAGGTCAACCAAACGGCGAGAAACCACCTCGCCCACCTGCGGTGCTGAATCTGAACCCACCGTGCCCGCTCCCAGCACCACCCATACCGTTCATCATGTTGAACAACATCTCCGGATCAATCTGAACTCCTCCACCACCACCCATGCCGCCAAAGCCGCCCATTCCACCCGGGAAACCTCCCATGCTAATACCTGGCTCGGCGAGATCTGCCCCCGAATCATACATCTGTCGCTTCTGGGGATCGAGCAACGTTTCTTTGGCCTCTAGACAGTCCTTGAACTCCTCTTCCTTGGCCTTATCGCCTTGGGTCTTGTCCGGGTGAAGAAGAGCCGCTTTGCGTTTGTACGCACGCTCAATTTCCTTATCCCCGGCATCTTTGTCCACGCCCAAGATCTTGTAGTAATCTTTTCGCTTGGACTTCTTGAGCTCCAGCTCTGCGTTGCGCAACTCTTTGTTCAATTCCGAGTCGGACGGATTGTCCTCCACCATGGCTTTCCAGTCTTTGACGGCCTGCTCCCAATCGCCGGCCTCCCCTGTAGCTTTGGCGCGGGTCTTGCGGGCTTTGATGTATGTCGGATCAAGTTTCAGCGCGTGGTCGCAGTCGGCCTTGGCTTCATCATACTGTTTGACCTTGATACGGGACATGGCACGGTTCCCTAGAAGTTTGGCATTTGTGACTTTATTGGTTGGGTCAATGGTGAGAGCTTCCGCATAGGCGTTCACGGCGTCTGAATATTTGCCTCGCTTAAACATATCGTTGGCAGCCGTCCTTGCTCGGTCTAGTTTCTTCATCGTGCGCAGGGAATTTCGTGCGTCGGCATTATCGGGGTCCAGCGCAAGTGCTTGTCGGAAATAATCTTCGGCGCGTTCGTAGTCGCTCTTCCCTTGCCGTGGTTTCTCGTCTTTCAGGTAGAATGCTCGACCCGCCAGGACGATGGCTTCGGCGTCCATTGGATTCTCACGCATTAAGTTCTGAGCGATTCCCTGGACCTCTCCCAATGCATTTGTAGATCCCAGTTTCAGGTGGGCTTTTGCCCGCAGTATCTGCCATTGTCGGGGTGTGGGTGTCCCTGATCCCAATGTGGACTTGGCCTGTTCGATGCTCCAGAGCGCCATATTGCCATTTCCATCTTCTGAATTGATCTGTTTCTCTGCCATTTCTATCGACTGCAGGGCTTTTCGAGCCGCTGCCGTGTCTGTCGCCGAGGCATTAGGGATTTTCGCATATGTATCCAAGGCATCTTGCGGCCGGCCCAGAGAGGTGTAAATCCGTGCGAGACGATGTAGAATTTTGTCATTATTGGGGTCTAATCTGCTGGCCTGTAATGAATCACTGAGGGCTTGTGAATATTGATTGGCGGAAATGTACGCAGCGGCTCTATTCGACAAGTACGTCGGATTTGAAGGTTCTGCATCGACAGCTGAAAAGAATTGTCAGCCTCAGTTGCACCTGCGCCGTGTCTCTTGATACAAACCTTTTGTGTATTCCACAATCGCTCTCTCATAATCCTTGGTCTTGAAGAATTTGTTACCGGCGGCTTTGCACGCCTCCGGATCTGCTTTGGGCGCCGGGGGCACTCGGTGTGGAGGAGGGACAGGGTTTCGTTCATCGTGGCCGTCGGCGCCGTTTGTGGTATCATCTCGGGTTTGTTGTTCTGGAAACCCACCTGGAGCGTCTCTCGAGGGGGTGGCCGGTGGCGATGTTCCATTCGGGATGACAAACTCATTGTGTGTCTCGGGAGTGTCTCTGTCCATGGACATGGACTGTCTGCTAGCCTCAGCCTCTTGTCGGGCCATTTGAGCCTGGAGTTGGCGAAGCTGTTCGGGAGGGAGGTTTAGAGGGTGGGTGTCGGGATCGTGTTTCAACTTCTTCTTTTCCTTATCCTTGTCGTGTTTCTTGGGCGATTTTGACTTCCGCATGGATGTAGGAATTGCACCAGTCGCTGCAAGTGGTGAGTGGGGCTAGGGCACTTGCCAAAGCCCAAAGCCTGAACCTGGGTGATGGGAGCCAAAGCCAAATCCAAGGGCCAGAGCCGTCTCTGCGGCAGCAGCCTTTCTCCTTCTGCTGTCACTGTCAGCCTCAAATGAACGCAGGAGGCTCCGAAGGTATTCCTCCGTCAGAGGAACTGGAGTTGGAGCCGCCTGTCCCGATCTAAGCTTGTGACTGTTCGCCGAATAGCGGGAGAGGGAGCCCGTACCACGTGGAACGTGTTGGGCTCTTCAGTTTTGCTGGCCGTGCAGGGAGGTTGGTCTGGAGGATGTGCCGTGATTTAAGAATTTGTCTTCGTTCAGGTTGGATGAGTACGGTAACTGCCAACGATTCTGCTGGTGCTGCTGGAACGGGCTGTCGAAGAGGCTTAACATCGCTTGTCGAAATATCTAGAATTTTTTTAGTTTTTTTTTTTTTTTTTTTGGAGGGTCTCTGATTACCCTGCCCTTGCGCGGCGCCACTTTCACCACCACACTGTCGCGTACTGGCGTGGGCATAGGCATCCCCCATGGACATGGGCTGGCGAGGTTCTGTCCACTGAAGGTCCATGTCTCCCCCTGTAGCTGTTGCTTGGAGCCTTCCGCGCGCCCTACTGGTCTCCTTATGTCCCCGGAGGTCGATTCATCCACGAAGTCGTCGCGCAAATGATAGGTCAATGCTTACCTTCTTCTCTTGCACATAACTTTGGCTGGTCAACCACGAGAGCTAAATGTTACAGTGGACTTCATCACGATGCGGTGAGAGTCAGTGCAGGCGGGAGATCTGGTCCTCGGGGATGGCTCGGAAGAGTCACTGCTGCGATTGTGCCGGTACCTTTTTTCGCTTCAAGATCTACACGCAAAATTGAACGACATGAGCGATCCTTTTTTTCTTCCCTTGCTTATGACCATGAGCTTCAAACCCCTGGTAAGCGGATATAGATATCATGATAATGGCAAGACTATTAAAGATGTCAAATTGACGTATCCCCGAAGAGCACAATGCCTAGAAAAGATAACAAAACCATCGCTCACCCAGCATTACTCTTACATGTCCAACTACTCCCACTTGGCTCATTGCTGATGGAATATCCACTAGCATAAAAGACCCATGCCACAAGGTCCAGCGTCCATGGCAAACAACAACAGGTTGGCAATAGTCAAGCAGATCCTTCTCCAATTCTTTGCATCTGACCCCTGGTTGAGGAAGAGCCAGAAAATGCCCGAAATGTCGGGGTTGAAACACGAGGCAAACAAACCGGAAATCAAAGCTGGCAAGTCGTCGAAGTTTGGGATCGATTCGGCAATGATCCATGTAATCACCCACAATGTGGCTAGCCAGCTGCCCACAGCAGGAAATGTTCTCTTTGACATATGTTGTGTTCCTGTGGATAACCGCACATAAATGTAATGGTCAGTACCCAAGCTACTTTTCCAACAACCTAACTAGCCGAACCCACCCAGAGCAGGTTGGTCTCCATCAGAGACGTACACAACCATTGTGACAACGAAATACATACCAGTGTTGGTGATTTGCAGAGCGATTAAGGCTTTAGGAAAGACACTTGGATTCTTCACGTTCCAAACGAAACCAAAGAACGCCACGTGTCTAGCATTGGCAAAGACAGTGTTGGTCACACTGACAAACGTCGTAGCAAATGCGCCAGATTGCGTGGCTCGAAAGTGGCCACGTGAAGAGTCTCTACTACCAACACCTGCCATTGTGACGATGACGGCAGGAGTAATGCTGAGGAAGCTTGAACAAGACGGCCAGGACATCTTCAACATAGTTCGAGGAATATCGAACATCCAGGAGAGGATCGACTGTGGAATACGATAGAGCTCATGTCTTTGACCAACTTCGAGCCGCGATGATTCGTGCGATCGGCGTGGAGGAAGGTATGAGCTATTTAAAATTGAAGTGTGTGTCGTCGGCGGCTTTTCAGCCACCTGCCAATACTGGACAGGAGAGTTTATGGTTGTGATTTTGCAAAGCATAGGGAGCATTGTGAGCCAGAATCTTGTCTCATCCTTGAACACCGATCTTGTTGTTTCCACTCCTTTCAGGATGGGACTACCATTTCAAAACCGCCGTTCTGATCATAACTGTTGTTCCTTCTCAACAACGCGTGACCATTACCTCCAATGATTCGACAGCCTGCATGATGGTATTGGACACAAGATACGACAAGGTGTGACCATCCTGCGTCCTAGCGAGTGTACCTCAAAGGCAATGGCAAGTAGCAGGCGCCGTAATAGGGCTCGTCTTTATTGTGCAAGGGTTCAAGTCCCTAACAACCGGCATTCGAAGGGGATTGGATGGTCGGGTTCTTTCTGCTTTGCCGTTTCTCTCAACCGCACTCATTCAATGACGACCGACAAAAGTAAAGGGAGTTTTCGCAGATTGCCCGAGTTCGACATCGATCGCACCTCGTGCGAGGCTTCAGCAGCTCCTGACATGTTGTCCAATCCCCGAACGGCGTGCCGACGTAGTCTTTACTCCCCCTCATCCTGTCGAGCTGGCTTCCCGTGAGTCACATGTCCGCCTTCTTCAATGTTCGACTCATACTAAGTCCCAGATGGAAAATGCAAAGATTTGGAGGGTAAGAACGGACATGCTGTCGGAGTTGGAGAGGGGAAACCAGAGGACGATCGGGCGACAAGTGACATGATTGTTCGATTTTGCTCTCATTGCATCTGGTCGTCTGTGTATTGCTGAGTCTCTAGCTCCAGCTTTGGTTTGGGTAACGAGGGTGTAATTGAAGCTTGTAGCACAATGGAGTAATAAGAGTCGCATCATTCATTGCACATTGTGGGTTGTTTATGCCCTATGTTCTCGCGGGATTCCTTCGCTCGAATAACGAGCTCGAAAGTTGCTTGATCTCCTCCAGCTTCCTCCTGCTCTTCGATCGAATTATTATGCGCTAGCCGCAGCCGGCGACAGCTTCCACGAGCATTGCGGCCCCTTTGCCTTGCTATTGTCCTTGCCATTTCCCCTGCTTTGTCCTTTCCACTGGAGATAACTATGGCGACTTCGAGGCTACGGCGTTATAGCTTGCGGACGCTCGCGACGACTCTCTTGATGATTGAGCGGTCATTAATGCTTGTCACGTCTTGAAGACTATTGGAAGTGTACTTGATGTGATAATTGATGGTTCGAACGACCGTCGGCGAGTCAAAGAAAATCGTGACTTTTTATAGCTGGACGGTTTTCGGGCAACGTCCAGTGAGCCAAACCCAGTGCATGCACAAATGCGAGCATCTGAGCTCTTTCAGCCGTCTTGACATTCTTCACCATAGGGTTCTCACGCGTGATACTGTATTTGCGCTCTTGGGCTTTGATTTTGGATAGTGCCTATCCTTGCACATTCGGCTCGCTGCACCGTACCTATAGTGGCGCCTTGGGCAGGTTTCGAACGTATCTCCACCATCGCCGACTGCAATGCCTCCAACAATGTTTAGCCTTACTTGCGATGATTCGATTCGATCGTACGATCCAGAGATGAGAGCACGGCCCTTGCGGAGTTTCCAGAAATCTGAAAGGTCCGTCCAGCGGAATATCCTGTTGCACAGTTTTAAAGAATTGAAAATTTCGAATCGAGCTTGAAGGGGCCCCTATGAGGAGTGTCTCTGTGCCTGCAAAGAATCCCTGCGAGTGCCTTTAAGAGTGCTTGGGAGATTTCTGTTGGAAGTTGAGGTCTGAAAATATGCCTGTGAAAGTGCTTTCAAGAGTATGTATAGTATCAAGCGCATGGGCGGCCAAAATGTACACCGCATTACTTGATGTGAAGAGGTTTAGGGGCTCTGACGGGGGTATCGAGGATACTGTTCTTGCATATATGGAGAGGTAACCAAATACTAGGCAGGTCTATCTATGGGTAACCCAAAAATGGAGGACAAAAGCTTTCTGGCCATCGCTCTATATATACGCAAAAGATAGGCGTTCGGCGTGTGCATCTACGGACTCACCATCGTAGACATCGACGTGGCTGTCAGCCGAGTCGATCTCTTCTCTCCCACCTTTTATGCGGCCACGCGGACAAGGAAAGAAAGTCAGCCCACGTGATGAGACGGGGTGCAAGGCGCGAGCTGCAGGGCCATCACGTGATGCTCTGCGTGATCTGAGACAGGTCGCGCAGAGCATCCAGAGCGGACCAAAGCATCTGGGCTGTATATATTAACACCCCCGGTTCCTAGGGTAATACGATATAGTCAGCTCCGTCTTCAGTCATACCTCTATCAATTAGGACATTGGCTCGCTCTGTATATCAACCTCCTCGCGTAGCTCAATTGTTATGTTATCGTCCCCTTCGTCGGGAAATCCACGTGGCAGACCTGCGGGTGTGACAACGTGTCAGTTTGATCAACATCTCCATCCCATCCCACACGCGCTCTCGCTGTCCCGTGCATATTTCCTCAGATCTCGAATGCCCCCTCAACATGGCTACACCTCGTCGTCGCTCTGCACGACTGAGTAAGGCTGCTCAACAGGTAATGTTCGCCAGTCACTTACGCAAGCATCCTCTGCGTCGTTGCTCGATGACAAGCTCATTGATTTCGTTACAAATCTACCGATCGACCTTTGTTCCTGCTTGGAGCTAATCGTCTTCATAGCGTTCCTCTCCTCGAAAAACTCCTTCGGCCACCGTGCAGCTCGAATCCCTCATAGAACGAGATGAAAGTCTAGAGGTCAGCGAGCCGCAGTCCATCGACAATGTTCCTGCTACCCTAGCATCCTCCCCCACCATTCAGTTCCAACTCTCGAGACTCTCTAGTCTCAAGACGCCTCAGACAGAACCTCGAGCAGACCGTGGGGAAATGCATCCTAAATTCATCCATCGGACCACTACTAAAGCTCCAGACTCAGGCCTGAAGCTTGGATTCGGCGACATTCCTCCACACCCCTTTCATTCTCTTGCAAGTGCGCAGAACACACCATCAAAGGCTCGTTTAAATACACCGGCGAACTTATCATCTACAAATTTTGGATTCAAATTTGGCTCGAATTCTCAACTTAGCAGCGAGGCACAAAAGTTGATGGATAGTGTCCGTGAAGAGGCGGCAAGGATCAAAGCACAAATGCATGCAGAAAGAGAAGCTCAGCAACAGAGGGATGATGAAGCTGAGGCCACCTTCAACGGGGTCACTGTGACTGACAGAAAGATTGCCAAGCCAAAAGGGAAGGCTGGTAGATTCAGCGACATCCATATGGCTCAGTTCAAGAAAATGGACTCAATCGCCAATCATCCATCTGCCTACAGAGCCAAGTCTAGTTTTGCTCAATCAACGGCTCAATCACTCAAGAGAAGCGGATCCAAAGCTGGCCTTAATGAAGTTGATCGGCCTCGAACCGCTGGCAAGGGTACACCGGGTCGTCTGCCACCAGCTTTCCTCGGTCGTGCAACATCTGTCAGTCCGTTCAAGTCGATTCCTGCACGATCAGAACGAATCGAAAACATGACCCCGGCCAAGCGAGCACGACATTCAGAGTTTCACGATGTCTCTGCTAGTCGACCATCAGATCAAGTCAAGTCTACCGTGTTGCCAAAGCCGGCACTGAGCAGTCTCTGGTCGCCGACGAAGGCTTCATTGGCTAGAGCTGCGGCAAGTCAAATCCCCTTTGTCTCGCCCAATAAAGCTCCTGCGTTAAGGCGGCCCACTTCTGTCCAGACGCTGGGGACGGTGTCGACAATACCGAATCCCAGACCCTCTACTGCCCATGGTGAGGCGACCACTCAAGCTCTGTCAAAGATGTCATATAATGAATCCTCTCGAGCTGACAGACCCCTTCCGCCATTGCCAAAAGATAAAATCTCCCCCCATGCCACCGATTCGGCCGTACTGCAGCGATCTAAATCTACTACTGAGCTTGCGTCTGTCGCCCACGCCCAAGGTGTTGTAGCGAGACTCTCAAAACCGTCGGGTCAGAAATCGGTCCTACGTTCTGGTCGGAAGGCTGAGATGGCTTCATCCATCAAGGGCAGACCGGGAACTCCCAAGCGGCCTAACACGGCGACATCAGCCAATGGATCGGCCAAGAAGGTTGATTTCACTCCAAGTGTGAAGTCCCGATACGCAGTTAGATTGGCCGCCGGAAGTCCCAGCCCGGCCAAGTTGCCACCACTAACACCTAGGAGAGCACCTGCACCGGTTGTTCCCTACGAACCAGCTGCATATATCCTCCAAGATGATGACGCTGGTGAGAACTGGGATGGTGCTGGAAGTGAAATTGAATACCCGACACTACCAGATGTTTCCTCGAGCCCTGCGCCTCCCAGGGTTGAAAGCTCGTTTGCCGAGAACGCCAAAGACCACAATCGCCGCGAATCCCAGGAATTCAAATCCATCTTCACCACTTTGCATCACCCTTCCCGGCCCAACCCGCCGTCAACGCTGGCCTCTGTCAACACCATCGTCAACAAGACCAATCCCACCTTCCACACTAACAATGTCATGAGATCTCCCAGCAACGCCAAGTTCGTTCGACCGTCTCCTACGATCCGCCGGGTCCGGAGTTCCGACGTGTCTAACCTCATTCAACCATTTGAAGACACGAAAGTCAATACTGTTCCGCATGGACTGCCAGGCAAGAAGCGACGTCGCGAGTCAGCGATCTCAGATGATCCGCGAGGTAATGATGATGACGCAAAGGAGAATCGTGGGATATCAGTCCTGCCTGCTCTTCCTGGCGGTTGGCAAGAGAGCCCTCAGGTCGATGGTCAAGGTGAAGGCGAGAAGCGAGGCGGCAAGCGTGTCAGAGTCGAGACGGGTGAGGATTCTGACACCAAACCGGTCGCACAGAAGTTGATGAGCGAGACCAAGAAGGCCAGACCAAGTTCAACGCGAGCGATGGCGAAGAATAACGCGAAGGAACGCAAGGGCAGGGGAGCTTTGAGCCTCAGTCGCTTGAATATGCTCAGTCAGCCAAAACAGAGAGGTTGAATGTCCGCCTGAGCTCGACCATGGCGTTATCGATATCGGGATTCGAATCTGGCCCTCGGCTTTGAATGCCAGAGCCGTTCTTTTTTGAATATCACCCCAGAATTTTGATTTGATCATCGGCTCCTCGGTGGCAACGGTGTCTTTGGTATCGTGTCTGGACAGGCATTGGTGGGATGAGGATGGGGAATTAGGATCAATCATCATAGCCGCAGAATGACGTGGTGTCAGGGCCAGGTTACCAAAAGTTTCGAATCGATTTGGTGGGATCAATTTTTGATTCTGATACAGGATATGCTCTGGGGAAAACAGCACGGTCTATGTGCCCTGAGATTTGTTGGAGTCGAGCGTCTGCAACATCCGGATCAATTGCTTGGCGTATGGAGATGCTAGACACCGAATACTGGATAGTCACAGAATTGATCAGCATCTTCATGTCCGAAAAGCCAGCTTCCAACCTTTTATTCACGTCCCTTTCAAAAATACCCACGCCAACATAGAACCGAGTTGGTCCAAAGTATTAAGAGTTTTGGTAAGTGTGGACCTGTATATGCACCGATTCCTTCCAATTTCCCATTTTTGTTACCTGATCCCATAAACCCGCGAAGGATCGTTTTGTCCGTATTCTCGAACTTTTTCGGCCGATGTGTCCGTTGTGACCGAAGATCATCTACTCACACAATGACTTCTAAAAAAGCCAAACAAGACGGCCAATGGAGAAGCGAAATCCGTCTGTAAATCACCGATCCAGGAATTGAACGCACACATAACTCCGTCGCGTCAAATACATCTATCGTTTTGCCTCTCCCTCAAAAGAAGATGATCAGGAAAAGAGATGGATGGAAGGAAAAAAAAAGAGGTGATTCGAACATCAATACACAGCCTCGAGCAAGTAAATTACCCCAAACACCAAGAATGCAATCGCACCGCCCATGGTGACTGTGTGGAAAAGGTCAGTATGATCCGAATTTGCTGTACTTTTGTTCGACAACGGAAAAGAAACCGACCTGTTTTCAAACTGACTCTGCCCGCAATCGCTTTCCCACCTAAAACCGCCGCGGCAGTACAAATGGCGTGTCCACCCAAAGCACCGGCCGTGACCCACCAGTAATCTTGACCCGCGGCCATAGCAATGGTGGCAATCTGTGACCTATCACCCCATTCACCCAAGAAAGTCATGACGAACGTCTGGACCCAGGCCGGGCTGAGGAGTAATGAGCACAAATTGTTGATGCCGGAAAGCACATTTTTCAGCGTCGACTGTCGAGTCGGAGAAACCTCGCGTGAACTGGGAGGACTTTCTGGTGGAAATGGGAGACGACTGTTGGTATGTTTCCTTCCGATTCCGGCGCGGCCCGATTCCAGAACGTAAGGCGATATGGAGGAGCGCCGGCGGGACTTTCTCCGTTGTTCATGTTCTTTCTCTTCCAGCTCCATTTCGACTTCTTTTATCTCTTCACTGACGCCTTCATCTGGACTCATGCCTCGCGCTTCGACCAACATTTTCACTCCAAAGACCAGAAACAAGCATGCCGCAGCAAAGTTGGTCAGAGCCTTGGGGATCAAGGTGGGGACGGCATGGCCCAGGATGGCCGATAGTACAGTCATGGTGATGAGGGCGGAGAATGCGGCTGTGAACACCACCAGTCTCGGATGGCGCATGGCCATGAGAGCGGCAACGAGGAAGGTCTTGTCGCCAATCTCGGAGAAGATGATCATGGTGAAGGAGAGGACGAGGGAGTGGAGGGGCTGAATGACGGCACTTTCAGGTTCCTTTGAGTTGGATGTCCTCTCAACACTCTCCGCTGAAAACATGCTGTCCTTTGGTGATGAAGGGTTCTCCGGGTGAGGAATATCATGAGGCTTCTCTGGGAGGTCGGTAGGAGCCTGGGATAGAATTAGCATATGTCAACACGGCCGCGTCTTATCCCACATACCGCGAGGATCTTCTTGGACTCCTCGTCCAGCACCGTCTTTAGGTCAGGACCATCCGCGTCTTTAATGTTTTCAACTTCACTGTGTGGTAATGGCCTCGCATCCTTGGGAGGGTCGGGTTTCTTATCCGTGAATTTTCCATCTTTGGACTTCTCCGAGATGCCGCCTTCGACACCCCTCGTACCTTCGGCCGGACTGGATCTGACGCGGTCGTCCATTACCGCGTCGTTGGACTGTGGTAGATCGGCATCGGAATATTGGTCCTTGTAGTTTGTCTTCACATCCGGATCTTCGATAACAAGGTCATCGTCAGACCCCGGCCCTTGGGTCTTTTTCCTCGTTCGCTCAGCATTGGTCTCGACAAATGGCCCATCATGTGGCATTCCATCTTTTCCATCGACGGGAGCATGCTCGGTGCCCACCGGATTGGACTTTGCACTCCCTCCTGACACCGCAACCACTTCTCCCAAGGAACGAGCGTTCTGGAAATTTTTGGCCGGTGACAATTCTCGTGGAAGGGCGGCCAATGAGGCCTCGGAGGAAATAATGGAGGCGAGAAGGAAGAGAAAGATTTGTGCGCGTCGACGTCCGATCTTCATCGTGGTCGCGTGAGGGTGGTGGGAAGGGGAGGGGGATCTGCGCCGATGAGATTAACGACTATTAGGTGAGCGAGTCGACGGTAGAATACAGGTGCAGGGAAAAAGGCTGAATACAACGACCAGAGATTGTTGATCAATGAAAAGAGTAAGACAAAGCCGGTGTCAATATCAAGTCTCGTGTTGGAGACATTGGATTGTTGAATTTGGTCCCTGGCCCCTTTGCACGGCCCGTTGTCTCCTTTCTGTGTCTCAGCGAATCAGGATCACGATGATCGCAGCAGACTTGGCGCTCCTTTTTTTGTCCTCGACTCTAATTTTACCATGGAGGCCGGTAGCATCCAACGTCACTCGCTTATTCCAGGTATTGAGTTCAATTATTGAATGATTGATATCCATGTCCAATTATGCCAAAAGCCAAGGCAGGTAAAATGTTTGACCTTGGTCCTCATCCAAATCTAACAATGGGGTCTTAGAAGCGCACAAGAGAGAGCACAGAGAAGGATCCTAAACTCGGTGCCGTCCGGTGTCGAATTGACGATGAAGAACCCGAGGCCGACACGTCCAAACCATCCGCCATCTTTCAACCGACTGGCGGCCGTTCTCACACCCTCAGCGTCGCCCTCCCAGGAAGTATCATAGCGAATGCCAAATCCCATGACCAAAAGACTTATTTGGCTGGTCAAATCGCACGAGCATTGGCGGTTTTCTGTGTCGACGAGATTGTTATCTTCGACGATGAAGACGTGCCCTCGCAGAATAAGCGACCAGCTATTGGAGAGAACGACTATACCGCCTTCTCTCATCCCGACCATTTTCTCGCGCATATTCTCTCATACCTAGAAACACCACCTCATCTGCGCAAGTCGCTGTTCCCCATGCACCCGAACCTTCGCACAGCAGGGGCGTTACCTAGCCTGGACATGCCACACCATCTCCGCGCGAACGAGTGGTGTGAATACCGCGAAGGCGTCACTGTGACCCCTTCACCTGGCGGGAACGGGACTCTTGTAGACGTCGGTCTTCCTGAGCGACGAGACATTCCTGACGCTGAGATCGCCGGCGGAACCCGAGTGACCGTACATCTGCAAGATCCTCAATTCAAGATTGCCAAAGCAGTTTCTCCTAGTGCGCCGAGGGAAATCAAAGGATACTACTGGGGCTATACTGTACGGCAATGCAGCAGTCTGTCCAATGTATTCACCGAGTGTCAATTCGACGGAGGGTATGATGTCTCGTTTGGAACTTCGGAGAGGGGAGAGCCCGTGAGCAGAGTGCTAGCGAGTCCACCTTTCTCATCCCCAGACACCCTTGACTTCCAGCACATTCTTGTCGTCTTTGGCGGCGTGGCAGGTTTGGAGACGGCAGCGAGAAATGATCCTGAGTTGCAGAAGATGGGACTCACCGGAAAGAACGTGAGCAAACTTTTTGATTACTGGGTGAACGTGCTCCCTGGTCAAGGGAGTCGAACGATCAGAACAGAAGAAGCTGTCTGGCTCTCCCTGATGACCTTGCGAGAATTGATGGACCGAATTGAGAAAAAATACAAACGAGAGGGATAAAGACACAAGTGGTCACCCTTCGGCAACCCCGGAACAGGACACGAGAGGCGGGCCCAGTTCATGAAGTCGATGTGGTCGGGGTCAACGACTTGGGTCCCACAGTACTGCAAGCCACGCACGCCATCTGTGCTTTAGATGAAAGATGGCTCGCGGAGAAGACCCAACCCAAGGACTTCTTTTCTAAGCAAAGTCATCCGCCTCGCGGAGTTGACGCTGCTTTAGGATCTGAGATGCCTCTTCAACGCCAAGGATCGATGAGAAGCTTAAAGCAAGGCTTGAACGAAGGATTCAACATGCATTTTCTCTCCGCGGAAAACACTAATGACTCCAATGATTCAACGGCTGGGGGCAGAAATCTCGTGTTTGCCCTTCAGTCACGACAAACGCATGACATCTCTCGTGTCCCTGTTGGCGCTTGAAGATATCTTGCGAACACGATATGAGTGAAGCCACAATTATTCATCATCGACGTACCCACGACAATGGTGAACATGTCCGCATCAGGGTCAATTTCGCTCATCTTCCAATCATGTTAGATCATTCAGAATCCTTCTGAATAGTTGGTGGCAGGTGACTTGATGAAGGAGAAAAGGTATAAATCCTGTATGTCTGCTGCACGCCCGCAAGAACATCTTTACTCGCAAGCTCCTTTGCGCAACAACAAATTGGTCCAACACCATCCAACTCGTAAACCATTCAAACCTCTTCATATCACTTAACGGTGTCCAAGCTGTAGACCATTGTAGTGTTTCTTCAAAACACACAGCACTGTGATGTGTCCTTTCCTAGTAGTTCCCGAAAACGCCATCACTAGTGATTGATCTCAATTGGAGTCCTTTAGACTATGCCCACATTTTGCCCAAATTGGAAAAAGATAATAGGGGGTCGCTTCCAAGTTCTTCCTTGCACTCACGACTGGCACCGTTTCTACACCTTTCAAGTCGTGAGACTTCCGTATGCATTTGCAAGTGCATCAGTTTGTATGGTATGAGCCAGTAGAAATCTGAGAACAGGACAAGGAGCCCATGGTGGCCTCGTGAAACCGGATCCGAATCCGAAGAGTCAGCAATAAGCAATCTATCCCTTGTCGTGCTCTGCCCGGACGGGAGGAAATTTCAAAGGTCTACTAGTGGCCTGATTCTCAATCAGGAAAATAAAAATCACCGATTTGATTTGTGGATTATTCATATCGCTACCATAGCTGAGGCCTAGCTGTCCGCGGAAGTACACATACGTATGTCCTTCATGCTGCTTTTATTGCCTCGTTGCTTTTAGGGCTGGCGATGGAGCAGAAACATGTCGACCGGAACGGCAAGGTCCCGCTCAGTCTTAACCCGAAAATTGAACCTGCATAAGATCCACATGGATAACGAGCGAGGCTCGCCAATCATCTCCAAAAGAGATGGTTTCTAAGCCTTCAAGTGGAGATAAGTAGTGAGTGAATTGAAGTCGAAGACATTCCCTGCGGAATGGTCTCTGACTCACGAAAAATATGTAACCTTGCGACTTTGTTGCTTTAGAATCACGAACGTTGAAAAGCATGAAACTCCCCGGCGTTGGCACGACAGCATAGGGTAACTCTTGAGCCATCTTTTATTCACCCCCAAGATACCGTTCCTGTGTACAACGCAAGGCAGACTATCGCGATCATGGCCACCGCACAAGGGCTTCAAAAGCTAAAGGCCGTGTACCCTTTCCTCCAAGCACCGGTGATTGTGTCTGCTCCCATGCGTATATTCGCCGGTCCCGAGCTTGCTGTTGCAACATCTCGCGCCGGTGGCTTGGGATTCATCGGGCCTGGTGTCCATCCGACAGATTTGGAACCGAAGCTGGAGAAGGTGCACGACCTGCTCAAAGAGACACCTGTTACCGAACAGTCTGAAATGCTGCCCGTCGGGGTGGGGTTCCAGCTCTTTGACGGCGATTTGGAGGTGGCCGCCGCCGCCGTGCGAAAATACAAGCCTATTGCTGCGTGGCTGTTTGTGCCTGCCAACGGTCAGCACGACATCGATCGTTGGGCATCAAAGCTCCGACGGGAATCTCCTGGCACACAAATCTGGCTTCAAATCGGGTCTCTACCTGATGCCATTGTCGCCGCCTCCAGTAAACATGCCCCCGACGTGATGGTGGTGCAAGGAATTGATGCTGGCGGCCACGGGCTAAAAAAAGGAGCGGGGATCTTGTCATTGCTTCCAGAGGTGGCGGATCATTTACGACGTATGGGATTCGATATTCCACTGTTCGGTGCAGGCGGTATTGCAGATGGGCGAGGTGTCGCTGCGGTACTGGCTACGGGGGTCGCTGCGGGTGCGGTGATGGGGACACGGTTTTTGGCCAGCAAAGAAGCCGAGGTCAAGAAAGGTTATCAAGAAGCATTGTTGGGAATGGCCAATGGGGGCCATACGACAGTGAGGACGACTCTGTTCGACAGACTTCAGGGTCGAGACGATTGGCCGGAGCAGTACGACGGTCGAGCAATGATCAATGCCAGCGTTATGGAAGATGAGGTGGGTATGCCTCTGGAAGAAAATAAATTACTTTTCGAGGAGGCACTGAAAGGTGGTTTGCCTCGCTGGGGATTCGAGGGACGATTGACGGCGTACATGGGAACTGCTGTAGGTTTGGTGAGGACGGTCGACTCGGCGCAGGATATCATCAACCAGGCAAGGAATCAGGCGAAAGAATCTCTCAGGCAGGGGTTGGAAAATCTGGTAGACTAGAATGAAACCGTCGGATCAATGTTCTCTGATTGGTAGTCGCCGCCTCCATGAAATATAGTATGACCTGAATCAGATCGTCTGGCACAGAGCAAAGCGCCCGGAGGTCACACGAACCAGCACGAGGTGAGGAGCCTTGACCAAACCGAGGAGGGCTGGTCAGCCTTCGACCCAACCTTGGATCAGTTTTTGGGCCTACAGGCTTCCCCGGGCCGGAGACGTTGTTACATACACTCGAGCGTCAATGCTTATGGTCGAGTAGTCAGCTTTGTTCTTGTCTTTTGCTCTTTTTTATCGTTAGATATCGCATCAATCGCAATTCCCACGTGTCGTGCCACCTTTCAAGGAGCTGCTGATCCCAAAAGAACTTCTGTACTGAATGCTTCACCCATTCCCAATTCCTTGAACTGACTGATTTCTCAATCATCTGATCGAGGAGTATGTTTCGCGAATAGGCCAGCCTGTCATAATCGGCTCCGTCCTCTTTCGGCAAAGATGAAGGCCCTGCTATAACCAAGGCCATCCACATAGAACATTCCTTATCCAGAGGGTCCAGATTATACCTATTCAACATCTCTGTGAGGGACTCGAGCAAACGTCGATGCACGGGATTCTGCTGTGGCTTCTTGTTGTACGTCTCTAGCGCACATGCTACCAGAGCACAACAGAGGATCTTCTCCAGGAGACTCAGACTTGGAAGACCGATAAGCTCCAAACAAGAATGAGCTTGTTTGAAATATGTACCATCGGGGTCTCCCAGCCGTAACGCTCCTTCCTGGCGGCCGTGCTGCAGTTGATTGATCCACTCGGACATCCGTGATAGAATCTTGATCATCTGGAAGCTGAAAACCCCTACTAGCGAGAGTTCTCCAAACCCCTCAGGAAGCTTGGCTATTAATGCACAAAGGTCTGGAGGAAAGGGATGTCTCGGGTATTCGAGCTTGATTTTGGCTTCAGTTGGGGCAATGTTGAGTTTCTTGTTTTCGTGATAAGCCCATAACGATTCTAGACTGTTGCGTGCTGGTAAGCAGGATACTATAATAGGGACGTAGACGACATCAAAAATCAATTTGGTCAGCGTGGGGAGAGGCGGGTTGCACCAACCTGACGATACTGGTCTTCAGAAAACCATCCCAACCAAGATTATCGACACCACCTCTCATTTCAACGAGCTGTCGTAAACCAGTCAAATGTGTCTCGAATGCGGCGAAATCATTGTAAATCAACTGAGACGCCATCAGCACGGACGTGAGCCAAATAAAAGGGTGACCTCATACTGCAATTCCCAGCAACAACAGAACAGTAAGGATGGTAGCGTCATCGTCCGGGGCAGCACTCCTCTCCATGTTCAAGCGTAGTGCCCGAAGCCCATGACCATAGTGTATCAGAACATCTCTCGTGGGCTTTCGACCCTTGCCCAGCCGTGCCGAATGCGAGGCCTCAGCGAGAGTGACCATCAGCTCAAACATCGGCGCATTCTCCAATGCCAGGGAAAAATATCTTCTCGACAGAGGCAAACTGTCAGCCGGGCCTAGATCTTCCTTCTTTGGATTGAGATGGACGGGCGCATAATGCTGCAGAACTGGGTAGCTCCAAGTTAGCGTAACGACTCCTGTCAAGCTTCCCCCCGACCTTACAGTAGTCGACAGCTGACGGCACGCAGCCGTCAGCTCTTATCGGGAATGATCTGAATGGGTCACCGCGAAGCCCCCCTGCCGTTACAGTTGACCGTGGAGACAACACCACAGCTCCGGTCGCGTCGTACTCATCGACTATTTCGCTCTGCCCGGACCGCCATCGATTCGGGTCTTGGGTGTCTGGAAAATCGACATGGCTATATGCTGTCACGAATTGATCGCGGCGTCTTCCAATGTTGGCTATTGCTCTTTTGACAACTTGATTGTGGATTCGATTACGCTGTCGGGGAGTGGGCTGATCGATGAAGACCGAAAAGCTGGAGAGCTGTCTGCCTGACCTCTTCGGATGTTCGTCGGTAGGCTGCATCGGATAACAACTTATAAAACACGATTTGCTAAGAGGGATTCAACTACAACAGCTTGATCGTCCATGTCGATAACTGACGAAGGAGGGATCTAGGCACATGCGAAAGAATTCCCAAGCGTATTGATGGCAGCCCTGTCGGCAGGCCAGACTCGAATAGGCATAGAAAAAATCTTGGTCTTTGTCAGCCTTAGCCGCAGCCACCAGGTCAAATCTGAAGCCAAGCGGGACCAGACAATATCCGGGCGAAATTGTCGTCCTTAGTCCCGAATTATTATTTAGCGGAGGAGAAAACATTCGGCATTTTCCTCATCGGTAACATAATTTGAGAATCACGAAAAGGCGTCCTAGGACAACAAGAATTCGGGTTGAGCAACGTTCAAGCACACCAAATCAGCCGAGATCGTGATCGAGGTCCAGCTGGAGGAAAGGTAGGAAATGAGGGGAAATGTTGTAAACCAGCACGCATCGCGGTCGGATATGTAGAGTTTCGAATGGGACTGTTTTCCCTTCTAAAGCGACGACCAATTGGCTCCCTGCAGTCACAGACAGGGGTGGCTGGTCGAGAAGGAGATGAAGCTGGATAAGGTCGGGACATGGAATACCCTCAAATCAGAACGAGGGAGTATTTTCGAGCCATGAAGTAGATCCTGTTGCCCGTGTCTTTGAACTGCCAACAACATTGGAAAGGGAATTTGGGGAGGATACAGGCTGATGTCTCAACAGACGTCTTCCCGTTGACATGGTTCACGTGATCTGTCTCAAGTGACCCGTTGTTTGGTACCTGTTACTTTCTGACCCGCAACGGCATGCATCAGAATCTGTTTGACCCACGAGGTTTCAAGAGCTATTGGATGTCCGGATCCCGGTCCTTGAGGCTGGTGAAAGGTAGGCGTCGGTTGCCTCATCCAGATTGAATATTATCAAGATGGGCAAAGACAAATTCAGAGTGGCAGACCGATCCGCAGTCCGTCACATATAGTTATCAAAGTTAGGTGCCGTTTGAGTGTATTCTCCGCATGGCGTGGATTGAGGGTTGTGTCTGAATGGTGGAGAGACCACCAAGGCCATCCTTAATCCATCCCCACTGACAGGCTCGAGTTCCAGAAGATCTTGCCTGTGCGTCCATCAACTAGGACATGGTGCTGCTAATCTCTGTTTGTCCCATATCCAACGCTACCAACTCCAAGACAGCGGAGACAAGGCTTCCGTACTCCGTAGTTATTAGAGGACAGACTCCGGTCTTCCAAGCGCGCCTGCCGCCAGTGACAAGCCTATTTTCTTCCGGGCCAAGTGCATGCAGACGAAACACCTTACGTTCAACATCATCTACTCCCTCTGCAACCTCGAGTTACATGTCCATTCATTCAAACTTCCATCTCACGCGTTGCCATCTTTTCATATCGAGGCCTAAACTGACATCTTTCCGTTGGATTTTCTTTCGCCACATACGCATCCATTGTTTGGGACCTCCATTCGCTTCCTAATCCATGCGCACCCCCTCTCTCGCCAGTTCTTGCGCATTGGCGCCCTTGACCTGATCGATTCCGCTCTGCTCAGCATCCCACCTCACCCCAGCGAACGATGCTGAGACCGGCGACCCCTCTGACCGTTCTGCTATTCGTGTCCTTCGTCCTCCTTCTCTTGTCCGTAATATCCACGCCCATAGTCAAGAGCATCCCCATTGCGACCTATCAGGGAGTCAACTTTGGTGTCTTCGGCTACTGTACGACCTCAGAATGTAGTGGGATCAGAGTGGGCTATACGACGGGTAATGACTCGTTCCGATCCATTTGCACATCGTTGTCATTGACCTTGATTTTCAGATGGCCTGTTCGCTTCTGACGATGATGGAGATTTCAACTTACCCTCGAGTGCCAGACACTCCTTATCGTCGCTTCTTATCGTCCATCCCGTCGCGGCATTCTGCAACCTGATCTGTCTTGCCTTGGCCGGCGCCGCTCATCTACACTCACCTTCCCACTCTGCCCGATACCTCCTCGGACTCCTGATCCTTCTTCTGCCCACTTTACTCGTGACCCTCCTGGCTTTTCTGGTCGACATATTACTGTTTGTGCCGCATTTGCATTGGGGAGGATGGATCGTCCTCGCTTCCACCATTCTAATCGCCGCCTCCGGTGTGGTCACCTGTGCCATGAGAAGAACTTTGGTCTCGCGAAAAGCCCGCAAAAAGAGAATCGCTGAAAATGCCGAAATGAGTGGAGAAAATTTCTATAATCGACAGGCCCAAGACTCCAAAATGGGTACCCAAGCTTTCACTGCAGAGCCTACAATTCCCGTCGTCAACGGCGCACCCGGTGCAGACCGGCTCCCTACATTTGCGACGTTTGATGTCAGTCAAAAATCGGATGAAGAACGCCAGCCTCTCCGGTCCCAAGCCTTGTCTTCCGAACCCTCCCAAGGTCCTCCTCGAGATAATGCTTCAGAAAGGTACTTTGGTCCTCCCTCCAGATCCAACAGTCGTCCGCCGTACGATGGGCCTCGAGATCAGTATGGAAACCCAACCCCCCCTAGTTCAGGCGGCGCAATGATGCCCCTCCAAGGAAGAAGATCTGGAGATGAGCGGCCTGGGCCCGGCCTTTATCGAGAGGGTAGCGTGCCACCGCCAGGTAGTCGAGGATATGGTTCTCGTGGCAGAGGCAACTATCCGCCCCGCGGAGGATACCCTCCGCGAGGAGGTTATGGGCCTCGGGGACCTCCACCACCCCAAGGTTATCCCGGGCGGGGTGGATTCTCTGCCGAAATGAGAGGAGGTTATAGTGGACGTGGTAGAGGAGGCTTCCCGCCCGACGCTGCCATGGGTGCTATCGGCGCTATCGGCGGCGGTACGGTTGCGGGAGCGATGATGCCGGGCAGACAAAGACGACCTCCTCCCGGATATCCTCCTACCGGCGGAGACAGCTCATCGGAAAGATTTACCCCACCAGACAATTATCCCGACAGCATCGGAGCGCCACTACCCATTTCCACGTCGCAGCCCTACGTCGAAGACAGTGAGAGGAGATTCGATGTCACGAGCCCTTCCGTGTATACGACGGGGCCGGATGAACAGCAAGGCTCCTTTGGAGCTCGCGCACAATCACCTGGACGCGAGAGAATGTCACCGTACGGAAACCGGGTACAATCTCCAGCAGGGACTGGTCGTCAACCCTCTCCACCTCCGGTCATGCCCCCCTTACCCACCAGTCAAGCTGCCGAATTAGCTGCCACCTCCGCTCGAGATTATAATCCACGAAGGTCTCAGAGTCAAGACCCGTAAGTTGATCGCGCTGGAAATGTTTTCATAATGCTAATGTATTAGTTACGTCCCTCCTCGAGCTCACTGGAACAATATGTCCAACGATGACTTTGGTCAGCCGCGATCGCCGGGCCGGTATACAGCTCCGCCTGTCGAACTTCCTTCCGGGGCAAGTAATGTCGGAGGATATAGTGGCCCAAGTCGAAGACCACGTGTAAATTCTGGTGGCAGTGATGTTTATTATGAAGATGTTGACCCTCGATTCGCCTCTGATCCTGAAACTATGCCGCCGATGCCTCCCACTTCTCAGATGCAGGATAACAGGCTAGTCCCTCCACCATTGGCTCTTGGTCAGCATGAGCGGTATCGACCGGATTCGATGAGCGGACTTCCCAAAACCAATTCCTACGAAGATCTGCCCGGTGCTCGATCTCCAGCTGAAAGTGAAACCAGTAATTTCACCTCCGTTAGCCAGCGCGGGGTCAATCCAAATTGGAGGCCGGGGAGTGGTGGGGAGTTCAGTTCGTCTGGCCCCGCCAGACGGCGTGATCACCAGATGAAGAGGGACGTTTTACTGGCAGGGAACCCGGACTTCGAACTTCCCGGCATGGGGGCCCCCGGCAGATTGAACGGTCGAAGTCGTGGCGGTGGCATGAGAGGCGGTATGACGATGGGTGGTGGAGGCCCCCCAAGAATTCCACCAGCCAGCGCTGTCGGTGCGGGCGCGGATGGTCGATATCCCATGGGACCCCCCCGCTAGCTGGACCTGCGGGAATGCGAGAGATATAAAATAGTAATGACTTTTTTTTTTTTTTTTTTTTTTTTTGGTTTTTTAATAATACTTTGACGGGAGAAGAAAATTGATGAACCGTGGATATGACACGTGAGCATGAACATGAATCCGAGGATTTTCTGACCTTCGGCCGGTTTTATTGTCTTGTTAGAATTGACTAGTCAAATCAATGTGTCTTTGCTCCTTTCTCTCCCGTGATTTCGGTTTCTGTGCAGGACCAAGTGTTCATACCAAAGCAACCAGGGGTAGTACGGAGTAGTATGTATCTGGAGGAATCATGGAGTACCGCACAACGTCCCATTTAAATGCCATTGAAAAGTTTCGAGGACACCGGACGTGGTTGGATTACTGTTCGAATCACCAATAACTAGACCGCGCCACGCCGGCACCGGGACTCGTTTAATTCTTCGATGATGAGCAATAAACAGCTTGTGACAATGGAATTCATTTCAACGCTGAAAGCGGATTCGTTTTTACTCTGCGGCCTATATCATAATCCGCCCATCGTTGGATCTGCCGCCAAACCGGCCGAGAATGTCGCTGTTACTCCCATCCCCACTATTATTGCCCTGTGAATTTGAGAGAGAAGCGTCATCAGTGTCGCCGCCGCCCATCCATTTCGGGCGTTTGAAGCCTCCTCGACTGGACGAGCCGGAGTCCGTCCGTGACGGCTGCATCCATTTGGGCGTCTGGATGGTGTCGATGGTGTTTTTTACTCTCCGGCCGAAGAGGGTGAGGAAGTTCTCCTCCTCGGATTCCGGATCCAAAGGTGGACGGGTCCCAGGCCTCGAACTGCGCGAGGCCAATGCACCGCGGGTCGATCGGGTGTGGGTCCCCGCTGCTCGTTCGGCTGGAGGAACCCATCTCGTTGATGCAGCGCGGGATGCTCGTCCCGCGTCGAGAGATGGACGGGGAGAATCAGTCAGTCCCAGCGTGGAAGATCGGTTTCCTTCTAGGTCCCGAGCGATGAGATCGCGACCCTCGCGCCATCCGCCCGTGCCGAAGCCGGAGGGATTGTCTTCCTCGTCCTCCTCCAGGATTCCAAACCCTAGAATATTTTTGATCTTACCGTAGAGATTGAAGAGCGTGGCACAGACCGGGATAAAAATGAACATGGGGAACAGATAATCGAACCAAGTACCCAGGGGGGTGAGGTTGATGAGACGGCCTAGGAAGCTATAGAAGGTCGATGTTTGATGGATGTGCTCTGGGAGGAATGTGAGGAAGTTGTAGGCCAAAGGAACGGTCAATTTGGCGATTTGACCGGCGTACCAGCACGCGGATTCGGCATACGTGTTCCTTTTGACGAGTGCTCTTTGATTCCATGTCGGGACGTCGTTGACACTGCTCAAAGCGCAGACGCACATGTATGTGACCCACATGGAAGCCGCGAGCTGACCGCCAAAGCCGATTTGATAATTCATATCGCTCGGGTGGTGAATGACCGTAAGACTGACGGCGGATAGTTGAGGGGCAGGGAATTTGATAATCTCAGACCAGATAACCGCCCCCGAGGCGACCGCGAGAACGGCACCCAGGGCGATCCGGAGCGCGGGAATAACGTGCACATAGAGATGATACCGCATGGATGGTGTAATGAGAGACCATTGACCGGAGGGGGCCGATGATCGACCGAAGTCCAATTTCTTGGAGGCTTTGGAGTCGAGAATAGCTTGCAGGTCCGTAGCTGTTTGTACGACGGTGTCCCATTCACGGAGATACCTCGCTCGTCGGTGCCGGGCCCGAACCAATCGTCGGGTGAGGTCTGCCAGATATCTTTCAGTGATGACTGCTGGAACTTCGGCCAAAGTGCCCATGGTGACAGGAGTTGCGAAATCACGACTCGCGGGTTGGCTGATCATGTCCACCAATTCGTCAATCCATTCTTGAAAGTCACGAGCAGTTCCAGTTTTGCGTTGCCTGAGTTGCATCACTTGGGCTTCCAATTCATCCAAATCGGCAATGGCATCTTCCAGCTTGTCATGCACCCTTGGCGCCTGGCCTTGTACGCGTCGGAGACTGCCGCTTATGTCTGCTTGTCGGAACATTCTCCTCGGTATGGCAACAAGTCCGTGCCCCATGAGATAGATCGCGAGAACCAAACCCCAGACATAAGCCAATGCCATGACCAATGCCCTGATAGCCGTGAAGTCAAAGCCATAGGAAAAGATCATGTAGACCAAGCCCACAATAGCGCAGGCGAGCACGATGAGCTGATACTGACCGTTAGAGCGCAGCGAATAAATCATGCGCGATTTGGGGTCACGATATCCCGCATCCATATATTCTCCCAACAAAGGGAGGACCACCCATGTTAGAACAAATGTCAACCAGTATACAATTCTCCAAGATACCAGCACGGCTCTTTGTGGCAACCAGATCCCCTTGCCTCCATGATTGCTCCCTCGGGCGCTTGAGGCAAGATCCATCGGAACCAGAAGGAGAGCGCTCGCGGGGAGGACGAGGGCCAAGAAGATGGGAACAAGGAGGAAGGCCGGAGTCGTTCGCAGGGGTAGATAGTGTCGTAGGAGGAACAAGACGGCGATTGATATGGTCAACAGCGCCAGGAGCGCAAAGACATCTGAGCCCACAGAAGAGGAAGCCATGGCACTTTTGGATTTGAGTCGGAACCTCACCAGAGACAACAAAATATGCCATTCGCCATTAACGGTCGTCCCGATGAGATAGATGGTTCATGTCGTAAGCCCAGCCCAGGCCAACGGATGGGAAGAGGCACGACGAGGCAATAACAAAAAGAACTGAGAAGTGCAGTTTCTTTTGACCGGTGAAGGAGGATGAGGAGATTGAATGTTAGGCCCGCGATACGATATACGGACAAGGCAAAGGCAGCGAAGAAAGATTGTGAATAGGTTGGGGTGCCGTGTTTAGAGTTTCCTCCGATCTACAGTCGAGCAAAAGGGTACTTCTCGCTTTGCTGCAGCCTCACCGTTCGGGCGCGTACCGTCAGCTCTTCTGAACTTTTGGTAGTCCCTTTTGCCACAACACACCAAAGACTGAGCCTTCCTGCTGGCTGGCACTAGTAAGTGCCCACATCTTCCGCTAGTGACTCCTTGGCTCGCTATTCGCCGGCGCTGGCTAGGGACTGGTTCCGCGCTCAGGGCTCGGCTGCGTCTCCCACTGGCTAGTAACCACTCAATCACTCAATTCGCTGTCTAACTACACACTTCAGCGCTCAAAGCCCTTTCACCGTCTATGGACTGATCCACTTGTCTGCCTTCTATCATCATCAATCACCTGCGAGAGCAACATTTTCCCTACAAACCAAACTACCCTCCGCCGCGACAACTCACAACTCATAGAGTCCTCCTCCCTCCGTTTCCCTTCGACTGAATCTTCTCCTCATCTCGTTTTTTCACCCATCCCATTATTTCCGGCCCAGGGCTAAAAGGGCGGACACGAAGCCCCCGAGGACGCGCCCGCCTGACGCCCGACCACCAAATCAGTCCTGAGAACACCCTCTGCCTGGCTGTCCTTCGTCCATGGCCTGTGAAAGTTGCTTCTCTTCGCCTCACACCTCCCAAACCTAGCACCTCTTGTCTCGTTGCCGTTGCTGTGTCACCCAGCGTTTGTCGACCATCTGCAAACCCACTCGGCTCTCCAATTCAATCTGTGTCACCTCCTTCCTTGCAGAGCCCTGCCGCTACCTCCCCGTTAAACTCCCGGATTGTCTGCACCCCGATCCTCTTATTCAAACACACTCGACTCGATCCCCGAACTCGACCAATTCACAGTACGCTCACCCCTCTCTGATTTATTAGAGCCTTCAATCCCCGAATGCTCTGAAAGCACCGCTCAAGCCCGAGCGACCTGTCGCTCGCAGAGTCTGGTGCCGCCATGAATCCACAGCAGTTCCAAAACATGGCGGGCATGGGACGGGGTATGCCCAACAACATGCAACAGATGGCCATGGCAAACCAGATGGGCGCCCAAATGGGAGGTCAGATGCCGACACAAATGGGCGGGCAGATGGCGAGAGGAATGTCTCAACAGCTGGCTGGCCAGTCCAACTTGAGTACCCCCTCAGTCCAACAACATATATTTGAGATGCTCAACGCTCAGGGACCTTTCACTGGCTGGCAGGCCAATGTCCATGTCCGAGAGCGTGCTGCGCAGATCAAATTGCTGGTGGATTCGCTTCGTTTGGTCAGACCTCCTGTTGACCTTCCCCGCGCCATCGAAGTGGCCCTCCAGTTTGAGCGCAAGTGCTTCACCCAAAGCACCAGCAGGGAAGACTACATCCGCGAATGCAGTGAGAAGCTGGGTAGAATCCGCGACCAACGCGCGCAGCAGATGAACCAAGGTGTCGCTGGCATGATGCCGGGCATGCAGGGTATGCAAATGCAAGGCATGCAGATGCCCAACCAGAATTTTGCACAGATGCAACAACAGATGGGACAGAACATGAACCCCAATATGGCTTTGCCACCACACCTACAGCAGCAAATGCAAGGCTCGCCGATGTTCAATCAACCTCAGCCCATGATGAACCAAGGTCCTCCAAAGATGAACCAACCCCAGGCGAACATGGTACAGGCCAACAATCAACAAAAATCAAACCCGTTGCCGGAATTGACACCGGAAGATAATAAGGCTATCAATCTACGAGCTGCGGAGTTGGCCAAAAGCACTCCAAAGGAAGAGATGCGCACCATCGTCGAGAAGATGAACCCCCAACTACGTCAGAACCTGGCCCAAAAGGCCGTCGACCCCATCATATATTATTTCCGGATGCTGGCCACCAAGGAATTCCGCCGACGCAAGCAGATGGAAGCGGGAATGGGTGGAACGGGAAATGTTGGCCCGATGAACAACAACTCCAACATGATGAACCAGCTTCAGAACCAACCAAACCAAAATGGCATGAATCAAGGCATGAATGCGAACACCAACTCGCTGATTGGCGACATGGGTCGGTTTCAAGGCCAACAAGCGGAAGGGCTGAGATCCCAGGAAGAAGGCCAGTTGGTGGTACCCGCCACCAGCGGTCAGGGCGTGATACCGGACCAGATGCGTATCCAGCAGCAAATGCTAGCTAACCAGCGGATGGGCCAACAAAATCAGAACAATTCTTTGAACCCTGCTTTCATAGCCCAACAGCAACGTTTACAACAAGCCCAAGCCACCAAGATGCAGCAGGCTCAGTTACAAGCCCAAAATCAAGCACAGGCTCAGGCTCGCGCACAAGCTGCCGCTCAAGCTCAGCAAATGGCGAACCAACGCAGTCAAATGCAAGGGATGCCGCAGTCCACTGCTCCGGGGAGCCTTTCGGCGATCAATCGACCCGTTGGACCTAACGTCTCAGGGGCCAGTCCGCAGACCGGACCCCGACCTTCGTCGGGCACTCCTATGATGAACCAGCAGATGCCAATGGCCGGTGGGATGCAGCAAGGAGGACCACAACAGATAAGCATGCAAGACATGCAAAAGCGCGAGCAGGCCCTGGCGAACTTCCCCCCGCCCCTTCAGGCTATCTTGCGAACAAAACCGCAAAGTGAATGGCGAAATGTTTTGCAGCAATTCCAACAGAGCGGCAGCATGAGGAGAAGTTTATCTCAGCAGCCACAGAGCATGCAGCCGCAACAACAGCCCGGGCAACAGCAACAACCTCAAAATATGGCTCAAATGCAGAACGGCGCTTTCCTCGGTGGCGCCAATATTGGACCGATGCCCATGCAGCAATCACTTTCAGCCGGCGCTGCCTCTCAACAGGGTCAGGATATGGGTGGTATGCAGGGACCACAGGGCCAAATACAACAGAATCAGGAGATGTTGAGGCAACGTCAAATGCAGATCCAACAGCAACAAAAGCAGCAGCAGCAACAACAACAGCAGCACCAGTCCCAGCAACAAGGACAACCACAAGCCCCTCGCCAGCAATTGACACCTCAACAAATGAAGGTAATGGACCAACAGCAGGTCCCCCCGATGGTGTTGAACAACGTGAGGCAACATGCACCTCTGCCTGATATTAAGTCGTGGTACCAACTCAAGCAGTGGCTCATCCAGAACCCTGTGGCAAACTGGCCTGTCGGCCATGTGTTGGATATCCAGGCGACGCATTTTGCACATCTTATGAAGAACCGTGGTCAAAATGTCCAACAACAGAACAACGCGATGGGTCAACCACCCCAACCAATGCAACATCCTCAGATACCAGGCGTTCCTCCAGGCCCAATACCGTTCCGGCCGCCGACTCAACAGGATGTTCAGAAAGTTCGGGCTGCAAATCCCAAACTAGCAAACCTCCCGGATGATAAAATCCGAGCCCTGCTTATCAATCGACATCGGCAAATGGGAATGCAGCAACAGCAAGGTCAACAGGGAATGGCCCAACAGTTGCCATTCATGCCGCCTCAGCAGGGCCAAGGAAACCCTCCCGGTCAGCAATTTGGGATGCAGGCGCCGAACCAAAACCAAGCCCCGTCGCAGCCGAACATGCCAGCTCAACAACAGCCCAGGCCACCGTCAGGCCAAGCCCCGGGACAGCCTCGTCCATCTCAAACACCAGTGCCGCCTGAAAACAAGGCATTGAAACGGCCCAATGATGATGATGTGATCGAAATGCCCAACCCGGCCTTGAACAAGCCCGCTCCGCCTCACATGGATCTCACCAAGGCGCAACAAAGCCATCAAGCCCTGACTAAAGAGCAGTTCAACGCACTAGACCCGGCTAAGAAACAACAGTACATGAACTTCCAACGACAGCAAGCGGCGATGCGGAAAGTCATGGAACTCACGAAAGAGGTCCAGGCCAGTATGCCCAAGCTCCGACCAATTACGAACATGGATCAAGCGAGCAGAAGGCGAATCACAATGATTCTGACTTCTGACAATGTCAAAAACATGCTGGGACGATTCGATTCCTTCCTCATCGCTTTCTATCGCATCGAATCGAATGATGCGGCCATCAAACAACTCGTGCTGCAGAAAATGCAGTTGTTTTCACAATTCAAACCTCAGACTTTGCAGAACAGAACGTTTGAGGTTGCAGACCATTTCAGCATCACTGCAGATACGGCCGAGGCGATCATCAATAACATCACCGCCAAGTTCCAACAAACGGCAGCGCAGATTCCGCAACAAAACAAAGCGCGGCCACAACCAGCACAGCTGACGCCCGAAAATCTCAGCTTGCTAGAGGCTCAAGAGCAAGACCGTAGGAAGTCCCTGAAGGCGAACCAAGTTCCTCCGGCTCCCACAGCCACACAGCCACCGTTCCAAATCGGCGATCCCAGAGGACAAGGTACGCCGAGATACGCAAATGCAGGACTCAAACAAGAAGACCTCAAGCTTCCCACCGATCCCAAACGACGGAAGAAGAACCAACAGCAAACTGCCACTACCAATGCAGCAGCGAGCGCCACAGCGACGCCTTCTGTCACCACTTCTCCACAGGCGATCAAGATGCCCAAACCGGTCGAAACGTTCAAGTGTCCCGTCAACGGCTGTGAGCATCAGCTCAAAGGATTTCCGACCCAAGCTGAACTCAATCAACATCATAATGTGGCTCACAAGCTGGACATGGAACCTGTCACTGATCCTCTTGCTTTCCTCCACGAATCGTTGCGTTCCGCCTTCAACTTGGACGAAAACTTGAAGCAGATCAAGAAGACTTTCCCCACGACTGACAATAAAGCCACAGTCGCCAACAGTATCAAGGGTGAAAGCTCTGGAGCTACTCCGATTTCGATGTCTAAAATTCCGAGTCAAGCAGCGGGCCCCAAAGCGGGCGAGCCCACTGCACCTGACGACGACGATCCTTGGCGGCACAGCAATATTACATTGGATCAGCTTCGTATGGCATTTGGTGGAGATGACTGGGACGAGCTTTTTCCGTCGCAAGAAAAGACAGAGGAATACCAGTCCAAATTCTATGAAGCGTATCGCAACAGCGGCAGCGAAAGATGGCGAAAGATAGCCGAAGGTCCCAATGGTGCGTTGACCGATACATCTACAGACAAGTCGAAGAGCCCGGAGGATGTTAGCGACAAGGAAGTTCCCGCTGCAGCCGCAAACAGCGAAGACAAGAAGGACGGGCAAGAAAAGAAGACCGAAGAAGATTCATGGATGGTCAATTTAAAGGGTATCGAGGGTCTCGATCTTAGCGGTCTCGGTAACACGTCTCCATTCGAGAATATCGGTGACAAAGATATCATCATGGGCGAGAATGGCTCACCCTTTGAATGGATTGAGAAGCCCCAATTGACCAACGAAGAACTTCATCTCCAGACTCTGGGTGTCGACCTCCAACATCCGGAGGCCTGGGATGCCCAGCAGAAGGCTCTTGTGGAGTTCTTCTTGGACCAATGATACCAGAAGACGGACTGTGAAGACTGCGATGCTGAGTCCCATGGAGTTTTCTCTCTTTTCCCACTCCGTTATTGAAGATACAAATTCATATTATTCCCCTTTCAGGTGTCTATTTAGGTGCTGATGTGAAGGATGAAAATTTGAAGGAATCACCAGCGAGGTGTTAACGGGTTATATGGAAGCCGGTCCGGGCTTTTTTCGAATGGATACGATGCGACGATCTCCTATGCTAAAGAAAGCATGTTCTATGGAATGAATATCTCTCGAGATGCGCGGAGGGGGAAATGTACGGTTGGGAGGATTTGTGACCCCTGTTTTGATTTTACAATCTATTGGTATTTGTACAGTATGGATGGTATCGCGAATATGACTACCCATGCATTTCGCGACAGGATTGCTATTTCGCTTGAGTGAGCAAGGGAGTTCAGGATCTTCAATCATTCTTTCCTCTCGGGACAGCTGGTTGAAGTTGGGGTTTATCAATGGACGGATGAATTGAATGCGATATGAGTGAAGGACAGGTCCCAAAATTTTGGGTGCGTATAGCTCTTGCCCGGTACCTGCTTTATGCGGAAATGGTATAAGATGAGAGTCATTCGCGCCTCATGAATAAAAGGTGCAGGGCGAGAAGTCGATTTCAGACCGAAATCAGAGACAATTCTGAGGTTTTCTTTTGCCCTTTTCCACTTTAGAAATTGAACCACGGACCATTTTGGGTGATGCTCGGTACCTGAATGCTGCATCCTTCCTCAGCAGCGCCATTAACCAAAGTCATCATCGTCTCTCATCTGCGCATTAATGTCGTTGCCTGTAAATCGTCCTTCGACATAGTCGATGCCGAGACCTCGTAGGATTTCGATTTGTCTTCCCCCAATACTCACGGACTCGAACCCCGGGGGGAGACGACGACGGGCTCTAGGAAATTCAGAGTTAGGACTTGTATACTGCATTTGACGAACATGATAGAGACGGGGAAACGAGAAGAGCCCGGGACATACTTCAAATAGTCCAACTTGATATTCCGCGCCTTGTCCTTCAATTGGACCTGGCTCCTATTTTGCAACAAGGGGCCGTCCCCATGCGCTTTGTCCTCATCCAATATTCTTGCCCATTTCGTTCCGTGCAATTCAATCATCTCCATCAATCGGTCGACTTCAGCTTCGGTGTAAGGTTTGCGAACTTGAACGCCTCGTCCCTGGTATGTTTCTCGCGAAAGCCGCGCTGCGAGTTTGGCTTCTTGATTCACGCGCGAAACTTGGGAGAGTGGTGGTTCCTGGTGGGCGGGCCGAGGAGGAGGGGAAATGGTACTGTCTTCCCGTAAGCGGGCAGGTGCGGTTGAATGAGGAAGCCGAGAAAGAGATACGGGTCGAAGTGGTTCGCGCGTGGTTGGTTGTTGGGTGCTTGCTCGAGGTGGTTCGGATTCTCTGGAAAGCTCAGAGTGAAGTAATGGCCGTTTAGGTGAGTGTGACGATGATGCTTGGGTGGATTGTGGCGGCCGGTTTCCTCGTCTTGGAGTGATGACTGGTGATTCAGCTGGTATCTCCGCGTCCTCGTCGTCTTCCTCATGAGGACCATCTTCAACACCACTGTGGCTTCTCGCCGTGTTTCGAGTGGCGAGTGATCGTTGCCTGCTACCTTCAGCACCATGACGAGGCCTCTTCGCAGCTCGTGTATCGGTTTCGAAATCGTCTTCATCGTCAGATCCCTCAGGTTCCTGTCTTGGATGTTTGCCCGGGCGCCCGGAGGGATCCGGTTCGCTGTCTGAAGGCGTGTTGAACTGTACTTGCACGGCATCCTCTTGTGGGTCCATATAAGACACTTTTTTGGCCGTCTGCTTCCGGTTTTCTTTCTCGCTCTGTTCTTCACGTCGTTTGATGGTGTTGAGGACGATGAGCGTCTGTTGGGTTGGAACAAGTTCCTCCTCGTCGTCCGCTTGTTCCACAGAGTTCGCCACAGATTCGTCCATGCCGTCTTCGTCCGCTGGCCCACCGTCATCATCGTTCACGGGGGTGGGGGACTGAGGAATTTCGTGAACTGAATCTTGTGTGATTTCGGTAATTGCATCGCTCTCTGCGCCAGAGGGCTGAGCAGCATAATGTTCTCGTTGTAACCTGAGTCTTTCCATGTTGGCCGAGAGGGCTTTTCCTCTCAACGGGCCCGGTTTTCCTTTCTTCCCCGATCGTGTTGCTTCCTCGTTGGCCGTCACGGCTGGTGGTCTCCGAGTAATATCAGCACGTGGTCCTGGTCCATGAAACGGTTCCTCGGCAGACGTCCCATCATCCCCCAAGTCTCCCGCGAGGAGATCCTTGATGTGGCCTATCCCGCCCTTCGAATCGATGATACCGTCCAGCTCTTGTTTTCGAGCCATGGACCATTTCACCACTTTCAAGGCAAAATCCGACCAAGGAAATTGGTGTTTCAGAGCATCCAAGTCAATTGGTGCTCGTGCATCTTGTCCGACGTGCTTTCTTATCGTTTTGACTCGCTCCATGGCTTTTTTCCGTCTTGAATTGTGCTCGAAACGTCTCAATTGATTGTCCTCGTCCAGGAATATCTTCCTAACGAGAAAATCGGGGTCAAAAGACAGTTGATGTTTGTTTGCCTCAACTTCCCGGATATAAAACTGCGTGAGGATATCGATGTATATGTCAACGGTTCTCTCCGACATTCCAGGCCCAATGAGAAATAAATCTCGACCGGCAAAGGGTTTGGGAAAATTGTTGAACATGAATTGAAGGTACGTGTGTTGGTCAAAAGAGGAGGTGCTAAATACCGCCATCATCTGAACAGCCAGATTTGCGAGATAGAGAATAGGATCTGGTCGCCAGGGACCTGCATTTATGTGTCCGAGTGCGATTGTGCCGGCCAATTTGCGGACCACGATGTCCACCTTGATGAAGTCTAGGTTCCCGTAAAATTCACGTACAATCAAGAACCTTCTTCCTCGAGTCTGAAAGCGGTGACGCTGTAGAGATTCTGGTTCTGACAGTTTTGCGCAGAACATTCGAAGAGTCTCGTCATCAGCTACCTGGAAGAGAGAGAGCAAGGCGGCTGCGTCACCGTGCAAATCCCCGATGTACTCGACAAGTTCATCTCGATTGAGACTGTCCAACTCGTCCTGGAGAAGGGAGCCCGATGAAATGGATGACCGAGACGGAGAAATATCGAGGCCTGAATCATCCGCTTGCTGAGATGTAGACGCCTCGTCGATTTGGCCCAAAACATGGCTAATGTTTTGTACCTGGTGCTGGGTGGCGGGAACCTCGCGAGTTGCTGACCTCGTCGATCGTTTGTTTTGATTCGATGCGTCCACGAAAACGGCCGATGTAGAAGGTTTGGGCGGTGAGAGAGGTTTGTTTTTCCTGCTCACTGAGCGAGCAGCCCTTCGGGCCATGATGAGCTAATTGGTAGTTGAACGTGGGGTCTCCCTTTCCTCCCTACCCTCCCAGTAGGTCTTAGGGTTAGGGTAAATGGTGATGAAGAATTAGACTTCAAGATGAGTGGCGTTGTGAACCGCGCGTCGGGACATGATCCAAATTCGGGCGCGCGGCTTGGCGTCTAACTAGACGCCGTGTTGCAGGCATCAGATCAGTCCCTCACCGCTACTTGTCATCACATCTTTTGTGGGATGCATTCTGTCAACTTGCAATATAATCTTGTTGACGGGAAATCCCCCACAGATTTAGTGGAACTCGCCTCACCGTTTTAGGGCCGCCAAAGCTGCAGCCTTGCTGATGATGAAGCTAAGATTTTTACCGCACAACAAACACGACCTCTCCATACTACATCTCTTTTTCTTCCTCGTGGACAATAGTTCCCCTGGTGAGTACACTTACCTGGAGAGAGAAGATTTGGCAACTTAACTCTAGACATCCAAACTTCTCAACATTTACGATGATCGACCGACCCTTGCTGGACGTTCCAAGCGGTTCAAATGTCGCCGACCCACCCGCACTTTCGCGATATCAATATTATGGGCACTCACTTCGCCAATGCATACAACATGTGTCGATTCTATAACTTTAAGAAGGAGACGGTGCAATCACTCTTCAGTGAGAATTGGGATGTGGTGAGAAAGTCTGCTATAATTGCTGGGCCTAGGTCATACAGAGAGCAGCGGCATCACCCTATGGTCGATCAGCTTATTGTATGTATGTTTGGGAGACCTTGGGAGGATTGGAATAGAGAAGAGCCGAACTTTCGATACATAATTACAGGTCACTAGGTCTCCCATATGCGACTTACGGAGATGGCCATCGGTCAAGGTACTCTACTTCGCCGGTTAGGATTCCTATAACGGACCTCCCATGGTTGGAATGGCCCTATTAATTTAAGACCCGACTCTAGGATCGGGAAACTCAGTGTACAGCGAAAGGCCGCGTCCTCACATAGGCTGGTATGCCGCTCCAACAACACTTCCGTCTGATGTTTCCATGCAAACCCTCCTCCAAGAATGCAATGAGACATTTTCGAACTCTCATTATGACTACCACTTTATTCACTGCGGTTCAAAGGCCTAGCTGGCTCATATATACGTCTGTCCCTCGCTCAAATATGTCGATTGATCATCGTATCAGACTTGGGCCTGGACATTGACCACAATCTGCCCGTCGTGTCCCAAATCTTTCTCCACCCGCGTCCCAAATCCGTTACATAATTCCCTAAACTTTCTCTCCACCCATTCATGATCCTCGTCGTCTCTCTTCAACAAGTTCGCCCGAAACAGTTGAATCCTGTTTGGAAACACTTCCAACTTCCTCACTTCCAGCCTTTCGTTTCCGTCCTTCTGCCCAACCGTCACCCTCCAGGCTGCACTCAAATCATTCCTCCACCTGGGATCCACCGCATAATCATCCACGAAGTCTCCACACCCATACACCACTAACTTCCCTTTATAAACCTCCACCCCTTGGACGTGATGGCTGCTATGTCCTTGAATGACGTCCACTCCACACTCATCGATCAGCCAATGCGCCATGTCGACGATTTCCTTCGCCGGATGCCACCGATAGTTTGGGCCCCAGTGCATCGACACCACCTTCAATCCCAATTTTCTCTGTCCTTCATCTTGCTCCTTGGCTGTAAGCTGCTCTTTGATCCTCTCCCGACCTCTTCTCGTGTAATCGATCAGATTGAAAGTGTCCACCGCTCTCCAGTCACTCGGATGATCCGAGAAGCTCCAGCACTTGACGTCCCTTCCCTCCTCCCCCCTCAGTCTCAGCCTCGCGGGCCTGGCTGCCTCCTCCTTCGATCTTCCCGCCCCTGCATATTCCACCCCGTTCTTCTCCAGGGTCTTGACGGTTTCCTCCAGGCCCTCGACCCCCCAGTCCAACGTATGGTTGTTCGCCAGACTCACATACCCTCTTCCCAACCCGCTCCCCATCCCCACCTCTGTCAAACACCGTACGTTCTCCGTGTGGCTGCGGTAGTTGAACATTTTGTCCGGCCACCGACGCTCGCTTGTCGTCAGAGCGGTTTCGAGGTTCGCGAGCACAAGATCTGCACTCCGGATCAAGTCCACGCTGGTACCCCAGGGTGACAGATAATTGTAGGACTTCAGTTCGACATGATGGGGAATGAAGTGGCGGTCGACTATTCGCGCCGCGGACTCGGGATCGGTATGTGGTGATTGCCGTGAAATGCTGGTGGGGAGGAGCGCGTCGATGAGCCGGCCAAGCATCAGATCGCCCAGGAAGAGCAGCTGGTATGTCTTGCCGGGTTCGCCCGGAGTGGACGACATGGTTGAGAGGTGACGCTTTTCGTTATTGCTGGTGGTGCACTTGTTGGAACGCCACAGTGCGGAGGGGATTGCTCTGAATGATGGTCTCCGTAGATGGAATATTGCTCGCAATAGTGACTATTCCGACACCATTGCTCGCGGGATGATGAGTGTGAGAGTCTGTCCATAAATTCTGCGCACGAAGAATTTCGAAACAGTCAGTCCTGATTGCTTGTACCTGCTGCGCTCAACTCGACAGAGACGAGATTCGGAGTTTGGTGTCATGTATTTGCAGATGAAGTTGGATTTGCGGGATTGATATCCGGTCTCCGCAAACTGGAGCCCGGATCTCCGCTCTGAAATACGACGAGACAGCATGAGACGTCATGGTACCGCGGTTGGCGCGAATGAACCCTGAAGAGTCCCGACTGCATATTCTTAAACAAGCAGAAATGGTCATCAAAAGTTCCACAGATGAGTTTTTCATCGATTTCTTTGTCTGCCTCGATTCTATCGTCTCCAGGTCCAGCTGGCAGATAGAGGCCACAACTCGTTCAAGGAGTTGTCCTACAGCAGGATACATACATAAGGCTTCTTTCATGTAAGCTTGGAAGTAGGGCATGCCCCCGGCTTCGTAGTCGGTGATGTATCCTGGCAATTCGCCACGAGCATCAAAAGAGAGAATCTCGTTGAAATTAACGCCAACAGCCTGATGATGATGATGTTCAGATGCCAGCCACAATTGTACCAATGTCGACACACTTGGGAGGAATGGATGATTACAATGTTGGTTTAAACATATGGGAACAAGTGGAATTATTGCTTCAACTGCGAAAATAGGATCAAATTGTACTTAATATCAATCGGGATTGTTCGGATCAGATGGGATGGTGAGTTCAAATGCGATCATGTATGGTTGAATAGGGCATTTCCTCACTTACTGAGTGTACGAGTGCCATCTTCCAGCTCCAGAATTTTTTTTGGGGCATGACGCACCAAGATTCTGAGATTGTTGTTTTTCTTATAAAAGGAAGCAGTCAGTATCGCTCTGACCGTCTTCTTGGTACAGCTCTTTTCCCTGGCGGGTCACATTGAATGCTTTCAACCCCTTGCAACCTCAGCCGTAGCAGCCTGCGGGGTGGTGGTATTTGTTCCAGTCACTGGAAGGCTGAAAGGTCAATGGTTTCAACCGGTGGAGGAATAAATTCCTTTTGGGCGTAGGGCTGTCCGAATTAGAGGCTTTTCCTTCCTAATGCATGCTCAGGTTCGATAACCAGTGCGAACCAATTAATCACTTCTTCTTCGCCATACTGGCCATTCTAGCCGCCATCTTGAAAATAGCAACCGTCCCCTCTCGCTCTTTGTCCATCGCTTTAAGCCTCATCGTCTCAACGAGCTCTGCATCGGCATCCCGGTCTTCCTCGTTGGCGATGGTGGCCATTTTCCGTCGCTTTCGCTTCATCTCTCCATTCCCGTATTGCACGGTCCAGTCCTCCACGTCCCTGTCGACAGTCACACCGGCACAGATCTTCGCGTGTGCGCCGATTGTAACACCGGGGAGCACTGTCACGTGCGACTCGATGACCACTGCGTTTTTGATCGTGGCGCCGGCATTAATGTGCGAGCTGGGATGGATGTAAACGTTTGCGTGGATCGTGGTCTTCACGGGGTCACGTTCATCATTGGCCTCATCTCCTTCATCGTCACCGCCGCCTTGGGCTAGGAGCGGACTTGGTTGGTTACTTCCGCTGCCTGATGGATTACCTGAAAGTTTCGCACCAGGATCTGCAGCGGTACTTGGATTTGGTGCGGGGCCACCAATGACGCATTTCTCGGAAATGATGCATTTGTCACTGATGGAGAGAGGTCCGTGGATTGCAACGAGTTGGGCTCGTGGGTGGACGAGAATGTGGTCTCCGAGCGTGATGGCATGAGTGCTGCGGACGTAGGCTCCTGGGTCGAGGTGTGTGGCTTGCCCCAGAGTTACGGGAGGTCTATTCGAGGATGTCGGTTGAGTTGCAGAAGCAGCAGTGGGTGGGGTACTCATTCTACCTCACGCTGGCTGCTCGAAGAGGTAGAGAACTCCTATACAGAAAAGGAGTCGATATTGTCTTTTAAGGAGAGGATGGTGTGGAGATCAATTTCTAGTTAGTGCGTTTAGCGAACGCGCCGGCTGTACGAACCTAATTGGTGGGTTCGAAACCTCAACGCAACAGGAGACATTTGATCTTCGAGTTGCGGCTGGCAGACATACATGGCTGCTTTTAATATTTCTCTGTTCTTTTCTTTTAGATCTAGACCTTGAAACTCGGCTACGAAAGAAAGACATGTCCTACTACGATGTTGACGCGATTTTGACCGATTCCCAAAAGTTGCCTTGTACTTTCGAGTTGGACGTGCCCGGGCTGGGGTACCTAGACGGGAATGCCGGAGGAACTGTTCGCGCATCCGGTACATCTGTCGTACTGATGAAGAAGACACTGATTTGGAAGTGGTAGATCAAAGCCGGTACAAAGATTGATCTTCCAATGTGGCTAGGCATCATGCTTGCTGTGTCGACGGGGTAAGTTCGCATCATATTAGTGCTCCTGTTTGGGCCATAGCTACTCCAGTGTCAAGATCCTAAAGAGTGGCTTAATGAATGCAGAAACACACCCGGTTCTCCACGTCTGGTGTCTCTCGACTTCCCAGCGCCACTCCAGCAGCGTGTCATCAATGCATTAAAAGCAGATCCGAAGAGCGTCGATTTACGCGCACAAGCACCACATTTCTACGCCCTGGGCGCACGGATTATGGAATTGTTTGATGATCGGGCCATATTGGATACTCTACTAGATGTGAGCTTGTTCTTCAGATTGCTCCCGACTCCCTGTTTCTTCCGTACTCGTTGGAGCAATCCATCTTGTTGCTGCTGACGCAGAAACCGTTAGACATTCAAAGAACGGGCTCCGGAAATCGCAGATCAGGCGCACAATCCACGTGGAGCTTTGGGTGAAGGTGCCGAGTTCTTGAGAGGCCTGGATGAAACTGAGCGCCAGTTGTTCAAAGCAGCGCATGAGGGCCCTAAAGCGGTAAAAGCTTGGACACAGGAATTGAAGAAAAATAATCGAGGATGATTTCGGCTCCGAATTTAGGTTCGCATCCGATCCACGGCTTTATTACGATCTGAGATAATCTCACCACCAAAGGGTGAACGCTGCATGCAACAAACTTGGGCTGCGGAGGACAATCGACATCGGGACACCACATGGGGAACCGTAAGTCGGCGTGTGAACATGAAGTAAAATGGACGTTTGATTTGGGTGCCATGAGAGAATCTCAACCCACGCCACCGGCCGCCTCTTTGACCTTGGTCTGTTCTGGAGGTTCATCCACAAATTGTGGCGGGGCGACTTCATCTTGCAAGTAGCCTGGAGTGCTCTCCCCGATCCCCATTTCCTGTTCAAACATCATGTCCTCTCCGAGGGCCTCCAGTTCTGCATCCAATTCTGCCTCATCTACGTCTTCCGGCACATCGTAGGCCCGACTTATACTCTCGTTGATCTCGTTGCCAATTTCCATCAGATCTGCCATTTCATCCTGCATCTGTTCAATCTTGTCGAGGTTAATCTTGCCATACTGTTGTTTCAGAGCCTTATTCGTCGTCTTCATTGCGTCAACGGTGGTCATCACATTTTTCAAGTTGTCTTGCATCATCCCTGCTTGTTCCATATTCCACGACTGCTGCTGCAGTTGATCTCGTTGGGATTCGTACATCTTGCGTCGTTGTAGCACTTTCAGAGCCTTTTGTTTAATTGCCTGTTTGCCGGGACCATCACGCATCTTGCTTAGTTTCTGCTGATAGGTAGATAGTTCGGCATTGGTTTTGGCCAATTTAACATCGATCGAATCAATTCTAGTATCTACCTGTCACCATGTTAGAATGGCAGGTAATGCGGGGGGATTGCGGTGGCATGCATTTTGGATTGCGCTGTTGAGCGTGGGCTTCGGGGCGGTGTTTTTGGAACCAAAGAGTCGATTCATCTCGCTTGACTGCTTCAACTCGAGCGCTCAGATGTTCGCTGCAATATGCCTTGACAGAAAGAAATGGGGGGGCGAAGTGTTTGGTTTTCGCGAAATTCAAGGTAGCCTGCGGTTGTGTCATTTCTCGCCGCCCAATCGTGCTCCGAGTATTACCCGGTGAGCAGGCCCAAATTCATTACCAGCACCATACTCTCGCACCGTACTTTTGTTTTCAATTTTCCCACCAGGCTCATGATTAAGACGGACAAGTGCAGTTCCGAGCGGTCACCAATCATGCGTATTACAGGGTCCCGGCGTCTGCTTTGGATGTTTCCGTCTACCGGGGCCAGCCTGATCGAAGGTGATCGCTCAACATCAATGGCAAACTTCACTCGAATGGTCACCCGGGATTCAATGCTGCGTTTTGTCTGCATCACCCAAACGATATATTTGGCCAGCTTATTTGAGGTGTCGAGATACGAATATCTGTAATCCTAAGCGAATTCACCTGGCGTAGCTAGGTGGGCAAGTCTCTCTATCTGTGGCCCTCTTCAGATAGTATCACGACGGTGCTGGCTCTTGTAATTATCTTTCAATGCTTGATATTCCTTGTGTACAGATTGATTGAGTATATTTGAGCAAAATGGGCGATGGAATTTTCGAAGGGAGACCGTGGGAACGTGGAAGCAAGTAAAAGGGGATTGATCGACACAGTGAGATTTGGCTTTAAGATTGATCCGCCACGCGCATATTGTCCATAATGCTGAATGTCTCCGTCCTTTTGACAGTGGAATCACCTTGGTAGGACTGCACGTGCCCATTTTCCTTCAGTGGTTCTCAAGTCACAATCTGTCAGCCTCAATGACAAGGCTGGGGGCAAATAAGCGGAATTCAGTGTGTTGGGAGACAAGGCTTTCTTCCCGGGTGGAAAGATTTCGAACTTCCGATGGCCATGTGGCATCGGCAAAGTTGTCGGGGTGAAGAAATCGTGCATTTGAAATGGGCCGAAGAAAGGGGGGACGCCTGTTGTGTGGAGGCGCCAGCAAATGTCGAAAAGGACCCCAATGACCTTCGGAATCTTGCCCTGGACTCGGGCCTCGTGGCCAAGCGGCTTTTGTTTTTCCTGTCTGAGCCTCATAAACCCGTTCTTCTGTCCTGTCCGAGATCTTGTAGTACAACTCTGGCTATTCCTGGAACATGTCCTACAATTTTCACAAAGACGAGAACATCACCTTACCGATTCTTTAATAGTCACGCTGCCGGCCTTCGGCGTTCTCTCAGGGCGCAGTGGGAGTGTGTAGCACAGCACATTGATTTGGTGCCAAGTGCGCTGAGATCGCTTTTGGCCGGCGCATCTCCAGCCAGTGACCAACAACCACAATCCACACCGTCCTCACGCGGACTCATCCTCCGTTGTACAACAAAGTGCGCCCTCGGCTTATGGTTACCGCCTGAGCCTTGTCTTCTGACTTCCATTCCAGTCACTCCTTTGTAACAATAGGTGAGCTGCGGTCTACAAACGTGCCGTTGCGCGTTGAATCCCAACGAACGTTACGACTCTCATCAAAAGACACCGAAGTAGCTAACCCATTTCCTCACCCAGCGCTGGAACGCCTGTCTCTGTCTTGCTCCGTCACCAATTCACGAGTTACGACTGCCTACGGCCGGTTATTCGACTACCACATCTCCCTGAATCTGTACCATTACCAAGATCCTCCGACGCCATCACCCTCCTTCGGTCGCGTCGGAAAGAAATTCGTAAAGATGTTTTGGCGCTTCGGAGGCTACTCCAATATATCGACAATCGATACCCTTCTCGACAAACCTAATGTCAAGCTCGAAGACTTGCTGGAAGAGTCCGATCTCATTCAGGAACTCAAATCCCACCACACAAAACTGATAGAATATTTGCGGGACGAAACAAATCTCCATGCACTGCTGCATTATGTCGTAGCTCTTGGTCCTTCTGCAAATGTGGAAGAAAATGACGAGGATGAGAAAGGCGAAGGGCCTACCTTGGGCGATGAAGATGAGGGGAAACAACCAGATGAGGAACAGGAGAAAGCCGAGAAAAAAAGGATGAAATATGCCTTTGTGGCGTGCGAAATATTGTCTTGCGAAATATGGTCGATTACCGAATCCCTGATGGCCAACATCCCTTATCTGACCGAGTTTTGGGACTTTCTCCGTCGGCCGGCTCCGTTGGATCCGCTACAGGCTGGCTATTTCACCAAAGTCAACGAGACCTTGCTCGAAAAGAAGACGGGGGACATGCTGGATTTCTTTAAATCTCTCCCCGGCATTGTACCGGCCATTTTGCAGCACGTCGATTGCCCCATGGTGATGGATTTGCTCTTGAAAATCATCAGTCTGGAAAAATCGGATGGAGGAATGGGAATCGTGGATTGGTTGCATGGGCAGGACCTGATTCCCATGCTTCTGTCGAATCTGTCTCCCGAATGCAACTCCTCCACTCAAACCTCGGCTGGGGACTTTTTGAAGGCCATCATCACGATATCCGCAAATGCTGCTCAACATGAGCAATCTTGCATTGGGCCAAACAGTCTCACTCGGCAATTGGTTTCGGAAAAGTGTATTCGGCAACTCATTTCATACATGCTTAAAGGCGGCAACCCTCTCACGGTTGGAGTTGGGATCGTGATCGAAGTTATCCGAAAGAACAACTCGGATTACGATCCTGATCAAGGGCACAGCCCCGAAGCCCCCCCCACGAATCACGATCCCATCTACCTTGGGACCCTTTTGAGACTCTTTGCTCAACATGTTCCGAACTTCATGAGCCTCATTCTCAGCTCGAAGCACACAGTTACAAAAGGTGAACAGACGAGCGTGGTGGAAAGAGGGCAGCTCAAGTCGGCTTGGGGCACACAAATCGAACCTCTGGGGTTTGACAGATTTAAAACTTGCGAATTAATGGCAGAGCTGCTGCATTGTAGCAATATGGGTCTGCTGAACGAAAGGGGAAGTGAAGAATTCATCAAGAAAAGAGACGCGGAAAGAGAACGGCTGAGAGAGCAAGGGGCTTTTTTGTCTAACAAACAATCAGAGGACTCTGCCGTGGATATCTCCGCCAATTCTTCCCGATTCGAAAATGCGTTTACTCCGGCTAGATCAACATCCACGGAAGAACTCCGAATCGCCAATCTGAACGACGAGGACGGGTTCGAGAAAGTTGCTGTCGCTGATGCAACGGATGCTTCGTCAGAGTCGAATCAAGATCCGGTGGATGTTTCACTATCCCCTCGCCAATCTCGAGCTGGGACCTCATCTGATGAACCGACCACACCAACCGGCAATTTGAATGAAACTGTTCGACGTCTGAGCTTAGACAATTCCGAGGACACCGATATGACTTCTCCTCCTAATGAACCCGAGACGACGGTTCACTCCCCTCGAGGAAATCAATCTGGTGAAATCCTCCCTCATCCTCAGGGCAAACCAGCGCCTCTGTTCTCGACACCCTCAGATCCCGACAAAACACCTACGGCAAACAGCCCGGAACCACACATCAGCCCTCGAGATACCACGGATCGCATTGGCGAAACCGGCCAAACTAACCAGATTGAAGGGGAACAACTCCAGACTGCCCAAGGTGACACAATGCGGATTATACAGCAAGCGCCTCCAGCCGCGGACGAAGCTCCAGTAGTTGGAGACTACTTAAAAATCATGTTCGTGGAGAACAAGGTTGTTCCAACGATATTGGCAAGTGGCCCTTCTACGTCGTGAGCGTCTTGGATCTTGCTAACGCGCTAAAAGAGTTTTTTCTTCCGCTTCCCTTGGAACAATTTCCTCCACAACGTGGTCTATGATGTTGTCCAACAAGTTTTCAACGGTCCGATGGACAGAGGCCACAACCGCTTCCTGGCTTTTGACCTTTTCGAGACTGGGAGGATCACTGATCAGATCATCGAAGGGCAACGACGAAGTGACGAGGCCCAACAGTCGAAGAATATGCGTCTTGGTTACATGGGACATCTGACGTTAGTGGCCGAAGAAGTTGTCAAATTTGGCGAGCGTCATCCCAGAGAACTCCTCTCGCCACCTGTTCAAGATTACATCTATTCCCATGCTTGGGAAGAATACGTCACTAAGACCCTAGCCGAAACAAGAGAACGAGACAATGCAATACTTGGAGGGTTTAGGCCAGACAATGGACTTGGACCGAGACAAGCGGTTCTGAATGCCGTCAGTGCTGGACAAGGCTTTGGTGCTTCGACCGGTTTAGCCGGAGTCGGACTGGGTGGTGGTCAGCATGCTCTGGACAGTATCGATCTTTCGAATAATGGAAGTGCTACCAGTGCTGGATACAATTCAGGTGGTTCGCTCTCCAGTGGCTTTGGCAGTTCGTCGGATGACGAAGACGAAGATATGGATGATGCAGAAGATGATGAGCATGGCAGAACGGTGAGTCAGCTTTCCGGAGCTGATACCGGTCTTGCATCGGAGAATGTGAGTGCGACACGGACAATTCGACGATTGTTTACTTTTTAGGCTAATAATGCTCAAACAGTCGGACCAGCCAGTACCATTATTACCACCCCCGCCAGCGCCTCTTAACATCGAGCCATCACGTGCTCGTCGACGGTTGGCTGATCGCTTAGCGAGACACAAACAAGAGGCCGAACAAGAAGTGGTTGCATCGGAGTTCGGTTCCGAAGCAGATGATCCATTCGCTGCTCTTGGGAATAGTGATGATCATGACTCGGGTGACCCCTTCTCGCTCGACGAAGAGGAACAGGACATTACTACCTTTGGGAAACGAAACAACGCCAACTCCTTTAACAAGAGCACAGGGGACCACCACAGCTTCTCGGTCAGTCGGGGACTAACGAGTTTGTTTTCTTCCACTCCAAGCCGTGACACACACGGTCAATCTTCACACGACGACTTTGACGGATCATTGGATGATTCTTCATCCGAAGGATCCGGATCAGATATCGACCCAGAGAATCAGCCCCCAGAAGCTCGGACCAGTCTCGAGCGGCGACCACTGGATGTCTTTGAAGACGAAGAGATGGGGGAAATGGTCGCGCCAACCGAGGATGAAAGCAATAGTTCAGACGAAGAGGTGTTGAGTCCGACAGAGAAAGGACAATTGGGCGGCGCTATTGGAATGGGTGATGCTGAGGAGCAGGCCTCGGAATTCGCAGGCCAAGCAGATCATGACTACGACGACGATGGTGATCAACTCGTCGAGATTACCATGCCGGCTAATTCGAAGAGAAAATCCAGAGGTTGATTTTGTATTTGGTGACTTGGAGTTTTGTTTTGTTTTGTTTTTGGTTGGGGGGAGGGCATAAATGACCAGGGATTGGGTTGCAAATGCCAGCGGGCCTCATTCTGTTTCCAAATGCGGTCGACCAGCCCCGAGGAGAGGCCTGGAACGATCAACAATCCTGAAAGACAGCCGGAACGAAACCAAACTGTACAAATACCGCATCGTTTTGATACCCCCACACCGTACGGCACGAAAGGGCATGGCGCAGTATGAACGACAGAGAGGAAGTGAGATGATGGGGGAAGGTCGCCAAGTTCGAAAGACGGATGTATTCAGAAGATAATATGTTGAGGAACTCTTACCCGAGTTTGCCCATGTCGACGAAGCGATGTTCGCCGATCGTATACGTTCCAGTCGCCAGTCGACCTGTGGAAACGAGATGTGTAGGAGAGGGGAATTGTACAATAGTGCTCCGTGGTACTCCGGTGCAGACGAGTCAGCATCTGAATGAGAGATTTGATGGATGATAAAATACTTATGATGCCTTGTGCCTTGGGCCTGACCTTCCACTGGTATGGAAGAATGAGTGCCTGTTTCCAATTCATGCGTCTTTGATACCGAAACGTGTCGGTCATGTTCTATGCTGTTTCGACAAATCTATCCCACGTGTGCTATGCATTCCCACAGCGCCTGCCTCATGCCTCGCGGTTGCTGATCCAACGGCTGGTCTTTCCTCTTATCAAACACCTCAAATGACCCACAAAGATGACCGAATGTGACTTAAATCAACACCAACTGGCCCGCATAATGGCAAGATAGTCAAAGCATGTTCATCCCTCCAACCCTGCAATATCTTCACCCTGGCCACGTTGAGCGGGTAGATCCGTTTTCGTAATCCCCCTCCTCTTGCGCCACTCCCAAATGCCATTGTCGACTTCGTCTCGAGTTATTCCATCACAAACCAGACAAAATGTGACGCCCAATTCGGTCTCGACGTTGCGGTTGCGCCTTTCGTCGTCGAAGAAGAGCATGTCCTCAAAGGGGACTGGCTGGCCCGCTTTCTGCGTCGCGGCCTGTAAACGCTTGAAGTGCGTCGTCTTAGTCCCCGGGTATATCTGGGCGTGCGTGAAGAGGTCAATTGCACGTAAGGGTTTCGAATTTGTAGCGGGTGCGGTGGTGTCCTTCTCCTTCTCCTTTTCAGTCATGACGCTGCTGGGTACATGCAGGCCTCCTAACATCTCTTGCGCAAGTTTAGGCGCGTGAGTACGGCTTGCTAGAGATATGGTGATGCCCCGTTCTTGGGCGGCTGCTAGGATTGCTGGCACGTCGTTGTAGAAGGCGAAGCTTTCGCCCCAGCGGTCGAGCATATGAGTGTTATATTGGCCTGCGGCGTTGGCGGGTTTCAAGGGTCCCGTCACGTGCGTGTCGACCCAGAAGGGCCAGAGTGTGTAGTCGAGATCAAAGACTATTAGTTTGGGTAAGGGAAGTGTGTCGGTGAATGTAGAAGGGACGGGGAGCGTCCGTTGGGATTTTGATTTGGGCATGGTGGTGTTGAGTAGGGGCGAGAAGAAGGACACGCAGAGTGATAGGGAGAGAGGTCGAGAGTCCTTCTCTATTGTGAGTCAAAGACCCTTGGTCGCCTGGTCTGTGGGCGATTCGCCAGAGACGAGGCTGAATTTGTGAGGCTACAAGAAGATAAGAAGTTATCACGTGCTGATAACAGTCATAGAGTGTGCTAAGCAGGAAATATAAGCGAGCCTTTGGAGCAATGCTCGGAGTCCGAGGAACTATAACTTCGGTGTCCTAGCAGAAGCGAAACTTGACATTGACGGCGCCGAATTCCGAACACTGGCCGTATCCCAAGGCTCATTAGCCATTCTCATCTCTCTGTGGACTATCCACGCTTGTATTCTTTGAGTTGGTAGGGTAGACTCTGTCCAGAGATGATGGCGGTCTCCTTCTGCTACCGCCATGCTGACTAACCGATGCTTGCGCTCGCCAATCTGCGCAAGAATCACACTCTCGCGACTTTTCTACACTTGCAATATAGTCCCTTCTTCGGCAGCAATATCCGTGCGATATATTCAGCATGCAGCAGCTCCAGCTGGAACAGGACCCGCCGTGGCCATCATTGGCTCCGGACCAGCAGGGTTCTATACCGCTCAGAAGCTGATGCGGGAAATCCAAGGCACGAAGATAGACATGTACGAACAATTGCCCGTTCCATTTGGGCTCGTCAGGTTCGGTGTAGCACCAGACCATCCGGAAGTGAAGGTGGGGAGGAAAATTTGCTCCTGCTATACTTCTCAATTTTCTGATACGCTTTCTAGAATTGTCAAGACACCTTCCAAGATGTCGCCGCGTCCCCCGACTACACCTTCATCGGAAACGTCAATCTCGGTCACGACCTTCCTCTCCCTCTCCTCACAAAACACTACGATGCCATAGTCTTTGCATATGGGGCGTCAAAAGACCGCAAGCTCGGCCTGGAGGGAGAAAACAAACCACACATCTACTCTGCGCGCGCGTTCGTGGGTTGGTACAATGGTCTCCCTGAATATCGAGATCTCAACCCGGACTTGGCAGCCGGGGAGACGGCCGTGATCATTGGGCAGGGAAATGTCGCGTTAGACGTTGCTAGAACATTACTGAGCAAGATCGACATTTTGAAAAGGACAGATATCACGGAATCCGCAATCCAAGCCCTGTCAGAAAGCAAGATCAAGCACGTCCATGTGGTTGGTAGACGAGGACCGATGCAAGCAGCGTTCACCATCAAGGAGGTGCGTGAACTACTTCAGCTAGACGACGTCAATTTCACACCTATCCCGGACAATCTTTTCCCTCCAGACTTGGAAAACTTGCCCCGTCCCAGACGCCGGCTCATGGAGCTCCTCAAAAAGGGCAGCCCTGTGAAAGAAAGCGCCACTAAGTCCTGGTCCTTGGATTTCCTTCTCGCGCCACAATCTTTCAATTGGTCTGCGGCAGACGCGGAGAAATTGGAAGGCGTGACGTTCGCTAAAACGAGACTCGAGCATCCCGAGTCGCCGGAATCGACGGTCACCAACACGGACGAAACAAAGCTGATACCCACGTCCACACTGTTTCGATCAATAGGGTATAAAGCAGAAGCCATCCCCGGCATGGTTGAGCTAGGCGTCGAATTTGACGACCGAAAGGGAACAATTCGACATGACGGATTTGGACGAGCCGTTCCGCTGTACAGTCCTGGTATTGAAAATACGCACCACATCGGCCTGTATTGTTCAGGCTGGGTAAAGCGCGGTCCTACGGGGGTTATCGCAAGCACCATGACGGACGCATTTCAGACGGCTGAAGCCATCGTCGGAGACTGGAAGAGCCGTACGTCCCTGGACCACCAATCCCCCAGTCCCAAGGACGGATGGATAGGCGTCCAAGCCGACGCGAAAGCACTCGATCTCCCGCTCCGCCCCGTGAACTGGGATAATTGGCAACGCATCGATAGTGCAGAGAAGACAGTGGGCGCCACGAAGGGGAAACCGAGAGAGAAATTCGTCAGTGTTGCTGAGATGCTTGATGCTTCTACCGCTGCTTCCGGCCCAGCGTCCACGTCGTCGTAAGTTCGACATCACCGACATAGATGCAATAAAATAGAGGGGAGGTGGAGAAGATAGTGAGAAAGAATGGGATTATATCTCCAACTCATGGATTCTGCTTCTGCACCGATCATGAGTATATGATATGCTTAGCTTAGACGTACTTGAGTATACGCTTATCGTCGACGTCTGTATATGCGGACATGAATGTGAGCATAGATCTGCAAACCGTAGTACTCCCCTGGCCGGCATATTAGCTTCGAGTATGATATGGGATAGTGTGCGGCTTCAGCTGCTCCTTCCCTTCTGCCCGTCTTGTGTTTCTTCGGCTCTTCTCATCTTACATCCTTTTGTCCCGTCCAATCCGTCCCGTCCTGTCCGGTCCAATTTATCCTATCATGACTAGACAACGCCGATCAGATCAGACCCAAGGAGAGAGAAAATTGGCGGGAGATTGTACGCCGCCATCTATCCGCAGTCTTGATTCCGCTTGCCCTGGCGCGACTCAAATCTGCCCTCAGGGCTTGACGTCCCATAGTATTCGTCTCCAGGTCCTCTTTTTGTACAGCCTAGTCCAGCAAACAGTGAGGGACATTACCGACTTCTCTCATTAAGAGGCCGGTCGGAGTAGCCCACACAGTTATGCCTGAACTCCTCCCATATCATTACATGGCGTGAGGGTAGAGCATTAGCGTGGGCTAGACTTTGACCTTCTCTCCATAAAGGACGTCCTCGACCATCTCGGCAATCGCCAACGCACTCGTCAACCCGGGACTTTCAATGCCCAGCAAATTAACGAATCCCTTAAATCCTTCTTCTTCACAGATATAGAAATCCGCAAACCCTTTCCCGTCTTTGCCGTATGTCCCGCTCGACCGGCCTAATTTCGGTCGTATGCCGCAGTAATCCAAGTTGATGGCGTCGGGGTTTATACCCGGTAGATACGTCTGAATCATATTGATGGCTTGTTCGAGGCGGGCTGGATTGAGGGACAGGTCCGTAGGGTCGTCAACCCATTCGACGTCCGGGCCGAAGCGGATACGCCCTGCCATATCGAGGGTGAGATGGGTGCCGAGGCCGCCTAGGCCAGGGACAGGTGCCGGGTACAGGAGTGTCTTGGGCTTTGGATGGCCAGAGGCGTAGCTGAAGTAGCTGCCCTTGGCGTAGAAGGGGCTCCTGTGCCGCTCAGGCGGGAGGAGCATGTTGCTCATGTCGACGGCGCTGAGGCCGGCGGAGTTGATCAGTGTTTCTGTGGTGATCACGTCTTCACCACCAGCGCCGTCGCGGGAGCGCGTGGTGATGGAATATCCTTGCTTGCCATTCGAGAGGGGCTCGATTTTGGTGACAGTTGTGTAGAGGACCGAGTCGCCACCGCGCTCGTCAAGGCTGCCGTCCAGATATGTCATGAGGGCGTGGGAATCGACGATTCCTGTGGTGGGAGATTCTAGGACGCCGGCTTCGGCGCGGACGTCAGGCTCACCTGCTTCGATTTCCCGTCTCGAGAGAAAGTGGGTAGGGACGTCAATGGTTTTGGAGAATTCATGAAGCCGTTCTAGCTCGTCCATTTGTTGGGCGTCTTGCGCAACGATCCATTTCTTGGTCTTGCGATGTGGGATGTTCTGGGCAGTGCAGAGTTCATAGAGGAGATGTTTGCCGCGGACGCACAGCGCGGTTTTTAAGCTGTTTGGGCCGTAATATAGACCCGCGTGGATTACCTAGGGATATGTTGAGATATTAGGCATGAAAGGTGGTCAAGAATGTTGGCTAGAATTTAAGGAGATGAGAATATCTACCTCTGAATTCCGGCTGCTCGTTTCCGTTCCCATAGCGCCGTGGCGTTCAATGAGAATTGTCGATGTTCCTGTTCTCGAGGCTAGCTGACGAGCGATGGCGAGGCCCACCACTCCTCCTCCGATGACCTAGGGTTTGTGTTTTCATTAGCTTTGCTGGACGAGGGCTTGAGTGCCAGTATGAAAAGCTCTCTTTCTGCAGTATCTTGGTCAACATACAGCATGTGTGAAGTCGGTATTCAATGCTCTTGAGGAGGAAAATTGTCTCCTTGTCATCGATCTGCCATATAGTGTTTGCACAGCAGCACGAGAGAGGGGTATTCGCATGCTGTCAGCGGAGTCAATGTCAGGACGATCAGTCCAAAACAACTCATCCAGAATATTATTGCTTCAGAGGCAAAAGAGGTAAAGAAACAGGAGTCGCCTCGAAGATCGCCAGCAATGTGAGACAGAATGTCTTCCTTTTGTCAAGAGTACTGTGGAATCCCTGACATTGCCAGCCGCAAAGAATAGATGGCGTCAAAACCCGAGTATTATATCCAACACAATATGATGTACCAGCACCAAACCATCGCCCGGCGAGTCTCGGCAGGTGTCAAGCGTGACTCATCTAGGAGAACATCCAAAGGCATGCAGGTTGCAAAAAATCGGGAGAGAACGAAGCTAGCAAGGCTGAGGAGTAGTAGTCTTGAGATTGGCTTCCAATGCTGGTGCTCCACCGCAACTGCAGTACGCTTGACGATTGGAGAAGGATATCCCAAATGATCTTAGCTGCTCATATGAGCGCCAGCAAGCAGAAGAGAACAGGAGATAGGGGGAGAAAGCAGGTGGGAATATCAACCGATATCGGACCATGATGGAGGATAAGCATCTCCTACAGTACGTACCACCATATCAGATTACTTCAACGGTAACCATCATTCAAAATCTAACAATTATGAGCCGTCCAAGCCCAAGCTTACTCCTAGATAATCTATGTACTCTTTCCTTCGCACAGACTCTTCACACTTCCCCTTCCATCTCGGGTCTATGCAAACATCATCTTCAGAGGGCTTCCACCAATTCGGACCTGTCGGCCTGATATTAAAAACCGTCTCTTTCTCCTGATGGCATTCCTCCCGCTCTGTACAGTACGCCGGCCACCATGATGCCTAGATGTAAGCAAACAAAGCATTCGCCCTTCACATTCATGGTCGCTCCGAGAACGTCAGCTTGCAATGATCCTGTCATTCGTGTTAGCGGGCTCCTGTCAAAGAAAGCTGGCCCGACGCACCTGGGGGAAAATCGTGGCAAACACTTCGATATCTTCACTGATGGGTGTAGGTTCGTGCACCCAGTCCATCAAGATGCTAGCCTTACCAATCATGGCCATCAAATTCAGTTGAGCATACGTTTGACCAAGGCAGTAATGAGGTCCTGTTCCAAACACCAGCCAATTCTTGACTTGCTTCTCAGCATCTCCGGTGATCCACCTTTCCGGTTCGAAGCTGTCGGGGTTGGGATAAGCTTCGGGGTCATGAGTGGCGGGCCAGATAGCGGGAATGACCATGGATCCCTTCTTCAAGGTGTAGTTGTCCGTCATGGGGAAATCCTTCTTGGCCACGTATGGCACGAAGATGACTGGAGGTCGATATCGTAGGGTTTCTTTGACCACGGCCCTCGTCCACACCATGGATTCCAGCATGTCCATGTCAAAGGGTTTGTTCCGATCACCACCTCGAAGTCTCAGATTCTCTTCTCGAACCCTGTCTAGGATTTCAGGTCGATCCGCCATGATCTGGAATAGCCATGTGCATGCACTTGACGTGGCATCTTGAGAGGCAAACAGCAAGGTGAAGATGGTTTGAGCAATCTCGAAGTCGGTGAAGTCTCGAAGCAATTGGGGCGGTTTCTCGGACTGGTCCACTTGTTCCCCCCTCTTGATTCTCTCGCAGTACTGGGCCGAATCTTGCATTTGCTTGATCCAAGCATCCATGATACAGGTGACATTGCCACCGGCAGCCATGCGGACCTTGGATTTTGCTGCGCACTTGGAGAATTCGTCCAAAACCATATCAGCCGCTTTCTTCCCATACCACGTCTTGGTAAACGGGATGATGATGGGGAAGTTGACAAGCTCCAAAGCAGCAGTAATGAGGTAGTAGTCAACCGCAATTTTCTTCACCGCCTTCTCGCTCATGTAATGTCCGACAAAGGTTCGACAGGATACAGCGCACATCAGTTCTCGAAACACGGGCATCCAGGGTTTTGGTTTCATGCCATTTTCCTTGGACATGTCCAGAAAGTTCTTGAAATATTTGCTGTAGACATCCTCTTGACCGGGTAGATACATCTCCAGCGCTTGACGGGTGAAGAAACCGTTCAATCCTTTGCGGTATTCGACATGCGCCTTGCCATCCAAGAACACCCAGTTGGTGGGTCGAAGAAGTTTGGGAGCGACGTCGACAACGGTGGGCTTGACGAAACCGGGTGAGTTGAATACTTTTCGGGCCATGTCTCGTGTTGAAGCAATGACAACGAATCTGGAGAGGGCTGTTAGCAAGCAGCTCCGACCACCAAACGGCAAGACCTTCGCATACTTGTGAAAGACTGAAACACAGCTCAACTCCCCACTCTCCCATTTCTGCTTGTACTTTTTGAAATCAGGGTGCACTGATTCGAGAAACGGTCCCATGAAGGGCATTTTCCAGGCCGGGCCGACGATACCGTATTTCCGCCATTGATAGCTCCCTACCAAAAATTCGTCAGTAGACCAACGACGTTGTGAAGGTTGTACTCTGTATCGCGCACATTGATCGTAGGTCACCAGTATCAGCAGGATTGTAAACAGCACAGTCCAGACATTGACCTGTGCCAGCACTCTTCCCACCACACCTGATGCATGGGCGGCCTGAATCTTTAAATCTGCATCTGCAAGCGGCGAGGCAAAGCTAGTGACATTTGCGAGGACATCCATGGCGAATTATCGTTCGGGAGCGGCAAAAAGGCTTGAGCTGCCAGCGTCGAATGGGGGCTCTGTGCCTGACAACGCGGATGAAAGGCTGTCCCACCACTGAGAGCCCGGCTCCAAAACGAGTGATATAGGCAGGACAACAGCTTTGGTGGCGATCCAGTCGAGTTTGTGAGGGAGTGAAAGTGAGATAATGGGACCTTAAGAGTACAGAGCAAGTAAATCCCCTACTGAAATTGTCGTTTGCGACCTTCACCGCCCGGACTGCTTGGCCGTGAGAGGCACTTGACGAGAAATTAACGAAATTGGTCAAATTGGGAGGTTGTGCTGCAGCTCGTCATGCCATCATTCCGTGTTCACGATTGGACCAGACACAGTGCCTTCTCCATCGGTTCCTGGCTGCTCCGGATGGCGACACCACGGAGGCCCTTACCAATCATGTCCTCTCTGTTGCTGGTTGGCTGGCTTTTTTATTTTTTTTTCTTCTATCTGGCAAGTTTGTCTGGTACATACAAAAAGGAGGAGAGATAGGAAAAAGGCGAACACATCTTCACAAACAAACTGCGCCATTTGCCATGCTCAAAGAACCGGGAGCCTGTAGTATCGAATCCCCAGCTAAAGATGCAGAATTCTCTCTGTATAACTCCAGTCGCCGTACTTTTTCCAGTCCTTGAATTAAAAGCGCCCGTCACCATTGCATCGCATTGCGTTGCACCGCATCTCGTCATCTCGTCTAAGGAATGTCGAACAGAGGCTTAAGCTTCCGGATCAAGGACCATTCATCCTTCGTCACTTCATCTCGATAGAACTCTTTGAGCGTGTCGATCGACTGTCGCGAAATCAAGGAATACAGGGTATCCTTCTCTTCCAGCTGTCGTCCGTACAGCGGCTGATTGGGTCCTTCAATCTTGACTGCCACTGACGGCTGTCCTTTCTTACAGATCGGAATAGACTTATGGTCGCGTTCGATCGAAGACCTGTCCGGATGTTAGTCGATGTCTTGCTCACCCTTGCACCAAACCTTACACTCGACCCAAACTGATAATCTCCTTCACCCCAGTCACGGGGCTGGTTTTAACAGCTGCAATGGGTGTCAAAGGCCGAAGACTCCCTTCGACCACATCCACTCCCACCACAATTGGATCCTTCTTGTTGAACACTTGCAATGGATGCAGCACGCAAGGAAACACGGCGTGAAGCTTGCTCTCCTCCTTCTTTTGCTCGGCGAGCTGTGCCATGTGTTTGGTGAAGTCGTCGAAGAGGTGGTAAATGATGTCAGCCGTGAAGATCTTGATTCCGTTTTCGTCCGCATATTGCTGTGCTTCTTTATCCACCTTGACATCGAAGCAAAGCATCACGGCATATTGTTTGGCCTTTTCCAACATGGTGCCCGCCATCATGACATCTCGTTTGTAGACCGGACCGATCGAGATGTTGGCCACGGGGATTTTCATTTGCTTCAAAAATTCCAACAAGGCTTCAAGAGAGCCCAGGGTTGAGGCTTGCACGCTGACGCCACGATTGTCCTTGGAGACCTTGCCGAGCAGTTGTTGCAGGTCGGCCATGACTTCATCTTCCAGGTCTTCTTCATCGTCTTCGGGTCCAACCACGAGCAGTCTCGAACCGGCGATGGCGCCTTCCAGGTCATTGGCGGCAATCTTGACACCAAGGGCTGCTTTGGCTTCCTTGTTGTGCACATACTGTGATTTGAGACGCAGTTCCTTGAGCGGAGCGGGAGTAAGAAGCGCACGAATATTGGTGGCGATGGGACCATTGAGACCGCATAGCACAATCCGATCTCCTTCGTGAAGGACACCGTTGGATATGATGACATCAATCGTCGTACCGAGGCCCTCGATGACTTTGACTTCGAGCACGGTACATTCCACCTCTGACAGGTACATCAGGCTAGATGTCATGCGTTCTTGTGTCAGGGTCACGAGAAGCTTCAGCATGTCGGGGATGCCTTCGCCGGTATGAGCCGACGTTGGCACGAGCGACACATATCGTCTCATATCCTTATTTTCGTAATAGAGCTCAGCATTGAAGCCCTTTTCCGCAAAGGCCAGCTTGGTTTGCTCCAGTCGGTCTCGGAACTCGTTTTGGACACCCTTGTTCTGCATGGCCAAACTCTCCTGGAAACCGTTATTGTCAATCTTCTTCCAGCCGTACAGACGATCAATCTTGTTCAAGGCCACAATAAAGGGGGTTTTTCGATCTCGGAGAAGTTGCATCGATTCCAAAGTCTGTGGTTCCAACCCGTGCATGATATCCACCACCAAAATGGCAATGTTGCAAAGTGAAGATCCGCGAGACCGGAGGTTGGAGAACGATTCGTGGCCAGGGGTGTCTATGACAAGCAGCCCGGGCACCTTGAATTCGAATTTGCCATCTTTATTCACGACAGCAGTTTTCTGTTGAAGGGCATCGACCGGGAAGTAAGTCGCGCCAATTTGTTGTGTGATACCCCCTGCTTCGCCTTCTTGGACATTGGTTTGCCTGATCTTGTCCAGGAGCTTCGTTTTCCCGGTATCGACGTGACCGAGAATGCAGCAGATAGGAGATCGTAGATGGTCTTTTGACCGTGCTGCAAGAGCCTCTTCGTGAGCCTTCTGTCGTCTGGCAGCTGCCTCTGCCTTCTTCTTGGCAATGGCTCGTTGGGCCGCAGTGCCTTCTTCTTCCGAAGATGACTCTTCGGACTCGGTGTCGCATTCGATGGGTTTTTCTTTTGGCCACGGTTTGGAGTCGCGGACTGGCAGAGTGGAGGACGCTGCCGGTTGGGAAACGACCCCGTTGGTTTTCGCTTTGGACACATCGCCATTGACCGCCCGCTTGGATGCTTCAGCTCGCTCTTCATCCGATTCAGCATCCCAGCTCTCCTTGACTTCTTCGTCTGCTGCCTTCTCCCAATCGTCGATTTCAGAAGACTCTTCATCCTTGGCAGCCTCTGCGGCAGCGGCCGCAGCAGCCTCCTCGGCTTCCTTTGCGAGGCGCTGACGCTCTTCTTCGGCAGCCTCAGCTTCGAGTCGAGCCTTTTCGGCGGCTGCTTCAAGATCGACCTCGTCCTTCTTCGGACCCTTTCGTTTCTTGTCGAAGGTAGGCTTCCTTTTTTCTTCTGCACCTTCGGTGAGACCGGCAACTTTGACACCAGACTCAAGCATTTGCTTCATCCGGAGCTCTTGCTGCTGCCTCCGCTTCTTGTCGGCATCGGACAAAAGCTTGCCCTCTTTCTTGAGCTGTTCCTTTTTCTCCTTTTCCTTTTCCTTCTTTCGCTGCCTCGCCTCAGCCTTCTTCTTTTCCTCTTCGGCTTCTTTTCGTAGTCTTTCTTCCTCGGCCGCCTTCTCCTCCGCTTCTATCCTTGCCTGTTCCTCTCGCTGTCTCGCCAATGCTTCTTGTTGTTTCTGGATGGCAGCGAGATGTGCAGGAATCTTTTTCTTTTTGCCACCCTTCTCCTCCTTCTCGGGGACAGAAGCAGGAGCTTCAGGTTTCTTCTCTTCCACCGTAGGTTTAGCCTGCTCGGCCTTGGGAGCAGGTGCCGGTGCTGCAGATTTTTTCTTCGCCGCCTCCTTCTTGTTAGCATGATATTTTGGAAAGATATACCCGGGATTGATCAAATTACCTGTTCCTTCTTTCTCTGCTTCTCACGCTCTTTCTTCTCACGTTCCTTTTCCTTCTTGGATTTCATCCCGCCGCCGTCCTCGGCCTCTCCATCCTCTGCCACAGCTTCGGCCTCGGCCTCTGCGCCCGGAGCATTTTGTTGCTTCTTGCCCGCCTTCCCTTTCTTTACATTTCCAGCAAAGACATCATCGTCGTCGTCCTCAAAAGTGGCCTCGATAGGGGCTTTGGCATCGAGATCTGCGGCGGGTGGGGTAGGAGCAACGCCGTCGGGATCTTCGCCCTCGACAAAGTCGTTGATGACAGGCTTGCCCTTCTTTGCCCTTTTGTCTTTGTTTTTGCGAAGGGCAGCCAACAAGCCACCACCACCATTCATTTCTTCATCGGCCGCATCTTTCTCAGCTTCCTCCTTTTTTGCATCTGCGGTGGCCTGGGCTATGGGATCGATGCTCTCGCCCAGCTCGGCTTCCCAGTCGTCGGTCTGCTTCTTGCCTCCCTTCTTCTTAGGAGCCATTGCGATGTATGGTGCGTTGGAGGATTGATCTCGGAAATATGAGGCGTTCACGGTTGAGAGGCGGCGACATAAAGTCGTGTGCAGAATCCGTCGGGTACCAAGAGGGGGCGTCTTGGGGAACGAGTGGTTGATGACCCAGTCTCTTAGACTTTCAGCTTGGTTCGCCACAATCTTTTATAGAACAAAAGATATGTGTGAGAGAAATCGGAGTTAGGAGAAGAGAAAGATTAGAGGACGCTGGCGGCGCAGCATACATGGGCGATTCGGAGTGACGTTTGGCGGGTTGGAACGGACATTTGGCTGCGCCGGGCACAGGCGGCCATTTTTTTTTCACTCTTTCGGATCTGTGGATGTCTTGGCATTAGGATCCCGATTTTGCGAAACAAAATGTCTATACCACGCAACCTGCGTTACTCGCTCCCTTCGGGTTGGACTTGATATGAGTCATGGCCAGTCAGTGGATCTTTGACCAGGCAAAATGTCTCGATGGCTGATAGGAGAGAGGTGGTCCCGACCGGCCATTCTACATGATTCACAAGGAGGAAGGTGGTATCATAATCATCGCCGAGCAAACTCAAGACAACCCCCTTCCAGTTCTCGATGATTCCGTCAATCCAATCACAATCTCGACGGGTATGCCAGCAGCTTTCTCATCCACGCAACCGCAGCCTCAATTGGCTGCTTGGTCTCTCCCACCGCTTCATTGACCAGGGCCGTGAACTGATCAAACCTCTCGGAGCGTTGAAGAAGCTTGTGTAAGTGGTATGGACCCTGCTCGATCATCATCAACAATCGATCACCGCGAACGTGCCAGTCCTTGGGCCTGACGCGACCGGGGTCGACGAGGATCACATTGTTGTCGGCGTCCCGTTTCTCTATCTGCACGGGCTTGATGCTTTTCTTGTCCGGGTAGCTCATTTCCTCCAAGAAGTGTAGCAATCTCCACTCCTGTTGCTTCAAAAGAGAGAAGTAAAAGAGCGTTCCGTCAACAAAACTGCCATAAAAGTGGCGTCGTGCACCTCTCTGCGAATCCGGGCCTTGTTCCAGACGTAGGTGATCAATCAAAAGGGGGAGATGAGCCTGAAAAAGAGTGAACACGCTCTTCTGGTCCCGACTAAACCCGGAAAGAGCTATGAGGTCGGCGGTGCCTCCACTCCAAACCGAAAACATCGCAGAGACACCGTTGAAGGCAACAACGTCCTTCGCGACCCGTGGAAGGGTGTCTGATGTGTGTTCGAACAGCTTATCATCCCGTTCCGCCAAGACAAAGACGGAATGTTGAGATGTCGCAATGAAAATGAATGAGCCTTGACATGATATGCTGTTTGCAGGAGATGGCAAGGCGTGTGTCGAGAGCGTTTTCCATTTGCGAGTAGTAAAGTCAAGGTGGAGTAGATAAATCTCGTCCCCCGCCGCGATCAAGAGAGAGGACATTTTATACGCGCAGATGGCGGTGACCGGTTTATCTGGACATCTGAACGCTGTCTTCGGATTCGTGATAACCAAGCCTTTGCGTAGGCTTTTGGCATTGACACAAACAACCCGACCACTGCACGGTGGGAAACCCGGTGCGATTTGTTGTAGAGCTAGGACAAACCATTCGTAGTGGAACTCTCCATCTGTTGGCGACCAATCGATGAGAGCAACGACGCTCTCGTTATTGTCCTCGGTGACTATCGTCGACATTGGGTTATTTGTCGCATCCTTTGACCAGGGCTCGATGAGCTGCAAGCCGACTTGTTGCATCTTTCGAGGCGGCAGGACACTCTTCTCAGGACTTGGTTGACCGGGGAGGATAGGAGGAACACCAGGCAAAGGATTGGCGACGGGGACACCGGTGAGATAGTGAACTCTCTCAAACGCCACCACCAACTTTTGGAGGAAGTCTGAGTAGATGAGGTATTTTGGGGTACCAGTGATGGGTAGTTTCCTCACGACACCTTGCTCTTGAGAGGCCAAGGAACAAAATAAAAGGTCTCCATCCGTTGCACAGATCAAAAGACCGCCCGGATCATCGTACGGCGACTCCAACCTCGGGACTCGATGAAGGGCAAATGCCAATGGTTCCGCTGAGGGCTAATTGACATTAGCTCAATCATGGTTCACAAGAAGAAAACTCACGTCGGTCCGATTTGTTAGCCAGATGGAAGAAACGGCGTAGTCCACCGCCGCCACGTTAGGATAAGACGTGACACGACGCATCTCTGAATGGCAAAGAACCAATGCGGATGAAGTAGCTGACTCCTCAGATGGCCCCTTCTCTTGAAAGAGATTTACCGCAGTGGAGCCAAGGACGTAAAAATCATCACATCTGACACCTGCAAAGAGGTAAATGAAGGAACTTCGCTATGGGACCGGTGTGTTACATACTCAATTTTGGAATGCCTTCGCCAGGTCGCTTCTTTATTTCCAGGCACAGCAAAGCTCCATGGCGGAGCCCGCACAGCAGGAGGGTCGGCTCATGTGCGTTTTGGTCGAGTGCGACGAGAGAAGATATCGGCGAGTTTTCGAGTTCGACCGCTAAGCCCTCGACTTCGGCCTCGAAAGCCAGACTCAGTTCCAGGTTTGGGAGGACAAAATACCCCAGAATTGTAGCACTGTGTGTGCCCACCACGAGCAGCCTCAGGTTTTGCACCCTCAAGCAACACAGAGCGGTAGGGGTATCGGGCATGATCGCAGGAGATGAAGGGCGCAGCGACACTCGACCATCTTCTGAAAACACAACACTTTGCAAAGCGATTTCATTACCCTGACCGCTTGTTGCGGTGGCAATGATCTTCCCGTCGTCGAAAAACGCTGATCGAATTATTTGCGATTGGAAGCGAACCGGGCCGCCAACTGTAGCATCTTCACTGACGGGTACGATATTGATGCCGCCGGTAGTGACCTGAGCGGCGGTATCGTGGTCGATCATGGTGACAGCAAGTGTCGGGTTGTCAAAATCAAAACCGGGGTGACTTTCCGAGTCAGCGAATGTACTCTCAAGCGTCTCGAGGTCAAACACCACCATCGACGTGTCCGTTGTATGAGAGCAAATCACCAACAGCTCATTCCCACTAGGGATCTCTAGGGTCCATATGTGGTCAACAAGGGCCGCATTTGGATAGTTCATGGTCCAACCGATTTGAGCCTCCAACCCATAGCGGATCTCGAGGAGGTCGCCCGATCCCGGATCTTTCGAACGACAAGCGTAGAGCCGGCCGGCGACCTCACGCGGCCGAGATGTTCCGTCCGGGGGAAGTCGTGTTGGTGGACCGAGAATCATGTCCTTTAACGGCGATATGGTCTCAATCGTCTGAATGCGTTCGGGCGAACCGCGAGCAGACACGTGGAAGACGCCTCCATCTGTCATGCTCCCGCCGGCAATGATGATGTCCCCCCCTTTTCCTGGAGGCCCGGCAAGCATACAAAAGGCCGTATCAACACTGAGCCCAAGCTGACCGATGGTGTTGTTCATGCTGAATTTCGTGCTGGAAGCCTTTTCGATCTGAAAATACTGAAGCAATCCATCCTCTCGGACGATGACCAGGTCGTCTCGTCGCTCAAGATAGTCGTTATGACGTCTTGGTTTGGCCCACTGAACCCATTGGAGCGGGCCCGCCATCTTTCCGATAAACCGGCAATTGACACGCTTCGAGTCGGAAGTGTGGATATTCTCGTAGTAGGAGATCCCCGTTTCCATCACGATGAGAAAGGAATACGGCCGTGTAGACGGTATCAGCATCACGGGCAGCCGGTCCTCTTTGAGTTGACGACCGCTGCAAGTCATGGGGCGTATGGTTTGGAGAGGTGTACGAGTATCCCATTTGTACAGGTATTGATGGGTGTCCTGAGTCTCCTCGCCGGAATGCACGAGGAGCAGAAGTAAGACTTTAGCGGGATCAGTATCAGGGCTGCGTAAGAACTCTATCTTCACAATATCTCCATCTATTTGAATAAAACGTTGCTGGCTTGGTTAGCAGGAGAAAAACAGCCATTTATCAGGGCCTACCTCTTCGCACGGACGGAAGGACCCATGCTCGGGAGGATTCCAGGAATCAATCTGTGATTTGATTTCATCCACAGAGCGTAGCTTGAATACTCCAAAGTAACCTGACGTGGAGGCAACAGCAAGAGCTCGGGATCTGGGTTGGTTTGTCAGTATCGTAAATCAAAATCTGAAGCGCGGCTGCTCACTCGGGGTCGACAGCGACATATCGACATTGGTTCGCCGGTAAGCCGGCTCCTCTCAGGAGAGGCCTCTTTGCGAATACAAGTTTCACGTCTCCAGCCAAGTCTTGCCTCGCATACACGTAAATCAACTCGTTGTCGACAGTGAGGAGAATCAAAATTTGTGGAGGTTGCGTCGCATTCAGGGGCTGGCCCCGAATACTGTATTGCTCCTGATCTCTCTCTTGCTTGAGAATCGCATCTACAACTGGGACAATTTTCAACTCTGCCGAAATGACTTTGGCATCGGTAATTTGCGTGCCGAAGTCCAGCTTTGCGGTTGTACTCGCTAGCAGTCCGGTGTCGAGGAACTCGTGAAGTTGGACATACGTCGCCCCAACGAAGACGACATCGTTCTTGGAAGGAGACCGTATCCGAGCCGGAAGGATCCATCTGATCGTAGAGCTAGAATTGAGAGTTCTTGAGAGAATGCCCACAGGCTCCGGACGGGGTTGGCTCTCTTGGGCGGGAGCTGCCGTCTTTCCTGTTGGCCTTGAAGCACTCACACTTGCCATGACCGCGGCTGCTAGCAGGTCAGTTGAGACCGATGCCTCTGATCTGATGGTAAAGAAAAACTGTCCGCTTCACAGGTGTAAGTCTCATGCATGAACAAGGACAGATGTTGTATGCAAAACCGCTAGACCTTGGACAAAGCATGCGCCAATATTCTCAATCCTCTGACACCGGCCGGAGCACCCACGAGAAACTGAGCCATGGGTTGATTTGTAGCAGATGCGGTGGTTTCCTATGACGGAGGAATTTCTGCAATGCAATGTCCCGAGATTTGAGGATTCCACCATTTGGCCCTGTGATGCCTATTATCGGCTACTTCGGCGCGTCGTGTCGGTCGATGTCAACCAACGGGCAGTTCCGCTCCCTCGAACCTCTCTCCCTCTTCGTGCTTTACAAGACGCCAACGAACCAGACCCAACGAATCCCTGGTACTCTCCGTCGATCGAAAACGCCGGAGGGGATCCAAGTTGACAAGTTGACACAAGACAGACTGGTCGCTTGGTGCTATCTGTCAACTCCGTCGCCCACATCAAAATCATCCCCCAGGTGGCCATCACCGTCTTCCTCTGGTCTATTTCGATTTCAACTCCAAGAGCGGCGAGCGTCCGCGACGTCGCTCGAGGCCTGGATCCTCGGAACTCTGATTCTGTGGGAGCACGCATGGCGAGGCCCTGATCAAGATTAACTTATGGCGTACCGTGACGCCAATTTGGCCTCAGACTCCGATGAGAAGTCAAGCGTCGGCTCAGGCGAGCCGAAGGCGAACCAGTTATCAATGGATCTAGAATACTCTCGAAAGCGCGACTCTATCGAACAGGCCTGCGCGCGAGGTGACTTTGATGCCCTGGTCCGCCTAGCAACCTCGACCGGCGGCCTTCTGACCGACGACCTTCGCCGGCAAGCTTGTATGTCTCATTGTTCATTTTGGGTTGATACGCCAGTGACACATTGCTGATTGATGAGCGTGGAAGGGCCAATTCTATTGGGCTGTAGATCTGAGCATGATGGAGCTGGACTGAAAGAATCAACCCAGTCCTGGAGAAGTCTCCCCCGGCATCCTGACGAGGACCAAGTACGGCTCGACGTTGATCGAGCATTTATATATTACCCCAAAGGTTCGCTTTACTTTTCTCTAGCCGACTGTATCACGAGTCTAAATGTAACTAGACGAATCCGAACAATCTCTCGACAAGAAGAAGACAGAGTTATCGGACCTGATAGTTGCGACCTTGAGGAGTCACCCTGTGCTCTCCTACTTCCAAAGCTACCACGACGTCGTACAAGTTCTCCTTCTGGTGCTTGGAAGGGACCATGCTGCCGCCGCTGTTCCACGAATATCTCTCCTCCGACTTCGTGACTACATGTTGCCGACAATATCACCTGCCCAAAAGCATTTCGAGCTCGTCTCCGCCGTGGTGGAGGCTGCTGATCCGGAATTGGCCGATCACATCTCTAAAGCTGAGAATAGTTTTGCTCTGTCAGCGACTCATTCCTTGTTCGCCCACGACATCCAAGAGTATGGCGACATTGCACGGCTGTACGATTTTCTTTTCGCGCACGAACCAGTCATTAGCATTTATTTGTTCTCAGCAATCATGATGTCACGACGCGCAGAGTTGCTCGAAATGCCCGCTGACCAATCCGACATCCTTACTTTCATGATATCAAAGCTACCACCGGCCCTGGATATCGATGCTCTGGTCCTAGATGCCTTGCAGTTGTTTCGAAATCACCCGCCAGAGAGACTCCACGGTTTCATTTGGTGGCGGCTGTCACCTTACAGCGTCCTCAAGACGTCGCGCTGTATTAAGAATCCTCAGGCTCTCGGTGACGCCGAGCTTCTATGCCAGAAGCAGATCCGGCAAATACAGAGCGAGGAATTGATGAGAAGGAGAGCCAAACTGCTCTTCAAATACCGGAGATCAGCTTTGGCGATGACGGCCACGATTCTCGTGGGGGGACTCTCTATCTGGCTGAGGAGGAATGGACAAGACAAAGTCGTCTGGTTCATGACTTCGTCCGCATTCCGAATTTTCTCGAGACAACAATAGATCAATCGATCGGCAACCCCGGGCGAATCTATCTTCGCTTAGACTCAGCAAGATCAGAGTGTGATATAGGGGGGAGTTTTCTCGCAAGTTTGAAAACGCCCCGATGCTGCTTCGTACCTGTCGAGCTGGGAGTTTACCCCAGGGACGCTCTTCACGGTACAACGGTGAGAAGTTGTCGAACACCTGCACCCAAAGGTTTCTGGTCCACGTTTTGAAGCTTGCCTGCTGTTATGAACTTGTGGGAGGTCGGAATGGTTGCCTCTCAGCATGTCTGAACCATTGAAACATATGGGCGCCTTGCCACTGTGAGATGGACTTCCTGGGAGGAGGAACGAGACCCTGAGGAGACTCGTGACAATAAAGTCAGACTGTTTGTCATGAACAGGGGACGCCGAGGCAGTTTGGAGAGTGCCTGTACAATAAATAACTGGGATCTGCATCAGCCCCTTGGATGTCGATTCCGCCATCTTATGTTTGCGTGAATCGGCATCTACCTCCTTCACGTTAGATCTCGTTGCATGCGGAATGGAGGGCAGGAGGCTGAAACAGAACCAGATCAGTCGCATCTCCTTATATTGTCTCATGTATAAACCTCTCATCAGGAAACGTATTTCTTGAGGCATATGAAACCAGCTGCTCGGTTGGGAGATGTTCTGCTCAGCGAGCCTTTCATCAGTATCGGGTTGGAGAAGAACGAGTATGGAAGTTATAAACGCATCATGAACATTATTAATGTCTCTCGTCCATGAGGACTCGTATACGAACTCTCACATTTCAAGGCTTCACGTTGATGGATTCAGGAGTAAAATTTTTGGTCATGACATGGGAATTTTCCGCCTTTTTGGCTCAATCGCGCTGTCATTACAATTCCAGGTTGTCCACGTCAAACGTGGCAGGCAACGTGTTTGCTGTTCGAACTCCGTTTACTATTGTGACATCCTCCACCGCCCTTGCTATCCTTCTCCCTGCGCGCTGCAATACACCGCAAAGATGGCGAATAGAGGATACGATGTTGTCGTCGACGTTGACACAGAGGTGCGACTCCTCTCCCTGCCAAACTCCTGGTGATCATCTGATATTGACAAGCAAACAGGGAGACCTAGGCCACACGGACCTACAAGACGACGACCTTGAATTTCACTCATCAAGTATGGACGAATGAGTCCATCTCTCCAAGGGAAAATTACTAAGAGAAAATAAACCAGACTTCGAGAACAACTCTCAAAATCGCAAGATCCCACCAGACTCAACACCTTTCCTGTCCAACAGCACGACCAACCCAGCAACATTGCCTCATGACCCATCTGCTGTCCCTCCCAAGCACATGCTCTGGTCAATATCCTTCTATGCGCAATTCTTTGACGTCGACACGTCGACGGTCCTGCACCGCTGTCGGACCGCCATCCTGCCTTTCCTCCCGAACACGCCACCCTTCCTCGACACCATGGATGGCAACCCTGATCTGTACGGCCCGTTCTGGATCGCCACGACCGTCGTGGTAATTCTCTTCCTCGCCGGGACAATCAGCCACAAGCTCGCGACCGAGGGCAAGAAACATTTCGAATATGATTTCAAGCTACTGAGCGGCGCCGCCGGCTTGATCTACGGGTACACCCTGTTTGTGCCGCTGGGGCTGTGGGCCGCGCTGCGGTGGTTTGGTGCGCAGTCGCTGGAGCTCGTGGAATGCTGGGCGCTGTACGGATACAGCAATCTCTTCTGGATTGCCGTGGCGCTCGTGTCGTGGTCGCCGCTCAATGGGCTCAACTACGCCTTGGTCGGCCTGGGGTATGCCGTAAGTGTGTTCTTCCTGGTCAAGAATTTGTATCCTGTCATCAGCGCGACAGAGAAGAAGATCGGCCGGATTCTATTGATCGCGGTGATCCTATTGCACGCAGGGTTGGCAATTGCCATCAAGATCCTTTTCTTCAGCCACAAGAGCCCGGCGAAGGATGATGGGGATGACAAAATGATGGTTATTTAGGGTGATCTCCCTGCTCGAAAGGAAATAAACGTGTCAACGGCGGATTGGTACCTTTGAAACATGCGCATGCGTTTCGATGTATTAACATTGCGAGGATTCAGGGTAAGGGTGGACGGATCATCTACAAATTCCTGGTCAAGATTCGCAGCGGTATATGCATAACTGGCACAATAGTTCGTTGTCGGGTATACTCGACGCTTTCGGGGTTCAAAATGTCTTGTTTAATGGCTTTTCAATGACATAAACAGCAGAAGCCGGTTTTGATCGTGCATTGAGAAAAATTGACCTGATCTGGCCTATGCGGCTAATGGTCCCTGTTTTTCTAATTTCCAGGATTCCATTTCCGCAGCTAAATGATTTTTTGAGGGGTGCGGGTTGTTTCATGTCGCAAAACCACTTATCCTCCCCGTCTCCGTAAATCCACACCGAATTCCACGATAACACGCTTCTCCCACCACGATACCAGAACCATGTGTGCGCAACCTTTACTTGATCTTCTTCTTGGGTCGGAGTTGGTTGGAGTGACCGCACTTCTTCTTGCGGCAGTTGGTGGCTCGCGGGGGCAGACGGGCATAGCACTTTCGGCAGATCATCTTATCACAGTTGTATTTGGAGGCAAGGGCTTTGAGGGAGGGCTCGATGATACCGCCACGGAGGCGGAGGACCAAGTGGAGAGTAGATTCCTACAATTTTTTTTCAGTCACACTTTTGGCTTTTTCCGGCTGGTGATCCCGCTCGCCCAGAAGGTTGAAGCAGGAGCTATGTACCTTTTGGATGTTGTAATCACTCAGTGTTCGGCCATCCTCAAGTTGCTTGCCGGCGAAGATCAAGCGCTGTTGGTCCGGGGGGATGCCTTCCTTATCTTGGATCTTGGACTTGACGTTGTCGATTGTATCGGACGACTCGACCTCAAGGGTGATGGTCTTGCCCGTGAGGGTCTTGACGAAGCTGTGCGTTCATGTTTCGTCAGTATTCTAGTTTCGATTTCTCTCTTTTATTCATCCCGTGGGGAGGATATGAACAATTAAAGGTCGTTCAGATTCGGAGGTCGGGCTTGGGAGACACTTACATCTGCACTGTAAAAGAGTGAGCATATTCAGTGTAGACACATGTAGCAGTAGAAACTTACTTTTGACTAGATCTTCTGGCCACCGGGAATATTGTTTGTCGTTGACGAGAATGTCACCTGCGGAGGGGCGGCTGGAATCGCCTAAAAGGTTTTGTGCGAGAAATCAGCCAAGACCGTATCACGTGCGTAGGGCGGAAGATATCGCCCGCCAAAAAGGTAGGTCAAGCGAGTTCGCATTTGGACTTCACAGATTCTTCAAAAAAAGGAAAGAAAAAGACGTCGAGAAGTCTCTGGTGGACATCCTGAGGTTCTTTGTCGCAAGTTTATTGTTAATTGACCGAACCCCAAACCTTGGACGATAATGGTTATGTTGAGCCTCGGGTTGACCCTGCGAGCGCATGGGGAACCAGCTTTCCAACAGGAACAAAAATTGCAGCTACCCACCATGAAGTCCACTCATTGGGCCCTGCAGATCTAGTGCCTGAGATATCTATGCAGACGATCAGAAGACTATCGTCCTAAACAAGGCCCATCCAAGGCTACTTTCTCCCTCCGATGTCGCTCTTCTGAGAGGGTCAGGCTGGTCAGTAGGCTGCTACTTGAGAAACTCCCCTCCTTCTGGGTGGTAGCCAGTAAACCGCAGGTGCTAGACTAGGGACCGTAGTCTCCAGGCGCTGCAGAAATCTAGCAGTAGCCGTTCATTTGTCGGGAAGGTGTTTATGACAATCGGGACGTTTACTGCCATTGACACCTGCCCCTGAGTGGCCCCAGGCCATAGAGCGTCAGTGGAGGTCACCACCTCGAAAGGAATTCTGCAACTATCTTGTCCCGTTTGGTTGTTGAAGCCATATGATAAACGAGGCCTGTATACGGAAGTGCTGACAGTTCTGCCTGGGTCAGCGTTGCATTCTTGAACCACAGGTCCCTCCGAGTCAACAAAACGAGGAAATTTAATCACCCGGAGGTCTCAAATCAAAAGACAAAAAACACCTCCCAGAGGGGGGAAACAAAAGTCCTGACCTTGTCAGAAGGCGGTTCAACAATTCGCGCACTCGGTATTGACCAAAAGAGAGAAAATGCCACGATGCAGACTGCTCCAAAACATGGCGCAATGCATTCTATATTTCTCTGGACGAAAGAGGAGTACCCCGCTCATACAGCGATATCCAGCTTATCCTCAGTACTATTCAATCATGAATCCGGCTAGTGCGTACGCAGACTTGACCATTTATCTCCATCTCCCTGTCATACAAATCCATGCAAATCCAAGTCTCCCCAAATCCACAGTGCCTTCAGAAACATTTCAGCCCTTCCGCAAGGCTATCATCCCTTCCAGACTCTTTATGCCTCACACCTCAAGTGCACAAAAGTACAACTTCTACTAATGAACGAGTCGTCCAATCAGGGTGATGGCGCTTAACTAATCGGTCTCCACAGGCGTTTATTAATACTGAGATATTTCATCAGGCCAGCCGATACACTCTGGTAACCGACGTTGAAGGATTCCGTCTGCATTGTTTGCGATCATGGATTTAAGGACAGCAAGCAAGACTGACTACGTCTATCCTCACACCGAGTGAAGGATATCTACCGCTCTTACTGTATGATATATGATCCATTGTCGGTTCCCCCTCGCTATTCCCCCTTCTTCCATTCGCCTCTTCTATTCCTTTTGATTTAATACTCAGTCATAAAAAACGGTTTCACAATTAGCCTCAAAACAAACTCCCAAACTAATCCTCGGGCAGCGAGGTGCAGTTGAAGGAGACGCTGGAAGTGCTTGGGAAGGGACCATTGGATGAGGATGTGAGGGTGGTGGTTGAAGGACTTTGGGATGGGATACGGAAAGATAACCAGAGCGCAGAGAAGAAATAATAGACGGAATGCGTCTGAATATGAATGGAGAGAATTACTTATAGGATGACCTCCGGGAGAATAAGCTGCGCCATCAATTCATTCGCCGAGCATGAAATCAATTAGGGGGGTGATACAGACATATAAAAACATGATGGCTGGAATCAGACTGGGAGAACATGTATCTTTGATGAAAGAAAGATCGATCTCGATTATCATCTATCTACTACCTGATGGAGGTACCGTATCAATACACGCTCTCTCAGTTCCTTGACTTCCCTCAATCGACCGGATCCTCCTCCAAAAGCAACTTAAAACTAAAAGGCTCAAACGGCACGCCCTCGCCGACGAAATGCTTACTCATGGCCTCGACCCAATGTAATCGCAGACTGTGCAACATGGCGCTAGTTCCTTCCATGACGCACAGGACCGCGACAGTCAGGACGAACCAGAAGTAAAAGGTCACGACGATCATGACGACTTGCATGCCGCCAGTCATGGCGAAGGCGTTGCCGAGCGTCATGTTCCATAGAACGACAGAAAGTTGCTGGTGAGCGAGCGACAAAGCCCAGAGACGCAGATAAGAGGCGGTATGGGAAACACAGTTGAGGCAGAATTCGATGGTGTCTAGGAAAGAAGAGAGAGAATTAGTATGAGTGAGGTTTCAGGGGGCCGTGAGAAGGGTGAGGGTATTCTTACGGATCGTTTGATGGATCATGACCTCGGAGAATTCGAACTCTTCATGCTCGCCGTCCTCTCCTATGTTCTCCGTGATCATCGCACCTTCATCGTCGTCATCGGCACTAGGGCGCCCATTCATTTGTTGGTCATGGTTGGTCTCGTCATCGTCGAGATCCGTAGCATGCGTGACGCGAGTGGTGTCTCCAATTCCGCGATACCCCCGCGCGGCAATCTTTTGATGCTGATGGCGAAGATAGAGTGGTTTCAAGAGGAGTAAAATCGGGACGTTGACGACAGCGATCAAGACCAAGACGACTTGGAGTCCTGCTTGGCCACCGTACAGTCGTTCATCTTCCTCCACCGCGCCAGGTGACAAGAACATCTGGATCAACATGTTGAGCAGGGAAGGAGGACTTCTGCCTTGGGCTTGCCAATCAACGGACCATTTGTAGACGATGCAGAAGCTCAGGTAGCCAAAGATACTCTGGAAGAAAATCATGCCCGGGACAAAATTACCCCAGATATCGATGGGCGACTTGAAGTGTCTGGCGTTGATGTACGAGAAACACAAGGCATAAGTCATGTGAGCCCAGCCCATGAGAATTGACAACTTCATCTTCAAACTGTTGCTGAAGAGTAACTCGTTTTCGGATCCGTGCCAGGCCCAGTCCAGACCGAAGGGATATCGATAGCTGCTCTTCAGATGACCAACGACTTCGGGACGACCCTCTTCGGGGAACTCCCAAGCGGACGCGAACGGGGTAAATGCTTTGGAAAAGACGTCGTTGTAAACAAGACCAGTATACATGGAGAAGATCCCCATCATCAGCATGATGTATCGACCGTAGAATGCCATGGCGAAGAGTTCATCCTGCTTGGATCTTTGCAGGGGCTTTTCCCAGTAGATCATGGCAGCTGCAGCCATGGCCATCAAGCATCCATGACCAAAATCGCCAAACATCACCGCAAACAAGAAAGGAAATGTAACAATGGTGTAGAGCCCAGGGTTAACTTCTTGATACTTGGCAGTACCGTAGGCGTTGATGATGGTTTGGAAGCCCTCGGTGAACTTGTTCGTCTTGTTGTAGGTCGGCGGAGTCTTGTTGGTCTTGATCCGGTTGACGATGGTAGGCACAGAGAGTCCAGCGCGATCGTTGACATCCTGCAGGGTAGCTCTGATCTGGGCCAGAGAGTTGGTTGGGCACCATGCTTCTGCTATCAAAGTCTTTCTCGCCTGGTCGTAAGAACACATGTTCAACGCATTGTATACGGCCTTCTCCTTCTTGATGACGATCATCCACGCAACGAGAGATCGCGCGATGGCAGACAACTCGGCGTCCAAGGTGTTTTTGGTGTTCCGAAGAACGCTGGCCAGGTCACTGAGACGGGTGTTGACCTCGTGAATCTGGTCTCTGCGAAGATCGCCGTTCTCGTCGACATTGTAGAGATCGGCCCCCAACGACTCCGATATCTTTCGAATCTTCGCGATAATCTCCTTGCCATGGGCAAAGATGACAAAAACGTTCTTCTGGGTCTCCTCGTTGTTTTCGGGATTGATGATGGGTTCTGGAATCTCAGACTGGTTCATGTAGAGATTGCCACGAAGCGTTCTCCACAGGATACGTTCGAAAGCCGCCATTCGCTCACGAGGGATGACGCCCGCAACAAAGCCGATGTTCATGACGGCAAGGCTCTGCTGCTGGCCGACATCGCCGTTAACTCTGCCCTCTTCAGCTTCGGTGTTGCGGAGGAGAGGAGCATCGTCGTCAACATCAACACTCTGTCGAATATCATCGGTCTGACCGTGAGCACGATCGAAGAAACCGCCCGCCTCCTTAAGAACCCATCGCCACTCGGTCAACTCGACCTCCCTTTTCTTCAGGGTCTCATAACTTTCATTCAAGCTGCTAATACGGTGTTCCAAAGCCTCCGCCCGGTCAGCCAGCTCGTCAATCTCACTGGCCTGCGGCGCAGCAAGTATATCCTGATCGAAATCCCAACGGCTTCGCATCGCAATGTTTGACTTCTCCATCTGGGCCTTGAAGTATCGCAGCTGTCGCTCGACATTGTCCAAACGACGGATTTCTTTGGTAAACGTGCGCTGGAAGGCCGTGGTTTCGGCGTTGAGGTCTCGGAATTGCACGATACCAATTTCTCCTAGAGCGGAGACGACTTCGCGGCCGATCTCGTTCGAAATGTAGAGCTGCGTCAGGGACATGCCCGCGGAGCGGAAGAGGGTGTCCTTTTGGGCCATGCGGGGCGGTTGAATTGAAGGAGAAGACTAGGCCGCCCAGGCCAGAATAGAGAAAGGGTTTTGGACTGAAAGAGAGCAGTGACAATGGCTCTCTGTGGATGAATTGAAGCTCTGAAAGATGGAGGCCTTCTAGTTGAGATCCCGCGGCCAAGGATGATGCGCAGCCTGAGCTTCGAGGCTTGGCATCACTATTCCGTAAATTTACGTTTTTGCTTTCGCTGGGACATGAAAGTGTTGGTATTCCTAATCTGGAAATGATTATGGCTTGTTCAGGGAATGATTGAGGCCGGTATTCTGTACACTTTATTAGAAGATCCTTCTCAATGTAGAATGCACACATATGATTTCCTACATCAACGACCGGTGGCAGAGACCACTTGACTTTTTGTTGGAGGGCCTTAATCTGAGCGCAAGCAGTCGACTTTGTCAAAATTGGCGTTGCCAGAAGACAATAACGCAAGTCCAATCACTACAAGCATTTGGAGCCAGTCATGTCGAATTTGGATATTCTACCCGGTGAGAAAGCTAGCTAGTCGTGGAGGATTCGGCGACGAATATCGTGAAGGGTGTTTGATTCGAGATGGGAGGTATTTCGCCAGCCCTGTTTCATCCAACGACAGGACACTTGAGAAGACGTACCATCTCCAATGCTACGAACGAGATGATGATGGTATGACACATCCGAATCCTTCTGAAGACAAGGGACTGGAGATCCTATGCTCTTGGAGTCCAGGCTCGTTTGGGAATACGGGGTACGGGTCCGTATGGGCCTTGGGTCTTTGCGGCTGAAAGCCTGATATTCCAACCAAGTGGAAGCCAGATCTGGAAACCTTTAGAGCAAGAACCTTCAGAGGGTATGGATGGGGTGGAAACTAGTTCGGATCTGGCTCTGGATCTCTTCAAATATTTGTTTTGTTACCAGTCTTGATTTGGTGGGAGTTTCTAGAAATACAAGGCTGTGAGAACCGGGGGCATGAACGCTTCGTGACAGAGCTTCTTCCCTGGCTTGCGCCTGTCGTCTCTTCTAACTACTAATACGAGTATATACATATTCTGTAGGTGATATGCCAACGCTTCACCTGCCGCAAACTGACCGGCACCGCTTACGCGACAGCCCTCGAGCACACCTGCGCCAAAAGGCTCCGATTTCCAACTCGTTTCAAAAGCCAACACGTCCACAAAGCAAACCCGTGGAACCCACGAAGTCGGCCCTAATATGATCTTCCACGGGCGCGAAAAGTGTCCTAGCACTTTGTTCAAGATGTGTCATCCAGGAGAATCCGGGGTGTCGTTTTTGCTTGTGGGCCATCTTGACGGGGGAACCAGGGAAGGAGAAGAAGCGAAGAGAGGAATAGGTGGATTTGAGGCATCGGAGTACCGCAGGCAGAGTGATGGGTGAAGTCCAGGTTGCCGTGGGTCGAGGTCGAAGAGCTTAACATCCAGAGCCCTGTGGATGTGACGGATCGACTGATTGCTGGATTGCAATTGAGCATTTCTGGGAAAGAAGTAGTGTGCTTTCATTGGTGGCGGTGTGCATCCTTATTTTGTTGCACTCTGCCTTGAAATTATTCTTTCGTTCGTTCGGGGTTTACTCATCGGATTTTGAGTGAGTACATGAGTCTGTGTCTGCTTGGGTGTCTGCCTGTGGGAGTAGCACGGAACACCTAACAAGTCCAACACACGATATTGAACTCGGTACCAAGCATATAACATTTCGATATGAATGGGTTTGACTGAAGCTGACAAGGCAAATGCCGGCGCAGTGTTGGACCAGTCGATGGTAGGTACCTGCATCGGTTTGAATATGGCTCCCGTCTGCTGGAAGTTCACTCCTTTTTTAGCTGTGGTCGTCAATTCCAGGCATCACCATTTCCACCGGGTTCTTCTTGCTTCAGTTCGACATCAACCAACTCAACATCATCCTGCTTCGTTCCGATTTCCTCTTGGATCAAATCCTCATCGACTCTGTCGCCTAAATCGCGATCTTCCAAGAACCTCCTCCCCCTCAGTGCCTCCGGGAGATACTCCTGTTTGACCCGTCCATCCACATAGTCCGGATTATATTTGTACTCTTGGCCATATCCTAACTCCTTCATCAACCTTGTCGGCGCATTGCGTAGATGGATCGGGATTGGCAGACCCGCGACGCCCGGTTCTGAGAGCGCGTGCATCGCGTTCGCGAGTCCCCTGTACGCCTTGGTCGACTTGGGTGCGAGACATAATGCCACGGTCGCATGTGCGAGATTGATTCTGGCTTCGGGCATGCCGACTTTCTCGGCGGCGGTGTATGCGGCCGTCACAAGCGGCAAAAGCGAGTTGTCTGCCAACCCGACATCCTCGGAGGCGATGACGATCATGCGCCGTGCAATATACAAGGGATCCTCGCCGGATTGAAGCATGCGGGCCAGATAGTACAGGGCCGCGTCCGGATCCGAGCCGCGTACGGATTTGTGGAATGCCGAGATCGTGTCATAGTGCTGGTCACCTGCGCGGTCGTAGACTAGGGTTTTTGTAAGGGATTGTTTCAGCGTGTCCACGTCCATGTTAGGGCGCCGGGATAGTTGCATGGCAAGTTCGAGGAGGTTCAGCGCCGTGCGAGCGTCGCCATCCGCGAAGGCTGCCAGATACTTGATCAGCTCCTCATCGACGAGAGCTGAAGGGCTGTAAGTATGCCATTCGGCCTCGAGTGCGCGATTGAGGATGTCACATATGTTCGCATCGGAGAGTTTCTGCAACGTGAACGTCCGACAGCGCGAGAGAAGCGCATTCTGGACTTTGAACGAGGGATTCTCGGTCGTGGCACCGATCAGCGTGACATGGCCTGCCTCGACAGGGCCGAGAAAGACATCCTGCTGACTCTTCGAGAACCGATGGATCTCGTCGCAGAAGATGATGGTCTTGCGACCAGTCAGACCCAACTCGCTCTTTGCCTCGGCGAATATCTTTTTACACTCGGCCACGCCCGAACTTGTGCTATTGATCTCGACGAATCTGCTCCCAACCATGCTTGCGACGGCTCGGGCGATGGTCGTTTTGCCCGTTCCCGTGCCCCCCCAAAGAATCATGCTCGGAACGCGATCTTGTTCAATCAACCCGCGCAAAACTCCCGTCGGACCGACAAGGTCCTGACCACAGACATCGTCAAGGGTCTTGGGCCGCATCCGCTCAGCGAGCGGAGCAGCTTTCTCAAATGCATTGGTCTTTGTCTTTTTACTCATTTGATGCTCAAGGCCATTCTGTGTCGTATCTTCGCTTTTGACTTGCGCATGACCGTCGAGTTGTTGCGTTGAGGCGACATCGAATGTTCGTTTCACCGAGGTTGGTCGAGAATCACTCGGAGACGGGACGGGTTGGGAAGACGAGAAGAAAGAGGAGGAGTCGCGCTTTGCGACGGGTGTTTTGAAGAAGTGGGAGACAGAAGTGGGATTGGTTTCCTGTTCGACATCTTCGATACAATTCGAGTCGATGTGATTGTTGATGTTGACTTGTTTTACCGACTTGCCACAAATAGGACAATTGACCATTTTCGGCACTCCATAACTCGAAAGAGGAGTCGAGTTTTCGAAAATAGTGTGTTTGCAAGCTGAAACACGGTTGTGGTTGCGATGAAAATGATGGGTTGTGAAACTGTAAGAGAGATAAAAAGAAGATGGATCTGTGGCGGGCGCGCGTCTCTGCTTCGCGTTTGACAAAGCCTCGCATGACATGGGGCCCCGCGACAGAGGCCCGGCCCGCGCAAAGCATCACGTAGCTTTCAGCGGATACATTCCTTCAACGAGGTGACCTTCTACTGGAAGATGCCACTGTTTCCTTGAGGCGAGGGGTTTCTATTAGAGCTCTCCAAGCAGCTCAGCCAAATGACCTCAAAGAGAGAAAAATTTTGAGAATGAGCTTTTGAACCAATCAAGCCTCAGGTCTTCGTTTGAATTGTCTGTTTCTATCCCCTTCTAGCCAATCTAATGCGGGCGTTGTAAAATCCACAGACGGCCGGCCCTGTCTTCATTCTCATACCCTTATGCAGTCATGTATTTCGTCAACCCTCGCAACCGAGCCTTTGCATTTTCAAGGACATCATCGTTCTTACAAACGGCAAATCTCATCCAATCTTCAGCCAAATGCGCTCGTTCATCGGTGTAAAACTCCGACGGAGGGATTGCCGCGACACCCAGTTCCATAATCAAGAACCAAGACATCTTAAAATCTCGCGGTCGGTCCTTGACATGGTCCGGGAACGAGTAGTTTTCGGGGAGTTTGACTTTTGAGAAATTGGCCAGAACGAAATAGCCACCTTCGGGAATCGAGTAAGGAATATTGAGTTCATCAAAGACTTCACAGAAGCGGTCCATTTTGCCTTTCATTTCCTTGACAGCTTGGTCCCAGAATCCGACTTTATCAGCTTGTTCGAAACCAATTGCGGCCGCTTCTTGAAGCGGAGAGACACTTGAATAGCAGATCCGGGTATGAGCTGCAGCAACGTATTTGACAAGATCGGGAGGTCCAATCAAATACCCAACTCGCCAACCGGTTGCATAAAAATTTTTGCCCGCGGATCCAACCGTGAGTGTGATTTTGGCCAGTTCGGGAGAAAGAGTCGCTATCCGAGTGAACGGGACGTAGTATAAACGATCATAAACCTCATCCGAGAGAATGATGACTTGATACTTAAGGCAAAGATCTCCGATCCGTGTGAGTTCCTCTTTGCTGAAGACTTTGCCGACCGGGTTATGCGGTGAATTAATGACAATCATCTTGGTCTTGGGATTGAATGCCTTTTCCAACTCTTCAAAGTCAACGGTCCAGTTTGCTGCCGAAGACGTACGTTCCGCGCCGTCTGCAGGAGGATGCATCGGCACATATCTGATTGTACCGCCGGGCATTTCGATGTTACTGAGATACTGATCAAAAAAGGGCTCAAAAATTATGACCTCGTCGCCTGGTTCGACAAATCCCATGAATGCGCTCAACATGCCTGAAACTCGTCAGTCCGACTATCCATTTTCTTGTCCTTGCTCGTGAACACACCCTCATTGGCCCCGGTTGTAATAGTCACTTCTGTCTCGGGGTTCAATTTTCTGCCAAAGAAGGGTGTATACGCATCGGCGAGGGCCGCTTTCAGCCTCGGTCGACCTTTGGTGGGGGAATATTGGTTGCAGTCTACGCGATCAAGGGCACTCTTTGCCGCATCGATGACGAATTGAGGAGGATTGTAACCACTGCGTCCGATCATTAGCGCAAAGATCCCAAAATGCGGAACCATTGCCAATGCTGCATACTCACAAAAACCCTTGACCCATATTGACGATAGGTTGTACGGGAGACGCAGCTGCCGCCTCATTGACGATAGACCATACGTCTTGTCTCTGCCCCGCGACACGCTTCGCGGGGGCGAATTTGGCATCCATTCTGGAGGTGGAGGATATGTTGCGACAGCGAACGGTAGAGCGTGTCAACCAGGGTGGACTGCCAGAGGGTAGGAGTCCAGCTGGAGTGACTTGACGAGAGGCTGATTTGACTGCCGCTGTAGTAGCTGAGAAAGAGAAGTTCATGAGAACAGAGAATGGGCTGATGAAAATTGTCTGATTTTGTGTGAGAATTGCGACAGAGCCCAACAAGTCACACGCCCTTGAACGCCGTCATGCAAAAAGAAACTCGGGTACAGTGAGAACTGGAAAATATTACGATATCGGAGATCGGAGGGGTGGCCAATTAATATCAACTCGACTCAATATATTTCAAGACTCATCTTTTCATCTACGTTCTTCAAGATTACAGATTTCAGTCAGAGCCCATAGCCCAAATTTCGGTGCAACTCACTCATTCCACTTGGTCGTCAGAGGTCGTATCAAAGTATTCACAATGCTTTTACGCCGTGCCCTATGCAATGCAGTTCGCAATCCAAACCCATATCAATCCCGCTGACGCATATGATCATGCAATGTCAGGCATATACGATGCCTCCAGCTCTCGTCAGCCTCCTTTTCTTTTATTCACAGTCCTTTCCTCTTCAGGCATACCTAACACTGTTCCCCCGATTTGCAGGATATCCATCTCCCCAGCCGTAAGCGGGCGGCGGCTGAGAAGGATACCATCCTTGTGCCGGGGGTTGCATTTGTACAGGTGATGCTTGCCATCCACCACCATAACCACGATCTCTCATTTGATCAGGGATGGGTGGCCCATTCCAACCTCCCCGGAGTGCGCCACCATGAACTGCCTTCTTGTGTCGAAGCCCCGTGGGAACCATTCCATCCAACTTCTTTCCTCTGGGTCGTCTGCATGCTCGTACACAACATCCGAGAACGGCGAGCAAAAGAAGACCGCCGAGGGCGCTAGCCAGAGCAATCACCAATGTTTTATTGTCGTCAATCCATGATTTGACTTCGCCTCCCAGCGTGCTTCCCTTGCAAACACCATTTTCACAGTGTCCGCCACCACCACAAGGAGTACCATCCAAGAAATTTTGTTGCATACTGTAACAGACATTTGCTCCAAAATCAGGGCTGGCACAGCTCAAGCTGCAAGTCTGGCTGTTGCAGGCATAGGTGTCGTTATCCGAGGTATAACTGCCCATGAGGGTCTGGCACTGAAGATCACGACTGGTGCATTGACCACTGGCACATTGGAGTCCATCCCCACAGTCGGTCCCATCAGGAGCAGTGGTATCTGCAGGGCAAGTGCCGTTCGTACCAGAGCACGTCTCTGCAGGGTCACATTGGCCAGTGCTTGCGCGGCAGGTTGTCCCTGCACCCGCAAATTGACACGTGCTAGTACAGCATCCCTCGTTGCTGGGGTCACAGAAGGCGCCATCATTGAATTTGCAAGTATCTGGGTTGCAGCACGAATTGCCACCGCATCCTTCAGCACCACCACAATCACAATCTTCGCCTTCTTCGACAATTCCGTTACCACACTGATTGCCGCTGATGGTGACGACACCCTTGTTATCGGTGAGACAGCTTGATTGGACGGAATTGCGGCCCAGCGCACTACATATGTTACCAACGGAGCAAGGTGAAAATGTCGTGATGCTGGGCGAAGAATAAGGGTTCATCATATACTGGGCATTGGCATCGCAAGTCGAGGATGACAATGGACAACATTGACCGGAATTGACGGTATCGGCATCCGCACAAGTGCTGGAATCGCAGTCATGAACAGCACCAAAGGTATGGCCACTTTCATGAGCAAATACCTGCCATTCAGTCGAAGTCTTTGCAACGACATTGGCACCGGTGACACTCTGGGCGTTGCCGCTGGTATCGGTTTGTTCTGTAGCCCCATGGTTACACAATTGCCCCAGCCAGGCAAGACCGACTTCAGCACCGGTGTTGCAGGTTGTAAACAGGGACCAGTAGGCGTTGTCGTCACCGCGTTGTCCACGCCATTGAGAGAAGAGGTTGAGGCGTTGAGTGATATCCGTACTGCTTGAGCAACCCACGTTCCAAGGAGTTTGGGTGCTGGCCGTTCCAGGGCATTCCGCATCTGAGACCGTCAAGTTTCTGAGACCCAGAGTGATGTTGAAAGTGGACTGGTAGAGATCGGATGCCGTGTTGACTTGAGTGATGACGTTTTGTCGCAAACTGTCGGTGGAATTGAAACTGGCGGTATAGGTGCAGTCGGTGGCGACACCGACGAGAGCGACCTTACGAGTTGTTGGACAGCCTGCCGTGCTCCCAATTGTATCCCTGAGGTTGACACCGGCAGAGTTACCGTTTCCAGCAGCACCGCCATCAATATTTTGCCGTTTGCCGAGCAAGTTGGAGACGGACATGGTACCCCAATAGCCATCATCGCGCTTGAGCATCAAGTCTCGAAAGATGGGATGATCGGGGTTGGTGTTGAATTCGAGATGGTCCGAAGCACAGGTGAGGCCGGCACTTCGTTTCAGGTCCGTGTGCCCTTGCCGGCTGACATCGGTGTCACGCCAAACAGCCATATATTCGTCATCGTCTTCTTCCAGCTCGGGATCGAGGACATGTTTGGTGGCCATGTAATTAGACTTCAATTGAACGTGATGGTGATTGCCCATAATGGTGAATGCCCCTTCAAACAGAGGATGAACGCCATCTCTTCTCACCACAATTCGTGCCCAGCCGACATATGTGGACGATCCATCCTTGTCGACAATGAAAGACTTGCCCTGAAAGACTTTGTGATCCTCCCGTTGCATCTTCTCGGCGTGCCTGACATGGCCATCTTTATCGACGAATTCAATGTACGAATCCTGATGCAGGATATCATGATTCGGTTCGAGACTTAATCGGATATGTTCAGAGTTTCTGTGCAGATCGAAGGTGAGATCGAAGTGGGAATAGGCGTGTACCTTTTGTGAAGGGGTGTGTATTCGAGGGTTCTCAATTAATGATAGGTAGTTTAAATGATTTCGGGATTGGGAGTGGGCATCAACTGCCGTGATAAGGACGAGGATGAGGCATGATACGGCTAACGCAACCACCTGGTGAACGAGGCGCATCGCGCAGGGTTTGGTGGGTGATTAAAGTTGGATATTATTTATTGCGTGCGCATGAGAATAATAACGGGAGGTTGTGAGCAAACGTCAAAGAGGTCGAGGGGTGTGCGTGATATTGGCGAAAGGCTGCCCACGTAGTAGAGGGCTGGGAAGGTGTCTCCGCGATATACAAGCGCGGACGGTAGGGAAGGAGAAAGAAGGGTGGAAGAATGAGGACGAGATACAGCGAGTGTAGTTTGGGTCGTCGTGTGCCCAGGCGGAGAGGGACGGACGAAGTTGTGGTAAAGAGCTGTGTGGATGGTGATGGTAACAGCGGAGGTTGACAGTTGAGAAGATACCCGTACAAGGCGGTGGTTAGGGCGCAGGCGAGAAAGGAGGCTGAGCAACGGACACCTAGAATAGAAGGCCTAAACCTAGCAGCAACCCCCCCTCTTCTCCAGCCCCGGGCAAACTTGGCCGGCCGGCCGCGTACTATCGCCAAGCTACCCAGCCACTAAACCGAGCGAGGGAACAGATTGGCATCAGCACTGTTCATCAATTCATCCGTGTTATGCTGTTCCATCTCACTGAACAGGTATTTATTCGAACAAGGCCCTCCCGAGCCTAGAGCCCAAGGCATCAAGACGTGTAAGCGTACCAACACCCTTTCAGCTTTCTGCAAGAAATAGGGCATATGTGGTCACAGCCTCCCTTCTAAGCAACTGATCATCACACAATCACCTCCTCCCCTTACTACTCCTGTGCTACGGACACTAACTTTACTGCCTTAGGCTGCGCGTATTGACATAATCTCTCAACACGCGCTCTCCCAATCAAATGCTTTTCCATACTTCTGCCTAGTGTACTTTTCGAGGTCGCTACCTCTCTTACGCTTACCCTTCCAAGAAATCCAAGTCATCATTTTCTCTGCAGTGCCGGATTCCCGAGCTCAAGAGGTCACACAATCCCGCAGGTTCTGCCACTGTACTGGGCATTGTGGCTCCCTCTATTCCCCTTCCATACGCCCCAGACGTTCCTCATACGCTTAGGGAATCTCACCCCCTCAGGCCTCAAGACTCCTCAAATTTTATATTCTCAAGCCCACCCCACCCGTAAAAAAGAACACAAATACTAACATGCACCGGACGTCATGAGTATACTCACCAAGCTTCCCTGGTCTTCACGTTTCGGTCTCAATACCAGGTTCTCTTCCGCCCAATCCGCCAGTAAACCTTTTCTTGATTTTACCCACGCCAATCTTCGCTTCATCTTTCGCAAACTTGACGTTCCTCGCCGGCGTCCATTGCGACAATCCACGGTGCTTGCGTTCTTCCGCTCTCTTTTCAGCTTTGTTCTCCCAATTGGCATCCTTTTTGGCCACTGGCAGCACCGAATTTGATGAATTGGTGGCGGTCGTCGCCATGCTCGGACGTCCGCCTGATTCGCCCTTGCTCTCCCTGTGCCCGTTGACGTGGCTGCTGAATCCCTCTTCCGGAGCGTTGGTCGCATCAACCATGCCCAGATCAGAGCTGGCGCTCGTGCCCTTTACACCCTCGTCATCACTCGACGGATTGTAAGGGTCATGAGGTGGATCGTCCACGCCCGGCTCGGCTATCTTTTGGAGCTTCTTGTTGGTGTACGCCCTCGGATCATGGCTAAAAGCTCCGGACCAGTCCTCACCCGATTTGCTCAGCCACTTGCGTCTGTCTTTCTCAGACGTCTCCTGCAGGAGAATGTCCCGCCCTTGGATCAAAGATGCAGCGTGCAGGTCTTGGATATTCTCGGGCACCTCCGCCTCGACCACTCGTTGTCGCACACCCTCAGTCAAGCACGCCTCAAACGTCTCAAATGTCTCGCGCGTGTCGTTGTCCACGACGAAGTCTCGGTGCGACTCGTCCATGCCAGCCTTGAACCGGCCCCGGAATTGGAGTCGTCCAACCTCCTCCAGGTCTTCCAATCCCTTCTCTATGAAGGCTTGGACATTGTCTGGGGTGATGTAGTTCTGGACAAGTCGGTTTCCATTCTTCGTCTTCCAAATCGGAATGTCAAGAGGTGTCTCCTCGTTGTCGACCAGATTCTGCAGCCAAATCAACGCATACGCCATGGCGCCCCGTTTGCCTGCCACGTAGAATTCAAAGATGACCGGCGACCGATATCGATGCTTGACGGGGAGACGGACGTGGTGGTTATTTTCAGGAGAGGTATCCCAATAAACACCGTCACCCGCTTCATTGCTATGGCAATGTGTTCGAGGAATCTTACCAACACTACCTCCCGTTCGGAGCTTGAGCTTCGTGTTTTGTTTCCACCCAGAAGCGACAATTTGTTCCGAGAGAAATTCAAAGGTCCCGACATCCCAGCCCAGCATGTGGGGGGGAAGACGAGTTTCGATGCTTCGGAACAGAATGGAGATCCTAATACGACCAAATCCGATACCACCATCGAGAGGATACCATCTTGTCACTTGAGAGCTCGTCGCCAACAGTTCGGACAATCGAAGAGGCACCACACCCAAAATGGGATCGTGTTCTCTATTTCGTTGATCGCGGACCGTGACTGTGACAATGCCGGATCTCCAGTCACGCATGAAACGTTCAGTACCCGCGTTAAAGATGGGCTTACTGCTGACGGCCTTAGCGCGAGTGCGATAGACGAGTACATCGTTGAACAAGATCGTGCAATAAGAAGTCGGCAGTTCTGTTCTCGTGTCAGCAGCACTCCCACTCGTCAAGAGTGGGGTCACAAATTACGTACTGTTAGATTCTTCTTCCGTAGCCTCACCATATGGCTTGGCTGGTTCAAATTCCTTGCCCTTTCTATTCCCATCGCTACCTTTAATATTTTCAAGCTCCAAGTTGACAATCTGGTGGACAATAACACTGCAGATACCACTGGGCCACAAGGGATCAGGAGGCGTATGCGCTACGGCATCAGAATCCTCAGAGTCCAGGGTGCCTTTCTCGTCTTGGAACTGGGCGTCATCCTTGAATTGATCGGGCAGGTTCTTGTTCTTGCCGTCGGTGCGAAGTGCTGGCCGGAATTTGGGCTTGCCAAAGTAACCCACCTCCCAATGCAATTCACCGGGCATTTCAGTTCCTTCTTGCACACCAGACAGCTTCGAAATCAGCGGATACATCTTGCCTGGGTGTTGAATCATCTTTCGCATGGACAGTTCCACTTTGCCAACCATGTCGTCGGCCGAGTTGCGGTCAGAATCCCACAATTCAACACTCAGTTGTTCATCAGCTTTGATCAGCTCTGGTGTAACTAGAAGGGCCGCTGCCTCTTCCCACACGGGATTGAGGTCATCGGTAATGACTCTAGTACAGTACATTGGTTTACCGTATTTGGAGAAGGACAGGTTGATGTACGGATCGCTTCCACCATATTTGCTTCCACGGCGATCTTGCTTGCTGAGGCCAACGGCACGATGAATGCGGACCCACACAACTCCGATTGCCTGGGTGTCCTTGGTGACGTCGTCACCTTGCAACATGGCTTTGAGATCAAGTTGCATGGACTTCGGAGCAACATACAGACTCGCAGCGGCTGCCACCGCATAGTTGACGAAGTTTGAGATCAAAGGCAGGTTGAGGATATTAACCCCACTTTTGATCATTGGAATGCAGCCTGCTCGGACATGAGGGACGCCCATCAAAGTGAAGGAAAGATTCTTTGCAAAAGGCGGCTCGGATGTCATCTGCAACCGCAGTCGAACAGTTCCAATCAGTTCCTGAAGTTCGACAAATACAGGTAAGGGAACACCGATCAATCCTTTGATCCCCAGATAGAAGACAAGATTCATATGCATATTCCGGGCATGAGAAGAGGCAGTGGCTCCAGCAGGTTTCGCATGGTAAGCAAAAGCGACTTCAAGATTGTAGTAGTCTCCGCCGTCTTCGTCGGCTGCTGCCTCTTGAGGATCTTTCATCTTCTTGTTTCCTTCATGGATGCTCTGCTTGAGGTCTCGCACCTTGGAATCTGGAAGTGCACGCAAGCTCAGGACGCGAATTGGATTGCTTCCTTGGTCAATTTCCGCCACTCTGACATTGTTAATGACATTGGGGACAGACGCTTGCATGACATCTTCTAGAGTGTCTGCTACTGCCGCAAACATCTCCGGATTGATCAAGCCCCAAACAACACCAAGGAAGGTATTCATCCATTCGACAGACTCCGGTAGGAGATTCGCTGTAGCCTGGAGAGGTCAGCATTGTTTTGATCGGTGGAAGGGGACCCACCAAGGGGAGGACATACAGTTTCTCCTCTGCTCTGTTCGCTGCTCCACTCAACTTCACGACCGCTTCTCACCACTTCTTTCATCCACAGCCAGACGCCGGAAGCTAAACACATACCCAAAGGAATCAAGCCTTTTAGGGAGCCGCCAAACATCTTCCCCAGAATAACGATGGATAGAAGAATGGCAACACAAAGACTCCCAGCACGCTTCTCGAGGACCTCGAACATCGGCTCATAGCTGACTGAGGGTGTGGGGTGGAACAAGATATTGGTTTTCTCGCCATGAATGGGTACATCTGATGTGGTACCCTCCGCAACAGGGTCTGGGGGAGCTGTGAAGTCTTGCTTCTCCTTGTACTCTGGGTTCTTCTGAGAGGCGTCTGTCTTGATGGGTGTAGGTTTGCCGAGACTGGCATTTGGGACTGACAACTACACAGGAGTCAATGGAACGATCTTCGGAGGGAAAAGAGACGAGTTCATGCCTGAGGGTTGTCTGCCCTAGCCATGTATTCCTGGCCAACATCTGCAATGACGACTTGCCTGCCAGTGACTGGGTCTGTTACTGTCTTTCCTGCCACCTTTGGTTTCTCATCCTGGTGAGGGGTAACTTCAGACAAGTCCCGCCTTTGCTGAGTGGCATATTGTTCGTCGAGAAGTCTATCTCGCTCGGCCTTCTCCTTGTCGAGATTGGTGACGAACTCTTTAATATTTGGGATTCTATTGCCACCGCTCCAGGGCTTTCCTATTCTCTGTTGCTGGGCTGCCATGGTCATGCTGCAGGTGACACGATTGTGTTAGGATCCGACTAAGGAGAGGACAGGAAAAGGAAGGGTGGACTGAATTGAGTGCAGGAGACCAAAAACCAGGTAGCCACCCCTCCGGACGGCAAGCTCCTTACTGGCAACGAAAGACAGAGAAGCGGAGAGGAATGAAAAGCCCCAGGAAAGAGAGGCGAGCAGCGGAAATAAAAACTTGGATAGAGCATTGAGCATGTCAGTCGGTCATTGTTTGGCTGGCTCGGAGGCAGAGCATGATGTTAATCGCAGGCCGAGTGACGTAAGGGAGGAAGTTTCCCCAGCCAAATCCCATCCAGAACGAGCCTGGGCAACAGGCCACCAGAAAACTCTAACATGGAATTAAGGTGCCCTTTCGCTAAGTACTCGGATAACGATAGAGTTTAGCACTACTGGCCCTCAGTACATCTACGCTCTGATCGCTTTTGACATCTCCACCTTTTCTCACTTCATTCTCGATACCTGTCACCCCCAGATCTCTCGGTCTGAGTACAAGATAACGAGATCATCCTCGCCTCTAAAAGGAGCTCGGTCCCCGCCTCCTGCAGGCGGTTGGCTGCATGTGAGCTCCCCCCCCCCCCAAAAAAGGTGGCATCCGTCATGACTTCGACCAGATCTTACTCCCACTCGTCCATGTCTCCTCAACCTGTCCCTCCTGATCCAGAATAACGAAGTCGGCCCTCCGTCCAGATTCAAGCCTTCCTCTCTTACTCTCTCCCATCATATCTGCAATGTTCTCTGTTACACACTGCACAGCCTCGGCCAGATTGCAGCCAGTAAATGCCATCGCGTTCCGCACGCATTCGTCCAACGTACAACAACTCCCGATGAGCGTGTCTGTATCCTCGATTGTAACCTTGTTGCCCTGTTTGAGCTGGCGGCTGGAAATTTGATCATGTCCCGGGTAGACGCCATCGGGTAATCCGGCCAGTTCAATACTATCAGTGATGAAGACACACTTCCTTGGATCTGCACGCATGCACAAAGTTAAGACTGAAGGGTGTAGGTGAATTCCATCCGGAATGATAGAAAAATAGCATTTCCCAGTTGCTATGAGTCCTGCCAGTCCAGGATCTCTGTGATGCCAAGGCCCCATTGCATTGAAGACGTGCGTCAGTGCTCGAGCACCCAACTGGAGTGCTGCCAGGCCCTCGTCGTACGTCGCCGCCGAATGACCCAACGAGATGATAACGTGAGGAAACTCTTCCTGTAGCTGTCCAATAAGTGTTGTAGACCCGGGCAGTTCCGGAGCCAATGTAATCAATTTCACCGTGTCCTTGAGATTCTCATCCCCGTACAGGATCGAAGGGGATATCTGTGCCGGTTCCCGCAGATACGCGGCATTGTGTGCTCCCCTTTTTGAAGGATTGAGGAACGGTCCCTCGACATGGGCACCGAGTAGTTCTGCCCCCATGTCAAATGTTCGTGGTTTCAAGGCCGGGACTATCTTCAGTCAAGTCAGCTCGTGTACAGTCCGGCTGAGTAGTGATCTGAGTGCCTCGCTATGCCCTTCCGGCCCTCGATCCCATTAGTGGCACAAGACGGGATAAAATGACGAACGGATATCCTCAAACCTTTTTCCACCGGGAAACGTCCACAGTAGGCACGGTCGCGTACCAGGCCGTCACGCCATGACTGACTTCCATTCTGCTGACTTGTTCTAACTTCCGCTCGTCTCCCAAACTGTCATTGTCCCTAGCCAATTGTGCGAAGTGGACGCCGTTCATGCCATTGGTTTGCAGATCCAGATACCCGGGCGCAACCACTCGACCATTCAAATCTATCCTCTCAACGCCGTCTATTCGATAGTAGTAATTCGGTGTGATGATACCTGTGTCAGAGCTGAAGTAGAGATCTTGGGCAATCAACTCCCCGGACCTACAGAGCAGGCAGTTGGTGAAACATTTCAAGGCCTGCTCCATGACCCAAGATGACCGATGACCATCGACGGCGATATGAATCGGATGCAAATTCGCCTTACAATACAGGAACACGGTTCTCACCAATGAACAAATATCCAAGACGGAAGACTGGGCAAAGGTGCTGAAAATGAAAGGAATTGATGGTCACTGATAGAGGTTCTTTAGCTGTGGGCCAAGGGAACAGGGTGTTTCAAATTTCGGCAAAGCATATTCCGTCTGGCTCCCATGCTTTTATAATATACCTCTTAAGGCAACTATTTTTACCTGCATTTACATGCAACTCTTTCGAGCTGCCGGGTTTTCTATTACTTCAGATCTTCTTACCGGATTGGCCGTCTGCGTCCTGCTCAACCTGATCGGCTCCGTCAGGACCATCGCGACCTCCCATGGACTGAGATTCAGTCACTGCAGGTCTTTTATCACCTTCACCATCTCGGTCGTCCTTCTCAGATGCGACCTTAGTATTTTCCATGGTCTCTAGCGTCCATTCCCATCTCCTTCTCTTTCGCTTGGTTCTGCCTGCAGAGATACTTCGTGACCTCTTACCCCTACCACGGTCAATCTCTTGTGTGGAAATATCGGAAACAGTCCTCGACTTCCGTTTCTTCCTCCCCCGTGACGAATATTCATCTACACGAATTTGGCGGTCGTTGACGAAATTTCCACCTTCATCAGGTGAGGCTTCAATCGACTTTTCCGCATCGGAAGAATTAGATTCATCCTCCGAAGAGCTCAGGTCAACGTGGCGCATAACATACTCCTTCGTGACAATGTTCTCTTCCAGTACCGCGCGAAAAGCTACCTTCTTGGGTGCTGGGAAGAAAACTCGTCTTCCAGCAAGCCGAGGGGTTGAGCCTGCCGAACAGGTGGACAGACGACGAACATCCCGGAGTAAAGGACTATTTTTTAGTATCGGTTGCACTCCGAACGGCAAATTCAGATTGTAAGGCTGATCCAACGATTTCGTAGTTGGTGATGGTGGGCGACCGGTTGTTCTCTGCTGGAAATGCGCGCCAGAGGAAGGGGCTATGGAAACTGGCGATGGTCTGTATGTGAGGTCGAAGGTATTGACAAATGTGTTCAATGTGGTAGGAGTTTCAGTTGCATCAGTGGCAATAGCATTTCGACTGTTGCCCGAGTTGCTATACGCTGGGGTAAGATCGGAAGTTTTCAGCGACAGCTTCGGCCGCTTTCCTGATGACATGGGATGAAGACCTCGGAGATTTTCTGGAGAGATCGGAGACAGAGAGTTGACTGGGCTGAGAAGGTGAGGTGCCGGCGGTGGCATTGATATCGCTAGCATGTTGGTCTTGGTCGTAGACTCTGACTCTGCCAAAGGTCCGTGCATCAAATAAATGGAAGGAAACTGAAGTTTTCAATCCACGAGGGCCTCGTATGCACTTTCTTATGGCTGGACTAAGCGGATCGAGGAGTTCTGCGGCAGGATTTATTCGAGAACTAAGGGATCATCCCGGGGGGGGGTGTCGTAGTGCATAAGCACACATGGGGTGTGAGCACAGCTCCAAACAACCAGGGGGGCCTTTTATGGTGTGGCCTACCACAGCGAGACAGAACCCAAATGAAGTTCACCAGGTGCTCAAGGCGTCTATAGACCTCACCTAAGTATAGGCAGCGTCGTCAAGGAACAAGGACCGGAGGGGGGCAGCTGATATAGTGTGGTGGAAGATATACATAAGGATATACCTACCCACCACGTCATCTGGGCAATCGCCACGAGGAGACTCGCATGCCGCCACGCAGGTCAAGATGGTACCGTAAATTTCAACCATGATCCCTTCCCAGTTGGGGAATCAGCGGACTTGCCGTTTGGAGGACGGAGAATGACAACGACTGTGGCTTTGTTGTTGGGCCGAAGTAGAGAGCTGGGGTAAGGATAGATCTTGCATTGGGCGCTTTCTTTGGCGAGGATCAGGATTCAGGAACACTTGCTGGGGTGAGGCTAGACACGATGAGGGAAAACGTGGTCTTGATCGGATGTTGGAAACACAGGGCCTCTATTTTCAGCGTCGAATTGCCCGGGATAGGAGAATGGACCTGGGCTAAGAAGAGGCCAGATGGCGAATGGGTGGATTTGGGGGCAGAGAACGGACGATTGGGAAAAAACTCTGAATAAGAACGCACGGCGGAATTGGGGAGGCTGATGAAAATAGGCCGCGCGGAAATGGTCAGAAGGCCAAGTTCAGAAACAAGGTTCGCAGGTTGGCGTCGGGGTGTTTGCAAGCATGTTTGACCGTGGGCAGTCCCCAGTTGGTCCGCCGCGAGTCATGCACCTGCACCCCCCGAAACACGGCATGGAAAAACGTGGATCCGAGTGCCGAGGAAAGAAAGATAATCCATGTCTCTAATTGGCTGATGATCAAAATCCTCTTCGGCCTCTCCTTGAGTGGCCGGGGCTGAGCCACCGTCATCGTTTTCTTCACTATCTAGTTAGGTATTATTGCTATGGGCCGTCTGTTCATTGGAGATGGCGTGTCTGGCTAATGGTCGGACGAATTCTCTAATCGTCTACAGCAGTTCGTGGTACCTCCGATGCGCAGCCAATGCAAACGATGGAATGATCTTTAGACAAATATCGCATCGCTCCGCCTCGGGGCTCCCGCTATCGTCGGAGTCCCATTCACCACCGTCCTGGAAATCAGCGTTTGATTTTGTCTTCGCTGTGGTGGGTAACCCAAGCGAAAGAGCTTCTTCGAGAGAATCTGGTTCGACGGTGATTTTGAAATCTTTGAGGACTTCGTCCTGCCGCCGGAACATCCTGCCAATGTCTCTCCCCTCGCTATCTTTATTCTCAGCCGCTGCTTCTGCCATATTGGTCGCCGCGACATTGATCAAGCTGAGATTCCAGCCAGCCTTCTCGTGAAGTTTGCGAAACATAGGCACCAGAGCTTCCTCCACCAAGCGATTTGCAAGAAGAGAAGGTGTTTCAGTCAGGCTGAACACGAAATTGGGCATGGGCGCTGACCGGGAGATGCGATGGAATGCCCTTGCTCGAATGCCGTCTGGACTGCGTAGTGGTCGAGGTTTTGTGGACAAGCGCAATGTGCGTGGATGTGCAATCCATCGCCGACGCCGAGTGGCTGCCTCCGTATCGAATGACTCCGTGACGTCCTCCAGGAGGTCCATGTGCATACGGCGGATCAATCTTTCACCCAGGAGATGTAGCTGTTTCTTGACCTCTTCAAAGGTGTGCAGGTATTTCATGTACGAGTCCTCTTGACTGATCTGAGAGGGAATACGCTTCGCCTTGCCCACTTCGCTGTCGTCAATTCCGTGAATCAGCTCCCAGATCTTTCCACCGATGCCTTTGGGCGAACCTGGACCACCAAGGACTTCTTCAAGCAGTTCCGGTCCCATTCCAGGATAGGAACGAACATCGAGCACGGATATTGACTCCTTTGTGCCTCCGTAGACAAGCCCTTCGGAGAATTCTGAATGCCGACCCAGCACACGCGCCCGGATTTTTTGAGCGAGCTTGAAGCCAATTCCAGGAATTCTACCGATATCATGCTCGTCAAGAAATGTTGTCACGGTGTTTGGTAGTCCGACAGACTCAAATGGCGGCATGATCGTGGTCTGGTTTTGGGGCTTGTTGGCATTGCCCACCAGTTTCGACAGCAACTTGTTTGTGGCAATTCCCACAGTCGCCGTGTACCCTTTCTGAGACTCCAGCTCATGACGAAGATGTCGGGCGAGGTGGGATCCAAGCACCAAGCGAAGGCGTAATCGTTCCTCTTCCTCCGACAACCGAATCGAGCTCGTTGGAGCAACAGGATAAGTGGGACCAAACACGCTCGAGGCATCGTATTCAAAACCAATGGTAGGATCGTCCCTGTTTAGGCAGAAGAAAGAGTGAGCGAGGTCGTTGTGGTTCAGTAAGTCTGCGTTGCAGTCGACCATGTCGGTACAATCTAGCCTGCCGCATTGTAAGCAACCACACCCACTGCCTGAGGTAGACGGAAACACACCAAACTTCATCGAACCCGAGTCTTTCTGCCCTTCCGCTCCAGATGCGTTGCTGCAGAAATCCGTACAAGTCCTTGGATGCATCACGAAACTTAGTTAAATCCTCACCAAGAACAATCACGACCTCTGGACAAACTCGTTTGGCCTCAGTGATGAGCTGCATTTTGCGAAGGCCTCGCCTCCGAGCTTCGTAGTTGCAAGTTACCACAATCTGTTTCTGCTGAATCGCGAGAGGCACGGATTTGAGAACAGGGTTCTCATTTTCCACCACGGAGGCGTAAAAGCAATCATAGTCGAAGTGTATGATTATCCGGCTGTCATATCGCTGCAAGCATCGAGCCTTCTGCATATTCGTCGCAAGACCATGTTGTTCCACCAGAAGGAAAACGTATGAAATCCTACGGCCCCGTTGCTTAATGACTAGTCAATTACACAGAGACTCGTGATTTCGAGAAACTCGATGTTATCTCAGAGGACGCCAGGATTATTAGGTAATAAGCCTGGCACCCGAAATTTGCCAGCCACAAAGCCCGGCCGAGCGCGTCGCGGCTACGCGCAGAGCCTCATAAACATTCACCTTGGGCTGCTTGTCGCAGTTGAGGTACCAACCAACATACATGTATCGGCAAGGACCATTGAGCTAACAACGGCGCATTTGCCCTGTCTCAAGAAAAGTCAATGTCTCAAGCAAATCCCTCATTTCCGACTCGAAATGTCTACGCTTCGTCGAGTAAACTGCCCGATCGCCCTGCCCCGAAATCCGGCGCCGCTCTTCCTCCACAACCATATGCTCAGTCGACCTTTGGCCGACGGCCGGAGCAGCCATATCAATTCGGGCAGTCGACGGCGACACAACAGCAGCATGGCGCGTTGGGAGGAAGACAAAGTATGGAGAAGGAATCAAATGCCCTGAGTGAACTCAGCGAAGAGCAAAAGGATGAAATCAACGAAGCAGTACGCGCTGGCCGAACCGTCGGGTTTCTTCGTAACGCTGATACATTCTTCTGTAGTTCTCACTATTTGACCTTGACCGAGATCGCCATTTGGACTATCACGAACTCCGCGTCGCCATGCGATCCCTGGGATTTTCCGTTCCCAAACCCGAAGTCGCGCAGATAATGCAGTCGCACGGCGTGCCCAAACCGCAATTTAAAAGAGGTCCTCCTGGGAGAGGACAACAATCGTATCATTCAAGCCAACTTCTTCTCCCCCAAAATGCATTTCAGCGCATTGCGGCGCAAAAGGTTTTTGAGCGGGATCCGACAGACGAAGTGGAACGCGCCCTGCTTCTGTTCGACCCTGATCAAAGGGGTTACATAGAAGTCGAGGACATCCGGAGGGTGTCCCGTGAGCTGGGGGAAACCGGGCTTGAGGATGAGGAAATTCAAGCCATGGTTGAAGAGTTTGATTATGACGGGACTGGAAGTGTCGCAAAAGAGGCATTCTATGCCATTTGTCTTCAATGATAATTTTGGACCAACTCGCGTCAGGGTTAACGACATGATGATTTTCTACGACCTGAACGACTGGAATTGTTTGGAGTCTAATCAAGTTGAGTCAGGACCATTGGAGATTTTGAAGCTCTCCAGATCTCATGGAACTTGGCTGTTGTTCATGGGTTCAGAACATATGGTTCGTAGGTATGTGCTCAAAATTTACCGGGCTCGCTGGACAGGGCCATCCTTTGCCATATCTTCACCCATGGAAACGTTCCAATTGTCGATATCTCAGTACCTCTCGGGCCCCAGTAGGACCCTGTCTTGTCCATGGCGAGGTATTTTTTATTATTATTATTTTTTTTTTAAAACCCAATCGCTCAATATCCTGGCAGCTTCTTCGGCTCGAGTGCACCGCCATCTCAGTACTTGTCGAATCCTGCGGCCCTGGTCATTTCAGTTCTCATGGAACTGTGAAGGCCAGTAAGGCACGCGTGGGTCTTCCATGTTGACACTGGGGGTTTGTCTGGAGTGTATAAACACAATCAGCAATGTCTTTGTCTTTCAGATCAAACGACGATTGTTCGGCCATCAGGTTCAAAGCAGCCTTTGACACATAATGAGCATAATTCCCACCGCCTTCTTGCTCATACCTCAGAGTAATAGAACCAGACTCGGACGAAACCAGCACTACTCAACTTCCTCTCACCAATACGGCGTCATTGACCAATTCCTGGACTACAAACGCGGAGGCGACGACTGAGACAGTGTATATCTTGATCTCCTCGTCACATTTCTCATTGCCAAAGTCCTCGATGCCAAATACCAAATGGTGGTAATAGAGGTGTCGATCATCTTGCCTTTCAGTGCAGACGCTAGATCCTATCGACAACTAGGCTGGGAGAGGTCGATGTACGGGGCCTAGATGATGTTATCGGACTTGGGGCTAGAAGGCGGGCTTGACGGTCGAGATGTGGCGCATACGGTATGTGAGAGGCATGTATCATGATTGGAAACCAAGGCTTTCTCGTGTCGGGGAGTTGCCCCTTACGATGAGGGTCGACAGCATGTTTGCGAAGTTGAAGATGGATGGAAGAACAAAAGACGCCAGAATTCCCCACTTGCGGAAGAGGATATTGAATAAGCTAAAATGTCAAAGGAATGCAGTTCCAACATTTGTACATAAACGGAATCTAGTTTATTTGCGATTTCGCCATGTTTTCGCAGCATGCTTTCTCTGGGTCACCTCACCCGAAACGAGCTGCGGAACCATACGTCACTCGGGCAGAGCAGACCACTATATGTGAAGAGGACCTCAGTTGGACAGACTGATTTTTCATGTTTGAAAAGTAACATTTCGGCTCAACATCCTTCTCAAACCTTATCTTCTCTCGTCTTTCCTTAGAGCGACTGTAGAGCCTACAAATCACTCTCTCTCGACTACTCTTTTAGCATTTTTGCTTTGGCCTGGCCACGTCTCAAGTCTCGCGCGCCATTCATCACAACCGTTGGGGTACGGAGAGCGCAAAGCACCGCCAACATCACTTCTGATTTACTCGATTCCAGACTTCAGCAACACTCACGATGGCCGACGCTGAAGAAACGCCCGCGCAGCGTCAAGCGCGAATCCGGCGGCAGAAGCGCGAAGCGAAGATCACAGGGTCGGCGACGGAGAGACTGGACAAGATTACACGGCTTAGTGGGAGGACGCCGGAGACTAGTAGGTCCTATTCCGGTTTTCATATCATTTAATAAGGCTGTGGGTGTAATATTGGCCAAGCAAGCGTTGTCTTATTGACTTGCGAGGGCATATACATCTAATCTGTAGGATCTGAAAGTTGTGGAAAATGGGAGTTCGCTTGGACTCATCTATTCGTGTGACTGACTTTTCTTTCTACAGTGCGAAATGAGTCTTCTCCCCCAACACCACTTCGCTCGCCTACGCCATCACACATACCTACTCCCGGCGGGACGCCAGACTCTTCTGCGACGCCGGAACAGTTGAAGGCGCAAGAGGAATACTTACGAGCACTCTTGAGACAGCCAATGCCACAGGACGGGCAGGATCAAGCACAACAAGAAGATCCTATGATGAAGATGTTACAAGCCATGATGGGCGGGATAGATGGGTCCACCGATCCAAATGCTCCTGGTGGGATGTATGCCGGGTCGGGGTTATCACCGGAGAACGTCTCAAAAGCAACGGGTCTCCCACCTTTCTTGACCAATATGATGATGGGTGGACAAAAGACGCCACCCACGCAGGCGGAAGTGCAGGCGACGCGACTGTGGAAAGTGCTGCATGTCATTTTCGCGATCATGGTAGGGCTGTATCTGGTCTTCAGCATCAACAAAGCAACCGAAATTTTTGGCGAGAATCCGCCGGCGCCAGCGACCTTCCAGAATCCATTTTTAGTCTTCGCGACTGGTGAATTGCTGGTTCAGAGCACCATGGTGGCGACCAAAGGCCATTCGGGCAAAAGCGGGACTGGAGTGTGGATACAGATGGGCAAGGAATTTATCGGGGACGGTGCGATTGTGGTATTCATACTGGGTATAGCGTCCTGGTGGAAAGGAAGTGTATAGAAGGTCGGGAAATGTCACTGGCATCCCAGTCCATGTGCCCGTCTTATTGTTCCAGTAACTTTGTGACTTTGTTTCTCCGTGAAAGTTGGATATCTCAGTGGAAACTTTGGAATGCGTCACACCACAACCTGGAGGCGCACGTGTTTTGTGATCTCGGCGTCTAGATCCCGCCGTGGGCATGACACCGGATCACTGGGCAGAGAGGTTGTTGCCAAGTGTCGAGCCTTTTCGGGGACGGGTGGAGGGATTCGTTCGGTATCTAGAGTCGGTGCCTCTATGGCGTAGGTAAGTTTCGGAGGCTGATGGATGGAATTACGTTGCCGTTGCCTGCTCTTCCAGGGGTCAGCAGTTTACAAAGCGTCCAGGGGACCGATGGTGCAAGCCTGGCGTGGGCCGAGATCTTCTGCAGGAGACTTTGGGAAGTCAGGCCGACTCGGTCCTGATGAAATATGGGGTATTTTCTTGTCTGCAGGCTTGAGGTGGTGTTGGAGAGATGAGGATTTCTTAAATCAATGGCTCTGACCGCTAGGATCTAATGCAACCCCGCCCACAACGAGAAAAGGAGATGATGAATCGTGATCGTGGTAGAAATTGTAATGCCAAAGTTGTGATGATGGCGGGCCTGTTTGGCGTTTTGAGGCCACGGATAAAAGGACCAATGGAGGGGCAATTATTGGTTGGTTGAAGCAGAAAGCAACGGAGCTCCCAGCTTTCCCCGCAGCGCCCACCGGGCACAACCAGATTTGGACTGCTGGTCCATGTTCTTGTCTGACGAAAATCCGATCCCTCTTCACGCCTCCTTCGAGTTTGCCGGTCAACTCCATCCAAAAACGAGGTCTCCGCCGGGGGTTCTGTACTTCCCCTTACCTTTACTCCGTACTACCAGCCCTGACGTCCCCTGTTCCGCTTGTGTCGTATCCATTCCTCTCTATATTAGACCTCCTGACCAACCCCCCTTTGATCCTGGTACCTCTTTCCTGCAAAATCTAGCGCCCCTCCGTGCGCGACGGATATAAACACAGCTCCCTCGCCGATTAACAGCTCCGATCGCTCCCTCAGCTTGCTTGTTTTTACCGCTTGCCATAGATTTTGCTCCGCCCACAAACATGTCTGAGGGCGACGTCAAACCCCCCAAAAGGCCCGTCGTGGTACGCACACTCACCGAGGACCGTAGTTGCCTATTTTTTTCCCTCTTAGCTGATCAGGATACAGGCTGAAGCCCACGAGGTCGACACTTTTCAGTATGCCCTTAATCTCTGAATTTCCTCCTGAGCCAATGGTATTGACCTCACGGCAGTGTTCCCCAGCCCTTCTTCAAGAAAGGCTCTGGCAAAACCAACTTGAAAGACCTCGACGAGTACTATGTCATGTACAAGGAATCAATTGAACAGCCAGATAAGTTCTGGGGCAAATTGGCCCGGGAACTTCTATCCTGGCAGCAAGATTTCCAAACGGTGCACAGCGGCTCTCTCAAGAACGGCGACAGTGCCTGGTTCTTGGAGGGACGTCTGAATGCCTGCTACAATTGCGTCGACCGCCATGCTGTGAAGAACCCGGACAAGCCAGCTATCATTTACGAGGCAGATGAACCGGGTGAGGGTCGCGTTCTCACGTATGGAGAGCTCCTGCGCGAAGTTTCCCGCGTTGCGTACACTTTGAAGCAGATGGGCGTGAAGAGGGGCGACACAGTGGCACTCTACTTGCCTATGATTCCCGAGGCGGTCATTTCCTTCCTCGCTGTCACTCGTATCGGTGCCGTGCACTCGGTCGTGTTCGCCGGCTTCTCTGCAGGTTCCTTGGCCGACCGCATCCTCGACGCCAACTCCAAGGTCATTATTACCACCGACGAGGGCAAACGTGGTGGCAAGCTCATTGGAACTAAAAAGATCGTTGATGAGGCGCTGAAGAAGTGCCCCAACGTTACCCACTGTTTAGTTTACAAGCGAACAGGTGCCGATGTCCCCTGGACCAAAGGCCGAGACTGGTGGTGGCATGAGGAGGTCGAAAAGTATCCCTGCTACATTGCACCAGAGAGCATGGCCTCCGAGGACCCCCTTTTCCTGCTATACACCTCGGGTTCTACGGGCAAACCAAAGGGCGTCATGCACTCGACAGCAGGATACTTGTTGGGGGCTGCGGCGACTGGCAAATATGTTTTCGACATCCACGATGACGACGTGTTCTTCTGCGGTGGCGATGTGGGCTGGATCACGGGTCACACTTATGTCGTTTATGCTCCTCTTCTACTCGGTGTTGCAACCGTGGTCTTCGAAGGTACCCCTGCATACCCAAACTTCTCCCGTTATTGGGATGTCATCGACAAGCACAGCGTGACCCAATTTTATGTCGCACCCACTGCATTGCGTCTGTTGAAGAGAGCCGGCGACGAACACATCCACCACAAATTGAGCAAATTGCGAGTTTTGGGTTCTGTCGGTGAGCCCATCGCCGCCGAAGTTTGGAAGTGGTATTTCGAATCCGTTGGCAAAGAGGAGGCACATATTGTTGACACATACTGGCAAACAGAGACTGGATCCCATGTGATTACACCGCTGGCGGGTGTCACGCCAACCAAACCTGGGAGTGCGTCCTTACCTTTCTTCGGTATCGAACCTGCGATCATCGACCCGGTTTCCGGTGAAGAAATCGAAGGCAACGATGTTGAAGGTGTTTTGGCATTCAAGCAGCCATGGCCTAGCATGGCTCGGACTGTTTGGGGTGCACACAGGAGATATATGGACACGTACCTGAACGTGTACAAGGGCTACTACGTAAGTTCGGTCGTGGATTCTATGGAGGACGGGACTGACGTGACGGATAGTTCACCGGTGACGGTGCCGGTCGTGACCATGATGGGTATTACTGGATCCGTGGTCGTGTCGATGATGTTGTCAACGTGTCTGGTCATCGTCTGTCAACCGCCGAAATTGAAGCAGCTCTGATCGAACATGACGGCGTTGCCGAAGCAGCCGTCGTCGGTATCAACGACGAACTCACTGGCCAGGCTGTCAACGCCTTTGTGTCACTCAAGGATGGAATCGACCAAGGTGAAGGCACACGCAAAGATCTGATTCTCCAAGTCCGCAAGTCGATCGGTCCCTTCGCCGCACCTAAGGCGATTTTCATCGTTGACGATCTGCCCAAGACTCGATCTGGCAAGATCATGAGGAGAATTTTGAGAAAGATTTTGAGTGGAGAGGAAGACAGCCTCGGAGATACAACCACTCTGAGTGATCCAAGCGTGGTAGTCAGGATCATCGAGACGGTCAAGACATCAAAGAAGAAGTGATTTAGAGGCCCCGGTGGATTAAATGGTGTGTCGATATACCCTCAGATTTGGCCAAATTCAGCCTTTTGTCCCTGGATGGAGCATATACCATTTCATAGCTGTTAAAATTTTAGTATATCTTACCCCATGTGATCCCTGCGGAAATGATTCGAGCATGTCTGCCTGGACTGAAATCGCTTCCAGTTCAAGAGACCGTAGAAGGCGGGTGCAAGTTTGGTGGCGATGTTGTCTGCACGGTTGCCTGATTTATCATTCGCTGGAATCCACAGCCGAATTTCTGCCTTGGCAAACGCTAACTCAAAAAGACCCTCCCAGCGCAAGTTGCCATCAACTACTCAACTCCCTTCATTAACTGAGGCGCGTTGCAGCTCACCCAAAGTCGCCATCATTCAGTTCCGTCGCACCCTGGCGTCGACTCTTGCAGGTCCGAATCAACGAAGAGCCCACAGTGAGCTGTTGCCTGCGATCCTCATCATAGATCGACTCAACTGCTCCTGGCGCGTCACGAATTTCCTAGGCCATCACTTTCTTCTATTTCTTCGCCTCGTTCTGATTTATATTCAACAATTGCGCAACGACGCGCATCCTTACCCGTCAATATGTCGTTTGGCAGTGGCGGAGGGTTTTCCTTCGGTTCCAACAGCAATAATCAGAGCACCGGCTTTGGCGGATTCGGAAGCAACACCAACACCGGTAAGTGATACATCTCTTCTACTCTACCGTCCAGACTCTGATATATCGTCTTGGCTCAGGCTTCGGGTCAAACACCAGTAACACTGGCTTTGGTTCCAGTACAGCTGCCTCCAATCCATTCGGGAGCAGCACATTTGGTTCCAACACAGGTGCGCCCCAGTCTCATTCACATCGGCTCAATTTCACTCACGCACGGCCTCGACGACTATCACTGTGTCTGCGACAACGTCTTTTTCACTCTTTCTTGCACTTTCTCGCCTTCTAAGCAACACTCCCCGCTATCCCATCACCATGTTGTTCAACAAGGCCCTCCTCCCTCGTTGTCAACTGCAGCCGACTCCCCCTTCCGCGCACATTGCTTCGTCACCCCCTCCAGAACGCATTGCGGAGACGGATGAACTAACCTCGAAACTCACAGGCTTCGGTAGCAACAACAACAACAACAACAACAACAACTCCTCCGGCTCCCTCTTTGGCAATAAGCCCGCCTCGAATCCTTTCGGCTCAAGTACTACAAATACAGGAGGAGGTCTGTTTGGCGGCTCCACAAACAACACAGCCGGATTTGGCAGTTCAACAGGAGGGTTTGGCAACAACACAAGCACTTTTGGCAGCAATACCAACACCAATTCCGCCTTCACTTTCGGCAATGCCAACAAACCTGCCTTTGGTTCCAACACCAGCTCCACACCACTTTTCGGTCAAGGTGGCGCAGGAACTACTGGCACTTTCGGCACGCAAAATGCCTTTGGCGCTGCGGGATCCGGAACTGCATTGAGCAATCAACCGGTCCCTCCTTCGGAAGGCACTGCTTCAACCCCGTACGCGCCGACCTTGGAGAAGGACAATGCAGGTCAGAATAGCAATTATCAGAGCATCAACTTCATGGCGCCTTATCAGAAATATTCCTTCGAAGAATTACGCTTAGCGGACTACAATGCCGGTCGTCGTTATGGTAATGCCACAGGTCAGGCAGGCGGATTTGGGTCGAGTACATTTGGAGGCTTCGGCTCAAGTAGTACTCCGGCCTTTGGTAGCAATACCACGAGCAACAATCCCTTCGGTTCCGCAACCACATCCTCGACAGGATTCGGCACAAATTCTTCGACGACTGGATTTGGCAGTGGCGGACTTTTCGGGAATAAGCCAGCCGGAAGTGGCTTATTTGGTCAACAGTCCTCAGGAGCCTCTTCCGGTGGACTTTTTGGATCAGCCAACAATACTGCAACAAATACTTTTGGAGGCGGAAATACCGGTTTCGGATCCGGCGGCGGCCTCTTCGGGAACAACGCAAGCCAGAACAAGCCAAACCCCTTTGGCGGCAATACTAACACTCCGACCTTCTCGTTCGGCAACGCCAATACCAATACCAACACAGGCTCTGGTTTGTTCGGCAACACCAATACTTCGAGCACCAATGCTTTTGGCGGCAATCAACAGTCGGGTGGACTTTTCGGAAGCAATCAACAGAAGCCGCTCTTTGGCAATACATCTGGAGGATTCGGGACAACTACAACTCAGAATCAGTCTTCAGGTGGACTGTTTGGCAACACCAACGCCGGCAATACCGGTGGCGGCCTTTTCGGCAACACGAACACCTCTAATACCAACACGGGGGGGGGATTGTTCGGTTCTAGTAACACTAATACCGGCACTTCACTTTTCGGGAACAATGCCAACAACGCTTCAAAGCCAGGGGGCCTTTTCGGAGGAAGCACATTTGGGAATACCAACACTGGGACTACTGGAGGTGGTCTGTTCGGGGGGAATACTGGAGCTAACAACCAGCAATCGAGTGGCCTGTTCGGCAACACCACCAACAACAATGCTCCTTCAGGATTTTCGTTCGGCAACAACGCAAACAAGCCAGCAACAACTTCTCTCTTTTCCAACACCAACACCAATCAGCCTGGAGGTCTTGGGGGTTCGACCGGTAATTTTGGGAGCTTTTTCGGAAATTCACAAAACAATCAACAGGGCAACCAGCAACAGCCGGAATTCAAGCATTCGTCGTTGAATGATCCAAATCCTTATGGCCAGACCTCCATCTGGACAGGACTGCCAATGCCAACACCCGACAACTCCAAGCCCCTTTTCACCCCGTTGTCGGCGACTCAGAAAATGAAAGAGAGCCAGTCGAAGCCACCCCCAAGCCTACGACTCAATCAGTCACGATATATGACCCCTCCGCGACGCTCGGGTTTCGGCTTCTCCTATTCCACTTATGGCACCCCGAACAGTGCAGCGAGCACACCTGGGGCAAGCGGATTGAGCAATAGCATGTACGGTAGCCGGAGCTTCAATGGTAGCAGCTTTGGCCGCTCATTCGGCAAGAGCGCATCTGCCAGCAACTTGAGGTCTCAATTCAACGGAGATGGCGAGAGTATCCTTAGCCCCAATGCTTTTGCTGCCACCAACTCTAGGTGGTCCAGCGGCAACATGCGTCGCCTGACCATTGATCGAAGCATTAGAAATGATCTTTTCAGTCGTCCCTCGTTACCAGCTTTCCCAACGAATGCTCTCGACAAACCGGTTAATGGCAACGCCGAGGTTGCGATCACGAACGGCGAAATTACGGACTCAGGAAACAAGCTCAAGAAACGTGTGAGCTTCGACAAAGATACCACCGGAGGCCCCAACGGCACATTGAATGGGGAGTCAGGGGCTGTGGTTAGGACCGACACCGATGACGACGAAGTTGACTCGGGAACTCACGGAAGAGATTTAAATGGACGTGCCACTCCCGAGACTGAATCTGTTAGAGGCAATGAGCTCGCCGTTGTCCCCGAGGACCGTGAGTCCGACAATGTGGTCTCCAGCAAAACAACTGTGCAGGCCAAACCCGACCCTCAACCCGGAGATTATTGGATGAAACCGTCTCGAGCCGAACTCAGCAAGATGCCACGCGAGAAATTGCAACGATTTGTTGGGTTCGAGGTCGGGCGAAAGGGATGTGGTCGTGTTGTTTTCAATGGTCCCGTTGATCTCACCGCCCTCCCCTTGGATGACCTGTACGAAAAGATTGTCGAGATTCGCCTTCGATCTGTGACGGTTTATCCAGATGCAAGCTCCAAGCCACCGGTTGGAAAAGGTCTCAATGTTCCATCCACCATCTCCATCGAGAATTCCTGGCCTCGTTCCCGTGGACAACCGTCCTCCGCGACAAGTGGACCAGTCTTTGATAAGCACGTCAACAGACTTCGGAAGATGCACGGTACTGAATTTGTCAATTACGAGATGACAACTGGTGTGTGGACTTTCAGAGTGCCTCACTACACCCGCTATGGTTTGGATTACGACGATGATGACGACGGACTCGGCCAGAGTCAGCTTTCTGTTCCACCTGACTCTCTTGGCCCTCAATTCAGGGACGCCTCGGTCATGGAGGTTGATAGTGAAGAACAAGATGATTATGAGGATGACGGAGATGACACCTTTGCTTTCAAACAGAAGATCGTCCCCGGCGGTTACAGCCGACGATCTACTATGGATTACGACGTTGACGCTTCCACTGCTCAGACCGTCGATGAGAAAGGACCAAGCCCCGAATTGGCCGGACAGTCTGAAGACGAGGCATCCGACAATGAAGTCAGTATGGCTGGGTCATATCCCCCGCCCGCAGTGCCCACTCTTGATATGAACAGCCCAAACAGGCCGATCTTAAAAGTCAGTCGCATGGACACCCCCGGCAAAGGTCTCATCACCCTTGATGGCGACTGGGCGGATCAGCTTCAGCGTACCATCAGCCCACGCAAGCAGAATCGAGATGCTCTACGAGATGTCCAGAGCAAAGTCTTACTCGACCGTGCGTACGAACCGATCAAACCCAAAACCGTCAATAAGAACGATTTTCGAACCAGTATCGACATAATGAATTCCTTGTTCAGCAAACACGAAGAGAGAATGGCAGCAAAGGGAAAGAAAGCACTGGCCGAGCCGGAATTTGAGGTTTGATTCATTCCCCTACCCTTCCTTTCTTCCTCCCCTTACCCAAATTTGTCCTTGACCTGAACGTCTGGAACCCTGTGGAATTATTATTTTTTGGGATGAGGAATCACGCTTGTGTGAATTGAACGAGGTTATTATTTTACATAACCCAAAATTGTCACGAAAGTTCGAAGTCCCAGGGTTCAGATATCGGTCATCCAACCAGACCAGCCCATAGTATTGTAGGTAGCTATCTATTGAATGAAACAAATTGGCTAAATATCTGGTGTTTTCTATCTAGTTCCCTTATGCAAAGCGCGCCAAAACCTATGATGACGACTTACACGTGCACGCCGAGATGACCGAGACCGATAAATTGTGGCATGCTTCTTTCAAGCCTCATTTCACGACAAGGGACGCACTGATTTACAAGTCCAAAGACAACAACATCCGTAGTGAGCCCGAGGGTGGTTGGATCACCGATGTGCTTGTCGGAAATCAGGGAGGCAGAAGAGTGGCCTTGACTTCGCTTCAGGGCAAGGCTGATTTCGTGAGTCCATCCACTTCTATCGTGGAATTATTTCATCTTTCTAACGTTCTCCCTTTCCAAAGGACACAACGGATACCCAGTCTCTCTTGGGCAACGCCCAGGTAGTGCTGGTCGATGAAACCCCCCTTGTCAAACACATTGCGGTCCCGTTCTCGAAGATTAAAGATCAACTGGTTCAACGACAAGCGGGTACCGATGAGCTCGACCTCTACGAACTCGCTCATGTCTTATTCGACGAATATGAGGATGAATTCACTCTCGGCTTGAACCGTCAACAGAAGCACGATTTTGAAGGGCGCATTCGCAAAGATCGACTGTCGAAGTTCCTGGCTTCGTTGGTCTGGAGACGACATGGAAATCAAATCAAGGCAGGGGAGAGACCGGGTGGTGCTACTGCGGCGATATTGCAACTCACCGCGAAGAATGTCAAAGCCGCTTGTGATGCGCTAATGCAAGAGAAGGATTTCCACCTCATGATGCTCGTGGCGCAGATTGAACAAGCGGATGATGCGTTCCAGGAGGATATGGCGAACCAACTTGACGCGTGGCGCGAGCAGGGAGTTATTTCTGAAATGACCGAGGAGATCCGTGTCTTGTATGAGATCCTTGCTGGAAACACTAATATTTGTCAGGGCAAGTCGAACGCCCCTATCGAAGACCGAGCTACGACTTTTGCCATTTCCGAGAAATTCGAATTCGATTGGATTCAGGCGTTCTGTCTGTGCTTGTGGTACGGCCGGCAGAAGAATGCTGACATCTACGAGGTCGTCAAGGATTTCCAGGAGAAGTTGACATCGAACCAGGAATCAGCCAGTCCCATCAGCGCAGACGGCAACGAAGATCCTCTTTGGACGATGCTGGAGTTGTTTGCGAGCAACGCCAAAGGCAAAGGGGCTGGCGTTGAGAAACCCGTCTTCCCTCAAGCGCTTACTGCATTGTCTCAAGCATGGGATTGCCAGAAGGTGTTCCGTCTGCACCACGCCGTCGCCGCTGCGGTACCTGGTGTCGTGATCGACCAGCACAAGGCAGATGATCTTGCAATGTGCCTCGCATTCGAATACTCGGCCCGCGGCAATATCGTTGGAAGCATCTACGCCATCCTCCACGTAGGAAACTCGACGAATCGGATGAGGCTTATCAAAGATCTTCTCGCAAAGCATGCCGCAGCCCTGCCCTCACCCCCTGAGAGCGACCAGTCGACGTCAGAAACCCAAACCCAGGCTTCATCACAGCTCTGGACGGCTATGACGACTTCTTTCAAACTCCCTAGTTCGTGGATCTTCCAAGCCAAAGCCCTTCTCGCTCGATCGTCCAACTCGTCACTTACGGAATTCAATTATCTCATCCTCGCAAATGCCTTCACCGAAGCCCATGATTGCCTGCTCCGTCGCGTGGCCCCCCGTCTCGTCATCGACGAGGATTGGGATACTTTGAAGACGGTGCTGGCCAAGTTCGGCGAAAACATCCAAGAGAAAGTCGATGCCGGCGACGGTACAGAATGGAAGGCTGGCGGGGGTATCTACTCCGATTTTGTATCGTTGATGGCGTTCATGGATTCTTCCACGGGACGGGCACGCTCGAGTAATGCCGAGATGGTCGCTATGCGAAAGACACTTCTTCAGCGTCTCCAATCTGCTTTGACATCGTTGAACTCCAAGTTTACCAATGTCGGAGGGTTGCACAAGGATAAAGAGAAGCTGGAAGAACGTGTCGCCCTGTGTGAAATGGGGAGAGCAGTTGCAAGAATGTTGGAACTCGACAATGAGAATGGAATCGGTCATAAGGTGCGTTATGTCCACTGTTTTCATCCTCCCATTTAGCCTCCCGGGGCCCGTTCGCTGAGACGAGCACTTTGCTGATGTTGCATGTTGACAGAAACCGCTCCTCGATCTGCCGCTGACGGAGGACGTACGACTAAGTCACGCTCGGGCCTTGGGTGTGGAGTACTATCGTGGCTTAATGGCGATGGCTCGATGAATTAGGGCATTTGCCAATTCGAGTCGATGATTCACCTGCTCACTCAAAGTTAGGATGACTTGCTATCACGGCGTGTTTTGTCTGAAGTCAGACAAGAAAACCGCCTTTCTCGACCCTCTTAATCTCTCATCCCCATCGCCATCTTGAAATCAGAAAATTTGTGAAGTTAGCTCGCTCACGCACTCCTCGGCTCCCTCATTCACGTGCTACAACCATGACATTCACATTGAGTTCGATGGATGACCAAATCCCTGACCAATAGCTTCCACCTAGAGCCTTGTCGGTCGTCCGGTCACATGGGGTTGAGTACCCCGAACCACTGGTTATCGCTGAATAAGGAGGTATGATTTCCTCGTCCGAGTTTTGATGTCCTTCCCCCCACCCCGAAAAAGAGTCTTGTCTCTTATTGTTTTTGCAAATTCTTTTCCAGATAGTCGATGGAATATTTGATTTGGAACCCGAAAGAGAGGTGGCTGCTGCCTATCCCACTGCTATAAAACCCAAGAGGCAGGTATTTGAGTTTTGCCGCGTAGTGTTTATCCCCCAAATTCGTCGTGATGTCTCTTTACAGTTCCGGTCGGTCGAGGGAGACCCTGTCAATCTGATGAAGACCATCTGTTTTATCTCTTTGTTTCGTTCAATGAGGAGGAAGCGGAAGATCCAGGCGGGGTGATATGGAGCTGCCGATAAATCGAGTGTTGGGACGCCATGACGACTCGGGCACGCAGGTCCCAACTCTGGTTGAGATGTGTGTGCTTCTCCAGCGAAACTTGCAACAATTCCGTCAGAATGAGATCTCGTTGTGTAATACTGAACTGGATAAATGAGTGAAGAGTCGAGGGCAATGGTCGACAAGGCTCCTTTCCTCCTTCCTGTCTTGAAACATTCGCCCCATCAGAGTCTCCGTACAAGACATCACTCGAGTTCAACTGATGGTTCTCCCCTCTCCCCTACCTCTCAAAAGTCAAGAGGACCTCCAGAGACACGTTAACCAATCCTGGGTTGAGATTGAGTCACTGTCTATCTTAGCTGCTTTAGCCTTACCCGTCTACTTTCGGCGAGTCGGCCACAATCGTGTCTAGTCTGTTCTTGATGAAACAGATCGAAATTCACCGCAGACCCAGTTTGCAGCTAGCTCCAAAATAAAATGGCAGACAAGAAGAAATGGCCTCTCGGAAAGGAGACAAGTGGCTCGACGGAAATCCTCTCCGAACGGCCGGGCGGCTCTCAACGGACTGGAACTTGAGCCCGTCACCATTTTCATGATGTCCATGTTGAGGCAAAAATAGGAAATGTATTGTGTGATGTCTGGGTCATTTTTCTGGCACCATACTTTGAGTGAGCAGACAAAACACGTCTCTCTCACGAAGCGGTTTCCGATGTAGTCCTTCCGCGGACGATGTTCCAAGGGATCCAGTCCACAGACTTGAGAATGCGACATTGGTTTGACCGAGCCAATGGAGCCGTGTACTCATAAGATCGTTTCAGAGGCATCAGGTCATGCTCTGCAAAAGTGGCATTGGCTGTGGCATTCCTTTTTCTGTGAAATGCGTGCTGCTGAAAACAACCTGATCGAGCTGGTTCTGGGCCATATCTGTGCGCGGGCCGCTTCGACCAAGAATGTAGACAAATGAACCAGGCTCGACCTGGCGATAAATTGTCTGGTTCCCAAGCCGCAATGATCTGATCTCCTCAGCTGCCCCTACTTCTGCCTATCTCTCTTGCTGATCATGCTGATCTGTGTATCTTTGCTCGATGCCGAATGGCACACCCTTCAGGTTGAAACGAAAGCCCTCCCAGAGAGTGAAGATGCTCAAGAAGACCGGCACCAGATGATCGAAAGCTCAATGGAGGGGAAAATTCTAAGAGGGAATTTATTGGCAGTGATGGGCCTCACCAAGTCTCACCTCGAGGTGGAGTGGACATTTCTTTGTCACTCAGTCTCAGGAGCCACGTAATTCTTGACTACGCGGGTGGTACTTGCTGAGAAAAGATATAAAAATGCTCTTCCTATCCTATGCTGCTGAATCTTTCCTTCCACTCCTCCTCCGTCAGTCAAAGATAGCATTCAAGTGCCCAACCTTCGTCGTTGCGAGAATAAATAGTCCATAGCACCAGCTGTTCGAGTACATTTGCGTATGGGCGTTTTGAAGCGTTCCAGGATACAAACTAACATCGAAAACAGGGGAATCTAGCCTACTCCTACAAGTCTATGAACTGTCTTGGTTGAAGAGGCTGATGCCGATGACTACAAGGTCCCAAAAAGGGAAGAGAGAGCAGGCGCGCTGACCAATGATAATCTATTTTTCTCTTCCTGCTCCACTCCTCAAAACCCAGGGCCTTTTCACCCTGAAGCGTCAGGCACAACCATCAGAAGACGAAGACCCAACAAATCAACAGGCCCGAAATTATGAAGTCCTTCAGGAACCATTTTCTCCACATTCTTCTTCGTCTTCTTGGGGATTCGTCCAGCCTATGGCTCTCAAATCACGATCATTCTCTGGCCACATGTTCGTCTCTGCAGTAGCAGGGGTAATTCTCTGTAGTGCTTGGTATTGGCTCCCCTGTTGACATTGACCACCTTGTTGAAATTGGCCTATATGTTGGGACTGACCGTTTTGCTGATATTGACCCGCGTCCTGATATTGACTACAATGTTGATAGTCGGGCCCCTGTAGGTATAGACTCCATTGTTGATAGTGGACACTCTGCCACTGAATGGCTGGGAACATGTTGTTGTCAACGGCGGTTATGTCGGTGGTGGGTATGGAGGCTGAGGGTGGACTTATTGGCGGGCTCATATTTATACTGGGATGATATGTCATGCCTAAAGGACCAGCTCTTTGGTAGGACAGACGATGAGAGAGAATTTCCCCGCCATTCAAACCGGGCGGCATCGTGAACTGGCCGTTGGAGAGTGAGGGAGGCATTATTCCATTTGGTGGAGACAAGGCACTCGTGGGGATCACAGCTTGTGATCTTTGATCGGCCGACCAGTCCGTCTGTTGACTCCTACGCCTCCTTAGGAACGGTCAGCCACGGGACTCGTCAAACGATGAGGAAGCATACCTCGGCTCCTTTCGTAGTCTCAGTTTAACTCCTGCTTCACTCAATTTTCTGGACAAAAGAGTCGACCCGCGAAGTGGCGTTGGGACTTTGGAAATTCGGACTACGTTCATGTTAGTAGTCTCAATACCCGTGATGTTATTCCTGGCTGATACACACCTTCGAACGGGAGAGAATATACTGAAGTAAGCTTGGCTGCATAGACGAAGTCGGGACTGCTGTTACGTCAGCACGGGCACAATGCAATTCGCCGATTCCTGTCACCTGGTACGCAGCTCAAAAGCCGTGAATCTGAGGCGGAAGATTCCCGGATACGTTGCGTAGAGATTGCCAAAAACGAAGAACCCATACTCTACCGACGTATTAGAACCAGCTCCACTAGAAACCGCGTAGCTCTCGTACCTTTATTGTCCTGCAGTTTGACTCTGTGGAGCGATGATGTCAAAGAGCCAGCTATAGCGTCGTGATTTGGTGGCTCCCAGCTCAGCGGCTCGATGCCCACGGAGCAGAACCAGTTTGGACTGTGCAGGTAGGATCTGGATGTGTCATTGTCGTGAAGGACGAATTCGATTACGGGTGGAGGGTCCAGAGGCCATTTGGCTGCGCCCTTTGCTTGGGTGGTTGTCAGCATGCGTTTACAATTAACGGGGGTCAATCGAAAGCAAAAAAACTAACCTTTGTTTGTGGACGGAGGAATTGACTGGCCATCTCGTGGCTGCTGGACGATTCTCAGCTCATAAATACCACTACTGTGTACACATCCTGTCAGTTCTGCTCGCAACGAAGGCAGACTTTGCCTCCGGGGAGCTGAGAGTCACGAACGACTGACCTCTCAAGACTGAGCCTTTCTCGGATGGTGGCCTGGAGCCTGTAGGTGAGGCCACACATGAAGAATGTTGAGGACGGCAGGATTTGTTGCAGCTGCTTCTACAGAACCAAGTGGAGTTGCTGTTCTCGAGCCAGACTGCAACAGGCGGTTAAAGAGGAGAGCACTGAACTATCTGGAGAGAGGTTGAAGGTCTGGATAGGAGCAGAGGAAGAATGGTTAAGGATTTTAATGGACACAAGTGGTTGCGATCTGCCCTCCCAGAGGGACTTCTGAGATCTATGGTCTGGCCAATAGCCTTGTTGATGAGGAGGGGTGGGTATTCTTATTTGTGTGCGAGACAATCAGAGAGCTATACCATCTGCTGAAGCTACCGGCAGACTGGTTCTTCGGGCAGCTGCCTGCAAAATCACCTCAGCAACTTCGAAAACAAAGTTTGTTGAGGACTTATCGCGTCACCTTTTTGCAGTCAGCTGCCGTGTCGAGTTTTCCTGTGTTTTGTTCTGGTCCAGCTAAGTCGAGAGTTTGTCTGTATAGGGATTCTGATGTGTTTGTGTCGGTGTCAGCCTTATCAACGCATGGCATCCGTCGCGTCGTGGCCCCCGTCAGAAAAGGATCGAATTGATCTCGCCAGTGTACCGGTGTGGTTTGGCGCAATGTATATTGACGCGCAGGCTTTTTTCATGCTGGCATCGCGACCAGAGGAACAAAATTGATCAACACTGACTCGCGGCGATGGAACTAGTCGACTCAAGGGATTCTGCGGTAAAATTGGACCAACCCAGAACCGAATACTCAGCCAATACTGAATAGAGGCAGATTATTCTAGGTTGACGGAGTCAAGGATTGGAACAGACACAACCATCGGGTAGATTGAAGCTGGGCCGTCGAAATATCCGTCCCCCAAGAGGAGGTCCTGGTGACAGAGACTGTGCAGGAGGGTTAGTAGAGGACCGATAGGTGGATGATAAGAGAGGCGAAGGAAGTACTTCGTCCGGACACTGATGACTCGCTGCGGGCTGATTGCTCGGTCACTTCGAGTAGTATTGTTCAGGCACTCGAAATCCACGATCTGCAATTTTCCTCCGCCTAATGACCTCCTTCCTTTCTGCTCAGATTGCTCCCTTTCGTTCTCTACACTGTTGTCGCTGCGAACGGCCTCTTTTCTTTCTCCAATTTAGACTCTTGGAGTGACCAGCTTCGGCTCCGACGATACCACAGACCCTGCGTACGCGATGGAAAATTGCCGGGTCCGTGGTCCCACAAGCCCTCGAAATAATGACAGGAACTAAGACTCCCCGAAAGGTCGACCGCTAGTGAAGGGGAAGAAGAGCTGGAGTACTGCATGGATTTGGACGGACAAATGACGATAACTGACCGTCACTTCAACAGCAGTACGGAGACTTCACGGATACCACCCACTCACAAAAAGATTTCTGGACGGCTGCTGCGCAGGTGCATTCGTGTCATCACTATGTCAAAAAGGAAAAGAGTTGGCAATCACAAGGTGTCGCATATCCCTCTCGAGGCAACATGCGGATTGGAGGCGGGGCATTTGAACATACAAATATAATCAGTCTCCCCGGACGTTCGCATTTTGCCCATCCAATAGCGACGGCTAGCCTGAGGACAACCTTTGCGCTACGTCAATGCTCGAGCTGGCGCATGCCCTGGGCCAATAATGGATCAAACGAGAAGCCTATAGGGGCCCATCAACGGAGACGCTCTCGGCCAGGCCACCTCGACCTCAGCGTCGAAAGGTGGTCGGAATAGAGTACGAGGCTGCAGGATGGTAAGTCGGTCTGATAAGGCGAGAGCGCCTCGCGATATTTGTGAAATGGTCTGTCAATAGGAGCTTTGCATGGCATGGCTGACAACGGGCCTTTGCAACCTTTGTCAAGGACCAAACGGCAGCGGTCATCACCACAAAGGGCCGCTACCACACCGTGATGTGGATATTCTGCTTGCTCTCGAGAAAGCGCAATCATACTTCCAGAACGGCCCGCCCGTTCCCAATTCACAGCCTCCGCCCTGTCTCGCTCCCGAGCGTAGATGGCAGCTCGATTGCACTTCGTTTGTGAGGCGAGCGCCTAAATAGATTTTCGTGCGAGGGTGGTCTCTGATTCGGCCTTCTAAAGGAGAGAGGATCAGCTCCGGCGATGAGGAGATTGTTTGCTTTGACTGGTCATTTTCTTGTCATCCTGTCTCCTCCGTTGAGACTCCAACTTTGTAGGTCTACTTGGGTTGTCGAACGGGTTGACACGTCGGTGGTGGCGGTGGGAGGTGGAAAGGGGTCGATCTAGCGTTATGCACATGCAAGCCACCTTAGGCACTCCCCAGTTTCTGATGACGGATCGGGCATGGTATAATATAGCGGCGTGACCTTTAGAAGTGCTAAACGAGAGATGCCCAAACCCGATGATAAGCCGAAACGGGCCATCTCGAGGTCGGACAGCCTTGCACCGGCCTGTTCCGCCATTGGGCGGGAGTGGAAAGTGGCTGTGCGATTGGGGCGAGACCAGACTACGTACAAGAGGGTGGCCGCTTTATATATGCTCCGTAAACGAATGTAGTCTAGCATAAGTTAGAGTCCTTGGCAGAAATCCCCAAGAAAAATGTCAACACGTAGTCTGGCTCGCGGCCTGAATAGTACTAACAGTATCTACCCAGCACATGGCTATGTGCCAGCTGTGGACGTGCCGTTCTCAAGACTGCGTCACCGTTTCCCACCGCAATTGGCCCTTATCGAGCTCTCAAGGCTTCAGAGCAAATCCCTGGGCACACGACTCCACCTGCGAAGCGAGCCCCCAGATCTGGCGAAAGTGCATCTCAGGTCGGCTTTACAGCTACACAGGTGGCGGCCTGGCCAGGCCTTCTCACGCTTGACCAATTGGGTTTTGGAGGCTTCCTAAGTCCTAGACATTAGAGCGAGGAGCAAAGGAGGAACACTCTCGATCCAAAAATCTACGTACAACAATTTATCATGCTCATCTCAAAGCTGACCGAGTTGTGAACGCTCCAGCCAGATGCTTGCAGTACGACCGAACTTTGCATTTGGTAGAATTTGACAAAAAAGATGTCAGGGCATAAATTGAGAGACTCTAATCACAATCTTCTAATGCCAAATGCTTTTGAGCATTCCTTTCTGTTGATACTATCTACAGTCGAATCTGACATGAGACGGGTGCTTTGGGTCCTGAAAGTCTCTTCTGGTCAAATGGCCTTTTGCCAACTTTACACCGTTTTTTTTTTAAAATTTGAATGTTGGCTGGGCTGCCTGAGCACCCAATTTTGGCGCAATATGCATCCTTACAGCATACATCGGAACAATGATCCTATCCTGAGCAAAACGACCGTTTATCCGTTGTCTTTCCTCCATCGCTTTCCCATGTTCGGCTTGTCCGTTCCTGTGCAGCAGTAGTATGTAAAATCTCCCGCCAAGTCCTCTCGGTATCTTCCCCTAGTCTTCCCCTCGCCCACAAAGCCAAAATATCACCCACCAAAAGACAGAAAAAAAAAAAAAAAAAAAGAAGGCATTGAAGAGAGTGGGATTCGAACCCACGCGGGATTGCTCCCATCAGGAAACGTCAATCCGTCCAGAAGGACAGGATTCTTGAGTGCTAAGACTTTGAAAGGCCTTAACCTGACGCCATAACCAACTCGGCCATCTCTCCACACCGAAATCCGATCCTCGGATCGATGATTTCCAGCCAGAATCGTTGCAGAATTTCTGCATATTAAATATATTAATATTTTTTAGGTTGAGGTGAAAATATACTGCTAGGCCGTCCATTTACTGAGTTTCGCTATCGAAATAAACCATTCCTTCTTCCTACGTCTTCGTTTCAGAAGGACAATTATTGTTATGAATTTACTGTCACACCACACACGCGATCACCCACTACTGTCTCTCTTCGTATTCTTCGTCGCCTGGAAGTCATTGATTGTCCTCGTCACACTGTTCAGCCCGGGCGTCGGATATGACACCTCTACCAGCTTGCTCTCCTGGGGAGAAGACGCGCACCGTGTCGTGTCAAACACCCCAGACGCGATGCAGAATCGTTGGATGAAATTTGTCAGATGGGATGCCGTGTACTTCACACACTTGGCGGAGAAAGGGCATGTGTATGAGCAAGAATGGGCGTTCGGGATCGGCCTGTCAACCGCTATATCCTGGCTTGCACAGCGTAGGGTCATCGTTGGAAAATATACTCAATCAGAAAGTTGATCTCTTTCCAGATCTTTCAGAATGGGGGATATCCACCAAGACTCCCTTGACTTTGGTAGCTGGCGCACTTCTCTCACATGCAGCCCACTGGCTGTCTGTTGTTCAACTCTGGGCTCTCACCACAAATCTCCTCGGCACGGACAAGAACTCGCACTCCGCGCTGCCATTTTACGCTGCAGCACTCCACGTCTTCTCACCAGCGGGGATATTTCTCTCTGCTCCATACTGCGAGAGCGCATTTGCCTTTCTTTCAATGTCTGGTTTTCTCGGCTTCGTAAACGCAGTCCATCACTTTCATCAGGCCCGGGCCTTCGCGGGCTGTACGACGATGATCAGCGCTGCTCTGTCTTTCAGCATCGCAACTCTGATCAGGAGCAACGGTATATTGGCTGGAATACCGTATCTTGTCGATGCCGTTACGACTTCACTCGCCATTCTGTTTCAAGGTCTCTCGTTGACTCGCCTCTGCCGGCTCATGTCGGTCGTGGCGGGCGGAATATTGGTGGGAGTGGGATTACTACACCCACAAGTTCTTGCGTATAAAGAATACTGTGTAGGCCGAAGTCCTGCGGAGAGGAGATCATGGTGTGAAGCTACCATTCCCTCAATCTTCTCCTTTGTCCAGTCTCACTATTGGTAGGTCACTTGTCGCTGTTCTGGGAACCTATTGACGCGTCACTCTAGGAATGTAGGGCCATTTCGCTACTGGACGGTGTCTAATATACCCCTGTTTCTTCTCGCTGCACCAACACTCTGGCTCTTGATATACTCGGCCATGGATGTTCTCCGAAATCCTCAAACTATCCTGGCAAGTTCGACAACCACCTCTTCTGCATCTGTGACCACCCATGGGAGATTGGTGGCGATGAGTTTGGCCCTTCCGCAACTCGTGCTCGCCGTCCTCGCTTTAACGAGCTATCACGTACAGATTATCACGAGGCTGTGTTCCGGATATCCGCTGTGGTATATTTGGCTGGCGACGAAAGCTCAGAACCACGCACAATGCACATCAAGTGTCATTCGATGGATGGTGATCTACGCTCTGGTCCAGGCTGGACTGTATGCGTCTTTTCTCCCTCCTGCCTGAACGAAACAGCTTCCCCCTTGGTCCAATCTCCACGCTGCAATTTTCTCGCCGCTCCAGAGCCTAATTGCTTCAAGAATGTGGAGGCGGGATTTACTTCTCGAATGATGGTATTTTCACTCTGATTCTTGGTGTCAAGTTTCGCTGTTGGTACACAGTAATCATGAGCAGGGATGGTCTCCATCACACTAGTCTCGTATAACTCTAAGGAAAATTTTTCGGAAGATTGTCACCAGACCCATGTACAACTCTGCTCAAGCAAGACTGTGACCTGTTAGAATTGACTTGTTGCAACAATCCCATTGTTTGGAAAAATTGTTGGTCATGCAACACATACGTCAACCCAATAAGATGACTTGGCTGCTCTTTTCAAAGCCAACGAAATACCTTTCTAAACTCGAACCGTTACCAGTGATGGGGTTATTCAACCACCTTGATGGAATGAAAGAATGGGAGAGAAGACTTCTTTGTCGTGATTCATGTCCACTATCGTCCTCGACACTGGTGTTCCTGCAGTTATCATCCAATCTTGGTACTCGAGATCCTGTTGAGCGACGCGCGGCAAGCGGGATGAGATGCCGTACGCCAATCTGACCCCTTATTTGATATACTCGGTCGGGTATGGCAATTGTTCGAGGTTTGCCAATCCAGTTTATCACCATTGTCATCTCAAGAGGAATTCAAAACGCGACAACGAAGTCAACTCCACCAAAGGAAAGCATCTCCTTATGGTGTGATGGGCTTAACAAACACCGCCTTGACATCCTTCATCCAGCCACTGTTTACCGACTTCTGGATGTCATGTTCATTGTGCTGCAGGAAAGCCTGTTTCGATTTATACCTTTCACAGAAATGGAATATGGTTGGATCGTCAGTGTCCCAGGCGAGGCAGTAATAAATAGTGCCTTCTTCGACCTGGGCGAGTCTGGTTGTTTCTTTGTAGACTGCTTCGACCTTATCAGAGTGCTCGGGATCCGTGAAGACCTGAGAGGTCGTGTTAGGGATATCAATGATCTTCAACGGCGAGGAAGAGAAGATTTACAGTGCCATAGACACAGAATTCACCTTCAGGAATATTCCAGTAGTTGTCTCTCCAGTCGTTCTCGGCCGTGATGAGACTTGACGAAATAAGGTCAATGTACAACACTTTTCCTGCTGAGAACCACCCAAGGGCCAATTTTGAAATTTATGATGCAGTGAACACAGGGTATTTCTGAATTGTAGGAACAAATGATAGGCTGCGGGCGACACTCCACCCTGGTTACTTAGAGTAACTGCAAGGTTAATCTCGTCGTCTGTCGGAGCATGAAGCAGCAACCCTGAGGTTATTTATATGATCTGCGTGTACGAGCCCGCTGTATAGCAAGCCGTGAGCTGTACTATTGGTAAATAGAATAGGAATAAAAGTCAGGAGTGTGAGGGAAGACGGGCAGCGAGTGTTGTCTTTGCTCTCTCAAATCCGCCAAGCCTTCCGCTCCCATGTGGACAGAAAAGAATCCTCGTGTCGCGTGCAATTTAGCAAACATGTCTGAGCCGAGTCTCATATTTGCCTCAATTACCTCCTCGCCTTCTTCGGAGGACGCGACAGCATTTTCCGGCGCATTTGCCTTAATCCTCACCGCCACAATCTTTCTCCGCAGGCACCATACGTGACGTAGTAAGGCTGCACCGCAGTTTAGCTTGCTAAGCGTTTCTTGTCGAAGACAACCACGTCGTCTGCGTCATTTCATACGACCATCATCCTGTGCTGAACGACCCTTTCGCATCTCCTCATCTTCATTGTCTGTTGAGGGCATGACACAGCGGACCTGATTGAATCTTACTTTGTCGAACCTCATGAGTCCGCGCGCGCCCTAGCCAAATCATGGAAAATCATAAACAGCACATGGAAGAGGTGATGAACGGCAGTCATGGCAAGCCTGGTCTGGAAATCTCACGAGCCACCTCGCCCGCTGGCACGATCGCCATGGACAACGGCCAAACGACGGACGCTGAAAATCAGGTCAAGCGCAACAGACCTCGAACATACCCATACTTCACCACTCTGCCGTACCCCGTGGAAGATGAAGCACAGAGACAGAAGAACTTGGCCGAGATCCTGAAGCATCTCTACATTGCCATACAAGCCAGTGATTTCACTCCGGGTGCGGTGCATTGGACCAGGGAACTGCGCAGTTGGCTCTCATTGAAATTCGACCCGACCAAGGAGCAACGCGTGAAGCTGGTGAAATTGTACTATGAACTCTCTCTCGCTCCTGGAATTGACCCAGGGGTGGGCGAGCGTTTTGCTAGCATGTTTATGCTTCTCACCAAGTACGTTCCATTTTCACAGCCTCACGGCCAGAGTCCACTCCGCTGACAGTTCCTCAGGCGAAAGCATTACTTGCGACCTCTCAAGGACCTGACACTTGACTGGCGACCTCTTTTCCGAGAACTGAAAGTTTTTGTCCTGCCAAGCGAATCCGGGCTCATGCAGACGACCAATCTCAAGAGAAACATCAAGACATTGACCAAGATCACTTCTTTCGCACAATTATACTTCGACCCAGAAGATGTCCCAGCCATGCTGGAGGAATTGCTACCCCATTTCACAATGTCTTCGGCCGAAGGAGCCTTTGTGGTGATTGGATTGCTCAATATGCTTCTGCCCACGGCACCTCCACCACCGAATCGATCCGACCTGGCGCCTCAGCAATTCCTGCCGACATTCTTCCATTTGTGGTCTTTGGTCAATCGCTCTCGGACAGCGGATGTGGCTTTTCTTGATCTCTTTTCTCGCGTTGCTCGAGACTTACTCCCTTGTGGACATGTGGACTTTTCCGAGTTTGGTATCTTCACCTCTGAACAGTCTACTCTGATCACGACCGCGGTGTTGAGGTTACTGGAAATCCCCGTCGGTCAGTCGACCTCGCCGTACAGCGCCCTTGTCGACTTGTCGGCCGGGATGGGGATCTTGTTGGATCGTGATTCGAGAAAACACCCGGTGTCACACCACATCGCCCGCTGGTTCGTCATGTCCATGTCGCCGGCCTGTCTGAAGAAAAAGACATCGGTGTTATCCCTCCTCGAGACCTTGATCCAGGCCATTGAGACATTCTTCCATCCCTCCAACTCTGGCTCCTGGACCCGGACTTTGGCGCAATTGGTGTTTTATCTCGCGGATTTCTTCGTCATGCGGTGGAACAGAGAACATAACGGCGAGATGGACGTGCCCGAGGACCGAAGGCTCGATGAGGCACTCCGGAAACGCTTTGTTCTATGCCTACGCGAAGTTATCTTCATGGGCATCTACGCCAAGAGCGGGACGGCCATGAGCTATTCATTGTCGACTCTGCAGGCCCTGGCGTTCTTGGAACCAGACTTGATCTTACCTGGGGCATTACAACGCATCTATCCGTCCATGCAAGGACTGGTCGAAGTTCATCGCACCATTTCGTCGTTGCGATCTCTCCAGGCTCTAGCGAGAACGATGGTCAGAACAAAAGGGTACCGTTGCCACATCACGGCCCTCCTCGGTCTCGCTCTTCCCGGAATCGACGCCAATGATCTCGAAAAGACACTCTACACCCTGTCGTTCTTCGCCAATGTCTGCTACAATATTCCGTTCCAGGATCTGTCCCAAGGCCGAGAAGACATTCAAGGAAATGTGTTGGCCATGGAATGGATCACCGGCGAGATGGAGCGCATGGAACAAGAAGGTGTCGGCGTGGAACTCGACTATGCATCTTTGAACGAGAAAGACGAGGAAATGATTCTCGCTTCGTCTACCGCTGGTTTCGGCGAATTCGTCACCTCCTTCCTGGGTCGTGTTTTCACCCTTCTGGAGAACCTGCCCGACGCGGCACGGATCCGAAGCGGATCTCCGGAGGAGAACATTGTCAACACTCTACCCGCCGCATTTATGCCGTTGTTGGCCTCTCTCTCGCCCGAACTGTTCGATTTGGCCCTGAACAAAATTGTGGATTTTGTCGCCAATCACGTCATACATCAGTCACGAGATGCGATGGCGTTTATCTGCAACTGCCTGTGCAAGGTTGACCCGGAGAAGGCCCTGGCCAAATTCGTGCCCGTATTGATCGGTGCCATCCGCACCGAAATTGACGAGAACGGTGCCGGCTCGACGAGAAATGCTGCCTCGGACGTCCTTCCGCGAGACAGGGGCCTGGTGTGGAATATCAGCATGCTCAGCATGTGCGTGGTCCACGTGGGCTCTGCGGTGCTGAAATACAAGCAAGAGTTGTTCGACATCGCGGTCTACATGCAGCAGAAGTGCAAAGGTATGCCTACCGTGCACGTCTCGAACTACGTGCATCACCTCCTTCTGAACCTCACTGTCACGTACACGGCAGATTACGCGCTCTACGAGCCAGAGAAGCTCGAGAATGGTGTCTCCGCAGAACTATGGGGGATGGCCGAGCCGCCGGCGACTATCAGGCCGAAGTGGCATGTGCCTTGCAAAGAAGAAATTGATTTCGCCGTGGAACTGTTCCAAAATCAAGCAGAGGGTGCCCTGCAACACCTCCAACGTCTGATCAATGGTACCTCGAGCATTAAACGGGATGGAAGCGGCAAGGAATGGTCAGATGAAGTCTCGAGAAACCTGGTCCTGTTACGCCTCTTGCTTGCTGGAGTGTCTGTCCTCTTTGATTCCAACGGGGTCAACGAGGGGTTGACGACGACTGCGGCCGGCCTCGATGCGGACGTCTCCATGTCTCAGGCCAATGGCCACGCTCCCGAAGAGGGTAGTGACGCCGTTGACACGGATGCATCTCTTGACGGCACAGACGAGACGTCCATTAAGCCGTCGTTCCAGTATCCTTGTGGTCAGCTCCTCCACCCGGGTGATGAGAATTACCGACGTCTTCATCAACTTCGACAAGACGTCGGTCGTGTTCTTCATGATGTTCACGATTTCCTCACTCGAGAAGGGGAAGACGACGTTTCTTCTTTCGCTCCACTCTACACGGCCTATCGATCATGGTTCGTGGACGTCGGCATTGAACGGTCGGCCCATGTTTTGGACAGAGTGACACGCCTGTTGCACGCGGACGAGCAGCCGTACAAGGTGAGCGGGGTGAGAAAAGATTATCCTCGCTCCATCCTCGTTCGCCGGGCCAATGTCTATCACACCCAGAGACTTCGACACAATGCCGCCCCCCGGCCGCGATCCGAACTGGATGAGCGGCTCCTCTTGGATCTCGCCGAGTCAGCTGTTTCTTTGTACACCGAAGTTCGACGCAATGCTCAAAGTGCGGGGGAGTCGGCGCTCAAGGTGGTGTTTGGAGCCCGCCTCTTTGTCATCCCACCCCTTTTGGCGGCGTTTCAAAAGGCAGTGGAACGAAATGACTTTCCTCGAATCAAGGGTGGTCTCTTCGCGCTCTTATTTGGTAGTCTCGCCAAGACCGTCGGCAGGCATTGGAAGTACACTCCGGCTGTGATCAAGACTTTCATCGAGGCCAGTACGGCCGACAAACCGTCCATCCAGAAACTTTGCAGTGGCGGGCTGTTTCAAGTCATGGACTACGGTCGGCCGGGAGACCGAATGGCGATCATCGATCGGGCCGTGGTCGACCCGTTCCACCCCGACGACGACGTCGAGGATAAGATCTCCAAGAAAAAGGCATTCATCCTGAGTAAGCGAGCCAACATCGAAAAGAAGAAGGCCGAGTTGGCCGAAGAGCTCATCGAGCTGGGCCGAGTCTCACATTGGAAGAAGGCGACTCGGGTTGCGACCATTGTCATGTCCCTCGGTATGCGTTTTGACCATATCGCTTCGGACAACATGATCGACTTGATCACGCGTGGCACGGTCGACCCTCATCCTGGCTTGCGAGGGCTTTATTCACAAGGATTGGTGGCACTCTTCACCATGACAGATGTACGAGCGGTCTGCAATCATGACTATGCCAATTACATTCAAGCTCTCCAGGATTTCCCGGCCAAGGTGGAGGTTGAGACGCACGCTGATGACCCATCCTGGACCGACACCTATCTGAAAGCCTTTTCTCAGCCTGAAGCCGACGTTTACATCGACCATGACTATCCCGGCTGGCTGGTGTGGTCGAAAAACATCCCGGGTTATAAAGCCAATGTCCAGAGTGACATCAAATACGACGAGGTGGAGTGGAAGAAACGAGCCGCCATCGGCAAACTCCTGGATCGAGAATGGTTCGTCACGTTCTTTAAGTACCTCAAACAGGAACCTCGAGATCAGTCGGCCGATAAGTTCCGCATGGCGAGTGCGGCGATGCTCACATACGCATTCGAACTCGTCATTCGTGACGGTCTTGCCGTCGCCACGTTTGACGACATCAAAGAAGAAACGCTCAGTGTCTTTGAAGACGGGAGCGACAAGCACCAACATCGTGCCACGGCGGAGATTCTCGCCGGTTTGGTGACGTCGGTCACGGATAATTCGATCGAACGGCGGACGATGGTGTGGGAGTTCGCTTTTCCCATCGTCCAACGTGTCTTCTCCGATGGATTGACGCCGGAGAATTCGGGATATTGGACAACCTTCCTCCACATGATCCTCCAAGCCAGAGATCCACGCCGAGCCTGGCCTCTGGTGGAGTGGCTGACCAACTTCCGCTTGGATATGGAATCCAATGCGGCTTTCAAAGAGAGCTCGAAAATCCATCTGCTCCACCAAGTCATCATGGACGCGGGCTGGCATTTCCAGCTCGACAAGCCCATCACCGAGGACTTTTTGAGCCACATCGATCATCCGTACAAAGGCGTTCGTGAGGCCATGGCCCATACGCTCGCGACCATCACGCGTACCCGGTATCATGAATCGTTCAAAGACGTCAATGAACTGATCGGAGCACAGAAGTCCGCCGGCTCGATTGGCAAGCAGCCGTATCTTCCGACCCAGGAATTTGACGAGACCATGTACGAGGTTTTCCGACGGCTGGAAAAGTGGAGACACGAACGCGTCCCTGGCCAACAGACCCCGTCGCCGTACACATCTGGAAGCAAGACAATCCTTTTGTGGCTGGACTCGATGCTCTCGTCGTACGAATGTACGCAGCTCCTCAAGTATTTCCCCGACCCCTTCACCGAGCAGTTCTTGCACATGATGGACGTCAAGGAGGATCCTGAATTGCAGTCACTGGCGTATCATGTATTCCGACATTTGCCGAACATTCCACATCGCATTGGAGAGGACCAGAGATTGATTGATTCGTTGATCCGCATTGGAAGGACATCTCCTTCGTGGCACCAACGTCTTCGGGTTATGATCAATATGCAAATCGTCTTTTTCAGGCGTCTTTTCTTGTTGTCCGAAGAGAGCAAACAGACGCTTTTCGACTGTGTCGCCGAGATGCTGGAGGACACACAGCATGAGGTTCGTGCTGGCGCGGCGACTACCTTGTCTGGAATGATTCGTTGCTCGTCTCTCGAGCTGCGTGAGAGAATGATCACTCAGCTCCGGGACCGATTCACGAAGATGCTCATCGACAATCCCCTTCCAAAGAAACCCAAGGGCCAGTTGGCCGGCGTGGCAGGATTGTCCTCGGCACGAACGTCGGGTAGCAATACGCCGACCCCTGAAGCTCAACGGCTGGTCGTTGTGCGCCATGCGGCAGTTCTCGGTCTGGGGGCTTTGATTCAAGCGTTCCCCTATTCCAGTCCACCGCCCGCTTGGATGCCCGATGTTCTCGTGACCTTGAGCAGTAAAGCCGCGAACGATCCGGCCACCGTGGGCAACAGTGTCAAGAGCATCATCAGTGATTTCAAAAAGACCCGGCAGGATACTTGGCATATTGATGTGAAAGTATGTAATCATGGCCGAAAGATCCAGTTGAGGATACCTGGCTGACGAGTATCTAGGCATTCAAACCAGAACAAATCGAAGATCTCTCCGGTGTCTTGTGGAAGAGCTACTTCGCTTAGTACTGACTCGAAAGAAGACATTCCTCCAGACCGAGCATAGCGTGGGCGTTCTCTTCTTGGTTCGTGCGTTCAACGGCGGCGTTCTCGGAGGTATGTCCCCAGGGTTTCAGGCTGACTGTATTTTCATTCGTGTGTAATTATGATTAACAGAGGTAGATTGCGAGGGGTTGGGCCAGGCTTTGGAGGCGTCTTGCATTGTGGCTTTTTGTTCTTCGCTTGAAAATTGACGAGACTGCGTCTAAGGAATGGGCCTTGGGGTTGTCCGTGAAGACACCACAAAATCAAAGAATTAAAATTGTTCCTTGAAGTGAGCGGCAAATGAGGAGGGATGAGAGCTTGTGTAGCAGGCAGAAGAGCATGAATACGGCCGCAGTCTTGTCGTTTTGAACGCAGAGAGCAAAAGATTTACGATGCTCCTCAACCGGCGTCAACGGCCCGTATGTTCCGCGGTATTACAGACGCGCCAAGCCATGGATCGCGGTTCGCCCTTTTTAAGGTAGCAACCCGTGTAAATAAACCCTCCCTCACCTTTCTTTCACCACCGCCACCATCACAACCTCCACCACCACCACCATCAGGGACCTTCTCGTTGACGCAATAGCTCTACGAGGGTAGACCACGCTACGATGGCAGACCAAAATCCAGCACTCCCACAACCAGATTTTGATCGTCTGAATCAATCCACCCAAGTCTTCGCTGAAGAAACAGCAAAACTCAGAAACATTCCTTCGTTGAGTCAAAGCAATGAAATTCTAGACACTCTGCGTCAGTTCAATGCCCAATTCACTCAGATCAACAACAGACTCGACCAGGTCAATGTCCAATTCACTCAAGTCAATACCAGACTCGATCAGGTCAATGCCCGATTCAATCAGGTCGATGACCAATTCAATCAGGTCAGTAATCAATTCAATCAGGTCAATAATCAATTCAATCAGGTCAATAATCAATTCAATCAGGTCAATAATCAATTCAATCAGGTCAACGATCGACTCAATCAGGTCAATAATAGACTCAATAGGCTAGATACAAACTTGAGCAATCTTCGGACTGAGATTCGGGCCAGGTAAATTTTTCTTACTTTATTATGGAGAATACTAATTCCTATATAGGGACAGCAACTCCATTGCTCGAGTTCAGAACGCCCATCTCGTCAAGGACTCCGACACTCTTTTACCTCTTGTCAATCCGGAAACTGGTGATGACGCCCAAGGATTTCCTGCAAAGCCTAGAGATATTCAGGGGATGACGACCGGGGCGCTCAGTGCTCTCTTACTCAGCTTGGGACAATCCGATGATGGAAATAAACCCCAGAAGATCAGAAGATTGAGAAGATTCGTTGGCCTCCAGGAAACGCCAGTCCATACCTAATTTCAGGACTTGGGATGGATTGCCTAATTCTGGAATCAGAGCAGATCAAGAGGAACGTCTCAGAGTGCATATCAGCCTTCGACGAAGCCCAACGTTTGAAAGCATAGTTATGGACAACAACCCGAGTGAGCTGAAAAACGGACTGCATGAAGAATTATGAACAATACAGTCAACATCATATCGCGGGGCGAGCCGCCCATATGAGTTCGGAGCAGATTTTACCTTGCTTGACCCGCCACGATTCTGCTGAGCCATGCAGAACAGGAGCATCAAAGCCTAAGTTGAAACTCAAGTACGTCTAGCAGTACTTTTCGAATCCCCAACAACAACAAAACGAGTGGGTGATTGACTGACGGACTTGTTGTCTGGAAAATGGGGGGAAATTAGAGGATGTGAAGACAAGGCGTATGGCTTGGCCACTAGAAAGGAAGCATGGCTGCACTGTATCGATAGTTGATAGAAACTTTGGGCTCTAATCAAGTCATGAGAAAACCATAGAAATCAAAGACGAAACGCTTTGTTTTCATTCCTAGTATAAACTTTTGCTGCCCAAGGCTTGGAGATCCTCCTTCCCGAGCCACGCATCAGGGACTTCTCGATCTCTGGTGATCTCACACCAACATTTCGGGGAAGGACATGCAGACGTCTTTCTGGTCCGACTCGGCCCATACACGTCTGAGAAATTCGCAACTACTACCGCTCGGTGCATCTCTATCATGTCCTCGTTTCCAAGCCGTGACTCTTCGAAGTCCTAGTAGACGACGTTCGTGGCGGTGTCGGCGGCCAGTGCAGGATGCTCTTTCCTCAGCTTCACAAGCTTCTTGACGACATTGACTGCATCTGTTCGCCACGCTTGTTTCTTCCGCGAGCAATTAACTGGATCAGATTGTTTTTGGTCTTTGATGGGCTTATCGTGTTGAATCGCGGAACTCTTCTCCGGTAAAGATCATCAGAATGCCGACCGTCGTGAGTGAGCAGACAAAAGCCGGTATGACACGACGAATCTCCCGCCATTGTCTTTGATGCTGATGTTGCCGCGGAATTTCCACTCCGCTGCCCTTGATCGGATCCGGTCAGAGCACCCAACGACAATCAATGTACGCCCACTGATTGTTTGACAACTCCCCACGATTCTTCCGATGATGGCTACTCGGAGACGACTTTGAAATTGCTCGTTCCACCATGCACCCACGCAGCCTTGTCTGATCATTTGGATTGGAACGGTGAGTTCTTATCCAATGACAACAAATTTGCGTCCAGGACAGACGGCGACTGGACTCTAGAATATCTTGATCGGAAAGGATTCCATGCTTCATCCCTGTACTGCTTGATGAAGGCCCAGTTGCCAGTGTTATTGACACTATCAAAGTTTGAGTGCCGCAATGCCAAAGTCGGTCATCCATCGATGGAGATGCAAAAGGTGAAAAGCAGAAACGGACAGAGATATTGAAATTGGCCTTTCAATGGGCCGGAACCATCGCCGGTGAACCGATCAGTCGTGTCTGTTTCACGCACCTTTCCATCCATCTCGGCGCTCGCCATTCCTACTTGATTGCCAGAAATCTGGGTTGTCCTGTTCACGCTCTGGTTTCAAGTGGAACTGAGAATATACAACGTGTTTGTAAGGTCAGGTCCAAATACCATGACCGCATCTATGAAAAATCGGATGCCCTTTTTCCTGGCCAGCAGTCGGGGTCACGAGATCATTGTCCCGTGTGAATGTGATAATTGGGTTCAATTATCAAACGATAAGTGGCTACAGTGGCTTGCCTCGAGTCATGCCAGGCCTTTGGGCACGTGATACTGCATCTGTAGTCCTGCGATTTTACGGAGGACTTGCCCTATTTCGAAGGGGTCCAAGGGACCGTCAGACTATATACTTTCGAAGCGTGTACGAAGCGTACAACGCTTCCGAAGGTCTTTACAAGCCTTGGCGTCGCCACATATCACAGTCCAGGAAATCACAGTATCCAGTGCCCTGTTAGAGGGTCCAGCGAGCAAATGTATTCCCTGAACCCTTCTCCTTCATAATCTCCCTTTCTTGTCAGTTCCACGAGGCGGTTGCCTACTAGCCTACAGCACTCCCAGCGGGCTACCACACAGGCAACGAGAGCACAAGTAACAATACCGATGAACGCTATTTAGATAGCTATATAGATGGGCCCTATCCTGCATTCATTTCGGGAGCCAGAGCAATCTTTCAATTCCAGAGCACTCAAAAACAATCAATGTACACCCACTGATTGATTGACAATTTTCGAGTGGCTCGAACGCTGCGCAGCATTTTCGGCAGAGCCCAGCGAGTTCCACATCGCTTTTCGAAGGAGGGATTCTCTGCGGAACATTTTCCAATGGCAGTCGCCGCAACATAACCGTATTCGGACACTTGTTGGGCCCTGTAACCGATGGTCTCGCTATCTGAGGCCATCCCGCGCTCATGCATTTGTCTGTAAGCTTCTCCGGCCTTCCATGAAGCATCAACAAGTTGAATCACATTACAGGCCAGACCCAAGGCTGCAATGCCTTCCTATTGTTGAGAGGCAAACAGCGCATGGATTGGGAGAGGCCATAGAACAACTAGGGGCGGGCGAGATGATATTCAGCCTGGCCATGCAAGGTCAGCGATTGACTCTCTTTGGTTCAAATGAAGTGATTGGGGGCCAACGAGCCTTCAACACGAAAACCGACGGCGGTTCCTATTTAGGGAGGAAAATACACCTATCTAAGTAGTCATCACTTTAACGACAAGCTGAGTGAGGGCGACGAATTCATTTCTGCGTGCTCTGGTATCATGGGAAAAGGTATTCAGGGACTGTCGGCCAGATCTCGGAATTTGTATCTATCCAAGTCAGCCATCTATCTACACGAAACTGGATTTGACGTTCTGCCTTCTGTATGCAAGGCCGCAGCTGACCAGCAGACAAAAATGACGACCCAGACTCTGATCCAGCCCACAGCTTTTGGACTTTTTATCTGGATTCAAATGATTGACCCCCAGAGCAAAAGCCGCACAAGTCTGCCCACTAATCCCATACACTCCTGCATACCGGTGACACCCGAATTCTGCATGCTGGGATTCGAGTCACCAGAAGTGCAGGGAAAGGGGCCTTCCCCGAAGTGAATCGCAACGTGCCGGCTTTCGGCAAGGTCGACCTTTTGGACCTGCGCTTGTGACATGAGTTGACGACAAATCCAGAATTGGCGATGTGATCGAATTCACCGACAGTGACACGGCGGAGTCACTTCGAAGGCGAACTCATTCGCGTTGAAGTCAAGGATCACCTCGGATCGAATTCTCACCAAACCCATCGCTTTCGACTTCCTCCGAAGATCAGTGAAGAGACAAAGAATCTGGCTGAAACATACGATTCGGAGACGGCGACACCGAATGAGGCCTGACAACAACAGCAAATGAGGGCCTCAACATCCACGCGCACATCAACGGCATTCATGAGACATCCCTCGAGACCATAGCTCGACAACAGAAATTGTTGGGGGAGGAAGAGCCTACACAGCATCGTCCGAAGACGGCGGGGGCTCTAAGCCAACCGGTTCCCAACGGGCCAAATACAAAACCTGCTTCGTCCCCGAGATGCCACCACGTCAAAGAAACGTGGGGCATATAAATCGGCAGGATTTATCATTCCACTCCATCACGCGACTCCGGCTGCGATAAAATGGCCCATGCCACAGATCTCAGCTGCCAATTCCCTCGGAAATCGATAGCGGGTACACCGAAGCCTTGCTTAACACCTTTTATGAGAGACAGGCGCGATAAGCCCCGTAGGGAATCGGAGAGTCATCGGAAGGTCGGCGGAGAAAAGGGCAGAGCCTCCCAACTGACGAAAGAGAGGCTGTTTGAGCCACCGGAGAAGGGGCAGGGAAGGAACTCGAGTCCCTCGGTGTCGCCCAGAGAACTCTTTGTTCTGGTCAAATGAAAGCGCCGGCATTTCCACTCTGTTTGCTCCATGTTTCTTTCAAATCGATCCGGTCCGTCACAATCTAGGACAAAGAGCCCCTCACAGAGCATGTCATCATTCAACATCACACGCACAATACTCAATGCCACCCAGTCAGCTTCGTTCATTTCTGTTATGGGTTCAATCGGAATTCCATTGTCTTTTCCACCAATGCCGCATTGCCGTTCACAGGATGGCAATCTGGCACGGTCGTGTGGCCCAACTTTCGGCCCACATGGTAGTTTGTCTTCCTGCCCCAGATGTTGGTGACCATATGCAATGACGTTTATTCCCAAAATGCTCCCATTTCTATTCGGAATGGTCAGTTACAATCCACATTCCCAGATGCTCCCACGTTTGCTGTCAATTCTGGTCTGTTGGTTTTCTTGGTACGTACGCCTGACGCCCGGCCAATCCGAGTTTGGAATCTTGATAATCCTCCTCACGCATTTCCACCTCTGTGGATGGAGTATACTTAGGTGCCGGTGACATTGGCCGATTGACATTTGCATGGGCGGTGCTCAATGGGATATCGGCAAACTCAGCATACCGATCTTGATTGTCGGAGCGAAAATCGTTCCTTGGCGCCGTCGACGAAGGCAATGCTGGTGCACCGCCTTCCCGTCCGACTATATCTCGCCGGGGCCAGAGGGTCCATGCTCGGATGATGCCCATGAACACTAGCAGAATCCAGACAAGCAAGATCACGGTTGAAATGATGGCTTCGGTCCGAATGGCCTCCTCCACGGTATCGATGAATCTGGTCACAGCACTGGAGATCTTGTCACTTGCTGCATCGCCAGGACTTGCCAGGAATGAATCTCCCGGATCGCTCGTGGAAGCGAGGCTGGCAACTGCACCCAAGCTAAAGGTGTCATTGGGAAGACTCGGGACGTCGACGTGCGCGTTGTCGTGAACCCAGGTAAGGGCCTTTTCAATGCCCTCAATCTTCATCAGAACCAGACAATTGAGAACGTCCAGGATTGGGTCATAAAGAGGCGTTCCACCAAATGTGGTATTGAGGACATCGGTTGTCTGGTCCACGAACGTGTTCAGTGTGTCATTGAGTGCCGTCGTGGTGGTGTTGACCCAGCCCAACAGGTTCTGATTGATATCGCGGCCGGTGGACGCCATAGCGGCATTGGTACCCAGAGCCCACTGCTCCGATGCGTTGTTGAGTTGCGCCACCACTTGGTCGGAAAAGGCACCCACCTGGTTGGTCAGGTTCGGAACCTCCTTTTCTAAAGACCGGAGGAGGAGAGCTTGACAGGCACAGGAAAAGAGACCAGCCAGGGCGAGCGCGAGGACGAACAATGCTGCGTCGGACGTAGCATACGCCACCGCCCAGCGGCTCAAATTCTTCTTTCTCGGCGAATCGAAGGTGTGCGAAAGTTTGAGTCCCGCAGTGGATGTGTAAGGCCGGCTGACCAAGTACACCACATCCATCGGATCATGCGCATTTGAGTGGACCAGTCGACGGCGCTCTTGCATCTTTCGCCAACGTTTGATCTCGGCCCATGCCATGGGAATCATGACCAAAATGGCCAGGGTCAGCAGCACCCCAATGAAGACTTGGCGTGCAACGGCAGCTATGCCCACCAAGTCGTCGAAAAAGTCATTAATTCCGTCGTTGTCACTGCAGAAGGTCAGTTCCTCCTTCTGAGGGACGGGAAATAACGACCGATTGAACGTGTAGGTGCCGAAAGACTCGTTGATACGCTGCTTGACTTCTTCAAAGGGGAGTCGAATCACATTTTCGGTCACGTTCTTGACTTCAGCAAAGGTCGGGATGGAGTTGTTGAGCTTTTGTAGATCCGCATCGAGGTTGGCTGGCAGTTTGAGACCTTGGAGCGTTTTGATTTCTTGAGTCAGGTTGAGCGGCGGAGGAGTGGGGACGGTCACGCCAAAGGCTGTGAAGCCGTCGAGGGCATCCAGGAACTGGTTGTATGCCGACTCAAACGTGTCAACCACCCCGGACATATCATCCCCCAGGTTGCTGGTCAGTGTATTGAGACCATCTTGAGCAGAATCGAGGACTCCGATGACCGTGTGCAAGCTTCCGCTCACTGCCAGCGTCATCAAGCAAAGGTAAGTGTTGGTCATCATGCCGATCACAAACACCACAATTTCTTCCACGGCCGTGACACCCAGAGTGGTCATCTGCATCAGACCATGGACCGACTTCTCCACCCCGGTGGCAGCCAGCTCATTGACGCCCTGAGACATGTAATGAGGCATGGATGCCATGGTGGAGCCCATCGATTCAACGTCCGAACAGGCGGAAAGAGCTTCACGCCGAGCGGAGCCCAAATCATTGTTCATGCCAGAGATTGCGATCAGGGTACGGGCAAGGACAAGGAGGAGGAGAATGGTCCATCGATTCAGCCATATTTGTGATAAACGAGCTCGGAGGCCAAGGTAGGGTGTGATGGATGGTGCAGTGTGTGGGAATAACCGAGGGGGGTCTTGGTTGGAGTAGTAGTCTCGTATCTCATGGCTGCCGGCAGGCATGGACGGAGGAGAGGCAGCCGAAAAGGCAGCCGGGCCCGACATGTTGTAGAGATCGACAGGAAATTATCTGATTTCAAATGTGAGTAACGATGGGGGTAGGCGTGGGAGCAAAAGCAGAGGGCTCTTTGCATCAGAGAAATTCGAGAGAAAAATGGTGGTGATTAGGTGATAAGGAAAGTAATCGAGACTAAAACGATTTTATAATGCCAACAAAGGAGATTCGTGACTCGACAATGGCGAGGTGAGTGCGTGAGCGTGGTTGACAAAGGATCGTGAGAAAAGCGGACAATGAGGACAATAAGAATCAATGGGAAAGGGGGTCGGTCGCACGTACCGCTTTTCCCGTCGACCTTCACCCCATACCGCAGATGCTCGAGCAACATGTTCCGCGAGGCTCTTCCAGACGTTTCAGGAGAGGTGAACATATTGTAGAGCGAGAACATTGGCTGGTGGTGGTATTTCCAAACAAAGTTGGCGCGCAGTCCAGAATTAGCGCCACCAGGCTGAAGAAGCGCCTACCAACCATCTCTTGGATGCTTCTCCCACGTCAGACACGCGCTCTCACGTGAAATCCAGAAGTTGAAACCAAATTGACAGAGATGGCGGGTGGACTCGTCCCCAGGTCGCTTCGTCCTCGTCCAGGTTGCTACGACCCGTCACAGTGTGCAGATTTCCAAGAGACCGAACGGGGAGCTGGGAGGGAGACACCACGAAGCAACACGATGTTCAAATTGTGCCTACAAGTGAGAATGACGATAATCTGTGGAAAGCAGGCTTTTAAGAGGCGGCGCCCACGCAGGTGTGGCGCTGGAGGGAGCTTCATAATGAGGTCATTCCTTGTTTTTCGGGCCGGTCATCCTTCTCGGCCTCATCTCGGTTAAATCCTCTCCATGTCCTCCGTACTACCTCGGAGCAGGCAGCCTCAATATCACAAGGTTGACCAGAAATACACACCGAGCTACATACTCCGTTGAGTTAGACCTTGTTCCAGGACTGGCTGTGGGCGGTAGAAATAGCTATGACGCTCAGAAGACGGGCGAGTGCCGCCCCCGTACACCAGTGTTTCTCCTTTTTATTGTTGCATACATCATCACGCGGTGCTGGCGAGGTGCTGTTTCTTCACTAAGATCAGTCAGATGCGCTAGTCGGCATCTCAGCAGCGATGGTGTTATCCCACAGTGAGTATGGTGGCAAGAGTATCTGCAATTGCGAGCATGTGGAATGCAGTGTCGGAAGCACGAGAGAGCATCATGAGAAGCAGCACACATGGCGGGTCTCACGCTGGTAGTCGTATACCACGTTCAGCAACAACGCGAAGCATTTCGGGTTCCCAGTTCAAGAGGGGAGAAAGTCACAGCATGCACGGTCTCGGCGAACACAATTGCGAGGAACCCCATCGAGGCGTCGAGGAGGCGAATTGGAGTCGTCGAGTTGGTAGAGGTCATCCAACAGAGGCATACAATCACGAAGCCAGGTCACTGTCAACTCGACGCGCCTTATCGTTGCTCACCTTGACCTTGGCCGCCTTGTTGTTGCTGCGCCGCCATGGCTGCGTACCACATTTGAAGATAGTTCTGGTAGCCGCCATAGGCCGCGTAGGGGTCGGCGGCCCCAGCGGCTGCTCCAGCGGCTGCCGGTGGTGCCGCCGGTTGAGCGGGAGAAATTCCACTTAGAGCGGGGGCGTAGCTCGGCGGTGGTCCTGGGTATCGGTCTGCATAATCGTCGCGAGATTCACGAGCTTGCGTTCGAGCACGCTAGATGCAGTGAGCAATCTGAAGACAACCAAATGGATCTTTGGGCCACTTACTACAGTGTCAACTTTCTCCATGATAGCACGTTTGGCAGCATCAATGGCGTACCTGCTGCCAATCAATCCGATTTCACGTTCGATGTCCCTTCCGGTGGCGGGCGAGACATTGATCTTGCATCCTGTCTGGTTCTGCATTTCACGTATGGACTCGCCCCCTAGGATGCACGTTAGTCAGCGTCTTGGTGAATGCACATCGCCCAACACACCTTTTCCGATGATCATCCCCACTGCCTCTCCAGGCACAACAATGCTGTCGTTGAGTTTGTTGTGGGAGTCTTCTCGCTCACGGTGAAGGTCTTTGATACTGATCCCTTTCTGGTCGCTCTCCACAATTTCTAGAATCAGATCTCTTGCGTGCTGTTGAGCAGATGCACTGCCAATCAGGTTCACCGGTCGCATTCCATTCACGCTTTTGTTCTCCCCCACGATATTGACGTGGCAGCCACTTCGATCTTGGAGGTCACGAATTGTTTCACCCCCTCTCCCAATGATTAAGCCCACGGTTCGGTCAGGGACCATCATTTGTAGACTGTCCCCCTCTTTGGTCATGACCGCGGAGCTTTTGCTTTGGCTCCTGGATTTGTCAGCTCCCTTTTTGGCCATCTCGTTGTCTTCAATGATCTTGAATATCTCGGCTTTGGCGGCCGATCGTGCCGATCGACTCCCAGAAATCCGGCAATGTCTCTGGGTGCCGGCGACCTCGGGGCCGTCCATAAATTGAACCCGAGCCCCGGTGGTATTCTCGACTCGTCGAAGATTCTCTCCAGAACGTCCAATAATTAAGCCAACGAGCCCTTTATCAAGAGGAAGGATTTCCGAGTCCCCCTCCGCACCTCGATCACGACCTGGCGATCGATCGTCCCGGTATCTTGTAGGAGAGTAGAGACCGCCTCTTGGTGAAAAAGAACGGTCCCGGTTGTGTCCACGGTCATTGCCCCGTCTTTCATCTCGGTAAGGGTTGTACGAATTGCGGAAACCATCTCGGCTGGAGCGCGGCGGGGAGCGGGAGGGTGATCTTGAGCGGCGATATCCTCTGCTGCCGGCACGTGGATCTGAGCTCATGGGAACTGGTTGATCTGGGTTAACTTCGACACCGAAAAATGGAAAAGGCGGCCCTTACGTCTGTTTGGATCATAGGACAGACCCTTCTCGGCCGCGATGCCTCGAGCTTTCGAAATTGCATCCGCAATGCTAACCGAGCCAGAGCTAACAGGTTTGATGCCAGCGAGATCTACACTTCCGGTGTTGATAGGCTGGGGCAGTCCGTAAGCTGTCGCAGTGCCTGGCGGGGTGGCATACTGAGGCGGAGGAAATGGCGCGCCAGGCACAGGCGGAGGAGGAGCTTGTGAGGGCGCGCCCCCTTGTTTTTGCGCGGCGAGGGCGGCCAGAATGTTGCTGAGATCCGCCATGGTGAGGTGAAATGTACAAAGAGGATAGTGAGGCTCGTAGCCGGTGTCAAAGACAAAAATTGGGATCCGGAAAAAAAAAAAAAAGGCCCTCAGAGCAATGGGAAATGAGGATCAGCCTATTGCCGGTGGGGAGTAGGTGCTCGTGGTCAATTCTACTGCAGCGCACGTGACCAGGTCAGGTGATATTCATACTAAACCCCATTACGACTAGAGCCATCCATGCTTCCGCAAGGCCAGGCCTCCTTTTTCCACTCCCATCCTCTGTTCTCGTAACACTCGAGGGCCTGTATACCGCAGCCTCATGATTGCGATGGCTGCTTTCACAACGTGCTTGAAGCTGTACAATGTCATTCCTTCACGATCCATGTAACGCAAAGTCCTTTCCTGACGCGGTTGGTTTTGCATAGGTTTTGTGTGCATTAGTGTTGGCGCCAATCCAACCTTTTTCATCAGAGAGATATCTGCTCGCAAATAGGTTGTCATGCCTCATTTGGTTGAACATCCCAAAGACTTGCTCTCTACTTGCGGAGCAGACACAATCATATAATCTGGGACCACGTTGCCGCTTCAACAATGGCTCCTCTGTAAGGATACCATCCCATATTCATGACTAGCTTGTGTTGACCAGTTTTTAGCCCTGAACTATCAACTCCGGACCGAGGACCGGCGGCGCGAAGCTGATCAATAAAAGTGAACCAAGTTTGCGCGTGTGTCGCATAATTCTCGTTCCATGACTGATTCGACGTTTTCGTGGCTCTCGGAAGACAGTACAGAAGGCCACTCTTATTCAGTACACAGGGGCATCGTGGAACGAGAAGCAAGAGTGTTGATTGGCAATTTTGGCGATCGACATGCCGAAGGAGTGTTTGCTATCTGTTGATATTATCAGGAGTCGTGGTACTACGACTCTTGTCGGTCTTTGATGGCCAAAACTCGTTCAGAAGAGAAGACTTGGCATTTAGGATACAAGACATTCATGGACTTGACTGGGCCAAGCAGAACAGCGACCTGTCTTCGCTCCAAGAAGACTACCAGAAACAATTCTGGGTGCGGCGGGTGCAATATTGGCCTAGAACTACCCAAGGACAACAAAGGCAACAACCTTGAGTTCGTGAGGTATCTCGCCAATTTCGTGGTTGTCATCGGCGAGTTGATATTGGAGGCCACTGGTTTGGTCCGATTCTGCCTCTATGTGTTTGACGCTGGATTCCAAAGACGAGTTGAAGTGGAACGGCCTGTGCCAGACGTATTGGTCATTTCGAAGGTAGCAAAAAGGATGTCCTCGGAGGTAAGACTATGCATGGAGAATCCAGCAAACCAAGCAGAAGATGTTTTGGGGATGAAGACCATCAAGCGTGGAGAATTCTACAGCAAGTCCAGGGTAAAAGACGAGCCGTCCGCGTCTGTTGAGCTGTCTCTCACCAAAGATGACCCGACATCAACAGTATCCTCCTCTCAGAGGCGCCAAAATAAGCCTCACGATAGTGTCACCGGCCTTGAGGATGATCAGGAAAGAAAGCAAAGAAGAGAAAGAGGAGGGTGAAGGTAAGAAGAGTAAATCCGACTCTGCTAGCCGGGTTCTAATCTCTCATGATGCGGCTCCAGCCACCCCTGCTCATGGAAAAAGCTCTTTACTACTTACAAATCCTTCTTATGACATACAGACAACCAGGGCAGACTCGTCGGAAGTGACAGAGATAGTTGTGAATGGTGGCGCCTCACAGATTTCGGCAGGTTCCGATCGGACCATTACTTTGTCATTTCCTCCTCACTCACGTCATCGGTATACAAACACATGCGCGGCCCGATATGGAAGAACAGCGACAAAAAGATGACGCCCTCAGCGCAAACGACGGAGCAGGCAAAAAAGGAGCAGACGTGCTATGTGATGGTGTTCTAGAGGATTGTCCAACCCACGAAAAGGATGTTCATCCTGGAGACTCAGGCACTGGTGACGTAGGTTCTTTCATATTGATTTCAGTTCATGGCGTCTACTACCAAGCTCGCAGCCTCCAACATCGAGCGATCCCGACCCGGCAACACCTATTGCAGAGTTCAAATTCGACAGCCTAGATCCACGCTTGAGATGCCAGAAACCGGATTGCCGCACCATGACCAGTTGCTGGGATCCGGCTGTGGTTATTTGTCCCGCGTGTGGAACCGACAGCTTTGTTCGCTACTGCAAAAAGCAACATCTCTACGACGACATCCAACGCCACTGGCTCTACGAGTGTGGAAAAGCTAGGATTATCGATCCGATCGATCGAGATACCATACGTCCATCACAAATCCCTAACCGACCATACATTGTCAGTCATCGCCACAACTTGGTTGAGCGTCATAGACAGGCGGTCTGGCGTGCCATGGAAGACGCAGATTATTTCATCTTTAATGATGTTGACATGGTCGACTCGGACATCCTGGACCCCACAGAAGAAGAGTGGAGTCTTGGACGTGGAACGGGAACCGTGGTTATGCAGATATTATTTCCGGAAGACGTGCCAACTGCTTCTAGGAGACAATTATTCAACCACCACATTTTGCAATGCCTCACGTTCGGAAGTCCGATGGCCACCCCAAGCTGCATGATTGCTCTGCAGTTGATTCGCGAATCACTGATTGTCTCGGGTAATTGGACAGAGCAAATGCTCACCTACCTCTGCATGCAATTAGGAGGCGAATGGGGTGGTTTTCGGGTGCCATGGTCCTTCTACAATGTAGCGGAGGTGAACATCGTTTGGATGACACGCGGCCTGCTGCCCTTATTGCCTCCAAGTTGATATGAAGTTGGTGTTTTTAGGGATAGAAAACCTCCTTAGGTAAAAAAGACACTGGGAAGTATTGTGGTCGAGAACGGCTCTCATCGGTTTCGTACGATGCGGCTTCGCCGTACCGGAGAGTCCCCGTACTCGGGCACCTCCGACATCACGTGGCTGATATTGTATGGCGGGATGGAGATGGGCGACGCCAAAGCCTACTGGTGAGCTTCCCTCCAGGGTAGAAGGGGTTTTGTGTTCGACTCGCTTATTATTCGCTTGAAGCCACCCACAGCAAAAGTCATCTTCAGCCACCCAGTTTTCATTGGGCTGCCGTAATGGTCCCCTCTCTGATTCGTGCGTTCTCACCATCAGTCGTCCGGGCCCCTATCAAGGTCGTGAACAATTGCTTTTCCTATGATGGGTGAGCTCTCAGGTAATCGCCGATAAGGTCGTCCATGTCTTTTCTGTCTTCCCCCCTCAGCTCCACTCCAGTCTCTGTACGAGCATCCTTCCTGATGCCTGGTTGCTTTCGTCCGGCTCATGTCACAAAAGCAGCTCTGGGAATGCTAAATTGGATAGATCCTTCGCCCCTCCTCTGATTTTCTCCTCCAAACCCGCGAAACCTCATTCCGTCAAAATGGCTCCTGGCGTGCTCGAGCCAGCAGCGACGGCCGAGGAAGTCGTCTCTCTCTCCTCATTGACCCAAAGCTACGACGACACGATTCGTTTCTACCTTAATGGCACCAAAGTCGAGCTCGATGCTGTTGACCCCGAAATTACACTTTTGGAGTACCTCCGAGGCATTGGGCTTACAGGAACAAAACTTGGCTGTGCCGAAGGTGGATGCGGTGCATGCACCGTGGTCGTATCACAATTGAATCCCACTACGGGCAAGGTGTACCATGCGTCAGTCAATGCTTGCTTGGCCCCTTTGGTCAGTGTCGACGGAAAACATGTCATCACGATCGAGGGTATTGGTAATTCAAAGAGTCCGCATCCCGCACAACAGCGAATTGCCATGGCGAGTGGTAGCCAGTGCGGCTTTTGCACACCGGGAATTGTCATGAGTTTGTATGCGCTCCTACGAAACCATGGCCCAGAAGCAACCGAAGCCGAGGTTGAAGAGGCATTCGATGGTAACTTGTGTCGTTGCACTGGTTACCGGCCCATTCTCGATGCAGCACAAAGTTTCAACAAGAAGTGTGGCAAATCTATCGCGAATGGCGGCTCTGGATGTTGCATGGAAAACGGAGGCTCATGTAATGGCGCTTCAAATGGCGTGGACGAGGGGGCCGAGAAGAAATTCACCCCACCCTCTTTCATCCATTACGACAAATCAACAGAGTTGATATATCCGCCTACCCTCAGAAAGCATCAATTCATACCGCTGGCCTTCGGCAACAAGAGGAAGAAGTGGTACCGACCAGTCACGCTCCAGCAATTACTCGAGATCAAGAATGCGTACCCTGCAGCCAAGTTAATTGGTGGCAGTACCGAGACTCAAATTGAGGTCAAGTTCAAGGCCATGCAATACTCGACTTCGGTGTACGTTGGTGACATAGCAGAACTTCGGCAGTATTCCTTCCACGACGACTATCTCGAGGTTGGTGGTAACGTGGCGCTGACCGATCTTGAGAACATTTGTGACGAGGCCGTCGAGCACTATGGGCCTAGCAGATCTCAACCCTTCAAAGCAATTAGAAAAGCAATCAGGTACTTCGCGGGCCGACAAATTCGGAATGTCGGCACTCCAGCGGGCAATTTGGCGACCGCTTCGCCTATTTCTGACCTCAATCCAGTTTTCGTCGCCACCAACTCTACAATGATTGCCAAGTCCCTGAAAAAGACGGCGGAAATTCCTATGTCCAGCTTCTTCAAGAGCTACCGGGTGACCGCCCTGCCAGAGGATGCTGTTATAGCTGCTATGAGAATTCCCATCGCCGCCGAGAAAGGAGAATATATCAGAAGCTACAAGCAGTCAAAGAGAAAAGATGACGACATTGCCATCGTCAATGCCTGCTTGCGTGTTGCGCTTGATGACTCCTACAGGGTCGAAAATGCAAACCTGGTATACGGAGGCATGGCCCCCATCACCATGCAAGCAAAGAATGCGTCCGAGTATATCGTCGGAAAGAACCTCGCTGACCCTCAAACCCTAGAAGGCGTCATGAATGCCCTAGAAAAAGACTTCAGTCTCCCCTTCGGTGTTCCAGGTGGTATGGCGACGTATCGGAAATCCTTGGCCTTAGGATTCTTTTATCGTTTCTATCAGGATGTTCTTACCAACATTGAGGAGGTCAGCAAAGAAGCCGACAAAGAAGTTGTCGAAGAGATTGAAAGACAAATCTCCATGGGTCAAAAGGACCACGATGCATCTATTGCCTATTCACAGAAGGTTCTCGGAAAAGCTAATCCTCATCTTGCTGCCCTGAAGCAATGTACCGGCGAAGCCCAGTATACGGACGACATCCCAACACAGAAGAATGAGCTTATTGGCTGCCTTGTGTTGTCAACCAAAGCACATGCCAAGTTGATCAGCGTTGATGCCAGCCCAGCTTTAGATCTTCCCGGTGTCGTTGCTTGGATTGATAAGAATGATGTTGTCAATCCCACGGCCAACTGGTGGGGTGCCCCGGTTTGTGATGAGGTCTTTTTTGCCGAGGACGAGGTTTTCACCGCCGGTCAACCGATTGGTATGATCCTAGCAAACACGGCCCAGCAAGCTGCCGCAGGAGCTCGCGCAGTTCTGGTCCAATATGAGGAGTTGCCAGCCATCTATACTATTGAGGAAGCGATTGAAAAGCAGAGCTTCTTCGAACACTACCGGTATATCCGTAAAGGCGACGTTGAGCAGGCTTTCAAAGATTGTGATTACGTCTTTGAAGGAACGGCCAGGATGGGCGGCCAGGAGCATTTCTACCTAGAAACACAGGCTTCCCTCGCCATCCCCAAGCCAGAAGATGGTGAAATGGAAATCTGGAGCAGTACACAAAACCCCACCGAGACACAAGCATATATTGCGAAGGCGTTAGGTGTTCAGTCCAACAAGATCGTGTCAAAAGTCAAGCGTCTTGGTGGCGGATTTGGTGGAAAAGAAACTCGATCCATCCAACTCTCGACGATCTGCGCCGTCGCTGCACACAAAGTCAAACGGCCGGTCAGATGTATGCTGAACCGAGACGAAGATATCATGACCTCTGGTCAAAGGCATCCATTCCTGGGTGTCTGGAAAGTGGGCGTGAATAAGGACGGCCAGATCAAGGCCCTCAAGGCCAATATCTTTAACAACGGAGGCTGGTCACAAGACCTTTCTGCGGCCGTCGTCGACCGGGCGCTTTCTCACGTTGACGGCTGTTACCATATTCCTAATGTGGATGTCGATGGCCGCATTTGCAAAACCAATACCGTTTCCAACAGCGCTTTCCGCGGGTTTGGCGGTCCCCAAGGCATGTTCATTGCGGAAACCTATATGGAAGAGATTGCGGATCACCTGAAAATCCCTGTTGAAAAACTTCGTGAAATCAACTTCTACAAAGACGGTGAAGAAACGCACTTCAACCAGGCACTCGAAGACTGGCATGTCCCGCTCATGTATCAACAAATCAAAGATTCATCGGAATACGAGGCTCGACGCAAAGCCGTTGACGAATTCAACGCCACACACAAGTGGCAGAAGAAAGGTTTAGCTCTCATTCCCACGAAATTTGGCATCTCTTTCACGGCCCTCTTCCTCAACCAGGCCGGCGCGCTCGTTCATATCTATCACGACGGCTCTGTTCTCGTCGCTCATGGTGGTACTGAAATGGGTCAGGGTCTTCACACCAAGATCTGCATGATTGTCGCTGAAGCCCTCCAAGTGCCTCTGTCAGACGTTCACATCTCCGAAACGGCAACGAACACCGTCGCCAACTCTTCCAGTACCGCCGCGTCTGCCTCTTCAGACCTAAATGGTTACGCAGCCTACAACGCCTGTGCACAAATCAATGAGCGTCTGGCTCCGTACCGCGAAAAACTCGGTCCCAACGCGACCATGAAACAGCTCGCACACGCCGCGTACTTCGACCGCGTCAACCTCAGCGCCAACGGCTTCTACCGCACGCCCGAGATCGGCTATGTCTGGGGCCCTAACCCTTCGGACCCAAGCCAGGAGAACACCGGCAAGATGTTCTTCTACTTCACGCAAGGCGTGACTGCATCCGAAGTCCTCGTCGACACATTAACCGGCGACTGGACATGTCTGCGCTCCGACATCAAAATGGACGTGGGCCGCAGCATCAACCCGGCCATCGACTACGGCCAGATCGAAGGCGCCTACGTCCAAGGTCAAGGCCTCTTCACCACCGAAGAGTCCCTCTGGCACCGGGCGTCCGGACAGATCTTCACCCGGGGGCCCGGCGCATATAAGATCCCTGGTTTCCGCGACATCCCTCAAGTCATGAATGTCTCGCTGCTCAAGGATGTCGAGTGGAAGAACCTGCGCACAATCCAACGCAGTCGTGGCGTCGGCGAGCCTCCTCTGTTCATGGGCAGCGCCGTTTTCTTCGCCATCCGCGACGCTCTAAAAGCCGCTCGTACCCAGTACGGCGAGGAGAGTGTCTTGAGTCTACGTAGCCCTGCGACGCCGGAGAGAATTAGGATCTCTTGCGCAGATCCGATTCTCAAGCGCTGCGTCGTGGAGCCGAGGGAGGGTGAGAAGAGTTTCTTCATCTCTATTTAAACCAGTGTGACGTGGATGAGCGCGCCGATCTATTGCTGGATCGAGATGATTGTTGAGCCGAAGGTTACGAATAACAAGTACCCTCAGGGTGTACCCCTGCCTGTCTCGGTAGGAGTTGATGGGGTAGGAGTCGAAAAAGATGACAATGGCGTTATACATATGTCCTTCACTTGGCCTAGTCGTAGAGACTTTGTAACAAGCTGAGTGAGCTGTCTTTACAAATTTGCGGCTTTGTAATGATATCCCTTTTACATCGCTAGGTAGCTATTCGTTCGCTTTCTGATCAATCATTGTATCATGGTTCTTCCCGCGTTTGAATTTATGCAAGCGATTCCTTCTTTCTCTGGAAGCTACAAAGTAGAGTCTATCTATTTGGACGATCGACACTGAGAGACACAGCCCACACGCACGCAGATCTCGTAGAATCATAGCTCATCAGCTCTAGTTTCGTAGCTTCATTCCGTCATGGTCAGTGAGGAGCACGACATATCCGCCCCAACCGACTCATCAATCAAGAATCGTAAGCTCCGATCCCGGGACTTCAGCGGTAATCCTCACGCTTTTCTTCGGCTTGGACTTGGAACCTGGAGTCGGATTCTCAGGTTCTTGGCCTTTCTCTTCAGTGTCCAGTGTTGATATGGGCGGTATCGAGGAAGTAAAGGGAGACGGAATCATAACAGCTTCGTTCTCAGCGAATGCAACGGCCTTCGCTCTCCCCTTTCCTCCGTTGTTGTCCTTCTTCCTCTTCTTCGCAGCATGTTTGTCCTCATCCTCGAGACCAAGTATCAAATCACTCTCTTCACTCTCGGCATCACCTCCCCCGCGACCTGGCCCCTGGTCTCTCCTCTCAAACAACGGCACAGGCACATCCAACAACTTCCTCCCATGATTCAACGCCTTCTCTTCCCCTTCCGCGATCTTTAAGAACCCTTCACCACGAATAATCCCGTTCATCGTCCCATCATCCAACAATGACTTCTCCGCCTTGACATGCTCAGCATTGCTCATTTGTTTTCTCCGCTTGAGGATTTTCTCCTCGAGCGTCCCTCTCAAGACCAACGTTTCCACATAGACAGGCCGCGTCTGCCCGATGCGATGTGCGCGCTTGATGGCCTGCGACTCGACGCTGGGCTGCCAGATGGGGGAGACGATGAAGACGCGGGAAGCGCTGGCGACATGGAGGCCGTGCGATGCTTGTTTTAGGTCCATAAGTAACACGCGAAAGGTGTGGGCGTTATTGAAGGTTGCGAGGTACGCGGCGCGGCGGTTGACGGAGAGGGTATTGGTGTAGATCAGAAATTTTATCGAGAGGAGCTCGAGCGCTTCGGCGATCCAGAAGGCGATGTTGTTCGAGTCGTAGAAGATGATGATCCTTTCCGACGTGTGGAGGGAGAGGATGCGCGAGCAGAGGTAGTTTAGCTTTGCGGAGGTGAAGCCGAGGATTCGGGTTTTCATGAGAGATGGTGGGAGTGTCGCGTTGGATGTTCGTAGAGATCGCTTCGGGGTCGAAGGCAGGGAGTTGAGAGCAGTGGCAGATTTCGTCGGAGGTCGAATGGTCGGAGGTGAAGAAAGCGAAGAGGAAGAGGTCGATTGATTCTTGACTTTGGGTTCCTCTACCGCGCCAACCGTGGGGGATTTTCCGTTGTTGTTGGAAAGGGTTTTGTTCCTCGTCTTTTGCTCCTCTGTTGCCCGCTCTCTCGCAGCAAGCATAGCTCGTAGCCCGGCGCCAGTCAAGCCGGCGCCAGGGTCGTCAGTGTCCACGCGCTTCAACACAAATTGTTGAGCCTCTCGCGCCTGCACAGTTCCAAGGAGCAGTGGAGTTGAATCTTCCCCATGGAGGGCCCAAGCTTGGGCGGCGTGTTCTGGGAAGTCCTGGATATACACACCTATTTCGTGGAAAAAGGAAAAAGCCCGCCAACCGGGATCGTTCAAAGCGCGTTGACCGTTCATGATGGCCTCAGTGAGCAGCGCGCCGTCCTCATCGGAGATTCTATCGATGTTATTGTCAAGATAGGTATTGCTTACGCGCAAAGTCTCTGTCACGTCGTGCTCCGTAAATCCGACCCAGTGGAAACTCGAATGTCGCAGGTTGTTGATCAAGTCGTTCAGGAATTTGCGGTTTTTGGGGTGAAACATATAGTCTTCATCGATCCGCTCGGAGGTGACGGCATTGGACGTAAGCACCAGTCTGAACAAGTTCATACTAAGCTTGTCGTAATAGCTTGGTTCCAGGTAGACGGTGGTGTTGTACAGTGGAGGGAGATACAAATCTTTGTCGATGTCCTCAATGCGGTGTCGAACGATTAGAGACTGCAAAATGACTCTCAAGGCAGGTGCGAATCGTCTCTTCCGCTCCGCATCAAAAGGAGCGAGATATTTTTTCCAATCTGCATAATCAGAGCCTTTCTGGTTGGCCCAGGGCTGCAATTTGAGGAACTTCACCACCATGACACGTAGACGTTCCATGTCTTTCACTTCTTCTCTTGTCGTATCCTTGATCTTTCTGCGCTCCAACGCGGTCTGAATCGAGCCCGTTCGGGACTCGCCCATATCGTGTTGGGACTCATTCAGCGCAAGACTCACCTCGACGCCATGAAGGGAATGAGACGGTGTTCCCGAGACGACCCAACGCCTCTCAATTGACATTTTGTCCAACATAGCCATAGCATTGGTGCGGTAGCTTGAGCCTGCAAATCCATGCCCTTCATCACAGATTACTCGTAACCAGCGCAGCTCAGTCAACTGAGAGCGGAATCTCTCCTGGCCCAGGCGTCTACCTTGATTGAAATCATCATCTCGGTATTCCTGCTCAAAACGGGCTTTTGTGATCAGGACTACATCGTACCTCATCAGTGTTTTGTAGTCGGGAATTTCTTTAGTCGAAGAATCTAGGACAAGAATGTCGAGAGCGTCCTGTTCGGTGTGCTTCTCCATTTCATGTTGCCATTGCACGAGAAGATTGGGAGGGACAATGAGCAAGGTCGCGTAACACAAACGAAGAATTCTGCAATCTTCTCGTTTCTTGCCAAGACGATTTGGCGTCATAGGATGGAAAATGGGTTCGGCGAACTTCGCTTCATACTTGTCGAGAGTTTCCGTGCAATGTTCGAAGTGGTATCCCGCCTTTTCAAGATGGGCAAACTCGGATTTCCAAGGAATCCCTGCCTGTTTGATTGTCTTGGCGGCCAGTTCCAGGAGGCTGGGTGTTCGCTCATTTACCTGCTTGTCAAGGATGTTGAGTCTGCCTTCGGGGACTTTGGGATAGTGTCCACGAGTGGCCAGAATCAGGGCGATGCATATGAGAGTCTTCCCGTAGCCCATCGTTTCCGCTAGAATGCCACCTCGAGGTTCGCTGTACAAGTACGGGTTGAGGAGAAGGGCGCCTTCGTGGATATCGAAATAGAACTCGGTGCCATTGAGGTCCTGGAATCGGGGCTTTCTTGGGTCAATGGACTTTGCCGGATTAGCCTCTTTCCGAAGCATAGCAGCAACCGAGCGCTTTTGGTAGGGGTACAGGGTTGTCTTCAGGCCATGTATACTGTCTCGGAAGATATCCGCCATGGACTGCTGGCTGTCGACGCAGCTTCCGGCGTTGTCTATCGAAGGATCCGGGGATTGAAGAGTATTGAAGATGTAAAAGAGAGATTCTTCTTGAGATGACATTGGTTCCCTGTACGTTCGAATCGGGGTCCTCGGGTCGTGACGACCGTCCCATGCGTCAGATGTAGTATCAATGAAATCGGCGAGGAATTTAAGGACTTTCCTAAAATCCTTGACTGATCCTCTGCTACTTCGGCTGACATCTTCGGGTAAAGCGTACACTCTTAAGGAAGCATGGTTATCGCTGGTATGAGGAAGCCGCTGGGTTTTGAGCCATTGTCTTTGTTCACCCAAGCAAAGGGCTGGGCACGGATGAGCATGTTCTCTGTCGTTGGCATCCGAGCCGACCATACGCCATTGATCATTGGATCCATCTTGAGAGATGCGGGCGAGTCGAATTGTCCCAAAGGCTAAGTAACCATCTGTTGAATCCATGGGTGACTGGTGAGTCAGTTCGTCTGGCGCAACACTTAAGTCGGGTTTTGCCGAACTTTGGGAAATTCGTGTCAGATTTAGTCGGGGAGGCTAGTTAAAGTCAGTTGTGAGTTCGAATGGAAAGGATGAATGAGTTGGGCTTGCAGAACAAGAAGATTCGTCTGTTGAGGTGTGGCTGCTAATGGTGGAAGGCCCGAGGTAAAACTCATCAGTTTCAAAGGTTTCATCATCTGCACCTTCACCGAAGGAAGGGCATGGATAAGACATGACGGAAACAAAATTAGATGAAATGGGTGAGAGTCAAGGATGAATTGAATCGGAGAGGGCAATAATGTCAAAGGGAAGAGGATGTTTGAAGTCAATTGCTATATTTGTCAGGCAAATGAAATGCTCTCGCATAACCGCGATCACTGTCCTAAATTCTACGTCAGACTAAATCAATTTCTGTGCTGCCCAGGATGGGGGGTCAAGCCCAAGCCATCAAATGCATCCTGTCTACTGGAAGAATGAACATCCGGTTGAACTTCAAATACATATTTTACCAATCAAAGGAGGGACCCAATAGCATCTCCTCGAAAAGCAAGCACCTCAAGAAAATTGTAGCCCAGGTTGGATTTGCCCTTCAGCTACAACGCCCATGCAGTGTCATCAAACTGGCTAAAGTGTCCAATCGCAATTTTGCCGAATTTCATGTGACTGAAAGTCTCTGCCCCGAATTTTTGAGCAGAATCGGACGAACTTTCGAAATGAGACGAGATTTATTTGTCGATACAGCTATTACTTGACGTCTATATCGAATCATGGGCCCTTTTTGATCCATTTCCGTGCGTACGAAGAGAGGCAAATATAGTCACGACCCAACTTATCGTGTTCCATATTTGATCCCACACAACGTATCGATACAACACCCTGCTCCGCTCAGCATATCAATCGTTTGAGACTTTCGCCGTCTCTGCTTGCTGTATTGCTGCTCTCATCCATTCAGCCATAGCCGTTGCGCCATCTTCACTGCCAAGCATAAGCTGGCTATTCTTATAGGCCTCCTCTGCCTTTTCCTTCGCTCGATCTGCCATTCTCACCTCAAACTCCTTGATCAAGGGTTCCAGGACATCCTGGAAGGAAGCGGCATCCTGCGGCCGAGCTTCATAAGACTTGATGATAGCGCGTGACACATCGAGAGCGTCCCACATGGCCACATTCACACCTTCACCAGCAAAGGGCAACATCACGTGTGACGCATCGCCAATAAGTGTCACGCCCGGCTTGTACTCCCAAGTATGGCCGGCAGGCAGCGTGTATAGGGATCTAACTACCAGCTTGCTGTCCGGGCCGTCATTCGTTTCCTCATCACACGCCGTTTGCACCAACTCCTTCAGTCTCGGACCAAATTGCCCGAAGAGGGCATTATCGTTCAGCAATTTTTCCTTGGCCTCTGCCGGTGTTCCATTGGTGATGCCCGAGGTTGTTCCAAAATGCTCGTCGGGTGTTGAGAGGAAAGCGTAAATTAGAGCCGAGTCTTGCAGGGCACGCTGGCACATGATACCGTGTCTATTCGCCAGCGACGTGAAGCTTCCAGTACCGACATATTCGGCAATCTTGGGATATCTTTTCGTCACTTGCCGAATAGCTAACATGAGGTATTGAAATCCGGCGTACTGGGGCTTCGTGTCTGTCAACAGATTGCGCACGCGAGACCATGTGCCATCTGCACCGACCACTAGATCGAATGTATGCCTCCCGTGGATTCCGAAGTCGAGCTGGATCTCCATGCTGCCGGATACTGTAATAGAGCAGCTAGAAGACGTGAGTTTGTGCTCCCACTTGACGGCGTCAGCCGGGAGTTGATCGAGCAGAAGCTTGGTGAGCGAATTGCGAGAGATTTCAGGGCGAGACTCGAGCCCGCCATCGTCCGTGTAAATGATATTCCCTTCCTTGTTGGCGATAATCTGGAACTCGCTACAAACACTCGTGTGCGACTTGAACTCGTCCAGTAAGTTGCACTCCTTCAGAGCCGCAAGCCCAGACTCTTCGTGCATGTCAAGCATTCCGACCGGTTTTGCGAGTTCTTCATCCATGGGCTTTGAGCGTAGTTCGAAGATGGTGAAGGGGATGTTGCGCTTGTGAAGGAGAAGCCCAACTGTCAGTCCAGAAGGTCCTCCGCCAACAATGGCGATTCTTGGCTGATATGGAGACATGTTGGGTATAGTTGATGCAATGGCAATGCCGCGAGCGGTTGGTCTTATATGCAGCGGTCTGTGTTCAGCTCGGAGGTTTCATGCTATAGTTCAAGTGTGGTTTTTGAACTCTGTATTCCAACGAAAGAGCAGTGACTTGCGGGAGGTGGTCCTAACCTACTTATATGCACGAAAGTCTCGAGCCCTCGCCAACGTATGTTTGTACTATGGACGGGAGCCGGACATCGTCGTGTGCTCGGACAACTATCTAGCCCGGTCCCATCGTAAGGAAATCCGCACTGAGTTTCGGGTTTTAGAAGCACCCGAAGTGTTGCCTAGTTTTCGTGCCCACTCATTGCCCGCTGTCATACGCGAGCGCTTCTGGTTTCGATGAAGGCAGACAGATGATCTGGGCATTACTTTCGGCCGAGCTGGATCGTGAAAACATGTCTTCTATTCTGAACATCATGGCATTGACTGTCGTAGTGGATAAAGAAACTGTGGTGGTAGATGAAAGGAAACGATCTAAGTGCTCAGAACCTGTTTTCTCTCCTCCTGTCGCCAAGACCAGCAAATTAAGCCGTGATGATTAGTGACCAGACACCTATAGGACCCTATGCCTTTGTATTCGAAGACTTTGCAGACGCCCACGCCTGCACGATTCTCGCAATTGACTGTATGACACCGAAAAGAACTGTGAGAAGAAGTACCAGCACCGCTATCCAGAACATGACCATTGAACACGTCGCCTATCGTCCCTTCAACGTTTGGGGCTCGGAAACCAGCCGATCTTTCCAGTACTTGAAATTTTCAATCCAGCGGCCTGCTGCATAAAGGTGACCGCAACTTCCTGCCACGGGGTATAAGTTGAGCTGTTTTTACATGTCCGCAAACCATTTTATCGTGTCACCGTCATTTGCTGGATGAGCAATGACAGTGTGCTAAGAGTCTCTTATTGAAATCGCAGTTCGGTGATACTGGAGGATTGTGGCATGGTGGAAAATGACTCCCCTTGTTTCGTCACCACGCATTGAAAGATGATCCCGGCTACGCTTTGGAGATTGCGTGCCGTTTTGCAGCTCTCCACAAGCAAAAATCTTACACGATCTCGATAGCGAGGCTCTCCCCAATATCAAGCGTACCGGCGCGACCCTTCTCATTCTTCTTTTCATCGTTCAGGCTTCCAACACCCTGAAGATCGCACGCTTGACCGAACTCAATCACCGCTTCGTGTGATTCATTCTCTGACCCGATAAACGTCCCAAAGTGTATGCCGACCGTGTTCTTCGACTTCACATCCCGATGTATGGCCACTGCATCTGTAGGAGAGCCATGAAACGCCGAGGGAATGTCATCATGCGACAAGCGCAGCCCGAGATAGGAAATGAACCCCAGACTGCCTCCCCGCCATATCGGCACGAATGATAGGTCAAATGGGCCAAATCTCTCTCCGATCTCGTTGAAAGCGGGACACACGACTTCGGATTTGGTTATCCTTCTGTATCCCGTGTCTCCGGCGTGATATATGGCTCCTCTCCTCGTAACTTTGGACTCGGCCGACTCATCTCTGGAGCAGAGAAATCTCTCAGCTACCCACCCACACCACAGCGTACTTCCCTGGTCGATTATTCCTCTCCCAGAATTGTGCTGGGCAGGGACACATGTGATTTTCATGATAGACTCCATTTCTGAGGTGTCGCTGGCCCGTTGGTCAAAATCCAATGAGCGGAGTTCTCGATCATTCCACCAGTCCAGTTCATAGATCTGTTTATCTGGTAGACCTGAAGAAGACATCCAATGCTTGTTGCCCAGTGGGACGAAATACTTCGTGTTTGGAAACTTCTTGGATATAGCCTGTATGGTCGGCCAGTCTAGATGGTCGTAGTGGTTGTGCGAGATGAACACAGCGTCGCAGCCAGGTATATCGTCAACCTGGCATGGACTCTTCTTCATCCTGGTGACGCCACTGTACGGTGATGGACCCGCTCTCATCGAGAAAATTGGGTCGAAAAGGAGCCATAGGCTCTTGTCTTCCGCTTGCTGTAGAGATGGCACCTCGACCATTGCGCCAGCATGACCCGGCCATGTGCCGATGATAGAATTTGCTTTGTCCAAGTTTCGGTTTTTCAAACCGGCCACGCCCCGGTCCGGCTGGATTACTTTGACATCACGTGCTCTGCGGTGCTTGTGCAGGTCGAGTTCATATCTTCCAAATGGAAGTGAGGCTCGTAAGAGCTCCGCCCATGTTGGCACACCTGCAGATGGCCAGCAGTTGATGAATCGAGTACCATTATTGTTGGCATGATGTGTGGGTCGGGACGGTGTACGTTTGGCGGTCGACATCACTTAATACCAGAGTGCTTCCATGCCATTCATATTTCCATGGTGTATATCGAGGACAAATTTGGGAGATGTGAATGCTGACATGAAGATTCGAGGTGAGCCAGAACTCTGAGAATCTCTCACGCCTTCAATCGCCTATTTGTTTCTGGCCACTATCCTGTCGAATTGGCAAGTCACTGTGTTCGCTCATGCCTTAGATATGCCAAACCAGCTCGCCGGCTTAGATACGAACAAGAGCCCTCGAGTGGTGACGAACTGGCTAGTTCGGAATAACCTTGTTCCGGTAAATTTGATTCGCGTATACATTGTCGGTGTCGAAGGCGAGATCAATCACGAACAGCATAAGACGTGAAGGAACGGATGAAGTTCAAGTTCTACGTTTGTTTAATGACGCTAGTCGAGACCTACAGTCTACGTTGCGTACGAGAAAACTGTTAGGAAAGAGCCTCGATCCCTTGGAGATCGTCCAAAAAGACTGAATCCTGCCATTTCATGGTGGGGATCTAGACTCTTTAGTAGATATACTTATTAGGCGACGCACCCTAACACTTATCTTTTTCCTAACCTTAAATAGTCTAAGGTAGATCGAAGTACAGTAGTTACAATGGTTCCCGAAACCGCTCCCCCCTTTGCAGATGCATTGCAACTTTCTTTCACTCAGAACCTAAAGAAAAGCGGGGTACGTCGTTCCTGTGCATATACATCCAATGGACGAATCATAGTTTAAGGAGACGATTTGTCAATACAATACAATTCTCTTGACCAGACAATAGCTTTACACAAGGGGTCCCTGCGAATGTACACTAAGAGCGGCAAGACGATCTCATTCTAGCCACGTGATAACCAATGTCGAACTTTCACATTCAGCCTCGCTGCGACCGCTTGCATCGCTGTGCTGTACTTCAGCCTGATCGAACACTCTTCACTATGCACGCTTCGTGTTCTTCTACTCGACTGCAGCCGTGGCTCGATTGCCGGTGCTTGCACCCGCTATCTTTATTGCATAATCACAGAGGGCCCTCACCTTCCTTTTCGCCGACCTAGAACTTATCCAAGAACCCGCGATAGCACTTCTCCACGGGCTTACCTTACATAGCCTCCCTCGATTGCCTCCCTTACCGCCATGAAGTTTACCTGACACCGCATCTCGACACAGGCTTTCCAGCAAAGAAACCTTTATTCTCCTCCACCTCTCACCTGTGCTTCACCGCCACTAGAGATCGAAATCGCTACGATGCGCTTATTAAAAGCTGACAGTCATAGTGAGCTAATCCTAACAAAGAACTTGATCAAGGACATCCCAGACTACGCGATACTTTCGCACACTTGGGCGAGAAATGAGGAGGACGAAGTTACTTTCGATGACCTGAAAGATGGATCTGGTGGGAATAAAAGCGGCTACGATAAGATTCGGTTCTGTGGCGAACAAGCTCGGAAGGATGGTCTACAGCATTTCTGGGTGGACACATGCTGCATCGACAAAGCGAGCCACTCTGAACTAGCCGAAGCCATTACCTCGATGTTTGGCTGGTACCGTCGTGCCAAAAAGTGTTATGTGTACCTGTCGGACGTGTCGGTAAGCATCAACGACAAACACCACCCGACCGAGGAGACGTGGGAGTCGGATTTTCGGAACAGTAGATGGTTCACCCGTGGCTGGACTTTACAAGAACTGCTGGCGCCGAAATCAGTCGAGTTCTTTTCGCAAGAAGGGAAATGGTTGGGTGACAAGCACACGCTCGAGCGGCAAATTCACGAAATCACCGGAATTCCGATAATGGCTCTCCGCGGTGTCGCTATGTCCAATTTCAGCGTCAGCGAGCGGATGCGATGGAGAGTGAAACGGAACACCACGAGACCCGAGGATCAGGCATACTGCCTTCTAGGTATATTTGACGTGTTCATGCCTCTTATATATGGTGAAGGTGACAATGCGTTTCTTCGGCTCCAAGATGAGATCGATAAGCGATTAGGGGGCAGGGTTGACGTGGACAAGTCGTCGCACGCCCAAGGTACGAGCCCGATTTGGCATGTACCCTTTGCGCGACTATCGGGATTTGTTGGCCGCACAAAAGAATTGGAACGTCTCAAGCGGCAGATCTCCGACCCTTCCAGTTGGGGAATCGTATCTATACTTGGATTGGGAGGTGTGGGCAAAAGTCGTCTGGCACTGGAGCTGGCCTACCAGATTCGGTCGAAGCACCCCGAATATTCGATTTTCTGGATCGAGGCTGTGGAGCAGTTGACAGTTGAGAAGAGTATGCTCGAAATTGGAAAAAGGCTCGGGATTCCCGGGATTGAAGATGAAAAAGCCGATATTAAGAGCCTCTTTAAGCAGAGACTAAGTCGATCACCTTTGGAGAAATGGCTTCTGATACTCGACAATGCCGACGACGAGTTATTATGGGGAAAGCCAACGGGCCCAATGTCGAGCGCAGTTACGTTAGTCGAGTACTTGCCGAAGACGACGCATGGCTCTATCATCGTCACCACCCGCACTCGACAGGTGGCAAGTTTCCTCGCTGGAAAGGAGGTGATTGAATTGCGGGAGATGTCACCACCTGAAGGTGTCGAGATGTTCACGAAGTCCCTAGAAAGACCCGAGCTCGCTATCGACGGTCCTGCAATATCCACCTTACTAGAGAAGCTGGCTTACCTCCCACTTGCCATTATTCAGGCTGCTTCATTTATCAACATGACTCAACGACCTGTGCAGACATATCTTAAGCTCCTGGATCAGTCTGAAGAAGACGTGATTCAACTTTTAAGTAAGGACTTTGGCGACCCGACCCGATATTCTAATGCAAAAAATCCGGTTGCCACGACTTGGCTGATCTCTTTCAATCACATCCGCCAGTACCATCAGCACGCGGCAGAGTTCCTGTCAGTCATGGCGTGCTTTCACGAGAAGAACATTCCACGATCGTTACTACCAGACGCTAACTCGGAGATGCAGACCATCGACGCGATCGCCGTCCTAACGGGATATTCGTTTGTGAGAAGACTGGCAGAGAACAATAACGCGACCGATGATGAGGAATACTACGACCTCCATCGACTCGTGCGGCTAGCCGCTCGGAATTGGCTCAAAATGGATGGCTGCCTCTTTGATTGGACGAAAGTCAGCATTTCGCATGTGGCAGAGCTCTTCCCGACCCGAGACCATAGGCACAAGAAAACCTGGACAGTCTATTTACCACACGCACAGCAACTTTGTGACGATAGTGGGGTTCGAGATCTTCATGAACGATACCGACTACTCGAAAAGATGGGTCTTTGTTTCGTTGTGGATGGGAAGTATGATGAAGCTGTGCTGGCACATACTGCAGTAGTTAAGTGGAGGGAGAGTTCACCGGAAACTTCGGAAGAACAGATCCTTACGGCGTACAACAACCTTGGAGAGGCATTTAATTGGAAGGGTAATTTCTCTGCCGCAGAGTTATACCTTCGAAAGGCTCTCAAAAGACAGAAAGAAATCTTTGGAGCGGGACATCGCTCGACGCTGACCAGCATGGCCAACTTAGCATCGACGTATCGGAATCAAGGTCGATGGAAGGAGGCGGAAGAGCTGGAAGTGCAAGTGATGG